CGCGTCAGCGGGGGATGAGTTCGGCAACGGGGAGGAAGCTGACGACTCAGGGGTAGTGGACGATTGCTCGTCCAGGATGCAGGATAGAGCAAGGGCAAGCGAGATCGAAGGTTGGCGGTGCCGGACTTGAAAAAAGTGGCAGGCAACGTCCTCTTCAGAAGACGTTGACTACACGCGGAGGAGGGGATCAGGCCGAAGGAAGGTCGACTGGGCGGGGGCAGGCGACCGAGGGACAACCGAGGAGGGGACGCGGTTGTGAGGCTCGCAGCAAGTCAAGTATATCGGACTTTATTGCCAACGAGATCGAAAACGAAGGATGAAGGTGAAGGGATCTTGGGAGATGTGGCGGACCAGGCTGAGTGGGAAGGTGCTAAAAACAAAAGGGAGGCACTCAGGCGCAGAGGGGACTTAGCCAATTCAGCTACTCCAAGAGGTCGCCTCAGGGGGAAAAAGGATTGCTCGCGGGAGCACCGGTAAAAACCCTGAGGCCGCGCCTCAGCTAACAAAAAGAACAAAAACCGAGAGAAGATTGCGCTCTGCGCGCCTTGAACCCGCGACCATTAAGTGCGCGCCCGCGCGCCGAACGACTACGCCATCACGCCCACAATGCTTGAATGGAGGGAAGCATTTGGTGACCTCAACTCTACCTGCACATTACCTCAGGGACTTCCTTCGAGTGTTGCTGTCAGTGTATCGCTGTTTGCCTGACACGAGCAGCGAAACCGACGCGACCTTCCCGAACTCACGACGCTTACGGACCGCATTCGCATCCAGCTTCGTTCGGCAGGACTCTCGACCTCGCATTCGGCCATGCTTGCCACCAGCTCCCCCTGCCCCGCCTGCCGCGCTCCCGGTCACCGCCTGCGCGACTGCACTTCACGTGCGAAGCACCCGCCCACCGGCCCCTGCCGCCGATGCCACAAGAAAGGTCACTGGGCACTCGACTGCAAGAACCGGGGTGAACAGGCACGTAGCAGCGACGACACCCAGGACGACACGTCTTCCTCCGCGGCCTCGCAACCGAACGTCGGCTATTTCGCCTCCTGCCTCTTCGCTCGTCGCCAACTCCCAACTGACGCCTTTGTAGTCGATTCGGGTGCCACGACACACATGGTCGCCGACCGATCTCTATTCACGACTTATCGTCAGACGGCACACACCAAGATCGGCGGCATCGCGGGCGGCATCACGGCTATCGGCATGGGGGACGTGGCATTCGTCGCCAAGACTGGACACCCGATCACGCTCCGTGGTGTTCTTCACACGCCTGGCCTACACGTCAACCTCCTCTCTGTCTCTCGCCTCTGCGACACCGACCGCGTTCGTCTCGCCTTCACCAGCGACGGCATCGACATCGCCAAGGACGGCCGGGCCATTGCTCACGGTACCAGGGTCAACGACGGTCTTTACCTTTTGGACGCGGATCACACCAAGTGTCAGCATCTTGCCTTCCTCTCACGCTCTGAGTCTCCCGTGCCCCTGCTTACCCTACACCGCTGCCTCGGCCATCTTGCCCCATCCTCTATACAGAAGATGATTGCTGCAGGTTTGCTGGACGGGTTTGGGGCCGGGTACAGTGACAAAGACGTAGAGGAGTTTGTTTGCAATGCTTGCCTTGGTTCCAAAGGTCACCGCCTTCCCTTTCCCGACTCTGAGTCGCATTCCGCCGAGAGACTTGGCCTCGTGCACAGCGACGTCCTGTCGTTCCCCACTCCGTCCTTGACCGGGAAGCGCTACCTTGTCACGTTTCTAGACGACCACTCTCGCAAACTCTGGGCATATGCGATCGATCACAAAAGCGATGTTTTCCCGACCTTCCAGACTTGGCTCGCCGAAGTGGAGTTAGAGACGAACGCGCGGTTGAGGATCCTTCGAACCGACAATGGCGGGGAGTACCGATCAAACGCATTCACGGAGTTCTGCAAATCCAAGGGCATTCGTCGTCAATACTCTATCCCTTACACGCCTCAACAAAACGGTCGCGCCGAACGTGTCAACCTCTCCATCGTCGAGGGCGTCCTCGCTCTCCTTGCGGACGCCCGTCTGCCGGCCACCTTTTGGGATGAAGCGGCTGCGTATTTCGTTTATTGCAAAAACAGGTGCTCACACTCAGCTTTGGCCAAACAGACTCCAGAATCCGTTTGGAACGGCCAACGCACCACCGCCACCGCCCTCCACCCGTTCGGCTGCACAGCCTGGCTCACGGTCGCCCCGGACCTTCGCAGCAAGCTCGACCCCAAGGCCGCGCGCGTGATCTTCACAGGTTACGACCTCGCCTCCAAAGCTTTCCGTTTCTTTGACCATTCCATCAACAAGATTGTACTTGGTCGCAATGCCACCTTCCTCGACGACGACTTCCCCGGCCTGCCAGTCACCACGCCCGTCGATGCAGACGACACCGACCGTCAGTTCGTCGTTCCCGCCGACACGCCCGCCCCTGCCGTCAAGACGAGGACCCCACTAGTAAGGTCGGCGCACATGGACGTCTCATCCTCCCTTGATGATTCTGCCATGAGCGCCGTTGACGTGGCCCCAGGGTACACTGGCGGAACCTTACTTAATTCCACAGATACCGAATCGTCCTCGTCACTGTCTCCTGAGCCGTCCTCGTCACCGTCGCCCACAAACCCTTTGTCACCGTCGCCTGCGCTGTCACCGTCGTTGGCAGCGTCATCGTCACCCTCGGTCTCACCGACCGACTCTGACTACTCCGCCGACCCTCTGGACCTCATCGGCTCACAGACCCCGACTCGCCTTGGCCCACCGGACGTGCACCGCCCAGACTTCAGCACGTACCGTGAGCCCGCATCGGCTGAGGAGTCGCCCGACGAACTCGACATCATTGGGCGTCACTCGCGCGATGAATCGCCGGATGAAATCGATTTCCTCACCCAACACCACCGCGCCTTCATCGCCACAGACGACGACGACCCCACCCTCGACGCCATCGAGCCCGTCAAATCGATCACTAGCGACCCCCAGACCTGGCGCGAAGCAATGTCCAGCGACGAGCACAACATCTGGGCTGAGGCCGCCGCCGCCGAGTTCACCGCCATGCGCGACGACTTCAAGGTGTTCACCATCGAGCCTCGCTCATCTGTACCGCCGGGCGCCACCATCGTCACCTCCAAATTCGTCTGGAAGACCAAGCGCAACGCAAGCGGTGAAGTCACGGGGCGGAAGGCACGTCTTGTAGCGCAGGGTAACCGACAGCGCGACGGCATCGACTTCTCAGAAACCTTCGCACCCGTCGCCCGTTTCTCCTCCATTCGCTGCCTCCTGGCTCTTGCCGCTGCCAATGGCTACCACGTTCATCAGGCCGACATCGACAAGGCTTACCTCCACGGCGAGCTCGATCATGATATCTGGATGACGACACCACGCGGTTTCGACTTCCCGAGCGATAAGGTTCTCCGGCTGCGACGCTCAATCTACGGTCTCAAGCAGGCCGGTCGCATCTGGAATCGTCACATTGACACATCACTCAGGAATCTGGGGTACAAGGCAACAGGCACTGATCACTGCATTTACTCTCGCATTGACGATCAGCAGCGGCCTCACTATATCGCCTTGTATGTCGACGACCTCCTCATTGTCAGTCCAGCCCTCGACGAGATCGAACGTGTCATCTCCGGCCTTGAACAGCGGTACGGCGTCAAACGACTCGGCCCCGTGGAGTACATCCTCGGAATCCAAATACGCCGCCTGGACGACGGTTCCATTGCTCTATCCCAGGAGCGCTACATCATGGACGTGCTGGCCCGTTTCCACTTCGACACCACGACACGCGGCACTACGGTGCCGATGACGCCCGGCCTCTCGCTCACGGCAATTCCGGGTCAGGGAACGGAGCGCATTCGTTCGTGGTACCTACAGGCCATCGGCTCCCTCCTCTACATCTCCCTTGGCACTCGACCCGACATTGCCTTCGCCGTCTCGTACCTGTCCCGGTTCGCCAACAACCCCGGCCGCCGCCATTGGATTGCCGTCAAACACGTCCTTCGCTACCTTCGCGCCACGTACCGCGATGAGCTTCTCTATGCCCGCGGCCCAGCAAAAGTCACGGGTGTGGTTGGTTATTCTGATGCGAACTGGGGCGCCTGCGTCGACACATCCATTTCAACGATGGGCTACGTATTTTACTTGGCAGGCGCCGCTGTCTCTTGGTCGTCGAAGCGTCAGACTCGGGTAGCGGATTCCACCACTGATGCCGAGTACCTGGCCTTGTCGCACGCGGGTAAGGAAGCGATCTACCTTAACCAACTCCTCTCCGAGCTCCACGTTTGCCCAATCGCTGCAGCTCACATCTTCACCGACAACGAGGCCGCGGCCGCCGTCGCTCACGACCCCGTTCGCACCTCCGGCACCCGGCACATTCGCCTCCGCGAGCATTTTGTCCGTGACATGGTCAATCGAGGTGATATCTCTCTCTCACACGTTGGCACAGCAGACATGGTTGCGGACGTATTCACCAAAGCGCTAGGCCCCAAGATTTTTGGTACACATTGCTATGCTCTAGGCCTCCGGACGCGACATCCACGGCTCAAGTCTACCTCGCGTTCGCGTGGGGGGGGGTGTGAGGAATCCACTCTCCGCTCGGCTCAGGACTTAGGCGCGCGGAGCGAACCGGGCGCGGACTTAGGCGCGCGGAGTGAGCCGGGCGCCCCGGCCCAGGACTTAGGCGCGCGAAGCGAGCCTGGGACTTAGGCGCGCGGAGCGAGCCTGGGCCATTGGCTCAGCCCCAGGCTCGCTGGCTGTGGACTTGGGGCGCGCGGGTCTCTTATTGTTAGCTTCCTATTCATCACTCTTGGCTATAACTACATCGCTGACGTAGTAGAGTTGATCGAATAGGTATGTTGAAATGCATTGATCACTCTTGGCTATAACTACATCGCTGACGTAGTAGAGTTGATCGAATACCTGTTGATTGCGCCTTCGGGCCCTGGGGTCACGGTTACGACGCAGGCTCTCCCGGTTCCCCTCATCTGGCCGAGAACATTATGGACGCCGTCGATTGGTCTATCGGCCGCCTCTCTCCTCCCATCGCTGTCAATCGAGTTCACGCTATTGCTACGGCCCCTGCCAACGACCCGCCCATTCCGGTCCATGCCGACGCCGACGAACTCGATTTGTTGGGAGTTGCCACCGATGATGTCAACGACACCCCTGTAGTCCATCGGCCGCCTGATCCACTGCCCCAACCCTTCCTCGACACCGTCATCCGAGCATACGCCAACGATTCGCAAGCCCAGGTCATCATTACCGACCCGCTATCATGGCCTATGTTTCGGGTGACCGAGGAAGGGAGGATTTTGCGTGTACATCCAGATGAGTCTATTTCCTTGTTTGTGCCTCGTGGTCTCGCTACTGGCGTCGTCAACTCCGACAAGGTCCCATCGCTGCGCGAGCTCGTGCTTTCGGAGATTCATCGAAGTGTCGGGCATGCAGGACATCGCATCACCTTGGCCGCCATCCGTCCTTTGTACTGGTGGTCGTCCATGTCTGCCGATTGCGCCGAGTTCTGCCGTTCATGTGAAGACTGTACCCGAGGCAAGGCGTCCACTCAAGTCCCCTATGGCCGACTGCATCCGATGCCGATCCCTTCTGGTCCTTGGGAACAAGTGGCCATCGACTTCATGACAGGACTGCCTCCGGTCGAGCTCGAAGGGATGATGGTTGCTCAAATCATGGTGGTCACTGACACTTGGGGCAAGATGGTCCACCTGATTCCCCTCCCAGCCGATGCCGACTCGGAGCTCGTTGCCGAGAAGTACTACGCCACCGTCTTCCGACTGCATGGGATGCCTTCCGCCATCGTTTCCGACCGTGATCCCAAGTTCACCTCGCAGTTTTGGCGGGCATTGCAGGCAAAGATTGGCACCGTCTTGCGAATGTCAACCGCGGCACACCCGGAGACGGACGGATCGAGCGAGAATCGGATCAAGATGGTCACCCAAACCCTGCGGATCATGGTCTCGTCAAACCACGAGGCTTGGGCATCTCGTCTTGTTGAAGCTGAGTTCGCTCTTAACTCTTCTGTTGCTGTGTCCACGTCGCTGTCGGCTTTTGAGGCAACCTACGGCTACTGTCAGGAGCACAGCCTGCACTGCCATCAATACTCGAAGGAAGTCTCCCAAGTTTGCGGCCGGAGTCGACATCAGCTACCGGTTTGTTCGTTGCAAGCATTGTCGGCGCGATGGTGTAGTCGTGAGGGCGCGCGGGCGCGCACTCAGTGGTCGAGGGTTCGATCCGCCCGGAGCGTGATCTGCCTTTTGGTTTCTTTTCCTTTTTGTTATCCGAGGCCCGGCTTCGGGGTTTTTACCGGTGCCTTGCAGGCAATCCTTTTTACCCCTGAAGCGACCTCGTGGTGTAGTTATTTGATTCAGTCTTTCCTTCGCTCGGAGCACTTCCCTCCTTTTGCTTTTGCCACCCTTCCCCTAGAGCTTGGTCCACTCATTATCATGACTCGTACCCTCCCTCTTTTTACCCATTTCGCTGGCAATTAAGTCCGTTACACTTGATTTGCTGCGAAGCCTTCCGACCGAATCCACTCCTCGGTTGCTCTCGGTCGACTGCCGCCGCCTCGGTCGACACCCCCTTCGCTCCTTCGCGCTTTCGCGCGCTCTCTCGCTCTCTCCCTCGTCTCTCGCGTGTAGTCATCGTCATCCCCTCCGACGTTGCCTGTCAGCTACCTTCCTCGATGCTGGCCCTCGGATTCCTGGTCTGTCTCGGACGTCCCTCGTGCGGAAGCGTTTGCTCGGATCCGACAATTACGGAACCTCGACGTGACGGATGCGATCATTGGAGCACGCCTCAACCAGTCCCATCAGGCCAACAAGCATCGACGCCCAGACGACCCCGCCTTTCGGACCGGCAGTTACGTCTATCTTTCGACAAAGAACCTGGCAGTTCCTGACGGCATGAAGTCGAAGTTGTTGCCGCGCTACATCGGCCCCTTCCGTATCCGAGCGGCCATCCCTGCGACGTCCAGCTACGACCTCGAGCTCCCTCCAGCGATGTCGCGAGTGCACAATCGTTTCCATGCTCGACTGCTTCGGCCTTGCGTTGAGAATGATGCTGAAAGGTTTCCTGGGCGTGACCCCGCAGTTCTTTTTGTCGAAGACGTAGCCGACGCGGCCGACAATTCTGCGATTCCGGAACGGATTGTTCGCGATCGGCGGAACGCTCGGGGCGCTCGTTCGTTCTTGGTTCGATGGGTAGGCCGTAACGACACCGACGATACTTGGATGTCAGAGCAGTCCATTCGCCTTGACCATCCGTCCGTCCTCGACGCCTACCTCGCGCGCCTCGATCGCTCGAACCGCCGCCTCGCCGCACGGTAGACTTCCTTCTGGGGGGGACAGTGTCAGGATGACAGCGTGTACTCGAAGGAAGCCCCCCAAGGCTATGTGCGGGTAGAGTTGACTTGACCAGAGGCTTGCCTCGTTTCACAGCATCGTCGGTGTGATGGCGTAGTCGTGAGGCGCGCGGGCGCGCACTCGGTGGTCGCGGGTTCGAGGCGCCCAGACCGCAGTCTTCTTTCGGTTTGTTTTATCTTTTGTTAGCCGAGGCGCGGCTTCAGGGTTTTTACCGGTGCTCCAGCGAGCAATCCTTTTTACCCCTGAGGCAACCTCTTGGAGTGGTTGATTTGGCTAAGTCCCCTCTGGGCCTGGCACAGTCCCTTCCCTTTAGTTTTACCACCTTTCCCCGGGAGCTTGGTCCGCTCTTCTCTGTTGTTGCCCCTCCTCTTCTTGTCGATCGTTTGGGAATTAAGTCCGTTACACTTGATTTCCTGCGAGCCTTTCGACCGACTCCCCTCCTCGGTTGCTCCCTTGTCGACTGCCGCCGCAACAGCTGACACTTCCTGAAATCCCCCCCCCCCCCCCCCCCCCCCGTACCAACGCATGTAGACGACGTCATCCCCTCCGACGTCGCCTGTCATGGATTCTCTGAACCAGCCGCAGTGCGGGCTGGGGAGTTTACGTTTACGCCGGTGAGATCGGTCCCCTTGGACGTTCCCCCACACACAATTCTGGAACATTCAGGCAATACCGCTGACCCCCTTGTTTGTTCCCCTGGGGGGGAATCTTACAGCGCACGAAGGGACGGCCCTTGCTCGGCAGTAATCAGCTCTCGTTGGAGAGGGACGTTACCTGACCGGGAAGGGCTATTGACAGGCAACGTCGGAGGGGATGACGATGACTACACGCGAGAGACGAGGGAGAGAGCGAGAGAGCGTGCGAAAGCGCGAAGAAGCGAAAGGGGTGTCGACCGAGAGCGACCGAGGAGTGGATTCGGTCGGAAGGCTTCGCAGCAAATCAAGTGTAACGGACTTAATTACCAGCGAAATGGGTAAAAAGAGGGAGGGTATGAGTCATGATAATGAGTGGACCAAGCTCCGGGGGAAGGGTGGCAAAAGCAAAGGGAGGGAAGTGCTCCGAGCGAAGGAAAGACTGAGTCAAATAACTACACCACGAGGTCGCTTCAGGGGTAAAAAGGATTGCCTGCAAGGCACCGGTAAAAACCCCGAAGCTGGGCCTCGGCTAACAAAAAGATAAAACAAACCGAAAGAAGACTGCGGTCTGGGCACCTCGAACCCGCGACCACCGAGTGCGCGCCCGCGCGCCCTCACGACTACGCCATCGTGCCCACGATGCTTGCAACGAATGAACCGGTAGCTGATGTCGACTCCGGCCGCAAACTTGGGAGACTTACGAAATGCTACGATGACGACCGCTCGGACCCTACGTTCGGTCGTCGGCTGCCTCGTCAAGCGCCACTCTCGCTTGACGAGCCCTTCACCCTCCTCGAGGTTGAAGCGGCGTTGAAGAAGACAGATTCGGGGTGATCACCGGGGCCCTCAGGCATTCCGTACGAGCTCTTCAAGGCGCTGCCAACCTACTTTGCTCCCAAGCTGTTGGACTTGTTCAACTTGATTTGGGAGGGCGGCAAAATGACGGCGTCCTTGGCAGAGGGGCTGGTGCGGCTCTTGCCCAAGAATAAACCGGGGGCCAATCTGAAATCACTGGGGGCATACCGACCGATCACATTGCGCGAGACGACCTACAAGGTCCTCAGCAAGGTCTTGGTGGTGCGGCTCAATGGGGTGCTCGGCGAGCTTTTACCGCCAGCGCAACACGGTTTCATGCCATCAAGACGTTCAGCGGACGCGGGAAGTCATCTCATGTTGAATTGCATTCTGTCAAGCCTTCGAACACTTCGACATCGGACCGCCGTTTGACGGACTTGCCCGCCTTTTGCCTCAGTGCCTTGCCTCCGCGCGCCCTCGCATGGCGCTGTCTGTCTTGTCAGTGCACCTTCACTGGCCCGTGTTCTTCGTCTCCGTCCGAGTGCCCCTGTCAACACCCTCGTACCTTTGACTGCCGCTTGGTCGCCCATTGTGCCCAAGGCCGCCCTTTCGCCTTTGCTTCCGTGCCAGCCTGCTCAACTCACGCTCGCGCGCCGCCACCCTCACGCCCGGACTTAGTCAGCCCGCATTCTCCAGCTTTGCCGAGTCGATGCTTCCGCCCAGCTACCTCCAGTTCGCCGCCGCTGCTCTCATGATTCATCGGCCATCAGCAGCATCGCCCATGCATGACGTCCGTCGTTTGCAACCTGGATCTCGTCGCTGCGGATCGCCTCGCTCATCAACACTTGACCTTGTGGATAAGTTTCCCTTCGTGCCGTCGTCCAACACGACACCTCTCGACACCCTGATGGCCCGCTTGGAGTCTGGTCCTTGAAGCCTTGCATTGTGTGCCTGCCCAGTTAGATTCTCTGTGCGCTCCCTTGCTAGAACCTCGCCCGACTCGCGCGCCTCTTTCCCTTTTCTCTATCGTTTCATCTCATCATTCAGACTGCTGAGATTCGTTAGAGAACAGATCGCTCGGCTGCGCCGCGGCTGCCTCTCCAGGCCGCGTCTTCACCGCCTCGCGACTTCTCGACCGGGGAGCACTTTGCTACGTCGTCCTGCCTCGCAACCTCCCGAAACGATCCGGTCCGTGCCGCCTCACGATTCTCCAGCGACCCCCCGGTCCCAACTTAACATCTCACTCTCCTTCTCGAAAAACTCAAGTCGCTAGGCACTGATGTTTTCCCCAAGGGCGCCCTCTTGTCTTTGGATCAGCAGAGCGCGTACGATCGGGTCGATCACGCCTGGATCTTTGAGGTCTTTGAGGCCTTTGGGTTCGGTGAGCGTTTCATCTCGCTGCTGCGCGCTCTCTACGATCCCGAGACTCTGGGGGTGCGCTACCTTGTCAATGGGTTCCCCATGGACTTGGTGCGGTTGCTGTGTGGTCTCGGTCGGGGGGATCCCCTCTCGTGCCCGGTTTGGAACATCACGTTCCAGCCCTTCCTCGACGCCCTCGTTTGGCGCGGGATCGCGCTCGACCTGCAAAAGGTGTGGCCAGGGGGGCCGCGTGCGCAGCTTACGCATCTGGTGTTTGCCGACGATGCTGTGGTGGTGGTGGAGTCACCGGCGGCATTGTCGAAGCTGCAAACGCTGTCACAGACGTGGTACGAGGCTACCAACGGGAAGACCAACACGGACAAGACGCTGGTGCTACCACTCGGACCGAACTGGCTTCGGGACGAGACTGCGCAGGCGCTGCCAACAGTGCAGGAGGGGGAGAGCTTCAAGTGGTGCGGCTATGCCTTCTTTCGCCACGGTGACTCGAAACTGTTTTGGACCCATGTTCTTGACAGGATCAAGGCCAAGACCCGCGCCGCTCGAGACCGGACACTTTCGCCGAGTGGGAAGGTTTTCTATGCCAATGCTCACATCATCTCGACGGTCCTCCACATGCTGTCCTTCGACATACCGCCTCAATGGTTCATTAAGGCGGCGGAGACGGCACTTACGGACTTTGTCTGGGGAGGAGCAGGGCAAAATACCGTCGCTCGCGATTTCGTGTTCCAGGCTCGGGAGGACGGTGGCTTGGGTTTGATTTCGATTGGCGACATCGTTCATTCGGTGATGCTGTGGCAGGCTCGGACGAGGCGATCTGGGTGCCCCTAGCTCGCGAGAGCTGGAGGTCCCTCGTCGCTGCGACCCGCGATTTCAGTCCGTGGGGGTTCTTCAGCAGCACGGCTCGGGTCGAGAAGCTGTATCGTGACTCGATGCGCTGGGGGGCAGTCGTTGCAGCGGCCAGGGTCACAGTTCCAACCATCAAGTCCGAACTCCTTACGCTTCCTGAATTGCTCTCGCTTCCGCCTCGCCTCCCTTCACTCTATGCTGAAGGTGCCCAGCACGCATATGACGATGCGGACGCGGTGGCGAAGTTTGCGCAGATCGCGGACCTGTACTGGAGGGACGAAGGGAAGGGATGGGCTCTGGTTGGTCATCGACGCGGGTTCTGGCAGCACTCTAAGGAACCCGCCCTACAGCACGAGCACGTGTGGTCGCGCGTGGGTCAGTTGCTCAAGGCGAAAGCATTGCTGCCCAAGACCGCGTTGCAACCTGCTCGGATACCTCTCAAGGAGGCTCCCCGTCCTCGGTGCTTCAACTTCTTTGGGCTCTCCCGACCTTTTACGATTCGCAAGCTTCGTCGGCTTGTGAACAAGGTGCGGTTCCCAGGGAGGGAGGACCGTGTCAAGCGTTTCCCTGATGGGACTTCTCAGAGCGATAGGAAGCGCTTCTGGAGATGGCTTCATGACCGGTTCGCGTCTGCTGTCGAGCAGGACACCCACTGGCGGCTCATGTACGACGTGACGCCGACGCGCAAGAGGCAGCATACTCAGGGTCATGCCTCTTCGCCGACGTGTCTGTTCTGCGGCAACGATGCAGCGGTCATCGAGACGGTGTCCCACTACTTTTTCGAGTGCGCGTACTCGACCAGCTTCTGGGGTGGGGTGCTACGCATTCTGCTTGACAAGCTCGGCATCGAGGATACCGACGTCGATCCGTCGACGTTCACTCCGGAGCAGCTGACTATGGGGCTCCCCCTTTTGCGGGGTCGTGGGAGAACGACCTCGAAATGGATGTGGGTTCGGCTGGCCTGCGCGATCGGCTTCCAGCGGCTGCACCTGCTCCGCTGGCGCGTTCATCAGCGGTTCGAGCTGGACAACGTCGTGGCCCCTCCCTCGCTTCCCAGTACGCTCAGAGCGTTCGAGCGAGATTTTCTCTCTCGAGCGGGTTTTGTGCCTGGGGTTCGAAATTGGGAGGTGTGATGACCGAGTTAAGTCCTTCCTTCCCATTTTCCTCCCTTCCTTTTCGGTCAGAAGCTGACTGTCTTGAAACTTGTTGCGCAGTGGAAGGCTGCGCACCTCTCCCTCTCTCTACTTTGCGCAGTAGCGATTTTCGTTCTTGGATGGATCGGCAAGCCGGGTCGATCGTCGTTGCGTTGGAGGCTTTGTGAAGTTCTCCCCCCTCTTTCCCCCCCCTTTTTTTTTCCCTTCCCTTCCTCTTCTCTTTCCTGTTGCTCGGTTGTTGACTACGCTTCAGCCACTTCTCCTTCTATTCCTAAGCCGTGTGTTGGATTCCGTCGAATGGATCATTCGTTCGCGTTGGTCAAGATCTACGGCATGGATCGGGAAGAAAGGTCGCTCGTTTTTTTGGTCAATATCCTCGCGTCAAGGCGAGGCTTGTTTCGTTGTATTGGATCGTTTTCGCTCGGCCCCGACGGCTCAACAGCCAGCACTCGAGACTCAGCCAAGGGAGGACATCAGGCGCTGTCGGGGTGACGAGTAGCTGGGGCTTGGCTGCGGCCTGTCAGTCCCTGGGGACCTCTAGCTCTGGCTTCGACCCCCTCCCTTGGCCCCTCGGGTGTGTTCCCCTCCTCCTCCCCTCCTCTCTGTCTTAGTATTCCTGGTTCTCTGTGTTTCCGGTCGTGAATTTTTGTATATTCTCCCCCTTTCTTTTTCTAGGCGCTCTTGCCTGGTTTTCGAGTATCTTCGCTCCCGCTCTTGGGACATGAAGCGGCAGCAGTACTCACCGCCCGTTGGAGTCCACGTTAGGTGCTCGGCGGGTTTTGATCTGCGCAGCGCTCTTTGCGCACAGGGGTTTGACTTTCACCCAATTGCTTGCCGTCGTTGCTTTATAACCTCTTTTAGCTCTTTTTGTAGCGGTCCCAGCCAACCCGAAGGATTGCAATTTATGAGCCCCAGTAAAATAAAATAAAATCCTTCGAGTATTGATGGCAGTGCAGGCTGTGATCCTGACACTCAGCACCCGAATGACCCACTTGGAGTTTGCCCTTGACGCTTAGCAGCGCATCCGCCCGATTTGCAGTAGATCCTTTGCACGCCCACTTGCTAGAACCTTGTCAGACTCGTGCTCCTTGTGCTTCCCTTCCTCTTCTCTACCGCTTTCCAACATTAGCCAGACTGCTCATCTTTGGTAGAGAACAGGTTAGTTGAAATCATATCCACCGCTTTCCGACATTAGCCAGACTGCTAATCTTCGGTAGAGAACAGATCGTCCAGCCGCACCGCCGTCTCGTCAGACCGCGTCTGTGCCACCTTGCGACTTCTCCCAATCGGACCATCCGTCGCAACCGTAGCCACGTCGACGCGCCCAACAGTAGCCCCAGCGGTCGCTACACCCAGTTCCGAAAATTTCCACGACCTACATTCTACAGGTTATGAGCCCAGTTCAACCCGAACTGCCCCGATTTCCAGCAGCAGCTGCGAACCCCACCACCGACGCCATCCCGGCCGCACCCGACCACACCGAACCACCCGACGCAACCGACGGCACGATGTCGAGCTCCGCCCATGTCGACGACTCCCTGGCTGCCCGCATCGATGAGCGCATCCACCTGGAGGTACAACATCGTCTACGGGAATTCTCCATGTCCCCCACCCCAGATCGCAAGCCGCTCCACAACATCGATATTCCCCACCACCTTTCAACCTGGCCGGCCGACGCTCTGCTCTCTGACGTTGGGACCTTCCGAATCTGGGACCGCACGCTGCAAGACCGAGTTGGCGCGACAATTTACACGTACATCACCACCGGAACTCTACCCGACTGCGAAAATGTCGAAATATTTGCTGTCCGCCAAGTCTCCGACGGTGTTGCCGGTAATGTTCGCAAGTCCCTTCTCACCGTCGCCTTGACGCACGAATGCGCCCGGGCCTATTACAAACACCTCGACCGAGAGTACAACCCGACGTCGTCACAGTCTACACTCCGTCTGCTCCACTCATTCTTCAACATTCCGCGCGCACCTATCGAGGAGAAGGGCTTCGTCGAATGGATGGCCGAATTCCTCAACCAGTCCGCATGCCTCGAATCAGCCCAAATCATGATTATGGACGTTATCATGGCTCGAGCTCTCACTCTGATACCTGACGAACTGGACGCATTCCGCCAATACATGGAGCTGCACAACACCGACCAACTCCCGACCCCGGCAAACCTCATGGCCCTCGCGCACAAGCAGGTCAAGAACCACCACGACACTCGCAACACAGGCCCCAACATCACCGCATTTGCCGCAGCATCACCATCGTCATCTCGTCCATCGCAACAGTCTACCGCTAAATACCCCTGCCCCGCCTGCAACAACGGTGTGCATCGAGTGCGACACTGCCCCAACGACGACACCCGCAAATGTTACATCAAGCGACGCAACGGACACCAACGTCAAACCACGGCCCCACCCATTGCCCCACCGGAGGATGCACCCGTCGTAGCAAAAATTTCAAGGTTTCAAGAACTCCCAGATCCTTCGACGTCCGGCGGCCAAAATTGGTAAAGTCCCCGCTCCGCCCACACACCCAGGTCTCACTACACCGGTCACTGCCTTGTTGATTACACCACTTGCCACAACCTCCTTTCGTGCTCTTCTGGAAGCGTTCGAACGAGGGGGGGTGTTGAATTTCATTCTACTACAAGCCTTCGAACACTTCAACCTCGCGCCACCATTTGTCAGGCCCGCCCATTTTCTCGCCTCGAGCGCCCTTTCGCCTTCGCAGCTAAGCCGCCCCCTTGTCTCCGCCTCCGCGCATGCCTGCTCAACTCACGCTCGCGCGCCGCCGCCTCCACGCCGGGACTTAGTCAGTCTGCACTCTCCAGCTTTGCCGAGCCAACGCCTCCGCCTCGCCACAGCCAGTTTGCCACCGCCGACCTCATGATCCATCGCCCATTCATGATGCCCATCGTTTGCAACCTGGAACTTGTCGTTACGGATCGCCTCACTCAGCAACACTGGATCATGTAGATAAGTTTCCCTCGCGTTCGTCGTCCAACATGACATCTCTCAGAACCTCGATGGCCCACTTGGAGTTTGGCCCTTAGGGCTTCGCAGCGTGCTCCTCTGATTGGTAGAAATCCCCTCATGCACCCGCTAGCTAGAACCTTGCCAGACTCGCGCTCTCCTGTGCCTTTCTTCCTCTTCTCTACCGCTTCCCAACATTAGCAAGACAGCTAATCTTCGGTAGAGAACAGTCCGTCCAGCCGTGCCACGTTCGTCTCGTCAGACCTCGTCCGTACCGCCTCACGACCTCTCCGCCCGGACCGTCCGTTGCAACCCAGCCACGTCGACGCTCCCACAGTAGCCCTAGCGGTCGCTACGCCAACCTCCCAAGGTCCTGCAGCCTACAAACAACAGGTTATGAGCCCAACGAGCTACCAGCTGCTCGGGTTAGGGCTTCACTTCACTTCACAATCGCCCTACTGCAGCCTTCGATACTCGAGTTAACAAGTGATACACCGACAAGATGTCTACCGCAGACCCTGGGTCCCCACTGCCGGCACCGCCACCACCGGTATCCGCCACCAGCGTCCAGCCCCCCCGCGACCGGATCCCGATAAGCTCGAAGAAGACGCAAGTCACGGGCCCCGCCACCGCCGCACCCAACTATGCTGCCGCTGCAAGTCAGATGGCGACTCAAACACCTGAACAACAGCGTGCCAAGGCTCTGGGCAGCCTCCTACAAGCCATGGGTGCTGTACCCAGAAACCGCATGGATCGCTGGGTCCAGGCCATCTACTTTGCCGAACTCTACCCCGTCGCCACCGCCACATCGCTGAAATTTTCGGCCTTGAACGCGAACCGGTCCGTCGAGAACATCTTCGATTACGCCCTTGAAGTGACTCTGTCTCACCAGAGCGCCTCGCGAGCGACTCATGCCGACAAGATCGATCTCGTGGCCTGCGTCACGAGGCTGCTATTGCCCTGCCCATCTCTCCTATCTGCTTTGAGCCTGGAGTTCCTCTGCCGGACCATCTTGTGGCTTATCAACCACAGATCTTAGGCGTACAACATTCATCAATCCTGCGTAATGGGGCGGCTCACCATCGCGTTACGGTTGGGTTCGTCACCGGCGAGGCACGTGACGCGGCGCTCACGACGCCCCCCGCTCTCACTTGGCGATCGGCGAAGGCCCGCTTCATGAAGTCTCACAGGTTCCATCATAACATGGTCGAGCTTCGAATCAACGTCGGTGTTCAAGGAGTGCCCTCCATGGATGCCATCATCAAATCGTTCCAATCACTTGTGCAAGACCTGTCAGCCAAGGGACATTCATGCCAACTTGTGCAGGTTCTGCGCGTTATCAGCGTGGACAACACCTCGGCCTTTGCCCACGTTGCCGGAGACTACTCGGCTTTCCTACACTTCGATGACGACTCCCTATTCCAACGCCCCAACACGACCTTGAAGGAGATTCTACCTTCGAGGATCGACCTTCCCACTCGAGGCATCCCGGTTACCGCCCTTCACCATGACTATGAGAAGGAGGCTGCTTGCGGTAGGTGCCACTTTGTGGGTCACGTGGGAACCTGTGGACTGGATCAGGAGAGGAAGTGGAAGGAGGCTCACAACGGCATCATCAACAGCAACAAAAACACCATCACCCACAACACCAACATCGCGGAGGCCGAGGCCCCCATTCCTGTGCTGGTTGTTAACAGGATCGCATCACAGAATCACTTCGCCGGGCTCGAGGTCGAGGAGGGACAGGAGGAAGAGGTAACTGGCCAGGGCGAACAGGGACCAGAGGAATTGGGGGAGGAAGACGCTGGTGATAAGGCGGATGACGAGGACTTGGAGGACTCAGAGATGGAATCGGAGGCGGCCGCGAAAACGGAGGTCATCAAAATTGAAAGCGAGGACGAGTCGGTCTTGGAGGACTGCAGTGGATCCGATGGAGAGGTCATTGATGAGAATGAGGTGAAACGGAAGAGGAGGTGGGCGATGTGGACGAAGCGAGGGGATTGATGAAAGCGGAGAATGCGGAAGCGACGGACTTAGGGGAAACAAACAGGCTGGACAATGACGATGACAGCGACGCCACAGCAACCACCGCCACCGCTTCCTGCGAATCGACACCGCACGAACCAACCCCACCTCTGTCACCCGAAACTCTCGCCAAGTCGCTATGCGAGGGGGAGGAGTGGGACAGGATCAGAGCTAACTGGGTTGAGCAGGCACAACTTGAGCAGGACCAAAGCATCAAGAGGAGGCTCAACGCTGACACCCCTTTGGTGCATCACAACTTTGCCACGTGGGACAAGGACGGTGAGATACGCTCCATCAACATCAGGGGGACCACTGCGAAGTTCAAGAAGCAGGTGATGAAGAGGTCGCAGACTGCGGCGGACCTCAGTGACCCAAGTGACGAACCGACCGACGCCAAGCGAGTCATCATCAAAGGGAAGAGCTGCGTCGTGGTGAAGGATGGAATAGAGGGGCGGAGGGTGACGAGGTCGATGTCGGCGGCAGCGGCGATGCAGGTCGAGGTGACGAAGGTGGACAGAGGGAAAGGAAGAGGGGTAGCTGAGGAAAAATGATGGTCCGACCACGAGCCCGAGGACGATGTCCTGCCCGCCCTTCCCCTCTTTGAGGATGTCACCACCGCCAAGAGTGCCTCGACCTCGACTACCCATTAATGATCAAGCACACCATCATCACCTGGAACGTAAGAAGGGGCATGGGGGTCCCGGAAAAACGATGTAATATCTACACCTACCTTTCCACATTCAAAGCTTCCGCGATTCTCTTACAAGAGCATTTCATCAGACCACAATTCTGGCAGCTCATCAAGGACGAGTACGAGGGCAAGCTCTTCATCAACCAGCACTGCCTGACCCTGATCCCGGCCGACTCGCCCCTGATCGACGCCGAGCTCTTGCGCACCCACTCGGCACTCGACGGCCGGCTCCTCGTCACCTCCTTTCGTCTGCGGGGCGACATCAAAATTCTAGAAATCAATAACCTCTACGCGCCCGTTGACCCAAAACAACGAGCAAAATTCTTCGACAAACTGATCCTCCACAAAACACAGAAATCCCACCTCCGACTCCTTGGCGGCGATCTCAACAACTGCCCGCGCCCAGAAGTCGATCGGCGGAACCAAAGTCGGCGCGGCCACCACTGGCCGATTCTGATGGGCAAGCTCGACTCGGCCTACACGGACTGCATCCGCTACAAGCACCCCATCACCCCATCTTTCACTCAACCTAATCCCAATCGCAAGCGACCCAACTCCTTCTCCCGGCTTGATTACTTTCTCCTACAAAGAGCTCACCAAAAAAGGCTCGACCAGGCCTCGACGATCTACGACTATCCCAAGGATCTTTCCGATCACCAACCGGTCTTGATCGTACTGGCTCTCTCAGACGATCTTGATGCGGCTCTCCCACAGCTCAGCCTACCTACCGCATCCAACCAACTACATCGAATCAATACCACAACCTTCAAGATGGTGGAATTTCAGCGGATGATGGAAGGATGGTTGGAAGGGGCAAGTGGGGAGGATCCGGTGCGAGAGCTTGAGGAGGTTCTGGAGGTGTGCAGGGACAGGGGTGGGGAGATGGCGAGGAGGCTGCATCGGGAGCGGACGGAACGGATGGAGTATTTGGTGGGGAGGGTGCAGGATCTGGAGGTGTTACCGGTATGGGGGGAGGCGGAAACGGCAGAATGGACAAGGACGTCCGAGGAACTCAAGTGGGCGGTCGAGGAGCGCGCGCGCCTACTCCGGATCCGAGCCCACGTCCCCGAGATCGCTTCCGAGGAACGACTGTCGCGGCCGGTCCACGCCAAGCTCGCGGCGCGGAACTCGGACTCCAAGATCACAGCACTGCGCTTGGGCAACGGAGAGCTAACGCATGACATTGATGTCGCTTTTGACCACACGCAGGCGCATTTCCAGCGCCTCTACTGTTGAATTGCATTCTGTCAAGCCTTCGAACACTTTGACATCGGACCGCCGTTTGACGGACTTGCCCGCCTTTCGCCTCGCGCCTTCGCCTCAGCGCCTCGCCTCCGCGCGCCTTCGCCTTCGCAAGCCCTCACTGCGCCCCCTGTCTCTCGAGCCTCACCGCATGATCCTGCGCCCAGCCTCGTTCCTCGACCCCTGTGCGCCTTTGTCAACTCGCCCACATCTTGGTCTGTTCACCCGGTCGTCGCCTGCCCTGCCTGCACGCCACCACACACCTGCGCAAGCCGCCGCCAGCCCTGCCTTCGCGCCTTCGCCTTCGCACGCCCTCGCATGGCGCTGTCTGTCTTGTCAGTGCACCTTCACTGGCCCGTGTTCTTCGTCTCCGTCCGAGTGCCCCTGTCAACGCCCTCGTACCTTTGACTGCCGCTTGGTCGCCCATTGCGCCCAAGGCCGCCCTTTCGCCTTTGCTCTCGCGCCAGCCTGCTCAACTCACGCTCGCGCGCCACCACCCTCATGCCCGGACTTAGTCAGCCCACATTCTCCAGCTTTGCCGAGTCGATGCTTCCGCCCAGCTACCTCCAGTTCGCCTTCGCCGCTCTCATGATTCATCGGCCATCAGCAGCATCGCCCATGCATGACGTCCGTCGTTTGCAACCTGGATCTCGTCGCTGCGGATCGCCTCGCTCATCAACACTTGACCTTGTGGATAAGTTTCCCTTCGTGCCGTCGTCCAACACGACACCTCTCGACACCCTGATGGCCCGCTTGGAGTCTGGTCCTTGAAGCTTTGCATTGTGTGCCTGCCCAGTTAGATTCTCTGTGCGCTCCCTTGCTAGAACCTCGCCCGACTCGCGCGCTCCCGCGCCTCTTTCCCTTTTCTCTATCGTTTCATCTCATCATTCAGACTGCTGAGATTCGTTAGAGAACAGATCGCTCGGCTGCGCCGCGGCTGCCTCTCCAGGCCGCGTCTTCACCGCCTCGCGACTTCTCGACCGGGGAGCACTTTGCTACGTCGTCCTGCCTCGCAACCTCCTGAAACGATCCGGTCCGTGCCGCCTCACGATTCTCCAGCGACCCACCGGTCCCAACTTAACAGCAAAGCGGCGTTGAGCGCAGCCTTCTGCGTCTCGATGGAGCCTTGGAAAAGATCAGCATGTAAGCGAAGGTACGCGCAGTGGAACCCGTCTTCGGTCATGGCCATCGGATCGCCATTCGGATCGACCGCGAGGCCCCGCTGTAATTGCATCAGGGTATAACCTTGCGTGCGACCTGCGCGGCCAAACGAAAGGGTGATAGCATCATCGAGAGATTTTCGGAGCACGGAAGCGGGGATCGCACTGGAGGAGGAGGGCAAGGTGAATTGCACCTGCACGACGTGGTTAAGGGGAGAGGCGCTGGGGAGCTCGGTAACCATCTCCTTGCCGTGGTAGGGGAATGGGCCCGCTGAAGTGGCTTCAAGACAAGCTTGCTCGGATTCGAATACAAGCTCGTCATGTGACGAGCGATCGGGAACCTCTTCGTGGCTTTTGTCACAATCGGGTTCAGCTTCACGCATTTTGAGAAAAGCTTCTCGACCTCGGGGTCAAGCACGACGCCCTCGGGCCGCGCGAACATGAACGGCGTCTCGGCCAATCCAAAGTGCTTGCGCAGCGCGGTCTGTACAGGACCTCTGGGTGATCCAGGACCATCCATAATGACTCGAATCACATTGGAGGCCGGGGCTGCGTCGTTTCGCACCGCTCTTTGGGCGGCTCGTGCGAGCGCTGGCGCCTGCGAAGGCGGGGTCGAGGTGTCGTGCATCAGGACCATCAGTCGGCGGGTCGACTTGCTGGAGGGAACAATCCCGAGCACTTGGAAGGTCTTCTTCATCAGCTTCTCATGGTCCAACCGGACCTGAGTTGCCTCGGGCGACCAAGCTGGAGGATTCGCGGTTCCTCCAGTGACCGCTTCACGCGTTTGCGTGTTGAGTGATGAATCACTCGCGCCATTACCACCCAATAGGTCCTCGGGCGGGGGCACATCGGCGCCGGGCGGATCCGGCATCGCGTGTTTGTGTTGACCTGTAAAGCTTAACGGGCTTGGAGGTCAACTACTCACTCTACACCACAGAAACTCACTTGTGTGCGTGTGTGTGTGTGTGCAACAGAGAGTCTCCCAAGTTTGCGGCCGGAGTCGACATCAGCTACCGGTTCGGTTGTTGCAAGCATCGTGGGCGCGATGGCGTAGTCGTGAGGGCGTGCGGGCGCGCACTCAGTGGTCGAGGGTTCGGTCCGCCCGGAGCGCGATCTGCCTTTTGGTTTCTTTTCCTTTTTGTTATCCGAGGCCCGGCTTCGGGGTTTTTACCGGTGCCTTGCAGGCAATCCTTTTTACCCCTGAAGCGACCTCGTGGTGTAGTTATTTGACTCAGTCTTTCCTTCGCTCGGAGCACTTCCCTCCCTTTGCTATTGCCACCCTTCCCCCAGAGCTTGGTCCACTCATTATCATGACTCGTACCCTCCCTCTTTTTACCCATTTCGCTGGCAATTAAGTCCGTTACACTGGACTTGCTGCGAGCCTTGCAGCCGCGTATCCTCCACGGTTGCCTCTCGGTTGACTTCCGCCGCCCAGCCGACTCGACCTTCCCATCGGCCTGGTCAGCTATTTCTTGGATCGTTTGCCCTCCCTCTTCTTTCCGACCTCGTTGGCTACCATAGTCCGGTACACTGGACTTGCTGCGAGCCTTGCAACCGCGTATCCTCCGCGGTTGCCTCTCGGTCGACACCCCTTTTGCTCCTTCGCGCTTTCGCGCGCTCTCTCGCTCTCTCCCTCGTCTCTCGCGTGTAGGCATCGTCATCCCCTCTGACGTTGCCTGTCAGAAACTAAGCGAGGCGCGTGGAAAGGATAGGAAGGATGGTAGATACAGCTCACCTGGGTATTGGATCACCCAAATCCTTACACCAGGCGCCTGGAAAAACCAGCGGATTGGGTAATACCCTCGTGAGGTGGTAATACCCAACCCACTGGTATTTCCAGCCGCGCGGGTATTACCACTTCACGAGGGGTATTACCCAAGCCGCTGGTTTCTCTGTCGGTTGGGTATTAACCTTCTCAGATGGTATTTCCACCCAAAAAGTCTCAATAGGGGCTCTTGTGCGGAGCACGACCGGGCGCAATTAGCATTAGGTTTTTTGTAATGGGTGTCACCTTTGTAGTACTAATGCTCATATTCGAATTTGCTAAAAGTCTCAATAGGGGCTCTTGTGCGGAGCACGACCGGGCGCAATTAGCATTAGGTTTTTTGTAATGGGTGTCACCTTTGTAGTACTAATGCTCATATTCGAATTTGCTAATGTATATTTTCGATGCTCATATTTGAATTGTAGTTTCTCAATGCAGGGTTTCTACTGGTATTATGATATAGATACACTACAAAGCAGCAAACTGAGTGTCCACGTCTGTCACAGGCTCGTCCCATTTGTCTGGATTGTCAGATTGATCAAGATCTAAACCGCCCGAAGCCCCGGCTGCCGCTCCTCTTGCCCGTTTCTTATACCCTTTAGTCGGCTCTAATTCTTCCTCTACCCTAGACTGCTCTTCCTCGTTTTCTTCTCTGCGGCGGACCCACCTGGTGATGGTCTTCTGGCTGATGCGAGATGATTGTTTAGCATTCGCCTCCTTCGTCGATGTTGTTAGACCACGGGCTGCGGGACTTGAAATCACCCCTGCATTCGGTGTCTGCATGCCGAGCGTCTGCACGAGCTGGCTTGCTGGGACTGTTGCGATGAGGTACTGAACTGTTGCAATGTTGATGCTTGCGGCGCTCGCTTCGGGGGCACGGACACGAGCACCCGATTCCTATTCCCCGGCACTTCTTTCCTGGTCAGATTCGGAGTAGACAGGCTCGCTTGTCTGAAGCACATCAAAAGATTATCAGAGCCCCGGGCCTTTCAGTCTTGTTCAATCGGGAGTAGTGACTAACCTTCAGAGCAGATCCTACACCTAGCTCGTTGCGCAATCTTGTGATGTCCACCCTGGAAAGCCATCCCATGATTCCCGCCAATTGACAGGCCTCACGGTCGTACTGCAGTCTATACGCGGGTCGGACATTGGCCAACACATCAATAACAAGTTCTTCATAGAGCCAGTCGCCCGATGTGACCCTTAAGAAAGCCGTGCGCTCACGAATCTGAACAAGAGTGACGAGTGAGTGCCCGAGCAAGTGCACACTCTGTACAAGACTGGCAGGTTCCGCACAACTCACATATTTGACGATATGCCCTGAGGGACGCGCATGTAGAGAGGCTTGTCAAGTTTGCCGTGTAAATACGCCTTGTTGACGTCGGCCTGATGGACGTGATAGCCGTTGGCCGCGGCGAGTGCGATGAGGGCTCGAATGGACATGAATTTGACGACAGGGGTGTAGGTCTTCTCGAAGTCAAGGCCAGGGTGTTGGGCACATCCGTGAGCAACAAGTCGGGCCTTGTGATCGGTGATGTCGCCATGCTGGTTGCGTTTAGTCCGGAACACCCAGCCCGACCGCAGGAGGATCTCACCCGCTGGGAGCTCACAGGATTCGACGATTTGAAAGACCTCGTAATCGTTCAGAAGCGAATCGAATTCATCCTGTGCTGGAGCGCCCCAAATGTCCTCTTGTCCCGATCGGATGACGTCGCCCCAATTTGCCGGATCGCGAACAACCGACAAGTCATGATCTACGAAGCCGGCCTTGGTGGATGCGAAGGCAAGGAGCAGGCTCTTGAAAGAGGTGGTGGGTCCGTCGGTGCCGTCGACTGGCTGTTCCCGCGTGATCATGGTGGGAACGGGTTGGCGGCGAGTCCGGGGGCCATCAATGATGTTTCGAGCGTCGACTTCACCGTACTTCCCTGGATCGGGACCAACCTTGGCGACGTCGCCGTACTCCCAACTCGGCTTGACTTTGGTGAGTGGAGCTGGATCCGGAGGTGGTTGCGGCAGGTTCACGGCTGACGCCGTCGTTGCGCTCGTGGTCGATGAGGTGTTGTCGTTGTCGGCCGAGCTGGTCGATGCGGGCGACGCGGGTGCCTCGACAGGTGTAGGGGCCGGTGGCCGTGGGGGAGGCTCGACGGGTGGGGGCTGGGGGGTGTAACCCGGGATGGACGGCTGCATCACTCGGGTGGGCGCTCTAGCGAAGGGGAACTCGGTTTCTACGAACGTCACATTGCGGCCCAGACTTACACGCATGGAGGAAGGATCGAGAAGACGGTAGGCTTTCGCATGTCGATCGTACCCGACGAAGACCAGAGGAATCCCTTTTGGGTCAAGCTTATCCCATCGGTGAGCCGGCACGGTGGTCCAAGCGCGACAACCGAATGCCCGAAGACCCCCTACGCTTGGTGTGTGGCCCGACCAACGACTGTTTGGGATGGCTCCACCAAGGGGCCGCGTGAGGCGAGAGGTTCTTGGCGTGAATGTAACACATGGCAGCCTCGTCCCAGCACGATCGTGGGAGTCCCGAGTGAGACAGTAGAGCCAGGGTGCCCTCGATGATCGACCGGTCGGCTCGCTCAGCCCGACCGTTTTGCTCGGGTGTACGGTATGGTCAATTCGCGATGAATTCCGCGGGCCACGCAATAGCCGTTGAAAGCGGTAGAGACATACTTGCCCCCGTTGTCCGAGCGAAGTGTTTTGACCCTGCGACCCGTGGTGTTTTCGATCTCCAGAAGCCAATCCTTGAATGTCTGAAGGACCTCACTCTTGTGCCCAATGGGGTAAACCCAAGTCTTCCTCGAGAAGTCGTCGATGAACGTGACGAGGTATCGCTTATGGCCTAAGGATTCCTCGGGGAAAGATAAGACGTCCGAGTGCACCAATGCGAGTGGTTCCGCGGCATGCGACGACGAAGAGGGGAAAGGCAAACGATGCGCTTTGGAGGCAAGGCACGCGTTGCAGGTGAAGCCATCACACTCAAAGTCACTATAGGGCCAATCTAAACCCTCCACCTGGCCAGAGGCCGCCAGTTTTTTAAGTGTCTGGACAGAGGTGTGGCCGTAGCGCCGGTGAAGGGTAAGTAAAGGTAGCCTATTGGACTTGGTGGCAACGAGCGTGTGTCGCGCATCTTTGCTGGCAGCTTGGACCGAAGCGTTGAGTTTGTAAACGCAGGACGCGATGGCTGATGCTGTGGCGATGCACCCTTGCGGCGTGCGGAGCTCGACTTGTCCGTGTTCGAAGGTGATGCGAACACCTTTGCGGTCGAAGGCCCGGACTGAGATGAGGTTGGCAGGGCTCTCGGGGGCGTAGATCACGTCGTTGAGGGTGAACCTGGTACCATTATCGGAGACGAGCTTGACCGAGCCGATTCCCGAGGCCTTCACCGTTCCCCCTAGACCTTGCAGGACTTGCGGGGTAGGTGAAAGGGGGCCGTCAAAGAAGGACGCATCGTTGACGACGTGGCACGCCGACGCCGAGTCTAGCAGAAGGATTTCCGCCGGTGGCCCAATGTTGACAAACGTAGCAGAAGAAACGACGGACAGGTGTTGATCCTTGGATGCTGCCTCGGTGGCCACGAACGTGGACGCAGGCGATGATGAGCCTTGGAGTTCCTTCATGGCGTTCTTGAGCTCGAGGTACTTGGCTCGCTTGCACGATTCCGGACACTTGTTGAGCCAGTGTTTGCCTTGACCACAAGCTGGGCAGTTGCTCGGGGCAGGACCAGAACGATCCCATTTTCCCTTCTTGCCTGGTGCAGAGCGTTTGGTCGGTACGACCGCCTTTGCATCGGGGACCGTCGCTCGATTCGTCCGAGCGTTGAATCCAGCCCAAGAGGGCGGGCATGGTGGCATCGTGGGGACCCAGTCAACGTAATTGTCCTCCGTAAGTTTCGAGTCGTCGGGGAAGACCGGAGGGTTGGCTGGGGGTAGGCGCTGACGCATGGAGAATGCGTCGTCGTCCCGTGCGGGGCGCTGGTTCCTGATCAGCTCGTCGAATTGCTCTTTAGTGAGCGTGACGTAGGTAGTGGAGGCGATGTCGTTGGTATGGTACGACATTGATGACGGTGGTGGAGGCGTTGATGCCATGTCACCGTGGACGTCGAGGTCGCCCGCCGCTGATAGGCTAGGTGGGCTCATAACCTTTCAGGAACTGAGGCCGAGGCACGAAGTGCGTAAGTACGAGAGCCGATGAAGATAGTAAAGATAGTTGGAGAAAGAAGATAAGCGCTAAGGGAGCGCGCGCGAGGCAGGCTCGAGACGCGCGGGGCGACTAATATCAACAACTAGTAACTAATCATAATTGGGAATACCAGTGGGATGAAACAGCAATATATTGACATGCCTTTCTAGCTCATCCCGAGATCGTTCATTTTGGCATTTCAAGACGCTCCTTTACGCTTCTTTGACTCACAAATTGATCACTCTGTACCCCTACAAAGTCTCGAAAGATTTTTCTACGCTAAACACAATTGGATCGCGCTACTGGGAAAAAGTCAAAGACTTGCCAGATCTTTATGAACAATGGAAGGAAGCGTGGGCAAGTGAAGCCGAAGCGCGTGAACACGAGCAGACCACTCGTCCCTTCAAGCGATGGCGAATCGATCCTGCTGCCATCACCAAACTGAGTCACAAGTACGAAAAGACGATACATGAACTGGTCCGTGACAATTCAGCTCTTCTCGTTGGGCTCTCCTCAATTCTCATGATCCTCCCGCTGACTTAGATAGCTTGGCACTGCATCAGGTTCATCAGCATGCTGACACCGACGGATTCGACGTGTTAGTCATCGTCGGCTCGAACAAGCTCGAGAATAAAAATGATCGTTTCATCGTTTCAACGCTTGGCGGCGCAGCTTTCATGCGGCGCCAAAGCTGGGGTTCTCAAAAGAACGATGTGCTCGTTAACTTCACGGAATGCATAAATGGCACCCGGTTCAATCAGGAGCGAGACGAGCAATTCAAGATGGAAGGTCTGTCAGACAAGCTTCAGAACGGACCTTGTGCTCGGCGATAGATTGGTGCTGATTCCAAGAACTGATGAGCAGCTCATCATGGTGATGTTGACAAGGTGTCTCACCGAGTGCTCTGCACATGGTATCGCATTATCATTGACGATTACTATAGTAAGCAATCACTCCACCGCTCTGCGCCCACATTTGGCAGCCCATGACTGAAGTTTTGTGGCCGTGCAGATCAAGCGCTCCGTCGTCGCCACAACAGAAACAAGTCTATTCAGCCCTACGTGCCTTCCAAGCTTACGAGCTACAACCAGGAAACTCTTGCGAAGGATCCAACCGCCCTTGTTATCGAGCTCGGAAACGGTCTTCACGAGCGTGATTTCCGCAGTCCTACCAATTGCAAGAAGCCGACCGTTAACAATTTGAGAAGAATTATTCCATTGATGCGACAGGGTGGGCTTACGTTTTCGCTCAAAGAGGATATCGGCCAGGTCTCTTTTGACCGCACTCCTGCCGAGAGTACTTTGATGAGCGAGCAGTCGGAAACGGAGCCAGAAGACCAAGACACTGGATCTGATTCTGATTTGGGAGCTGCAACATTTTGATTCCGAATCCGACTACATTTCTGTTGTTCAGTATATTGTTGGTGCGCCTATCGCGCGTTGAGGTAGATTGCCAAACTTTTTGTAGTCGTTGAGGTGATATCGACCTGTGTGGCAAGAGGTATTCAACAAGTTTCCACGCATCTTGACTAGCTTGACTGTCCGTCCGTTGATCAATTATGCGACGCGACGCATTTTTGATCGCAAAGCAAATAGATTTACCCGCGCTAAACATTTCAGATTTTACTCCGTAGATTCAGGCAAATAATGGATGTTCAAATAAAGCACTCACTCATCCTACCTAATGTCAAACTGCAGTTAAGCTCGTCCCAGAGCTTGGGGGGTGACCAACAGCAAAGCACCCAAATTTCTTCGACTACCCCTTCGGACCCCCCGAGACGCCGGCGAAGTGACAGCAGAACCTTGTCGAGAATGTCCGTAATAACACGCTTCGCGTAGGGTTCTTCAAACGGCGTGCCCACTGTGAGAAGGAGAGCCGAGATTATTCGTTGGCGCTGGAACAATAGATATAAAACAGAAGCAGGGAACAAGGTAGTTCACCACTTCTGACCTGCAGACGCAAGATCGCAAGGTGTCCGAGCTTGCTAGCTGACCACGGTGTTCTAGCTGAGGGCCAGGGAAATACGATGCTGCATTACGTGTAATCAATGCCTTTTCTGCTGAATTGTCAATGGAAGGGGGCGTAAAGTCAGCATCGATATAGTGGCAGCTTGGTCCTGAGGTGTCAATGACTTCGTAGTAGCAATTCTCGTTGTTGGCCGAGTCGCTTGCATACAAGCGCTAGCGTTCATAGGTCGCGCTCGGTGCCGACTACGTATTGCTTCACGCCTGGGACAGGCAATGTACCAGGTGGCCACTATATCTCGTCTCGTGCAAATACTCGATGATCTTGATCTTTGTGTCCCGCAGACAGAATCACTGGTTGTAACTTGGTATGAATCGAGTCGCTGAGGGCATCGGATCGGCTGTGACGCGACGGTGTCGGTGATGCTGTGAGAGGAGAGCGCGCGCGCTCGGTGACGCTCGGTGACGCGAGGCGCGACGTGTACCCCCGGGGGTACACAGTGGGACACTTCTCTTTCTCACCCCTAACCCCCACTCCAAGTCCAACATGGCACCATGCGCCACCGAGGGCGAGCGCGCTTGGCTCGACATCGACTCGCATCTCATCCGTGACGAGTCCGGCCAATGGTGTGTCCGTTGTGAACTTTGCAACAAACACTACAAGCTATGAAGGAACAATATACCACTGCACCAAAAGGCGAGGCACCTCTACTTCAGTGAGCGCATATTGTCCTAGAAGTGAGATGGAGCGAAGTTCAACACAAGCTGCCTGGGGGGTACAGGTCACTCGACGCCCCAACTGTAGCACCGGAACATGCACATGAGGCCAAACGAAACCTGAAAAAACATATCATTCGTATACACAAGCACACGTTCAATCCGTCTACGGTCGACAGTCGGTACAGATGCAACGAGGCGGCGTTTGAGCTGATCGGTACCGACCGTGAGGTCCAAGCGGTGAGTGCTAAACAGCTTTCCCAGGAGATCAGATACAAAATATGTGGAATTCGGCTAAACCTTTGTTTATGTACTTATCTGCTCTGATTAGGGTTTTGGCCACCTGAAGAAAAGATACCGCCGGCAGTTGCAGGCCAAGCTTGACAGGTTGGAGGCGCCAGGGAAAGCGGACCGTGCGAGGCACGACGAATGGGCGGCGGAAAGGGCGCGTCGGCTGGCGATGGAACCCGAAGACATCATGATTCAAGACCCAATCCCCGAGGACGACGAAAATTTGGCCTATGAGGTCCGGGAGGAGATCGACTACGTTGTGTGGCCTGTTTGGGATGAATGGGCAGGGCACAAAGGGAATGGACATCTGCCTCGGAGCCTGTTGACCGTGCTCATCCATTGGAGGATCGTGTTGTTCGATGCATACGATGACCAGAAGCGAAAGAGAGGTGGAGGGAGCGCGAGAGTTTTGAAGGAGTATAGGACCCGCATCCAAGACTTCGACGACATCCTCGCGCGCATCTTCACCGTCCCCATCAACATTGCCGCCGAACATGAGGAATCGCGCCTATTCAGTGAAATCCTTTCACCCCTGTACCACGAGTGCCAACGCCCCCTCCCTGAGGACGAAATCAGGACCGACGAGGACCAGGAAGGGAGTGACCGCCTTTTAAGATGGATCCAAAAGGTGTACCGCCCTTTCCTCAGGAAACGTGTCCCGGACGAGTACTGGGATCAGTTAGAAAGCGAACATCGCACCTGGCAAGCAGCGCTCAGACCATTTGCAACGACGGTGCTCGTCCACGTTCCTGAACCTCCCAAGCCGCCCACCGATGCGGACCTCGAGCCCGAAAGGAAGAAGACCTGGGACTCCTGGATTGTTGAGTGTGCCCACAGGTGGTTGGCGCTGTCGAGTGAACAGAGGGACGCGTATTGTTGGATGCGCAAGAAGGGGTCCGGCGGTGAGGGCGCCGCGTCGACCTCGGGGGCACGAGAGGAGGACGCGATAGTAGAAGTTAATGTGGCCGCGCACCAGTCCGCCCGCCGCGGCTCCCAATGGGAGGGAGAACCGCCGCCGGCTTGACTTGGTTGCGCCGCTGCTTTGACCTATTCCCGCTGGTTGAGTAGCTCAGAGGTCAGAGCAACTCTGATTGATGGAGTGGACCTGAGTTCGACTCTCAGTTCAGCCAAATCTTCTTTTGTTCTTCGTAACACTCAGTTCCGGGAATTCCCATTTCCCAACTGCGATATCGGAACACAGTTCGGCGACCGGCCAACATTCCGACCACGGATCGGCAGCCGGCTCGGAGGCCGAAAGCACCCTCTCCACCCTCTCCGAGCTGACCAGCCTGAGCGAGCTGGAGCGCAGCCTGGATACTGGGACATGAGGCACCATGAGTGTCAATTCACCGGTTAGGCGATGACCGTCTCGAGTTTTCCGTGAGCGTGTGTAGCTGCCTAGCTTGTATGTTGTGTCAATGGAGATCCTGCACTGCAACCATGATTCACCCCGAGGGTACAACGCACTCCGAAGGCGGAAATTCTTGTTCAATTTCAAACCTTAGGGCATGGCGTAGATACACTACAACAGAGTCCCGCGCCTCCGGAAATGAGGAGGCGGTATGCGACGACGTGCTTCATCAATTCTGGGACACTCTTAACAAGCATTGTACAACCGGCGTGGCGGTGTGTACCCCCCGGAGGTACACACGACCGGTGCCCTCTCCAGCTATGTACCCCGGGGTTCCACGGCTCAGGCGCGGTCCGTCGCCGACGCCCTTGCTGACTGCACTACAACAAACTTCCACGCACCCGCTCAAAGCCCAGGATGTGTCTACAGCTACTGAATGGAATAACCTCCTGCGACAAGACCGACGAAATTTTGTTTGCTACATCCGACTTGCACTCTGAAAAGCCCGCAAGGCCAACACACTTCCCTAGCTGAATTCTTCGTTCGAACCACCGAGCAGAGCGAAACTGCACTACAACAAACTTTCACGCACCCGCTCAAAGCCCAGGATGTGTCTGAAGTTACCGAAAGGATTAACTTCCTGCCGTTGGAGAATCGTATATGCCATTATACAGTGATCTGCCACCGGTGACCGGCCTTGCAACCCCGGGGGTACACAAGCCGCAAGCGGGAAAGCGCCTGTGCACCCCCGGGGGCACGCAGGACCGGTCCGCTCTTCCGCTGTGTACTCCCGGGAGTGGCCACACCCTGCGCGCCGAATGACTGTGTACCCCCGGGAGTACATAGCTTTGTCGGCGGATCAGGCCGCGTCCTCCCGGGGTTACACTCTTGTCACGCGCCGACTCTGACTGTGTATGTGTACCCCCGGGAGTACAAAGCCCCTAGTACAAGGTCCTTGGCCAATGGACCGATATCCCTGCTCACTCGACTACATAAACTATCACGTTAACGGGGTAGAAGGTATGCGGTGACGTATTCGATTCTTGCTGACATATTATCGCAAGCACTGTACAACGAGCGTTCCGCCGCTGCGATTTCCGCTGCGTACTCCGTGGGCGTGTAGGGTCACGCACCCAAGACCGCAGGTCCGAGTCAAGTCCTTCGTGTTAGTAGTACTAGCAGTGAGCGCCGTTGTTCACTCGGAACGCGTCTGTACCCACTTTGGGGTTCTGTTGGAACAGACAACTACAGCAACACCAATCCTCCCCGCCCCCCCCCCCCGGCTCTGGCAACGTTCCCAACTTACCTGAACTTGCAAATGTCAGCACCGATGCTCACCGAACTGCCGGTCAGCACCAAGCAGAACCTTCCACTGGGGTGTAATGCATTCCGGCGCTCGCATCCGTTGTGTGCGATCTTAATCGACCGAGCGCACAGAGCATTGTCACTGAGAAGAGAAAAGGAACTTTGAGTTGTAAGGTCTGGCAACGTTCCCAAATCTGAACCTGCAAATGTCAGCACCGATGCGCACCAATTTACAGTCTTTAACTTAGCAGAACCTTCAAGCTTGTCACTGCACGCACTGCAGTTCGGCGACTGTGGCCGTGGCGACCGGCTCGTGGGGTCGTGGTCGTCAACGCGTCAATGCCTGATTAAGGCTGACATTCGATTTACTTTTGTGCACTTTGGCGTCCACATTCCACCATGTGCGATATGGGCGGCATACAAAAAGCAAAGTCCTTCAATAACAAACAATCTACAGTCAACAAATGCGCCAAACCATCCCTAGCTAGCCCATGGGCTCGTCGAGAATCTCGAGGTCGTCCGAGGCTTCACCCCCTGTCGAGCCTGACTCTCCGCCGCCCTCCCCGAGCTCAGCATCATCTTCTTCCTCAACCTCCTGCTCCGATCGTGAGCCCAAAAGTTCTTCCATTCGTCTTTCATACACATCATCGCGGTCTCGCTCGGCCTGCTCCGCGGCTGGATCGGGGGTCAGGCCAAGTTCCCTTCGGAATGCGTCGAGGTCGATGGTTGTGTGGCGCACGTCCACGGCAGAAGGACCTGATGAGCGGCGGCTCGACTCAGCGACGAGGCTCTGCATTTGAGTATTATTCAGCGTCGAAAGGCGGCGACCGAAATGACGTGGACTACCGCGCGAACGGCGCGACACCTGTTTCGGCCGTCCGGCGAAAAGTCCCCCGATCAAACCGAATGCCGAGGGCCGCGATTCATGAACTGCGGGTGAACGCGTTCTGAACCAGACAACCGAGAGATCATCGCGCTCGGCGAGCCGATCCAGACGCTCTTTGAACGAAATCTGTCGGCGTTGAAGCACATGCCACACCGCCGTGCCAACCTCGCCCGCGTCATCAGTTCCGAGAAGTTTCCTAGCCGCTTCGATCGTTTCTTCGGGAACTAATAGAAGGGGCGACGTAAGGTACAGCACCATCACAAAGAAAGAGTGTGTCCATCTCACCTTTGTCCTCTGCCCATGCCTGAGATACCCTAACAAAGCGAGTGTCCTCATCTTCGAGCCACGCGAGTAGTTGTCGAACCTCAGCTCCGATTCGAAGAATCTCTTCTTCCGCCCTGGCTTTGAGTAGAACCGCCTTGATCCCTTTCTGAACGTCGGTATCGATCGCCCAAGGCGCAGTGTCGTGTTCGAAAAAACCGTCTTGCCAGAAAGCGTCCGTTGGCGACAGAGTCACAAGCGACTTTATCGTGGTAGCGAGCGGCAAGTTGTCCAGAATCTTGGCCGATTGCTCGGTCGCAGCATTTCGGTAATCCCCGACCGCTTTATTGTACATATCGATTGCCACTTTTACTTTCTTGCTGTGCGTCTGTGAGACGCTGACAAGCTTGCTGGCTTCGACTTGACCGATTGTCGCGCCGCTTCGTCCCCGACCCATTGAGTCAATTCGTTCTTGACAGCATTGCAATTGGACCGTCGCTTTGTGTAATGCGCGAAGTTTGACTACGCAGTTGCACAAATGCTGGAAATCTAGGTATGTCATGGGACATCAAATATCAGGTGGCGGTACTCATAAAGATAGGACGCGCGCCGCACCTGAAGCTGCAAGTTCCTTCGTACGATTGTATTCTTGTTGATAAGCTCTTAGCTGTTGCTGCAAGCGAGCCTTCGCTTCATCGGAAGCCATTGGATCGAATCTGAACACACAATGCCAAGACACAGTGTCAATTTTACGCCCTTGTCCTCCAATGGGGCTTGACGTGCCGAACGTACAGCCTTTCTTCCACCTGGTGTAGCTTCTGTACAATGTTGAAAAGCTCGAATCGCTCCTTGTCCTCATTCTCCCGACGTTGACTCGCCGTTGTGGCCGCTTGAGCAGCTCGCTGTAAATCCCATTGCGCGAGAAGGTCAGACTCGGACCATATTGCCGAAACGTCGCTCAGATCAGTTTGTGCCCTTCCAAGCTGATCTTGAGCATTCGACAGTCGTCTGCGGAGCCAACGGCCTAGAATGGACGATGAATGAAGGGACCGCATGATTGAGTAACGAACACGGCGTGAAAGTGTGGATGGCAGAGCATACCGAGGCTGTCAACACCGTTCTTGTTCATCAGGTCGATGCGACGCGAGATGTTGACGCGCCGGTGAGAAGCGCTCGCAGGACGATTGATCGGGATGAGCGATCGGAGCTGACTCCAAACGCGTTCGCATCCCTCCCCATCCGTCAACCCAAAGTGCTGAATCAGGCGCGGGTTGTACTCGAGCTGGCAGGGCCATTGATGAGCAAAAGCATGAAACACGCTCGTGGCAAACTTCAATCTCGGAAACAAATCGGGAAGGATACCTCTCTGCGGGCGATCGAAGTACAGTGAAGGTCAGCGGCGCCCCAGGGCCAGAAATCTAAGAAACGACGGATCCGCCACTCTTGCTGACCGATTGCATGTAGCCGTCCAAATTACACGCAACATCATACAGCACTCCGAGTGTATCGTCGGACGGGAGTTGGTTCGAAATATGTTGCAGCAGCGATAAGCCGTAGTAGCGCCTGCCTCATCAAAAACGAGCGTCAGGCCTTGTAAGCGGGTGAGAGAGGAGCTGAGCTGACGAACTTTTCACCTGATTGATACAAGTTGACCATCTTCAACGCGATATCGTGACGGCAGACACAGGCAACTAGGCCCGTATCGGACTTGCCCCGCGAGATTTGTGTCGCACCGCCGTTGGCCGCTTTCCACGAATCAGCACAAGCCTTCAAGACGCAAGAGGAAAGGCGTCAGCGCGTTGAAAGGATCGCAGGGGGCGGCTCGGATCAGCGGACCTTTTCTGACTTCTTGCTGTCGCCACCATCACAGATCTCCTTCATCGATTCGAGCTCATCTTCGCCGAGGAAGAGGGCTGGCGTCGACTCCTGAGGATCGTATTTGGCTGAGGTGTCGCGAGAATGTTGGAAGTTGCCATCCAGAGCGACAAGATGCTGCACTTCGACTCTATGGTGGGCTTGGTTTAGACGCGTCGATCCGTAGCATGCTGGACACTTGTCCGAGAGAGAATCCGCGACACCGAGGACGAGGTCGCCCAATTCTCGCTCGGATGTCGTGAGAGCCCGAAATTCGTCAAGGGCGCGCTGGAGTTGCTTTCGCAACTCCTTGTCCTGCGCAAACGATGATAAACATCAGATAATGCTCAATAGCAATCATGACAGGAGGTCGAACTCACGAATTTATGCTGACTCAGGCCCGGCCGACCCCATCCAGTTTGCTCATAGAAAATGTCGAGCCCGCGAGCTGCTCCATCGACAGGAAACGGCGCGGTGCTCCACCAGGAGTCGAAAAATTGGAGAAGTCGAAAGGTGAATGCAGAGCGAGGAGCAGCTGCGGTCGATCCGATTAATCCGATCTGAGCAAGGCGCTCGGCGTACGTAAGGCATGGGCTATCGCTGCTGGATCTCGGACAAAAAGCGATCGGCACCTCGACCACTGCATTGATTCAACCATTCGACCTTGTCAGCGCAACGTTCGACACAGCGACCCAATTCGCCTGATTCACATACAGCTTATGAGGTCGTACACGTCAAGCCGTAACGTGAGGGGACTCTTGCATGAACAAGGCGGCGGCACTTCGCTAGCGACCGAACCCTGGCACAGCTCCTCGTCCACGTCAATCAAGGGCCGTAGATGACCTTTGACCCCAGCGCAAAACGCGATGTACTGGCGCAGAAGCGCTGGCCGTTCCAAGCGCCTAAGGCGAGCGTCGTTGAACACGAATTGCTTGTACGTTTCTTGCTTCGACTGACCACGTGTGACTGATTCGAAACTTTCGACTTGGCGCAGGTCAGCCAGTGATAATCGCTCGGCGATTGCACTATAGTCAAGCGAGGTTGGGAAATGGGATGTTCGATCCGGAGAGTATGGGGCTGGATCGAAGTCGTGTTCGAAGCCACCACCGTACTCGCTGTAACGCTCTTCATCCCAATCCATCCCACTCGGGTTGGCGGCGTCACTCGCGGCTTCGTCGGAATCGGCCTGAATTGGAAGGGCCATTGGACGCTGAGGAGACGGCGAGCTAGCTTCGCCAAAATCATCGAAGGTTCCTTGCTGGATTTGGCGGGCAGTGTAAGTAACACGGTGCCGGGTTCCGGGGATGTTGGTGCGGAGTCGGGCGTCCGATCGGAGGCCTTGAGGCCTATAGGAAGGATGCTCCTCAAAGTAGTCCAGACGGACCTTGAAAGGTCTCCATCGATGCCTGCCCATCGTCGATGTGAATTGCGTAGCTTCGAGATTTAGGAAGGGTGTCTCGATAGTTGATGCTCTGGTTAGAACTGAGGCGGGTCTCACTTGGCGCTGAGCGGAAGCTAAAAGAGACAGGTCTGCGGGCATACTAGTCACTAAATGCTCAATCTCATTAGCAAGTTAATCTTGGCCTGGCGCCAGCGGCCAACCCCGGTTGCAGGGGGGGGGGCAACCTGTATGGGTACGCCGCTTAAGAGCGGCGCTGGGAGGGGCGCCGCGCGCGCCACTTTTTGGTGTGCTTAGAAATATAGCCAGAGGTGTTAAAAACAGTGATTTTAGGTGCATTCCTTAACTCACCTTTTTTTTTATGTAGAGGTAGTAAAACCGCTCGGCCGGCCGGGTCTTACGTGGAGCGTCTCCGAAGTATTGAACAGGAGTCGAGGTCTCGGCCGACAACCAGGGTTATTGACTTTTGTGACACCCAGTCAGCTCAATCATGGAGTTATCGCAAGCTTATTCGTACACACTGTCGTCTAATCTACAGGGTTTGAACAATTTCGACGCGAGACCGGCATGCGAGACTCGTCGTAAGTCCGCTCAGCTTCTTCGAGGGTTACCAGATGATTAGGCTCCTCGTAAAGGCTTCCCAATCTCACTCTGCCATCCACGAGCCTTCTCAAAGCCATTGACGCCCATCTGGAAGTCCTGGAAGGCTTGTCGGATGCCTTGCTCAGTATCCTTGCATGGCGCGGAAACGAGAAAGGACGAAAAGTTATCAGTCATTGCATTCGCTTGAGCAAGCAGGACATGACCAGTCGACCGCATGTGGTCGATCTGATTAAGATGGAAACGCGAGACTCACCATGACAAAAGGACCGTATTGTATAATCTCCTGATCCAAAGGCTCTCCGGCGATGAGGACCAACCTCGACCCTTCCGACACCGATTCGAGTCGAATGCCTTGCTCGCCCTCGGCCGCAGAAAGGACGACGGTGTAGAAAGGATCGGTTGGCTTGGTCAGGCTGCTGTCGCCACCGATCAAGGTCTGCCCCTCGAGCGTGTAGGCAAACGCGTTCCATCCCGCCGGAATCGCTTGGAAAACTTGCTCGCCCTTGGCTTTGAAAGTGACGTCAAAGATCCAGCATCCTCCAGGTGGTTTGATGGGCGAGGTGACGGAACCCTCGGATTCGTTGCCAAGAGCGGTACCGGAGATAACTTTGATCGTCGTGTTCGATGTGGGGTGGGCAGAAGGGATTTCCGACGACTTGAGCTCCTGGTACGACGCCTCGGTCATGCGCTTCGCCTTGGGCAAGTCGACCCAGAGCTGAAGACCTTTTGGGTTGGGGAGTCCAGGTCCCCGTACGGGCATCTCGGCGTGAAGAATACCCTTGCCAGCGGTCATGAACTGAAGATCACCAGCATTGATCGTACCGGCGTGACCCATAAAGTCCTCGTGCTTGAACGAGCCTTCCAACATGTAGGTGATGGTGCTCATGCCGCGATGCGGGTGGTCGGGGAAGCCACCTTCGCCGACGTTGAAGTGGTCCAACATGAGGAAAGGGGTGAAGTTGCGCAGTTGAGGGGTGCCGATCGAACGACGGACGATCGCTCCGGCGCCTTCGGGGGTTTCGCGCGAGAGGATCGACTTGACGATCTTGCGAGAGGCTTGAACAGCGGTGGACGACATGGTGCTTGAACGGGTTTGAGTGATGTTGGTGGTAGTGGTGGTGGGGGTAGTCAGGCTAGACGGTGAGGCTACGGGAGGGTTGAGACGAGGCTCAGTGGCGAGTGGGGCAAAGTAGAGTGCGAGCGCGAGTACTGTGACCGCAATGAGGATGGGTCGGGTACAGAACCGATGGCGAGGTGCAACTCGGATGAGCTTCTGAGTAGAAGCCACGATGAAGTGGTGGGAAGGGAATAAAGCGGTGAGAGGGAAGGAGAGATGAGATGTTTCCTGAGCGGGTCCCGACGTGTGGTGGATGCCATATCGAGCTCAGCTGCTCTCTGCTCTCGTGAGCCTCTGACTCACTCGGCCGGCGCGTTGCTCAGCTTGCTCGCGCGCCTTGAGCAGCATTTGGCAACCGCATTTCGACGGGTCGACGACCGCTGGGGCTTACAGTGACTCGGTCTGTTCTGGGTAACGAGCGGGTCATGACAAATTAAAATCAGGGGAAAGCGGTGGAATATTCTGGAATCGACCAGGTGCTGTCTTGCCACGAATTATGAACTCACGCTCTCGGCCTCACTGTGCAGTGCGACGTGGGGAACCCGATCTCAAGATCACGTGATATTGCTTCGACGGCACGTGAGGCACGTGAGCGCGCCCACATTGAGCCGCAGTTCCTCGAGGCACTGGCGGATGGCTTCAAGTCACATTGGCTGGGCTGGGGACTGGGGTGTGTGTAAGGCCGTGCACTCTGACACACAATGATGCGATATAATGGTCTTCAGTACCGTGACCATGATTGTTCTCATTGTTATTCCCGGTTTGGTCCTTGTCGAAGCTTTGCAACCTGCCTCGGCCGACTCGTGAGCTTGGGTATGTGAATGTATGCACTGGCGCTTGCCGGATTCGGGCTGATTCGGGAGCTGGCGACAGGACCCCAGAAAGCCCAGCCGGAGGCGCATGTTGAAAAACGCCGTTTTTTGGCCTTTTTGTCAAAGTTTTTTACCCTATTTTGGCCCCAAAATGTCAAAATTTCACATTCGCCTCGAGAATATTATCAAAATGTGTTCTACATGCTCCAAAAATCGCTCAAAAGTCCTCGAAAGCGCGTTCCGAGCGTTTGCGGGCGCGCGGCGGCCGATCGAAAGTGGCTTGCGGCGCGCGTCGCTTCGGCTGGTGTCGCGCGTGGCTCCTGGCATCAAACAAGCCTTCCTTGCTTTACTGATGGGCTCGCTACTTCGTTGTCAGACCTCCGTTTTGCTGAACTTGAGCTCCTTGTATCCGCGGAGGCATTTGTGCGGCTTGTAGAGGTTCTACCGGCGGCATCTCGCAGGCCGGGGACGCTCCGAAGGGCGGCAAATCTTTGCTCGGCACGTGCGCACGTGCTGATTATGAGAGAGAGAAATCATTATTTCACGACCTTGTCGCGCTATAGCACATGTGATTATGCGCTCGTCGGGGTAACATGAGGTAAGGTCCGTGGTTGAACGATATGTAGTCGCTGGCGGGCCTAATGACTCGATGACCTGTCGACCATCAATCATGCGAAACGGCATAGTGCCATCAATGAGGTGAGTGGAATAGCATGCTTTCTTGATGAGGCGAAGCTCCTGTACGACGACATTTGAAAGTAGAACCAACGACGGGAGCGTGTCTTGGTTGCAGTGGTTTGTTGTCACTTTGCTGTAGATGTATCGCACTGTAGCAGACAAGACCTTTGTCAAATGAGAACGTCACAGCTCAACTGCCACTGCACTCAAAACAACGTACCAATTCCGATGGACAGCGTTTCTTCTCCATAAGCAGTTTGATCGCAGCTGAGTGAATGCATGCCACGCTTGAGGCCAAAGCAGATCAGAGATCCGATCTCCAATGGTGTGGCAGTGGTTACAGCTCCGTCAAGCGATCCAAAATGAGGATAGCGTTGTGCTAGCGCTCCGTACTGCTTGGTTCTTTCAGGGAGCTTTTCCTAAGAGTACAGGAATAACAAAACACTAGATCCAGTTGCATTATTTCCTGATTTCAGCGACAACTCACTTGAATGCGGCCATCCTCAATATAGGCATTCTTCTGAATCTCGTTTGTTGTGAGCGCTCGGGCCACCTGGCCACCTCCAGTCCAGCGAAAGCTCCTGGCCGTGCCCGCCATGTCTTCAAAGCGAGATGGTCCCATGGACTGGACCAACCCTTTCAAGACGCGTGAATGTACTGCACTGCGTCCTTGCTCTGTATTGCTAATCCCTACGCCTGCCTCTCCGCGACTTGTGTGGCTCGATTCCATCGGCCTCCCTTTTGAGTAGAACAGCTCTGAGGTGGCTACACTCATGAGCAGCTCGATGGGCAATCAAGTTGGCCCAGTTCAGCGAGAAATTGGTATCGCGAGCATCGACAAGAGGCGGAAGTTTCAAGTGTGTGGGCTGTGTAGTAACGAGCACGCATGAGCTTGCTCTTGCCATTGCAGTCCGTTCAGTATGCGACGTGCGACAGCGATACGGTTGCGGTCAGTTCCGTTGATAACGACGATTTTTTCCATCCATCGTTGAGCTCGCAGCGCCCAGCTTTGAACATCTTCTGCTCGGTCGTACTGCGACCATAGCCGATCGGCGCCGAGCGGCAAACGCGTCGACGCGACGGCCAAAGATCGAAATCCATTCTTGCGTGCGTTGATCAGAGCATCGGTGGCGAGAAACGCGTCTCTGGTCTGGAGAGTCGGGTAGGGTAAGGTCGAATACTGGTTGGGCTCGCCTTTGGACAACTCGATGTGAAGAGACGCGTCGGCGGGAGCGACATCGAAGGCGAGGAGCTCAGCGATCGTCATGTTGGTGAGCGGCGATAATCGATCGAAGTCATCGTCGTTCAAATAGTAGTCCTGGTCTTCGTCGAGAAACAAGCATGGGATCATGTTGTCGTGCTATGCTTCAATGTCAGAACGAAGTGAAGCGGAACGGAACCGGCGCCCCTTCAATCTCAGCAGTTTTTTATTTATTTGATAGACTTCATTAACAGCATAATTATAATAATACCTAGAAATCTTCGGAAAAGTCGGAGGGAATGCTGTTACGCACACTGGCCGAAGCCAGTAGTGTAGGACTCATTGACCCTGAACCAGGATCAACCATACCCACTAAAACCCCCTTTGGTGGCTTACAGAGACACTAGGCGACCCTTGGACTCCTGAATAGAGGCTCGAAGCCCCTCGAAGTCCGTGGGAACTATTGGTACCTAATCCCTTAACAGCCTCTGCACTAAAGTGATTACAAAAAATTACTAGTGACCCGTACAAGCGCGAGCACGAAGCGCGTCTCGAAGGCGAATGCGGGCCCATGGTCATGCCGAAGGCTGCTCAGGGTCGGCCAAAATTGCCTCGACCCCCGGGAAAAATGTCAAAATCTGCAAAGGCGCCTCGCGGGCAAAACCTGTGTTTCGTCCCAAAATGTCAATTTTTTGCAATGCGCCTCGACGATTTTCAGGAATTTGGGTCCTCAAAATGTCAAAAAAAAAAATGCGCCTCCGGCGGGGCTTTCTGGGGTCCTCTGGCGACTGACGAGGACTGACGTCGTACCGGCGCGCACGACGACTAGCCTCGCTTCGCCCACGATCTTGTGCTTCCGACACATCCGCATCAACAGAACCCGTCCACAAGGTTAGTCATAAGATTGATCTGATGGGTGAGAAGATGCTTGGCTCGCCAGCCAGCTAACACGTCTCCGCCTTCCTTTCAGGCCCCCCGTGCACTGGTCGAACGGCCGCGCTTGCAACCACAAACACTCGAGTCGGCCGAGCTCGATTATCGACACGCGCCGATCGGCGATGGCGACTGTCCATATGGACATAGACGATCACCCCCATGTCAGATGGCTCAATCAAGTACAGCGACCTGGGCTGATCAAGGCTCCGATCTCGGGAAGGGTCGGCGGCGATGGCTTGACCACCAGTCGGCGGGGGCCCACGTCCGACCAAACACGGCTTGGGATGCCCGAGCGCGCGACGGAATACCAGAACCAGAGCGGCCCCTGGGCCAACGTTGGTATCGAGACGGCGACCTTCTTCGGGGCAAAGCGTCGGCGGATAGACTATCGCACATATCAACCCTTTGACAACGTACCTATCGACGTCATCGAACGGATACTTGATCAGTTGCCCCTGCTTGACCTCGTCAGATTGAGGCGGATCAATCGATCGGTCAGTGTTTTCGCTGTCGAGCGTTAGACTATCCCATCCAGGTGATGAATCTGCTGACTCCAGAGTAGCTTTACCCTTTTCCATAGTTCAACCACCTACTCAGATCTCCTCACCTCTATCATACCTTGTGCATCCCTGCCTCCCCGGCGCCCGCTCCTGAACTGCTGGCTCTATTTCCCTCGCTCCTACCGGGTACCTCCGATCTGACGCTCCGCTCCTTCCCCTTTCTCGCCCTCGAGCCCTTGCTGTGTTCGGTGACTCCCTATCGATTGCTCCATCTCGATCTGTCCTTCTCGGCCGTTCGGAACGAGCAATTTGAAGCGATGGCCGAGGAAGGCGCGCTCGCGAGCCTCCGAACTCTTAGGCTCAAGGGGTGCCGAGGCGTGAAAGATGGTGCATGGCTCGCGACGGCGTTGCCAAAAGTCGAGACGCTCGATCTGAGTTGGAGTGGCGTCACGTCCCTTCCTGCGTCCGTGGTCGGCGCCGTAACTCCGCTTGTTGAGCTTGAGAATGAGCTCCTGTCCACTTCGCCAGGATCGGATGATTCGGTCGATTCAGGATATTACTCCGATCTCGAAGTTTCATCCTTCTTCCACTGTTCATCAACAAAGCCTCGATCCTCAATCTGGCCTCGATTACAGCACCTCTCTCTTTCATCATGTCCTCATCTGACGGTGACGACAATCGAAGCCTTCCTCGAATCGGCGATCCCTCCGAATCTCCGCACACTCGACCTTTCGCACCTCCCACTTGATCACCACACACTCGCTCATCTCAACCTCAGGCCCTCCGACGACTCTGATCCCGAACCCGACTCGCACCCCCTCGAAACAATCGATCTGAGAGGTGTACACGCCTCACACTCTCGTCTATTCGACGACTCGAACGCTTCTGGGCCCTGCAACGGATCAAGATTCTTCATTCGGCGGTTTTGGAGAGTGATGATGAGGTCGATGTAAGACGTTTTGTGGAGTGGGTCGCGGGTATGCATGCGAGGGGTGGGGCTTGAGAGGGGTGGAGGTAGTTTATCCATCTCTTCGTGTTTGACCAAGTTGTTTTGCTCTTCTCTTCGGACACCCACTGTGTTGTTTGTATTCATTCTTCAGACTGGATACCCTTTGTTGTACTTCGTCGAATCGAATAGCTCGTTCGATGTTCTTCTCGTTCCTTCACAAACACCTTTGTTGTTTTCTCGCCGACAGACCTTTCCGTAGCGTCTCGTGTTGTATTATATTACGCATGCCACAGTATTCTAAATGTTCTTCAAGACCCTCCAGTCGAGAACCCCATCGTCGTCCTTTCGAAGCGAGGTGACGAATGAGCACTCGTATGCACCTCGACATGTTCCGTGACCCTAACGCCCTTCGATGCCCTCGATCTTTTCATCTTCATCGGAATGCAAGTGCTTGCGTTGACGACGTTTTCGCAATCCCCGGGTGACGAAATACCAACTGGTAAAAACGACGATGAATAAAGCGACGACACCGGCACCTAAGTAACCCGCTGTGGTGGGGGGACGACCGGGGCGCGAAGCGAATGAGTTAAGAGGCTATTGCGCTGAAGAATTCTGGGCCCCTACTTACAATTGTCATTCGCAGTCGCCCAGAATCTCCACCAACGACCATCGAGGTTCGGACTTGTCTCGGCTGCTTGGGCGCAGGCTGTACATTTCTCCAAGGCGAGGCTGGGAAGGGAGAAAGTAGAGGTTAGAAGGGCGTCTCTTTGTGAGTGCTTGCGTTAATGTGCGAATACTTACCCCATGAATTCGGTGATGGAAATGAGGAGGGCGAGGACGATCTACGGAAGACACCAGGAAACGAAAATCAGTGTACAGTATTGAACCGCTTTCAACCTGCAACTACACGACGTACCGAAAGGATCGTCAAAACCGTCGAGATCCTTAACAAACCTTCCTCATCCGCAGTCCGCAAAACGCCCAATTCGACACTCTCCTCCTCCCCTTCCCTCACCCACCACTTCCACCTCTTCTTCTCCCTAAACCTCTCCCACGAATAACCCCAACACATGCCGATGTTATCGATCGAATCGACGAGCGTCACCGACGAAGCGCCTGAGTCTCCGGAGGCCACGACTGGCGCAGCTCTATCTCTTACTCTTTCACAGAACATTACAAGCTAATTACTGCTATCATATAACCCCCATTGAAGACTTTACTGCTGGTCCTGCGATGCTTGCACAGCGGCGGGAGACGACCGGAAGAAGGGGTGCCGGCCCCATAGGATCTCGTGCTCGAACGCATTCAGGCAGTTCCCCGCTCCCATGATGTCCCGGTCGGCAGGCGGGTGGACGCAGGTCCCACCGCCTAGGGCAACGCGGAAACAGGTGGATCCGTTCGATTTTTGGCCAAGACCGACCCTGCGGAGGCCAATCACAACACGGCGCGAGTGTCAGTGACCCGAGCTGAGGGCCGAACGCGGTAGAAAAGACTCGGCAAGTGATCAAGAGGTCTCAATCATGGCAGACTCACCAGTTCCGCGTTCCGTCCGTGTCCCTACAGTCCGAATGCCAGCAGAGCTTGGAGGTCAAATACTCGCTGACGGAACAGAAGTAAATGCTCTCCAGTCCAAGCGCCCGCAGGCAGCGAAAGATGATCTTGGAGCAACTGTTGGCGTAGGAGACGCCCGACGGATTGGGACCAGGGCTTGTGAACCCATTGCCGACTACGAGGAAGGCGGGTCGCGAGCCCTTTGAGAGTAGCTGACTGTAGGTGGCTGTCTCGGGATGGGTCGGTGGAGACGAAACGAGGTGGTTGGGTCGACGAGCCGCGGCTGCCAGGTGTCGTATAGCGTAGGTGTCAGCAGACTCCACCCAGCTCGAGCACCCGAGCCGATTTTCTTGGATTGCAAGGAGAAACTTTACCAGCGCAAACTCACCCATGCACTCGAGACCAAACACTTTGGCCATTTGTTCGGCTTGTCGGTACATAACCGTGAGAGTCGCCTCTGGTCGCGTACTTGAAACCGAAATCGCGTCGTGCGTGTGTCGAAGGGGAAACCCAAGTTTTGCCGCAAGCGGGGACCACTCGAGCTTGTTGGCACGCAAGGCCTCGTTGATACGATGGGTCTTGTTCGCGCGTTGACGGGCACCTTTGCGATTGCCTTCCGCTGCGATAGCTCCAAGCCCCTCTTTGCCGAACCGGAACGTCTCGAAGGCCGCCGTCTCGTCGTGCGTGAAAACACGAGCGACGGCAGTGACCGGCCGAGCGTGACCGAGATCGATCGAAATGATGATCGAATCCTCGAAAGCACGCCAGAGATCACGGAAGAGGTCGCCACGTTGTTCAAACACCGCAATGAGGTCCTCCGTGGCTACGGCGTGCTGCCGAATCAAACACATCCCAATCGACAACGGACAAAGGCGAATTCGTCAGCCAAAATGCTACCCTGCCGACTTCCGTCCGACGCAAGGAACATGGGAGCAAACTCGACTCACCTGGGTGCCAAATTTCTTGTTCGAGTGCTCTTGGAGCCTTCCCAATACCGCTCGACGTGCCTCGGGGTTGTGTATCGATGGGATGCAGATGCGACTGTCGATGATGGGGACGTCTCGGAATCGCTTCCAGGACACGTACTCGACTCGCACGGCTTCGCGCTCAATGAGAGCTTGGCGCTCGGGATCGAGAGGGATGGGAGCGGCCGCCACCGCGCGTTCTCGGAGCTTGCGTTCCAACTCGTCAATTCGGCTCGGCTTCTCGGCGGATCCCGGTCGAGCATACGATAAGCGGAACACGTGCTTGATGCCGTCGACATAGTGCTCCAAGTCGTGCTTGACCACTCGCGGGCCCTTCTTGCCTTTTGTTTGGAAGCGGAGCCACAGCCGGGCTTTGGCCACCGTTCGGTCGAGCGCGGAGCCGATCGAGACGTCGGGATTGTTGTACCACGACTTGTTACGCTCTGTTGATGCCACGCTCGACACGTTCAAGACTCGTAGACGAACTCGGTGTCCGTTCGTTGTCAACGACCCCGCCGGTATTTCGTCCTTGTCGAGAATCCTGTCTGTGTCGAAGAGGATGTCGACGAGGCGAGGACCAAAGGCAGCGAACGCGTCTGGCTCGAGAAGCCTCTCCTCGGACAGCTCAGGTGGGACGGTCGGGGTCGACGGGTCCGAGCCAGCCACGGATCGGCCGAAACAGAGGTGCTGCAGCGCCTTGACGCCGGCCACTGCGTCACGAGCCCACTCCGGTTTGACGTGCATCGTCTTCTCGTCCTTAGATGTCGTGAAGATCAGGTTGAACCTCTTCCTAGCAACGCTCGAAGGACGGGGAAGTGAGTCGGACTTGCGACGTTACCCGCGGGCTCCGATACGTCATTGACGACAGACGCAGCAAGAAGCTTGTTCAACCAGTCGAGCTGCGTTCGGACGAGCGAGACGGGGTACGTGAGGATCGTGCCGAGATACCCCGGCGAACAGTTCACAAAAGGGCGTTTGCCCTCGGTCTGTCCGAACATCAAACAGATTCCCCAACGCAGTCAAGGTCAGCACTCGATCGCTACACTGGCTGGGGTGACAGAGTGCCAGCTGTCGAGTGTCGGACTCACGGGTACGATGCCCCTGCCATGTCCAGACTCGATGAGGAGATGGTGGTAGACGGGCAGGAGCGCGATCGGGTTTTTCAGCCTGCCGCCGGGCCCAAAATCGGAGAGCTTGCCGCCGACCAGACGAGTGGCGGTAGCTTGATCGCGCCCAAAGGCCCACCGCATTCGCTGGTCCCGTGCGCCACATGCCTCTTGCAAGCACGCTCGCATGACCGCGCGGAGGTGTTCGTGGTCGGGATCAGACTGGTCTTTGGCGATCCCGGCCACCAACGCCTCGAGGTCCGCTCGATGGGAGCGCCAGGGAAATGGGACCTCCGAGAGCGCGGTGACGAGACAGTCGAGCAGTCGCTTGCGCCCCTTGGGCTGACGGAACTCGTCGTCCGGGTCGAGCGGCGAAAGCGCCGATTCGATGTCACGAGACTCGAACATGTGCCGGGCGTAGGTGGCGAGAACGTAATCACCTCGATCTTTCCATCCAAGGATATCCTTCGCACAACGCTCTGCCACGTTTTGGTAGTAGGTCGAGTCGATCTTGTAGCGGGGGAGGAAGACTCCTTTCGCTCGAAGTTCCTTGACGGCCGAGACCAGCAACCCTGAAGCCTACATCACCGCCGCAAAATAAGTGATTCCGAGTCGACAAGTCAGCTCCTCCATCTTGAAGTTGGCGGATCTCTCTCTCTGAACTCGCAGACTAGTCGACTCACCGCGTTGTACAGAAGCGAACCATCATCATTGGCCGCTCCCTCGAAATGTTCGACGTGCCGACCATACTCCGCCGGGGTCATCGTTGCGAGGTCGACCGACACGTTTGCTGTGAGCTGCGCCGGCTTCTTTGAGACACGGGATAACGCGATGGAATCGTGAGGCTGGAGCGCATGGATAACGGCACGCATCCTCGTCACCAGGGCTGAGTCGTTCGACGCGATTTCGTGCCAGTCGCGTTGAGTCCATCCATTGAGGTAGTCGACCAAGACTGCGTTCAGGACTTTGAACTCGAGCTCTTGCGCGAGCGTTTGTAGACGCATAAGCGAGGAGAACGTGTTCTTCCATCGCTGGTTGTCTGTTCCCGGTTGGTCGGGTGATAGGGGCGGAAGAATCTCGCGCACGCTCGCCCGCAACCCTCGGTGTCGAACAGGAGCATGATACTCCTTGCCTGCCGGCGTGCCTTGACCCTCTTGACTCCCTCCTTCGCCCTCGTCCTCGGCTTCGCCCGCATCCTGGAAGTCGTCGTCATGAGGAGCAGTGATGGGATCTGGCTTCGGCTCCCCCTCGTCGACCTCATTCTCCCCGATCTCAGCCTCCCCGTACTCATCCTCTCCGAACTCGTCCTCTCCGAACTCATCCTCCCCGAACTCGTCCTCTTGCCCATCATCATCATCATCATCATCATCATCATCGCCATCCTCCTCCTCCTCCTCCTCCTCCTCGTCCAAGGTGCGGCCGCCCATGCCCGAAGCCCGGTCCTCCGAGCCGAGATCGTGATCGTCGACATCGAGATCACGATCACTCGACGAATCCAACACAGGAGGTGCGGGTCGCTGCAGTCTGCGCTCGCCTCCCGGCTTGGACTTGCTTCGATTGAGCAACGGACCGGTCTCCATCCTCGTGGTGTCGATGTACCTCCATGCATGGTATCCCATGACGGATCGGTACAGAGGACTTCGTACTCGAGCGACTTGGGCGCCCAGCTTCTCCCGGCAGTGCCTCACCTTCGTGACCACCTTAAGGTACTCCTTCCGAAGGTCAGGGCGCGCGCCCAAAGCCTGCCATGCTTGCGAACGCAGCGTAGTCATCTTCTTGCGGGGCTGCTTGAGGAAGAGCTTGGCCGCTGCGAGGGAGGGTGGTTGCGCGGAGGGAAGTGGAGGTGCAGCGAGAGTGGCAGGTCCGGCGAGGACACCCGAAGCGGTGACGACGGTCGTCACGGCGGCGAGAGTGGGTGCTAGGGGTATCGGGGGGGGGGGGGGAGAAAGAAGCCAGCTGGCGGGTGGGCTTGCAGAGGTGGTGGAGAACAAGGGTCGAGTCTTCTGCGGGGGTGGAACCGGAGCTTGCGGTGGAAAGGGCGTCGCTCTGGGAAGGGGTGCACCCCAAGGGGTCCTGAAGCCACTGAGGGGGATGTTGCGTGTGGTGGTAGATGCCTTCCGTGCCTTGAGCCGGTCGAAACGCTCGGCGGTGTCGTTCGCCACGAGCGCATGGATCGCGGCCATCTCGTTCCGAGCACGTTGGATACCTTCGACGCGCTTCGTTCTCGACGACTTGTTCTCGAGGTAGCCTTTGAAGGCTTCGTGAATCGTCTCGAGAGGAGCTTGCCAGAATTCGAACGAGAGGCAGAACTTGTACTTTTCGAACGTCCGGTGGAGTCCGATGCCAGGGAGCCCGCCGCTGAGATAGTCGCCTCCTGCGACGATCCCCGCCACGACCAGCGCCTCGTCTGTGCCCCACTGCCTCAGCTCCAAAAGGTCCACGAGTAAAAAGATCTTCCTCTTGGTCCTCGTACCGCCGGCTTGCGCTACGAAGGACTCATCCACGACGAGGGTGTCGAGCGAAACATCCTTCAGCTCCTCGGCGAGTTTCAACGGCGTTCGCTCCTCGTAGATTCGCCAGCGACAGAAGCGCGCAGGGAGGCCGTAGATCCAATCAGTGTCCCCTGACCAGAGAACAGTGGATTGAGGGTCGAGCCGCACGTCGATGATGTGGCCACGTCGCGCCGATGCGCACATGTAGGTGTCCGCTTCAGTGCGAGCCATGACGAAAGTTATGCCCGAGCCAACTCGCCACACATGGATCTGATCCGAGTTGACGTTGGGCGTCGAAGGTTGGGGTAGACGTTCTTGGAGTACCTGTACCTCTTCCGAGGACAAGTAGATCGGCTTTGTGCGAAAGTCGCCGAAGCGGACGTCGACATTGTCCGGCGCGATCCTCGATCGTTCGGCACGCTCTTTAGCCGTCGCCTCCTTGAGCTTGGGCCGCCATTTCGCATTGTCGAGGATGACGACGACTTGTAGAGACGATTGTTCTTCTTTTAGAACCTTGAGGCGTGCGATCACGATGTCGATGAAAGAACGGCCACGGTGCTTCCTGCCGGCAGTCGAGATCCAGATGTCGCGAAACGCGGTGGACGCATCGATAAGGAGAACTAAGAGCCGTGGTGAAAGCAACCGAGAGGCGCAAAATAGGTAAGCTCTTTGATTTGTTGGAGTGAAACCACGCGGTGCAGAAAGTTCAAAAGCTACCTTTGGGTTTGTCACCATCGATGGCCGGCAGGAGTCGAGCCGGGTCGGTGGCCGTGCCCACGAGGCTGCGAGGCTCCTTGGCGATTGATTGGCGCAGGAACGGCGCTCCATTGTCGATGCCCATGACGAGACGCGACTGGGTGGGACGATGATAGATGGGTGCTGGGAAAGGGTGATGGGAAAAAAGGGGAACGAGGGATGATGATAGATGAGTGCTGGGAAAGGGTGATGGGAAATGGGAAAAGGGAAAAGGGGGAAACGACGAGGGACGGACATCAGCGCACTGCATCAATTCAAACAGCCTCCCGCCCCCCCCTCGTCAACAGCGCCGGTGGCGGCACCAGGCTGGTGCGACGTCGTGACTCGGAGACTACACTGCACATGAAACGAGACGCAACATACCCGGCAAACTGGGCTTGTTGATCCGAGGATGCGTGATTCAGGAGATGGTGGAGCCGCTGGCAGATGGTCGAAAGCTGAAACAAGGTGGGGGTCCGGCGTTGGGGCCCTCCGTCGGGCCGCGCTCCTCAACCTCGAATTTGAGTCCAGTGTAACCCACTCGGACTTGGGATTTTGTCGGACCTCGGCCGCCTTAGCGCAGGCAGTACTTGAAAAATCCTTCCCACTTTCTTGTTTGAGCGTTTGTTGCCCACGAGCTGTACCATGGCCAAATGCTTGACGCTCTACGTCACCGTCACCGTCACCGTCACCTCCCTCTTCACCCTCCGTTGCTCCGAGCTCGACCGAGCGCCAGTACGCGGACGACACTCGTTGACTTTCGTTTGACACCATATCTCATGATATGAAATGACAGAATGACTTCCCACTCTTGCGGTTCTGGTAGAAAACCAACACATTCGTGATAATTTCGGCGCAGTCAATTCGACGAGCGAGCGAGCGAGGGGTTCTGAGCGAGGGCAAGCTATACCGTAACCTGTGACACACATGAAGGTGTCTCACATTTCACACTCTCAAAAGTCTACCCCGCTTGGACTCAAGGTCAAACCGATACCCCATTGCACCTCACAAGAATGCCCGAGACACACCACCCCCCGTAATTATCCAGAGAAGCGAACATCCAAGCCTGACAGCGCGGGCTGATCGACGACTGCGTTTCGGTGCGAGACAAAAGTCAGATCAGTCGGAAGGCTGTGGTGGCGGGCCAGAGGAAAACCCTTACAAAAGGCGAGCACCAGAAAGAAAAAATCACGTACTAAATTAACCGCGTGCAAGCTCGCCTTCGAGCGACAGGCTAGTTGGGAGCTTCGAGGGAATGCGAGCAAAGCTCATCCTCCCCTTTGCCTCTTGATCGGCGGTGGCGCAGCTTTCGCTTTCCACTTTCCTTTTGAATCCATCCTTTCCTTCTCCTTTCCTTTGCCCTTGGGTTTGCCGTTCCCCTTGCCACCCATCGCATCGTCATCGGAAGCGAGTTCGATTGCGTCAGAGTCGTCGTCGATCGGACGTCGAACTCGGTGATCATCCGCGGCCGACGAGCGAGATGGGGTTGGCTGAGCATGCTGTCGAAGAGGTTGCGAGGGACCGGGTCGATAGAGGTGGATGAATGCGAGGGAGCAAGGAAGGGAAGAGCACGAGGGTCGAGGATGTGCGAGGGGCCCGGGTCGGAGGTATGGGCCACTGCAGGTTTAACCGAGTGGAACTTCGTTAGTTTCCGGACCAAATACAGAGTGCAGTCAAGAATCCCGGGAGAGCTTCAAATTACTTTCTACATCCACGTTCTGCGCGCTGTTGCCACTGCGCAGCGATCGCCTTGCCCCAGCGGCTCCCCACCCCTTCCCCCTTCCCCCTTCCTGGGCCTTGCCGAGAGCGGCGACGGCTTGCTCCAGCGGCGCCCCAGGTTGCAAGTCGCCAAGCTGCAGCCACCTGGGGTACTCCTCGGCACCTCCGATCACGAATTGCGTCTGAGCCTGTAAGATATCGGGAAGAAAGACACAAGTCTTCTTCCCAATCTTGTAATAGACGGCGACTGGGTCCAACGTCTTGCGATACACAAGCGTCGTCATGGCGTGGACCGAGCCCTCGTCCGGCTGGACAAGCCTCGTGTTCAGAGCAGGAGTGGGAGGTGCGAGGGAAGACGCACTTGGGATACCCATGGCGGAAGTGGGAGGGGTGCTGTCATCGGTATGACGGCGTAGACGAGCCGGGTCGAGAGCGGCACCGGTCTCGTCCACAAAGGGGATGCGGGTCTCGAGCGTGGGCGCCGTGGCCCGCTGCCAGTCTGGGTGCCCCTTTGGGACCAGCGTGAGCTTGTACTCGACGTCCGATATGAGTAGTCGCATATCGGACTGTGCGAACTCGGCGGCATCAAAGTCGGGTGCACCAGACGACATGGTACTGACTGCCGTGGGTGAGGGATGCAAAAGGTCAGAGCAGGGGATCGCAAGGGATTAGTGTCCAAGCTCCAACTTGGACGCCCTCAGGGGACATGAGGATGCGGCTAGGGCGTGCGCGCAGTCAGCGCCCCTGAAGCTCGCCGGCGGCTCGACCCGCGCACCTCCGAAGAGGAGGCGGCACCGTCAGCTGCCTGTGCATGGCGGTGCATCGATATGCAACAATACCATTCCAACGGCCACATCATTGAATTCTACCAGAGGAGACAATGCGCTGTTTGTCAAGACCCTGGGAACATTTTTTCCTCCCGGTTCCGAGTCCGAGCACGCCGGCCCCAATGGGAGAGGAGGTCTTTCTTTCTTCGGGCTTCGCTTGATCACGCCGAGGCCGGTGCTTCACTCGGACGGACGGACTGGGAAGCCGTGAGATTTGCTTGATAAGCTCGATGAGCATCATGTTCAACAGACCGAACTGTCCCGACAGCTTGTGCGGACATCTCATGGCCGAACCGGCGGAATTCGAATTGAGCCGACTCGCCGAACTGCAAGCCTAGAAAACCAGGGACATCAGCTATCCTGGACACGGAGAAGAAGAACTTAACCGACGGTAAAATAAATCACCCGTTGCTTGGTGTGATGTCCGTCTGCCATGCCTCGGAACCCGGGAGGATGGCATTGCGCTCGGAGTGGGTCCGTGCGCGGGAGCATTCGTGAATGACCTCCCGAGCGCTGGCGCGACCTCTCTCTCTCTCTCTCTCTCTCTTTCCTCACCGAACTCCGTCGAAGATCCCGGCGCCACAAGACCATCAAGCTCCTCGGATGGTTGCGTCAAGGTTCCAAGCGAGCGGTGATGCTGAGTAAGTACACTTCCCACCCATCCCCCACTACTCTGATCCACCCTGTGCAGCGCATTACGTCGCGTTCACGCGGCATCGGTTGCTGACTCGGACCGGGCGTGCGACGTTATCATCTCGACCCTCCTCCCCCCTCGCAGGCCCTCAAGCGGCGGACTATGATATGTCAATCAGCTCACCAGGTCGACCACGACCTCAATCCATCTACCCTCAAGGTTCCTACAACCATCGATGCGAGTGTGACGCTCTACTTTGTGGGTTCTCTTGCTGGCCCAGCGCGCGCCAAGTTGGCAATGGCGAAGCGGTCCAGCGCTGACCCATAATGTGTCTTGTCCGCCAGAACCCCGACCGATCTCGTCAAGAGGGACTCGTTCGCAACAATGGATGAATGGGATGGGAAGAAGGGAGGGAGTGGCGGGCTTTATGTCCCATGGTTTCGTTTCTCTTTTTTGTGGGGTCGCATCGAGAAGCTGTCCCCTTTGCTTTAGTTTCGGCTAGGGCAAGTTCGCGGGCCAAATGCAATGCGAGAGACCACCGTTGATACGCCGCCCCAGGCTCAATGTGGAGCACCATCCCCCGAACCCGTTTGTGCCCGAACCAGTGCACCGCACCCGCTGCATCACTCACCTTGATCATCCAGAACGATCTCCCTCGTCTCCTCATCCGACTGAGCCAAGAACGGTGTCCGTTGTCTCATCAATGACGTCGTCGATTCCCTTCGACTGCTGCTCGGTGAGGCCATTTGGAAAAGACTTGTGGCAGGGGTGCGTGGCAGGGGTGCGAACAGTCAAGAAACAACAGTTAGAGCGGGCGCGCGCCGAGCTGACGCGTCTCGACGCGCGACGAGTCGTGGTTTGACATTCGGGCACCTTCGAATTCGCAGGGTTGTGGCTTCCGAGCAACAGCCGCATCTTGCATACCTAACCTCTCGATACTCCACATCGATATGGCATCGACCTGTCAACTCCCCAAGGGCGTCTTCTCAGACCCACAGGCTCACGAACGTGTCCTCCTCGCCGCTCGCCAACTCGCCCGATCCCATCACTCGCAATACGACCCTTCGCACGACTATCACCACGTCCAAAGGGTCGTCAGAAACGCATTGGTTATTGCTCGATCCTTCAACACCACGCATCCAATTAAGGGAGAGGAAGAACAGCGTTCCGAGACGGCCAACTCGAAGCCGGTCGATCTCGCCGTCGTTGAACTGGCGGCGTTGTTTCATGACCTCTTGGATTCGAAATACCTCCCTGCGGATCAGAAAGGGATGACGGCTCAAGAACGATTGTCACCGTTTTGGAACGAGTACGCATCAAATGAAAACGGAGTTTCGGAATCGACGACGAAGAACGGCGCTTCCGCGGGAAAGGACACCGAATTCTCCACCGATCGACAACGTCTAGTCGAGAGAATCATGGAACATGTCAGCTTTTCCAAGGAGGTCAAGAGGATTGCTCAAGGCAGCGTGAGCGAGTGGGAGAAGCGGTGTCGGGAACTGCATTGGTCAGTCAAAAAGTGTTACTTTTTCCATCAAAGGAAGAATGCTGACTTCGTGTGCTTTGCCATGTTGGTGCAGTGTGCAAGATGCGGACAAACTGGATGCGATTGGGGCGTTTGGTGAGTGCGCTTCCGCGGTTATCGATGGAGGACTGATCCGTTTGCGAACCGCTCTCCTCTTTACGTCCCTCTCCACCAGGCATCATGCGCTGTTCCGCCTACTCCGCCATGACCAACCGACCCTTATACGTCACCGCAACAAGCACCAAGAACGAAAATACCCAAGCCGCAAACGATTGTGCGATCCAACACTTCCATGACAAATTGTTCAAGTTGGAAGGCATGATCAAGACGAGTAAAGGGAGGGAGATGGCGAGGAAAAGGACGGAGTTGATGAGGGTTTTCGTAAGAGGGGTGGAGGAAGAATGGCTGGAAGGGGAAGGGGAGGTGTGAGCACTCGGAAAACTTGAAGGTTGGTTGAGGTAGTTGATTGGTTGTATGCGTTGGCTTTTTGTGTGGTCGGCCCGAAGAGGGAAGGCGTGGGCGGTCACGAAGCGAATAGGGTCTGCTTTCCCCCGCCCCGACCTTCGGCGCTTCGGCCCTCCTATCCTTTTCCTTTCGCGGATCTGCGCCTCGGAAGCGGGCGATGATGCAAATCGTGAATACAGATCTCAAGTCGATATTGATATCCGTCGATAGAATCCTTATTTATCGATGAGGCACGAGTGCCTTCGATCTACGACCGTCCTCGCGACTCTCTGTCGAGCAAACTTCGTCAGTCGAGCCCAGCCGAGGTTAAGAACGCGGATCGCGAACGCAGGCTCAGGGTGCGAGGCGTGGGGCGGCAAAAACGGGTTGCAAATCCCTCGTGGACACGTTCAGGAGCTATAGCGCAAAAAGTCCGAGAGTCAGGTCCCGCTTATCTGGTAGGTGCGGGCCGGGCGAACGCACGGGGGCGAGAGACTTTTATCGAAGGTGCCCCGTGCACTCTCACCGCACCGCGCGGCTGGGCAATATTCAGCTGCTCTCTTCGAGACTGAACGCGAAACTTGCTTTTCTTTGGGGGTAATTGTTTCCTAGTAGTCCGAGATGGCGGGACCGTCATTTGCACCGCTCGGCTGCATTTCTTGCGTGGTTGGGGTTCATTTATTAAGTTAGCTCTGAGACCCAGGGCTGAGGCCTGAGGCCTGAGGGGCTGAGTGGCGGTGGTGGTGGGTAGCGGTAGCGAAGGCACGGCATCCGGCTACGAAATGACACCCGGCGCCGGGCCCGGGACCTCCGTCATCGCGGATCGGGGTCCAAGGGTCATTTTCGAGAGATTCGTAGGATCGTTGTAGGACCCTAGTCTATTTGGTTTCCAGCTTTGGATCCGGCTTCAGTACTACTAGGTAGTTTCGTTTCATCGAGGTAACTCGTTCCTCGAAATTTCGTGCACGGACTCGAGGGGGTGCTCGGTGTCTCTTCGTGTCTCGCTTCGAACCGACCGGTTCTGGAGAGTCGTTGAGGTTAACGTTCAAGACCTCAACGTTGAGGTTTGACATTGGGGGAAACGCCTGAACCGGGGGTTTGCGAAGCCAATGGTCTCACCAAATGGAACTAGGACGCGGTATAGTTCGAACCGACCTACATCACCACAGGCATACTATGATCCATTTAGGTACCAGCACCAGACGTTTCGGGTCTCGTCGATGGGTGTCAGTGTTACCGGCTCGCCGTCGACTTTAATGTCACCGATACTACCGGTCCTGCCGCCTTCGACGATGGGCACAGTTGGACATGAGGGTACGACAAATCATTTCGAAGCGACAGGATCGAATTTTGATTACCCTCGACCATATCATCCTCGCACGGTGATCGGGCCAAGTAGAGGGGAAGGAGTTCACGAAAGTGGAGGATTCGCAAGGGACGTCGGAGGAATAACCGGAATAGGTGGGAATGGGATGCCGATGAACGGAGGGGGAGGGGGAGGGGGAGGAGGCGCAGTCAGAGTTTATCATCCTGATTTATCAGCACTGGCGTGTGCTGCACTCGAAGTAGCCGCCGCCACGACGACCACAACGACAACGACAAGGGGTTTGGCGAGCGCCGCCGGTCGGACCTCGACGAGACCGACGACTTCGTCGACGACGAGCTCGATCGACGACGCCTTCGGGCGTGGGGCCGAGCAGTCTTTCTTGCGTTTAGCAATCAGAGAAAGAGCGGAAACGCCCATGGGCTCGGTTAGCGCGGCCGGGGTGCTCGGTCTGGGCCTGGGCGGCGATCTGGGCGGTGGGTGGGCTGGCGCTTCTTGCGCCGCTCCGTCAGCCGGCGCAAGTTCGACTCTACTAGCGCGCCGCTCCACGTCTTCGCCCGACTTGCAACAGCAGCAGCAGCGATCGTCGTCGTCCTCGTCGTCGTCGTGCTTGTCCTTGTCTCATCAACCGTTCCAGCCCGCGGCGTTGACCTCGAGCAGGACACTGACAACGATGGCCGGAGCAAGTACGAGTAGTCTCGTCTCGAGTGGTGTCTTGCACCACAAATTGACCGGCGGCGGCACGGGGGGTCATCACCACCACCACCATTCTTCGTCCGCGGCGGTCGTACCCGGGGGTCATTCACCCCGAGCCATGGACTGGAACGCCCTTACCGTTGCGACCTCGAATGCGGCTGCGAACGGATGGAACAACAACAGCACCAGCAACAGCACCAGCAACGACGGGGCTCCAGCTTCGTCCTCATCCGTTGCTACACCTACAACGACGTCCGGCACGTCGAACCGAGTCGCTGCCGTGGTCGCGGCCGGGGGTTCGGCTAGCACCAGTCGCGGCCGGAGCAGCTCGATCCAAGTCGTCGCCAGTGCGGCCGACGAAGACGACCTCGACGACGAAGAGGATGAAGAGGACGACGACGATGAAGATGGAGCGAATGGGGGTGGAGGTGCGGGAGGAGGTGGCGATGGCGATGGGGCCAACACGCCGTTGGAGAAGAAGAAGTCGACGAGGGGGAGTCGCGCTTGTACCGTATGTCGCAAGTTGAAGATGCGTTGCGTCGGCGCCGAGAATGGTCCGCCTTGCAAGAGGTGCAAGAATGGAAAGCACGAGGTCAGTTTGGGGGGCAGGGGAGAGTGTTTCGTGTCTAGCAACTGGAGCTGATCGGGCGCGGACGACATCACCCCACAGTGCATCTTTGAAGAGTCGCAGAGGGGTCGACGATCGAACCGCAAGACCGACATGATGGTCAGTGGCGAAATACTATTCGTTTTGATCTTGCGGTAGACTAATGATAGCTCGATGCAACTTGTTGCGTTGGCAGGCCAAGTCACTCAAAAAGATGGAAGCGACGCTCGAGACCGTGCTCAAATCTATTTCGCATCCTTCGATGCTCACCTCGTCTGGGTTGATGCAAATGTCGACCTCGGACCTGTCCGCCATGAACCGAGGATCGGGGCAGGGAGCGACCCCACTCGACCCGGGATCCGTCGGTGCCGCAGGAGCGAGCTCGGGCGACATCCCGACCGGCGCCAGTCCGCACAACTTCCACAATAGCAGCATCTCGTCCGGCAGCCCCAACTTTGGGCCCGGGGGCGAGAATAAGCCCCGAACGACGATTGAATGGAGTGGGATCCGTGGCGATCGGAATGGTCAGACGAGGGATGGGAGTCCGAGGCTGCATTCGTTGCCGGACAATACCCTGAACCCGCTCGGTTTGCTCGCCGAAGCTTCGTTGCAGAACACGCGCAAACGCACGGCCGTCTCGGTTGCGGATGTGTTGGAACCTTCTTATGGAAAGGAAGAGTCGGCGAACGAGCCACCGGCCAAGAGGGAAAAACTTGGGATGGGCAACCCTCAGTCAGTTTGCCCCGAGCAAGATTCTCTCGGAGGCTTCGAACCTGATCTGGTTACAACTTTCACAGGTACTTTATGCCTGGTCCCATGAACATCCTTCCCGTACGGCGTATCGTGATCGAACAGCGAGGTCCTCCCGCAATCCTCGAGGAGAAGATTGTCACCGTCGAGGAGGTCGTCGAGCTCTTCGCCATCTTCTTTACGCACTGTCACCGCTCAGCCCCTTTCCTCGATGCCGACATCCATACCCCTGCAGCAACAGGCAGTCGGAGTCCGTTCTTGTTCACGTGCATCTGTACGGTCGCGGCACGGTATTACACCAAGCGCAAAGATGATCTTTATCGCAAGTGTCATCGAGTCGCGATGAGGGTCGCGTTCGATGTGACGACAAAAGGTTTCAAGGTCAGCCCTTCTTCCTCCGGTCGCGTCGGTAGGGATACCGCTGCTTATTCTCTCCTTTCTTTGAACAGAGTACCGAAATTTGCCAAGGTTTCCTGCTGTTATGTAACTGGAATCAGCCCGCGGAGCGTTTCGAAGAGGAGCGGACGTGTCAGTTCCTTTTTATGAGGCAGACCACATCGAGCCTCCTCCGCTTATACTGACGAATGTCCTCTGCACGATCTTCAGACCAATTCTCGGGTATTGCGATTCGAATGGCGACCGACTTGAACCTCCATCGCAAGACCTTAGCGAACCTCCCCGCCGACGTCAGCGAGGAGTCGAAAGCGCTCTACCAACGCGAGCTGATGAACCGCGAGCGCGCGTGGATGTACACCTACATCGCCGATCGATCCATCTCGACGCAAATGGGGAAACCGTTCTCGATCCCCAAGGAAGACTACCTCATTCGTAATGCGAGGACGTGGTTCCTGCAACCCGGGGCGCAGCCTTCGGACAGTGGCTTGTCGGCCATGGTCGAGATGCACAGGTGGGTAAAGGCAAAGATACGAAACCCATGATGCTGGTGACTGATCGACAAGGTATTCTCTTTCCCTTGCCCCCAATTAGGATTGTCGGACGCATGCTCGACACCCTTTACAGTGACACAAGATCAGTTTCGGGACTGAACCCTAGTCTCGATTATCCCCTCTTGATGAGGTCCTTCCTTGGCCAACTCGATCAATGGCGTTCGGATTGGACCGAAGGGGTCTCGACTTTGCCTGAGTCGGCCTACACGCCAGATTCGATTCGCCATAGCATGCGCGACTTCTACCACTCCTAGTGCGTGCTGCTGCTGCGCACTCTACACACGGAACTCCCACTGATCAGCTCTTATGTTCACAGTTACCGCCTCTTCCTCCTCTCCTTTGCGATCCAGCACGCGCTCGACAACCCCCAGTCGACGATCGATCTGCCGAGCTACACCGTCATGGTCTTTGAATCGGCGTCCATCATGATCGGTATCGCTCGCGATGTGCTCGAGCCGACCGGCATCCTGCGTTACGCGATCGATTCGACGTTCGTGTACCTCTCGTATGCAGCGACATTCCTGCTCAAACTCGTATCGCCTTCCTTCACTCACATCATTGACGAGGAATCGGCGATCCGTTTGGTACGCAACGTCGCCGAGACGTTTGAACGTGCCGCGATCGATGATACGCACACCCCCGCTCTGTATGCGTCGTTCCTGCGCGCTTTGATCGACAACAAGCTCAACACGGGACGGACAGCCCCTGGTTCGAGGGCAGCAACGCGACCTTCTTCGCCTGCCCATGGCGCGGCGTCGATGGGTGGTGGTATTGGTGTGGGAATGGAGGCTTATTTGAAGTCGAGGGCCAACTCGCCTGGTGGTGAAGGGCTCGAAGGTGCGGCGGGCGGGTCCGAGCACCACTCGTCGACGAACAATGAGCATTTCGATTCGTTGGCGATGGACTCGATGTTGAGCAACGGAGGATTCTGGGACAATATGGTGAGTCTCTCGACAAGGGCCACACGTCCTTCCCGGACACCCAACTAACAGTGCGTCGTCTCTCCTTCCCACAGCTCATGCCCGGTTTCGGAGGACCACTCCAAGGCCTATCAGGGGGAACAGGGACGATGTTGGGCACAATGGGGGATCATTGGAGCGTGACGCCGATGCATTCTCGACCTGGGTCACCGAATCCTTTCGGCCATTCGTTCCCTCATTTCGATTTCGCGAACCCACCCTCGTCTTCGTCCGGTGGGCAAGGCGGAAGTGCGAGTGGCGGTCAGGGGCATCAACACCAGGAACATGGAGCAGGGCATGGCGGAACAGGAGGGGGTACGGGCGGAGGGAGTACAGCTGGGCTGTAAAACGGTGGGTGTGTAAGAAATGTAAAAATCGACGACCGCGTACTTCGTGTGTCCCCACCGCATACCCAAGCTCGAGGATGGCGGGACATTCTTTGAGCAGGGCTTTGCTAGTTTGCTTCATTTTCTCTCTCGGTATCTTCGATGATGTCCTCTTTTCTCTCCAGTAGTGCTGTTTATGCATCTTTCTTCCATTCTAGGGTACCTAGTAGTCACAGGGGCAAATCTTGGGCCGAGCGCTTTCTTTTTTTTTGTGTAAAGCAACCACGACGGAAATATCGAAAATCTCATGAGTTTGACCCGGGTGCAGGAAAAGAGAGACATGAAGGTGTTTGGTCTATCAGCTTACGTTTGATGATCCCCCAGTGCCCAGTGCAACAAATCCCATGTTCCCAATCCGGGTCGGACCATTCGGTAAGCTCGGCTCCCCAAATTGAGTCTCGTCCACTCGCGCGCGCGCTCTCTGTCGCTTTTTATATTACGCGTGGGCAGGCGTGGGCTCGCGTAGGGCTAGCGTAGGCTCGCGTGTATACGCGTGGGGGTCATTCAACTTGAGGCCGCTGTCTCGACCCAGGCGGGTTCCTTCTGCCCTCATCACAGCTCTGCTTACCCCCTATAACGACCCCTCACGAGCTGCATTGATACGATATGAGTTTCTTTGGGACTGTTGGTGGTTTGTGAGTTCCTGGTGCCTGGTGCCTGGTGCGCCCTGCAGTCGTGGCGTGGTAAGACGTGGTCGCTGATGGACACCGTCGTCCGATCGATTGCTTCGGACTGACAGGGCTAAAGCGCGGACGACGTTCAAGCCCCGACGAGTAAGGCCGTGATGATGTCCCAGCGAGCTCGAGAGGGATGAGACCGACTAGAGAGGTGATCTATGCTTTCACAGAACACGCAGGAGAATACAAAGTCGTATCAGCTCAAGAAGTCAGTTCTGTCGTCTCCGAGCATGGCCGCTCGTCCGTGGCCAAGCGGGTCTGGGCGCGGTGTTGCTTGTTTGAATAGCGAAGCTGACCTTCGCCATTGCTCTGTACGATAGATATGCCGAAGCGACGTCAGTCATTTGAGATAGAAGGAACCTGCCCTATCGAGACCTGCAACTGAAGCCTCGCCCCCTCCGAACAGACTCGGCTCCGGGAACTTGAGGTTGGCGGTCGTCCTGCCCGAGGGGGAGGACTTGAATGAGTGGCTGGCTATCAACAGTCAGTTTGTATTCATGCCTACGATTGTCTGTTGCTGGATCTGACGTTCGCCTTGAGTCACTCCCCTATCAGCCGTCGATTTCTTCAACCAGATCAACATGCTCGTAAGGAGCAAGCCCCCAACCTACGCATCGTCGATTCTCAACTGACCTTATCCTCTTTGGACATTCCTCCACAGTACGGGACGGTCACGGAATTCTGCACACCTCAGGAATGCCCCGTCATGTGCGCAGGGCCGCGCTACGAGTACCACTGGCAGGACGGCGTCAACTTCAAGAAACCGACCAAGATGTCAGCACCCGGTCCGTTCGAGGCACTTTGGCACGATAGGAATTGTGGCCTGGGGTGACAAGAGCTGACCGCGCTTGCTTCGATGGGTCGCCAGAATACGTCGATCATCTGATGAACTGGACCCAGGCTCAACTTGACGACGAGGCCGTGTTCCCGAGCAAGATCGGTGAGCTTGAGCAGAGACGATAAGACACGCACGTACCTCAGCAAGATGCATGCTCATGTTTCCCCTCTCCCTCCGTATTAGGTGTTGCTTTCCCCAAGAACTTTGTCGCGACCGTCAAGTCGATCGTCCGGCGCTTGTTCCGCGTCTACGCCCACCTCTACAACCACCATTTCGCCCAGTTATGCGCGCTCAGTATCGAAGCTCACATCAACACCAGTTATCGGCATTTCTTGTTGTTTGTCACAGAGGTACGTCCAGTGCGGGCCTTGTTACCCTTTCCAGGAATGTTTCCTGAACGTTCTTTTCCATGACGAATTTTGTGTACAGTTCAACCTGATCGACCGAAAGGAGTTGGCGCCTTTGTCGGAATTGAACGAGTCGATCATGGTTTCGTCCTGATACGGACCACGAACAAGCATGACATAACGCCCTTTGACGTCTTCTCCCTGTGTCCTGTGCGACGCTTATGATGTGTTTACATTTCGTTTCGCCTCACCTTGTCTTCTTCGAGTCCTTTTCCGACCCATGTGTGTAGTCATACTCGTCACGTCCTTCTGACACCCCTCGTCTTCTAATGCATCTGTCTTCATCACCTCCGTCGCTCTTCGTGAGCTTTGCTTTTGGTCGAACGTGGTTCAGGTTGGCCCCCGGTCCAATGAATGACGCAACCCACCCCTTTCCGCACATCGCCGTGCGCTCTGCATGAATGCGAACTTGTCACTTGAATATCGAGGTAGAAACACTATCTAGTCTTGGTCAGGCTCTCATGAACGTAAAGCTGGTTTCGGAAAGTGTACTTTGAACCATGAATAACTCAAAGAGACTCTTGGTGGAGCAACTTGCCTCGGTTCGATCACTGAAGATGTTTGCACTGGTGTAAAGCGGGCGGTGGGGCACGCTTGAGGTGTCACGGCGCGCAGGACCTTCGTAGGTGGCAAAGTCGGACCCCCGTCTCTGGGAACGATGGGGACAGCACACCACTATAGTCGAATTGCGTGAGATAGGAAATGCTCAGTATTTGCTTGTGGCTGACATACATTTTGAGAGTTGCGATGACAGGCAAGTCGATGTCGACGCTTACAGTATAAGTCGCGATCGAGACACGCGAAAAGGGGTTGAGCGGTGACCGATCGTCAATTTCGCCGTCCGGCGCATCCTTCATCTACGACACTTTGCGCGGGGAAAATTCAGGGAAAAGTCTACCAAGCCGGAAAGAGACCACCAAGTCCAGTATGCGATGCGCTATTTGTAGGGGAATCGCGCGGCGAACCCATCTGGCACCGAATAGTACCGGCGTTCTGACCTCCTATTTCTGGCGCCATGTTAGCTTGAGCTCACGCTCCACTTTTGCATGAACCTGATGCAGCTCTTGGGAGATGTATGAAAACGAGTTCTTGAGATCATATGTTTTTGATCCTGTAAAGTACCTGATTTGTCCTGCGCAACGTGATCTTTATTCGCCGAACAGAACTTCGGCAATATACTCTAGTGTCTCAGATGGAAGTATGGAGCGGGTTGACTGACTCAACTTGTGCCCGGGCTCGCTCGCTCGCTTCACACCCCTGCCCCCCTCAACTGCCCCCCTCAACCGCTTGCTCATCATTGGGGTCATTACAATCGAGTACATCAGCGCCCCTTACATTTCACTTTGATCTACGCCCACCATGGCGCCTTCCAAGTCGAGTAAAGCCTCGTCTGCCTCGGCCGGCGCGAAACGTCGATCATCGTCGACGTCGACTGCGACCTCCTCCAAGGCCAAGACCGGCTCCACCCTCAACTCTTCGTTCACCGCGTCGAAAGCTTCAGCGACTTCGAATGCAAAGAAGGCAGGTGTCACCACGGTCAAGGAGGAGGTGGGATCGAGTAGCAAGACCGCTCCCTCGTCGATGACGATGACGACGGGGACGACCAAGGAGCTCGAAGAGGCCAAGGCATTGCAGGAGGAAGAGAAGAAATTGATAAAGAGCTACGGCAAGTTGATGAGGGAGAGTAGTCGGATCATGGGTACCGCGAGTGAGTTCATTGTCAGGTTACTAGCACGACGCGGCTTCGGCGTGGATGACGAGGTGGCGCTCGCTCGGTTCGCTGTCCCATCCCGCGTGACGCTTCCACTGCGCGGCGGGTCAATTTGACTTCTCGCCCCAGCGATCGAGCGCACCGATGGGTTCGGAGTACTGACAGTGAACCTTTGTACACATCCGCTATGACGACAGTACATGATCAAGTAAGTCTTAACAAATTTCTTGATGTCAAGTATGATATCCCAAACTGACAAATGTCAAAATTTGCCCATGCCTCACACAGGACTGGCTCCCGCTTGAAGTCGTATTGAGGGTGTTCGATGCCGATCCAGATTACGGTCCTTGTTCAAACCAGTCGTGAGTTCCTGGTGAATGACCACGTTGATTGAGGACGCTGATTCATCCAGCTGTCGTCGGTCACAGTCGATTGGAACGATTCGAACGAGCAGAACGTCTCGGACTTGAACCGCCAAGCGAGGTACGATTTCTCATTCATTCGCTCAAATGAAAAGGCATCCTGCTGACTACGAAATACCACTCCTTCGTTAGATCGGTGCGATTCTTCGATCCAAGGTCGGCCTGGCTCGCCCCGAGTACAGAAACTCCGTCTTCTCTGGTACGTCGGCGCTTCTCTTCGCTTCTTGCGTTCCCAAGCGATTCGAGAGCTCAGGGTTGCTGACTCTCATGCTCTCCCTGATTTCTGTATTTCCGAATAGTCTGAGTCTCGCCGCCGCCCTGCCGCTTTTTCGCTATCGCCCGTTTCACGGTTTCTCCTCTTGTTTGCTACCGTCCGTTGTCATTTACTCTGTACTCGCTCTTTTTCTCCTGTGAATGTGCATACCGGTCTCTCTGTTTTCTACTTCAACCACTCCAGCATCCCAAGAAGACCGTGTGGCTCGGATGGCTTTCTCCTTTCTATGGAGCCAAGAAGGGAGCGACTGGTGAAGGGGGGTATGTGTGTAGTCCTTGTCTCACCATTTTAGTCTACACGGCAATTGGTCAAGCCAACGTTGAGGATGTCCGCGGCTCCGATCGCCTGATGATCGCACGAGACGTGATCAGTCAATCTATTGGATCCCCTCAACATCTTATCTGCCGGAGGACTAACCTGCAACCGATCCATCACATCGGCCACTTCCGCTTTCAACACCATCGAACTAACAGCAACCCACTCTGGATCATCCAGAGGCGAAACGGTCGCTGCTCTTCTGCCGGGTGTGATCTTGGTCGCTTCATCGACGACGTCCCTACGGATGTTGTACTGCACCAGGACGTAACGACCTGCTGCGATCACTCCGGCGATACGGGAGGTGATGCGCGTGATGAGAGAGGTCGTAGGGCCGTCGGACGACTTGTTCGATCGGATGAGGACGGCTTGGGAGGTTAGGAGGGTAGAGATCGCTGTCAGACCGGCGGCTCGCATCGTTTCGCCGGATTCTGGTGGGGAAATGGGAGAGGGTAGGTTAGTGATCCGGATGGTAAGAACACAAAAGGTCGTGGACATGAAAGGCTCACCGACAAGGTCGACTGGTGGACAGTATCAGGAGGGAGAGACCAAGAACTGTTAGCGAAACCGACTCGTTTTTGCTTCGCCCTTCTCTCTTGCCAAAACTCACCAATTCCATCGGCCAACCCTAGCGCACATGCCGCCTCGACACTGCCACCGACGTACTCGATCAAGGTCTTCTTCTCCGGCGCAAGCCCAGCCTTCTGATCCAACTCGCCAAAGTACTGCCCCGCCAAGACCTCGAACGAAGTGACGATCTTCTTGCCCACCAAATCGTCGACCGTCTTGATCGGACCCTTTTCGGGAACTTGGATTTGGAGTTTGCATTTCCCGAATCCGAGGGGGAGGACTTCGGTGACGAGTTTTTGGGCAGAGGCTTCGGCGACCATGTCTTGGCCGGTGATACCGAGGTGTACGTTGCCTTCGCCGACGAAACGAGGAATGTCCGCCGCGGGGAGGAAGACCCTACGCGGAAGAAAGAACAAAGGTTCAGTAAGTCTGGATCTCGTTGGGAAAAACGATGGGCCGTAACGCACAGAGCCATGTTGTGGTTGCGCACGAGGCAGACGTCCAATCGGTGCGAACGTGTGAACTGGATGTCCGCGCCTGCCAGGGTGAGGGGGATGGGTATGAGCATGGCGTGACACTCATTTGAGAAGAGTATCATCATAAAGTAGCTCACCAGCCAAAAGTTCAAGGCATTTCTCGTACAAGCGGCCTGACGGAGCGCATGACCGCGAGAGTTCACCGAGAGAAGGAGCGCACGTGAGTCAAAAGGCGAGTTGAGGAAGAATCAGCATGATCAGCTCCCCCGTGCAACGAAGACGAAGACGCAGGAGGAAGGAAGCGCGATCTCTTTCCTCGACTGACCCTTTTTGGGAATGGCGAATAATGTTCGGCCCTTGAGCGACTCGTTCAGGAAATCCGACATGGCTGCTGCGGTTGGGACGGACCAGGGCGGCAGCTGGGGTGGGTGGGAGCCGCGGAGGAACTGGTAGATTCAATGTGGCCCAGGCAAGTGCGGATCCAGACGACTGGTTGAGGAATCCGATCCAAGAGATACGCGGGGTCGGTGGCCGAGGCAGGGCTATGTATGGATCGGAACGAGTTCAACAGCGGAGCGCCGGACGGACTCGCTGCCGCTTCTTCGCCAAGAGCGAACGAGCTCAATTCTGGGCTATCGGGGAAATTGTGCCATTACAAAGTCCAGTTAGGCCCAGGGGCCAGCGCGCAAGTTGAACGTTGATCGATATGATCGATGGCGCGCGACTGGCGCTCGCGCGTTTCCCCAGATTCGCCCGTCCGTCTGCTTCCGTCTGGGGCGCCCCACTCGACCCTCCCTCTCGTCTTCCTCCCCACCCCTCGTCTCTCCTTGCCAAGATGGGACTCGGAGACAAGTTGTCCGTCATCGCCGTCGCGACCTTGGCCGTGTGGTCGATGCTGCTCGCCAACAACTGGACGAGTCGCACACCCCACTTGAAGGGCTTGAACGAGGCCAAATCGATCATTTGGGTCATCGCGCATCGTACGTTCTCCCTCCCATAGACGGGTACGATCCCGTATCGAGGTTGTAGACTGCCTGACACCGTCCCGAGGCTTTGGGCAGCCGACGACGAGGCCTTCTTCTTTGGACCTTCGTTGACCAACTTGCTCGCCCCACCTGGCCGGGACGAGGAGAAGAGCAAGAGGGTCTATCCGGCCGGCCACATCCTCAGTCTCTCAAGTGGCAAGTCAGATATGGTGATATCGATCTGCAGCATCTTATGAACTGTCTCTCTCGTCGCTCCCACAGGCAACTACGAAGGCCACGGAGAGGTCCGTACGGCCGAGTTGAAAGAGTCGTGTCGCATGTTCGCCGTCGACGACGACAAATGCGTCGTTGTCCATGATCCGTAAGTCTGCTAACGCCGGACACTTTTGTTGGAGCCTTGCGACTAAGGCGCTGCCGGTTATGCCTCCATCCCCAGTCGACTCGTCGATGGTCCCGATCAGACTTGGTCCGCGGATGTGATTAATTCGATCGTCGCCGAAAAAGTCAAGCAATGGAACGCCGATGTCGTATGTTTGCTCTCGCATTCACCTCACCTTTTCTAGGCGATGGCTCAGTTCTGATCGTTCATTGCAGATCATCACCTTTGACCCGCTCGGCGTCTCGTCCCACCCGAACCATGCCTCCCTTGGCCAAACCCTCCTCGCGGCACCTTCGACCTTCCCTCAAATCTACCTCGTTCGGACCACACCTCTCCCTCTCAAATTTACCTCCCTCCTCCTCCTGCCCCTGAAGCACCTCCAACACAACATCATCCCTTCCTCCCTCATCCCCTTCCTACCCTCCTTACCCGGCATAGGAGCCATCGGATCGCCCTCCCCTCGAACGGTCTTCTTGACGTCTCCTCCCCCCAGCTTCATCCTGACGAGGTTGGCGTTCGATGCGCACCAGAGTCAACAGACGTGGTTCAGGACGCTATATGCTTTATTCAGTCATTACCTCTGGTGGATCGAGTTGGTCCCGAGGGAGGAGTATGAGCTTACCAGAGGTGCGCAAGTGGGTCGGCTCAGTGCGGAGGGCAAGACGGAGCTGTAGCCGTATTCGGTTCATGGGATTGACTTTGGGCCTCGTGCGTTGGGATAGTCGAAGGTTGTACGGCTGGGAGTGCGCCGAGAGTGCCTTTGAGAGAAGCTGTTTTGGTATAATATCAGAGTCATCCACTTGGTTGCGTGCGCAGCAGGTGGCAAAACAGAAAAGCGCGTTCGCACTGACACTCGTTCAAGGTGAATCGTACCAGTGAGGTCCCGATGACGCAGACCTGAGCGGCTAGGTATCTTCCTTGCAATCTTACCGCACTTCCCAACGCTCCAAAAGACCTTGAAAGTTTGTCGTGGCTCACCATCCTACCAACGACGTTTGTTGATTCTTTACGGCGATAGGGGCCAACGTGCGACGAGCTCTCCGAGCCACCGTGATGCGCATCCGCTCTTGCTGGCAGCACTGTTCACTCATTCTCATTCCACCCTGCGAAGCAGATCTCGCCAGAAGAATAGGGGGCCTGCATTTTAAAACTAGTGCAGAGTACCTCGTGCAGCTAGTACCTCCCTACCTTTAGCTCCTCCTGGCGATGAATTCTCCTCGGGTATCACTGCATGCCGCAGTGTTTCTCCCGGCCGATGATGATCATGTCGTGCGACGAGCGGTAAGCGCACAGAGCTATGCGCGGGGTCAGTTAAAATGTGGGTGGAACAGGAAACAGAGGTCGTCGTGGAACTAAGAGAAAGTGATAACCAATGACTATGTATCGACGCTCTCCCGCCGTCTAACCCCTCGGAGTCGAAATGTCAGTCGAGCTTTCCTTTGCCCACTATTAGCACGCCAATTTTCGCCCTGGTAGATGTCGAAGCGTTCCATTCTAGGGATGCCCAGTTGAAATCACCACCAATAACAAGTGGGCGAGCCGAAGTCCTTGGTACAGAAACCGTAGCATTTGTCTCCAACGTCATCGACCCGCCTTCCCCAGTCGTTGACATTAGTAAGGCGTTTCAGGAACACATTGAAGGTATCGAGTCAGTGACGGAAACGTCTCAAATGGTGAAAAGCAATCACTGATTCAGTGATTCGGTCAGCGCTCGAGTTTCGAGTTTGACTTTTCGGGAAAAACCTCCTGGAATTCCGCACCTTGTCGGCCAAGGCGTCGAGATCTCCCACAGCGGCCACCTTTCACCCCGCTCGAGGGCACTAGCTGTCCAGTACGATTTTGAGACTGAGCACCGGTAACATGGCTGACGGGCCAGCTCAGAACTGGAAGACTGGCGATTCAACATCTCGAGTCGGGAATCGAGATGTTGTGCTCTTCAGGCTAATCAGAAGATCCGCTGGTTTCCGGACCCCATATCTGGTCTCCTCTGCTGGGTTCGGAGACGTAATAGCTCCGCTTTAGGGGGCATCCCGGACTCCCCCCTGTAATAATAAGAGGTCGGTTCATCTACATATCGCTAGCTTGAGCAGAGGGGGCATGAATGTCCTTGAGTGGGTGTGAGGAACACATCGGGTCGTCTCTCTCTCTCTCTCTCTCTGGAGGCGAAATCTTCTGCAGTTTGCTAGAGCCCGGCCAGGAGGTGCAACAGAAGCTAAGCCTGGTAATAGTCATAAGGGTATCGCAATAGATGTGGTGAATATCGTAACTTCGACTTAGTCATACACGCTCTTCATCAATCACACCGACATTGGCGGTCCCTCCCCCCTCCCTCGTAAGCTCATCTCGAGAATCAAGTCTTCAACTCCAGCTCGACCGGGCACGTCGTCCTCGTCGACTGCAATTTCGCGATCTTGGTCCCAATCACACCTTGGATCTTGAACGTTAAACTAATGCCAATAGGGAGGAGGGTTGAAGTTGTATTGGCGGTACAAGCCCGGATGACGTCGCCGTAGGTGGTGGAATTTGTCGAGGTGTAGGTCCCGAGGAAGGAGATGGGGATCATGACTGGGGTACGCAAGGGGAGTGGGAGTGAATGGGAGGAGTTGGTTTGGCTAATAGGTGGGTCTTTAGGGTTGGGGAGACTGACCATTCCTTTTCCCTCGTGCGGGAAGGGAGATTGCATTGTAGGGGTACCCTCCGGTTCCGATTATTTCGCTCGAGGACAGATCCAAGACGGTCGCTTGTAAGGAGGTCATCTTGTAGGGGATCCAGGAGGATGATGAGTCGACTGCCAAGATAAGGAGGAATGTCAGCGAGTAACCGTGTTGATTAGGAGGTTAAGCATGATTGGTCACCTTGGATTGAGATGTTGGCTGAAAACGCGAATGAGGCAGGCGAGGTCGAATAGTCGGCCTGGAAGCCCGCGTTGGCGGTAAAAGACTCCAGATCACTGGGAGAACAAAACAAACGCATAAGTACTGAAAGGCTTGCCTTCGCTTTGACTTCATTCGAGTCGCTTCGGTAAGTCCGAAAGACGAATATTCTCACTTTTCATTGGCCCAGTTAACGCCTGGGACGCGAGGGATAAAGAAGAATAACAGAAGGCCTAGGCTGTAGGACGTATGGTGATTTTGACAAGAATAAATACCAAACTTCAGCGATCGTCTCTTGCTTCGTGTCGCCGGGCTAGCACGCAGCTCTGCCATGCGCAGTCCGTACGACTCGCTCTTGCGCAAGAGCTTCGGATCTCGGAGTCCGGATCGAGAATTGCTCATATGTCCCTCCTTTCGGCTTCTGATCCATCGCCCTGTACAACTCACCAAACCAGTACCGCAAATATCCCAAAAACCCAACGTTGTTTCCGATCGCCGAAATAGGACCTCCACTTGTCTCTTTTCTCCTCGGCGGCGCGGCGTTGCTGCTGGCGTTGCTGCTCACGAAGTTGGTCGCGTTCGTGCTCGAGCTTGCGTTGGATGTGATGTTGTTCGAGGAGTTGTTCGTTGTGAATGAGGGAGACCGTTTGGAGGTGGTTTGACCTGGGGGTTGGGGAGGTGAAGATTAGCTTGTGCATGTACTGCTTCAGTAGTTCCCGGCGTCAGGCGTGGCCTATGCACTGGTGGAGCGGAAGGCGGTGTCTGCTACGGTCAACCCTCGATCGCAGCAAGTGGGGGTGTTTCAAAGCGTTCGCGTTCGGATCAGGTTTCGAAAGACAGAGAACTCACGATTGCAATGTCGCCGGAGTGGGTCTGAGAAAGTCGTCGTAGGTGTCATAAGATTCTTCTTTGTAAGAGCTCATCGGGCCGAGTGGGATGGAACTGATGTAGACGGGAGTACGGACCGTCTCGCTGCGGCGTCCGTTTCGAAGAACTCGTCGGCGTCCGTTTGGTGATCTTGGCACGTCGATTTCAGTTTCGGCTTCTTTGGGAATCGCTAATCGCCCGGTCATAATGCGCGCCATTGCGCGCGGAGCTGCAAGCCGACGGCTACTCGGCTTTCCGGAAGGCGGTGCAGGCAGGTGCAGGCCCCTGCAGGCCAGTTGCAGGCCCGTGCGAGTCGAGCAGCTGCCAAGTCGTCCCATTTCACCCACTCGCTCCCCCTCCGCACACTCACATCCCTTTCGCCCCTCGCCCACCCCCACCCTTACACGAGCTCACCATGCGCGCCTCGCCACCTACATGGATCAAGTTGTTGGTCCCGATCAAGCGCACGGTCGATTACTCGGTCAAAGTGCGCGTCGGGCCCCAGGGCGTCGAGACTGCCGGCGTAAAGCATTCTTTGGTCAGTCGACAGCTTTGCGCGGCATATTCAGCCAGGGTTGGGAACTGCGACTAATGCTCGGTGACCTGGCTATGTAGAACCCCTTTTGCGAGATTGGTGAGTCGGCGTGGGAGGGTTCGATCGGTCGAGGAGAGGAAGCGTCATCGGCAGACATCGGCAGAACGTCGTCCGGGGCTACGAAGGCGCCAGTCCATCGTTGGCCAATGATATGCTATCGATCGACATGCCAAAGTAACGGAGCAGCTTTGTCGTCTGGCGTGTTCTTCTCTCGATGGCACAGTTCCAGACATCCAGGCCAGGATCTACTAAAAACAACACAAGCGCTGACACCCCACTTCTTCCCCCCTCCCCCCCTTTGGACGACCGGACCATCCTCCAGCCGTCGAGGAAGCCGTTCGCCTGCGTGAGAAGCTCAAAGAGCAGATCGAATCCATCACGGTCGTGACGATCGGTCCTCCCAAAGCTGCCGACGTCTTGCGCACCGCATTGGCGATGGGCGCCGATGCGGCGATCCACGTCGAAGTCAAGGACGGTCAGGACGTGCAGCCTCTGGGTGTCGCGCAGGCGTTGAAGGCCATCGTCGAACAGGAGAAACCGGACCTCATCATCCTCGGCAAACAAGCAATCGACGATGACTCGTCCCAGGTTGGAGGGATGCTCGCCGGTTTGTTGGATTGGCCCCAGGCCAACTTTGCGAGCAAGCTTGAGGTCGAGGGGGACAAGATCAAGGTGGCGAGGGAGATTGATGGTGGGTTGGAGACGTTGACGATGGCTTTGCCGGCGGTGGTGACGACCGATTTGAGGTTGAACGAGCCACGTTATGCGAGCTTGCCGAACATCATGAAGGTTCGTTCTGCTTTCTCTGCCCGGATCTTTGGCTGCGGGATCTCAAGACAGGGCTCCGGCGGACTGTTGGTCTCATCTATACGTGTTGACTCGTCTGAATTTCAACACGGCGTATAGGCCAAGAAGAAGCCGCTCAAGAAGATGAAGGCAGAGGACCTCAAGGTGGATCTGACGCCGCGCTTGGAGACGCTCAAGGTCGTGGCCCCGCCGGCACGACAGGGTGGTGCCAAGGTTAGTCATCAGGCAATTGCAAAAGGATGCAAAACAAAGTATCCCACTGTCCGAAATTGATGATTCCCTCTTTTTGTGGTCAGGTCGGCTCGGTGGATGAGATCGTCAGTAAACTCAAGGAGGCTGGCGTGCTGTAAAAAGTGACAGGCCACGGTGAATGACTAGTATCACTAGGAGTAATCTGAAATCTTGAAATCAGCTACACACGTTTGTTGATCCTACCTGGACGAAAGACCTTGCCTGACAAAGAGTACTGACGGCGCGGGCTATTAGTGTGGTTCAGAGTTGAGGGAAGCGGTCCGTGCGAGGCCAACGTTCCGTCGTCTTCCTTTCTCGCGCGTCGTCGCTGAAGCAGGCTGAAGCAGGCTGAAGCTGGCTGAAGCGGCTGAAGCGCTGAAGCAAGCGTTTCCCAAGCCCTACGCCTACTGCCCTCCCTCCACCCCACCCCGCCCCACCCTACCACTCACACATCTCACTACTACCATGGCATTCGGAACACTTTACGGCGTAGGTCCATTCTTTCCCTCGGGAACAGCAGATGCATCGATTACGATGTGACGTTCCGCTTGACTCGGCTAGCCGGCCACTGCTGGCGTTCGCTGGAGGTGTGCGAAACGTGGTGGTGTGACGCCGTGAACCCACTTCAGCGCCGCATTGGCCCCGCCACACACCTCGGCAGTGCAGTTCCAACACACCCCTTTGGCTGGTGCGAGTTCATGGTGCAGGTGCACATGTTCCTCGGACTGTTGTGCGCTGCCCAGGACGTGTGATCTGTCGTGCGGAATCGTTCGCTGGATTTCTGGTTCGCCACGCACCGGCCAGCCCAGCCAGCGCCAGCACGGTCCGGTCACCAGCAGCAGCCGCCAGCAGCCACACTTGCTCGCTCTCGGCCTCAATCAGCTCGCAATCAATCACTCCTTCACGTCACTGACCCCCTATCTCTACCCGCCCACTCGCCTCGCTTTTCGCGCCCCTCTCATCACCAACCCACCCCAAACCATACCTTCCTACATCCCCCCACGCCCATAGTTCCCCGGCAACCCCCGTACCAACGCCGCGCTCGTCACGGCCCAGTACGAGGGCATCGACCTCGACTTTGTCGATGTTCACCCCTTCGCCGAGGGAGGCATTGATGCCGCCTACAAGGCCAAGTTCCCCTTGGGACTCGTGAGCCATGCTTCATCTGCGTTTTTCTCTCCCGCGCCGCCTTCTGAACAACCCGTCTCCCTTCTTCCCTCCTAGGTCCCCGGCCTTGAAGTAGGCAGCCTCTTGCTCTCCGAGACCCTCGCCATCTCGACCTACCTCGCCTCGCAGAGCAACAAGGCCAACCTCTTCGGCTCCACCAAGGAGGAGACCGCGATCGTCTACCAGTGGGCCTCGTGGGCCAACCAGGAATTCCTCCCCAAGCTCGGCTCCTGGTTCGCCCCCCTCCTCGGCATGGTCCCTTACAACAAGAAGGCCGTTGACGACGCCAAGGCCGTCGTTCTTGCCCGCGGCGACTACCTCGAGAAGGCCTTGGCCAACAAGACCTTCCTCGCGACCGAGCGCATCACCATCGCCGACATCCTCCTCGCCGCCGTGCTCGCCCGTGGCTTCGAGAGGGTTCTCGACGCCGAGTACCGCGCTGCGCGACCCAACACGATGCGCTATTTCAAAACGGTCGTGCACCAACCCGAGTTCCAGACGGTCCTCAAGGGCGAGCCCACTTTGTGCGAAAAGGCGGTCCAGTACACCCCTCCCAAGAAGGAGGCCAAGCCCGCTGCCGCCGCCGCCGCTCCTGCGCCCAAGGCCAAGGCCGCGCCCAAGCCCAAGGACGCCGAGGAGGACGAGCCCTCGGCCCCATCGGAGCCCAAGGCCAAGCACCCGTGCGAGGCGCTCGGCCCCGCCAAGTCGTTCCCCCTTGACGAGTGGAAGCGACAGTACTCCAACAACGACACCCCCGTCGCGTTCGAGTGGCTCGAGAAGAACTTTGACGCGCAAGAGTACTCGCTGTGGAAGTGCGAGTTCAAGTACCCCGACGAGCTGACGCAGGTGTTCATGTCGTCCAACTTGATCACCGGCTTCCACTCGCGATTGGAAGGCTCGAGGAAGTACGTCTTTGGCTCGACCGGCGTCTACGGCACCAACAACAACTCCAAGATTGTGGGTGTCTACCTCATCCGCGGTTCGGACTACAAGGGCGTCTTTGACGTTGCCCCCGATTATGAGTCGTACGAGTTCACCCCCTTGGACCTTAAGAACGACCGTGACTTCATCCTCGGCTGCTGGGCATGGACCAACACTTACAAGGGCCTCGAATACGCCGACGGTAAGGTCATGAAGTAAACGCTTTCTATGTTCGAAAGACGCTCTCTTCATTTCCTCTTCCCCTTGTCACCTCCAACTCCTAAAAGTCGATCCCCCCTCCCCTCCCCAACCCATCGCCACTTCTTCCGCCTTCCCGGAGTTTGCTCATGCCCTACCACCTCTTTATAGATCTCTTTTACTTCTCCCCACCACCCCTGAATTTCTAATGACAAATCTCTGTTGAGGCAGATGATCGGACTTTGGGCGGTTGATCGACCTCCCTTTCTTCTACTACTACCTGCCGCGTTCTTTGTTCCCTTTCCCTCCCCCCTGAAAGGTTATCATTTTCTTTCAGCTTCTTTTCTCGTGTGCAATCCCCACTGGACTTGTATGTTGAAGGGAACCAAACTAATCGCGGTCGGTCGTGGAGAGTGCTCGATACTATAGAGTCGTTCGATTGAACGTTGAGGACTTTCTGCGACTAGTAGGGTACAATGCACTCGGGTGAGAATGGTTACTACTAAGAGAAAGCGTTCCGCAGAATAAGCTAGTCACGTCAGAGATGAAGACTAATTTTTGAGAAGTCAAAAAGTGTTTTGTGTCCGGTCCAGGAGGAGGCCCCCCTCGACGCGCAACTGATTCCTGAGTTGAGGCGTGCAGGAAAACCTGCTTTTCGGCGAAGTGCTCGCCTCGACTCGCCCTCGCCCGCCCGCGCCGGCGCGCCAACGCGTCAACGATAGCGGAACCACGCTCGAGCTCTGTAGAAGAACTGTCATGCAAACCCACGCGATTGCTATACATTTAAATACTACATACGGCTCAACAATTCCGTACCACTTAAAACTCGACAAAGTTCGTACTCGGGCTGTAGCTCGGTTTTTATGGTTCAGATAAGGTCGTACATGTACATGTGGTTGGGACGCCAATAGGCAAGTGCCGTAAACTCAATTGTATGTTGGTACATTCCCCAGACGACCCTCTCGGCCGCAACACGGTCAAACACAGCGATTAAGGTACATGGGTCGCGGATCGACACTATTTTTTTGACTGCCTAGAGTAAAGGATTTATGACAACACTTGAGAATTCTAGGATACGACAAACCAGAGGGCAGTGCGAGGAAGGTTGGAAGCAACGCTAAAAGCGAGAAAAAGGGGTGCTACGAAACACGTGAAAGCGTCCATTCGGAATAGCACATTCAATTGTCTACTGGGAACGCGTCGAGACCTTGTGCCGCACCATCACGGGCGGCGACGACTCCGGACTGGTCGGGTTCGACATCTTGTCCTTCATCCTTGAATCGGGCGAGGAGCGGTTGATGAAGAAGCCATGGCGGAAAGAGCTGAGATTGAACTTGGGCTTGTGCGACTATTCGACCACCATGATTTCCGCCTACGCCTGGTGAGGCCGAAGGGTTCGGTTGATGCGGCAGTGGATTGAGGAGCGGTTGTAGATGATGGTGCATTTCGTGAGTCGTAGGGCTAGGGGAAGGAAACGTTTTGGAACTCGGTTATTTCTTCGACCTGCTGATTCTCTTCTTCCAGAGGGGGTAGCATCGTCGACAAGTTGCGATGGTGCGTTTTTGCTCGTGGCCCGGAAGGGTTTGATGATGCTTTAGTCGAGGTTGATCGCTGTAATGGGTGTAGCCTTGAGGCTTGAAGCGTATATTCGTATTCCTTGGCGGGGTCCTTCAACATCCGATACGCTTGCGCAATACGACCGCAGCATGAAGCTTGGGCCTTGAGTTGGTTGGGTTTGGCGGCGAACAATTGTTGCGCTTCGAGGAGGTAGTCGATCGCGAGTTGGTGGTCGCCGCAGCGGAGCATGACGAGGGAAAGACGATAGAGGGACCATGCTTCGTCGACGGGTTGGCTGACTTGTCGGTACAGCAAGGATGCTTCTTCGAGGTACGACACTGCGGCGGGGAATAGCTCCCCCTTTGCGGCGAGCTTTCCCAAAGCGTAGGAGCAATCCGCATCCGCTGCAACGAATTTGATCCAAGTCTCGCCCAACCGACGAAAGATGACTCGGGCTTGGAGGTAGTATGCGAACGAAGTGGCGTATTCCCGTTCGGTCGTGTACAGTTTCGCGACGGCGTATAGAGTTCTTGCTTCACGCACCGAGTCCGAGAGCTTGCAAAAGAGCACGAGGACCTGCTTGTAGAAGAGGATGGCGGAGGGCGGGTCCGAGGAAGAGAGCAGGTTCGCCAATTCGCACGAGGTCGAAGCTTCTTGGGGCACGTTGCCCGTTTCGATCAGGATCACGATCGCCTAGATACATGTTGATTGGAGAAGGAAGTCGGAACGTCAGAGCTCAAGGTGAAAGGCTCGATGGCTTGAAGAAGCGAGCAGACTCACGTTTTTGAGGTAGTCGGCGGCTTGCAGAGGATCGCCTGAGGCAATGCAAACAAGTCCGAGTTGTTGCAAGCATGTCGCTTCCTTGGCCAAATCGCCTATTCTTTGAAAGATCGATCGAGCCTGGATGGACACAGAACCGTCAGTATCGCGAAGCTCCTAGGGGCGAAAGAAAACGGAGAGTTTCTGCCCGCCCTCGAGATGCACTAAAACTTGGACGTACCTCGAGCAACAGCCTCGCTGCACTGTGATTGTCGCCCAGCTTGGAGGCACGGTATCCCAGGTCGGCAGTCAAGTTCGCGACCTTCCAGGCCGCCTTGCTCGCTTTCTTGTCCTCGCTCGCCTGCTTAAAAGCCTCGTATGATTCGAGGAACTGCCGCCGGGCTTGGGAGACCCCCTCCGTGGTCGAGATGTCTTCAAGTGTTGCTTCCTTATACATCTTCTTTCCCTTGAGAACCAGTGAGGCAAGGCGACGTTCATGCTCGTCCGAAGGTCCGGCCCTGGGTTCACTCCGAGGGGACGAGATTGGTTCAATCGTCATCGTCGGACCCCGCGGTTCTACGCGCTCCGTCGGCGTTGCGACCACGGGCTGTGAAAGGTCTTCTTCGAATGGAGGCTTAATACGAGGCGGTGACTTTCGTGGTGGCGATACGGCGATGCTTGTTCTTGTTTGCACGTTGGTGGAAGCAGTTTGACGCAGCGTCGCAGCGAGTCTCGAATGCACTCTCGGATGATCCGCTTCTTGCAGGCGATGAGTTAGCGAACCGTTGACGGACTCGGACTGCGACCGTTGAGACTCGGGGTCCAGTGCGCGAGTGACGATTGACGTCGAAGAGCGGCGCAGAGTGGATGAGCCACTGCCTTCAGGGATGATGGAAAGTCGAGTAACAATTGTTGTACGTGAACCCATGGCAACCTCGTAGTACTTCAATGGTTTCGCCCTCTAAGCCGGTGACCGCGAGTCCCGAGTCCCGAGACCAGAATGTGCGAGCTGATCGGTGGTCGATCACTTCGGCTCAGTGGTGTTGCGATCTACACCCAGCTGCGATCGACGTTGCGACTGATGAGCCAAGACGTGCTGCAAGGCCGGTTCCCACCTACTCCCGCAGCGCTATGGCTTCAAGAATGACAAGCCAAGCTGGTCAACACAGGCCAGGTAGGAGGTGCGTGATGTAATGCCGAATGGCGAGGCGTGGGCGAGGTCTGAGGCCGGGGTCTGATGCGCTTTGATGGTTGCGCGACCGTTGCAATGAGCTGTCGAAACAGGGGGGGGGGGGGGGGGCTCCCAATCGAGGGTGCCGGCTTCGTCGGCGGATCTCTGCTATTCTACCGTCAGCGACACCAAGTTCAAAGCCCGTTAGAGCAAGGTTTCGACTCTGTTGATATACGGCAGCTAGCCGGTAGCTTTCTCAACGGGCGGGGTCTGATGACGAAGAGCTTCTCAGCGGCCAACGTCCCGAGTGTTGCACAACCCGCCCGTCAGAGCTTGGAAAATCGGGCCGCTGATGGAAAGGGTTTCAGATCCTCGCGGCGCGCGTGTGAGTTGCAGTGTTCCGTCCGCGCAAGTGGCGGGCCGGCATCCAAAGTGATCATCATACAACGCCGTGCGGCTCGAGCCATGTGGCCGTCAAAGGGTGGACAGAGCTTCTTTCGAAGTCCGCGCTTACTTTGGACCTGAAGCCTCATTTCTGAGCAGCTCTCCAGTGCTCCTACGCCCTCCCCGTCGGACTTTCGGATCTTCTAGCGATGCTCCCTTCCCGGTCGCACTGCACCTGCGGCTCAGACTGCTCCAGAATGCATCCGATCTCCAGCTCTGATGGATTACCAGCGCTCAAGTCTTGCGGGAGAGAACTCGGGTGCATTGCATGCGATTCAGTTATAACATCAACAAGAGGGCAGAAAATGCGGGAGAGAGAGAGAGAGAGAGAGAGAGAGAGAGAGAGTAGTACAAAGTAAACGAGAGTGAAAAGAAGACTAGGTCTCATCACGTGATGCGTCTCTTGCGGCCGTTGGCCGCGGTGAGCAATTACCGCGTTTGCTGTTGTCGAGCTTTTGCTTGGCCAATTGATTGTGGTATCTATCACACAACACAGACAGAGCCTTTATCAGAGACTGCCCAAGTGTCTCGGGAAACCTGATATTTACTCACGTGGCAGAGAGCAAGATGAGGATCTCTTCGAGCGGACTGGTTACACCGGTGTGGACCCAAGCGGGGTATCTTTCGCGTTGTACGCCGATCCATTTGAGAGGTGGCGTAGCTGTAAGAGAACAGAGACGTACATGTGTCAATCACGAAGATCTCGTCGTAGTGGGGGACAGGCCGAGAAGAGGGTAACGGGTGAAAGGCAAAGGCTCACCTTCACCAAGTTGTTTGAATTGGGGCTCTTGCACCTTGATATTGGTTACGGCCACAAACTCGAGCGGTCCATGGCAACCGGTCGCAGCTTGTACCAAAGGTGTCGGCTTCATTAGGACGGGCCCCAGTTCGCCTGCCGACGGGTCCAAATTCTGACCGCTCGACGTGCTTGTGTCGGCACCGAGTTTTGGTGTCGGCGACGCTGCAGAGAGCTGGGGCTTGAGCGGGGTGGGTCGATCAGACGTGGAGGCACTCGGGCCAGAAGACTCCTTTTCCGCCATCACTTGATCCATTCGCTCTTGGTAAAGGGTCGTTACCTTACCTAATGTCTTCAAGAGCGCGTACTACAAGGAGGGATACGACGGAAGCGCTTCTGCGGTCAGCCAAAGGTAGAAGGATCACGTCGGCAATGTCTTACGTTGAGGGTGACGTCGTACTGTCCTCCAGACGTCAATTCGAAAGTGTGCAATAGTCGGTTCGATCCGAAAGCCTGTGTCGATTTCATCAGGACTTCGGTGAGACCGATTTCGAAGATGACGCTCGGTCTCGACGTTCGGAAGAGCTCGAACCAAGCGGGCACGTCGTACTCGCCCACTTGCGTGTTCGTGAGTCGGGTGTGCGAGACTCTGCGAACGGACTGAGAGGTTCGGACGCATACATTAGCGGGTGTGCTAGTAATCGATACTCACAGAAGTACTGGAGGACCTACGAATCCACCGAGGAACAGCTTGAGATGGCGATGCGTTGTCTGGTCCGCCTCGACGCTGCGCGTGAGATTGGCACGCACCCCTCCATCTGCATCAAATCGGAAGACTTGTCCCTCGTTGAAGCTATCGGGGAACACGGCAAGACGGATGCGAAGAAGCTCGAGCTTGAGTTCGTTCGAGATGCGGATTGAACATTTGGCGGCCTCATCATCGAGCGCAAGCTTGGACGCAACAGCCGACACGATGTTGGCACCACGTTGGATCGTCGACGGCCGAGGTGGAAGCCCCGAGTCGGCAAGAGATTTGTCGGCCTCGGCACTCTTCTCGGCGATGAGGAGCTCGATACGATGCAGCACACGGATCAGAGTCGGGAATGTGCCGGTCGTGAGAATGACGTCGAAGAAACCCATTTTGACATGGAAGGCAAGGCCGAGCTCTGCGCTGGCTGTGGTCGTCTGAGACCAATCATCAATGACATCGACGGCGATGGGGTCGGACTGCAGCGCCAGCATCTTTTTCGACTCGAAGTCAACCGTAGCCTTTGTTTCTCCGATGCCAATCTGGATCTGAAGCTGCGCAGCCGTATCATCACAAGCTACCAGGTTAGCGCGATTTCTCACAACTTGGAGAATCGCGGTCGCAGCAATTAACATACCAGATCCGCCGTCCCCCTCTCCTTCGCGCCACTGGCTTCATCCCGAAGTCGAGTCGAGAACAGAATGCCGTCAGTTACGATCGACCCACTGGCTTTGCCTTCGCCCGTGATTCGTAGACTCTGGACGCTCGAAGAGACCAGCCTCGAGTGGCCGGGTATCCATCGAAGTCTGCCATTGAGAACATCCGCAGAAAGCTTAACCCGCCCGATCGAATGCCCGAGGTCGCAAGTGATCTCAAACCGAATGACCTCGAGCAACGCCAGTGTAGAGGTCCTTGAAACAGGAGCACTTGCGGTGGGCAAGGCCAGCGATGAAGTCGAAGGGCTGCCATCTGCAAGCGAGGCGCCAAAGTCGAGCTCCATGCGGTCCACCCAGATTGCTTTGAAACACATCCACACTTGCAGGTTCCGGAAGTTGGCGGCCGCTGACACATCGGGGACCAGCACAGTGATGGACGTGATATCAGAGCTCTCGCCCAATGATCCATCTGAGGCGGGCCGGAATGCTACCGAGGCAGCGATACCTCTGGCCTCAGCATTGAGACATCGTTCCAGTCCTCGCGCATGGTCGTGCCGGACGTCGGCCGATATTCCATCGACGGTTATCGCAAGCTCGACCCTTCTCTCGCTGGGGGTCCATGTGAGTAAGAATCCTCCGCTGTTCCAGAAGAGAGTTGCGGTCACCGGAACGACTGAGTTGCAGGTGATCTTGAGCGATGACTCGTCGATCTTGAGGCTTACACCGAGCCGGAACCGTCCAAATGCACTCGGTGCCAATGCGCCGGACTGATCAGTCGCCGCTGCGACCTCGACGGGCGCTGTTCGAACCATCGCGACCTGCGTAGGAGCAGCGGACCGAATTTTCATGGCGTTGACGACACTCGTGATGAACGGGATCAGAGTAGGCTTTAGCGTATTGCTGCTGCCGTGGATGCGGATGCCGACGTGCAAGTGCGTCAACTCGGATGGCGACGAATCCTGCGTTTCGGCCCAGACCGATACGACGGGAAGCTCTATGAGATCAGGTGCATCAGCGAAATCAATAGTTCCGTAGCGGTGCGATCTCGGGGGAGACCTGATGTCGTGCAGCGACCTTGCGCTCCGAGTGTGGTTGGGCTGTGTAACGCTGGACCTCGGCGTGCCGGTCGGTGTGGACGCACCACCCGTGGCGCCGCCCTTCCTCGCAGAGTGCAGGCGAATTTTGCCCGACTCGAACTTGAACGTGGCGCGGATCCGAAGCGCAATTGAGGAAGACGATGATCGGCGGCAGGGGTCGAGCCGATCCACGACAGGCGCTGCAGTCGACGATGGCGAAGTCTCGGGCTGCAAAGCCAGTTTAGAAAAGCGCTCGTGACTCAGACGGTACATGTCCATCAGCGCGTATAAACAAGCGACGATCGAAGGCTCCAGATCGACTTCGAGGCCCGAGACTTCTGACTCGACAACGATTGGCTTCCCATTTGGCGCCCGCAGTGAAGAGCTCATCCTTGGCAAGTTGATACGGTTGCGAATGCTGTGGCTCGAACCGTCGAAATGCTCCTGCTTCGTCATATCGAACTCGGTTACAAATTGTAGCATTAGATCATTGACACTGGCGGAACCTGCGCTCCCTTTTTGGGCGTTGAAGTTGATCGAGGCGATGGACAGGAGGAACGCTGGTCGCAACTCGGAGTCCGATTCAACGATCGAAGGGGCGATACCTTCGCTTGCCAGAGGCACGGCGATACCGATGCTGGTGAAAGCGAGCGTTAGCACGCAAGAGGCTAGCCATGAAGGGGTCATTGGGGTGTCGTCGTCCTTCTGGGTACTAAAAGGGCTTCCCATTGGTGTAGGCTCGGCGGCGCTGCCGAAGCCGTCCAATGTCTTAGTGAAGCGGTCGCGCAGGGCTTGGAGTTCGATCTGCCTAAGTCCTCGGCGTGTTTCAATCTCCAGTTTGAAGTGATCGAGCAGATCAGCGAGGGCTTCAACAGCGGCGGGCTGCATGACCGCATGAACTCGTGGAAACGTGAGTTTCAGATGCGGTGTGCGTTCATCCAGGTTGTACGAAGCTTGGCGAGCATAAGAATCTTGAATTCCTTTGCTGTAATCGGCACGTAAATCGAGCTGGAAGAAGGCCAGGCGGTGAGGATCCAAAGGTTGGCCCATGGGCACCGGGGATTGCATAGGTCTTTGCTCAAGCGAGAGCCCCAACTTTTCGACTTTGGCGTGCAGCCGGGCAAAAGGCTGCGGTGGCGCACGACCGGCTTCAATTTTGATGAGTTTTGCTTGGACCCACTGCGTGGCCTGGGGACCATCGAGTCCAACTTTAACACCACTGAAGGTGATGCTGGCGTTCCACGATAGGCTTGACGAGGGGGCTGATAGGACCAGGTCCTTCTTGCTCGGGGCGGTGTCCTGTTGGGGTTCGGGTGCCAGAACTCGGGTCGTCGGTCCCCGCCTGGCATGTAGAGCCTGCAGAAGCTCGTCAATGTCATGTCCAAAGTGCTGTTGCATCGATAAGATCGAGTCGATAATGCCGACCGTGAGCTTCAGCGATACCGAGTCGACCTCTGCTTCCACCCGCACGGTGCGGCAAGGAAGGCCATCGACGAAGCCCTCTGCGCGCACCACAGGGAGTGCAAAGACCGTCTCAGCTGGTAACGGAGACTCCACTTCCCCAGTCCCACGAATTGGGAGGAAGCATAGACTCTGCGCGCCAATCCTGAAGCCAAGATCTAAAGCACCGACGGCTTCTTTTCCTGCCGCGACAACGTCGCTCGAACTCGCTTCGGCGGCCACGTTCTTGACCTCGTAAATGATGTTCAGCGAGGGTATCGCGTTGATCTCGAGAAGAAGTCGGGGGAAATTGATCTTGACCGCGACTTTTGCGTTCGCCAACAGGACATGCGGGAAGGATGGCGCCGAAACGGTCTTGGGCGTTTGATTCTTCACCGCTGGGGCTGGCATCCTTTGAGTAGCGTACGCGGTTGGCGGTAGACCCTCGAGACTGAGACGCAAGTCGATCAATAAGGAGTCGACATCGGGCAATGCAGCGACCCTCCATTTATCGACGAGCCTAATGACAACAATAAACAAATGGTCAGCGACAGAATGTCAGCAGGGTAATCAGCGCAATGCGAAGTCTGCTTGCACTCACTCATAGGAACGGATGACATCGCGAGGAATCTTGATGTCGACCGAGTGAACCCCAAAAGAAGCCTTGCACAGAGGCTGCACGGCGCGCGGGAGCACGGGACGATGGCTTACAGATCCCCAGTAAGTGGTATCGAAGTGGATCTGCTTCATTTCAGTCGACGAGAGGCGCTCCACACTGTCGTCATTGAGCACCCTTGCGTCAAAGGCAAGACGTTGGATCATCAGAGCGACTTCGAAGTCGAGCAACTGGGTCTCCGACGATGCGCCTTGAGGAGTCGTCGTGATGAGGCCGCCGAGTAGGCGGATGCTGAGGCCATGCATGACGCTTTCGGCTTCGAGATCGTCAGCCGATGCTTTGATCGAGGCGTGATTCAGCCCGAGCGTAATGCCAAACTCGAGGGATGGAAGAGACGCGAGCAGATCGCTTTGAGTCACGATGCTGGCGGCGTCACCGCTTTCCCTAGCCGATTTTTTGAACGTTTCCAGTTGCTCCGCGAAGGCCTGCAGCTTGCGCTCGAACGTGTGTCTTACGCCCACGATGTGTCGAACGAGGACCAAGAGGTCGCGGTCGACCTTGGCTTCGGTCCCATAGAGGGTGACGTGTCCTCCGAGACGTACAGGTTTACCAGGGGCTTCGTCTCCTGTGGATTTGATCGAGGCACTCAGAGGACCTATGCGCAGCCGATTACCAGAGCTGGCGCCAGTCCAGAGTCGTGTTTCGAGCTGTCCTTGATCCCATTCAAGCACGACCGGCTTGTTCCATGAGAAAGCGATCGATTGTTGCGCATCAAAGTTCGCATCAAGAGGCATGGTCGGTGACGCAGCATCGAACAAGTCGGCCAGGAAGGCCGACTGACTCATATCACCTGTGTCGATCCTCCAGCTCTGCCATTGCGAGACCAAGGTTGCGAGCATGTCGTAGAGCTTTTGCGACGACGGCCAAACCTCCTCGTTACTCATCAGCCGTTGCACCTCGTCGTGCGACAGGCGCAGGCAGTGGCGCAGGTGGTGCAAGGTTTTCCAGCCGTCATCCGTGCGTAGACTGGTGCCAGATATGAGCGAGGTCGCACGGTTGAGAAAGGTGGGGAAGGACGCGATTCCCTGCGCGCTGGCAGCTTCTGCGATTGCCCAGACCAGACGACGGGAGAGAAGCTTGCGTCGCAGCGTTCGCTCAGTGAGCGGTCCAGTGAAATCGTGGACTACGCGCCAACTCCACACTGTGCCGATAATCAGCTCGGCGGCCTCGTCAACAAAATCCAGTCGTGCGTCACCTCCTCTCAATATCACTTGGGCCTGGTCCGTCGAGAGGTCGATCCCAGCCGAACAGACTCCGAAGGAGAGGTCCAACGCGGTCGGCCGTAGGCGAGGCGTCTGATCGAGCGAAGGCAGGATATGGCTTTTGCGAGTCGGATTCAGGTAGGTTGCGGTCTTTTCAGGGTGGAACACCTGCAGCCGCGTGCACGCCGCCGATCCGGAGAATTGCGACACGACGACGATCGGCTTGAGGGGCCTGTCCACGGACTCGGCACCTCCAAAGTGGTCCTCGACGTGTCGGTAGGCGAACACGACGTCATTGAGCGCCAGCTCCACAGTGCACAAGACGGTCGACTGGAACGTGTCCCGCAGTACTTCGTTCGGTGCCTGTGGGCGGATCGAGATCACCGCCTCCGGGCGCAGAACATCCTGAATGATCTCCATCCGGATCGACGGAGCGTGGGCTCGAACCTCGAGCTCGACGTAACGGACCGTGGGAGCTTGTTTCTGAGACGTGACGTATCCGTCGAAAAGTTCATCGAGAGAGTGCTCGAAATTGGTATCCAGTTTGATGCCTTCGAGTACGTCTGCACCGACTTGAGCAGCCACTGGCGTTAATACGATACGGATCGGCTGCCGGCAAGTCAGGTCGATCGCGGTCTTGTCTCCAGGGGTCTTGGCATCGTACGCCGCAAAGGTTCGGAGCCGCGATTTGGCCCGGGTGGCGGGTGTATCGAGGTCATTAGGCGGTGCTGGCCTTGCGTCGTCGCTGGCAGCCGGCAAACGAGCAAAGGTGGGCCGGTCAAGATAGGTTGACTCGGGATTACGCTTGCACAGGCGTAGGACGGCCCCATAAGCACTGAGGCGACCACCTCGCTCTCCACCAAACACGAACTCGTCGCGTTGCGAATCGCCGTCATCTGCCGGATCGAACGACATATCAGCTCCACTGGTTTTCATACACAGCTTTGAGGGACTCACCATCAGTGCTAGCCATTGACTTCTCGCTGTCCATAGTTGAAGTCTCGCTTTCGTACTCCGAGTCCCCGTCTTTCTCATCGGAAACACTTGCCATGGAACCGCGGGTTGAGCTACAAAAGCGCGGGTCACCACAGAGTCAGAGAGTCAATCGACTGTTCGACAGACTTGGCCGAGTATTATGGCTTATGATGACTGACTTGTTGTTGACGTCAACGAGCTCTGACCTGCTGCGAATGGGCCCGTGACCGCGCGCAGGTGTGTCGAGGGCGGGAACAAAGAGTCCACCGATGTGGGAGGATACTGCAGGAAAGCACACGGTGAGCTATAGGGAGCGCAAACAACGAAAGAAAGGCTGGTGTCTCACCTCCTGCTTCGTTCTTGCTATAAAGGAAAGGGCATCGCTGTGTGGGTTCGTCTTGGGTTGCGATGAACGAGCGCTGTGTCTGCGCCTTCTGCTCCCAGCCTTTACCCGTCATGCCGACAACGACAGACAGGTCGGTATCGATCGAGGCGACTTCCATCCAAGGAGCCGCCCGCCCAAAGACCGGTGTGAGGGCACGCAGAATGACCGTTGGAATATCGACATCGACGTGCTTGAGATAGGGCGGTTCGGGCAAGTCGTCGAACTTGATGGCGATCCCGCCCGGAACGTCGAGCTGGATCGCGGTGGTTTGGCCCCGCACCGCGAGGTCGATCGAATGGAAGTCGACGGTGACAAACGTCGCATCCGGATCCACAGCGATGGTAAGGTCTGGCGGGAGCGCATTGTCGTTGTCGACAAAGTTGATGGACACAGTCGTACCCGCTCGCGAGAGTGCCTGCAGGATCGAGGGCGGGATCGAGCCGTAGACCGCACCGACGTTGATCGACCAAATACAAATATAGGTTGCCGTGCGAGGCTGAGGTCCGAAGAGGCGATCGGCCATGACCTCGAGCCCTTGGACGTGAATGCAGTCAGGGGTTCCGAGTAAGGAGGCGAAGTCACACGTCGCTAACACGGCTGCGCTGTTGACCATGTTCATGATGCGACACGGGTCCACGTTCGCGGCCATCTCCATGTAGTAATCGTGATTGCGCAGATCGACCTGGAGTTGAGGAAGAACGATTGCGATCGCATCATCGCAGTCGTATATGGATTGAGGGAGGAGCATGATACCGCGCTGCAAATCGAGCCGGACCGCGACTTCGAAGACATCGACTTGGCCGGGGCGCCATTTCTGCTCCAGTGGGTCACCCTGCACGGCTCCTTCTTGTTGCATGCGGTAGCGATAGTCTTTGGGGGTCACAAAGTGGGTAAAAGACCCAAAATAATTGTCTTTGAGGTTGAACAAGTAACGGACGACCCATCCGAGCGTTTTGAATATCACGTCATGGCAGGCGACGTCCAAGGCGAGCCGCTCGACGTGGTCAGGATGCGCGCCGGCATAGAATCGATAGGATCCGTCGATGGTGAGCTCGGGTGCGGTGGCGAACGTGGAAGTCCGCTCGGTCAGAAAAGCGCTGTGTGTGTTCCAGTTGGGCAGCGACATACCGAGCGCCAGGCCGGTGAAGAGAATGTGGAAGGGAATCACCGAGCAGTCCATGCGATACTTGTCCGAAGGGATCGACGCCGTTCCCGTCAGACGGGGGCCTTTGGCGAAAAGCAAAGCGTTGTCGTCGTCGATGACGGCATTGCTGATGATGTTGTGGTCATTGACATAGAGACGCAGCACGTAGTCGGTCAGGCCAAAATTGAGGGAGTACACGAAAGGTACGAAATGATCGTAGTCGCCAGGTGGCCCGCTGGTCCAGTCCTTTGCCACGTCCGTCAAGAGAGTGATGTGGTCTCGCAGCAGCGATATCTCGGGTTTGGCAAGCGAGATATCGATATCCCATGTCCGCGCAGCGTTCCAGGCTAGGGGAGAGGGCATTGCCACGAAGATGCGGCTGGATTGCGCACGAAGGAACGGTGCGTAGTTGACGCTTGACGTGATGCTGATTTCGTCCAAATGAACTTCGACTTGTTGATCGTATCCGGTAGCAGTGGCGACCATCGGGATAACGACTGATAATGTTGATTTTGGCCCCATTTCGATGCCCAGCCAGCCATACGCTCGCGCCGTTGCATCGCCTCCTAAGCCGGACCCGGAGTCGACAGAGTCGTGCTTCCAATCCCGAGACGGCTCGCGGGTCGGCACTTGCCACGTCGTCCCATCCGTGAACTCGACGAAGATCTTCATCGCGAGATGCATGCGATCCTGACCAGCGCGGAGTCGAGGCGTCAGGACGGTCGTGAAGAACGTCGACGGAAGGAAAGCTTTTTGGATTTCGGCTCGTTGTCGATCTGCCCACGGCCCGTAGGTGACCGCTCCGCCTCGAACGACGACGTCGATGCCCCACTCGGGACTCAGGTTGCCATTGCCAATGTCGCATGATTCGAGCCCCGCCAAGCCCGTGACCATCCGCGGCTCAGCTGGTACTTTGCCCGCGACGTCGCAATAGTAGTTGAGCTCCATCTCAGGGCACGTGAGAAGCGTTGTCACCTTTGCGTACTCACGGCGATCCAATGCTGGATGCTTCGCAACACCGTCCTTGTCGACAGAGTTTTGGTACCGTGGTAATCCGGACCAATCTTCAGCTGCATCAGAGTCCACGCTCTCCTTCGCCGCTTGTGCCTTTTCCGAAAACTGTGGGATCTTGCGCAGCAACTCGCGAAACGAGCCCAAAGTCGCGTGATCCGCGGGACGGTTCAAAAATTGGCCGAGGAAGAAGCTCGGTGCAGTCTTGAGTTTGTCTAGCACTCCGGCGCCGTGCACGTCCAACGGACCGACGTAGTCGGGATTCATCCGATAGATAATCTTGGGTTGCACGAAGACCATTCGGTATGACTCCTTGTAATGATCTAGCTCTGATCGCGACTGCGTGCGTGAGAATATCCGTGCAGTCAGCATCTCGCTTTGCTGTTCCCGGCGGCAACAGGAGCTACTGAACGTACCTTGGATGCCGAGTAAACTCCGTCGATTCGGTTGAAACCGGCGATCAAGAGGGACGGTGTCGAGGGATTGCCCATGACGATCGAGCCTGTCTGACAGCGAAAGTCGACTGGCAATGCCTCCCTCCACCAGTCGGTGCCCTTCTCGTGTCCGCTCTCGTCGCTGGCCTGCTTCTGTGCCGCGGTCTCCGCGCTGCCCAGTTCCCTCGGAAGTACTGTCGAGCTCTGCTGAGGGGTCGCTTCTTTGATCGCCTCCTCGGAGTTGGGGAGTGAGGAAGAGGACGAAGTCGAAGAGTCCAGAGGGGGAAGGAGACCATCCCGGGACGTCGCTCGTTCGTGCCCGCGCGACCACACCGATTCGGGTTCGTGAATGCCAAGTTTGGACAGGATCTCGTCATAGTGCGGTGTTCGGTTGTAAAGGAAGAGTTCAGCACCGTGGAGTGAAACTTGAAATCGACAAGGGAGGTTGGTGTCTGCGGGATGTTAGAAGGCGGTGGTTTGTCAGTCGTTGGCGAACAAATCTGAGCGCGTGATGCAGAATCTACCTCCGAGTGCGTGTTCCTCAGACCGGACGTTGCGTAACCAGTACTTCCATATGATGTAGCCTCTAACAACATGGAACGACTGGTTGCGACTAATGTAGCGCACGTCCGAGAAGTTGATCCTTCCGCCGAGGAGCGAGAAGGAGATGCCGCCGATCTCGAAATAGCTGTTGGTACTCTTCCAGTACCTCCGACGAAGGTACCACCCAACGACAAAGCCGAGTAGACGGTTGGAGTAGAAGAAATGAAAGACGATGAGGATGACGACGACGACACTCTCGACGAGAAAAAGCCAGTTCAATGTCGATGGTCCTGACGAGCGCAACGACGAGACGACGTCCCGTACGACGTGGGAGGACATCCTCGAGAGTTTCGCTCCGTGGATTTCACCTCACTGCTCTTATGTCGAGTACTTGGCCATCGGCGAGGGTATAGTTTGGGCTTGCGCTGTGGATCATGCGGACGATTCAATCGATCGGGCACAGGCGCGAGTCAGCATCGAGGAACATTGGAATGGCGCAGGAACCCTGTCAATCGGCCACTTTCTCGAGGAAAGACAGGTCCACATTGTTATTCGCGCTACACTGGTGCGATTGTACGCTTTTGCGGCGACGACCCGTTGTGGAGACCGGGGAGGCAACTGGCATATCCTACAGACGCATGGGCTCGTGTCGCGCGATCCGTGTACGTTTGGACCGTGCCAGTCTGAATAAGAAGAGGCTCAAGACTCACCGGTTCCTATTAGTAATCGTCTGGATGCGTTTTATGTGGTGGGTAGAATCCAACTGTTGGCGCGGCTGACCTTCGGGAGCGGAGAGGTGTGCGTGCTGTCACGCCCTGCCAAGCTTGGGCAAATTCACCTTCTTCAGCCGGCGCCGACTTCAAGTTCCGAGTTCAGGACCACTGCACGCATCCACATTGTTGAAGACTGCGACAAGGTGGTTCAAGCTCATACTGGAAGTATACAGACGATTGAATAATTCAAGGTAGGGTGATGTCGAATTTCAACTGTTCTGACGACTCCCCGGGATCGCGGCCCCCTCGCGGCTTTGAACGAGTCACGTGCACCACACCTACAGACCTTGCCCGAGGACCCAGAGGACCGGTCTGCAGTCCTGGCGGGCCGAGGCGCAATAGATTCCCGGCGCGCACATTCAGACAGTCGACATTGGGTTGAACATTAGGTTGCCCAGAGTGGGTGTTTTGTGCTCGTTTCTGAATCGGAGATCAGAAAGTTATAGCAACTGTGTCTAGGAGTCGCGGCGTAGCAGGTTGCGCAATGCGCAATGGCAAAGCTCGGGAGCCTCGGGGGCCGGGCTACTTGTAGGCGAGTGGGGCAATTCCGAGTGCAAAGGGCGGCAAGAGGCCCGTGCGCCGGGAAGGCACATACCCGCTCCTCACCTCTGGCTATATTTCTAAGCACATCGAAAAGTGGCGCGCGCGGCGCCCCTCCCAGCGCCGCTCTTAAGCGGCGTACCCATACAGGTTGCCCCCCCTGCAACCCGGGTTGGCCGCTGGCGCCAGGCCAAGATTAACTTGCTAATGAGATTGAGCATTTAGTGACTAGTATGCCCGCAGACCTGTCTCTTTTAGCTTCCGCTCAGCGCCAAGTGAGACCTAATTTGGACGGCTACATGCAATCGGTCAGCAAGAGTGGCGGATCCGTCGTTTCTTAGATTTCTGGCCCTGGGGCGCCGCTGACCTTCACTGTACTTCGATCGCCCGCAGAGAGGTATCCTTCCCGATTTGTTTCCGAGATTGAAGTTTGCCACGAGCGTGTTTCATGCTTTTGCTCATCAATGGCCCTGCCAGCTCGAGTACAACCCGCGCCTGATTCAGCACTTTGGGTTGACGGATGGGGAGGGATGCGAACGCGTTTGGAGTCAGCTCCGATCGCTCATCCCGATCAATCGTCCTGCGAGCGCTTCTCACCGGCGCGTCAACATCTCGCGTCGCATCGACCTGATGAACAAGAACGGTGTTGACAGCCTCGGTATGCTCTGCCATCCACACTTTCACGCCGTGTTCGTTACTCAATCATGCGGTCCCTTCATTCATCGTCCATTCTAGGCCGTTGGCTCCGCAGACGACTGTCGAATGCTCAAGATCAGCTTGGAAGGGCACAAACTGATCTGAGCGACGTTTCGGCAATATGGTCCGAGTCTGACCTTCTCGCGCAATGGGATTTACAGCGAGCTGCTCAAGCGGCCACAACGGCGAGTCAACGTCGGGAGAATGAGGACAAGGAGCGATTCGAGCTTTTCAACATTGTACAGAAGCTACACCAGGTGGAAGAAAGGCTGTACGTTCGGCACGTCAAGCCCCATTGGAGGACAAGGGCGTAAAATTGACACTGTGTCTTGGCATTGTGTGTTCAGATTCGATCCAATGGCTTCCGATGAAGCGAAGGCTCGCTTGCAGCAACAGCTAAGAGCTTATCAACAAGAATACAATCGTACGAAGGAACTTGCAGCTTCAGGTGCGGCGCGCGTCCTATCTTTATGAGTACCGCCACCTGATATTTGATGTCCCATGACATACCTAGATTTCCAGCATTTGTGCAACTGCGTAGTCAAACTTCGCGCATTACACAAAGCGACGGTCCAATTGCAATGCTGTCAAGAACGAATTGACTCAATGGGTCGGGGACGAAGCGGCGCGACAATCGGTCAAGTCGAAGCCAGCAAGCTTGTCAGCGTCTCACAGACGCACAGCAAGAAAGTAAAAGTGGCAATCGATATGTACAATAAAGCGGTCGGGGATTACCGAAATGCTGCGACCGAGCAATCGGCCAAGATTCTGGACAACTTGCCGCTCGCTACCACGATAAAGTCGCTTGTGACTCTGTCGCCAACGGACGCTTTCTGGCAAGACGGTTTTTTCGAACACGACACTGCGCCTTGGGCGATCGATACCGACGTTCAGAAAGGGATCAAGGCGGTTCTACTCAAAGCCAGGGCGGAAGAAGAGATTCTTCGAATCGGAGCTGAGGTTCGACAACTACTCGCGTGGCTCGAAGATGAGGACACTCGCTTTGTTAGGGTATCTCAGGCATGGGCAGAGGACAAAGGTGAGATGGACACACTCTTTCTTTGTGATGGTGCTGTACCTTACGTCGCCCCTTCTATTAGTTCCCGAAGAAACGATCGAAGCGGCTAGGAAACTTCTCGGAACTGATGACGCGGGCGAGGTTGGCACGGCGGTGTGGCATGTGCTTCAACGCCGACAGATTTCGTTCAAAGAGCGTCTGGATCGGCTCGCCGAGCGCGATGATCTCTCGGTTGTCTGGTTCAGAACGCGTTCACCCGCAGTTCATGAATCGCGGCCCTCGGCATTCGGTTTGATCGGGGGACTTTTCGCCGGACGGCCGAAACAGGTGTCGCGCCGTTCGCGCGGTAGTCCACGTCATTTCGGTCGCCGCCTTTCGACGCTGAATAATACTCAAATGCAGAGCCTCGTCGCTGAGTCGAGCCGCCGCTCATCAGGTCCTTCTGCCGTGGACGTGCGCCACACAACCATCGACCTCGACGCATTCCGAAGGGAACTTGGCCTGACCCCCGATCCAGCCGCGGAGCAGGCCGAGCGAGACCGCGATGATGTGTATGAAAGACGAATGGAAGAACTTTTGGGCTCACGATCGGAGCAGGAGGTTGAGGAAGAAGATGATGCTGAGCTCGGGGAGGGCGGCGGAGAGTCAGGCTCGACAGGGGGTGAAGCCTCGGACGACCTCGAGATTCTCGACGAGCCCATGGGCTAGCTAGGGATGGTTTGGCGCATTTGTTGACTGTAGATTGTTTGTTATTGAAGGACTTTGCTTTTTGTATGCCGCCCATATCGCACATGGTGGAATGTGGACGCCAAAGTGCACAAAAGTAAATCGAATGTCAGCCTTAATCAGGCATTGACGCGTTGACGACCACGACCCCACGAGCCGGTCGCCACGGCCACAGTCGCCGAACTGCAGTGCGTGCAGTGACAAGCTTGAAGGTTCTGCTAAGTTAAAGACTGTAAATTGGTGCGCATCGGTGCTGACATTTGCAGGTTCAGATTTGGGAACGTTGCCAGACCTTACAACTCAAAGTTCCTTTTCTCTTCTCAGTGACAATGCTCTGTGCGCTCGGTCGATTAAGATCGCACACAACGGATGCGAGCGCCGGAATGCATTACACCCCAGTGGAAGGTTCTGCTTGGTGCTGACCGGCAGTTCGGTGAGCATCGGTGCTGACATTTGCAAGTTCAGGTAAGTTGGGAACGTTGCCAGAGCCGGGGGGGGGGGGGGGGGGGGGGGGGGGGGGGGCGGGGAGGATTGGTGTTGCTGTAGTTGTCTGTTCCAACAGAACCCCAAAGTGGGTACAGACGCGTTCCGAGTGAACAACGGCGCTCACTGCTAGTACTACTAACACGAAGGACTTGACTCGGACCTGCGGTCTTGGGTGCGTGACCCTACACGCCCACGGAGTACGCAGCGGAAATCGCAGCGGCGGAACGCTCGTTGTACAGTGCTTGCGATAATATGTCAGCAAGAATCGAATACGTCACCGCATACCTTCTACCCCGTTAACGTGATAGTTTATGTAGTCGAGTGAGCAGGGATATCGGTCCATTGGCCAAGGACCTTGTACTAGGGGCTTTGTACTCCCGGGGGTACACATACACAGTCAGAGTCGGCGCGTGACAAGAGTGTAACCCCGGGAGGACGCGGCCTGATCCGCCGACAAAGCTATGTACTCCCGGGGGTACACAGTCATTCGGCGCGCAGGGTGTGGCCACTCCCGGGAGTACACAGCGGAAGAGCGGACCGGTCCTGCGTGCCCCCGGGGGTGCACAGGCGCTTTCCCGCTTGCGGCTTGTGTACCCCCGGGGTTGCAAGGCCGGTCACCGGTGGCAGATCACTGTATAATGGCATATACGATTCTCCAACGGCAGGAAGTTAATCCTTTCGGTAACTTCAGACACATCCTGGGCTTTGAGCGGGTGCGTGAAAGTTTGTTGTAGTGCAGTTTCGCTCTGCTCGGTGGTTCGAACGAAGAATTCAGTCAGGGAAGTCCGTTGGCCTTGCGGGCTTTTCAGAGTGCAAGTCGGATGTAGCAAACAAAATTTCGTCGGTCTCGTCGCAGGAGGTTATTCCATTCAGTAGCTGTAGACACATCCTGGGCTTTGAGCGGGTGCGTGGAAGTTTGTTGTAGTGCAGTTTCGCTCTGCTCGGTGGTTCGAACGAAGCATTCAGCTAGGGAAGTGTGTTGGCCTTGCGGGCTTTTCAGAGTGCAAGTCGGATGTAGCAAACGAATATTTCGTCGGTCTCGTCGCAGGAGGTTATTCCATTCAGTAACTGCAGACACATCCTGAGCTTTGAATGGGTGCGTGGAAGTTTGTTGTAGTGCAGTCAGCAAGGGCGTCGGCGACGGACCGCGCCTGAGCCGTGGAACCCCGGGGTACATAGCTGGAGAGGGCACCGGTCGTGTGTACCTCCGGGGGGTACACACCGCCACGCCGGTTGTACAATGCTTGTTAAGAGTGTCCCAGAATTGATGAAGCACGTCGTCGCATACCGCCTCCTCATTTCCGGAGGCGCGGGACTCTGTTGTAGTGTATCTACGCCATGCCCTAAGGTTTGAAATTGAACAAGAATTTCCGCCTTCGGAGTGCGTTGTACCCTCGGGGTGAATCATGGTTGCAGTGCAGGATCTCCATTGACACAACATACAAGCTAGGCAGCTACACACGCTCACGGAAAACTCGAGACGGTCATCGCCTAACCGGTGAATTGACACTCATGGTGCCTCATGTCCCAGTATCCAGGCCGCGCTCCAGCTCGCTCAGGCTGGTCAGCTCGGAGAGGGTGGAGAGGGTGCTTTCGGCCTCCGAGCCGGCTGCCGATCCGTGGTCGGAATGTTGGCCGGTCGCCGAACTGTGTTCCGATATCGCAGTTGGGAAATGGGAATTCCCGGAACTGAGTGTTACGAAGAACAAAAGAAGATTTGGCTGAACTGAGAGTCGAACTCAGGTCCACTCCATTAATCAGAGTTGCTCTGACCTCTGAGCTACTCAACCAGCGGGAATAGGTCAAAGCAGCGGCGCAACCAAGTCAAGCCGGCGGCGGTTCTCCCTCCCATTGGGAGCCGCGGCGGGCGGACTGGTGCGCGGCCACATTAACTTCTACTATCGCGTCCTCCTCTCGTGCCCCCGAGGTCGACGCGGCGCCCTCACCGCCGGACCCCTTCTTGCGCATCCAACAATACGCGTCCCTCTGTTCACTCGACAGCGCCAACCACCTGTGGGCACACTCAACAATCCAGGAGTCCCAGGTCTTCTTCCTTTCGGGCTCGAGGTCCGCATCGGTGGGCGGCTTGGGAGGTTCGGGAACGTGGACGAGCACCGTCGTTGCAAATGGTCTGAGCGCTGCTTGCCAGGTGCGATGTTCGCTTTCTAACTGATCCCAGTACTCGTCCGGGACACGTTTCCCGAGGAAAGGGCGGTACACCTTTTGGATCCATCTTAAAAGGCGGTCACTCCCCTCCTGGTCCTCGTCGGTCCTGATTTCGTCCTCAGGGAGGGGGCGTTGGCACTCGTGGTACAGGGGTGAAAGGATTTCACTGAATAGGCGCGATTCCTCATGTTCGGCGGCAATGTTGACGGGGACGGTGAAGATGCGCGCGAGGATGTCGTCGAAGTCTTGGATGCGGGTCCTATACTCCTTCAAAACTCTCGCGCTCCCTCCACCTCTCTTTCGCTTCTGGCCATCGTATGCATCGAACAACACGATCCTCCAATGGATGAGCACGGTCAACAGGCTCCGAGGCAGACGTCCATTCCCTTTGTGCCCTGCCCATTCATCCCAAACAGGCCACACGACGTAGTCGATCTCCTCCCGGACCTCATAGGCCAAATTTTCGTCGTCCTCGGGGATTGGGTCTTGAATCATGATGTCTTCGGGTTCCATCGCCAGCCGACGCGCCCTTTCCGCCGCCCACTCGTCGTGCCTCGCACGGTCCGCTTTCCTTGGCGCCTCCAACCCGTCAAGCTTGGCCTGCAACTGCCGGCGGTATCTTTTCTTCAGGTGGCCAAAACCCTAATCAGATCAGATAAGTACATAAACAAAGGTTTAGCCGAATTCCACATATTTTGTATCTGATCTCCTGGGAAAGCTGTTTAGCACTCACCGCTTGGACCTCACGGTCGGTACCGATCAGCTCAAACGCCGCCTCGTTGCATCTGTACCGACTGTCGACCGTAGACGGATTGAACGTGCGCTTGTGTATACGAATGATATGTTTTTTCAGGTTTCGTTTGGCCTCATGTGCATGTTCCGGTGCTACAGTTGGGGCGTCGAGTGACCTGTACCCCCCAGGCAGCTTGTAGTGTTTGTTGCAAAGTTCACAACGGACACGCCATTGGCCGGACTCGTCACGGATGAGATGCGAGTCGATGTCGAGCCAAGCGCGCTCGCCCTCGGTGGCGCGTGGTGCCATGTTGGACTTGGAGTGGGGGTTAGGGGTGAGAAAGAGAAGTGTCCCACTGTGTACCCCCGGGGGTACACGTCGCGCCGAGCGTCACCGAGCGTCACCGAGCGCGCGCTCTCTCCTCTCACAGCATCACCGACACCGTCGCGTCACAACCGATCCGATGCCCTCAGCGGCTCGATTCATACCAAGTTACAACCAGCGATTCTGTCTGCGGGACACAAAGATCAAGATCATCGAGTATTTGCACGAGACGAGATATAGTGGCCACCTGGCACATTGCCTGTCCCAGGCGTGAAGCAATACGTAGTCGGCACCGAGCGCGACCTATGAACGCTAGCGCTTGTATGCAAGCGACTCGGCCAACAACGAGAATTGCTACTACGAAGTCATTGACGCCTCAGCACCAAGCTGCCACTATATCGATGCCGACTTTACGCCCCCTTCCATTGACAATTCAGCAGAAAAGGCATTGATTACGCGTAATGCAGCGTCGTATTTCCCTGGCCCTCAGCTAGAACACCGTGGTCAGCTAGCAAGCTCGGACACCTTGCGATCTTGCGTCTGCAGGTCAGAAGTGGTGAACTACCTTGTTCCCTGCTTCTGTTTTATATCTATTGTTCCAGCGCCAACGGATAATCTCGGCTCTCCTTCTCACCGTGGGCACGCCGTTTGAAGAACCCTACGCGAAGCGTGTTATTACGGACATTCTCGACAAGGTTCTGCTGTCACTTCGCCGGCGTCTCGGGGGGTCCGAAGGGGTAGTCTAAGAAATTTGGGTGCTTTGCTGTTGGTCACCCCCCAAGCTCTGGGACGAGCTTAACTGCAGTTTGACATTAGGTAGGATGAGTGAGTGCTTTATTTGAACATCCATTATTTGCCTGAATCTACGGAGTAAAATCTGAAACGTTTAGCGCGGGTAAATCGATTTGCTTTGCGATTTGCTTTGCGATCAAAAATGCGTCGCATAATTGATCAACGGACGGACAGTCAAGCTAGTCAAGATGCGTGGAAACTTGTTGAATACCTCTTGCCACACACAGGTCGATATCACCTCAACGACTACAAAAAGTTTGGCAATCTACCTCAACGCGCGATAGGCGCACCAACAATATACTGAACAACAGAAATGTAGTCGGATTCGGAATCAAAATGTTGCAGCTCCCAAATCAGAATCAGAACCAGAAGCAGAACCAGAAGCAGAATCAGAACCAGAATCAGATCCAGTGTCTTGGTCTTCTGGCTCCGTTTCCGACTGCTCGCTCATCAAAGTACTCTCGGCAGGAGTGCGGTCAAAAGAGACCTGGCCGATATCCTCTTTGAGCGAAAACGTAAGCCCACCCTGTCGCATCAATGGAATAATTCTTCTCAAATTGTTAACGGTCGGCTTCTTGCAATTGGTAGGACTGCGGAAATCACGCTCGTGAAGACCGTTTCCGAGCTCGATAACAAGGGCGGTTGGATCCTTCGCAAGAGTTTCCTGGTTGTAGCTCGTAAGCTTGGAAGGCACGTAGGGCTGAATAGACTTGTTTCTGTTGTGGCGACGACGGAGCGCTTGATCTGCACGGCCACAAAACTTCAGTCATGGGCTGCCAAATGTGGGCGCAGAGCGGTGGAGTGATTGCTTACTATAGTAATCGTCAATGATAATGCGATACCATGTGCAGAGCACTCGGTGAGACACCTTGTCAACATCACCATGATGAGCTGCTCATCAGTCCTTGGAATCAGCACCAATCTATCGCCGAGCACAAGGTCCGTTCTGAAGCTTGTCTGACAGACCTTCCATCTTGAATTGCTCGTCTCGCTCCTGATTGAACCGGGTGCCATTTATGCATTCCGTGAAGTTAACGAGCACATCGTTCTTTTGAGAACCCCGGCTTTGGCGCCGCATGAAAGCTGCGCCGCCAAGCGTCGAAACGATGAAACGATCATTTTTATTCTCGAGCTTGTTCGAGCCGACGATGACTAACGCGTCGAATCCGTAGGTGTCAGCATGCTGATTAACCTGATGCAGTGCCAAGCTATCTAAGTCAGCGGGAGGATCATGAGAATTGAGGAGAGCCCAACGAGAAGAGCTGAATTGTCACGGACCAGTTCGTGTATCGTCTTTTCGTACTTGTGACTCAGTTTGGTGATGGCAGCAGGATCGATTCGCCATCGCTTGAAGGGACGAGTGGTCTGCTCGTGTTCACGCGCTTCGGCTTCACTTGCCCACGCTTCCTTCCATTGTTCATAAAGATCTGGCGAGTCTTTGACTTTTTCCCAGTAGCGCGATCCAATTGTGTTTAGCGTAGAAAAATCTTTCGAGACTTTGTAGGGGTACAGAGTGATCAATTTGTGAGTCAAAGAAGCGTAAAGGAGCGTCTTGAAATGCCAAAATGAACGATCTCGGGATGAGCTAGAAAGGCAGACGCCGCGCTCACCTTCGAGTCCGTCCTTCTCGACGAGACAGTGGAAAAAGCGGCTCGTCTTGAAAGCGTTCCAGTCGTTTGTGTCATTCCTTCGGATCGCACGAGGCATGTACGAGTCGAGGTCGTCGTCCCGAACGCCATGATGCAGACAATACTTCATTGTCTCGAGGCGACGTTGCAAGCCATAGAGCACATGGGGCTGCTTCTGCGACGACGACACTCGCGAAGTTGAAGGCAACGCACGAACGGCATCATGGAGAGCTCGAATCTCTTCCTGAATCTGTTTGATTTGTTGATCAATTGAGTTGGACGAGGTCGGCCTTGAGGCGAGCGGTGTGCTTCGTCCACATTCGGGAGTCGCGCCGCTGGGCACAGGAAGGTGGTTCTGTTGGGTCTGAACCGTAATTGGAGACAGTACGGACCCCATGTCTGCGCTGTTGGTCGATTGCACCGAAGCAGCTGTGCAGAAACAGCGAGGAACGGTGGTGAGCAGAAGGACCACCCATATCACAAACACGAGGACGCGTCTCACGGGTGGGAGCGGCAAAGTCTGACGCGTTGCTGGGAGCAGACAGGCTGGACATATCGGATCGTCGGATGGCGTCAAGTATAGATATATGACGAAGAGCGTAACGGCGACAGGAAGGGGTAAGACCAGGACTGCACGTGGTCGATAGCGGCGCGTCAAGCGTGAAGAGGCGTCAAGTCGCTCGTTGTCACTCAGTGTCGCTTTGCGTTTGTTAGCGTGGTGAAAGGGCACGAGACTCTATCACGTTCAATAATGCCATTTTATCACTTTAGTAATGATGTTTCCTAATCGAACCTCTCCTCGCTGATAGTTTACCGAAAAAATTGACACTGAGTGTTCCAAATACGAATTACACACTACGATGACTAGAATAACCTGATTTGAGCACGCACGTACATGAGATGAAACTGTTGGAGCCCACACAAGCCTCCGTGTGCCCCTGGCCTCGGGCCCTCAAGCAACCCGGGTTGCAGGGAGAGCAATCTGTATGAGTACGCCGCTTAAGAGCGGCGCTGGGAAGGGCGCTGCGCGCGCCACTTTTTGGTGTGCTTAGATATATAGCCAGAGGTGGTTTTTAACCAGGTGGCGGGGGCCGCCTGTGGTGGATGTACCAGCATACTGTTGTGTCTGCCGCACCTGCCCGTGGTGTCCATGTTTCGATCAGAAGTCATGTACAAGCACCTTGGGGACCGATTGGAGATGGTCTACACCACTTTTGATAATGGGCTTGGGGGTCGAAGTGTCGAGAACTATCAAGACTCAGCAGGATGAGTTGATGGGGTTGCAGAGGCTCAAGTATCGGTTCGATGGGGCCTAATTCGTGCTAGCCTCAGTGCCAGTGTAACGAATGGCGGAGGGGGGGAGATGGGAGAAGGAATTGTACACTTCGCTGTCCGAATCTGAACGCTTTCAATTGTTGCGACTCCCTACATCTAACCTGTTGAACTCGATCTCGGCCGAGCTGCGACTCTGGCAGGCGCTCGGCGTCCATGACGTGTTTCCCGGCGCACTTGTGGAGGCGAGGGTCCGTGCGCGTTTCGCCACGGCTGCGAAGCCAACTTTGAACCACTCGAGGCGATTCCTCATCGTCGGCCGTCGCTTATCGCTTACTTCCGTAGTCGGCCTCCCCAAGAGCCACCTTCACCTCTACCCACAATGCCTCTCCTACCACCCGGTCAACAACCCCATAGACCCTCCCCCATCCCCGCCACCGAAGCGCGCATCGATTCCGTCGCAGCCGACTCCTCCGAGCATGTGACTTCGATCGCCTTAACCGACGAAGAAACCCCTCTAGAGCCCCTGGACATCGTACTAGACCGAGACGGACCTGTCGAAGAATCAGACGACTACGACGAGGAAGAGTACGATGACTATGAGGAGGATTGGGATCTGGAGACCGAGTTGGACAGTGGGATCAATCAGGTGATGGATCAGGATTGGGCTGATGCGAGTGGGGGTACGTCAACTTGTCGTAGGAGCCAACGGTGTGGGGGCTTTCTTTTTCTCCCACTGATGAACGAACATTTCGACTCTGCAGATTTCACCAAGCGGTACAACCGGTTGAAGCAACATGTGGTCGCGAGCTCGGCATCGAACAAGACTTTCGGAGCGACTTACTCTTCTGGTGGGAGTAGTACGACCTCCAACATCCTCCCCGCCATCAACAGGCCGAAGCGAGTAACCTCGTACACCGATCGAACAACCCCTTTCTCCGCCACCTCAAGTGGAACCCCCGGCGTGCATACCGATAAAGTCTCTGACCAACTCGCGACCCTCAATCATCGTTTCGCTTCCAAACTCGATCTAGACCCAATCCTCAACCGTTCCGCGAACGTAGGCGTGACCCGAAAGGGAGGGAGTGAGAAGGTTTTGGTCAAGGATAAGAGCGACCGAGCTACGAACGAACAGGTGTTGGATCCGAGGACGAGGTTGATCTTGTTCAAGATGTTGGGGAGGGGGTTGATTGAGCGGGTCGATGGGTGTGTCTCGACTGGTAAGGAGGCGAATGTTTATCATGCGGTTTCTCCGGCTGCGGGGATGATGGAAGAGGGAAAGGATGGAGAGGTGCAAAAGGATCTGGAGGAGGAAAAGGGCGAAGGATCGATCCGATTTGCCGAAGAGACTTCCGTCGCCGTCACGAGGACGATGACGATGACGACGACGACGACGCTGCCTCCCAACACCCCCCGTCACTTGGCGCTCAAGATCTACAAAACCTCGATCCTCATCTTCAAAGATCGCGACCGTTACGTATCCGGCGAATTCCGTTTTAAATCCGGCTACGCACGAAGCAACCCCCGCAAGATGGTTCGGCTCTGGGCGGAGAAGGAGATGAGGAATTTGAGGCGGATGAAGAATGCGGGCTTGAACGTGCCGGAACCTATCGAGGTGAGGGAGAACGTGTTGGTGATGGAGTTCATGGGCGTTCAAGAGGGAGAGGATGAGTGGCAGTGAGTTCGCGCAAAGCTTTGCTTTGGTTCAAAGGGTGACCGCGTCCGATCTGATGGCTCTTTTCACCAAACCCAGGGCATCCCCCCGTCTCAAAGATGCCGATATCCCATTCTCGGCCCTCCCCGATCTCTACCTCGACACGCTCGTGATCCTTCGCATCCTCTTCCAGAAATGCAAACTCGTCCACGCCGATTTCTCCGAATACAACGTCCTCTACCATCGTTCCCAATTGGTCATCATCGATGTTTCCCAATCCGTTGAACAAGACCATCCTTCGGCTTTTGATTTCCTTCGATCGGATTTGAAGAACGTGGAAGAGTTTTATGGACGAAAGGGGGTAGGAACGACTTTAGGGCTGAGGGGAAGTTTCGGCTTCGTGACGAGGGGTTTTGAAGGGGTTGGTGAGGAGACGGAGGAAGGGATGAGGGAAGAGGCGAGGAGGTTATTGAGCGTTCGGGAGGGTCAGTTGGAGAGGGAGGAAGAGGAGGAGAGTACGACGAGGGCGAATGATCCGACCTCGTTCGATGCGCTCATGTCGAAAAAATCGAATCACCCAACCACCTCATCACCATTGGCCTCCACCTCCACCTCCACCACGAGATCGAGCAGAAACCAAGTCAAGTCGACGAAGCCGTCTTCGCGCAATCCTTCATCCCTCGAGCACTGGATCAAGTGTACGATATCGAACGGGATGTGGCGAGGGTGTTGAGAGGCGAAGGGGATGATCTGATTTATGCGGATCTCACAGGGGTGGCGAGGATTAGGGAGAAGGAGAAGAAGGCGGCTGCGGACGCGGACGCGGAGGGGGGTCAAGGCGTTGAGGGTCGGAAAGGTGAGGAAGGGGATGGGAGTGGGAGTGCCTTGGAGGATTCGGATTCGGATGGGGACAGTGATGATGATGAGGACGAGGAAGAAGAAGAAGGCACTCCTCGACCCAAGGGGAAGAAATTCGAGGACAAGGATGAGAAGAAGAAGCGAAGAGCCGAAGTCAAAGCTGCGAATCGGGACAAGAGGAGTCAGAAGATGAAAAAATCGGAAAAGGCGAGGAAGGTGAGGAAGACGTCGGGGAAGAAGTAAGGGAGGGGGCTTGGAGGCTATGAGGTTTGTTTGTTTCATTCGCAATGCATCTATTATGTTATTGGAATTTGGACTTGGCCGTTGAGGAGGTCGTGGTTGTTGTCGTTGTCGCGGATGGCGAGGTATACGCGTTGATGAGACTAACGATGAGCCAACAGTTGATTCCCAAAAAGACCACGCCGGCTGCCCAAACCCTCAAATAAGTCGGCCAACCCAAGATTTCCAACTGATACGCTTGACTGAGCCAAAGGCCCTGTGCCAGGATCCAACCTGTCGTTGGGGAGAGGAGGGCGAAACGCTTCGTTGTTGAGGTTGATTTTGTAGAGGGGGTGATTGGTTTGTTGAGGTCCGGTAATACAAGTGGTAGGAACCAAATGTACCAGAGCAAGTATTGCGAGGTGCAAACTTTGTTGAAGGTCACAAAGACGAGGGTTTGGATTAACCAGATGAAAGGGAGGTCCGAGGGGGACGACTGATCACGGGTCTGATCTTTGGAGGAAGAGAGGAAGAATCCCAAGGTGATGGAGGAGCCTAGTTGAGGGATGAAGGAGGCGAGAGGATGGCGGATGAGAGATAGGAGAGTTGACGATGTGGGGAGGGAGGTGGAGGTGGAGGAGAGGTAAAAGGAGTAGAAGTAGGGGGAAAAGTTGTGGCGATGGTCGAGGCGATGGAGGTGGTAGAGGAACGTATGGGATATGAAAGGTGCTCCCCAGCTATGGATGTGAAGCTGGGGTTAGTAACCTATAACATCAGCAAAAACTGGCGAACACTTGCAACTCACATGAGGTACATGGCGAGGTTGAGCAGCATGAACGTTGCACCACTGGTGAAAGCCAAGAATAACTGCTTCTTCCCGAACCACCCACTGTACCCACTCGAGCGATCATGCGAGGCGATATAGCCCAACAGACTCGAAGCGTAAACGAGGGGGTATATCTTGAAGTGTACTGCGAGACCCAACATGAGGGCCGTCTTGAACCAATTCTTCTTCTCGGCCCAGAACAGGGTCGCAATGACCCACACCCCTAGGACTGCTTCGGAGGATCCTCGCGTGGATATATTGGCGATGATGGGGTTGAAGAGCCAGACGTATGCGACGTACTGGGTCGCTTTAGGAGCAGGGATGTGACGTAGGACGAGGAGGGAGTGGAGGAGGTAGCCGATGAGGAGGTCGGAGAAGACAAAGAGGAGTTTGGCGGCGATAGGGTGGACGAGGATGTTGAGGGAGGTCAAGAGGGCCAACAGGGGTGTGTAGCGATAGGTTTTGCGTGAATAGGGGTTACCGATCCATCCTGATAGGGCTGAGAACTGTGTAGGAGCTACACCGTTCACCGACGGCCCGGAGGCGAGTGTACACCCCGGTGTGGTGGCTGGGTGGACGAGACAGCGGGACGCGTCTGTGAACACGGCATAGTCGATGTCGGTGTACTTGACCGCCGAGGTCGCGTCTTGATATGTACCCCACAAGAGCAAGACGAGCCTCAACCCGAACGCAAGCCACAACGCGGTCCGCAGTCGCCTGGGTGGGGAGTGAGGAGTGAGTACATCAGGGGGAAAATGAGATCTTGATAGTTGTTGAAGTCTTCTGCTCGGATGGCTCACATGCGCGGTGAGCTGGTCAAGGATGAGATGACTTTCCAGAGTGCGGAAGGTGGGCGAGAAGGACAAGCACGTGATCGAATCAGGTCACGTGTTCCGTCCCCGCTGGCATTAGCAATCGGGTCAATTAGCGCTGATTAGCCCGCGGTCCAAGTCCGGTCCGGTCCGGCTCGGCTCGGCTGGACTGGACCTGGCAGCTGGCTCCTCTTTGGCTCAGCTCGCGCCGCATCACTCCGCCCCTCACGGCAACACCCACCACCTCGACTCTCGAAAGGCATGGCCGACACTACAGCTTCGACGTCCAAGCTGACGATGGACTCGAGCGTGCCCGAACGGCACCGCGTCTCGGTGTCGTACTCGTGCTTGCCCAGTCTGTCCGACTACGAGCCCATCCGCGCCGATGTCCAACGCCAATCCCCACTTCGCAACTTGCATTGGGTGCGCAAGACGGGGGCGAACCGATCCGTGCGTACGATCCAGTCGCTGCCTATCGTATGGCGGCCGTTGGACTCGAACAGCGATCTGCAGGCGCTCAGTCTGCTCGAACGGCCCTATTTGCATGTCCTCTTTGTCGCCTGCGAGGTCAGTTCCGATGCAACCGCAATTGACCGCAATTCGAATCATATCAATCTGATCAAGGACGCCCCCTTTACAGGACAATGAAACCTACAGAGCGACGCTAAGACCTCAAATCCGGGAATGGCTCGACACGATCCAAGGGCCTCGACTGGGCCCGAACCAGGAGTGGCTCATCGTGCACGTCACCACCGCTCGCAGCTCGATGGCCAAGTTCTACCAACGCAAGAGTGCCGTCGTCGATAAGATCAAGGCCGATTTCAACACGGGCAAGAAGGATAGGTCAGTGGGCAGGAGCGTGCTCGGTCTTATTCGGCAGACCCCCACATCGCTCACCTCTTCAAAATCCTTCTGGGAATCCTTCTGACCGCCAGATGCATCCAAGTAGGCGCCTCGGCGGACGATCCAACAGCATGGGCAGAGTTCTCCAACAAGGTCAAAGAAGGTGTTCTCACGACCTTTGACACCAATGTGTCCCTCTACGAGGAGAACGTGCGCAAGGCCGACAGTCAACGCCAATTGGAAGGCTGGCAGTTCCAGCCCTTTTTCCTACAAAAGGTGCGGAACAACAACGGCAGCGGTACCATCTAGCATTAGCATTGGAAGGACTGATTGAACAAGTCTCGTCCTCACAGGAAGTGCTGGCGGACTCGTTCGAAGCGATCGGCCTGCTCGAGGATGCCCTTATTCAATATGACGAACTCGAAGCCGCCTTTTTCCAAGCGCTCAAAAGTCGGTTCGAAAGTTTTCGATGACCACGAGATTTTTTTGATTTTTTTTTGCTGATCCGGCATTTTGATCCCACGTAGCTCACGACATGGCTTGGTTTGGTGCCGTCGGAGGCCTTACTTCGGGCGACGATACCTTGCCACTCCTGTCGACGACCAACAAGCCGTACCGGAGCCTCATCCAGGCCAACAAGATCACTATGTTTGATTTCCGGATCTACATATTCGCCCGTCAGGCTTCGTTGCTCTCTCGGCTGGGAAGGATCGCGGAGCTGGCTAGACGAGGAGCGGTGTTCGTGTCAACGTTTGCGAGGACACTAAGGGAGCATCAGGCGAGTTATCCCTTTCATTCGCACAATGGCGTCACGCGAAAGCTGAACCGGCACCACGCCTGTAGAACACACTGGGAAGGTACTTCGTCGAAGCCTGGACGTATTCGGCTTGTCTCAACATTGTCGACAATTGTCAAGTGTGGATAGAGGGGGAGGACATTGATCGCAAGACGGCGGCGAACTTTGTGGCCGTCAAGGCTGAGTTGCTTGAATTGGCTCGCAAACAGGTAAGGCCGACGGCCGATCTCTTTACATGTGCCGCGGTGCCTAATTATCGACATGGCACCTTTCCCAGCTCGATAAAATCGGGATCGGAGCTAGCCATCTACCCCCATCGCATCCTTTCTCCATGTCCCTTAACGAACCCACCACCTCCATTCCTTCAACCTTCAATTCGCCCGACCTCAACAACCTCAACACTCATCAACGCCCTCCCGTTACCCGCCAAGACCTTCTCAATGCGATCAAGGATGGGGAAGCGTTCGACAAGTTGTTCATTGATTTGACGAACCGGAGCATTCAGGCCTACTCGCAGAGTGGGAGGAAGCGATGTTCGTTGAAGTTGCATGCTAGTCTGGCTGCGTTGGAGAAGTGAGTTTTCCCACAGATGTTATCCCCAAAAGCTCTCGTTTGTTCAGATGCTGAGCTCTCGTATCTTGACAGCCATCGCGACCGAGCCGCATCCGCGCAAAAACTGTTCTCCCACCTCCCAGCGCACTACATCGATCTCCGCTGGACCAGGATCGAAGCCTCCCTCTTATCCGAATGCACACGCCTTCAAGGCACGCTCGATATGAACAAGGAAGAACTCTTGTCGACGTTGGCCTTGGTTAGGGCTGGGGTCGAGTTTGAGAGTAAGAAGTGGGATTTGAGAGGGGTGGAAAAGGAAGGGGAGGATGAGGAGGGTCTGGCCAAGAGGTTGATGAAGGATGTTTATGAGTTGAGTAAGGGGTTGAGTAAAGGTGAGGACGCTTTATGACTCTTCGTCCTGAGGCCACCTTCCGAAGCGCTAAGCTTTGTGCTATACGAACAGACTTCGCCGCGATTGCCTTTCCGACCTTTTCGATGCGACTCGCCAATGACCGAGGCACGATAGCCCAGGATGAAGACGGGGTGAATATTCGTCTGATCATCACCAATCTATTGCCTTGCGCACTCGACATCGACGAGGTGCGGTTGAAGTTCGCCAAACCGGATGGGGAACAAGTGTGGTTTACAGCGGGACAACATACGCTGGTCGCAGCGGGGCAGACAGAGGTCGAGTTATTTTGTCCGGTCAGTACGATCTCTCGATACTCCAGAAGAGTAGAAGATCTGAGCTGACACGATGCATCTGCGCTTGCCCTTTACCCAGACCGCTGTCGCTGGCCGACTACTCCTCGAGCTTTCGCAGATCCGCTTCTCCCGTATCATCTTCCAATATTCGCACCGCCCCGTCTCATCGCGCAATCTCGCCCCAGATCCACGCAACATGCCCTTAATAGCCGGAAAACAACCTGTCGCTTTCTTCCCGCGCGATTACCAAGCCCTTGACGTGACGTGTCGTGTACCCCACGAGATCCACCTCGACCAAGAACGAACGGCCTTGATCAGGATCTCGGTAGGGAGGAACCAAGTCACTCGTATCTCATTGAAGATCACAACGGGGTCCAAGAAGCTCACTTTCGCTTACGATCGAAGTCGAGTCGTACTCGGACAAGCTCAACTTTCCTTTGCCTCGGGGATCGAAGATACCCTCATCCTCGATACCATCCAAAGTGGGGATAAGGTGATCGAAGTCGAACTTCCTCTCGTGGGAAGGATAAATGATCCTTCGTTGAATATTGGGGTTGTGGCGGAGTATTTGACGGTCAAGAGACCGGCGACAAGGAGGTTGGTCAAGAGAACGTTACCCTTCAAGATCGCTTTACCGTTGGCGGTCAATGTGCAGGATTTTTTTAGGGAAGACAGGCGAGTTTTACGGCTTCGAATCCGGTGGTTCGGGTGAGGTCGGAACTGACTGGATGTTCTCGGGTTTGTTAGGCTGTTGTCAAAGTTCTCGGTCACGACGGACGGCGTCAATGCTTTGCGCATCAAGTCGGCGCACCTTGAAGACGTCGAAGGCGTGACAGCCAAACCGTGTAGAAGTGCCAAGGCACCTGTTTTGGTACGTTTCATGGGAAGGATTTTCAGTCATGAAATGATATTGAGACCTTGCTTTCATTATGAACCTTATGAACAGACCATCCTGCCTTTTCAGACGGCCAACTTCCTGTTCAACATCACGAAAGAGTCGAGCGGACCGAGCGAAGGTGAGCTCATACTCTCCTGACCCATTTGGAAACGGAAAAGGGGCTGACAAAATATAATTCGCCAATCTGAAGACCCTTTACGTCTAACTTTGGCGTTCTGCACACTCGAAGAAGGTGAGCTAGCTCGGTGCCGCGTTTCTGCGAATGTGACCATGTGCTGACTCTTGCTTTTCCCCGTCTGCCAGATATCCGAACTCGGGTCGCAGCTGTAGTGGAGGATCTCATCTCTACCTCACCTTCCCTGTCGACACTCAAGTCGTGGCTTCTTGATTCGATCGGGAGCGAGGTCGTCGCTCTTACCTCCGTCGAAGAATTCGCCATCGACCCTGATTTCCGATCGCTCGAATTCGACGAGGTCCTCTGGAATGCGCGGATTTCCTCTTTGGCCGTCACGAACGAGGAAGAGGCCATGTCCGCCGTTCGTCAAATTTTTGGGGTACTCTCGAATGCGAACCCAGCAGAAACAAGTTCCAAAGTTGAACCCCCTTGGCGACAATTGACGATCCCCGTCGACCTCCCTTCCTTGAACGTCCTCAACTTGGTGCATTTCACCCCCGACTACCTCAAGACCGAAATAGGTCAAGCCCTCCCCGTGACACTTTCAATCCGTCCTACGTTCCAATGGAGCAACCTCAAAACGATCCCCACGACTTTGCATCTCATGTTCGACCTGACCATAAACCCATCCGATTGGTTCGTCGCGGGGAAGAAGAAGGGCGAAGTTGTGGCTGTTCCTGGAGAACCGACGACGATTAGACTTTGGCTCGTCCCTGTTCGTGCGGGGGCCTTGTTCTTGCCTTCGGTGGTGATCACTCCGATCAAGAACGGTGTAGGCTCACCCGAGGTCGGAGGGGAAGAGCCGTTGGATCTGGAGTGCAGCTGTGAATCGCAGAACTTGAATGCTGCTAGGGTCAGTCGCTCATACGTCCTCTCATCGAGTCAGGATGGAGCCCGACTCTGAACCAGACCCTCTCTCCTCGCTTTCGCAGGTGATCGAAGTGTTGCCTTTGTCGAGCTCGAGCACGTTCGAAATTGAGGATCTGGAACAACAAACGGTGCCGATCGCCGTCTAGCTGGCCATTGGCAGGTATTCTCTCATCGTAGCAACTTGTTGTAATCATCATCTTAGTGTACGTTTGCTGGCTGTATTAGCTCCTCCCTCGAACCAGCTGAGGTGCAGACTTCGCCCACATTCAGACGTAGCCATTCGAAAGGCCCCAAACTTTCACTGGCTTTTCCTTGTCGACGTCCAAGCTACGTACCTCTCGTGCCTCCATTTGATTTTGACTTTTTGAAATGCAGGGATTTGTCTATCAGAATGCTGTCGGAAGGAACCTCGAAGATCCCGCTCAACTGATGGGGAACGCTCGATCGTCTCCACGCTCCGCGAGGTGTCATCTCAAGACCCAAACAGAAATTTTTCGGTAATCACTTGAAAATGGAAAGCAAAAGAGGGATTTGTTCATTTTTGTTCAGAGCTTTGATCGGTACGCCTTGGGGTTGGGTCCTTCATCCGCGTTGATCTGTGACGAGTATGCGAGTATCAGTCCTCGAAAACTTGGACGAGCAAATCGGTGCGGCCGCTTACTCCTCCCTCGGCTGACCCATCACCACCGAACGAGGTTCCAGCATCGAGAAGGTTCTTATTGTTCCCAGAATTCGGCTGCAGATGCGAGTCGCAAGAACGCTTGTAATCAGCAAAGCTCTACAGCATGCAGCTCCGACTCCAAGCGAACTTGACGGCAAGCTCAGAAGCGGAGTCCCACTCGAGACCCCCTCTGTCGCGTGCAGGGTAGATTCCGGACCCCAGATCGAGCACCCTTGACGCACCTTTCCAAAATTCTGTTCTTTCTTATCGCTTCCGGGAGAACCACTTGTCGTCAAATCGGGTTGACCGCCGGCCCTCTCGAGTACTTGAGCATCATTTTTGGAACGCTCCTTTTCGTCTTTGCGTTGCTCCGATGGGATCGTCGCGATGGATTCGCGGTTGAATTCAGCGTTAGGCTAGGGTTAGGGGGATTGAGATGATGATACGTAAGTAGATGTGGATGTTATGCAGATTAGTTGTGGTGATGATCAGTCGGGGCGGCGGGTTTCCATGCCAAGACTCTGTGCAGCTCGAAGTGGTGGAAGCACCCGTTCTCCGTGGATCGAGACCGCGATCTCGGATCATGAAAGCTCTCGCAAACGTCATCAGACTGCGTAGCAGCCTTCGGTGATGGCGCTTGGACGCCGTGCGCGCACTCACCTTATCAGGATCGGTAGCCATGTCGATTCTAGTGTAGATGAAGCAGGAAGAGGGAGAACACAAGTCAAAGCCTCCCACTTCAAGCGGCGAGAGAAGCTCAAATCGGCGGCGTGCAGATCTGACCATAACGTCATCGGGAACGGCAGTCTCGCTTCGCGAGCCTGCGCCGGCCAAAGTGGGGCGCCGCATGAACCAGCACTGCAGCGCTGCAGCGGGTGCCGAACCCGTCCGGATCGACTCTCCCTGCCGGTGACAACCAGATACAGCCCGTCCGGCTAATCCGTGAAAACCGCTATCCCGTAAATACCAGCATCTTGAATGCATTCTTATAATGACCAACATACAAGAAATGCGGCGAGTTACGGCGACTACCACTCCCGTGCCGAATCCGAATGTCCTCGTTCGGCACTTCACCCCTGAGCAGTCACACCACGTGCGGTCCCGTACCGTAGGTATATCAGCCTCGGGTGGATCGATGGCGTGACTTCGGAATCTTCATTGCGCCTCCAGTGTCCAAACCCGCTCCTCATATGCGAAGCAGTGAGGCGGTCGGATTCAAAGCTCTGGCCAGGAAATTGCGAACAGCTTCGCCTCTACGATTCAACGCTCTGCTGCAGGATTGCGAACCCACGGGTAGGTTGGAAGTAGTTGAACCTCGCCTTTCCTTCGGACCGAGTACAACAAGATGCTGTGCCAACCGGACCGCACTTCGGATCCCCTGAAGCTCACCACGTGTTACGATCATCAGAGGATCCGGCGCCTCACCGCTTCTGACATCGCGATTGATGCTTGATGCTCGAGTGTCCCGGATCTTCACCGGTTCGTTGAAGTACCTATAGCTTCAAGACTTGCATCCGGCAGCTTGCCTCACCCGAATCGTGTGCCTATTCCGATCAAAGCGTCCCAATCCTGGATGCGTTGTGCCCCCGTATTGACATGGATATTACATTGCTACAGATGCAAAGACAGAAAGAAGAAGCGTAGCCTCAAAGACAAGAAAAGGAAATCAGATACCCCATCAGCCGGGAAAACATCGTCATTAAATTGAAAAGCCCAAACAGGAACCCGCAGGCGTCGGCTCAGATCTAATGTTGAGCCCTGTTAAACATGATGAGGCCGAGCGTTAGAGTCTATTCAAATATTTCAAGCAAGAATTCGAATTTGAACTTACCAATTGATCGACTTGATGTCGATGCCTTCCTGGAACATCTCCCAAAGCGGGGACAGGTCTCGTAGTCCTGTATTCACCAAGAGCCCCAGAGTGAGCATATATTCGAGGGCAAATCCTTCAGACCAAGCACATGACGACTCACGTTCAACGATCGCAACAATCTTGTTGGTGACAAAATCAATCTCTTCCTCGGTCGTGAAGCGCCCGATCCCGAACCTGATCGACGAGTGGGCCATATCCTCCTCCGTACCCAACGCTCTCAAGACATACGAAGGTTCCAACGAAGCGGACGTGCACGCCGATCCGGAACTCAAAGCAATATCCTTCATGGCCATCAACATCGATTCGCCCTCGATGTAAGAGAAGGACAAGTTCAGGCACCCGGGGTACCCGTTCGGGTCACCGTTACGAACGATCAACTCGCACTTTGACGTGATGCCCTCGTAAAGACGTTGCGACAGTCGTCGCACGTGGGCGTCATCAAACGCCATTTCCTTCTTGGCCAAGCGGCATGCTTCACCAAAGCCGACGACGGCGGGAGCAGCGACCGTCCCCGATCGCAGTCCTCGTTCTTGTCCACCGCCCGAAATGATGGGCTCGAGCCGGACTCGGGGCTTGCGGCGCACGTAGCATGCTCCGATACCCTTGGGGCCGTAAATCTTGTGGCCCGAAATGGACATGAGATCAATGCCCATCTCATCGACATTGATGGGGACTTTGGGAGATGAAGCAGCTCGGTGTCAGCGGTGGCCCGGCTGTCGTGTCTGAAACTAGAAGAACTGACTCTTGCCGACGGCTTGGGCCGCATCGGTGTGGAAGAATACACCCTTGTGCTTCTTGACGATGGCACCGATTTCCTTGATGGGCTGAATGGTACCGATCTCGTTGTTGACCATCATAACCTGCAGCAGTACGAATTGATGAGGTCAGCTGCCAGCTCCGCCGATTGCGAAGGGACCGTCGGCCGCGACCCGGTGCCTCGAGAGATCGGACGGAACAGTCGCCGCGGAAGTAACACTCACAGAGACGAGAACAGTGTCGGGCCTGATCGACTCTTCGAGCAACTTGAGATCAACGATACCGTCGGCCTGTACGGGCAAGTAGGTGACGTCGAAGCCCTCGTCCTGCAGCACTCGGCACGAGTCGAGCACACACTTGTGTTCGGTCTGAGTCGTGATGCTTTTGGGTAGGGGTGATGCTACTGGGATCAGTTCTATGCTGATGAGCACGCGGCGGTATGAACACGGGTATACTGACATGTGCTTCTTCTTGCCCTTGTAGAAGCGCGCGACGCCTTTGATGGACATGTTGTTGGACTCGGTCGCTCCCGAGGTGAAGATGATGTCCTTGGCGTTAGCTCCGATCAAATCGGCGACGTACTAGCGATTGTAATGTAGACACCTGGGTCAGCTCCTCTGACTGCGAACTCTGTCGGGTGCCACCGCAGCTTGGTATGATCAGATCAACGCACCTCTCGGCCCTGTTCGACCGCCTTCTCCGTCTCCCAGCCATAGGCATGGGTCTTGGAATGCGGGTTGCCGTACTGGTTGGTCATGTAGGGCAACATGGCGTCGAGCACGCGCGGATCGGTCGGTGTGGTCGCTTGGGCATCGAGGTAAATCGGCCGGCCGACGTTGACCGGTTGGCCCTCGACGGCGTGCGTCGATTGCGAGGGCGAGGCCGTCATCTCGAAGCCGAGCATGTCCGACGAAGGGGCGACATGGACCGTCTGGTCTGATTCGATGGCAAGGTCTTTGCCCAGGGACAGGTCCGAGACGGTGGCGAGCGAGCGAGACGCGGTCGAGCTCAAGTGGCGTGCGTCGGGCTGTCGGTGGGCGTGGTTGCCAGCGAGACGGCTGATCGACGCGGTCGGGGTCGGGGTCGGGGTCGGCCGAGGCAACGAGGCACGAGCAACGGTCGAGGCAAGGCGTCGCAACGACATGTTGGCGATGCAGTCAAATAAGTGGAGAGGAGGTGGAAGCGGGGCAAGACCGAGAAAGGAGCGACTCAAAGCCGGCGCGCACACTCGCGCACCATGCGCCGGCGAAACTTGCGCCAGCCATTACTAATCGACGCGAGGCCTTTTAAGCCGAACGCCACCATCACTGGCGATTACTAGTATCCAAAGGAGCGTCGACCGGACAAGGGAAAGTAATCAAGCATTGATCTCATGCGGTCCAGAATCTCACATCCTTCCTCAAGAAGCGCTTGAATATGAGCGACCGCCATACTGCGGCCCACCTCTGTCGGAGAGGATTCGTGAGCCACAACGCCCGGGCCGTCGGCGGTCTTTGACCGCACAAACACTTGCAGTGCATAGCAGCTCACCCATTCCCATTCAACGACGTAATTAAGGCAGCTACAACACGGTAATAAAAAAATCACAGCCTCGTGCCCTCGTCACTCTAAGACTACTCCTACACAGTATCGCACCGCTCCGAACGCGACCATTCTGCATTCTCAGCTCCGACTTTGACTCCCACTTCCCCTTATTTTCATAGACGGCTTGTCAATCCTGGAGCTTATAAAAGCATGAGCAGAGCTTGGGGACGTTTTGCTTTGTTTCTTGGGTATGACCGTCGAGACCACATTGTCCGAACCATCCGAACCTTCTCCTCCAAAGACCAGCGTCTTCTCAGCCGAGCACGTCGTTGCATCATGATCCAGGCGCTGCCGATGCTCAGCAGCTTCCAGTTTGGTCCATATCGCGGCGAAGAAGTTTCCTTCGCTTTCTTGGTCGCATAGCGCGTCCGGCTCCGAGGGAGCATCTCCAGCCTCGCAGATCATCGCATCGACCACGCGCAGTAATTCTCGTCCAATCGCCTCGGCGAGCGGAACGGGTCTACCAAAGCGCAATCATCTGCTTAGCCCTGGACCTCTCAGTCCACCATGTTAGCTTCCAAACACAAATACTCACACAGCATTACCCACGAGCTTGTACATCTCATCGAAGCGTTCGTCCTCGTCGTCAGCCCTCCCAACGGCTTCCAGTTTGATGTGATCCGGGCACCCGAACAGACGAGCGGTCTCGCGGACGGAGAGCTGACGATTATCAACAGGGTGAATTCTAGGACCGTGCCAATAACCAGCCTATCGATGTGCAGACATATTTCGGGTCAGCAAGAGCGGCAGGCACACAACAAGCTGGCCCACGCAGCAGAATGTGACTCAACGGGCTGCAATTGCGTCAACAGCGTCGAAATGACTTGGGTCCATTCCAACCTCGCCCAGAAATGCTCCGGATCGCGGCTTCTCTTGTCCTCGTCCTGCATCGCAGAGGGCAACTCCGGCCTCAAAGCGAACGATTGTTCGACCCCGTCCTCGAATTCAATCGTCACCTCCAAAGGGATGTCGCGATAGTTGTGCGATTTACCCGGAACCCGACCATTCTTCATCATCGATCGTTTGGCAATGTTGGCGAAATACGACGCGTGAATCTCAGGAACGGCTGGGACGACGTGCTCGCTCGTTTCGGGCGTCAGGGCTGTGTTGTGTGATTCGGTTGTCCGGACGCGCAAGGAACGCTGGAAGCTTGACTTGGGGTACTTGCTCGCGTAGAATGACTTGGCCTTGTGATCCTGCTCAAGCACCTCTTGACGTGAGCGGAACCCGATCGGCTGATATTGCTCCCAAGCAAAATCCGCCTCACCCGCAGGGGTCAAATCGAAAGCGTCGGCAAAGCCAAACGAAGGAAGGTCGTTGATCGCTGCTTCGATCGTGACGGCGTGGTGTGGGGCATGACCACCACGGCGGAGACTCGAGCGAGCCGTATGGATCTTGGTTCCCGTCTCGTAAGGAGCTGCAAAGGTTTTGAGACCGTTGTCCGTGAACGCATGGGTCGGTTGGGGTGCGGCGGGCAGGAGCAGGCCACGACGCGCACACATGAGGATGACGCGCTGTCGACCTTGGGGTGTTCCGAATGCTGCAGCTTGGTGGACATCTAAACGGACCTGATAGCTGCGCCAAGGTGAAACCATTGTTAATCAGGTATCACAACACCACGCGCAAGTTCGACCTTGCGGAACTTACCCAAGCTGGATCAGAGCGCTCATCAGCAACCTCAACAGTCCACCCTTCTCCACGGCCTCCTCTTCCGAACCCCGGGGCAGGATGAACCGTTGTATGTCCGACACATTCTCAAACACCGCAAACAGCGGTCGATACTGCTCCACCGCCGAAAGCCATACGAAAGGTTCGAGGCACCGCACGTCGTCCTGCGTCTTGCACTGGTTCTGCGAGCTGAAGCCTTGGCATGGAGGCCCGCTCTGAATGAGGTGAACCTCGCCACGCCTGAGCGGCGCAGGTCGCGTTGGCTTGTCCCCATCTTGCACCGGTACGGATTGGCTGTAGTACAGTGCTTCGACGTAATCACTCGTAGGACAGTTGAAGACTTTTTGACCATTGGCCTTAAGCGCAGCAGCGGCGTAAGGGTTCTGCTCGATCGCTGCCTTTGTCTTGATCACCGAACAACCCCTTTCAAGGCCGATCGACAAGAGATCCACGCCCGAATAAGCCGACAGAGCGCCGAGCGCGTATCTGACCGGTTCCCGAGCAGTAGTCTCGGCCACATATGCTTGCCGTTGGAGGTCGAGTTGGTGCTGCCGATCACATTCAGGGCATCGCGCAATGTCGTCGATCTCGTCCGCTGTCAAAGTGCGCAGCACGTTCTTCTCCCCGAGTTCGATGTCGTTGCACGCCGATGACACCCAGTTACGCGCCAGGGACCAATACGTGTCCTCGTCGACCTCGAGGAAGGACAGTCCTCGACCGGCGTAGAACACGTCTTGCCTTTGCTGCAAAGCTGCCAGAACAATCGCATCACGTTCACCAGTATCAGTGGCGAACGTATCGCCCGCTTGGTCCTTGACTTCCTTCCAAGTTTCAAGCCGGAAGGTGCCCTCCAAGTTGGACCAATAGAAACCATCGTACACGATATCCGTTAGGACAAGGCGTCGTTCATCGAAATCGCGTTTCCCAAAGACGAGATTCTTGTCGGACACATCGTCGTAGCGCAGCAAGGCGCGCACCTGGAGGTAGGTCTCATTGTCGAACGGTGGGAGCCGCTTCGGTCGATCCCCAAGCTTGACGTTGCCGACACCGATGAGCTGACCTAAGAGGTAAGGTTCACGCCTGTTCGTCTTGTTCGTCGACCCCTCCGACCCAAGCGGTATTAAGTAGCAATAGTCCCCAAGATGGTACGTATTCTGCCCCACCTTGAAAGCGGGTATCGGCGAATCTTCGATCCAGGCCGCGCGATCGGTCGACAATTCGGTCTTGGGATCAAAGAAGGACGTCTCATACTCTTCGATCCGACGTTCGCAGCTCGAGCATCGCTCGATGTTGACTTTCTCGCAGCGTTCGAAAGCCTTGGGCCCCGAGAGGTACTCTACGGGATGCGAGTCGACGTAGTTGTTCGTATGCCGATCCCAGTGAAGCGAGTAGTAGAGTCCTGTCGGGGGTGGTACACCACTACAATGATCCAGCTCGACGATATTGATCTTTCGAGCGATTGTGGTGGCTGAGATCGTACTGCAGTGATCATTGTAGCAAAGGGCACGCTTTGGAGCTAGCGAGCCGAGTGGGGTATCGCACAAGGGTATGAGCCAAGAAACGTGGGCCTTGATGTCCGGTTCGGGGTCCACGTCATCGTTATCGGCGAAGAAGTAAACGATCTTGGCGTACCACAGCTTGGCGGGCAGTGCTTTGGTCGGGAAGCTAGGGGGTGGTCCGTCGTCGTACCAATCTCCTTCTTGGTCATCACGTTGCGCCTCCCTCCTCGCTCGTTCGATCGCACTGGCATCCTCGGCCCCGTTCTGACCGTCTGTTCGAGTCCCCGCGACGAGCACCGTATCGCCGACCTTGAACACGTTCGCGTCCACCCTCATGCAATCGTACACGGTGATACGCGAACCCGCAACGCCGTCTCCCTCCACGCCATCCGCTCGATCCGGATGTTCTCTCTGCACACCAGTACCCTCCAAAGTAATCTCGGGATCCGAATTGTCCTCCCACCAGTCGAGAATCGCTTGTTCCATCTCCTCCTGCAGTTCGACCGCCGCGGCAGAGTTCGCTTGCGCTCGTCGTCCCAGGATCACGGCTTTTTCATCGGTGCGCACGGATTTGGGTTCGAGAAAAGGCGCGACGAGATTGTACACGACGGGCGTGACGAAGGGGGTGTTGACGAGGTGGCGATGGAGCAAGTGGGCGATCCCAAGGTCCATGGTGGGATTCGCGTAGGATGACCACGGCTTCGGCAGCTGATAGGTTGGTGGTAGTCTTTCCAGAGCTACGAGTGCGAACATATCAGTCAGCTGCGGTGATCGGACAAACAAGCGAGTCGAACCAAAATGACGTACCTGCCATGGTGGCCTTGACAAGTTTGAAATCATAGAGCTTGGCCTTCAAGTCGGCAACGAGGTCACGGATCGGTCGATTGTTCTGCCCCAGAACATGGTTTTCTCGACCAAACACAAACAAATTGATGAAGATGCTTGCTCGATCGAGATGATGCCCTTTTCGATACGACTCGTCCGGCGTCTCGAGGCGGTATGACCCGAGCTTTGTGACGAGGTAGAGACAAGGTCGACCAGTGTTGCGCTCAAGGCGAGGGACGAGGCCTACGATGTCCGATGCCGCGATGACGACTTTACGAAGGCCGTCAAACTCGTGAGGGATACGATCGCCCCGCGTTTCCCATTCGAGATCAATTCTATCGAATTCCACCCAGCCGTCATCGGCCGAGTTTCTTCCCGACTCGGGCAAGGTCTCCACCTCGGGCAATACCCAGCCCTCGAATTCGAGCCGGTCGAACTGGCTCTTGTTAGAGCCGTCGAGCAGAAGCAAATCCGACATTGATCTGCTATGCACTCGTTTCGAGTAGAGCGCAAAATCGCGCATCGCGAACGCGCCTTTGGTCTTCCTCGTCGTCGGTAACGGTATCTCGAACAGCTCGAAGAGGTGGTACTCATGGAATTCGTTGATTGTCGGATCGGCTTGAGGCAACAGAGGCTTTCGGTCTGGAGAAGATTGTGGCCTTCGACCCGGCACGGTCTTCTTCTTGCGGGCAATCCCAAACAGCCGACGAGGCCTCGGATTGTCAATCCTCTTCCTCCGTTTTGTCCGGGATGCGGCCTGCTGCCGAGTAACGAGTGACTTCGCACGAGCTGCATCCTTGTCCTTTGCTCGTGTCCTGGTCACGCTCTTGCTTTCGACGTCGTATTCAAGGTCCATCAGTTCGGGAACTTGTTGCGGCGAGGTGGGCTCGAGAATCGGTGATATCCGTGGCTCTGAAGCACCAGGCGTCGTCCCTTTCTCCGGCTCGACCCGCCGGCGCTTCTTCTCGCGCTTCCGAACCCACTCGACCCTCGCCGTCTCCCGCTGATATCGAGCCAGTCGTTCCTCCAGAGTAGGTGGCGGCGTCGGCAACGCGATGAACCTTTGCGGATCGTTGATGAACGCATCGCCGGAGTAGACATGTCCAAACTCGTTCAGTTCAATCGGGGCCGATGCTTCGTCTGGGTCTTGCCATTCGAGCTCGCGAAGCCGGCGACTTTCGGCGTCGGATTCGTCGTCCGAGTCTTCGATGGTCAGATCGATCGCTTTGGGTCCGACACGGTGTCTGATTTCGGTGACCTGTTTTTGGTTGGGCCATTTACGGTCTTCAAAGTAGGCGAGTCTCTGTGGGGGGGGGGGGCGAAAGAAGCATCAACTCAGCTCGGACGTGAAAAAAGGCCCGCATATCTTGACATGCCTGGCGCGAGTCTGCGCAACCTACCTCGTAGTTGGATACGCCTTTCCACCACCTCCATCGGTTCTTGATCAGATCCGACAGTCGCACCTTGATGGACTCGAACAGACGATACTGCGGATATTTGTGGTGCGCCTTGAGCCAGGCCTGACAAGCGCGTTCAAAGGCGCGATACTCCTGATCGAGTTCTTCGTCGATGTAGTATTTTCGATGATGACCTCTTCCCGGTTGGATGGCCGATAATGGACGACGACCACTGTCGATCCCGAATTCGGAGACGCCGTCCGAGTCGGGGGCAGATTCGGGTGGGGTAGGTGTGGGGGAACGGCCCGGCGCCGAAACGGATCTTGTCGAGGTCGAAGCGACGGGCGAAGGCGCGCCAAGGGAGGGCGACACGTCTCTTGTACGAAGATGAGGCTGTCTTCTTGCGTCTATGGGGGACGAAGTCTCGGAGGGTGCCAGTGCAGGGAGCGGTGGTAGTGCCAAAGGTGGCTCAATCTCTTGCTCGTCGTGCTCATCGTCATCGTCATCGTCATCGTCATCTAGTTGAGGCTCCGAGGACGACGACCGCCGGGATACGTCTCCAACCTCAAGTCCGTCCGAAAGCGCGTCACCCTCTTCTCCCAGCTCAGAGCTCGTCCTTTTCCTCCGTCGTCGTTTCATACTCCCTCGGCTATCCAGGAAGGGCGGGGCGGCCCGTGTCGCAACGCGTAGATGGGTCCCCAAGTCAAGGTCGAGAAAGGTCGAGAGCGGGTTAAATCGAAGAGGCCCGTGGCTGTGGCCGTGGTCTCAAGTTGGCTCAACGTTCGCCGAGTCGCAGCGAGTCGCCGGGGGTCCCGCCGTGCGAAATTGGGAGCGGGCGAAATATCTGCTACATTGGATCCAAGGGGGGTGGAGCAGGAATGAAAGCTTCTAAAGAACTGCTTTGGGCGACGATTTGGGCGTTCCGGGGTTCGGCGATTCACTTGACTCTGTCTTCGAAAGAAAACCTTGCCACCTTGCAGTGGCGGGTGGAGGGGGCCAGCACGAGGTCCGTGCGAGTTGAACCGTTGATCGCCACCGCGACGGTGTCCTTTCGCTCGAGGCACTTTTTGGGGTGCTGCTGCTTCGCCTCCAAACGACTCGACGCGCTCCTGTAGCACACGACATGGCCAAGCGAGGTGCACACAAGCAGTTGACAGACCAGTCAGTATCCGTCTCACTATACCTAGACTTGGACAGCGTCGCTGACGGATCAGAATCGCACCTCGTCCACGCGTTGCTCACAGGAACTGGGAGCGAGATGCCAGTGATGACGAGGACAAAAACTCGACAGGGGTCAGTTGTCACTTGTCTCGTCGTTTCTGACTTCACATAACTGATGACTTGCTTTCTGTGGCCTCACCTCCCCCCAAAAGTCTGGCGAAGCTGGCTTCAAGACCGCCGCACCCGAGGCTCTAGCTGGGCGAAGGTATGCACCACCGTGCAAGGCAAGAAAGACTTCATGCCCACCCAAGATTAATTCACCACAGGATCCGAGGCTTGCCTCAACGCAAGGGGGCTGGGGGACCCACACCAGCGACGGCGACGGCGACGGCGACCTCCACTTCCTCGGCAGCTGCCCCGGTCAGTTCTAGCTCAGCAGATCGTCTCACAATCGCACTTGCTCCAAACGACCAGTCCCACTCACTCACCACCATCGTTGACTCCTCCAGACACCATCACCTTTTCCCAGTTTCTCCGGCTTCGGCGCCGCTCCGGTGATTCCTACCTCGAACCCGTTTGCTGGCTTCGGCTCGACTCCCACCGCGCCCTCGACCGAGGAGACACCGGCAAAACCGAATCCATTTGCCGCCACGACCTTTTCGTTCGGCTCCACAGCTCCATCTTCAGATACTACAGCCAATAAGCCCGCCCCGCCCGCCCCGCCCGCCCCGCCCGCCCCTTCGGCGGCCCCGTCGACCGGCTTCTCTTTTGGCGGATCCTCGTTCGGTGCGAGCTCAACCACGACGCCGTCGACCATAGCACCTTCTTTCGGTAGTGGATCCAGCTCGGCGTTCACATTTGGTTCGACTCCCACACAACCTGAAGCAACGAAGGCTTCTACCAACGGGGGCTCGGATACGACAACACCCGCTCTGACCTATTACCTCGGTCTGCGCGGTCTCAACATCTCGCTCCTCGATGCGCTCACCAAAGAGATCGACGCCGATCCCTTCATGAACTTGGCCCGCCAGGGATTCGACGCGATGAAGCAAAAGTACGAATCCCTTCGAAACAAGATCGAAGCCGACTATGTCAACGCTGGCGGCAAGGTCGACGCGAACGGCTTCAGCGCGGCTTCGACATCTTCGACTTCGACTTCGACTCCTGCTTTCTCCTTTTCTTCCAGTTCGAGTTCGACTCCTGCTGTCTCCTTTTCGACCGCATCCTCCGATCCGGCTCCAGCCTTTAGTCCTGCTGCAGCTCCGAGCTTCTCATCCTTCACATCACCTCCGGCGCCCGCTGCTGTCGCTTCTGCGCCAAAGACCGCGGAGGAAACATCAAACTCCACTGCTCCTGCCGTCGCGGCACTCGCCCCACCTGCTCCCCCCGCAGCGTTCTCCTGGGGCGGCGATGTCGTCAAACCCACACCTGCGACTTCATCGCCGTCTGCGCCCGTTACCGGCGGATTCGTCTTCAAGCCCTACGCGGCCAAGAACGGTGACGTCGAAAAGAGTGGGTTCTCGTTCCCGAGCGGAACTGCACCTCCGGCTGCCGCTCCGTCCACCACCTCGTCTGCCACAACCGCCTCGTCCTTTTCTCTAACAGCGGCGTCCAAACCATCCCAGGACGGATCTGTAGCGAAGCGCGTTAGCCAACTTGCCAACGCACCGGCGGCTCCGAGCCCACTGCGATTCGGCGAGAGTGTTTCACCACCGCTGTCACCCGTCAGGGACGAAGCGGAAGACTTGAACGAGGCGGAGAAGAAGACCGCGGACGCGGAGGTACCAAAGAAGGATTACTCGACCGTCGCACCACCGGCACCCTTCTCCTTTGGCGGTTCGTTTGGTTCCATCGCCAAGAGCGGGACCGAAGTGGCCAAGGACAAGCCTGAGACAAGTACCCCGGCGTTCTCGTTCGGAAACTCGTCCACTGCTCCAACTTCGACCCCAACCACCACGGGCCCCTTATCTTCAGCCCCACCTCCCGCCTTCTCCTTCAACACACCGATCAAGTTCGGCTCATCGGCGTCCGCACTCCCCAAGCCTACTGCCTCGCCACCTCTAGCAACGACCTTTGGCGCCGGCTCCCCTCCCTCATTCGGTTTCGGGGCGGCTTTGGGCAAGCCGCTCTCTGCATCGACATCGACATCGAGCGCAGGCTTCAATTTCGGCACTGGATCCACACCCGGGTTCTCATTTGGTGCTGGGGCACCTGCCTTTGGAGGGACGAGTACGACAGGGTCATCGTCGTCGACACCCGCGTTCTCCTTTGGATCTACGGCTGCTTCGTCGACGGCTCCTAGCGCCACGCCTTCCTTCTCTTTCGGTGCCTCCACAACGAGCACACCCGCCCCTCCAGCATCTACAGAAGCTTCCACCGACGATTTCATCCCCACGTCAGAACACGACGATGGTCTCGAGACGAAAGATCTCGGACCTGCCGAAGGGGAAGAGGACGAAACGACGTTGGCCGAAGCGCGCGGCAGAGCGTATGAGATCGGTAAAGCCGGGGAGAACAACCTTCTTGCTTTGGTCAATCTTTTCGTGAAGGAGAGGAAAGACGAGGCGGGTAAAGTGGTCAAGAGGTTGTTGGCGAGGAATGAGACGAGTAAAGCTGTCGTTCTGGTGTGTATCCGATGCTTCTCCCCTCGTCCTCAAAAACAAACAGATCGCTGACGAACAATTCTTCGTGTGCAGAACTTCCGCCTTCATTCCGGATTTACCGTCAAGTTGGAAAAGATGTTCTTGACGTTTCAAGGCTTCTCAGGCGGCGATCCCAAGATCTACAGGGTCCGCTTCAAGGGCGTGACGGAAGCGACCGCGTTCAAGGAGGCGTTGGAAGAGGCAGCGAAGAGTTTGAAGTGAGGACGGTCGAGTGGGGAATGTACATTGTAGCGATGAAAAGGAGGGGAGGTTCATGATCCATTGGAATGGACGACATGATATGAGTCTTGTAGTTATGTGAACTCCTCCTGAACCCTCGATTCTTGATGTGGCGTTCCTCCCCCCTGTGCCCGCCACGGCGCGGCCCGGAGGCGCCGTGACGCGCGCGCGCCGGACGAGTGCGACGAGTCTGCCCACTGATTTTTCAAGCACTCGGACTCCGGGACGCTAGCTTGAAAGACTAGTGAATGATAGCACAACCACCACGAACGGCTAGTAATAGGTTGTTACAAACGACGCTAATTTCTGTGGATCACATGCTTGAAGGACTGGCACTATGCCGGCCCGTTGAAAATTTGCCAGCTGGTGGCCTTGGGGATCCGACCGTTCACTGTTTTTTATTTCCGAGCCTGAAGGGGGGAGAAAGGGACTTCCGGACGCTGATCGATTGACCAGCGGTGGAAAGTCGTTGAAGCAGTACTAGTGCCCCTCATCCAAGGATACGCGTCATAGGGTAAAGCAATCAACGGCCTTGCAGGGTGGTGAGAGGGCGAGACCTCTAGGCCGAGACTAGCCCGAGAAGCGTAGAGGCGCGCGCGCTCTCGCACGCTTGACATGTGCATGTGAATTTGGGTGCCGGCGCGCGAGTCGCGATGCGATGACGTATTGGTGCGCGATGAAATGACCCGTGCTCCCGATGCATGACCCAGCATCACTCTTCCGTCCCAGCTCTTTCTCCCTCCTTCTCTTCCCCCTACCTATCTTACTCTTAACCTTCAAAGTACTAGTGGAACTACTACTGCACACACACCAGTACTAGACTTAATCAACCCATCCTCCTGTTCTACCCCTAGTAAGTCGAGTTTCCGCAGTCTGGGAATCGAGAATCGACCGATCGTGCTCCTCGGAGATGGTCTCGCACTTGCACTCGGAGCATGAATCTGCTCTACAGCACTCAGAGGACTCCATCTACTCCGGAGCCCAGTCACTTTTTTGTGACCCTAGCCTTCCTTTGGGTGCCTCTAGTCTTGGAACGGTTGGCTGATTTCTTCTTTTGACTTTGGTCCGACCTCTCTCCTTTTGCCCCTCCCTTACGCTCTTCTCTTCCCGCCCTCTTCGCCGCTGCGCTTCTTTACCTCCTTCCTCTCCCACGATCCAACAGCCTTCGTGCATATTCCATCCATCATGTCGCAAACCCCCGCTGCTTTCAAGCAGATCAGCACCAACCCCGCCGCGGGCTCCGTCACGGCGCCGACCGACGCCAAACTCAAGGCCAAGGATGTCGAGCGAAAGATGAACCTCTACGGCGTCATCGAGGCGTTCCGACAGGGCAAGATGCCCTCGAACCGACAGGTATGTTTTCTCGTTTTTCTTCTTCCTCTTCTTTGATACTGTGTTTCGATCTCGCTGTACCATCAACTAGTTGTAGTACATGGCTAGTGTTCGCTGCCGATGCCGGTGTTGAACCGCGATTCTGCATCGAGGAGCTTTGCCGACCTTGACCGAGAAATGACCACATACGTGGCGACCGCTGACGCTGACGTCGTTTTTTTTTGCCGCGCGCGCGCTCTCGCTTCTGACTCGCTTCCACTTCCGCCCCCCTCCTCCTCGGCTTCGCCTTCGGTCAATCGCTCCCGCTCTTTTTCTTTCGCCCCCGAGCAGATCTCCGAGACTCTCGATTATGTCATCGGCCACTCCCCCATCGACGAGAAGAAGCTCTCCAAGGACGGCCGAGGACTCATTGAGGACTTCAGAGGTGAGCCCCCCTTTTTTTTCTGTCTCGCCCGACCGAATTCTCGATCGATTTGCTTCGTCGGGTTTCCCCTACATCACGCTGTTTAAGATGTTTTTCCATCATACCTGTCTTTGAGCATTGTTAACTGACTGGGTCTTTTCAAATCTGTTCTCTGGATAGATTTGATCCGAACTGCCAAGCAGATGGTCGAGGAGCGAAATGCCGACGAGCTCTTGCAAAACTTCATCTACCAGTACGTTGTTGCATGTCAGAAAATAGCATTTCAACAACTGCGTGCTGACAAGTCCTTCGCCACCTTCGCAGCACCCGTGACGTCGACTACTCTAAGGGCGATTTGTCCAAGGTCAGCACCTCCGTCAACAAGGACGACACCCAGAAGGATGGCGAGCAAGCCATTGAGCATCTCCGCACGCTCGCCAAGTTGCTCTTCACCAACTCCGAGGCCCGCAAGCTTTTGAAAGATGTTGGCATCCTCGGCCGCGACGTCGCTGCCGACGCTGCCGCCAAGGCCTCGGAGGTCGCTCGACCCAGCGAGAGCGAGTTGCAGCAAATCGACGAGACCGCTCCTTCCAAGGAGTGGGTCGGCCCTAACGGCGAGAAGCGTGGCGTCCACCAATCTGCCCCCGACACCGGTCTCGGCGAGACACGTGATCAGCTCGTACAAGCCAGGAACGATGCCCAAGCCAGGCGCGAGGAGTTCAAGAACGACGTAGCGAACCAGGCGCAGGGCCACGCCGAAAATGTCGCTTATGCCGCCGACCGGGGACAACAAGCCGCCGGTGGCGAGGTCGCCCGTGATGAGGATCGAGCCCGTGCCGCCAAGGATGCTGGTCTCGGCCAGGCCAAGGAGGAGGGCGACAAGGTCAAGGCCAAGGGCGAGAAGCTCGGTAATAAGGTCGCCGAGTTCAAGGACAGGATCCCCCAGGAGCACAAGGACAAGGCCAAGGAGCAGCTCGAGCAGGCCAAGGTATGTCTTGTTTCACTCTTGACGTCGATTCTTGGTACAAGTAGCTGACCCGAGCTTTTGTGGCCTCGATTGATAGAGCTATGCCAAGGACAAGTTTCCCGAGGAGCGCCGCGAGCGTTTCATCTACCGCTTGAAGAAGATCATCGTCGAGAACCAGAGCCATCGCGACTATCAAGAGGCGATCGAGTTCTTCCTTGAGCGTGCCGAGTCCTACCACGGTGTCGCCAAGGACGCGACCTCGCAGTCCGGCGACCAGGCCATCACGCTTCGCAACGACGAGGCCTTCCAGCAGGCCGAGAAGGAGCTCCGCACCTTGCTTGAGCGCTTCGCCAACGGGCAGTCGATGCAGCCCATGTTCGATGCCGTCAACCAGCTCTACAAGGATGCCAAGAACGACGACGAGCTTGCTGCGTGGTTCAGCAAGCTTGACAACTATGTCCGCCAGGTCCTCCAAGAGCCCGGCTACGTCATGGAGGAGCAGTGCGACAAGGAAGGCAACAGGCTTTTCGAGGAAAGCAAGAAGTTCTACGACCCCAAGACGGGCAGGTACGCCGGCCACAAGGACGCGCTTTTTGACTCGATCCAACAGTTCTTCACCTCCTACGCCGACGACCCGCTCAACGTCGAGCTCGGCAACGGCGTCAAAAAGCTGACGACCGACCTCCTGTACGACAGCGAGGGCAGCCTCAAGTACAAGGCGCACCTCTGGAACGACGTCCGCTCCATCATCCTCCCCGCCCTCGCCAAGAACGTCGGCTACGTCCCCATCCCCCGCATCGAGTACATCGACCGTGAGCTCGACGTTGTCATCGAGAACCTCACCCTCGAGTCACAGAACCTCATCCCCAACATCATCGAGATCGAGGCCAAGAACTACTTCAAGCTCTCGCCGTACGACCAGATCCGTGACATTAGCAAGCACTCGTTCGTCCTATCGTTCTCGCAGGTGCAGGCCGACTTGAAGGACGTTGCCTTCTACATCAAGAAGAAGCAGGGCTTCCCCAAGCTCACCGACTCGGGTATCGCCGACGTCCAGATCTCCGGCAACGGTGTGTCGGGCAAGATTCACATCGAGTCCACAGGCAAGGCTCACCACGCCTTCAGGGTCGTCGACTGCAAGATCAAGATCGACTCGATGAAGTTCGCCGTTCGCGAGTCCAAGCACTCGTTCCTGATCAGTCTCATCAAGCCTTTGGCTTCGGGTTTGATCAAGAAGGGCATCGCCGCCGCCATCGAGGGTGCCATCCGCTCCGGCTTGCAGCAACTCGACGCGCAGATCGCCGATATCGCTGAGCGCCTCGAGGCCGCCCAAGAGGCCGAGGGTGTCGACAACAAGTTCGATGCCGTCAAAGCCGCTTTGCGCGACAAGAAGCGCGAGGCCGAGAAGGTCGCCGAGAAGCACTCTGACGCGCAGTTCAACATCACCGCTCGTCGCGAGAGCAAGTTGATCAACGTCACCTTGCCCAACTCGATCGTCGAGATGCAGGGCGAGAAGGCCGACCGCGCGCAGGAGTCGAGAGAGGACGGGTGGAAGTCGTCCGCTTTCGACATCGTCCCTTCGAGCGGATCCAGTCTGCCTTCGGGAACGACTTCGTCCAAGCCGATTCAGACCAACGCCACCGCGCCCAAGTTCAACAGCGAACCCGCACCGGCCATTTCCGGAGGTGGACCCGGCATCGCACACCTCGCGCAGCCGACCCCTGTTGAGTTGCCCAAGTAGATGATGACACCCAAGTCATCCGTGTGCTCCTCCTTTGAGTAATCGTGTTTCATCTGTTGCCCATATACCTTGATTTCAATGTGTGCTCTCCGATTACATCAAACTGCCCTCCGAGTCTTCTCTTTCTTCTCTCTTTTGTGCGCTAGTTATGCTAAAAGTCCACTGTAATCATCGAATCTGTTTTCTTTCCCAACTGTTTTTTTTCCCCTGGGGATTGCCCTTGAGAATGTTTGGATTGCGAATGATAGTAATGTACGGTGAGGTTGAGTTTCGGAGTCAAGGCCACCAAGTCAGGGGCGCAAGGGGGTGCCTAGCGCGATCAATCGAGTAGCACTCACGCGCTGCTCTCGCTACCCTCCCCACGGCCCTGTCATCTGACCGAGTCTTCCCAAATGCGTTCAATCCCAACTCGTCAACTCGAGCAAGTGCACACCACAAGTCACCGCAATGGTACCCTCGAAACCATGACGATCAAGATGATTCGACAACGCCTGGACGAGGATCACGGTTGGACTTGCGAGGACGAGGAGTGGAAGGAACTCAAGGGGGACATCAAGCAGTGGTGGGCTCAGCAGGATGTGGTGAGTGTTTCGGAGGGGTTGGTGCCTCATTGGTTTGGAGGTTGGGGTGTGTACTTATGACTTGAATTGTGGGTGGATTTGCACAGCCTACGACGAGTCCCGCAAGCTCGCCGGTCAAGAAGTCCGTGGGGAAGAAGGGGACAACGACCAAAGCGAAGGCCAAAACAAGTGATGTTGAAGAACACGAGCAAGAAGTGAAGCCACCAACGAAGAAATCGAAACCCAAGGCTTCGACCAAGTACGACCGAGCAGCGAACAAGAACCTCAATGTTAGTCCGAATGTCGTTCAAAGCAGCGCGACGCGACGCGTCATTTCTGCCTTGTGGTCACGAGCTGATGAGGGACAGTTTCCGTACAGACATTTGTGGGGGCCGTCTTTGGTGGTAGCGGTGCACTTGGTGATATGGATGATGAGGATGATGAGGTGGACGAGGATGAGAATGATATGGATGACTTTATTGAACCTGAGGAAGGGCGGCTCGGCCGACCCGACAACGGAGGTAGCGGCTCGGACGATGACGACGACAACACCGCATCCGAGACTTCGACACCTCCTGCTCAGTCCAAGTCGGGCAAACCTGCAGTTCGAGAAGCTAATTCGGAGGTTCAGTCGAAGAAGGCGTCCAAGAAGAGTTCAACATCGACCAGCTTCAAGTCGGCCGAGACGATCGACGATTCAGACGATTCGAGTGCTACGCCTCGGAAACAACGACGGGCTGTCGCTAGCGATGCAGAGGATGGCGAGGAAAAGCCTCGGAAGAAGAAGAAGAGGGCTTCGGAAGATTCGAGTTCGAAGAACAAGACTGGGTCCGCGAAAGAGAAAGGGATGACATCGAAGAAGTCTTCGGCTAGTGGGCCAGCGCCGAAGGAAGGTGATGCAGAGAAGGGGACGGATGAAGAAGAAGCGAGGATCAAGAAACTCAAGGTCAGTCTCGCTTCCGTAGTTGAGGATGGCTTCAAAAAGCCTGAGAAGCCCCACGACTGACTTGGGCAAGCGTCGAACATAGGGCTTGGTCGCTGCCTCAGGGACGACTCGGCCTTTCAATGCCTCGACTGGAGCGGAGCGGACATTATCGGTCAAGGCGAGGACGGATCTTTTGGAAGGACTTTTGAGAGAGGCAGGGCTCAAGTGCGGCAGTGGGCTCCGTGGGATGTTGCCGAGCTTGGCCCATGCGAAGAAAGTTGGCGAGAAGAGGGAGTTGATGAGGGAGATGGAGGTGAGTGCTTTGAAATGATCTCTCGGCCCACTGGGCAGTGCAGGTCGTTACATGATATACCCTATGTCCAATCTGATCCAACCTCCCTTCTTCGCACGCTCTACAGGAACTCTCCGGCGCCCCCATCTTGACCGGACTCCGAACGGGGAAAAAGCTGCCCACTCGAGCTGCCGATGATGACGATGACGATACCAGGAGTGGTAGTGATACTGAGGGCGAAGGCAAAGTCGTTGCTCCAAAACGCAAGTTCGGGGCTTTCCTCGGCGATCAGAGTAGCGATTCGGAGTGAGGAGATGGAAGGGCGGCACAAATCGCTGGGTCAGGCGTGGACGGCCGGGGTGACAGGGGTGCGACAACAGGCGCCGAGTCATACTGTAGTGTTGTTGCCATGATACATTGCATTTTCTTTGCGTTTGAACGCATGGAAAGGCAATGCTCAGTCGCAAAAGTCACGAAAAGCTTTCAGTTGTGCACTTGTTATCCTCAGCCGGGCCGCCTGACGCCGCTCTACGCCGCTTCAGGCCGCTTCAAAGGTGCTGCGAAGGATCGCGTTCTGTCCGAATCGCGTGGCGCCTTTGGCAAGTGGTTGGCACCGAGTCGCTATCGACGGTCAGCGTGTGACCCCGCCGCCCTTCAACTGTAGCTCTTACTGTTCTACTCGTTCTTTGTTCTCAGCCTTTGCAGCCTGTATGGTGTCGTACCCGCCCCACAGTACCAGTACGACCACTCCGAGCACTCCGACCATCTCCATCACCTCGCCCGGCCAGAGCACCGCCGCGTCTTCGGCCTCCACGTCTCGGTCCCAGACTCGCCACGACGCCAGCCCCATCCGCACCCGGACCAACGGCGACTACCAGGCCACTGGAACCGAAGAAGACGACGAAGGGGACGACCACGACCACGCCCACGCCCACGCCGGTGCAGGCCAAGAAGACGACTTTGATCTCGAGATGAACCTCGCACGAGGCGCGCTCAACGGCCGGCACAACAACGCCCGACTCGGACACCCGGGCGCTTCATCCTCGCCTGGATCCCATCCGTTTCGCGCGCTCACACCCAAACGCATTGCCATCATCGCTGGATCCCTGCTGCTTCTCATCTTTTGGTTCGGCAAGGGGACGGGGACAGGGTCTTTCTCCGGCGTAGACGAGGCCGCGCACAACCACGCCTCGACCGACCTCATCACGACCCCTAACGGTGGTGACGACAACAAGGTCGACGACATTGAACCCAACCTTCCCCCTGAATCACCTCAAAAGCAACCCTCGAAAGGCTCGAGTCGATGCACCCCTCCACCAGGGAAGAAGGCGACCTCGTACGCGCTCATGATCGATGCCGGCTCGACCGGCTCGCGCATGCACGTCTACACTTTTTCGCAGTGCGATCCTTCGCCCCACGCTGTTCCCAAACTCGAGCATGAGGGCTTTTACACTACCAAACCAGGGCTGTCGTCGTACGTGGGTCGACCCCAGGACGCGGCTGAATCTCTGCGTGGATTGATGGACCTTGCCGTTGCGGATGTACCCCCGTCCGAGCGGAGTTGTACCCCCGTCGCGGTCAAAGCTACGGCTGGATTGCGGTTGTTGGGAGAGAGGGAAAGCAATGAGATCTTGAGGGAGGTCGAGAGGTGGATGAGGAAAGAGTTCCCCTTCTCGGTTGTCGATGATGGGGTCGTCATCATGGATGGGCGAGATGAAGGTTTGTTGCTGTCTGCTTTAACGTTCCGGGTGGCACGGGAAGCTGATTTATCTACAATGGCCCTTGCCAGGTGTTTATGCTTGGATCACGATCAATTCGGTGGGTGTTTTAATCATCTACGCTTATTTGCTCTTCTCGTCATACTCACTCTACTCGTTCCAATCTCTCTCCAGCTGCTTGGCCTGATCGGGCCCAAGACGGTCAACCCCGCCGGCTCAGCGGCCATCATGGACCTGGGTGGTGCATCAACGCAGATCGTCTTTGAGCCGACATTCGGTCCCGCGTCAAAGCAAAAGCTCGCACCGGGGGACCACGTCTACGACCTCGACTTTGCCGGCCAGCCCCACACCTTGTATCAGCACTCGCATCTTGGCTTCGGTCTCATGCAGGCCCGTCGCGCCGTGCACAACCTCGTCGCATTTTCCTACGTGTGGTTGTCGGCACCCACGGGGAGAGCAATTGAGTGGGACGATTTGACCGAGAAGACGAGGATCCCGAACCCTTGTATGTTCAAGGGCGAGACCAAGGTCGTCAAGCTCGATCCGCCGGGTCGGAAGGAGGTCCATGTCACGATGGTTGGGACAGGGGCTGGGTTCGAGGCATGCCGTCGCGTGGTCGATGTTATGATTGCTAAGGATGCGGCTTGCGTAGAACCTCCTTGTGCTTTTGCTGGGGTGTACCAGCCTGCGCTTAGGGAGGTCTTTGCTGCCGGCAAGGTGTGGGCGTGAGTTTTTCTTCTCAAGGTCGTGTCTGTGTCTTGAGACAATTTCTGACGTTTTTTTTGTTTTTTTTTCCAGACTTTCTTACTTTTACGATCGCATCGCCCCTCTTGGCCTCGCTTCCCCTTTCGCCATCTCGGACCTGCGCAAATTGACTTCGGACGTGTGCTCCGGTCGAGAATCCCCAACGTGGTCACGTTTCAAGGGCCATCCCGAGGCCAAGTCGGAACTCGATGGTCGACCCGAGTACTGCCTCGATTTGACGTTCATGTACTCGCTCTTGTCGCTGGGGTACGAGCTCGAGGATGAACGGCAGGTTTGGATCGGGAAGAAGGTCGGCGAGATTGAATTGGGATGGTGAGTCGCGGTGAAAATATCACACAGATCTGTGATATTGATATTGCCGAACTAACGACGCCGTTTTCGATGTTTCTGCTCAGGGCTTTGGGTGCGGCTTTGGCGATGGCCCAGGGGAGTCTCAAATGTCGTGCCGACTGAACGGTCCGCAACCAGCGAGGTGGTCTAACGACTCTTACATTTAATAAAGAGCCGGACAACGTAGGCCAGGGGCTCATGAACATATCTTGATGTTTGTGTTTTTTTCTATATAACCGTTGCTGCAATTCATAGAAGTTGTCTTATCGTCGGTCTCCCTTTGTCTAGTGACGGGACGGGGCAGGAATATATGCGCGGTTGAGGTTCGATCGTAGATGAAGTCACGTGAGCCAAACGAAGCCGCGTCGAGGGTGACGGAGGTTCCCCGATGCTTTAGGACCAATGGGACCAGATACAGATGCTTGAGCGATGAAGGTGAGGAATCTACATTGAAAAAGGCGTGGACTTTGGATTCGTGCATTGACCCCTTCCCAAGCGAGGTCCCAGCTCCGCTGATACCCCTTTTTAGCTCATTTCGTCATTCGATCGAGATTCCGATACTCATAGGGTTTGGGATCAAAAGGTCATGGCTCAACGGTATAATTTGAAGATTTGCTCGCGAACCGGATCAGAATGACGGTGTTTCGGCAACGACACAAAAATTCCGGGTAAAGCCGTACCTGCACAGGCCTTCCGGAGCCAGTCGAGCCAGGTCGAGACCTCGTGCCTGGCTTGCTCGACGCGTCCGCTGAGCCTGGCTGAGCCTCCTTTCCCGAAGCACATCAGCAAGCAGCGCGCAAGACCGCCCCGTCTGTCGCACCCCCAGTCACGCCTGACTAGCGCCGCGACATACGGTCGACGATCTTCTTGCACCCCGGAGCTCATCTCCCTACGACGACCCGGGGGGAATGGCCCACGACGTGCGGAACTTGCCTTTATACCTGTCAAGAGCGACAACACGCAGCCTCCACGACCGCGACGACGACGAGCACCGCGACCGCGACCGCGACCACGCAGCCCGTGCTGGTTACGCCGAGGACGACGACGGCGCCAATACAGCTGACTACAGCCACGGACCTGCGCTTCGATCGTCGAGTCCACATCGACTGTCGTTCCCACAGAGCGTTCGCTCGTTCGCCACCGTATCTGCTACGACTCATCACGGATCGTTGTGCGCTCCTTCACCCCCACCTCCGCTGCCGATCAGTGGGCCTTCTCAGTCGACGAACTTCGCCAACAGCGGCGGCGCGAGCGACGCGGCCGGCGCAAACGACGGCGACGCCTACCACGCCCACCAGCACCCTTACGCCGAGACCCACGCCTACGCGTCGCTGCCACCACCACCGGCATCCTTGACAGGCGCGGCGAAAGCGAGAGCGATCGGAGCTGCTGCAAGGGCAGAGAGCTCGAAGATACGACCCGATCTACCCCGTTCGAGCTCGACTTCAACGATTCGAGCAGGTGTCGAGCAACACGGCGGCGCCTCCCGAGGTGAATCGACCCCGGCTTCGTCCTTCTCTCCGAGACAGGGGGCCAGCAGCAACGCTGAGCTTCCTCCACATACCACGATGGCGGGTTCGCACTCGACCACAGCAGCCCCATCTTATTCGAAGGTCGATCCGGACCTGATATCAGCCTTGTCCTTGGCACCCAACCCTCATGACGAGGGCTCCCAAAGCTCCCTTCGGCCTTTCCCGCCGCGATCGCTTTCGGGCTCGCTGCGGCATTGTGCCGATCAACCCGGAACGACATACCCCAGCCAACAATCTCGATCGTGTCCGCCATCGAGCAGTTCTTCTCCTCTGCAGTCCCACGAAGCTGTCTTTGCTTCGCCTTCGCCTTCCCCGCCCCTGACCTCCCTTTCGCCACCGACGTCACAACGTGCCGAGCGGTTTCGCCATGCCTCGTCTCCCCAGACCTCGCATGCAACACCAGGCTCGTCGATCTCCTCGGCATCCTCTTTTCTCGCCAGTTCATCCAATACCTTCCAGTCGATCGGCGCCAAGTTGCAGTCGGCTAAATTCAAGGATCGCTTCCACGCCGTCGGCGAGCAGGCCAAAGAATGGAGCGGCAAGGGTAAGGGCAAGATCGCCGACGCATGGGTACGCAAAGCCACGAACGGGATCAACCAAATCGCAACTGCTTCGAATATTAACTCTCGCTCGACGCCACCCCTCGTCATGGACAATCGGCCGGATTCGGCCCAAAGCGGTGGCCCGTTCCTCGAACCCATGGGCACGTATCGATCCAACTCGGCGAGTGGGACGGACTTTAGAGCGCCATCGCCCAGTCATTCCTTGGACGGCAATAGTGACTCTTCATTGTTCTCTGGGATCAGACTCCCTTGCTTGATCCTCGGTGTACGCGTGCCGAGACGTTCGGGCATGGCGTTTGGGATCAAGCTTGATCGTGCAGTGCAGCTCTCGTCGGTCACGTTGAGTGACGTGCATCGTAAGCGTGATGAGGATCCCATCACGGGGGACGAGGCCAAGAGTTGGTTGCCGGCTGTCGCGTATCGGTGTTTGCAGTATCTCGAGGAGTGGGGCAAGAAGGAAGAGGGAATATATCGGTGAGTTTTGAAAAGTCGTCTTGAACATGTGACTTAGCGACTGAATCTGTGATGACGCGCCGACTTTAGGATACCGGGGAGAAGCAACATGATCAACCAACTTCGAGCACTATTCGACGCAGGTATGGACAAGGACCTAAGAGAGATTCATCCCGGTGATCTCGACCCCCATGGTCAGTTCGTGCAAGCCTATCGAACAATGTTCAATTCGAAATAGCTGATCCCGTTGGACAATTGGAGATGCCGACAGCTGTTGCATCGTTGTTCAAACTCTGGCTTCGGGAGCGTGCGTTAAGCTTCTGGCTGGTCTGTTCAGGCCTTATTGCGACATGAGAACCATCTGACACGTACTTCTGAAAAAATCTGGCCCTCACAGTTCCCGAGTCTCTGATGTCGTCACAATTGGAAGCGGCAATTGACATGCTCACACAGGAAGCAATCGGCTACTCCGCATCGTCGTCCAACTTTTTGTACCAGCAGCAAGCTCCACCTACCACGGGAGGGCTCATCGATGGTCGTGCGCCGAAACCTTACCTCGAGAAGCTGCGCGAGCTGTTCGGCAACGGCATGCCCGCAGAACACTTTTACCTCTTACGGGGTTTGTCGTAAGTGTTACTGTAGGCCGTTTCGCCTCTCGTGTAGCGAAGCTGACGCACTTCGGAATCGTACCCAGATACCACTTGGCTCGCTTGTCGTCATACTCGTCGGCAAACAAAATGACGCTCAGCAATCTGCGACTGATACTCTCCCCGACGTTCCGACTTTCTCCCGTTTTCGTGCAAGTACTCGTCGAGGATCGCGAGATCATCTTTGGTCGCATGAATGAAGATGCTCGACTGCGCGACCAAGGCTTTATTTCGCCGAGAATTCAGTCGCCCATCCTCGGTCCGGCCCACTCGCCGACGCCACCTCCTCTCCTGTCCTCGCCTCAGATGGAACATACCGGTATGTCGTGGCTAGATTACCGAAGCTCTCGTCGAGCGGTGCTTATTCGGTCCCTTCCTCTGCGCATAGAATCATCGCCACCCCACGCTCACAGACCCTCTTCGCCCTCGTCGACCCCACCGACTTCCCCATTCTTTGCCGCTGAACCCATTTTCGCTGCTCCCACTCCACCGACCCTGCCTTTCCGGACACCGATAGCAGAACGATTCGCTCAATATAGAGCCTCACCAGTGCCCTCTGGGGCAGAGGAAGCCTCGTCGGTGCCTTCGCCCAAAGCCGTGTCGTGCGACTTACCAACCTCAATGCCGAGCGGCTTCTCCTCCGGACCGGCGTTTAACTCTTCCAAGCCCGCATTCCTTCCCAGTCGGAACGTCGTCAACGGCGGCGGCTTCTTCGGTGGTAGCAGAGACAAGGGGCATAGCGCCTCGCTCTCGAGTGGCGGCGCGTCGACGAGAAAGAACTCGACCGATTCGGGCCGATCGAACGGCTCGTCGATTGTGCCGAGATCCGATACGAGCGAGGGCAAGACGCAGGACTTTCAACTGAATCTTCCTCAGGGATTCGGCTTGGGCCTTTCTGTACCGTCGGTTTCCTCAGGAAAGGATGACGAGGATCCTTGGGGCTTGATGCGCTCGGTCGAAAAAACGTGATTCCCACTATGCCTCAGTCCCTTCAAACCTATCTCGCACTCATGCATACTCTGGCGGAATGCTCAAAAGACCCCACTTATTCCTCTTGACTTCATTATACTTTTATCCTTCCGTAACATCAGTCTTCGCCCTCACTTGCATCTATTTGTTTGTTTGTCTTCCGCTCGCCCTCGTCCTTCGCTCGCATCAGGTAGTCAACCCTCAATACCCCCCCCCCCCTCCCCCCCCCTTTTTTTATGGATTCCAATAACAGTATAATTATGTTCTTACCTAGAAAGCTTTGGAAAAGTCGGAGGGATACCCCTCTCAACTTTTGTTGGAAGTGGGGTCTGAGCTCTGAGAGCTAGTAATTCATTGCTATTAGTTTTGGTTAATTCCTTGTTCTGCGCGCGCGCCTGTCTCTGTCTTTGCGTCTTCTTTCCTCAGTTTGGGAAGTTCATTCTTCACGCTATGCTCATCATCTCACTCTCCACGCTATTCTCATCATCTCACTCATGCGGAGCTGATTCGTGGAGTACCTCTTCGTCCTTGCCCGTCAAAGGTTATGAGCTCAGCGACTCGGAGCGAGCCTAGTCCGACTTCCCTAACGGGGAGTCGGGCAGTCGCTTGTACCTCAAGGAAACTCAAGGGTACAAGAGCCTGGTCATAACGTGTGTTCATCAACCTTCGAGCGGACAACCTATGAGATGTTGTCAACCAATCTATCGACTCCCTTATCGCGGACTATCCCACGCTCATCACCGCCCTGCAACTTGGCGTTCGTCGCGCCCGTCGAACCAGACCAGATGCCCCGGCTCGAAGGTTGCCAAAGAGACACGTTGTGACCAGCTCCGGTCTTGTACCCTTGAGTGTCCTTGAGGTACAAGCGATTGCCCGTCTTAGTCCTTGTCCGTCAAAACTATCTCTCGTACCTCTTACCTCCTTATGATCAGGTGAGATATGGTTTCAGCCTCTTTCTTAGCGGAATGGAGCGATGGTAGTACGCTTTCACTGCCCATAGCCTACGCATGATTTGAAATTGCAATGAGCTGGCTGCTTGTCAGGTAGTCCTTGAGTATTCGTGATGGATGGTGGGAAGTCTTTTGAGGCCAATGGGAAGCACGGAAAGGTCGGAGTGCTCATTTAACACTGCGTCCAGTATATTTGGGACCAGAGAGAGGTGTGCGGCGAGGAGACACAGACGGGTCCGAGAAGGGTCGATTCCATGTTTCGAATGTTCATCGTCACTAAGATAGGCTCAGGGATGGGAAACGAATGAGGATTGCAGAATAAAGCCGACGCGAATAAAAGCAGGTGCGATTTCTCCACACGAACGAGGGAAGATTGGAAAGATGTCGAGGAGCACTGTGTATAAAGAACGCTTTCGAGACAGGAGCCTTGGAAAGAGATGGATTTGCGCCGATGGTTCGGGGTGGATCGGCAGCCTGGTAGTGGCATGCCATAGAGTGGTGACCCGCGACCTTGTTGGGGCCGATCAGGGAGTCTGGATGCTGTTGAGAAAGAATATGGCCAAAGAGATCAATTGCCCGAAACTACGAGTCCTCAATGAAGCGTCAGCGCAAGTAAAGCTCACTACGTGACAGGCAAAGCTTTCAACGCCTCGCGCGTCTGCAGAGGAATTGGCAGTACGAGCAACCCTTGGTCAGTTTCAGTTGTACAATATAAATAATCCGATCCACTAGCTGACTGCTTGTAAGTTGACTGACATGAATGTGGAAGGCACCATGGGAATTGATCGAACCATCGGGGTTCTTCTTGTGACCACCGCACGACTGTGGGAACGGAGTTCGAACTCAGCAATACCGTCAGTGTGATCCGACATCCTTTGAAAGTAGTGAAGGAAGAATTGACGACAAGGTGCTCACGACCATCACCTGAGCGGTGCCTTATGCCCATTCAAATGCCCAGTGATCATCAGTTTGGTTTCGGTTCCTTTGTGCGGTCGTCACTGAACGCACAACGGACAGGAGAGGGTTGCCCGGCCTTCCGCCAACCAAGACTCACTGTTATCTCCTTTGCCGACCGGCATGCAGTCGAGCGTATGGTGGGATTGAATAAGGCTGTTGATGGCGACGCATGACGCTCGAACCTTGCCGCATACTTGCCACGCGTCCTCGAAATCGCCTTTTTCTCCGACCGTGAAGGCAACGACGACGTCGGTGCTGGAGTTGCCAGCTGCACAGCGCCACGTCCAGCCAGGGGGTGGTCTCAGTACGCCTATTCTCGCTGCAGGGCTCGGGTCTATAATCTCGTAACCGAACTCACCGCCCAATCTGGTGCCTGCGATGGCTGAAGAAGCCATGGCAGCAAAGACGAGAGCTGAGCTTGCAGATCGCATCTTGATCCTGGTGGTGAGTCAGTGCGAGTGGGTTGACGGAAGGGGCGGAGGGAGGAAACGCGGTGGCTGCGCGACTTCGTCAACAAGGTCAGTCGTGCGACCTCCCAGGAAATGCTCAAGGTCCGACCAGAGTCCGCGTCAAACTGGCCGGCATGGGAAAGGAGACCCTCCAATCGACTAAAGCGCGTGGGACCAGCGACTCAAACACTGTCTCAGGGGCAGGCGCCTGAGATCGCTAGGTATGCACCAAAAAGAGTGCTGCCAGACAATCTTCACTATTATGGTCCTAAGGTCACTTTACGAAAGAATTATGAAAGAATAATCAGGGGTCTTGCTCATAATCAAAAGTGCGGTCTGTACCTGGCTCGCACATGGCAGGTAACCGTTGAAGGGGCTAAATGATTACAGTCCCTTAGCATGGAACAACGAACAGTAGCTGCGACACACAAGCATGAATATACATTCAATATTAATCGCTCAACAAGAGTTGAGGAACAGTCAACAATAAAGGGAGAAAGAGTCTGATACAGATCGATCGAGCCGGGACGGCGGGACCCCTTCATCGTCGTCATCGCCGAGTGTCTGCTATGAGCCGGGATCCCAAATCAACAGACGATGGGCGAGTGCTTCTTCTTGAACTTGAGGCAAGCCGTCTTGCCCATAGGTTGTCCTTTGATCGTTGCGTTGATTTCCTTGGCGGCCTCCGGGGTCTTTGGTGAGAACGTCAATCAGAATGCGGTGGTAGGGCGATCCCAATTGTCAGCTGACAGAGAAATCGAAACGAGTGTACATTCCAGACTTTGACAAAGCTCTCGAGACTCGACTCACATGATCGAACACCGGTTGGCCTCTGGTCCAACCACCCGTAGGATTCTTGGTGATCCCGCCACAGAAGGCATGGATTCGGGGACCTTTTTGGGAAAAGACGCTGTTGCACCAAGGAGGAGGCGGTCCGCAGTCAGCAAGCGAGGCTGCGAGGATCTCCGGGCTTTCTGAAGGAGTGCAACTCACCAATCGAGTTGGTGATGTTCATTTTTGGACCCAGCAATTTCGACACACTTTAAAAAACGAAATGAACAGGGATTTATTACGCGTCAGTACATTACATCAAGCACGCGACTGCCCACCGATCGGGCCCCGAAGTCTCTGGCCTCGAAGGCGGTGCCTGCACGAACACTGAACTCACGACTGCACGGAAGGCATGACAGAAATCTTCGGTTCTGTTGTAGAGGGTTGGGCTGTAGGCCACGATGTAGTCGCGTGTGAAGTTGAGATCTGTGAGTGGTACGCATCGCTCAGTGCAAATGCCGGCCCCAAAATACACCGCAGCAACCTCAATCTCTCAACGGACGCTTGGACTGACCTCCCTGACTCATGGCGGCGAACGCGACCGAAGCGAGCGAGCACAAGACGATGAGCGTCGACTGGAAGTACATGATGTCTGAAAGACGAAAGCAAGAAGACAATAAACCAAACGAGTGTGAACGGGGAAGATGCGGCAACAAAGCGATTTGGGAAAGAATGAAACTCGTAGAACAATGACAGTGCGCATGACGGGCCCGAGCGAGCGTCGCTTCCACGACCGAGAGCGAGGCCCCTGCGTCTCCGGACGACTGTTGCGCGAACCTTCTCCGACCGCGGAGCAGTAGAAGTTAATGTGGCCGCGCACCAGTCCGCCCGCCGCGGCTCCCATTTTTTATTTTTTTTGTAGAAGATGGGAGGGAGAACCGCCGCCGGCTTGACTTGGGTGCGCCGCTGCTTTGACCTATTCACGCTGGTTGAGTAGCTCAGAGGTCAGAGCAACTCTGATTAATGGAGTGGACCTGAGTTCGACTCTCAGTTCAGCCAAATCTTCTTTTGTTCTTCGTAACACTCAGTTCCGGGAATTCCCATTTCCCAACTGGAGCCGCGTAAGAGGCTCTGTGCGCAGGCGAGCAGGGATCCTCTGCGCTCGTCGCCGATCGAGAGCCTCCTTGTTTATTGATCATGATCCACGTATGTGGTCGATTCCAAGTGGGCGTTTCCTGAAGTGAGAAGGTATTGCACGAACGAAACCCCTAAAGATAATACCCAACTGCGATCCCTTGCGAAAGAGATAGTTATAGAAAAGCGAGTGAGAATGAGAACAAGGCAGAATGGGGAGCAAGCACCCATTCGAGTGTCTTTACGAGAATCTAAATCTGATGCAAGATTCGTATGAGATAATTCAAGTGAGTGTGGTAGGGTCAAAGAAAGCCGGGCAAGAGGCGCGGGTGATGAGGTGCTTCTAAACAATGCCGCCGAGCAAAGTGTCGACCGAGCCGAGAGGCTGCATGTCACCATTGATCAAGAAATCGTTCACCGTAACTTGTAATCGCTTGGGCCCGCCTTTCCGACTTTTTCTGCCATGTCCGCCTGGTCCAAGCGTCAATGGAGTAGTACCGGGGACGAGCCCGGTTGAGGCCGGGACGGGGGAAGCCGCCTCGGCATCTGGGGTTTCGGGCGTCGGCTTGATCGTGGGATGGTACGCGGATGCGTACGGCTTACCATCGGGACGATGTAAAATGCGATTTTTACCAGGTAACAGAGTGTTATTCATAGCGAGGTCCATCTGGAAAGTCGGAAATCGCGATACATCAGTGACGGCAGAGGCGGCACGTGTGGTAACTTGAGGCCACGGCTGCGAAAGACTCACGAGATCGGTTACAGGGCCTTTGTTGTCCCATGTGCCATCTTGTGGGATGATCAAAGCGTCAAAGGGGATGTCAGCAACGCTGGATCCAGATACGTCGACGGGTTGAGGGAGTCCATATTTCAGCTTCTGTGTTTTACCTTGCCTCTTGGGCCGACCACCGCAGCTCGCATAAACCCAAGGCGTAGAGTTATCGGCAGTGTTGATTTCCTGATAAGCAGTGAGCTGAAGGATTCATTTCGAAGCAGGCAGGAGAAAGGAAGCACTTTCACTCGGGTCAGTCCTGTGAACGGTGGGCCGGCGGTGGCAGGGACCTCCTTCGACCTCATTCCTACTTTAGACGCGACCGTCTTCTGACGATTACTCACCGCCAGTGAATGATGGGATTTTTTTTGAATGGCTGCAGCCACGCACGCCGTGTGGAAATACTTCCCTGGATGATCGGGAAATGAAGTGGAAAATGGGAGCAAGGTCAGCATCGTGCCTCGTGCTGGAGGTGACCAGTCGTTTCCGAGACATCGAACTAAACTGACCGAATTTGCTGACGGCACCCTGGTCAGGCCTCCCGTAGAATTCTGTGTCATATTCGACCAGGTAGGAGGCTTCGGGGGTCGCATCTGAGTGAGATTACAATCCCCGAAACGGACATCGAACGAGTCCGAGGATAGGAGAAGGGGAGAGTGAGAATAGGGGGGAGTTTTCGCATTCGTTAGCGCTTAGCAGTCTTGATCGGTGGCGGGGGCACAGCCTCCACAACGGAGCACCGAACGTTGGACCGAACATTCAGGACTTGCTCCGTCAGGGATCTGAGAGTATTCGTGGGCAACGCACTAGCTGGTCTGAATGAAGCTTGGACACCCGTGCTTCCAAGAAAGGCGACGAGGACGAAGGGCAGAACGGTGACGAGGTGCATGCTGGGCGGTGCGAGTGGAGGAGAGAGGCCGAGGGATCGCTCTTGGACTCGACGCGAGCGGTGAGTGACGGAGGGGTCGCGTAGGTTGGGAGTTAGAGCGAGAGGGATGAGGGGAGAGGTTGAGGGAGGTGAGAGGTGAGGAGGTGAGGAGGTGGGGGGATGAGGGCAAAGGGTAACTCTGGTAGCATATGGTTGTTAAGAGTCTCCTAAGTCGCTCGATTCGGGGCCGAGGGCTGCCGAGGGGGCCCACTGGCGGCGATTTTGAAACGAGGCCTGTGCTTCGCCGAACGGAGTAATTTGGGCCGGCACAATCTCAAGAAATCTCAAATTACCGACCACCTCAAAAATAAACAAAAAAATCAGACTCCCAAATCAAAATTACTGATTAACGCGCCCCCGGAGGGGGCGACGGGTCCCTGAACCTCTGACGGAGTAACATCGACTGACAACGTCAGCTAGTATAACTAAGAACGTGCCATGGATCGGGCATGCAGCACCAAGTTGGCGAGTCGGTTCAATCCACATCAATGAGTCGTGTAAGTATGTGCCAAACATTAATGAGCATTGCAGACAAGACGAGATCGAGCCACAGCCGGGGTGTAAATGCATAAGTTGAGATCACTCGACATCGCCCATGCCACAGTCCGTGTCTGGTCCGACTCCGACTTTGTGTATGTATGTGGTCGTCAGCGCCGGGGACCCACATCGCGCTTTCACCGAACTTGGCTATAAGAAGTGGTTTCAGTTGACGTTGAGAGATCGGGACTTCAGGGAGCGACTTACGTTTTTTTTTGGAAGGGGCACTGCAAGGTCAATGTCACGGTAATGGAACTCTTGACCGGTGATAGCTTTTTCTTGGGCGACGGTGGACGGTCGGTGAGAAGAGGGGGACAAGGGAGAACCGCCGCCGGCTTGACCCGGGTGCGCCGCTGCTTTGACAGCCGCGGCGGGCGGACTGGTGCACGGCCACATTGACTTCTACTGACAAGGCTGTAATGATGACGATGCGGTAGACATGTTAAATCAGCTTACCCATACAGGAATTTAGTTGATTGTACGCGAGACTTGCATGAAGAGGGGCTTGTTCCTGGCATGTACCCGGATCCGATGCGGCACGAACTGAAAGCGAGCGTGTGGGGCTTGTCTCGCCTGGTTGAAGTACGTGTGTGCTTGGACGAAACGCCAGAATACGGTCGATATGCGGTAAATTTCGAGCAGTGCTGCTGAGATTCGAGCCACCTTCTCTTTGGGGACCCGAAAAGCGAGGTGGCGAAACACGTCTCGTCGGCGGAGAATGTTCGAGATGATGAACGGGAAAGACGGGTCGCACCGAAAATCGCTGTCGTATAGATTGAGCCAAAGTTTGACTTGCTCCTCCAGAGAAATCTTGACGTCGCGCTCGACACAGACACCGAAGAGACCGAATGGATCGAGGTGTGGCCACATTGCAGCTTTGAGAGCAGGAAGTCATCCGAAGATCCCCACAAAGGGTCGTCGCCTGTCGGAATGACATGGGGGGGCTGGTCTTGCAGTGGTTGAAATAACGGAGAGCTATCTCAGAGAACTGCCACGAGTGAACTGGTTCGTCGGTAGCGGGTGGCGGCACATGGACGTGTTCGAATACTGGTTCATCAGAGTCGTTATGCGCTGTTGCGTAGCCTTCAAAGAGCGATGATGTTGGTTCCACTGTCTCTGCGGTAAACACATTCGCCAAAACTGCGTCGGGCACGAGACTGTCTCCATCCGAGGTTTGTCCATCCGACACTTGGGGAGCAACCGAGACGGAAGCCGAAGCCGAAGTGGAAGCTGAAACCGCCGTGGGTGCTGGAGAGGTAGAGTTGAGCACACCAGAATTGCATCGAACGAGCTGTGCAAGTCTTTCGCCATTAAAAAAGGAGACGGCAGAGTACGCCGGATTCTTGCTTTCGTTGATCAACCACCTGAGCATCTTTTGGATCCGACTCTGCTTCACGATCATGGGTCGACACTTGTCCAGCTCCGCAAGGTTGAGGTTCCCTCTGCAGAATAGAACGCACACACTGTCAGCGAGTTCCTCGCCTGACATGGACAGTACATCGGTGAACGAAGCGGTGTTCTGGCTGAAGATGAGGGTGTTTCCGCGCGTATATTCTTGTTGAACTTTGGGATCTCCGAAACGAGTTAGCTTGTACACGCTCTTGTAGGCTCTGGCGCGCGCAGTGGAGAGGTGCTCAAGCTGACTCGCGTAGGAGAAGCATACTCGGACATCAGCGGGGACATGATCCAGTGCGCGATAAAATCCGTTGCTCAACGACCGAGGGGGCTTAGTCGGTGGCCCTGTGGTAGGGAACAACCGTTTGAAGCAGTCTGGACAGAGTGAGAACTGAAGCGTGTTGTTCATGGGCGAGTACGCGATCTGATCGATTAAATCTTTCGGTCGCTGAAGACCTCGGGGATGGATGAGTGCGCCCCGCCAAGCTGAAGAATCGTAAGTCGGTGGTCGGAGGTCCGTACGTAGTCTAGAGTTGATAAATACCTTCCAAATCCCTGATTCCTCACGCTTGATGCGGTGTTCAGGCACCCATCGTACTTTATGCCCGAAGACTCTCTCGGAGCACACCAGGCAGCAGAAGAGACGGGAACAAGCGTCGGTGAAGTAATCATTCCATTCAGAACGGTGCTCGGTCTTGAACTGATCGGATGCTGGCGCAAAATGCGATGTCACTTTACCGGGTTCTTCTTGTTCGGGTTCGGGATGCAGCCGTGGAAGTCTGTGCAGCGTTTGTTTAGAGTCAGTCGCTGAGACGTTCTCGCGATTCTTCTGGACTTCCTCGTTCAGTCAGGCTCGAAGCACATCAACAGGTTTTGATGCGTATGCTCTGTGGTCGGGGAAGCAATGTCGACGTGGCGGAGTCACGGGGGTCGCGGCTTGTTGTCTTCTGAAGACATACTCATTTGAACAAGCATCACAGTTTGGATCGCACGACCAGACGAGTACTCGTAGGAATCGCTCTTTCGCAAGCGGGTTCCTGCTGGAGTATCCTTCCACGTGGTGCGCCCGACAAAGCTCCTTCAGGAGATCCATGCTGAAGTTGATGCTGCTGCGCACGAGCTGCCCAAGACTGCATTTGACAACCACATCTTCGAGTACTGACACTCAACTATTGCGTAGGAGCGGACCGGAAGACACACACTGTGCTCAATCGGTGCGGCGGGAGGATCGGCTGTCGCTAGTGGTGGACGCGGGCTTAACACGTTGTGGAGATTCGAGGCGTTGAGCGTTGTGGGTGTGGGCTGACCTCGATGGTGCGGAGGTGTACAAGATCAGAAAGCAGTGACATGACGGCGATTGTGTGATAGCCTGTCTTAGAGATGCGAGGAAACTCGGTCCAAGTTAGAATAAGGCAGTACAGAGAGGAGAGGGCCGGGCGGTGGCAACTTGCTAACGGAGGCCAGCCTGAGTGCGCTAGCAGGCGCTAGCTTGCGCTTGTCTGCGCTAGTATGTAGTGCGCTCTGGCGCGGGAACTCGGGAAGGCTGATGACGCCCAAGCTGTGTGCTGAGAGCGCCGACTCGGGAGTCGGCAGGATAGGTTAGCAACCGGGCTGGTGGCCACTGGCCATTGAGAATGAATGATCGGCGCGCTTAGCCGGGTCCTCCTATCCGGGGGAGCATTGTTCAAACCGATCGGCGCTGACACCGAGTCGGACTCTCCTATTGCGCTCAAAGGCAGGGTCCTCCCATCGGGGGGAGCATTGTTCGCACCAATCGGCGCTGATATCGGGCTCTCCTATTGGGGTTTCGACAGCCACGCGCGTGCGGGGTATTTCGGCCATTTCGTCAAATAAAATCTCAGAATATGTAGCATCATTTTCGAGGCTGGGACCCCCCCCCCCCCTTTTTCGAAACGAAACCTTCAGCTCTAACGAGCTTCAGGGATAAAGACTGTACTAGATAGCCCTCTACGAACACTCGTCACATGATCAAACAATCCTTACCGGTCTTCGCCTTTTTTGCCTTGACATCCTTCTTCCCTCCCGCCTGCGCAGACTGGGCAGTTGAAGGAGCTTGAACGTTCGATGATGATTGTCCATGGGGTCGGTGCTGGTGCTGGTGCTGGTATTGTTGTTGTCGTTGTTCATCCTCCCATTCCCGCCTCTGCATCTCCCTTACCCTCCTCTCATCATCCTCAACCCTCCACCTCTCTTCTTCAAACTGTAACTGTCGAGCCAAATCCTCATCATGATCGATCCTCACGGTCTGTGCTTCCTGCCCTCCTTCTACTGACCCACTCTCACCCATCCCCCCCTCCCCACGAGGCATACTCGAAGCACCCTTCCTCCCTCTAGCCCCACCCGACCCAGAGCCTACATAATCCCCTCCTCTCAGCCTACTTTTCCTTAACTCCCCATCGTAAAACTCCGATGCACTCCCATCCACATCCTCCAACGATTCCCACACGATCTCCGGTTCGTGAACAAAGGCCGAATCAGTGACGAGGGTGAAGAGGCGGGGGAGGGGGCGGTGCGAGGGGTCTGGGGTGGGTGGGGAGGGTGTTTCGGGTCTTCGATAGAGGACTGAAACGTGCGAGTTGCGGAAGAGGGTCGAGAGCGAGGACGTGGAGAGGGAGGAAGATAGGAGCATTAGACCGTGGTAGGTGAGTTGGGTCGAAGTGGATGAGAGGAACGCGTGCAGAATGTGAGCTGTGGGTGAAGAGTTCGACAACGCTCAGCGATAAGATTCAAGTTCATCCTTTCTTAAAACACTCTGACACCCTACTTGCCTTCCCTGACAGCCTTGGCCTCCTCAACAGTCCATTTCGAGCTCCTCTCCACCGCCTTCACGACCTCATCCTCATCCTGCGTCCTCATCTCCCCCTCCAATTGCCCACCACTCAATTCCCTTCCTCGCACGATCTTTTCCACGACCGAATCGTAATCCTCCCCATTCTCAACAACGACATTCCACGTTTCGCCGGAGCGTTCGTCGGGATCTACACACCAGCCGTGTAAGAGGGGTATCTCGAAGGCTTTAAAGAGCGATACGGCGGGGGAAGGGGTAAATCCGTCGATGGAGCCGAAACGGGGGTTGAGGTCCAGGCCGTAGCGTGTTGAAGGTAGGGTAGAGAGGGCAGAACTGATGGAGGCCGAGAAACCTTCGGTGTTGCTGCGCTGGAGAAGGTGGTCGGCGAGGATGGAGCAGAGGTCCGAATAGGACACTCGGTCGAGGTGGGAGGGTAAGCTGATCGAATGGCGTAGTAACAAGATATTGCCTGTCAAACGAGAAAAAATTCTTCAATATGCTGTGCAGTAAGATCGCACCGAGGCAAACAGCAAAGGCACGCACATAGGGCAATAAAGGAGCACGGCCCGTTGAGATTTTGGCAGATGATCTTGATCGTTTGCGGGTTAGACGACGACTCATATCCTGAAGGGGTTGGTGGGAGTGGTGGCCAGACGATCGTCTTGAGAAGCCACTGTTCTTCTTGCTCTTGGTCTTGAGGGGACGCTCGATTCGGCTGCGAGGCCCCGATCGGCGCCGCGGGGGGTATGCTGGTTGAGGCAGGTGCGACAGGGGCCAGGGAGGATGTCGCGGTGCGAGGAATGACAAATGGCGCGATTGCTGCTCCTGCTCCTGCTTCTGCTTCTGCTCCCGGTGCTACGTGTCGCTCCGAGAGCTCAGTCGAGGAAGTTGGCAGATCTGCTCCCGGTGCTACGTGTCGCTCCGAGAGCTCAGTCGAGGAAGTTGGCAGATCTGCAACAGATTGCACAGAGCTTGAAGGATGGGCAGTACTACTTGGTGTACCGGCCGATGTCGGCTCATCGTCCGTCGTTTGGGGCGGCGAGGGCAGCTCGTCTTGGCGTGTGGGGCTGGCCCCCGCGACTGCCCTAGGCTCTGTCTCAGTCGGCTGCGATAGCAATTGCGGAGCATCCAAGGCGACGATGCTAGCGCGGTATGATTCTTCAGGGTATGGTTGGGAAGCGATGTCCTGGTGAGCTCGAGCATTCAACTCGTGTGTCGGCGCTGTAGCTGTAGCAGTCTCCACCGTGTCCGTGATCGGTGAGGCGGGCACCGGCGGCGGTGCTGCTTCTGAAGCCGTCGCTGGACGAGGCTCCAGAGCAGGTACAGCCGCAGCAGAGGCACCCTCTATGGACGTGTTAGGATCAGATCGTGCCGTCGTCTCCATATGTACGGCTGCGAGTTGTGCGGCGATGGCTCCCGACTCCGAGTCACTGGGCATGTCACGTGCTGACGGGGGAGATGACGATGATGTCGACGACGGAGGCGGCGGAGCAGCTGTTGAAACAGCACAGGTTGAGGCAGATGGGGGTGAGGCTGTTGGGAGAGGATCTGGAGCTGGATCTGATTCGCTAGTCATGTTGAGCATTGAGTAAGGTGCTTGGAATGCACCGAAAACGGCGTGACGTGTGTGACGACCGATCTGAGAGAGAAGGAGCTTGGTCGGAAGCGGAGATAGCCAAGCAAACCTCACCGGCCTCACCGCGGAAGACCGCAAATTACAAATGCGAAATAGTGCGAAATGCTTTCCCGACGCGTCGCGTCGCGCGCTTGATGCACTCGGAGACGTTCAACTCCTACCCCACACCTGATTCCTAGGCTACATCTCACTTCGCAGGACGCACACAGCATGGTCGAGATGAGATCGGCGGCCTCGACCTCGTCGAGTCATCCCATCTCTCCCTTGCTACCCGCTGTACTGGGGTCCAAGACGCGTGCGCATCCGTCGTCGTACCATTGCTTCATCGACTCGCCCTACGCCGCTGCCTCTACTTCGACTTCCCAGTCATCCCAAAAGGTTTCCAAGAAGGGAAAACAGAGTGCATCGACTCCGGCTCTCTTGCAAGGTGCGATTCCCGTACGAACACTACACCAGAACCTCTTGACCTGGTTCGACACCGTTCGCGAAAAGCGACAAATGCCCTGGCGCAAAGACCTCATCATCGAAACTATGTCGACTTCGGAAAAGACCCAGCGAGCCTACGAAGTCTGGGTCTCGGAAATCATGCTCCAACAAACCCAAGTCGCCACCGTAATACCTTATTTCAACCGATGGCTTCTCGCTTTCCCTACCGTGGGTGATTTGGCGAAAGCGGATATCGAGAAGGTGAACGAGATTTGGAAAGGGTTGGGGTATTATTCGAGGGCGAATCGATTGTTGGCGGGGGCAAAGACGGTGATGAAACAGTTTGAAGGGAGGATACCCGCTACGGCGGAGGATCTGGAGAGGATTGATGGGATTGGTCCTTATTCGGCGGGAGCGATTTCTTCCATCGCTTTTGGGAAGACGGCGGCGATGGTTGATGGCAATGTGAGTTATCGGACGTGTACACTCTCGGTCCTAATCCTACACTCATCTTGCACGCTTCCTCCATGGCACAGGTCACTCGAGTCCTCTCTCGCCTTACAGCCTTCCACGGCCCTTCAACATCCAAAGCAACGACGACCTACATCTGGGCCCTCGCCGCAACGCTTGTACCACCGCAAACTTCCAAGCTTCCCCGAGACTACGAAGCCCTTTCAGTAGGAGGACCCAACAAGTCTGGTAGCTGGAATCAGGCATTGATGGAACTTGGGGCGACGATTTGTACGCCGAAACAACCCAAATGTGCGGAGTGCCCGCTCAAGGGGGAATGTTCTGCTTTTGCCGAAGTGGGTTGCGAGTGAGGCTTTGGATGCGATTCCTTTAAGTATCAACTGAAGTGGTTCTCGATCGCATTTCTTGACATAGGTACGCTATGCCCAAAGCCAACAAATTCAGCAACCCAAATCGCCTCGAAAAGAAGACGTAGGTGACATCGAAGACCTCTGCCAACTCTGTTCCCCGATCGAGAGCTTTGCCCCGCGAACACACGACGTGATGCAGTACCCCATGGCGAAAGAACGCAAAAAACCACGCGAGGAAGAGACGGCGGTGTGTATTCTTGAATGGCAATCCGAGGATCCGAAGAAGGAGAAGGAGGTTTTGATGTGTAAAAGACCGGAGAAAGGTGAGGGTCGTGCCAGATTTGTTAGGATGCCGCGCCTTTCGTTCGAGTGCTCATGCTTTGATGTCTTCATTTGTTCCTCATAGGTCTCTTGGCGGGTTTATTCGAATTTCCTTCAATTGACCTACCTCCCTCGTCCGAAGCATCGACATCTACTTCGCGTCGAAAACTTCTTCAACGATTATTGCAAACCCTCATCCTCGACAGCCTTCCCTTCAACGCTTCCTCGTCTTCGACCTCCACAAGTCCACTCACTATCAAGCAAAATGACCCCCTCCCTCCGGCTGTCCAAGTTTATTCGCATATGATCAGGACGTATCATCCCATTCGGATCGTCGTAACGAGTGCTCAAAGACCCCGTTTAGTCGAAGTTGAGCCAAAGTCGAAGATGTCCAAGAAACCACCGCGGAAGAAGAAGAACGGAGCCTCGTGCTCTTCCGACGAGGACGACGACGACGAAGATTCAACGACGACAGAACTGATCCAATCCATTCCTGGTCGAAGTAGGTGGATCGTCGCTTCGGAGGTGGAGAATGCGAATACGGGAGGGGCGAGTGATAAGATTTGGGGGATGAGGATGAACGTTGAAAAGGGGTTGAAGGCTTTGGTGGGGAGTGAGAAAGGGAAGGGTGGGGGAGGGAAGGGGAAGGGGACTGGGAAGAAGGAGAAGGAGGTTGTGGGAGGAGGGAGCAAGCGCGAACAGGGTTTGATGAGAAATTGGTTGGTCAAGCCTATTGAGGGGGGCAAAAAGAGGGGTGCGACAAAGGAGAAAGAAGAGGTCAAGGAGGAGGAGGATGAGGTGGTGGTGATGGTGGATGAAGAGATCAAGGTGGTGGAGAGCAGTCCCGGGAAAGTTTATAAAAAAAGGAGAATCGTGATTGATAGTGATGAAGAGGACGAATCCATTTTGGTTGATGTAGAATGATGTGGTAGTTTGTGGTTGGGAAACGGTAGTCACGAACCTCCGGGCAGATCGATGAGAGGGGTTTTGAGTTTGTTTTGTTGTTGTTCATCAATGAGGGGGAGAAATTGACGGTCGCGTTCTTGAAGTCGCGTTCTTGAATATTCACACATGAACGAAGCGACATCTCGTTGGGCTCGTCGTCCGGATTTCACGCCAGAGATGGGTTCGATCGTGCATTTCCCTCGCAAATCTCGCCGCCGCCGATCATTTTGGGAGCTTCTGGTGCTCGCCCAGCCCATCAGTCTCAGGCTGGGGCGGATCTAGGGCGCTCCTTGCTTTCACCTCGGATCGAGCTGGATTCGAGCTTTCGGTTTTGCTTGGATCCCTTTCACCTGCGCATACCTACCTCCGAGGCTCAGTCCTTACACCTCACCTCCACTCGCTTGAGCTGCGTACTACACTATCGCCGATTCACGTGCACGTGCGCCGTGCGGACTCGGAGTTGATCGGTCGCGAGTTCTCGGTCCCGTAGACGCGTCTACTAGGTGAGGCTTGAGCTGCCCGACGTGTGATCGTTGCACGACCTTTCGAGATATCAAGACCGCATATTAATTTAGTTTATGCTCGCTCGTTCCCTCCATCCTCCTTCTGTGCCCTAGCACCCGCCCACTTTGGCGAACGCACGGCCCATTCGCCTATCTCCGTCGATCCCCGTGTCGGACGACGGTCATCGCGCATTGGATCAAGCGTCATCAGTTGAAGAAATACCTCGATCCGACCCAGCATGTCCGACGTCGCAGCTGTCACCGCGACCGCCGTCCCTTCGTCCCGGGCCAACACGGACACAGCCCATCAAGTCGGCGGACTACGAGGACGATCCGAGTCTTCGTCCTCGGAAGAACAGGATGAACTCGCTCAAGCGTTGGAGAAGAGTCTGGAGAAGAAGGTCTTGCGAAAGGTCGATTTGTTGTTGATGCCGTGAGTTGCGGGGATGGTTGTTCGGTGGAAGTGGTTTGGGGTTGTGGGGTTTAGGTATGACCTCGGGGCCTTGAACTGATCATTCTTCCTCGTGTCACAGCATCTTGACTATGACGATCGGATTGCAATACTACGATAAAGCTGTGCTAAACTCGGCCAGTCTCTTTGGGATCATCAAAGACTTGGTGAGGACTCACGACGCTCGTTGGAGTTGAGAAAAGCTTGACTCACCCAAGCACCTTTCGTGTTTCACAGCACCTCTCTACAACACACAACGGCGTCACTTCGACACTACGATACTCAACTGCCAACTCGGCCTTCTATTGGGGTTACATCGTCGCTGTCGTACCGTTCGCGCTTTTGCTGCAACGTTTCCCTACGGCCAAGGTCCTCTCGCTATGCATGTGCGTTACGATCGTGGTTATAGTACTCGTGCACGCTCACGAACCTAGTGCCACCTCAGCAACTCACAGCTTCTTGTGGGGTGTCGTATGCGTTCTCACCGTCGTCGTCAAGTCTTACGAGGGTCTGGTAGTGCAGCGCGTGGTATTGGGTGCGCTCGAGTCATCGGTCTCACCTGGCTTTGTGCTCATCACGGGGCAGTGGTATCGCAAGTCCGAACAAGCGACTCGATTAGGTGAGTCTCGACACCGTGGTCTATTTGGAATATTGATGCTCATCCTTCCTGGCCCTTTTCAGGTATTTGGTACTCTGCAACCGGAATCTTTAGCGTCTTCTCCGGTGTGATCAACTACGGCCTCGGATCCGCCGGAGGGTCACTCGCGCCCTGGAAGTACATGTACCTCTTTGCCGGCGCATGGACCATCCTCTGGGCCTTCGTAGTCCTCTACTTCATTCCCGACTCACCTCAAGATTCTCACCGATGGTTCAACGAAGAAGAGCGTCGAACTCTCCTCGCTCGTTCTCGCAAAAATAGAACGGGAGCGATCGGTCCAAGCACGTTCAAATGGAGTCATGCGAGGGAAGCCGCGACGGATGTCAAGTTGTACCTCTACCTCCTCATCTCCTCCGCCATATACGTATGCAACGGTGGTGTAACGGCGTTCGGAGCTCGAATCGTCAATTCCTTCGGATACTCACCATTGAATACTATTCTATTGCTCATCCCTGGTGGCGTGTTCACGATGGTGACGATCTACCTCTTTACTTGGCTTGCGGGGAGGTGGAAGAACTCGATCACGTATTTGATCCCGATCAGTTGTGTGCCGATCGTGGTGGGAAGTTTTGTGATTTGGTTGGCGTCGTGGAAACATAGGGGGGTGCCGTTGTTTGGATGTGAGTTCCTGCAAGCCGGGGGTGAGGTGGGTTGATAGGGTGTTCGATCGAATGCTAATCTGCCCTGTTATCTGTACAGATTATCTCATCCCTTGCTTCGGCGCACCGTGAGCCGATAAGCATGATAAAAAAAAACTTTTTCAAATCGACTGACGGGTCAGATCATCCTGCGTTGGCACACAGATACGTCCTACTGCTCGCGACCTCGACGGCCAACATTGCCGGTTCGACGAAGAAGGCCATCGCGGCGGGTTTCATCTTCATTGGGTACAATGTTGGGAAGTACGTATGATACACCGCCTGGTCACTCGGAAAGAAATTACTGATTCGTTCTCTGGTCCCCCCCTGACTGACCACAGTATCGTCGGCCCTTACCTCGTCTTCACGCCCGACCGCGTACACAAGTACCGTAAAACTTGGATCTCCCTCATCGTTTGCATGTGCGTTGCGTCAGTCCTTTCTCTTGCTCTGAGGTATGTCATGGTGAGGGAGAATAGGGAGCGGGATCGAGAGGCTGCTAGTAGGGGAGAGAAGGAGGAGGAGAAGGACATTTGGGAGCAAGGGGAGGAGAGGGATTACACGGATGGGGAGGATAGGGGTCTTCGGTACACGCTATAGAATGTGGGGATGTGCGATAGCTATTAAAAACCCGTGCGATACGGTCGTGTTGAACAGAAATTGAAATTGAACGTGTGTTTTGGCTGGTTCGAAGTGCTGATACCCGAGTACTGGCCGGGGTCCACTGCAAGTTCGAAAGCGAGGCCCAGCGAGCCCAAGCGAACGTAAGATGGCCTGCAGCTGACGTGGCGGCCACTCACCGCGTCTCGCTCCCACATCCCCTCCGAGTCGGCGCCCAAGTTCGACGCCCCCCAACCCCGCGAGCTAGGTGGTATCTGATCGCAGCCACGTCATGCTACCGTGGAGTCGAGCGTCCAACTCGCGTCAGAGCCCGACCGATGAAGGCACTACTGCTTCCCCGTCCCCGGACAACAACAGCAGCAACTCGTCCTCGGTGCTCCCCACCTCGACCTCGACCTCGACCTCGACCTCGTCCTCGACCTCGTCCGACCCTCACCCGCATGCTCCCCCATCGCACCCACCCTCCTCCCCTTCCGGAACAAGGCCTTCAGCCTACCTAGCCCAACACCATCGCAATTCGTCCTCGACTCGCACGCCGTCTTTTGCGCCTCCAACGAGTGAGTTCCGACGCGCCGGGGTAGGTTCATCGAGCAAGAGTGACGCCCAAGCGATCGCGACGGACAATGATCCCTGGGAGGAACAAACCGATGAGGAGGATGATACGATCGCTTCGATAAGGAGGAACGTACAGGGAGCTTTGGACGTGTCTTCTGCTTCGGGATCGGGAGGCAACCAGCACAAGGAACGCGCGAGCTCGCCACCTGTTGCTGTTGGGAGTGGGGGATCGGTCGGACCATCAGGAGGAGGAGGCGGTTCATGGTCTTTCAACCCTTTTAGTATCGTCAGTGGGGGAAGTAGCAAGAGCCATACCCAACCGCAGGACGACTCGTACACCCCAACACAGCGTGCAGGACCGGACGCCGTCGCCGCCGCTCTCAATAGCGTAGGCAGGGGTCGGCCACCTCCGTCTCCCATGGCGACGGGAACGACGACGATTTCATCTTCGGCCGTTCCGGGGTCGAGAGGGGCCAAGAGATCGGTCAGCTATCTCGCTACGGCTTCCAAGGTTCAGGCTGAGGCGGATGAGAAGATTGATGAAGCAGCGAGGGAACGGAAGGCTTCGGCGACAGGTCACAAGGACGGCTCAACATCATTGACACCGCCACCCACAACATCGCCATCGACATCGCCACCCACAACAGTCGATGCGCCACCAAATCCGAGTGATGAACCTGGGCCGACTGTCGCAGAGGATGGCGTCGAGGAAGAGGAAGAAACGGAGGCGACGAGGGCCAAGCAGAGTTCGACGTGTCGGATCGAGCAGTGTCGGCGGCAGATCCGACCCGAGGTCGATGAGATTGTACGAGGTATGGTTCTTGCCGATGGGGTGCCAGAGGGTTTTCACTTGTGTTTTAGGTCGTCGTACTCGTATTGAACTGATGTGGTACGTCGCCCTACCAGATCCCATCTCCGTCCTTGGTCGCCTAGCCGAACCCCCGCCACCCCCACCTCCAGACTCGCCCATTCAACCACGCAAGTCAACCTCCTCAATCGGAGACAGATCCACTACCGTTCCCCAAATAGGCGGGGACGATGAAGGTGAAGACGACGAGGAGGATCCTGCCAAGGGTTACATTCAGCTCGATGCTACCAATATCAGTTCTGGGGGTCCCGAAATTGTTGAGTTCAATAGGGTTGAGGATCCGGAGGAGAACGGGGAGCTGGGGAGGGAGCGGAGGAGGAGGCGCAAGTTTGTTGACTGTCTCGGAGCGGAAACGGTCGATTTGGGTGCGTTTGCATGGTGTTCAAGTGCTCTGCATAGACCTCCTGACTAATCTTCACCTTCTTTACAGCTGCGCTGAGGACCTTGGCCTGGGCTGGGATACCGAATGAGCTGCGACCGATGGCGTGGCAACTCTTGATGGGGTACATGCCCGCACCTTCGGCTCGACGCGTCTCGACCCTAGCGAGGAAACGACAAGAGTACGCCGATGCGGTCCGACTCGCCTTCTCCCGTGGCGTCAAAGGACTCGACGGACCCATCTGGCACCAAATCAGCATCGACGTACCTCGGACCAACCCCGGTATTCAGTTATGGCAATGCGAAGGCACGCAAAGGGTCAGTCGAATCTATACTTTGTTCCAGCTCGCCGCATAGGAGCTGACCAGTGTTCGAAATGGGTTGACAGAGTCTCGAGAGGATCCTTTACGTTTGGGCGATTCGCCATCCCGCGAGTGGGTACGTCCAGGGGATCAATGATCTGGTCACGCCTTTCTTTCAGGTCTTTTTGTCGTCTTATATCGGTAAGTCGCCAGTAGTTCTCGAGTGCGGCAGAAGTCTTGCCCATGACTGATGGTGCCTTTGGCCCAACCAGATTCGGATCCCGAAGCATACGACGTTGCGGCCCTCCCTCCGGCGGTATTGGAAGCGCTTGAGGCGGACTCGTTTTGGTGCTTGTCCAAATTGCTCGACGGAATTCAGGACAATTATATATTTGCGCAGCCGGGGATCACAAGACAGGTCGCGAGGATGAAGGAGTTGTGTGCGCGTGTTGATGGTGAGTCTCTTATCACGAAGGAGATTGGCAACACGTTAGGGAGTTGAGCTGATTCGACAGTGAACCATTTTCTACCATCAGCCCCTCTCGCTCACCACCTGGAAGAAAACTCGGTTGAGTTCATCCAATTCGCTTTCAGGTGGATGAACTGCCTGCTCATGCGTGAAATGTCGGTCAAGAACATCGTGCGCATGTGGGACACCTACCTCGCCGAAGGGCAGGATGCCTTCTCCGAGTTTCATCTCTATGTATGTCTGGCGTTTTTGGTTCGGTGGAGCGATCGGTTGAGGGAGATGGATTTTCAGGTGCGTTCTTGATGACTCAAAATACACCAGACGAGGTGGCGTAGGATGGGGCTTGATTCCCATGGGGTACCTGATCGCACAGTCCATCATCATGTTCTTGCAATCGTTGCCGACGCAACAATGGAGCGATAAGAATACGGAGTTACTTCTCTCGGAGGCGTTCATGTGGTCGAGGACGTTCGTTGCTAGATGAGTGGAGGGGAGCGTTTCGCTGCAACGGAGAAGGTGATTATGAAACCGATTGATTCTGACTCGGTTGAACGAGAGTTCGGGTCCCGATGGACGACCTTGAGGTATTGCACTCCATGCCTAAGGACAAAAGACGAACTCGAAACATGGACCAATCGTCTTCACTTCTTCCTTCCGCCCCATCCTGCCTTTCATCCCAACCAACTCGCCAGCCACCGCGCTCCTACGCCGTTTCTTCCACCAATTCGGCGATGGTGCAACAGCCTTGAATACAGCAGCTCTTGTTATTATCGCCGTCGACGCAAGTGGTCATCTGCTGGGAACTTTCTCCACTGCTTTTCCGAGGGTATTGAAAGGTTATGATCGCCCAGAATCAGCTGACTAGCTGAACGGCTATTGGCAGTTTTCTGTCGCAGTTTTCTATCTTGAACTCACGGGGGGTTGAACACATAGATCCCGTCATCGGCACATTTCTTGAGACATTTGCCGAGAATGGTGACTCTCTTGCACGGGGTTTTGTCGACGCTACAGTTGGCGTAGCATGCTTCCCTTTGGCTGGTGATGGATGGCGTGCAAGAGTTACTTCATGACGAAGTCGCGCGTTCAGATCAACCGATGATGGAAACTTACGCGATGTCCTTCTCGGAATGAACGTCGCAGGATTTCTTGCAGTCTCTGGAGGATGCCGAAATAATCCGTCTCAGAATGGAGGTCTTATCTCATGTGGTTGACACACTCTCTAGTGTTGCTCGTAGCACCGCTGCCGTAACGTTCGTCGCAAACACCAGCCTACTCCCCAGGAGAAAGCGGGCTGTTTTACCTGCAGTGGGGGATCATGTTGCGAACAGCAGCACAGCTATATCGCAAAGATCAAGGCATTGTAAGTAGGTCATATTATCAGTCCTTGATTCGGGGAATCCCTCGAGTGAACGGATCGTTGTCAAGGCGGTTTGGTCTCACTCACCTCCCCGGGTTCTTACGCATGGCGCCCGGGGGCAATTTTTTCGACAGGGTCGAAACGATGAGGCAACAAATGGCGAGGAAAAGGAGAGTAGCACGCATCTGAATGGTCGAGACTAGACTTTTGGAGTATGGATTTGGTGACGAGTAAGAAGAGAAGAGCCAAGGTGGGATGCCCAAAGTGTATGGACGTATATTCAGGAAGTGAAGGTAGTGTCTCACCGCACGGGCGCTACTCTGATTCCGTTCCTACCCCTTTTCCGTTCGGCATCGGTGAATTTTGCCGGCCGTTGCAAGCTCAATCAACGGTCGGACCCGTCGGGCTGTCGGGCGGGGCTTTTCTGCCGCCGGCCTTGATTGTCTGAAATGACACTGATGATAGTGCATCTGCACCGCTGCACGGCTGAGTCATTTGCTTCTACTTGCTCCCGTGGTGATAACGTGCTTGCTTCCGGAGCTATAGATTCGATTGCTTGCACTGCACTGACACCAAATACGAGCGGGCCACGGGGTCTAACTTGCCGCAACTAACTTCAAGCCCCGTGATATACCGCAGACGCCTCGTGCCGCCTCCTTTCGTCGATGACACAATGACAGGCTGGCCATGGGGGCCGGCGCCTGGAGTGGGCGCAGGTCGGAGTGAGTCATTGAAGGGGTTTTTTTTTCGCCTCAAAGATCATCCACTAAATATATGCTTCCCTAGCGCAGAAAGACTGGTGATCCTCCGCATTTTCTTGAGTTTGCTGCCATCAAATTGTCAACCGTTTCGGCTCCACGCGAAAATCGGTTCAATTTGCTTGACCTGAGATCGAGACGGCCCCGGTGCAAAGTCGGTATCAAGCCCGTTATTGGGCCAGTGAACTTGGCCCAATCTAGACACAGTGTACCAAGGGAAGAGTTTACTTGCAAGGATACGACGGAAGGATTAAGACACGAAGGAAGAGAGAAAAGAGGCCGGCCATTCACTTCCATACTCGGCAGTGGCTTTCGAGCGGTCGAGCGCGAAGAAGTTGTCTCCTTTACTTGAAGTGAAACGCACAGCATTGCTGGTTGCATCCATCGCTCGCCATTAGGGGCATTGGTTTTCGGTAATTGACAACTGACTTCGGGGCAGTACTGTGGGATGTCAAGTCAAAACCCAGAAACTGGTATCGTCAAAGGAAGCGGCGCTTTGGGGCGCCAGAGGCTCCACGTACATCCCGCGCCTCCGATTTACTAATACTCATTAGAGCCGATAGCATCCATTTTTTTTCCGTACTTCTCTTTAGCTTTGCCGTAGAGCTCTCCTCTCTTCTTCCCCCGTCCCTTCATCTTCCCCCGAGTCACACGAATCTACCATCGATAATCGCTCAACTCCGCTTATCGACTTTCTTCACTTCAGTTCTTTTTTCATCATCGAATACATTTCAAGGACTTCTCTTGCCGCGCGGTGGAGAGAGAACAACCTGGCTTCCGCTTTCAAATGGCTTCGCTGTGCCTGTCTTTTGCGGGAAACCTACAGCCCGCGTTATCATTCCCCTCTGTGACTATCAGTCAGTACAGAACCCAATATATACCGAACTCAGAAACGAGTCTCGAATGGTCATTCCGAAACGAACTCGTCGCGACAGGACTTCACCTCGGTCCAGCTGTCCAGGAGCACTCAGCCAAGAACAACGTTACCACCATCTGGGACCTTAAACCTGCCAGACGCCAGATTCCCATCGCCGACCCTGACTAAGATCTGACGATTGGCCCTCTATCTTCAGAGATAACCCATCTCAGAATACACCAAGAGCGAGCGCAAGCCGTATCGCGCGATGAACCACGCGACGACCGCCCAAAAGAAGGAACGCAACTTCATCAGCGACCTCGAAGAAAAGGCCCGCCAACTTGAAGCCGCCAGGATCACCTCCACGATCATGGAGAATATTCAACGAAGTCGAGCTCTGCTCGCCGACTCGACCGCCCCACCGATCAGGATAACTGGTCGTATGAGATCGAGACCGTACGACAGGAGGCCCGCCGCACCCCGAACGGCCGTACCTACGCGACAAGTAAGGACCCACCCTTGGCATCACAGCGGAGTAGAGACGCTCTACTCAACGGGGGACGATGTAGGCCCGCGCCTCCAATTCACTCATACTCATGAACGCCGTTAGCCTCCATTTTCTTTCCCTATTTCTCTTTAGCTTTGCCGCAGGAGTTTCCTGTCTTCTCGCCATCCATTCATTCTCCCCCGAGTGCGGATCTACCTGCGACACCGCTCCTCGCCTTTTCTTCACTCACTTCTTTTCTCAGTGGCGCCTGCAAGAAACCCTGGTACTCGCGTGCTGCCTTCCCTCGGCACAGTGCTTCGCCGTTGAACGGTCTCAACAGTCAAGCCATCCTCAACGGCTTTCGGCTCTCGTTGCAGCCGTAGCAGATTTCGCCTCCGCGATGGACATCATATCGCATCAAGCCTCTCGAAAACAACCTTGAATGCCTACAGCACAGTATTTGTCTCTGATTTTTTACCCATTCTTGCTCAAGGTTGATCATTTGACACAAGCATTGCGATGCTCTCGCTAGCGGGAGAGCAAGCCCCGCAAGCCCGAAGTCACTACTGAGAGAAAGGGGCTTCCTCTCGGATCTTTCCCCAGTTAACATCTAGAGAGCGACCTAGCGAGCTGATAGGAACTAACTTTGTTCTGAGGGAATTTAGGCAGTCCTATACACCTATCTCTATCTATTCCATTCCATCGTCGTTCCCGCTGCACGACGACCTCAAACCAACAACACCGAATCAATCACACTAAACCCAACGGCGACTCCTCCCTCATCGGATTCCCTCCCCTTCGTTCTCAACAACTGTCCAACAGTTTGATTGATCCTTACGTGCGCTCCTCCCTCGGGACCTTCGTTCTTACCAAAGAGGCAGATCCCATAAATCCCCAATTCGGAAACGACCTCCCCTTGCACACCCCTTTCCTCCCCCGCCCTAACCATGATCGATCGGGTTTCCAAAGGCGGTTCGATCAATTCCATGAGGATATAAGCTTCCCTAGCTTTCACCTTGGATCCTAATTCCTTATCCTTCGCTTCGAGTTGAGCGAGGAAGGGAGGTATGTCCGTACGGTAGATGTTGTTACCACCTCCTTCGCGTTGGGGTTTGAGGACGAAACGGGACGGTGAGGACAGGGCTAGTTGATAGGCTCTTTCTCCCTCGGGCGTGGAATCGAGGGCGTAGAGATTCATGAAAGAGGAGACGAGGGCCTCATGTTCTGACGAAGAGGCGTGGAGTTTGGAAACGACTTCCTCCTTTGTCGTCGTCGTTGGCGCACTACCGATGTCCAAGAACCTCGCCAATTCTTTCGGGTCCGCCAACACCTGTTGTACCTTTTTACACCCACTCAACTGCAACGCCAAGGTGGGGCACTTGATCGCCCTCGAACGCTCGAACAATAACCTCGTTTCCCATTCTTTGCCCTGGGTCGTATAATCTTCAGGAGAGTACCCGGAGCGGTAGTAGATGACGGAAATTTCAAAGGGTGTTTGGGGGTGAGAGGGAAGGGTGAGGATGAGGTTCGAGGTTTTCGGGTCGAGGGAAGAGTAGAGGTGCAGTTCGGAGAAGGGGATGCGGAGGAGGTGAATGTGGTGCGCGCGTAGGAGCTCGTATTCCAAAGGTCGTTGGTCAAAGGCGTTGCGCTCGTCGTCTTGAGTGACCATCAGGATGCGGGCGCTGAGGATGGGAATTTGGAATCAGTCCAGTGGTTGTGGGGGATGGATCGCTATGAGACCTACTTGGGATTCCCATAGGCTTGATGCCCTTGTGCCAAGCCTCTTGCCAAGCCCTGAAGGGAAGGGTTCGCAGGAAGGGCCTCGGATCGTAATCGGAGATCGGAAGGGTAGGAACCAGTTTGGAGTAGATAGCTGGTGCGCAAACCTTTCGCCGTCTTAGCTCAAGGAGATCTCCGATTCGAAAAGCGTAGTCAGGGATAGGAAAGACGGACCTGTGCAAGTCGGTGACTTTGCTCGACAAGCAGCCGAACGAGGCCGAGATGGTGTTGAATTCGACTTGCTTGATCGTCGGTTGCGCCGCGGTCTGACCGGCGGGTGCATGAAGGAGGTAATCCGATCGAAAGAGTCCCAGATGAAGGGGTTGTTTGATAGGTTCCTGCCGGACGAGGCGATACATGTCGTACAACTGCTTTTGAAAGGGATCGACTTGAGCGACTTGAGCCCCGACGATCCGGTCCAAGGCTTGATCGTCGACGGTGACGTGGGCGTAGAGCGCGTTGTACAACGGTTGGAGACGTTGGGCTTGGACGAAGAGATCGCGAGGGAACGGTTGCGGGAACAGGGAGTAGGGCGCGTGTATGGAGGTCGTCGTCGACAGTTTGGAGCCGGATTCGGGCGGAGGCGGTGGGGGTCGGTAGACTAGACCATGCGTCAGCGCAAAGTCCGACGCGAGCGTGAGCAGGTTCGCCTCTTGGGCTGAGCTCAGGCTGGGTGGCCAGCTCATGAGTCTGTGTTTGAGCGCGGACGAGGAAGCGAACGAACAGGAGACGAGGTGGCGAAAGGAGTAAAGCGAGCGAGGCTGCGAGGGTGAGGGAGAGCACTCGCGACTGGAAACTGAACGTCGATCACCACTCGATCACCTCGATCACCTCGATCACGTCAGCGCGCGCCGATTTCACAAGCGCGCCTCGCCTCGGGGTTTGAAAGATTTCCGACCCTCAAGTGCGAAGGAGCCCCGCGAGTGAGCGCGAGTGCCCCGCGCACGGACACGGTCCTCGTCCCTCCTTTGAGCGTCCACCTCGCCGTCCTCGCCCTCGCCACCCTTTCCACCCGGTCCCTACCCGACGATCATGGCCCAAAAACCCACCTCCACCTCCACCACCACCCCTCCCCCCCCCTCCTCCTCCTCCCTCAGCCTGCGCCAATCGCTCCTTCTAGCGCAAGCCGTCAACGCGCTCGGCACGACCTCGTGGGACGCCGTTTCCCAACTCGTCGTCGCGTCCCCCTTTGTGCATCAAACGACGACGACGACGACGAGTTCGACTATTCCGGATGAGTTGACCCAGGGAGAAGGGTGTAGGACCGCTTGGGAGAGGTTGGCGAAAGAGGCCGAGGTCGGAGAGGAGGTTCGGTAGGTGTTCAGGGGGCTTCCTGTTCTATGAGGTGTAGGAGCACACTCGACCCGGTCACTTTTTTTTGGGCAGATCCAAATCGACCCCTTGGCCACCCAAAGGCAAGTCTTCCCTCCCGCCCTACTCTACTCTATGCACGCTCCTCCCCCCTCCCCCCTCCTGACCCATAACCCATAACCCATAACCCATAACCCATCCCTCTCCCCATCCCACAGCTCGACCTCTGCGCAAGATCGTGCGCAAGCTCTTTTCCGCATTATTGCATACGACCCACGCCGCGATCACTTCGAGTTTGGCACAGGAAGCGTAAGTTGACTCTCAACGCTCCACCCTCTCTTGTGCGCTTTCATTCACGTGCCCCGAGCGTTAAATCCCACGTCCACAAACTAGGAATTGCAAGAAGCAGATTCAAGCGATTCGATCGGGGAAGCAAAAGGAGCAGATTTTGGAAGATCTATCACCGAGGACCAAGGAGAGGTATTTGAGCGGTTTGAGGGCGCAGGCGAAGAAGGACGAAGAGGAGAAGGACACGACCAATGTGAAGGCCATCAAGAAAGCACAGGCGGTCAAGAAGGAGGAGGTCGAGGTGAAAAGGGGTGAAGCGGAGGAGGAGGAGGAAGAAGAGGAGGAGGAGGAGGAAGAAGAGGAGGAGGAGGGAGAGAAGGAAGGAGGAGACTTGACGGATGATTCGACGGCGACGACCAAGAAACGACCCGTGGGAAGACCTAAAGGATCCAAATCGAACGCTGCTCCCACCACGACTGTGAAAGAAACGACGACATCAGCAACGACTGCGACGACGAGGAAATCGACCCGAGCTCAGGGCAAAGCCACCACGACCACACACGAAGATTCTCCCGAACCGACCGCGAATGAAGGCGAAGGCGAAGTCGAAGAGGAGGAACAAACGCCCGCACCAGAGGAGGAAGACGACGACAACGAAGAAGGTGACGAGGAAGGAGACGAAGGTTCGACAAGGTCGACGAGAAAAGGATCGAGTAGAAAAACCAAAGGTGCTGCTGCTGCTTCGGCGGCGGCGGCCGGGGTCAAGAGGAGTCGGAGAAAGACGAGTGAGATGGCGGCGAGTCCTGGGCCGAGTGAGGATAGCAGGAGTAAAAAGAGGGTCAAGGGGGAGAATGAGGTCGAGAGTGGCAGTGGTTAGTTTGCTGTGCTTGATGAGGTGCTCGACGAACGTGGGCATTGATGTTTCGCCCCCGCTCGCTCTTAACAGACACGAAAGCCTTCCGCAAATCAATGAACATGCTCCTCGACAACCTCACCAACGAAGGCTACACCCACCCTTTCAAAGACCCCGTCCTCAAACGCGATGCCAAAACCTACTACAGCGCGATCAAACGACCCTTATCGATTCAAGAGATTAGGAAAAAGCTGCGGTCGCCGGATGGGTATACGAACGCGAGTCAGGTCGCGAGGGATGTGGCGCTGGTTTGTGCGAATGCGAGACAGTTCAATCCAAGTGCGAACAAGGATCCGGATGACTTGGCCGGGCAGGCCGAACGAACGTGGAGGAAGACGGAGGAGTGAGTTCATGCGGGTCGTCTGGTTCGGTCGAGATTGAAAGCTGACGTTTTGCGGTGTGGGGTGCAGATTGATGCAGCTTCACATGAGCAACAATTCGTAAGACGGCGTAGTATGTGTTGGTCTTGAGTACATCTCTTTATAAAAACTCTGTCGTACATGTCGTCTGTACGCTCTTCGTTCTTGGGTGTCGTATTGCAAACCAAAAATGCGTCCGTGTGCGCAGACTCTCGCTGAACAGTTTGTCAAGGTGGGGAGATAAAGTCCTGCCGTGAAGGCTTGTGGCAAGATATGCGCTCGAGACAAATAAAACTACCACCGAATCCTCTACTATATTCCGGACTTCAAAAACTCCTCGTGCAACCTGGTGAGTTCGAAGTACCAAAGAACCTAAAGTCAGCACCGTGCAGGCAGCCCACTTGGTCTGATCCCCCCCTAAGAAGAAAGAACTCACTTATTCTGCGCATCCCACTCCTTTTGCAACTTCTTCCTCCTCGACTTGGGCAACTCGACCCCCTCCTTATCCTTTGCCGGCAACCCCAGTTCATCCCACTCGGAGTATTCCTCCGTCCTGAACATGACTTTCGGATCCAGCCTGCCTTTCTCCAACTTCTCCTTCCTCTTTCGTTCCGCCGCCGCCAAAGTAGCGGCTTTCTTCGCTTCCTTCTCCGCTTGAATCGCCAATTTCGCGTCCCTCGCTTCTCGAAGTGTGGAAGGATCGACGAGTTTGATCAAGGCTTGACCGTCGTCTTGGTCGTCCAATGCGACGCCCAGATCGACGAGATCGGTGTCGCGTAATTGGTCGGTGAGTTGGAGCATGGCCGAGACGGGGGCACCTTCGATGGCGAGTTTACGAATCCGATCGCGGAAGGTTGAGAGGGCTCGGAGGTAAGGCATCAGAAGGGTCGTTTTCTATTATGAAAGGCGGGCGCGAGAATCCCTAGTCAGCTTTTCGGTCTTCCCACGATGCGGGAAACTCTCGTCACCCACTCACATCAACTTGTGCCTCCTCACCAGGCACGACGGCCATACCCCATCCGATGATCCTATCCCCACTAACAGGATCCACCGAACTCCCCTCCCCCAACCCAAACATCCTCAGCATCCTCGTTGTCCATTCCGCGACCGACACCACAACCGAAACGTTCACCTCCTTCCGCGGTTTCGCAAGGTACACGTTCGCCTTCGACACCAGCTCAAGGATGATTTGAATTCCTTTCGGTGTATCGAAGGAATCGCACATTGCGTGACGGAAGTCAATTTGGGCTTGTTCTAATTCACTGAGGAGGGTTAGTTCGGGAGTGGAAAAGTGGTGTTGGCCATCGGAGGCGACGGAGTTGGCTTTGGCTTCGGAGTGACGGGCGTTGACGGCGTCGAAAAAGTTCTGAGAACCAAAACAACGGGGGTCAATATGAGGAAATTGAATCCCAAGGCAGCAGAATACTCACGTTCAATTTGACCTCGAACCCCTTGACTTCCTGCATGCCCGTATCCGTGAAATCCAACTTGGCATTCCAAGTCTGCAATAAGAAAGCGAACCTCAACTGCCTCGCCGAATACTTGAGTGTATCCCCCAACGCATCATCGATCGTGATGAAGTTCTTCAAACTTTTGCTCATCTTCAACCCCGCGATATGGAGATGGCCCGTATGGAGGAAGTAATTGACCCATTGACGGCAGTTATGGAAGGCTTCGGATTGGGCGATCTCGTTATCGTGGTGGGGGAAAGCGAGGTCGACACCACCGGAATGAACATCCATACCTTGTCCTAGGACCGCAGAAGCCATGACACTGCATTCGATATGCCATCCAGGTCGACCGGGACCCCAACCGGATTCCCAAGCCGGTTCTCCAGGTTTGGAAGCTTTCCAAAGTGCGAAATCCGATGCGGAACGTTTGCCCAAACCACTCGTGAGGGAACCTTCCCCATCTTCGAGCAGTTCTCGATTCCCCTTGGACCAAGGTTGTAATTTGGCGTAGGTATGACGCCACTCTTCATCGCCCGGCGCACCTTCGAATTTGGCCGTGTCGAACCAGACCGAACCACCGGCTTCGTAAGCGAACCCTCGAGCGACGATCCCTTCGACGAAACTGACGATTTCGGGGATGTACTCCGATACGCGAGTCAAGGTCGTTGGTCGCTCGACGTGCAATGCGGCCATGGATTTGAAGTAAGAATCTTCCCAATACGCGGCGAGGTCCCGAAAGATGGCGGGATCAGTGACCGTATCGCCAAACTGTCAAGTCAATCGAGCACTCCAAGAAGCTGTCAGTTCAGCAGCGACCGATATGAGACGTTCCAAACCAATCACGGACCTGTTTATCCAACCACAAACTCAAGGCATCCTTAGTACTCTCGATCAACCCCCTCGCCTCTTCCTTCCCGTTTTTCCCTTCCCTCAACTCTGCCTCGGCCAGACTCAAGCCTTTCAACCCAGTTTCCAAAGCCGCGACATGCATCCCAAACTTCTCATCCCTGCCTTTTTGCTCTTGGACCCATCTGGCATCCTCGAGCTTGGATTCGATTTCGGACCAAGCGGATTGAGCGTCTTGGAAGGTTGGAGTGGAAGGAGGGGTCGGGTTGTCGAGTGCGGGTGAAAGGGCTTTGTAGAAGTAGGTGGTCCAGGCCGTTTGGTTGTCTTGAACGAGTTGGGAGGTCAGGGAGGTGTGTTGGGAGGTGTATTGGCTCAAGAGGTGGGATTGGCGGGCTCGGAGGATGATCTACGCACAGACAGACGCGCAGACAGGGGGAGTGGGGCCGAAGGTATTATTAGCCTGAGCTCGGTTGCTTCTACCCCGGACCTGCCGGACTGACCTTGTCATCGACATCAGTGATGTTCATCACGAAATTGACCTCGTAGCCGAAATAATCGCGCAGGATCCTCCTCATGATGTCCTGCGCGAGGTAGTTCCTGTCACAGCCCACGCCGAACGTAGAGAATCCATCTCAGCTGCCTAGCTCCTTCCACGTAGCGGCGTTCTCAGCTCTCGAGGAACCCACCTCGCGTGTCCCATATGACTCGCATCATAGACCGTAGGACCGCAGTTGTACCAGGTGACGACGCCAGGTTTCTTGGTGATGAATTCGACCTGATCATCGCCATCGCCAAGGTCAGCTCCACGTGTGCGGTCGGGCCGGGCGCAGGCTGCATCCTAGTGCAAGTGAACGCACCTTTGTGCGGGTCAACGAATTGTACACCTTCAATACGGGCTCTTCGTAGGTACGTTCGGGCAGTCGCCACGAGTCTTGAGTGATCTTGGGAGCGGCTGTGGAGGTGGTGGTCGAGAGCATTCTGGTCGCGAGAGCGAGCGAACGGAGCACCGGTCGAGGATGGGAAGCGGCTACTGATGATATCGAGGAGACGCTGGTATAAAAGGCTCGTCGGAGCATACACCTGTCTCGCTGATGAGGGTGTGAGAGAAGGGGAAACAAGCGCTCCGAGACGTGGCCGCCGACGGTGAGGTGAAAACCGACAACCGACAGCAAAAACTCGGGTCCGAGCCCTTGCTGAGTCAACGGCATCCCGGGCCATCGCATACGTCAGTCAGTTTTTGAGTTAGGTACGTCCCCGTGAAGTCTTACTGCAAATTTCAGTTCTGTTTCCATGTTCAATCACAAAATATGATACACGATGGTACAGTACCTATACGAAAGAGCCATAGTTGGCAAAAGGCAATACTGGCACCCCGATCACCGGAGTGAGAGTGCGCGCGCGAGCCGACGGGCGAGCCACTGGCGAGCCAGCCGACAAACCACCACAGGGAAGAATCGAACGAAAAAAGCTCCAGACCCACAGACACATTCCTTACAAACCCCACTCCCTCGTCACATCCTCGTTCATCAAATCGCCGAGTTCCCTCTTCCAACTCTCCTCCTCTCCCTTATCCTCCCTCTCATCATCCGTCCTCATCGTCAGCCTAGGATCGACCGTCACCGGCTCCAACTCTGCACCATCCCCATCGATCACAACCGTCGTACTTCTTTCCAATCCCGCACCACCCACCATCTCCTTCCCAAACATACCGGTTCCTTTGAACAACGATGAACTCAGCATCATGGGATCCTCCCCGGCGGTATTATCCAACCTCAACGCGTCCCAATCCAATTCAAACATCGGTGGAGGAGGGGGTAACCTCACTTCGGTCCAATAACTCGCAGGTGGGTAAGGCATAGGTGGGTACGACACCAACGCGAGGTCGTGGCCGAAGAAGGCGTGAGGCGTTCCCAGAGGGGACAAGGAAGGCGAAGCGAGGAGAGGCGAGGGGCAGGAGGACGAGGTGTCTGTTGTTGATGAGGAGGCGTACAGCGAAGGAACGAGACGAGGTGAGGTCGAAAAGGTCGGTTCTGTTGGGTGAGGCAGGGCAAACTCGGGTTCCGAGAGCAGCACGTCCGAGGCGGAGAGGGAACAGCTGGGGTCCTCCGCGGCGGCGGCGGCGGGACAGACGGCGGGGTCAAATTCTTCTTCGGCGAGGACGATCATCGGTTTGACGTCTTCGTCTGTAGGACCGACAGAGGGCTTTATTAGGACTTGTACAGAATGCACTAAACTACATATCGAGTCAAACGCACCAATAGGTTCGACCGATCCCGATGCATTCCCACATCCGAGATTGATCCCTAGCGACCCCCCAACTCCAAGGTCCGAGTCGCCGCCGCCAAAGGCCTCTTCAGAATAATACCCTTCCTCCTCCCCTTGTTCCCCATCCGAGCCATCCGAGCCACAGGAAGAACTAGACCTCTTCATCCTCGAATTGAATGCACCCGATAAGAAGGGCTTTTGAGCGATTGAATGGGCCAAGTCTCGATGATTTGGTGGGTGATAAGGCGCGTTTTTGCGGGGTAAGTCGGCTCGATAGACGCAGCCGTGCTCCGTGTCGGGACAACGACCGTTCCAGCGCGCATTGCGCACGCAGCTATCGCACGCCGGTTTCGAGCCCGAGCATTTGACTCGACGCGCTTTGCAGGCGATACATGCTAGGCCTGGATAAAATTCAAACGAATTGGATGGGGACCTATGTGTCAGTTGGATCGCATTTAATTTGCGCCCGGCGCGCGTGCCTGATCGAAGGCCGAGACGATGGACAAGAAAATTCGGCCTAGCCGACACGGGCACGTCGTGCATGCGAAGGCGATTCCCTCCCACCCTAGAAGACCGCAAGAAACCTCGTAAAAAGATGAACGAGCAAACTCACCTTTTTGTAAAGGAGCGGCCGGTTGCTCCGCAGGTGGAGTTGAGCCTTTGGGTTTTCGAGCCGCACGTCTTGAAAGGGGTTTTTTAGATGGAGTTGATACCGTATGTGCTGCAATTGAAGATTTCTGATCTTGATCATGCGAATGATTGTAGCTTGTCGCTGCAGCTGGGGTGAAACGGAAAGTCGATTGATCGATCGATCAACGAGGATTGATCAGCTCGAGCTCGCTCGACAGGAGCAATAGAAGAAAGACGGCCCTACCCGTCGAACACGAAGCTACAGGTGGTGAGGGTGATAAGGAAGACAAGCTCGATGCGGGCTCCTTGTAGTAGCACCCCAAGTCAGTGTCGATGTTCCTGCCGTCCCATCTCGCTTTACGAACGCAGGCTGAGCAACCGGGCGAACGACCGCCGTCGCAGCGCACTCTTCGTTCTCGACCTGTGGAAATTAGAACATAGAATTTCCAAAGTAGGTATGACGCGGTGCTGGTCAGGATACGGTCAAGGTGAATCGTTCCGCAGCGCAGTGTCGTTGAACGTTGATCGCAGCGGAGTGGCATCGCATCGGGATCGGTTGCCGTCTCAAAGCTCCGTAATCGATGCCCGTAGAGAAGCGTTGGATGCAGAGTAGTAGTAGATCCACGCAGATCTGCCGACGTCCACGTGCACTCCTCGAGCTTTCAACAGCTCCAGTATAATTCCCGATCATGTACACCGACATACATACGTCCAGTACCTCGGTATGCCTCCGCAAACGCCTCTCGCTTCAACGCCCGACCGCCCCAACGGTGAAACGTGACGTATCGCCGAGCTGAAGCCGAGATCAAGCGAGCCCAGACTACGAAGAACTCACAAGGAACGCAGCACAATCCCCTGGGCAATGGGTTGATCCGATTGATCGTACGACCTTGTCTGGAACTTGCCGGCATAGCTACACGTCGGGTGGGTAGAGTGGTCGCGGTGGAGTTGGGAGTTTGAAACGTTGGAGAAAATCGAAGTGGGTTGGATGGGCTCCAACCTCATACGCACCGCCGCGGGCCGCCCACCGTTCTCGGCACAAACGCCTCGGCGCCTCGGAAGGCCCTCTCTCTTCCTGGGCGGAGCTCGGCGGCGGTCCCGCTTCCGACCCTTTTGAAGCGCATTTGTCATCCTTTTTGGGCGTGGTGCGATCACCGTCTCTCAGGGTCATGGTCAGGGTAAAGGATCAGCGTACGGTCGAGTCATTGATTCTTGTTCCCGGCATCATCTACCACGGACCAAACGTGATACAGAGCGGTAACAGAATATAAAATGTTGCTCGAGCTCGACCCGGCCGAACGTGGACCCGCAGGGTCCGCGCATTTCGCCAAAGTCGGAAAGCTCATAGGTGATCCTTCTTGAGCGATGCAAGAAGTTTGAAAAGGCGAGGTTGCTGTACGAAATGAGGTTATCAGGTAAGGGTATCAGGACTTTGTTCATTCCTTGTGATTCCAGATATCGAGCCTTCGGAAAAAGAACAACCTCTTTGCCAAAACAAGCTGAAATTCCGCACGATTGTCAGCAGCCAATGGACCACTTGTCCTAATCGAATCCCACCACCTGAGTAGGAATATCGATAACCGTTGATATTAAGGACTACGACATGAAGTGAACCAGTCCTCCTTCTCCGCACTTGTAATCGTTGGCCAATTTGTGTCGGCCCTGCTCCTCCGCGGGGGAGCGTTGGCGCTCGACGGTCGTCGGTCCTTGAACGCTGGTCTCACCGTCGAACGGATGCTTGAGAGGTAGGGGCGGTGTCAACCGCAACTTACTTAATAATTAGTACTCGGCGACTTCGCAACTCTACTGACCTGAAACCTCAGTGATCCGACTTGGCCGCGCTGAACCTTCCGAAGTCCGACTCCTGACGGAAGGAAGCGAAACGACTGCTACGCCAAACAACTGCTACAGTAAGTCGCGTCTGAGACGTGCGAGTGGCACGGTCCTTACTGATACGCGTCGAACAATTTAGTAAGCAGTCTCGACGTGACTTTACGCGTTCACTGTGGAGGCGGAGTCCTCCGCCGACAGGTGGCATGAGAATTTCGAATCATCATAAGTCTTGCAGCACATATGGTAACATGTTCTCGTTGCAGTTTCAACTTATAAATACTCATCTGTCCTACGACATCGAAATGATACAATTTGACGTGTAATGACCTATAATCAAGTGTCCGGCGCACATGTGCGGACAAGTGTTGCGGCCGGCGGCACTACTACAGTGGCGCCTGCAGAGTACCAGTGAGTTTCAGTGTGAACCCGGCGCATCTATGTAGCAGAATGAAAAGCTTTACAAAGCATGAAGCACCATGGGCCACGCATTGGTGATGTTCAACAATCGATCCCGGCAGTACTCCGAGTCGGCGGCGGCTTACTGGCGGCTTGTTGGTCCAAGGCTGTCCAAGGAGTCAGCATCAACAGGCCACGGCGAGCCTGAGCGCATCTCGACTTTATCCCTCTTCCCACCCGATCCACAACTCACCCAACGCCCGGGGAATGACGTCTTCTGTATTGCGTTCCAACGAAAACACACACCACTGGCATGCCTCCTCAGCCGCATAGCGCCCCTGCCACCTACTCAGTGGAGAGCTGGCCTTGAGGGATGACCACGTACTGCCACCAGCTCAATCAGCACGTCCGCGCTCGGAGTCTCCTACGCCAGGAACCCCATCTCCCGTAGCATCTCGTGATGTCTGCACGCGAGTTTCCGGATTTGGTGCCGAACTTGCTCCGCGGTCTCGAGCGTGGGTTGGAGAAGAACGAGCAGCTAGACCTCGAACTGCCGTCCAATGTGACCGAACTAGAGTCGAAACGGGCAAGCTAGCGCCGACAAACGTCTCAAACCTACCCTCCGAGGCAGCCGGTCTAAAACGTGTACACACCGTCATCAACGATGCCGTGAAACCCATGATGAATGCAATTGCACCGGTGGCCATCGAATTCGGAGACCGCGACCCCGACCACGAACTGCGACAAAAAGGAGACAAGAACATTACCGTCACAAAGGCGTGTTCCGGATCGGAGAAGTCAGAAGATGTTATCACATTGGGCTATCGAGGCAAGACGGAAGGTGTGCACTGTCATGAATGAGGATTCCCGTATCAGTAAATTTCACTCGCCCGGTTCAGAGCAATTCAGAGCCGGTCCAGAACAATCCAGAACAATCCGGGCGTAAAGCGCGTAAAGCGCATTCAGCCCTGCGCTGCTAGATTGCTCTAGAAGTACGGTAGGGCCCAAATGAGCGTGAATACACCCTCCTCCGCAAAGTGTGCCTGCAGCAGACCCTAGGTTGGTCGCGTCGGAATGATCCTGTTGCAGTCTCGAGAACTTTCTCCTGCCTGTCAGAATCGCAAATGAGCTTACCTTGGCGCCGATAGCCGAGCCTCCTTCGGTCTTCTCCTTGGACTTGCCAGAGTGCTTCTGCTTCTGCTCAGCCCCTTGCCCCCCCCCTGTTCCTCCTCGTCACTTCCCTCTCCCTTGATCTCCTTTAGATTTTGCATGACTTCCAAAAACTCCGATCCCTGAGGGGTATGTCTAGCCTCTCGTCCCTGTGTTCCGCCAGGCTCAACGACATGCCGGATGTGGAGGTGTTCAGATGTAAGTTCTGGGAGATGATGACGCAGCACATGTTCCGTCTTGCCTCGATAGCCCAATGTGATAACATCTTCTGACTTCTCCGATCCGGAACACGCCTTTGTGACGGTAATGTTCTTGTCTCCTTTTTGTCGCAGTTCGTGGTCGGGGTCGCGGTCTCCGAATTCGATGGCCACCGGTGCAATTGCATTCATCATGGGTTTCACGGCATCGTTGATGACGGTGTGTACACGTTTTAGACCGGCTGCCTCGGAGGGTAGGTTTGAGACGTTTGTCGGCGCTAGCTTGCCCGTTTCGACTCTAGTTCGGTCACATTGGACGGCAGTTCGAGGTCTAGCTGCTCGTTCTTCTCCAACCCACGCTCGAGACCGCGGAGCAAGTTCGGCACCAAATCCGGAAACTCGCGTGCAGACATCACGAGATGCTACGGGAGATGGGGTTCCTGGCGTAGGAGACTCCGAGCGCGGACGTGCTGATTGAGCTGGTGGCAGTACGTGGTCATCCCTCAAGGCCAGCTCTCCACTGAGTAGGTGGCAGGGGCGCTATGCGGCTGAGGAGGCATGCCAGTGGTGTGTGTTTTCGTTGGAACGCAATACAGAAGACGTCATTCCCCGGGCGTTGGGTGAGTTGTGGATCGGGTGGGAAGAGGGATAAAGTCGAGATGCGCTCAGGCTCGCCGTGGCCTGTTGATGCTGACTCCTTGGACAGCCTTGGACCAACAAGCCGCCAGTAAGCCGCCGCCGACTCGGAGTACTGCCGGGATCGATTGTTGAACATCACCAATGCGTGGCCCATGGTGCTTCATGCTTTGTAAAGCTTTTCATTCTGCTACATAGATGCGCCGGGTTCACACTGAAACTCACTGGTACTCTGCAGGCGCCACTGTAGTAGTTGTGAGATTGCCAACCTCCTATGTTTCCTTCTCGCATCATGACTCCTTTTCTCTGTCTCGTTTTCCTCCATTTTGGCCTGCCTTTCCACACCTTAGCTCTCTACCTTTTCTGGGCTGGGTCCGTGCGCCTGACACAGGCAACTGGCCCAGCCGCGCGCTTGCCCGAGCCTACTGGGTCCGCGCTTCTCTCTCTCCTGCTCAAGCAACTTCTTGGTCTGGTCTCCTTGGTCCGTCGATCAGAGCCTTACCACCGCTTGAGCAGGCGTCACAACTTCATAGTAGTGCCTTGTGGTTTCTCATTAGGAGGCTCGTTGGTTCGTGGAAGTGGGGGAAGTTGGTGCTGGCAAGTCGATTGCGTCGATGTGAAAGAGCGAACGACATTCGATTTTAAGACTTTGACGATTGTTTCGTCTACGTCGTGAACGGATCAAGCTCGGGATGAGCTTGCAAGTTGAACAAGGCTGACTCTCGGAGAGATACCCGGGCCCCTGGACGAGTCGAGCAGCTGGGAGAGGCGGCTCGGAGTCCTGAAGTGGTGATCAAAGATTACGCTGTTGTACACAATCGGAACTATTTGTTTCCTCGTTGTTGGAGCTTTTATCTGCTAGGACTCGTTCCTGTCGTGTTCTGATGAGGGATCGGAAGGTGGCAGGCAGTGATTCTGGAAAAGAAGGTGGCGGGTGACTCGCGATCGGATTTGCCGGGAAGCGGAATGGGATCCCATATCGTGGTTTATGGTGTGGGGTTGGAGGCCCATATGATCGTAAGGTAAGTACCTACCTACCTACCTACTCTTGTGGGGGTGAGCTTTTGGAACGGCTGAGAAATGCTGATTCGAAAGAAGAGCCCCGCATCAAGTCCGTTTCCGAGGCGCGGGTCACGTGCGCTAAAGAGGTCCGAGCTTAGGGGGGTGGAGGTCTCGTCATGATTCTGCAGTGCCTACTTCTTCCCGAATGTGTACCATCGGATCCTTATTCAAGAGTTTGCAGCGCCCGAATTCGCTTTCGACGAAAGGCATTTGATTACGCAACATACCTGGGAGCGGACTCGGAGAAATCGAGCCACCCGGGCCCCACTTGCTCCCGTAGCCGTAGCTGTCCTCTCCGTCGCTGTCCCCATCCGTGCGGCTCACAGGATGGAACCTCGCCGACGGCACTCTCTCCGGTCGGCCCCTCCGACACCGAGTACGATCGATGATCGTTCCTCGGACGGTGACGCTGATCGAGACGATGTATGGTCCCACAACACCGGTGGAGCCGGTACCGGCGACGGTGCCAGTGGTGTTGCGACGGCCCGTGCTGAACGATTGGTCGTGCGTCGAGTCCGAGGACTTCCAGAAGAAGTGGTCCCAAGCTGACTGACTCTTGTGTCGGCTCTTCAATGCAGACCCTGCCTGATCTCGAGGCACGACTCGAGACTGAACGTGCGATCGCGGATGGAGCCGAACAGTTCTTGCACATGCTCGAGACCCAACAAGCACCATCTTCACCTGCTCCAGGATCGGATGGGTCGTCGTCCCCACCACGGCCTTTGGAAGGATTGGGAGCTGGGCAGGAGGAGTTGAAGGCACAGGTCGAGGCGGAGCTGCTTGCGGCTAGGCAAAGGATACAGGAGCTGTTGAGCCTGATCGAGGCGTTTCCACGCGGAGGGGGCGGTGAACAAGGTGTGTTCGGGTGGATCAGGAGGGGAAGATGCGGTGTCTCGTCATGCTTATATCTAGACACGCTCACACAGATACATCAGCCATGCCACCTAGTCCGGCGCTCTCTGAACCGTACCCGAACGACGCGTTGCCATCCTTACCTCGTACGTTTTCAGATGGGCGCAACCCAACGGGGGTCGTGGATCAAGCAGCTCACACCGAAACTCTCTCGCAACCCTTCTCACAGCTCATCAACCAACGGATAGCTTCTTGCCGACCTTTGAAATGGTCGTCCATCTGCTCCAACGCCTCGACGAAACTCAGCAGGTCTCGGACAAGTTGAGGGCGATGGATTCGATCGTCGACGCGCTCAAATCAGAGGTCAGGGTCAAGTTTGAGCTTAAGATGGAGGATTATCTCGCTACGTGAGTAATCAAAAATGAGGAAAGTTGAAGCTATGTTTATATCGACCGCTGGTCTGATGGGACTTGGAGCAGCATCATGGAAGGACTCGGCGAGGATGCAGGAAAGCACGTTCGCGCAGGCTCGTATCGGTTACTACGTCATCTCATCGTCGATCAACATGACGTGTATCAACTGCATGCATGTTTCCTCGATATGTTTCTCGTCAAGTGAGTTGTTCCTCCTTCTCTCGTGGAACATCTGAAACTGCTCGCCCACTGACCTCTTCTGTGCCGTACAGATCATTATCGAGGGACTCGAGAGCAGAAGTCGAAAAGGAGCAAGCTTTACGACTCATCCGACTTCTGCTATCCTTACCGGATACGGACCAACCCGTTCAACCTGCCGTTATTCGGGCGATCGTTGCCATTGCGGAGAACCAGGAAGAGAAATTGCGGCTCGCGTGTCTCGAGACATTGGGGGAGCTGCGTGAGTCGGCGTGCATTGTCGCGGGACGATTAAAAGAGACGCATATAGACCCATTCGCTATTACATCCGCGTGATCCCCGCAGTCATTCGAGATGTATCACTCCTTGTTGCTGCCGAAGGGTTACCGGTCGTTTTGCAATCCCTCTCGGATGGTCCTCACGATCTCTCCCCCTTCGTCAGCATGGGTTTGCTCTGGGTCTTGGACAAACCCGACACACGGCAGTACTTTCGGCAGGGAGTCGACCTTGAGGTGCGTGGAGCCCAGAGAGATTGATCAGATGGTGACCCCATTACCAACCTTGCTGTTCTGGACTTTGTAGATTCTGTTGGCTGCTTTTACTGATATGCCGACCAAAGGCGCCGTGTTTGAAGAGCGTGTGCGAGCGAGCTCAAAGATGATTGCAAACACGCTCAAGTCATGGAGTGGTCAGTGCTACACCTCTTAGGGCGATCCGATCTGGCGTTATGCTGACTTCTTTTGCCTGCTCGTACAGGCGTCATGTACTTCAACTTGAATGGGAAGCGGGCTCTGACATCACTCGTCGCTTCTTTGACGACCCCCTCTGCGTTCATTCGAGTGAGCAAGACCAGGTTCATGTCACAGCTAGCGAGGAAATCTTGTCGCTAAAACATACTTCGTTCGTAGGACGCATTGCTCGACATGCTCTTCAACGTCTTCCACATCGAAGCTCCCTCCTGGTACACCTCCACCGCCGGATCCCGGCTCAGTGGCCTTAAGCAAAGTCGGCCCCCAACCAGCAGCGCCAATCCGACCGACATCAACGCTCCCCCTCGACAACAAGCCAATCTAATCCAACACTACCTCGCCGTCTTGCTCCTCATCTTCATCGATGCCGGACTCATTGATGCCCTCGTCTCTGTCGCTGCTGATCCAAGGGACGCGACGACGACACGCAAAATTTCACTGCTCATTTCGGAGATTCTGGCCCTTTCGAATCGAGTCCTCCCTTTATCGCATGCTGTCCGAGTGCAGTCCCTTCCTCGCTTGTTCAGTCTTGCTTCGTCGTTCGATACGAGTGATGAACGCCTAGCAGCCGGGTCAACGCTCCTCGCCGTGGATCAATTCAATCGGGAACAAGCCCGGGTTCGTCAACATCGGCCCTTAGACGGTGCGGACACGCTCGCGTTCTTGAACTCCGAAGACTCGGTCAAGAAAGTGCAAAAGCGACAAGTCGAAACGACGAACCTCAAAATGGGCATGGCGATCGACGACGCGACCTTTCGTAACCTGTTGTTACTTTCGAGGGTGTTGGATAGCAAGGAGGATCATACGAAGTGGGATTTGGACACGTTGTTCGAATTGGTCGAGGGCGCGCTGTTGAGTCCCAAGCGGTTGGACGAGGCAATGCGAGCGACCAAGTTTATGAGAAGGTTGTTGAGCTTTTTTCATCCGTTCTCGTTGAGGTTTTCCGACATGAAAAAAGACAAGGTTGGTCGAACGGAATTCTTATTTTCGGCTTTCACTTTGAAGTGCCTAACATCTGAGCTCCATTTTTGCGAGTGCAGGATTCGGTCAGATGGACTAGATTGGGGTGCGCATTGTTAGAGACGATGATGGCCAATCCCGACGGCGTACGATATTTGTCAGAGGACAAGTTCCTACGGCAGATCGCCGACGCTCTCGGTCAATTGGATTCGGTGAGGATTCTCGAAACTAGTACAGCTTTCCCGGTCGTACGAGACTGATGAATGTTCGTTTCGGGAATTCCTTCACAGGCTACTAGTCCACCCGCAACAGAGCTGCTCTTCTCCAAGAACCGCGTCGAATCGACCCTCGCATTCGGCTATTTCGAGATGCTCGGTGTGATGACCAAATCGAGCGAAGGAACCCAACTGCTCGAAAAAATGCATATCTTTACGTCCTTTTACCGCATCAGTGAACTTCGATCGAGAGAAGACCTGTTGCAGCTCATCCTGGAGAATGTCGATTACGCGCGTGATGGACATCCACGGGTCTTCCTTTCCAAGGCGCTAACCTCAAGTCAAAAGGTACGTTCCAGGCCCGTTTTGCGTTGATGCCATTCCTTTGGCTTACCAGACTAAAAACTGTGGTGATACCATACAGCCCGTTCGGATCTTCGCAACCCAACACCTCGCCAAATTGATTCAACGCCAAGGTCCGATCGCCGAGGAATGGCAACTGCAACTCTTGCTCACGCAATTATACGACCCTTCGACCGAAGTGCGAGAACTCGCCGTGCGCGTGTTGGACCAGGCTTGTCGGGTGCAGCAGACCTTGGAGACGGTCGTGCAGATGAGACCTTCACTGGATCATCTGGGACCGATGGGTGCTGATTTGTTGACGAGGTTAGTACCAACTCGGCGCCGTTCTGACAAGATACTGATGTGATCTGAGCGGTATTCATAGATTCCTTTCGACTTCGATTGGCGTGGGTTACTTGCACGAGATCGAGTTCATCGATCGCGAGCTCGAGGATTGGTATGCCGTGAGTTATATGCTCCACGCGCCGGATGCTTTAAAAGCAAAACCACTTACTTGATCTCGTAAATGCATCCACAGGAGCGCAACTTGACCTACGTGATCGAATTGGAGCTCTTGATGGCACAAGCTCTTCGCATCGACGAACTCCCTTCGTCACTGGGAGCCTCAAACTTCGATGGCACACCTCCGCCTCACTTCTACGGAGAGCTCGTCAAGACCTCGGAAGGATGCGCGATCCTCGAAGACTCGGATCACTTCTTAATGTTCGCCGACTACATTCGCGACCATGCACTCGAGGACCAAGACCCTGAGATTCTGCTCAGCCTCAAAGCCGCTCTCTGGGCCGTGGGGCATATCGGATCGACCACGGGCGGACTCGAGTTCTTGGATGGGGAGCTCGTCATTCCGAGTATCGTCGAGATCGCGGAAGACTCGCCCGTTTACTCGATGCGAGGTACGGCGTACTTTGTGCTTGGTCTCATCGCTTCGACTTTGGAAGGCGTCGAGATGCTTGAGGAAGTGGGATGGGAAGGCGTGGTGACGTCGCTCGGAGGGGCGACGAGCTTGTGCGTCCCGATGGATCTGGCCAACTTTGTTCATGTGAGTTCGAGTAGCAGAAGTACGATTTAGAATCGGCCGGACTGTTGAACCCACTTTTGGTTTTGGTTTCCCTCCCAGACTCCTACTTGGACACCACCGACGGCCTCCTCACCCGAGTCGCTACTCCTGCAAGCCCCATCATCACCCTACGAAATCGAACTGCTTTCCGCACTATCGAATCTCTCGAACCACATCCTCGCTACCAAAGCCTCCAAAACGCTGGCTCGGCTAAAACAAAAGCACCGCTCGCTCTTCTCCGATCCAGGGATCTTCTACCGGGCTTTGGAGATGCTCGCGAACAGCAGCTATCGCCTCGCGATACGTCGCTACATCCTCGACCTCTTTGACATCCCCATCGACTCGATTGGGGTCTTGCGGATCATGCAAGCGGGTGAAAATCTACAACTCGATGACGCCGCCGGAGGAGACGTCGATGAAGCGGACGAAGCTGGCAAGCTCACGCCCTCGACTCCATCGGTGGAGGCCGGGAAACCGAGACGACCTCGAGCAGCGACTCCTAAAATACACAAAGGCGTCGAAGCGATTTTGGGCGAGTCGAAAGGGATGGATCCAGGCGACGAATCCGAGTCGGATGGTGGTGAGGACGTGGGCTCGACGAGTGATGAAGGCGATGACGTCGTCGGTGGCGAGGTCGGGGATGAGAAGAAGATGATCCCTTTGCAGGTGTGTGCGCCTTTGTTGAGCGTCAGGGGCTTCTTGATCAGTTAGTAGTGGTCAATTATGATGATCATTTCACGTCTAGATAGTTGTTTGTAGCAACACTGCATCACAACTGTTTGTATTCTTAGGAGGGTTGGATGGTAGGCCGTTTCCGTGAGCCATGCGGTTTCGAGACTACACGCGGCTCAGTTGCGTTGGATAGGAGCGCGCACTCTCCGACGCACCACGGGACTCGGATGTTGAATTGGGGTCTGTTTCATTCGAATTGCATCACATCATGCACTGAGCGACTACTTTCCGCTTCATACCTCAACCTCACGAGAAATTTTCGATGCGAGTTACGCCACCCTCAAAAAATCAAGTTCGCAAGCGAGTGCACGAAGCAGGCTCCATCGCTTGGTCGTGTTCGTATTGATCTGGGCTGCTCACGGGATGCCGATGAACCATGTGATCGCCCACTCACGAGCACGATGTTCAAGACCTCAGCGCCAAGACCTCAACGCCACAGCGGGAGCACGATTTTCAGCGGCTTTTCAGGGTAGTTCAGTGGAGTACAACTGCGAGAAAGTACTCTCGGTGTTGAATATACTACCTGTTGCGGTTTATGCTGAATCTGTATTGGTATCTTGTGGCTCGGAGTACGAAACTTCACTGCACCGTCTGCACGTCATTGTGAGATATTGGGCCGGGCTTAGAGAAGGAAACCCTGTCGAGATGCAGGCATCGCCTGACCTCTCGAAGCACATGATCCCGGAACTCGTTGAGCTTTCAGCGACCAGCTCGCTCCTGTGATCTCAGGAGCCCTACCTCATCCCATCATTTGCTGCCCTTGGGTGTTCCCGGCCTCACAAGTGATCGCCGAGGTGATGAGCCCCCAGAGATTGCCATGGGATAGCCATGACGAGCTTTACCGTTTCTCTGTCTTGTGCCGCCACTTGCTTTTCCCACCTCTCTATTCCAACCCAATACCCTCTCCATCAATTTTATTTCCACCATGAGATTGTTCTTCGTTATCACCTTTAGCCTCGCGATGTGTATGATCCATGCCCTTCCCGCCGAAGACCACAGCGGCACCACTCCGAGCCTCAAGGGGAGCAAGAAAAGGACCGTCCGACAAGGAATCTGCTTGTGGGCCTGTCGGGGATTCATCTCACCGTCTGTGTAGGCTTTACATAGATCATTCCCGCCCTACACATTCCCACACTGGCACTGACTTCCACCTTTCGACCCGTCCGTCAACGTGACGACCCTAGCGCTGATTGTTGCAAGAAGTGCGGCATCGCAGACAAGAACTGCCCCTACGAGGGACTCGGCCATGTATGACTGGTCTGGATGGTAAGCAAATTCATCTCAAGGCTGAGAACCATTTGGAGAGCGGCTCTGTCGGCTGATGTGACTGCTTATTGGGGCCGGAGCAAGGCACACCACAGGCGCCTCCTTAGGGCCCTCGCAGGGGGGCCAGTTTGAATCTGAGATAAGGAGTAAGAGTGTAGGACTCTTTTAGTTTCATGTTAAAAATGTGTGCTGCCTCATCTCCCGCTCGGACTGGCGTCGAATCTTAGCAATTATGTGTTTAACCATTCGCACAACCTCGGCTTTATCCGTGCATTGATCTGTTTGAACCTGATCGATATCCTTTCAGAAACGGTATCGACCACCTGCTGGGCTTTGACCAAAGATAGGTAGTCCATTAACTCGGTGCATATAATGCCAGCTTCCCTTCCACGAGATCGAGCTGCGACAGTGCTATCACATGATCACGAGCACGTGAGCGCCAAAGGGCCGCCGATACCCCTATATTTCCACCCGCCCGCCCGTCCAATGATGCCCCTGTTCCAGTCAGCGCTCGCCCATGTGGCATCTCGCGACGTCCCGCTAGTCGTACCCGCCCGCCCAACTCAGGAGTTAGGGTCGTCCGTTTTCACCCTTGTGACTGGTCTCGATAAGGATTTTACCTCACCCCTTGGGTTGAGATCATCCATCTCCCCACCACCCACATCTTGATTCGTTGAGAGCGCATTTCCTCCCCCTTTCAAGCGTGAAGGTCACCAGAGGGTAGACGACGTGTTCCCAATTAAGCGATACAATCTATTTCAGAACCATACCAGCACAAAGTACATCACCAATTAGACTGCTCTCTAACAAAATTAAAACGACCTCACGTGACTCGCTCAAACCCATCGGGCGGCAATACTGCCCAACGTTCCCAAAATGGCCAAACTATCATGACCCGTTCCATTTTCTTTGGGAGGTGTTTGGGTGAGATGATCTATTCCAACGAAACGAGGAAAACTGGGTTCAGTAAAACTCCTTCGATGGGAAACGAGGTATGAGAGGGAAAAAAGGTTACTTACAAGCGTTGAGCGTAAGACAAACGACCATGACGAGCACGCCCCAAACGAGTAGGCACCACGCGGCGATTCGGAGGAGTCGGTCTTGGCGCGTTGGGGAGGTTTTAAAGAGGGAGAGGACTGGACACGATAGTAAAATTAAAGAGTCAGTTCCCTTCCCTTTTGTCTTTTGACACCCTCTCGACTTTTGCGAAACTCACAGAAAATGGCCGGCAAGATGAAACTAATCGTTGTACTCCCCGTCGCGCCTACGAAACCCAAAACGACCTCCAAAGATGACACGAACATGGAGATGCAGAACGTTGTGAGGAGGATTCCACTACTTTCCAAGACGAACCTCCCCAGTGGGATCTCGGGACTCGCGTGGTCCTCATCACCCCCTGATTGAACGTCCTCGTCCGTGGGTGGGTAGAGCACCTTGTCCAATGATGCTCGAGCGGGATGGAGTTGAAGTGGGTAAGAGAAGAGGACGAGAATGACGAGACCTAGTTGACAGATCGAGACGAGGAGAGAGTGGGGGTACATCTCGATGATGTTGGATCCGACGAGGTTACCAAAACAGAGGTAGCCGAGGATACCGAGGATCTCGTAGATGATCGCGGCGGAACCGAGTGAGGTGCCGATCACGAGGTTGAGGCGATGTTGCGAGTTCTGGGTGGGTCAGGGATCCTGATCGAGTCAGGTCCTCGAGCTCCTTCGCTCGTCTGAAGTCGCCGAAACTGACCGTCTTCAACTCGTTGAACACCGCAAACAGATTCTGCGCGCACGTGAAAGCAAAGATCTGCACCGGCAAACTCTGTACGAACTTGGGACCCAAATGAATGGCCTCGACCGTGCCCCTCGGTGGCAAATCATGCCTGTGAAAAGACATGTAAATGACGACAAAGACGAGGTTCGCGACGGCGCAGAGGGCGATGTAAGAGGTGAACTTGAGGCTGTCGAGTTTGCGCAGGAAGGCGAGGGGGCAGAGCATGGACATGGCGAGTAGGATCCACAGACGGCGGTCGAGGAGCCAGTCCGGGGAGGAGGACCAAAAGGAGTAGACGACGCGGGGCATGAGACCGCCGATGACGATTCTGCACGTTGGGGATGGAGACGAGCACGATGAGCTGCGCGCACTTCAACCCAGTCATTGAGCGCCACAGACTGACAAGTAGGATATCGACACTCCAAAACACTTGAGAAAGATGGCGAGATCAAAGACGCGCCCGAGTTTGGGGAAGGTGAGGCGGGATAGGGCGGCAAAGGAAGCGGCTCGATGGGGTGCTTGGGCGGCGGAGCGCGAGAGGAAGTAGAGACCCAATGCGGCGCAGAGACCGCACCAGATGACGGTCAAGACGCCTGGGATCATCCCTCCTGAAGCGAATGCGTGGGGCCTGGGGGTCAGTAGAAGAGTGGGGATCAGTCTCTGCCGAGCCAGGGGGCAAGATCTTCCGTTTCTCCGAGAATGGACCGACATGGCGAGTCTGCGGTATGAAAAGGAACAACGGTCAGCCAGCCCAACTGCAACTGCAACTGCAACTGTCAGCTCCGAGCTCTGTATGGCCACTCACGCTCCAGTGCCAATGATTGTATCTGTGGCAAAAGAACGATGCCAGAACAGGGGCTCAGTCTGAGGCTCTGGCCACTCTATGCATCGAAGCTCCCCAGAACTCACTCGCCAGATTGGCAATACAGCCAAACATACTCGCCTCCCCCTGCCGCTGCGCCTTGATCGCACTCTGCCCATGGACCGAACTTCGAGAGCCCAGAAGAGGCGAGGTTGAATCCGGTGCTGGGCGAGGGATCGAGGTGCGTGCCGGTGTTCGACTTGCTGTTGCTGCTCCGGTGGGCGTGGGCGTGGGCGTGGGCGTGGGCGTGGGCGTGGGCGTGGTCGGGGATGCGCTGGATTTGGGAGGAGGTGGTGCGTCCTCTTCGTCCGAGGAGGAGAGACGTGGCATGGTTGGAGGTGACAAATGGGTGGAGGGCGATGAGGCGGTAATAGTAGATAGACCAAGTCGTGGTTGTTCGGACACACGCGCCTCCTCACGCGGTCGATCGACTCGAAACGGTTCGTTCGGGTCGGTCCTGGCCCGACGACGGACGACGCACAGCTTTGAAGTAGGATCGGCAGGCTGAAGTATCCCTTGTGAGACGAGCTTCTCGGTGCTTGAATGCAATGATCGATTCGGGAGTGATTTTGGGATGATAATGAGGCGCGATATGGTGCTGAATGCAAGCCAGGACCCAGGTTCAGTCGGGTTCGATTTTAGCATGCCAGGCACGTACGCCGGCTCGCACGGACCTCCCAGTCTCTAGGCTGTGCAATGGCGTGGGAACGGCGTGGGAATGGCGTGGGAACGGCGTGGGAACGGCGTGGGAACGGCGTGGTCAATCATCATCGAATCCGAATAACTAACGCAGCCTAACCTACCACACATCCCGTTCTGCCGAAAAAGTGCATACATCGAGCCAAGAGCTTGGGCTCTGGCTGCTTCAGCTTCAAGCTTGCACGCGCGGCTGGACGCCGACGCGCCGACTCGATGTTTTGCAAGCCGAGTGCTGCTCTCTGCTGCTCTCTGAGCCTCTCTGAGCCGCTCTGAGCCGCTCTGAGCCGCTCTGAGCCGCTCTGAGCCGCTCTGAGCTGGCCTGCGCGTGCTGCCTCCATTCTGGCCCCTCTCGAGGCCCAACACCCCCTCCGACGTATCCTTCACCGAACTCGGTCCCGGTCCGTTTCCCCCCCTCTTTCCCCGGTGAGCAATCAAACTTTGAGGCTTGGGTGGATGACTATCCACTGACAGTAGCCATTCCTCTTCAGCGAGTGTGCAACCCCCCCAACTTGTTGTTGGGCGAGTCAACACCACCACCACACGCGTATCCCTCTACGGGATCATGACACCCCACCCCCACCACCCCCACGTTTATCCTCCGTCCGAAGACGATCCCGAAGAAGAAGACGACGACGACAATGATACAGGGCGAATATCCCTATCCACCGCGACGACGACGACGACGACGACGACGACGACGACGACCAACGACCCAGGTGGTCGAGAGGAGGAAGATCGATGGGATCCTCTGGATTTGCAGGACGATCCTTCCTTCGAAGGTTTGTTGACACGACCTCGCCAAACTTCGACGCCTCAGAAAGGACGGGGGATGAACAAGATCCTAGTTGATGAAGATGAGGAGCCATCTTCCGAAGGGGCGGACGATTGGCCGCGAGGGGATGGGATCCGCTTGACGCGTCAACGATTGGCCAACTTGCCTCTCGTCGTTGAGGAGGCGCAACAGAGGACCCATTCCAGCACGTCGATGACGAATACACGAATCGCGAGCGGTGCTTTGTCTTCGCCCATGTATGCACCTTCGCCTTCGACCGGGTCGAGTACGTTGGTCGATCCGAGGGAGGATGAAGTGGATTTGATGATGGCGCGAAGGAGACTCAAGGAGAAAGCTAGGGCGGGCAGGGAACAAGGGGAGGAGATGACAATACGGCATGGGAATGGAGTGACCACCCTGAGGGAAGAAGCGGAAGACGAAGAGGAAGAGGCCCGAACAGAGATCGCGACACCGAGGACGAGACCGAACAACGAGCACGAAGATCAATCTCCATCACCTCCCCGACCATTCTCCAACCCGACCCCACGAAGAAGAGGTGCCCCACTCGAATCTTACGTCCAATCACACACCACACCACGATACACCACATCTCGAACCAGCCCCCTCCCCACCGCAACTCCACTAGCACCCGGAAGTTTCCCCCCCATACCCTCCCGCACCCCCCTCCCTTCTCAACCTTCCTCAACACCCCTCCCACGCCACACAGGCCGAGCGCAAATCCTCGACGCCTTCAACCGCTTCATCCAGGGACCCAACGGAGCTCTGACCCTCTCAGCGGAGAGAAGAGCCGCATTGACGAGAAAGAACGTACGCGCTGAAGCAGAGGCGAGGGAGGTTCTGATGAGGTCCAAGACGTCGTCGGTGGGGTCCTCGGAACTAAAGCGGTCGACATCGACGATGAGAACGGTCAAGGGGACACCGCATCCTACGGGGTGGTATGCTTTTGAGCCGAGAGCGATCGAGAGCGGGGAGACAGAGGCGAGTTCACCTAGCGTGAGGAACGGGAGAGGCGATGCTCAAGACAGAGAGGCGCAGCCGACAAGCAAACCATTTACAAATACCCGATTCACGAGACAAGATTTCGTCGAGGACGAAGGGGATCGATCGAGAGGACGGAATCCGCGGACGCAGGAATATGAGGGTGATGATTCGGCGCAAGAGGAGGAAGACGACGTTGAGCAAGAGGAGGGCGAGGAAGAAGAAGCGGTGTACAGAGCTACTGGAGGAGGAAGGAGTGCGATCGAATACGCCATGGCCAAATCGTTCATCGCTTCACCCGTCAAAGCTAAACCACGAGTCAACTCACCACCCCAATCGACAATTCCCCCTCGACCTATGACCCCACCTTCCCCGACCCTGCCCGAACTCCCACCTATGCCACCTACGCCATCTCCTCAATCATCACCTACCGCTCGTCGACGTCGAACACCTCTCACCACGCAAACGAATTCCTCCTCCTCAGCCGCAGCCACACCTTCCTTCCGTTCCCTCACCAAGAAGGTCCCCCAATCGTCCACCCCACCAAGATCCCCTCCCCCCCTTCCTCGAACCACCCAACCCGACCATCCACGTTCCTCGACCCCACCAAGAAGTACGAGATTCATCCCCCCAAGTCCAAGTCGAACACCTCTATCCAAACGATCTTCAACGACGCCTCCTTCTTCCTCGAAAAAACCGACGCCCAAGCTCGCCTTCGTTTCCCCCTCGAAATCGCCAGTGAATTCACCACCTCCTCGAGTAACGTATCAAGTCCAAGAGCGTTCATTCCGAAATGAGAAGGAGGAGGAGATCGATCCAAGTCGAGATGATGACCAACACCTTCTTGAGCTCGTCGAAGAACTGGCTCGTATAGTCCGCTCTCGATCAATCGAATCCTCGCGGGAAGAAAGTGGAGAGGATCTTGAGGAGGGAGGGAGGGGCTTTTATGACGAGGAGGATGCAGCGCTGTTGAGGAGAAATGAGGATGTCTTGAGAGAGGCTGAGGAGTGTGTGAGGGAGGGGAGGGACCTGGAAGAGGATTTGAGGGGGGAGGAGAGGGAGGGGAAGATGAATGAAGTGAGCCACCCACCTTCATGACGGGTATCACTTTTCGGTTACTGATGATACCTCCCTCTCAGGCAACAATTCAAACGCTCTTGCAACGTCTCGACGAAGCCGAAACGATCGACGAATCCCTCCTTTCTCGAATGGATGCTCTTCGATCAACCTTGGATACACTGGGGAGAGATTTAGGTGCCCAAGTTTCTTTGGCAGTACAAACCAAGTTGGAAGAGGAGGCGAGCCAGAGGGGAAATTGGTTGATGTGGGGTGTCGCATGTCAGTTCGTGTTGATTTGGGTCGTGATGTGGTAAGAGATCGGCCTCCCTCTTCATATTGGCTCGACACGATTTGCTGAAGAATCTGTGTATCCACCAGTCTCGCCAATTACCGCGCCTCAAGGCTCTACGACTCCTCCTTCATTGACCCCTTTACCCACCCAGCACTCTATTACATCTCACCCTCCACAACGACCCATCATATCTCTGAAGAAACTCTCGCGCTCTTCTCACCCGTGCCTAAAAGGGGTAGAGGAGCCGGTCAAGGGGGCCTGAATTACGTCGTTTTGGTGATGAGGAAGTTGGTGGGGGGGATTGGTCGGGGGGAGAAAGGGTTTGGATTTGGAATGCGCGGTATGGGTACGGGGAGAGGGGTCGTGGAGAGGGTTCCCTTTTGATGGGGAGGGAAGAGGGTCTTGTCCGGAGGTCCGTCTTATGGAGTTCTTGAACTTTTCTGTGAGTTATTCTTTGGGTCTGCGATCCTGTGTTGTGATTTTTTTTATCAGTGTGTATGTTGCTCTTGTTGTTATTACATATACCGGATATTCTATACCCTCGATTTTCACATTTTCATTACTCGTCCATTCTTGCACCAATTGATCCCTGGGGTGAAAGGCACGCTGTCTCGGACAGCGGAGCCTCACTGGTGACCGAAGATGACAGGTGCAAGTTATATGGATTACAACTAGCTTCTGGTGTCAGCTCGATGAAGAGGCGCTGGTCGAGCGCGGCAAGGCGGAGCTGTTCGTCTTCGTTGACGGGCGCGATAGCGGCCACGGGCGACGTGCCGCGCGGCTGGGACGATAGTTCAAGCAGGTCAATTGGCTCCTCCGGGTTATTCTTACACGTGAGGTGGCGGTGTGGGAAATAACCTAGGTCAATCTTGTGCGTGTAGATGAAGTTGCCTCCCAGAATAAGCTCGAGGTCCCTCCCAAGGGGCGCCACTTCGGCGTACGTCGGGCCCGCCGCCCAACGTCCATTAGCCAGTTCGACCGGAACTCGAACAAAATGCGTGCAGGTGAAGACAGTGGGAACTTGGTTCTGCATTGCAAGAGTGTACTTCGTGTGCTGTTCCAAGGCCCGTTTTTCCAATCCCAATCGCTGAACGAAATCCTCACTGAGGAACGTTTGAGGCGACCCTGAATCTACGAGGGCCGAGGCAGTGAGGGTACCATGAGCACCACGCAGAGAGACGGGTAAAGGAGGGAACGAGCGAGGGGCGTACGAGTAATCGTCTTCTTCCGAGTCACTGTTGAGGCCAGCAAACGCGGTTGAATCACCCGTTTCTTGGAACGTCTGGATGGCCGCCACCATACCAGGACGAGTGCGAGCGGCGGGAACGGTCGACAGGGGAGTCGACGAGGTGGCGGGCGCTCCTGGAGCAGGGGCATAGCGAGGGCAGTTGCTCGACATGTGATCCGCATTGAGGGCGCGGCAGCGATAGCACCCATGGTTCTGGTCTAGGTACGCGCGCTCCTCGGCGGTGAGACTCGCTCTCGATGCTCCCGCCCCCGCTGTGGTCATGTCGGAAACCGACGTCTACAGCGATGCACCGGCGGAGCAACCCGGGGAGTTCGACTACCAAATATTGGACGCCAACGGCCCAACACACGACCGACGGGCTTCGCACCGTCCCCGGCTCACCGCCGAGGAGCGCGCGTACCTAGACCAGAACCATGGGTGCTATCGCTGCCGCGCCCTCAATGCGGATCACATGTCGAGCAACTGCCCTCGCTATGCCCCTGCTCCAGGAGCGCCCGCCACCTCGTCGACTCCCCTGTCGACCGCTCCCGCCGCTCGCACTCGTCCTGGTATGGTGGCGGCCATCCAGACGTTCCAAGAAACGGTTTCTCGGACAGCGGAGCCTCACTGGTGACCGAAGATGACAGGTGCAAGTTATATGGGTTACAACTAGCTTCTGGTGTCAGCTCGATCAAGATACGATAGTGCTGAGATAGGGAACACCAGTACTCACCTAGCTTCTGGTGTCAGCTCGATGAAGAGAGAGCTGAAGAAGCGAGGCGCGCACAATCTCTATTTCTAATGCCTGTGGCCCGTCGTAAGGCCTTGCCTTACGTGGGGATTGACATACCAGAATATTCGCAGTGTGGAGGGAAGAAGCTCTGACATCTTGGGTAGTTTCATTTGACGTTATTACAACAAGGATTTCTTTCGGACAGTAAGAGGCCTTGACACCTCGAACACCTCTCCGTCGGGTAGATCGGGACAAGATTCCCCATTGGTCTCCATTGGTCGGAGCGTCGAACTTTTTCCTTCTGGCACTTCGCGCGCGCCGCGGTCGGCCGGCCGGCGGGCTATTAGGGCAGATTAGGGCGGGCTTGCACCGTCGTGCTTCGTCGCGCTTGGCTTTTGGTGCAGAACTCGACTTGACTCCGTCCGTTCGTTCTTTCTCTTCTGGACACCCCATCGCACGATGTCGACGCTTTCAACGACAAGACGCCAGCTCCTTTCCCTGGGTCTGATCTTCGGGATCGCCTCTTACGCCTCCGCCTCGCCGTTCTACCTGTTGACGCAGCACTTGTCACAAGCTTTGCCCGTTCCGTCGCCGGCGAGCAAACATGACGGCAACCAGCATCACGGCGGAGGCGGAGACCACCGCAAGGACGACCATACCCCGATTACGATCCCGCGGGACCCGAATATCATTTACGATGGTTTCCCGAGAGCTTCCTCCATGGTCGGGTGGATCTCGATCGCTTGTTGGCTCATAGTACGTTGCACACCTGCCCCTCCGCACCTCCGCGCGACCTGAGTGTATGCATTATCCACTCCGCCGCGGAAAGTCCCCATAACTGACCCACCTCCCGATTTTCTCTCCGTTCCCGCAGGTGTACACACCCCAGGTACCGTGTCTTTTTTAAAAAGCAACAAGAACCCACCTCGAGTTGACTCTTCCTATGAATTTTGTTCTCTGACTCGATCGACAGTTCTTTCGACCAGCTCTGGCTATGCGTCGTGCAGCAGTCGGGCGAAGGGCTCAGTCTCGTCTTTCTGGCCATCGTGAGCTTCAGTATTCTGTTCTACCTGGGTATAGGGGCTGGAGCTGACTCGGGTTTGTGACTGTTTGACGCCAAAAAATAAGTGGCTGGCGGGTGATGCGACCAACCTCCTCGGAGCTCTTTGGCAGGGGTCAGTTTGCGCAAGTAGCCTGCAGTTGTGACTTGGACCAAAAATGCTGATCTTGTGTATCTGCTCTTTAGACTGCTACCGACGATGATCATCCTCGCGGTCTACTACTCGCTCTGTGACAGTACGCCTTTTCCCCGAAAACGTTTTCAGGCGGCTCCCGGGTGCTCACGCCGAATCATTCCCTCCAACCACAGTCGTCCTCATCTTCCAAGTCTTCTACTACCGTCGCAAGCGAGCCCTTTACCCCGAACTATTCTCCACCGAAGCCACTTCGGCCGGCGCAATCCCTTCGACAGCCCACGAGACTGATCCCCTCCTCTCGTCCTTCTCGGCCCATGCGCCGAACGAACCCGAGCCGGATCGTAAAATGAAGAGGATCAAGAATATTGTTAGCTATGTTGGTGGTTTCGTTGTGGTGCTGGGTGTGGGGATCGTCGCTTGGAGGTTGAGTAGAGATGTGCCCCAGGGGAGGAAACGTACGTTCTTGCGCGCGATTACCTGGCAGAGACTCTTCTCACTCGGTTGTATCGCTGACGGAATCGACCTCCCACAGCCGAAGTCTGGGACACCAAAGCGCAAGTCGTCGGCTGGGCCTCCGCCTTCCTCTACCTCGGATCTCGCCTCCCCCAAATCTCCAAAAACATGGAAACAAAATGCCAAGGCCTCAGTCTATTGATGTTCGCCTTCTCCGTTGCGGGGAACGGGACTTATGTCGCTTCCATCTTGTTGACGTCGGTCAACCCGCAACATATTCTGATTAACGCGAGTTGGTTGGTCGGATCCGGCGGGACGATCTTTTTGGACTTTATTGTGCTGGGCCAGGTGAGTTTAGGGCCTTTTTTGAGGAGGGGGGGGGGGGGTGAGGGGGGAAAGAGACATGTCTCATCAACTAGCTCTGTGCTTTTCGTGCAGTTCTGGTACTACTCCGCGAGGAAAGCCGAAGAAGCCAAGATCTTCGCCGATGACGAACGTCTTTTGGATGAGGACGTGGCCTGATTCGGTTTCTCCCTGTATGGGCATTCATCATTTTCGTCAACAGCACATAACACATAGAACGCACCCACAACACCTCTTTTTTCTACTCGTTTTCCTTCCTCAAAAGCAGTAGACATCTTTTTCCATCTGGCCGTCAGCCACTCTCGCGATACACCTTTCTTTCATCAGTCTTTCCTCATCCTCTCGTTTCTGTGACATTAGCTCCTGGTCAATCACCATGCCTTGCTGTATCGTTCCACATACACCGCTCGGAGGACTTTCGTACCACGATAAGTGTTTTCTCGTTTTTTCGCGGAGCCCGGCAGGCACATCACGTGATCTGGACGGCGATCGATCCCCGAGGGCGCGTCGCTTCGTCCATTTCGTCATCGGCATCGAAGTGTTCCCTCCAAAGCTCCACTGATCTCTTCTCCTCCTTTACCTACCACCACCTCACGCACGACTATCTGTGATCCCCCTGCCCCTGCCCCCCCCCCCCCCCCCCTACATCGAGTCCCCCACACGCGATCGCCCAAGCCAACGTCATCAACCTCGACCTCGATCTCAACAACCACCTCCTTCCTTAGCCTCCTCCCACCCACTCACCTCCCCAGACTCACTCCATCATGTCCATCGCTCTAATCCAAGGCAGTTCCGGATCCCTAGGCACCCATTTCGTCCAACATCTCCTGTGCACCACCTCCCTCCAAGTCATCGCAACCTCTCGCAACCCTTCCTCAACCCGTTCGCACATCCTCTCCAAAGTGGCAGGCCTCCAAGCTAATAAAGTTGAAGATCGTCTGACAGTTTTAGAGATGGATGTGACGAAGGAGGATACGATTGAGAAAGCTGCGAAAGATGTGGAGGGGAAATTCGGGAAGGGGAGTTTGAGGATGTTGTTGAATGTTTCCGGGGTGGTCAGTCCTTTTTTTCTCTTTTCTTTTCACGAGGACTTGGTCGGAGCTTTTCGAGAAGGATTGAAGGGCTCATGTTGATGCAATATCTTTTTACGAAACTCGTGTTGGGAACAGCTCCATGCGGATAAGAGTATCACCCAAGTCAAGCAGGACGAATTGTTGCATCATTATCAGGTTCGTCGTTGGACCCCCCTATCTCTCACGTAAAAAATCGCTTCTCGACCAAGACCTGTCCGTACTAATCCGAGCCTTTCCTCTTCGCGTCCCCACATCAGATCAACACCTTTGGTCACCTCTTAACCTACAAACACTTCATGCCGTTACTACCCAAGAAATCGGACGTCAAGAAGGCGCTCGAATCGAACGAGGAGGATCCGGCCAAAGGAGCGGTACCGAAGGGTCTATCCGTTTTGGCGAGTTTGACCGCGAGAGTGGGGAGTATCGGAGACAATGCGAAGGGAGGGTAAGTGGACGTGAATGTGGGCTTATGGGAGAATATTTTTCGCTGCTTCGTGTCAGGATTCCCGTTCACAATGACTGAACCACTCGTTCACATTCATTCACCCATAGATGGGTAGGTTACCGATCCTCCAAAGCCGCAACGAATCAAATCATCATGACCCTCCAACGCGAACTTCAATTACGAGCCACACCCTCCATCGCAATCTCCCTTCACCCCGGGACGGTCGTAGGTACGAACCTTTCGAAGGATTTTACGAATGAGGAAGATGCGGGCAAGAAGGAAGGCGTTTTTACGGCGGAGGATTCGACGAGGAGGTTGTTGGACGTTATAAAGGGCTTGAAGAAGGGCGATGGGGGCAGGTTCTTGGACTGGAAGGGGGAGGATATCGTTTGGTAGAGAGATGTAGGAAGAGGAGGGTAGGAAAAGTGATCGGTTGCTTTGAAGGACTACGATGTCCCATTCGATAGAGGGTCGTAGAGGAAGATCAGATCCAGTCGGAAGATCGGAGATCATTCGTGTCCTTTGTCGTGTAAATATAGTAAATATAGTAGTGAAAGTGTGCTCTTCCGCCATCAATTTTTTTGGTCATCTCACTCCTTGGACACGGACGGCATCGGTCCCGAGCTCCGGCAGCGGCCATCGCACGCGACTCGCCCCTTGGCCAACATTTCGGACATCCGTAGAGTTAACCTCCTGACCCAGTTCGCGAATCAACCGGAACCGGGCAAATCGAGCACCACGCGAGTGTACGCGACCGTGTTCGGTAGGTATGTTGATATTGAGCACTTGCACTTGGTATCCTTTTCATCCTCCTTGTCACTGATCTCTTCCCAGGTGCTCACTCACTCGTCAAACCTACCGCCTCCGCGAGCTGAGTCCTAGTAGCTCCACGGTCCACCTCGCCTTGCCCGCGTCCATGAATCCTAACAAGTTCGCGACACAGGTCATCTTAACTACTTCCACTGGCGTTGTATGTGAGAAGTATGGAGGACTGGATCCCGACTCAAGGGGTTGAGTACGGGCGCAAGATCGAGGATGGAAGATGGATCAAGCATTGCAAAAGGACTGACCTGGATCCCGACTCAAGGGGTTGAGTACGGGCGGAAGATCGAGGATGGAAGATGGATGAAGAAGGAAGAGAGGCGAGTGCCCGCGAGGCGCGCGACTTCAACCCAAGCCAACGTGTCAACCGAGTCTCGATCAGGCGCTGGGATCCGGCGTAGAGGGTAATAGGCTAAAGAAGGAGTGCAAAGTAGGAGTGGAATAGTGGCATGAGAAGTAAATAGAATTAGAAGAGAATCAGTATGATTGGGTTCTGACATTGTATGTGACCGCTTGGGTTTCAGATGACAATAGTCGCCTGCGTAAATCCGGGTGAGGATCTCCTATCTGCCACGGCGCCTAAGTCTTGAGGCGTCACGGGCTACTACCTAAGTTTCGCTCTAAAGCACACACCGATTCCAGATAAGTAAACTCAGTCGGTGCGCGGACGAACCCCCCGTTTGTAACGAGTATTGGCTCAGCACCAGGAATAGCTAGCTACACGGGCAGCGACGCGGAAGGGGAAGCTTGCCGGGCCTCGACGACCAGTTAGGTTCAACTTGACTCGATAATCCCAGCACTATCTATTCTCTTTGCGGTCATAACCCCATAGCAAAACCACGTTCTCGAGAGAAAAAGCTTTTGGCACAATCAGGAGATTTGCCACATTAGACATCACGTTCACCAAACGAATGGAAAAATATATATCTCGCGTGGCCGTTCAAAGCGGGGGAATACAGATTGAGCCCCCTCCCTTTCCCATCGGCTCCGTATCTATCAAGTACAAACAAATAACCCTAACAAGCCTTTTTCTCTCGGTAGCGCTCTTTACGCGCCTTGCCAAATCTTCTTCCACAAAGGGGTATGCTTGTTCGCGGCGGCTTCTTCGGCGGCTTCGTCCTCGTCGAATTCGCGACGGCCGGAGACGAAGTCGAGTTCGGCCAAGGGGATGATGGACGTGCGGTGATAGATCTTCCATCCCGTGTAAAGGATGACGTAGATAGCTGTAAAGGGGGGGGGGGGTTCGTCAAGATAGAAGTCGTCAGTTTTCGGACGATAAAACACTTGCGCTGGAAAGGGACTGCGTCAACTCACGAAGACCGAGGTAAGCGGTGATGAAAGTCCTGAACTTGAAGTTGGGCATGAAGGCATCAAAGCCCTTGAACAAAGTGACGATCGAAGTGACGACGATGGAGAAGTAGGCCAAATAAGGCTGCAGCGGTGCCTGCCACGGCAACGTATCACGCGAGATCCCTTGCACCTTGAGACCCTTCATGAAGCGCACGTGGGAGACGAGGATACTGAGCCAGGTCAGAGCACCAAAGATGGTCACGAGCGCAGTGAAGTAGGTGAAGACCTGGGCACCTTCAGCTGCGACGTTCATGTAGGCCAAACAGCAGAAAGCAGAGCAGAACGCAAGGGCGATGTAAGGCGTTCCGTAACGGTTCGTGCGCATGAAGATCTTGGGCGCTTTGCTCTCGGCCGCAAGAGCGTACAGGGTGCGCGAACCGATGTAGAGATCCGAGTTGGCGGCCGACATGACGAACATGAGGATCGAGGCGTTGATGATATCGGGTAGGACCTTGATACCGGCTCGTTGGATGGCGACGACGAACGGGGAGGCGGCGGCACTCGTGCGGCGCTTGTTGGCGGTCAAGAGATCGGGGTCGTTCGCCGAGACGATGAGACCGACGACGAAGATGGATCCGACGTAGAAGATGAGCAGACGCCAGAACGTGCGACGGATCGTCTTGGGGATCGTCTTGCGAGGGTTCTTGGCCTCGCCGAAGGTGACACCGATCAACTCGCACCCCATGTAGGCGAAAAGCGCGGTGGTCATGCACGACCAGACACCGAGGAAAACACCCGTGTCGGTGTTGTAGATGTAGTGCGCGAAAGGTTGGTCGCGCCAGTAGCGGAAGCCGATACGGCCTTGGCCGGGGACACCTCCGAGATCGATGATCCAACCGAGGAGGATCAATCCCGTCAAGACGATGATTTTGAAGAACGAGAGCCAGAACTCGATCTCGCCAAAGACCTTGATACCGAGCAAGTTGATGACGATGACTGCGCGCGGGGAAAGCACCGCCGAGGAGTGTCAGTAATCGTGCTGCGAATTTGCTTGAGAGTCGGGTGCCGACTACTCACTAATGACGTTGAAGATGGTGATCCATGCTCCTACGGGCACGGCGCGAGTCCAGTACTGAATGACGATGGACGCCGCCTGTGTATGTGAAAGTTCTTCCGACCGATCAGCCGCTGGCCGCTGGTGCACACTCTTCAAAGAGACTACGAAGCGTACAGTGATGTTGTTTGGTGTGACGACGAGGTATTTGAACAAGTAGTTCCATCCTATTTGAAGTGAACCCCAATCAGAAATCAGCTCGGCTACCCCTCTCGAGTCCAGCGAATACCGCACTTTGCCGAGACCGGACAAAGGGTCATCTGACCTCCGCCACAGCTGAAGCGGAAGAACCTACCGGTAGCGAAACCCATCGCAGGATCAACGAATCGAGATGCATACCCTGAAAATCCCTTTTTGTGCGGAATTAAAGTCCTGTCGCCAAAGTGAATTTGAGATCGAGATCAGCTCTTTGACCAAGTCGCGCGAGCCCCTAGCGATTTATGCTTCGCCCTGCCGGAGGACATGGTGAGGTGGAAGGTGACTTACGCCATTTCACCGAGGGAAGCAAGAACACCGAAGCATACCGTTCCCATGACCACATACGCCAACAACAGTCCGACCGGACCACCTCGGGATAGGCCTGTTCCGGAACCTGAAACGGACGGAGGTGGGTGGGGGAGTAGCGGCGGTTAGCTCGGATTCCCATGTGGCCTCCTGACACCGAATCTGAACACTAAATCTGAGAAATGTGTGACTTACCAATGACGAGGCCCGTTCCAATGGCACCACCTAAAGTACAATTAAATCATCGTGCGAGGTCGAGCAATTTGAAACGAAGTAATGGGAATGAGAGGTACAGAGAGTACGCAGGAAACGACGTCAGTACATAATGATGGAGAGAGCTTGGCACCCACAAGAAACAAAGGCCGACACGACCAACGATCGCCGCCGGGCCTCTCGGGAGGCGGGCTTTCGCGGGCGCTGTCCAGACCAGTGAACGGAAGCGTCGTGGCCGATGAAGCTAGATGGGCAGAAGCAACTGACCTAGGGCAATCATGGAAATTCTATAAAATCATAAGGGAAATGAACGTCCTCGTCAGCTGACTGTAGCGTTGTTGTTGATCGATCCCGTGCTGCTAGTGGAGCAAGAGTCTCGGTGGTGCGGAGGATGCTCCTACGTGACCAGCAGCGCCGAAAGCGTGATTCGCGATCCAGCGGAGAAGGAAGAGCGGGACTCAACTGCCTGGCCTTGAGACCGCGATGCAAATCATTCTCCGGTGCCACACGTTCCACGCCATCCTCATCATACTGGGTCTGCTGAGCCCCCGATTCAAGTTCGCTCGAGGTCGCACTGCGTCGACCCCCGGCGGCACTGAATCCACTGATGAAGGTCGCGTCGCCGTGCTTGTCGTCGACGTATTCGCCCGAAAGCTTCTTCTCCGGGATCGAGCCTTGCATGATTGGCCGAGTCCTGCTTGGTCTATGTCGAGGCGTAAACGAGAGGACGCTTGCTCGCGAAGTGGGGTTGGTCTCGCGGTTTATCTCAAAAAAAAAAACAGAGGATAAGGAAAGGAGAGAGGTTCAGAGAAGGAAAGGAGTAGTGTGAGGGAGAATGAGACGAGACGATATCACCTTTTCGCAAGCTCGCAATCGATCGCAATCGATCGGAGCCGAAAAGGGCACTAGTCCAGCGAAGCCAAAAGCCATGTCCGGAGTTTTGGGCATCCCATTTTCATACACACAAGCGTCGCTGTCGCCTGGCACTAGAGAACCGGGGGGGGGGGGGGGGGGGGGGGGGAACCACCGAGGTTGGCCCGTTCCGACGGATCGCGAAAGTCCCGCCCAGCCAATGACCTTTTCCATTGGCCTATTTCTCGACCGCTTCTCTCACCGATCTCAGCGCCAATCTTGCATGAGCGAGAGCCTCTTCCCCACGCGCCCAGGCACCACCGCGCCAGCAGCGCTCAAAAAAAAACGCTTGGCAATTCGGAAAGGCGCCAAATTACGTCTGATAAGATCCCAACGAGACTTAACTACCGTTAAAAGTCGCATGCGAAGAGTTTCATGCACAGCCAGGGCTGCTTCTGGGCTTTGCAGGGACGATGACGTGGTTCGAGTGGCGGGGCGTTTATTTTAAAGCCGATGCATCATGCTGCTTGACCGAATTGAAGCCCCAAGCCCGGCTGTAGTCGCGCTTTCGGACAGAGTGCTCCTCTGCAGCCTATCTTATCTCATCGTGGGGTAGCTGGGGTCGAATGTCACAAACGTCGGCTGATGTCCTCCCCCAGACCCCCCGAGGTAGCTTAATAGCTTCTGAACACATTTGCCCCCCTAATCCTCCTTCGGACTTTTTTTTGGATTCGGTCACGCGACGTCGCGATGATCTCTGAGCGGTCCAGCGGTGAGGCCGGTGAGGCAGCTCGACGAAAAAGGAGGCTTATTATGTCCAACACTCACCCCAACAAGAAGCCGGGCTTACTTCCCGTAAACGCCCGACCTCGCAGGTACCTAGAGATACTCTTAGTGTAGTTTTTCGAGAAGCTAAAGGCCGATCTTCAAATCCGGTTTGCTTCGCGAGACTTCGGCTTCATAGAGAAGGCTTGGTTCAGCTTCCCAGCCGCTCTTCTCCGTCCGAACGACCGACGATCTCGGAGGAAACCAGGTACCTGCTAATCTCTTTAATCTACAACAACAATTATTTCATGTGGAGCACCGCGATCCCGAGAATCACTACGCAGTAGGACCCTATCAGATGGACTGTAAAAACTGTTGCAAGCCCATCCCGCCACTTGTTCCGCCCGCTTGGTTCGCCCTTTCGCGTTCGAGTTTCTTCGCGGCCAATAGTTCGGCTAGACCACTGGTGGTCGTCTTGGATCGTTTGTTGGTGCTTTTGACTTGATTTTGGTGAGTGGTGGTGGTGGATTTGGTATGGGATGATGGTCTTACTCGAGGTTCGGAGTTGAGTGCGACGGGTTTGGAAGTGAAGTTTGGTTTGGAAGGGGTGGGAGAAGGGACCGAGGAGGGCGCAGAGATTGGTACGGCTCTCGAAAGGCCAGTTTGACTGGTTGCTGTAGTAGATTCGAGGCCTTGCATCGCATCACCCGGGACCCTCGTCCTGGCCAAGTCCGATACGGCCTTCGTGAGCTTGCGAGAACTCGTGCCTTCGATCGACTTGGTACCATTCTGCGATCCCGATCCCGATTCCAAGACCGCTGCTTTCTCCATCTTATGCCTCTGCTTAACACTCCGAAACCTTTCCTTACCCCTCCCCTTCCCCTCCCCTCCCTCTTCCTTCGAAACCCTCCTACATCCCAAACACCTCCGCCACAACCCGTTCCGATGAGTTCTAACGGTCGCATTAACGCCTACGATCAAAGTCGCTTGACAAGCTGGACATGTGAGTTTCGTGTTCGAAGAGTCTGGGGTGGTAGTGATTGTTTGGGAATCGATCAAATGGGGTTGGGTTGCGAATTGGCCTTTGGAGAGGGGGGCGAGGAGGTAGGAGAGTTGTAGGCGGTATTGAACGGTCTCGGGGGAGAAGGCGTAGGCGTTGGGGTTGAGGTGGTTCGAAGTTGAGGTGCTCATGAGCGTTTGATCGGAGGCGTAGTGGGTGTGGGGCGGACGACGTTCACGAGTTGTAGCCGATCGGATGGTAGATCGGGGACTGGATGAGTAGGAGGTCCAAGCGCACGGGTGCGAGGCGCGGCGCGTGAGATTGATCGTGGTCAAGCTTCAAGTCGCTTCAAGTTGTCTGATAACTCATCGCTGCGGAAGGCATCATCAAGCACCAAAGGGAATGAAAATCACCATCAATTCCTACCATGGGATCGCCCTGTGGCGCTGGAACCTGCAACCGCCGACCCAACGAGCTCGTCCCAGCACCAACAGCAGCAGCAACACGACCTCACTCGACGCGTCCACAGTCGCAGCTGCCCATCCCAACCCAGCCGATGACGCAGCAGCAGCAGCAGCAGCAGCAGCAGCAGCAGCAGCAGCAGCAGCAGAGGAAGAAGAAGACGACAACGACGAAGACGATGACGTGTGTGGTATCTGTCGAGTCGCTTACGATGGCTGTTGTCCCGATTGCAAGACACCGGGTGATGCTTGTCCTTTGGGTAGGTCGTCCCATCTCCTCGAATCAACGGGCCTACCTCGTGAAGCTGACCTCACGCCTTTGATCGTGGTGCTCTGGTATAGTCTGGGGTGAATGTACGCACGTGTTCCACGTGCACTGCTTGTTGAAATGGATCAATACCGAATCGAGTAAACAACAATGTCCAATGGATCGCAGACCGTGGGGTACGTACCGATCGCGCAATGGCTGCTTCACTCTCCACGAAACCACGCTGACCCTTGTGCTCGGCCTTCACAAAGTCACACTCGACGCTTCGAATCCCTCCACAAAAACGAACGTACCCGTAACTCCTGTTGGTCTTGAAGGCGTGCAACAACAAACACCACAAAGAGGCGCGGTCGTCCATGCTGGAGGGTAAATGCTCAGTTGGAAGTGGGGGGGAGGAGGAGTCTTTGGCACAAGGTCAAAGATCGTACGAGGCCTCGATATCGACGACGGCACCGGGTACGGCATCAACCTACAGCAAAGCCCAAAGTCGGCTCGAATCGCTCAGTCCCATATCGAGCACCACAGGCTCAAAGCGGTCAAGCTAGGCCAAGCTAGGCCGACAGGCCTGCCGAGAGCGTCAACCAGTCAAGAGGCGCTGTCAGACGTGTACAGAACAATTTCTTGAGGAGCAGTTTGGCCATAGAGCTGCTAGTATAGTTCACTCGTCTTTGAAATCAAAAAATCGCATAAAGTTTTCAAGGACTCGTCTTCGCAGCGTCGAAACGGTCGCGACTGGTCAGCGAGTTACCCAGCCCCCTTTGCTGTCCACTACAGGCCTGGTCCTCGCCGAACACGACCATCCACCATCTCCGACAGCTCCAGACTACGCATGTCGTCGCCTCAGCACAACACTCGCAAGAACCAAATCGATTGGTGGGAACAAAAAGGGGGTCGTTCACCCCTGCAAGATTGCAAGATCTCCCAGACCGTGATACCCTCTAAAGCGATCCCCATGACTGCCAAAGAGAAGAAAGAGACATATCCCATTCCTCCTTCTTTCGTCCCACTTTCGAGCTTGGTGTTGGGGTTTTGTTGGGAAAAGACCAGACTGCACTGTTCCCGGTCCTCCTCCTCCTCCTCCTGCTCCTTCTTCTTCTCCCTGCTTTCCCAGAAAAATGCGAGTGTCGAAACAAATGAAAACGGTGTGGCGAGTGATTTAAATGAAGCCGATCTGTAGAGTCGCGATGAAGCTGTGTCGGTGGGGACGTAAAAAGTGGAGTCCTGAGTGAGGTGTAAGGACTGACCTTGTTGGCAACGTCCAAAGCATCGACACCCTTCTCCAAGCGAACGAAAGCCTTCTTTCGGCCATCAGGGCTGTAAACGCAACAGATTCGTCAGCTTCGATCGCTCCACTGACTCGCAACCCCATACGGAGATGAACACGCACCGAATGAGGGTGTTGATCTTCTCGGCCTTGACGTCGTACAGCTTCTTGACGGCGTCCGAGATCTGTCGCTTGTTGGCCTTGACGTCGACGATGAAGACCAATGTGTTGTTGTCCTCGATCTTCTTCATCGCGGACTCGGTGTTGAGGGGGTGCACGATCGTGCGGTAGGCGTCCATCCGGGGCACATGGTGCACCGACTTGCGCTGGTACTTGGGCGCACGGGGGAGAGCCAGGGTCTTGGGTCTGTTGCAGCGTGGTCATTCCAGAAACGATGTCGAGTGGGAAGGAGGGAGGAGGGGTCGTAGGGTCAGCGAGGCTGCTCAGCTGCTGGCTGCGCACGACCATTGCCCTGCGCCGCGAGACAGGCGAGTCGAGTTGTAGACTGACCGGTGGAAAGTGACCGAAGTGCGGATCTTGGCGACCTTTGTACCCTTGGCACCCTTCAACGCGGCCTTCTTGGCGGCCTGGAATGACAAAGAAAGTGCATCGTCAGTCATCTGCCCTTGTAGGGTGCGAGGGTAGTAGGGTGCTCGTCGGTCCAGGGTGGGCGTGGGTGTGGCCCGGTGCCGGCCTAGCCCAAGACGCATCCGCGCGCACACAGGGCCCACCACCAGCGACGAGCGGCAGCGAGAGTAAAAGCTCACCTTGGCCTGGGCGTCTTGAGGTCTTGATGCTGTGGGTGGTCGGAGGTTCGAGGTAGGAAGAAGCATGATCGCAAAGTGAGATCGTAGTCGAGTTGAGTGTAGAGGTTGAGCATAGGCCGGAGTGTCCAGCGAGCGAGTGCAGCCAGGACGGGCCAAATCGAAAGTTTCAAGGCACCCCGGGCGTCACGGAGGCGTCCAGTCCGACCAACGCCAGCACACAACGTCGTACGCCGTTGCAGAGAGAGAGGGAGAGGGAGTATGAATACGTCAGCATCTCATTCGTGAGCTGGTCGAATCGACCGGGCGCGCAACTGACCGGACGACATGGCTTGTTGATACACACGACACGGGGTGGACAAGTGCGAAGGGGCGTGGGCCCGGGGCGAGTCCCGCCTCGTCTGCCTGCGACGCCTCGAATCAGCTGGCGCGAGCGTAGGGCTCGGCAGGCAGGCGTAGGCGCGGGCGGACGCGCAGGGCCAACTCGCTCGGCCAGACCGCCGCCGCTGCAAGTGCTGGCTCGAATTGCCTTCGGTGGACGCGCGCGGCGTAGTTGAGCATTACCAAATCTGGAGCGATCTCCATTTACGTTTTCCTTCCTCACTCCGCATCGAGCGTCGCCATCGATACTCTCCCTGGAATCCCTCCATCCAGGTAGCCAAATTCCCTCTCCAAGCAGCCCCCGCCCCAACAATTGACCTACCTCCTGTGTGATGTGCCTATCGAAAGCACCCGAGTATCTCTGGCTCACGTTACGGTCGGCTGCCCGTTTCGCGCGCGGTCGTCTCTCGCTCGGAACGCCGACGAGTCGAGCTATGTCTTCTCTTCTTTCACTCGATCTGGGAGCTCTGTCCCTGCCGCCGATCGGTGCCTTCGCTCGAGGAGCTCCGGGCGTCAATTTTCCAGGGTCCAAGGGTCTCCTTGTGTCATTGTGAATCACCCACTAAATCCCGTTCACAGAAACACAAGCCGACTGACTCTTGGGACTACTGAAATTGACGCCCGAAGCGCCTCTCGAGTGCCGTTTCGGTGATCGGTTTCAGAGGATCCGACGAGAATCGGTTGCGGCGAGAGAGCTTCCAGACTAAATGGAAGAAGAGACTACGCAGCTCGACAAGTCGGCGGTCCGAGAGAAAGACGACCGGACGTACGAATGCAACGAGGTCGAAGTGTGGGGCTGAAGAGAGCGCCGACCAGAGACGGCGCGCAAACTCGCAAAGTGAGCCAGAGACTCGGGTCCATGCGAGAGGCACATCACACAGGAGGTAGATCGATTGTTGGGGCCGGAGTTTTTGACATGAATTGACACAACGTCGTAACATCGTACCAAGCCTTATCTACCATTCTGTCCCTCCTTGGCATCGTACCGATCAGATTTTTCAAGGTGTTCCGCCAGGACCTGACTAGCAGCGATTTAACCTCTCTTGTGTTTACCTCCCTTTCATACGATATAGCATATGAAGCATATGTTCCATAAGTCGCATAGCTTGCTCTCCCAAGGCAGGAATACATCTAGACCACCCACGATTTTCGTAGCAATGAATCAACATTTGCGTGAGAAAGGTAGCGAGGGACCATGTGGAAGACGGAGTAGTGTGTGTGTGTGTGTGTGTGTGTGTGTGTGTGTGTGTATATTCGTTCATCCATAATCGAGGGCTCAAGAAAATATAAAACAATATACAGGTGCGATGGAGCGCATCCTCATTCTCGAGGAACGAGATCCCGACACCTCTTCCTTCGGTCCCTCTTCGATCATTGTCCGTTCTGCGTTCAGTTGAGAGGTTCCTCCGGAGGGTCCTCACCCACGATGCCCGTCGTCCTAACTTCCACTTCGACGGTCTCAGTAGTCGTCGCAGCCGGGGTCTGGTTTGATTCATCATCGACGACGACGAACGAGCCCGAACTGGTGGGGGAAGCGCTCGAGGCACCAGAGGCGGAAGACGGGGTCGACGACGATTGCGAAGAGGCTTGGGCTTGGGCTTGTTGTTGCGAAGGGGAGGCGTCATCGATCTCTTCCAAAAGGGGGTCCGAAGAGCCGTCACGGGGGTCCCGGGATGTGGATGACGAGGCCAAGCCGGACATTCTGTGTGGGCAAATCAGAGAAAAAAGAGGTCAGCTCCGACCGAAAGGCAGCAACGAGTCCGGTAAGGGTGACATACTCGAGGGTGATGAGCTCCATGACGAGGTCAAAGACGGGAGGGGGTTGGGTCTTTTGGTAGATCATGATGAGCTCTTGGGGCGCTGCGAGACGGACGAGGAGGCAGGTCAGGTCAGTGCTCGGCTTTGCCCTGCCTCAAGAGAGGCGCCGTGTCCGAGCGGTGCGCACCAGGGTAGACCTTGAGAGCCTTGTAGAAGGCGATGGCGGAAGCGATGAAGAACTCGGGGGCTGTAGAGGATTGTGACGACACGGGAAGGAGGGTCAGACAATTGCACTGGGACCTCGTCGACGAGGAGCACGACAGGCTCGGGCCAGCGGCCGAACTCACATCGCGCTGCAAGAGCTTCACCCTGCGAGACCTGCTCCATAAAGTACTGCTCCTTGCTCTCGGGAGTGTCGGGCACTGTGAAAGGGTTGGTGACGGAGGACGGGGACATGGAGCACACGAGCGATCGATCGGCGAGAAAACGAGGGAACCCCACGTCAGCTCATCATGCAGAGAGCAGATCGATCGGCGCCACATCGATCATTCTGATCGCACGTATTGCTCCTATTCGAACACCGTAAAGGCGTGCACTAACCCGGTTGGGCATTGATAAGCACTAGAGCTCGCCTGAGCGCGGCCTCGACGACGGCCTTGCCCGTCTCGGCTTCCTTCTGTGTCGACTTGGCTGCCTTTCGCTGGTCGCGGACTGTGATAATGTAGAGCGAAGTACATTGTGCCTCCTGTGAGTCAGCCATCTTGAGCGTGATGGGTCACTGAGGCAGGGTGGTGTGGACTAACGCAGCTTCTTGCGGAAGACGGGGTCATGACGACGCTTGTAATCAAAGTAGATGGCGTACGAGACCGTAGCCGTGGCGACGACACCCGTTGCGATGGCCGCGATCCTCAGGGGGTTGTAGGACGTGTTGGAGCTGGACATGGTGAGCTGAGTGTGGTCGGCGGTGAGAGGGAGATCGGTAAGAGGAGGTAGCAGGAGCGCCTGCGAGTGAGCTCGCCGGCACGCTCGAGTCGTCGTCGCTTGCGAGGTCGCCAGCCAGCCGCTGCACTGGCAGGCGCACGACTGGCGCACGAGCTACAATCCGCATACAGCCAGCCCGTCAACTCGGTCGCACCGGCCACCGACGACCGGCGCGAACGGGACGTGATGAAGGACGAGGTAGGTGCACAGACTCTTCCAGAAGCTCACGTCAAGGAGGATACTCATCTTCCCTTCAGTTTCCTCTCCTTCTGTGGTCGAAAAGTCCTTGCGAGCCCTCCCTCGATCGGCTGAGTAGGCCCGCAGCAGAATCTGCGCTTCAGTCTCCTTCCGACACTCGATCCGCTCCCTGAGCTCGCGTCAACGTATCACCTGCCTCGACGGACTGTGTCACCTGCGTGCGTTTTGATCGGCTTTCACGATTCGTCATCTCCCATGTTGACCTGTCCGTATACCTTTGAGCTGACATCGAGGTCCTCATTGTCCAACCATTCCGAACGGGTCGATCTCAGCTCCTGCCGGTCGAACGAGGCTCTGGTCTTGCCTGTACCGCACTCGGTCCTACCGAGCAGCTGCCTAACCCGTTTCAAATTCTCCGACCAAGTTCATGTCGACCACGATCCCAACTGTCGGATTCATCCAAGACCGTCTCCATCAATTTCCCTCGGCTTTGGTCATCTTCCTTGCGGTCCTGCTCACCCTCCTCGGCGTGGGCATCAACAATGCTGGCGCGCGATCGCTGTTGGTCGGTACTCAGTGGGGCAAAGAACCGGGCACTGAGACGAGTAAACCTTACATCGGTGGTGGAGTCGGAGGGATTGTGTTTGGTATGGTGACTTTTGGTCGGTCTCATAAAGATGTGGCAACTCAGGAAGGCAATCAAAATACTGAGTTCGAGTCCCTTTCTTCCAGCTACTCTTGCAACAATACTCCTATTGGCCGTCATCTCCGAGAAGCACGACCCATCTGTTGGTCCAGGTATGCTCTTTGCGCTGTGGGTATGCACCGGTCTGGTCGGAGGCGCATTCGGCGCGAGGTGGAGATGGGCGGCTAGGAGTTGTTGTGGTGTGCTTGGAGGGTGCGTCTCTACCCTCGCTCCCTTCTTTTCCATACCCCAGCTAAGCTCCCTCCTCGACCCACTTCGTAGTCTCTCCTTCTCTTACCTCATCATCGCCTCCTTACACCTCTCCTCCCTCCTCGCCCGTTCAATCTTCACCCTCCTACTCACCCTCTTCAGCCTCGTGCTCTGTCTCCTCCCTCAAACCGTCAAATTCCTCTCCGTCCTATCCGCATTCTCCGGCGCCTGGATTCACTTCCTCGGGATTGACCTCTTGATGAAAATAGGTTACGTAGACCTGACCGGTCTCTTGGTGGCCAAGTTTGGAGTTTCAGCCAGTGGTCAAGTCGAAGAGGAGGTGTTGGTCCTGGTCTGGGAAAAAGCAAGTTGGAGAGCTTGTGTTGCGGGATGGTGGTTGATGGGGTTGAGTGGGGCGGCTTGGCAATGGTATTGGGGTGGGGAGGCGGGAGGGAAAGAGAAAGTGAGATCAGTCTCTTCTATGATATGATGGCTTCGACAGCTACTGATGACTCTATTTGGCGCTGCGACATAGGTAGGGGACACCTACCTCTCGAGCCTCGTATCGACGGGGGAAGCGCCTAAAGCCCTTCTCGGAACCTACACGCCACCCTCAGAATCCTTCTTAACTCGTATTTCCCACCTCTTCACTTTCTGGAAAACCTCTTCGACTCAATCAGCAAGGTTCACCGATCTCCCGAACCCGAGGACTAGGAATGGAAGACGGAGGACGTCGACTTGGGATGGGGAGGAGTTGCATCAGGATGGGAATGAGGACAGGTTGAGTTCGAGGATTTGGACGGACGATGAAGAGGATGAGTTGGGCGTCCAATCCGACGAGGAGGGACAATCGGAGGAGTTGATTTTTGGAAGACGGGGAGGTAGGAAACGAGGTGGGAGGCGAGTAGAGGAACATGAGTTGAATTCCGTCAAGGATTCACACAGGGGTTCGAACCCGGCGAAGTATGATACGCAGTGGTCGGACGAAGAAGGCGATTATGAGGTGGATGAAGAGGATCTCGGATTGCATGGTGGCACGAGCAGGGATCTTCGCAGCAAGCCACCGGCCTATTCGACTTCACCGACAAGGTATAGCCTGGGCAGTGGTTGGTCGGGCACGACTTTGGGCGCTACGGGAGACGCCGCGGATGCGGATGTCGCTCATCATGGCAAGAGTGGGATAGCTCCGGGGTCCGGCCGTGATCCCCCGTCTTCGCAAGGCGCTGTACGAGGCCGTTCCGACCACCCGTCGAACGCCGATCGGCCTCGAAAGGAATTCTTTCCTCCGAACCAAGCCGAGAGCCCCACCCGAGTCCCCCTCCCCGCGACCCCTTCTCTCCGCAAAGCGATCGACCGCATCGACGTTGCTCAACGCCAAGCTCGTTCAGAAACCCCTACGACTCCGCAGAAGAACCCCTTCCATCACCCTTCCGACGAATCCACGGAATACGAGACGGACCTGGGGAACGGTAAGAGTTCGCGACCTGTGTCGATCAAGAGCACGTCAAGTCAGGCAAGTTACGACGCGTGGTGGGCGGAGGTGATTGCCAAGTCCAAGGCGAAGTGATTTTGGTGCTGATGGAGTGAGATGACTCGGTACATCTTGATTCTCGTAATTACAACACGTATCTAATAATACATTCCATTGCCTCCATCCATGCCCGGGAGTTCCAACTCACTCCTCAAGGATGGGATCTCACAACTTTCTCCCACTTCTTGACCCTCCTTAGCATCCTTTCCACATTATCCTGAGTGAATACAATCTCGTCCCGACGAACTTCCCCCTGAGGACCGTTTTGGATGAGCGAATCGATCGAGCGGGTGAAGGCGACTGCGAGGGCTAAGGAGTTGACGGAGGTGGGGAGAAGGGATCTTGAGGGTGGAGCGGCGGCCATAAAGGATGGTAGGAGGGATATCAAGTGCTGTTAAAGGTGAAGTTGGCTCAGCGGTCTCATTTGGTTGTCTGGGCAAGGCTCAAGAAGGACCTACCCGAGCCACGCTCAATTCGGCTTGTTCTTGCGCGGACAAGGGTAGTTGCGCTCGACGGAACTCCTCGAGTCGAGCTTGTTCTCGTGTCCTGTGAAGTTTTCAACCAGTCAGATTTTCGTTCGTGCCATTGAGTCAAAATCGAAGTCGGTTTCGGCGGCTCGACGTACCTATCTGCCTTCAGCTCCAAGACGATTCGGGAAATCGCTTCGATGTCGTTTTGGAGGTGGGTGATGTATTCGTTCGCTTCCCTCAGCTCGCTTACCAATACAGAGCGCTGGGTAGAGAAGAGGCAAAAGCAAAATGTGAGCTCGAGAAGATTATACCGCCACCCTGCTTCCCGAGTGACTTACTTCGTCCTGGGTTACTCCCTCCATTCCTGTCCGTGCATCATGCGGCCTATGCCCATGGTTGCTCGGCGCGACGAATTGTGCCGTGGTTTGTGTATAATCCTCAACGTCTTCAGAAATGTCCTGACCCCGGCCCGCTGCATGCGCCGAAGCAGGTAGCCAAGGTGAAGGGTCTTGCCGCAATCGTGAGGGCGGTCGAGCTCGACTTCGATGTGGGGTCGCGTTGTGGATGATGTTGTCGAATTCGCTAAGGGCCTGGGCTAGGACTTGCCCAGTCAGTATCCGCGACCCTTCGAGGGTTTCTGCTCATCACTGACCTCGTCTGCTATCCTTGCATCGCTGTCATCGCCCAGATCTTGATGCGCTCGGTGATTCGAGCTCGGCGGTGCTTGGAAGGTCAGATTGCCATCACTGCGCCAAGGATCAATCTGCCCTGTGTGATCGTCGAGGTACACGGAGTGATTCTGTCTCTGAGGTGGACGGGGAGGTCTGAGCGTCGTTATCGTCGTTGTTGATGGTCCATTGACTATCCGCGGTGGAGGGGTCGTGCCGAGCGAATATCTTGACCCTGCAGCTTCCTGCCCTGTTCGACCTGAGCATCCCATCTCTTCCAAGACACTTCGTGATCTTGGTTGGGACGGATCTCTTTGGTCGAGAGTCGCGTCCACTCCTACGGTCGTATCTGCCGCTAGCTGAGCCTGTCCTGTACCCTGCAGAACCGTCGCCGGCAAGATGGTCGATTCCAGCGCTTCATAGTCGACAGAGTCGTTTGTGTGGGAGAATTGCCGATTCGAATGCATCGATTGCGCCGACTGAGCTCTCAACGACGTCGACCTCGCTCGGACAGAAGGTGAGATCGAGCCTGCCTCTGAAGTCGCGGTTGACGATGTTGAGGGAAACCAGTCGTGTGTCGCAGGATGTGCAGAGTCATGAGTCGTAGTGGGTGGTGGCGTCGAAGTTGATGGCACGACGCGTGTTGGGAAGGTTTCATTGGGGTTGGATGTACTTTGTATCAAGGTCAGGTCCTCCGGTGCTTGATGTGGTGTAGCAGGTGAAGAGGGTTGACGCGTCGCTTCGCGCTCACGTTCGTCGTCCTCGAGCTTCCTGGTAGGCTCAACTCGATCGACGTACGATCCTAGAGCAGCAGTCGAAGCAGAGGTGCTAGGTACTGGAACTTGATCCCCATCCAACAACGCCATCAACCGGTCGAGATCCTCACCAGCAGCCGCGGACGGTCCATGGTCAGAGCTCGAGCGCGAGTGCGAATGTGAGCGTGTAGCCTCACTTTCAACGGACTGATCGAGGTGCGCGGGAAGAGGTGTATCGCCTTTCGGATGACGCTTGCGAGGCGTCGACTGGGAGGTTAGGAGCGACTCGTCTCGATACGAATCGGTCAGATCATCGTGGGTCAGATGATCCATTGGGAGGACTGTGCGTACACGACGACCGCCGTCTGTTGGGTCAGAGACCAGGATCATCATGTGTTTGCTGACCCGAGTCCGAAAGTCCGAAAGTCCGAAAAGCGACCCCGAAGTTCGAAAAGTGGCCCAGCTGACAGAGCTGAAAGATGCCAACAAACTTCTATGGACACAATATTCTCACTGGATGATATGAAAGTATGTTCCAGCTCTACTTCAGTGTTCCACACTCGCGAAAGGTGGGTAAAATGCTGAGTATATGCGCACGATTTCTGGTGACTTAGGCGGAGAGGATGAGAGCATTGCACGAGTCCGCTGACAACGCATCCACAACGATATTTCGAGCAGAGCTGATGAGGGGGGTGGAGAAAATGTTAGCCTGGGTTGCCTACTGAGAAAGCGCTTCGACGGAGCTGGTGTCGGTGCCACCCCCGGGCCGGACTGTGGGGCGCACGACCGCCTTCGCCTCCAGTGCGACGGGTTCCGACCTGTGCCCGATTTGTCGTCTTGGGTTCCTGCCATATCGCTAGTTTCAGAGGTTGGAAGACTCCGTCTCAAGCTTTCTGAAGCGTCGTCTCCCACGAGCTCTCCAATCGACTCCGCAAGGGTGTTCCTCTGCCCGGTCAAGCATGCTACCTCCAACCAGCAGCTTCATCGGGAGTGGTGACTCGTCCTTGAGCTTGATCGGCATCGCGCGAGGAGCCACAACGGCAGTTCAGGGCGCCGATTCATTGGCCTCGGTCTCACATCATCGTCGCACCCAAAGCCTGTTCCCGTTACATGAATTGTCCATAGGCAGTGGGTCAACGTCGATCGAACATACTTTAACCGCTACCCTCGCTCACCCACTTTGCTGTACCAGATCTCCCATCCTTGAAGGCGCCCACTGGCATGAATATCTGCGCCGGCTCCACCTCGAGGAGCTTTGCAACCGTCGCGAAAAACGTCTCGGCGCGCGTACAATTCCCCACCTTCCACTTCCCGCCCGCTACCACCCCTGGCGCACTATCTTCATCTTCAATCCTGCCTTTTCCACGAAGGCCATCCCACAAGCTCAAGCGTACACTCTCGATCGACACCGCCCTTGCCTCGGCAAGTTTCAATCGACGTCCACGAAAGTTCGTCATCACTGCGGATGAGAACGATCAAGAAGCTGGGCTGCTCCCTCCAGGTCGACCAGGCTCACCATTCGAGTTGCGTCGAGTTGAGACCCATGGCATGAGATCTGAAGGCTTAAGCAACAATCAGCAAGTCACGAGTTTTGTGGATGCAGCATCAAATTCGACTTCGATTTGGACTGCCCCGCCGGGAATAACCGCGACCGTTCGAACACCAGCCCCGCCGCTATCGCTTCGACTTCCGCAGGCTTCATCGAACAACGACTCCTCGCGCTCGGACATTCAAGATCAAAGCACAGTGACTGTGACATTCCCTGACCCCATTTCAGGGCAACGTAACACCAGCAAACACCGTGTTCCATCTCGATCTGAGAACGTTCAGGCTTTCGAGCGTCGAGGGCTTTGCAGATCGGCTCGCGCATCAGTCAGCTCCTACGACGACCCAAGTGATGGCAGCGATTATTCGACGGGTGGTCCGCGTCGTGCGTCGACCTCTCAACTTAGTTTTCGGAGTAATTCAGCCTCTCGACAGGCGGTATCGGTGGCAACCTCGACGAGTGATAACGAGGACGACAACGATCTTGCACCGCCCCTGTCGTCGAGGTTGAGTTACCCCGACGACGCGCGCAAGATCACCGAAGCCGGGGCTGCGCTGCGCTTGCAATCCTCGAGGGCGCAAGACATGTCTGAAGAAAAAGGAAGGGTGTTGTTTGCCAAGACATGGTTGAAAAGCTGCTACGAGCCGTTCAGAGGGTTCAATGTCAGTCGCTCGGCGCTGTACGCCAGCTACGTCAACGCGTGTCAGCGCTTCAGTGTCTCGGCTCTCAAGTGAGCCTTCAATTTGAATGGTATTAAGGCAAATACTGATTCCAGCTGTATTTTCTATCCTTTGCCAGCATTTCCGCCTTCGGCAGGATAATCCGCGCCGTTCATCCCAAGGTTCTCACTCGACGCTTGGGTGGTCGCGCTGATTCGCGCTACCACTACATCGACTTTCGTCCCTCCAACAGTCGGGAATACAACACACTCTTTGCCAGTGAATCACACAGGCATACCGACAATGCAGCCTCAGGTCCACCAACTCGACTCCCTTCACCTTTCAGGGCTGCAGACCCTGTGGCTGTTGTCGCTGAGCTTCCAGAGATGAGAATTGGTGAGGGGTCGACCTCAGTTGCTCAAAACGCTGTCGAGTTAGGGGAGGCAATCCTCACGGTCAGGGAACTCGTCAAGTCTGCGGAGAAGGTCCAGCCGAGATCTTTGACGCGTCGAAGGACAACATCGGTGAAGCCGACCCGAGCCCCTGTCCCATCGCGACGGCCGACTTGGGCCAGTGGAAGGCTCGTTGTACCCAATATCAAGCTAGAGGAGTGCCCAATCACGCCCATACTGGATTCGTGTTTTTTTCGGTCTTTCGAGGGCGTGTTTGATGTAGACAAGTACGAAGATCAAAGTGAGGCGCGAGCGTTTTGGCAGAGCTTGGAGATGCACTTTTCTCGCCTCGAGGAGGCGGTGCGACTGGAGAAATACGAGTGAGCCACTTTCAAACTTGTCGAACTACTTTTTTACCAGCTGACGGGGTCTTTTGTGAAGCTTATTTTTGGATGAGCTGAAAGAATGGTGGACCAATCTCACTGCGGACGAGTGCGAGATCGCTGTGACGCCGGCGGCAAGTCGGAGCATCTATCGTGCGTTTGTGGCAATCTATGAGGTGCGTGCACTGTCTAGTGAAGCTCCTGAAACTCGGGTTTGCTGATGGGTATGTCGGCGCACCAGTTGGTCTTGGACAGCTCGAGAAAAGCTTTGCTTGCTCTGGCACCACTCGCTCAGCTGGAGAGCCTCGGGATCTTGGCGGCCAAGGTAAGATATGCTTCTTTTCCGCCGTCGTCGTTGAAAAAACAGCAACGAGGTTGAATCTTCGCGCCCGTAGATCGGACCTGCGACTGTGGATGCGCTACAGGACTTTTCCGACACGTTCTTTTTCGATACGCTCGTCGGGCTGAGCAAGCAGGTCGGACCACTCTGTGCACTCAGTCAAAGCTGTCGAGTCTGGGTGGGTCGTGAACCACTTGAGCGTTCGTTCCTACACCTTGAAACTTATTCCCAACGCTTTGTCGCGCACACCAGGCGAACAAATTGCAGAGCAGTCTGGGCGCGCAACAAGCTTGGGACGAGTTTGAGCAAGTCTGGCGCTCCGTCAACACTGTGCTTATTCAGAACAGATGCGAACTCATCCAGGCCGTCGATTCGACTCTCTTCCACACCTATACGGCGCTTGTTGAGGTCTTGTTCGAGGTGTCTATCTCTTCTCCCTCGATCGAATCCCGTCTGGGAAGGGTCATCGAACATGCCGCCCTGAGCTTTGATGACTTGCTGCGGGGACAGAAGGATAGCGCTTCGATTCTTGCGGAGTACAACTTGATCGGATCGCAGATCGCGAGAGAACTCTCTTTGAGGTGAGCTCGGAAAATATATTGATGAGACACCTATTGAGCTCAACGCGTTGTTACCGCTGTCACAGTCATCCCCGCGTTGCAGTTCACTTTCAAAGTCTGCACTTCCTCATCGAAGATTTACTCGTACTGCACGTGAGTGGCAGATATCTGACAAGTGACAGATCAACTGGACGACCGCAAACTTTACGAATGTGCAGGTACTTCAAGGACAAGTCTTGCAAACGGAGAGAATCGTATCTGCCCCAGTGGTCAAACCGGCCGTGGCCACCAGTCAGATTGCCACGCTCGGTGCGATCGAATCAGAGCCCGAAGGGACGGGTCCACCGGTTGCCGACAAAATGGCTGAGCCTGCTGAGGTCGTGGAAAAAAGTGAAGGGTTGCTTTTAGTGAGCTCGGAGCCGCTTCCAACAACAGCCTTGTCGGAACACCCTTCATCGCCAGCTCGTGACTTGACCACGTTTGCCAGTCCGCCGAGGATGATCGATTCTGGGCCGGAGGTCGTCACCTCGCTCCCAATCCCAAGCATCGTTCGTCAATCCCCGGCGGCTTTATTGATCGACAAATCCCACTCTATCTCTTCCGCCCCCGTGTGGATGCCCCCTCGTCGAGCCCCGCTGGTAGGCCAAGCCGTCCAACGCGCCAACCTGGCCCAAGATCTCCTTGCACTCGAATCACCACCCCCTTTCGTGCTTTCGTCGACGATGCAGCAAAGTCTCGCCGATCGACAACGTGAAGTCGGACCTGCTCGTTCAAAGTTGCCTGTAAGTGCGGGCCACGAAATGTCGAGTGAGAGGCGGGGGCTGTGTCAGCCTCCTTCGGGGTTTGAGGTGGGACGGTTTGATGATGAAGGGGTCGGGTCGAGTACGGCGGCGGCGGCGGTCGGGGCGAAAGGAGGGGCTTTGTTGGATCCGGCGGGTTTGACGGATGAGGTGCCTAACACAGCAGCGTTTTATGCTGGTTATTGGCGTTGAGATAGAAAAGAGTTACTGCCGTGCTTCCGGCACGAGCAGCCTCGATCCCCTTCTCGCTCTGGCCGGGCTGAATATTATGGTGGCTCGATATATGTCCAACACGGTTGAGTCTGCCAAGAACACCCGGTTTCAGCAGTCCCCAATTATCGAGGTGTTCGAGATCTACGAAGGTGCGATACTTGACTTGTGCTTGGCCGAGAATGGGCTCGGCCTCGGCGTAAATTAAATTGGCCGCGGTGTCGACCATTCCGTAGTCTCAGGTTGCGGGCTGTTGCGGGGATCCTGTTTGGTTCCTACGCCTCACGCGATCCGTTGGCCTCACTGCTCGACTTGACCCACACCCCATCTCGGGGCAGAATACTCTCATCATGAGTGGTGCCAATTCCACCACGGACGAAGCCTCAGCCTCCGCAAGCGGCGCTCCTCGCCGCCCAACGACCGGTCCGTCGCCGTACGGTGTGGGTACGACCCCGAGCCAATCGATCCGGGTCAAGCGGCAGGGCCGGCAGGGGCAACGAGCCGACGCCGAGTTCCGACCTTCGCCAGCCCCTTCGTTGCCAGTAGACACGTCGAGAGGGTTCAGTGAACCCATCGCTCTACAGGCCTCTCGTACGGACGACAACGCGCTCGAATCGCTCAACACCAACCCGGACAGCGTAGAGACGAGAGCACGTGCTTCAACTAGCCCGAGTGGTGTAGTACCTATCGGACGATCCGGCACCGCGACAGGTCGACGACGAGGGTACAGCATCACTGAACGCTTGTGGGGTGAAGATGGTTATCAACAACTCTCGCGGCCTCGACTCGGTAGCGCGGGGGTATCGGCCTCGGCTTCGTCCCAACAGCCGTTGCCGTCGTCCGCGCAGGGCTCGGGCTTGCCCACGCTGTCAACTGCCGCCGATGCAAACTTGAACCGCTCGCCGCCCTCGGCCAACGTCTCCAGGATCGGTCGGGCGAGAGCGCCTTCCGTCGCTTCGACGACGAGTAGTAACAACCCCGTCAACGTCATCATACCTCGTGAATCGGTAGGCAGGGCGAGGAGGTCTTCGATCGTTGCTCAGGCCATCTCGGAGGAGGATCATCATGCCCAAGAGGTCGATCTCGTAAGGGACTTGAATCTTGACGAGCAGCGCTTGGCAAGTGCCAGAAGCTGATCGCATCCTCTCTGACAGCTCGATGTTTTGGATCCCGCCGTATCAACGACCGCGACGTTGACCAACATCCAAGGTGCTTTTTGGCCCAACATCTTTGCTCGAAAGCCCATCGTCGAAATCGAACCTCTCTCACCCATCGTCGAGACGCGATCCAACGACCCCACCCGCAAACCTGATGGCGAATCATCCTTGACGATCGAAGAACACCCCCTGGCCAGAACGACGACGATCAATACTATTCCGGATGGGGAGGATGATGAAGAAGAGGATGATGAGGATGAGGTCGATTTGCTCGATGAGCATCTCAAGAAGTTGCTCAAAAAGCAGAAGAGGAAGGAAACGTTCAGGTTGCAGATGCAAGGCATCAAGGCATTCCTCAAGACGCCCTTGGGCGTGTTCTTCTTCATCTACGGCAGTGAGTTGCTGCACCCGTCAGAAAACCTTATCGAACAGCTGACTGATGTGGACACTTTGGCCTGTTGCCCAGTCAACGTCGTTGTATGGGGTGCCGGTTTGGTGCTCTTATTGATGATCCCCATGGGCAGCTACGCGAAGAAACTCTGGGTCGAAGTCTGTTCCCAAGTCCTTACCGGCCTATTCTGCGTCACCTCCTTATTCCCCTTACCGTGGCGCCTCATGGACGCTTACAACATCTGCATCATTTGGCACTACGCCGTCGTGACGAGGAAACGAAGGGCTAGGATTGGCTTACCACCTTTGAAGGATCCGAATGATTTACCTGATCCTGCGGAGGCCGAATATTGGATTGGCGCTGGAGGGGAGAAGGTGAGTAGTAGCGGCGATAGTCCCTGCTTCGAGTAGCTCGACTCTGACTCGGGGCACGCCTTGTGACAGATGACGGGACCTCGAATCGCTCCTGCGGTAGTCCCACCTCACAAGAGCAAGTTGCCCTGGAAGAAGAACAAGGACACCTCCCCAGACGCCAATGGCACGACCCCCAACGCGGATTCCATCCCACTCGGAGTGATCGAATCACACGGCAGTTCCGACGGACTGGACGAAGTCGTCGTTCTCAGCGACAAGGAGGAAGCCAAGCTTCGTCACGCGCAAGCGAAATTCGCTCGTTCGCAAAATTACTACCGCCCCCATACGACGCCGACGCATCATGCGTTCCCGATCAAACAAGCGATTTGGATCTCGTTCTTCATGATCGGCAATTCGGCTTTTCAAGCGATCTTGTGTGGCGTGATGTGGGGATTGAACAGGTACGATCGACCGCCTTGGACGACGGCTTGTTTGATCCCTCTTTCGTTTGGGTGTGGAATAGCGGGCGCGATCTTGATTTGGCAATGCTCGGAAAGGACAAAGAGGAAGGCCGAGGTGACGGCGAAGGTTTGGAGGATGATGAAGAAGGATGAGGAGGAATTGCAGAAGAGGAGGAAGGAGGCGACTGACCGGAGGGTCGCGAGGCATAAGGAGAAGAAACATCGTCATGGCCCTGCGGCCTTGGGGGCTTTGGCACTGGGGAGGAAGTCCAAGGTTGATTTGGAGACGACCAAAGCGGCAAATTCGTAGAGGCATAGTGCTGGATTGTGTTTTCTTTAGAATGTGTATGAGATCGAGCGTTGTGTGTGTGTAGCCATCGGTACACCTAGCTTCCCAATCCATACTGTTGTCGTTCGATCCGAGGGAAAGTATTCCCCCGATCAGATCGAGGATGTGCTGTACGATCGAGAACAAACAAAAGGGTTGATTGCAGAACAATATGCAAAACAAGATGGGCAACTGAAAGGTCTGAATTCCGAACACCACCTCGATCCCGGTCCCTCCTCCTCTTGATTACATCCGTCAGGTGTATATCACAATCAACAAGCCCGGAAGGACACACGCACGTCTCCGATCACTCAAAGCTTGACTTTCCCACCTTGCAACGACTCCCACTCCGTCTTAGTGAAAGGTTTGTACTTCCCTCCACTGAGCCAATAAACCGGATCCGAAACTTTAGCCGGATCAATACCCTCATTCCTCAACGCGACCTTGAGTTGTTTCTCCGTCCCCGTCGATTCCATCTTTTGTACGATGCGGATGAAGAGCGGTTGCGCGTATTTGGGTAACACTTTTTGAACGTGCACGGACAGCTTCTCGAAGTCGACTTGGGAGGTGGCGGGGATCGCAGCGCAGCCGGCTCGGCCTTCGTGGGAAGGAACTGAGGAGAAAATAGTTACACAGGCGATCGTCAGTATCAGAGCGTCCGACCCTAAGAAGATGGCTTACCTAAAACACCATAAACGTTGGCCTCATCGACGATCGCACCCATCGCCTCCGAGACGGCCGTGGTTGAGACGTTCTCCGACTTCCAGCGGAACGTATCCCCAAGTCGATCGGCAAAGTAGTAAAAGCCCTCCTTACTCCTCGACAACAGATCTCCTGTACGGAAGTAGGCATCACCCTTGCTAAAGACGTCACGCATGATCTTCTTTTGCGTCGCGCCGTCGTTGCCGTAGTAACCGGCGAAGGACATGAAGGGGGAATCGGGGTCGATCTGGCACAACAACTCTCCCGGTTCGTCGTCGTCGGTTCGGACGCAGAGACCCTTTTCGTTACGGTAAGGTTCCTCAGTCAACGAATCGACCTTGACGATCGCTTGCTTGCCTCGACGAGCCCAACGTGCCAAGGTGCCTTCGTGACCGACCGCGCCGGCACCAAAGTTGTTGCCGTTGTAATTGTACAAAGAGCCGTTTCCTTCGGACGAGGCGAAGAATTCGGAGATGACGTCGACGCCGAAACGATCACGGAATTTGTTCCAAACGTCGGGACGGCAACCGTTGCCGTACGCGAGTTTGACGTTGTGTTCCTTGTCCAGCGCCGAAGGTGGGACCGCGAGGAGGTAACGTAGGACCTCGCCGACGTATTGGATGACGTTGGCGTTGGATTCGCGCACATCCTTCCAGAACGTAGAGGCGGAGAATTTACGACCGATGATGACCGTCGCTCCGGCATTCCATGCGGCACCGATGGCGAGCAACATCGCGGTCGAGTGGTACAAGGGCATCGGGGTGTAGATGCGGGTCTTGGTCCCAAAGTGGTTGATGCGGGTCCACATCTGCCGTCGAAGGGAAGGACGATCCCGTTAGAGCCCTGTCTCATCACAGTGGCAAATGAGGTAACTCCTCACCTTGAAAGCAGTTGCTGATCGTCCATGAGTAACGATGGCGGCTTTCGGAAGGCCGGTCGTACCTGTGCAAGTTCACGCTTGCGATCAGGGCCAGCTCATGGCCAAAGCTGAGAGCGTGACTACGCACCAGAAGTGTAAATCAAACAAGCCGGTGACTGCCACGTCAAACCGGATCGCTGCTGGTCAGGAATTCGATCGCGACTCATGTGGTCGAGCGCCTTGGGGAGGTTGAGCGTGACCGAATCCTTGATGACGGCGCCAGCCTTTTCACCCCCCGAAGAAAAGTTATCAACCCAGTTGACGAACTGCAACCGAGGGTTCGTTTGACGCAACGCCTCGGCGACACCAGCAATCGAGGCCGAGAGGGTCGATTCGTAGATGATCATTTGGGCCTTGGCGACCGAGACGCAGTGCCTCAACCCATCGTCCTCGAGGTTGTAGTTGATGAAGGCGGGGACGACGTCGATCGCGAGGCAGGCGAGGAAGATGATCACGAACGCGGGCTTGTTGGGCATATACAAAGCCACGGTGTCACCTCGCTTGAGACCACGCGAGAGGAGCCAGTGTGCGAACTGGTTCGCCTCTACAAGATAGATGAAGAATCGGTTCGTCCGGGCCGCGACGGCAGAAGATGAGTCGGTCAGTAACCAGCACGAGGAGGATTCGAGCGACGAGATCAAGTGTAGATGACGACTTACTCTTGTCGACCTGACCCCACGTGAGCCTGACGTTCTCGCAGACGTAGCACTCCTGATCCTTGAGCTTGGCGACGTTGTCGTTGAAGATGTAGTAGATCGAGTTGCGGTCGCGCGCGTTGTTGCGCTTGAGGCTGACGGTGACGTCGAGCAGCGCGCGCGCCTTGACGAGGTCGGCGGCGATGAAGTGTTTGGCATCGAGGTACGCCGCAGCGGCGATACCTCCGGCAATGACGGGTAGAGTAGGTAGGACCCTCGCGAGTGTTGAGGGTCGCAAATAAACACGGGGCGAGCAGCAACGCGACAGCGGCGACGATGACGACCAAAACGACGGCCACGCGGCAATGAGCCCCAGAGTTACGGCGAGGGGCGGGTGAGCAGCAGCAGCAGCAGCAGCGATCCGGTCGATCAGGAGCGGGCCACAACGGAGGACGTGGGAAGAGCAGGACAAATCGTTTTAGCTGCAGTTCCAGTTGAGTTCCTTCAAAGGCATCTGAACTCACATCTTTACCAAGGGGAAGGTGTAAGTGGTCAACGGAGCAGATCAGCTCAAGAGCCCGACTGGAACTGAAGCCTGGCACTGGCTGCCTTGTGCTCGGGTAACCGATTCGCTCGCGAAGTCGCCGGGCGTGGCGGAACGGCGGGCCGCGGAACGGAGGGCGCTCGCACGTGCTGTGGCCCCTTGCGTTCGGGGGTTGCCTTCACAACTTGCGACCGAGCGACAAACCCGAAGCCCGCCGGACCGCCGGTTGCAGTGGCGATTTCGTCCCCGATGTGACGATGTCTGTCGAGCTGCGACCTCTTCGCAAGCCACGTGAGCTCACAAATCGAGTCCGACTCTTGACCGAAACACGATAAATGATCGGCCTACCCTGGGGGCAACTTTCAAAAGGCATGCTGCCGATCCGACGCTGTGGACAGCTGAGCGCTGAGCAGTGATCCGGCCTCAGAGCCGATGATCAGGCGGCGTCTGGACGTCTGCGGTCCGAGCTTGCACAGCCAGAGCTCACCAAAGTGACACACCCCAAGCTCAAAATTGTCAGGATGGATTCTGAGACTATTCTGACTACTGTGTCCTGATTAAAGTGGCCATCAGCACCCTATGGTATATGCCCGAACTCCATCGAGAGAAACCTTTGCGGTTCCGAGGCTCAAAACTCGACCGAGTCGACTGGAGCCGATCGGCGCCTCGAGGCTGGAGCAGGCTGGAGCCGGCTGGAGCAGCCCCTCGCACCGGATCACGGGAGCCTACGGGAGCCCCAGCGCGCCTTCGCGCCACCCCACACGCCTCCCGAAGATCGCTTCCCTTCCCACCGAGGCCCGCTCAACATGTCGGCCTACCTCGAGTCATCGCACCCGACCCAAGCCTCTTCCACAGCGGGGGCCACGACGTCGTCGACCAAGCGTCGTCGCGTCGAAGGGGACTACGGCTACATCGCGCCTTCCACCTCGCGCACGGCCGCGAAAGCCGCCGCCGCACACCAAGCGGCCCAAGCCTCGACCTCGACCCCGACCTCGACCTCGTCGTCCCGGGCTCATGCCCATGCGAATACTTCGTCTCATGCTTCGTCTCAGAATACGGTCGCTTCGGGCACTCAATTTCTGAACCCGACGCCGCGTGAACAGGAGATGATGGCCGCTGCCAAGGCGCGATTCGCAGCGCCTACGGTCAGTCTCGGGATGGAGGCATACGTCGGGTGCATGGATACTGAACTGCCACGTGCTCTTCCTTGACACAGCTATCACTGGCGTCTTTGCCTCCACCAGCACTGCAACGCTACCTCAGTCGATGTCAGTCGCCCGTACGCGGGGTCTCGCCCAGCCAGCCTCGCGTGTCAACCCGTGCTGACCTCCCTCCTCCCTCCTGCCCCCGAACGTCATTCATCAGACGGCCTGCTCGAATCCCACGGCTCACTCTCCTACCACCATGCCGTATTCCCCGTACCTCCTCTGCCCGTGACCCTCCCTTCGCCTCTCACGGGTCGACAACTGAGCTCGCGGCGCCTGTATCGACCCGTAACGACCGCGACCGGTGGCGCGAACACGACCGCGATGGCCGAAGATCAGCACGGCACGACTTCGACCCCGGCTAAACGACCAAGATGGCAGGAACCCAAGACGGCCGAGTTCAAGGGTTTGTCCGCGTACGATGATCCGGTCGTGGTCACGAATCGATTGGCGGCCAAGGCCAAGGAGCATTGGGATAAGCGGGAGAGCGTCAAGGAAGGGTTCGTCTCTACCCCAGTACACCAACCTCGGTCGCTGTTGCTGACACTGGTAACTCGCGTGTATCCTTTTGCAGGGAGACTCTGACCAATTTTATGTTTGCGCTCCGTATGCGAGGTGAGAATTGGCTCCGTGTATGCACTTGGGGCGGTGGACGTGGATAAGGCTGGGCAGGGAGGTAAGAAAAACATGTCACTGATCTTGGATTTAAATCTCCCGACAGCTCATACCCTTCGTGCGACCCCACCGGGTTGATCAATCTTACGCAAAACCGACGTGGACGGGGATCGACACACCGCGTCATAGGACCGCTACAGTCTCTCATACCCGGGTACTCGCGCTGCAATGACCAGAGCCGCATGTTGTAAAACCTCTGTTTCCCGCCCCAAACCTCGTCGTTCGGGACTTTCCGAAGAACGCACAGATCAGAGAAAGTGGTAGACGCAGAAGGTATCAAAGCACACGGACACTTGAGATCTCGATCGGAAACCAAGCCCAGACAGAGCTTGTCCTATTCCCTCCCCTCCCCCGTTCCTCCAGCTTTCCTTTCCTTTCCTTTCCTCCTTCTCTCGTCTTGTCCCTCGCTTCGGAAAAAGGGCTTTGTTCTGATTCGATCTTCTCCCATAAAACGCCTCGACGATACGACTTTGCGCACGATCGTTGGTCGCCGACCGTCATCAATTTTTCGTGACAGGCGGTTGGTGAGAAGGTGAGACGTGAGATGTGGTGCGTGGGGTTGGGTAAGATGGTGGGATTTGTGTGGTACGAGATGAGAACAAGCAAAGACGAGACGGGACGCGGTCAAAGGCGCACGGGATCGAGGAGTCAGCACGACCACGAACACGCTCGCTAGCTGGCAGCTCACACTTTGGATGATGGGAGGGATCGAACGAGAGCTTTTACCAAACCGCTAAAGCCACCATTTTATATCCTCAAGAAAAATGCGGCGATGTTGGCAAGATGTAGTGGTGCAAGAAGTGCAGGAGCGCGTTGACCAGAACGAAGAGGAAAGAGCGAGAGAGCGAGAGAGGGAGGCGACGAGGTTGAGGTGGTCGCTAACTTGGATTCGGGGCGCGACGGGGGCATGTGCCTGGCAGAACGAGACATCTCCTCGATATGACGCCAAACTGTGACGCCAAACTTCCAGTTGAGCGCGGTCGAGCACGCCGCTGACATTGAAGCGAATTCGCGGACAGGGGTGCATCCCACGTCGAGGTCCACGCTCCACCCCTCGGAAGAAGGGACTCCCTCGTCGGTCAAGCTCGTTCAAATCTCAGCGAATAGGGTTAGCACTGAATAGGGTTAGCACTGAGGCTCCCTCGAGTTGAGATCGCCACGATCGAGACAATCTCTGTTGCTCTAGCAGCATTGTTCGAGCTGAGGCAACCTCGCTTCCACCTCAAGTGGCTGCGTATCCCGAACTCCGACGCAGGGCTGCGGGGCCGGCTTCACGTGAGAGCTCCGAGGCGGCGAGTCGAGGCGAAAGAACATGAAGAGTGATTCCTGTGTACTCCAGGAAACGGAACCAATATGGAGCAGGCTAACGTATGCACTTGTGGATGGCGTTATTTGGGCGCACGAACCCTTTATTTTCTTTCTGAATCCTGTGGCAAATAATTATCAGGCACGTTGACATGTCACCCAGTCTCGACAGCTATTATTGAAAAGTGCATCGCAGTAAAGGATCGATCGGAGCGGCCGGCCAACCGAACTCCGATCTGCAAAGCCTGCTCTCGTCTCGAGCGCCGAGATCTAAAGTATCGGAGCAAAATGCTCATTACAGCTCTCCACCATCTATGAAGCATCACAAATCTCTCCCCATCTCTTATCAAACACTGCCAAATCCACTCCCTTCAACCCCTTCCTCGCCCTCTGCACAACAACCGTACTCTTGCCCGCCTCACCACACCTCAACAACATCGAAGCGTAGAACAGCCACTCCTCCGCCCCCGACTTGGGGTGCTGTGCGAGGTGTTCGAGGATCTTGATTTGCAGTGACAGAGGTTTGGGAAGGACGGCGGTAGTAGTTTCGAGAATGACGTGTAGGGTCTCGATGGAGACGGTCGTGGTTGTGCGAAGGAGGTTTTCGACGCGCGTGGTGAAGGTCTGGGGTTCGAGTTCGGCGAGGAGGTTCATGTAGCGTCTTGGGACGAGCTCGCGAGGTTCGAGGATGGGGATCTCTTCCCCTTCTTCCCCTTCTTCCTCTTCGTCGTCCTCATCAACGCTGCCATTTTGCGCATCCGTGAACGTCGACTTGAAATCGACAGGAGGTACGGCATCGGCCAACGCCACCCTCGCGATCGCCTTTTCGTACCTATCTAGCTTATCCTCAATCGACAAACCCGAATCATCGATGCGATCGACGTGCATCCACCAAAGCTGTCCACTGTAAGGAAGAGCCTTGATCGCTTGTTCGATAACGACTTCGACTTCTTCAGCTGAAGGCGGGTGTCCACTCTTAGCGAGCGAAAGGGTCGTCTTGACTCGGGCGACCCAGACTTGTTCACGGGTAGGCGCGGGGGTCTTTTCGGTTCCGTAGCGCTTGGTCAAGTCCGAGACGAACGAGAAGAGCTCGACGCGAGGGCTCTCCGTGCGTACTAGGTGTCGGAGATGGAGGAGGGAGAGGAACGGTGAGGACGGAGCGAGCGAAAGCGCGGTGGTGAGGTTGGTTCGGAGGTAGGTGTGCTGTGAACGTGCAGTCGCAGTCAAGCGACGTCAGAATCTGCTACCCACAAATTTGGTTGACTACATGATAACTCACCAGATTATCCTCTTCAACTTGCTCAAGCATCTTCTCAAGCCAAGAGCAAAACGCCTCCCAAACGGCTAGGTGTGCCGTCTCCTTATTCTTGCCCTTCTTGCCCTTGCACGCCTTCCAGTACTGATCCACACCCGCCGCGACAGCATCGACAAGTTTCTCCCCCTTGACCTGGATCGTCGTCGTGTCAGGGACGGGCCCGCCTTTCTTTGCTCGTTTGGGGTTGTACGCCACGTCGTAGAGGTGTCGGGTCGCGAGAATGTGGAGCGCTCGAGCGTAGTCGGGAGAGGAGGGGGTGAATGGCGTGGTCATGGAGGCGTACGTATGCTTAAGGAGCGACAGACGCAGAGGTGAAGGCAACGATCGCAAGACGGAAAGTAATCGCTCGTAAACATCGAGAGAGTGCTTGAAGGCTGTGACAACCGGGACATGGGCAGGAGTCAGCCTTTTTCGTCAGCCAGGTAGGAACTTGAAACTTGAGATACGCACAGGTCAGGTAGTTGTCGAGCAAGACCCGGACGATCGCTCCCTCGATGATGGCTTCCTGGCCCGAAGCAGCCTCCTTTTGCACCGTTTCCTTGAGCTCCTCATCCTCCTGATCTTCACCATCCTCCCCAGTCGGCAGTTCAATCTCTTCAGCCGCCTCCTCCTCTTTCAACTCCTGCCCATCCTCATCCACCTCCTCCCCATCCTGAGTCTGCCCTTCAGCGACCTTTCTCCTCTTACTACTCCTCTCTCCGACGACGACAAGCTCTTCCTTGCCATTCCTTCCTTCCTTCCCAATCCCCAGCAAAGTCCACCTTGCCCTCAAGCGTTCAGCGAAAGCGCATTCGACCCTAATCCATTCGTTCCACACCAAATGCTCCGACTCCCCACTCCCTCTAAGGAATCTCAATGCGCGCATGCATAATCGACGAGCAGCTTCGTCGTTCCCTCCTCCTAGACCTCTCTCGTCTCCTTCGGATTCCCAACGAGAGGCCATGAGCCAATAAGGAGCGTGGGTGGGGTGCATCGCGATCGCCGTCGAGAGCGTTCGAGAGACGAGATGAGGCGAGGCTTGTTCCAGGGCGTGTCCGAGGAACGCGTCCCAGAGTTGTAACGAGGAAGGGAAACGACGCGTCGAAAGGCGGTGCAAGTGCGTGACGTGGGCCGCGATCGAGTGGTCCGACAAGGTCTTTTTCGTCGTCGTTTCTGGTGAGGTGGTCGAGGATGAAGGTCAGTTTGAGAAAGCCGGTTTTTGTTTGCTCAGACAGGGGTTCGAACGAGTTCAGGAGCATGTCCGAATGGACTGACTCGTTCTAGAAGCACGTTTCTTTCTCAACTTTTCCAGCTTGGTCTCGTAGTCGATGTATCGGAGGTAATCGATCGGCTTGACGGCTCGACTAGCGAGCGCGGTCTCGAATCGACGGCGCTGCGAAACGATCTCTGTGATCTCATCCTGTGAAACGAGACATGATGAGGAGTAAATACTTATGGGATGGCTCGTTTGTGACGTGACATGAAACAAGGTGGCCTACTTTGGTGAAGATCTTCTTGCGCTCCAAATCACGGAGCTCAGGCAAGAAGCGCTCGAGCGAAAGTTGGACCTATGCGAGGAAGTAGCCGCAATGCGTCAGAAATCATGAGGCATGGAAGGCTTTACAGAACGCAAATATCGCAGCAGGTGACTCACCTTCTCCATGATGCTCGATCACGCGGCCCTCGTCGTAAAGCCAAGTGGAGTCGGAGGTCGACGGTCGCGCCGAGCTCAGCTTCGACTGCGAAGTTCGTGGGCACCGGACCTCTTGCGTCGTTGGCTCGATTCGGCAACTCCGACTCGGTTTTCGCGGGCAAAGACGTCTCGGCCCGCGCTCTGACATCGACCTATCGCTCCCCCAATTCTAGGTTGGAACTGATTGACTGTCATGCAAACACTAATGCTTGGATTGCTGGGAAAGCAATTCAGAAACCGGCGACTAGACTTGCTTCGTACGCATACGTAGGCTGACCCGTCGTCTCAAAATGGTCAACATTGAAAGTAAAATTTTCGTTTCTCTTAAGACTCAACGTAAAGAAATGATCATATCATCTCTCTAAAAATCACATACAGCCCTCTAGAGCATGCGGATCAACTGTTGTAGTTGAAACGGACTTGAACAGGACGTGTCGGCTACATCCATATTTGCATACTTCCGACGAACCCTAGTATTTGCATACTTCCGACGGGTAGCACCGTTGGTACGGGCGCAGGCTGCCGACTCGATAGCCTTTTTTTGCTGCTGCTCGGCGCCATTAAAAGATCGACACTTTTATTGTCTGCCCGAGGTGGGGTGATCACTTATAGCCGAGCCGAGGGACGAAGGAATCTTGACAACGTTAACGCCGCAGCGGGCTGTGGCACACAATTTCAGCCACGAAGGATCTGGATTGTTCTGGACTCTTCTGGAGCCGCCAAGATAGGAAACCTGTTTATATTAGGCTGTGTGGTATCAATCACCAAATAATACTTAGCTCCAACTTCGCGCGCTTGTTCGCACGGCCCGAAAGATATTCCCCATCGATAAACTTTGCGAGCTTGCCCGCTGCCGATCCTCCTACTTGACCAGCTGGAGTCCGATATGCGCGGTCTTCGCCGAACACGAGATTGTCCACGTCAGTGAGCGTTCAAGAGGTTGCGTCCCAGTCGGGTTATGTGGCTTTACTTGTACCTCGGTCCGGAAATCATGGACCCATGTCTTTCGTTGTGGACGCACTGATTCGGAGTAAAACGGTGCCTTGGCTCCTCACGATTTGGATCGACGAGGTGCCAGTCCCTCTTGGGCACGTGAACTCTCATGGTCGGCGATAGACTATCAACAAGCTTGCGAATCTTTTGGCTTGATGTTGCAATCCGGACAGCGGTAGGCTGATGAGGCGATCTCCGGGAGTTCAATTCGACACGTTGTTTAGCTAGTTCCAGCTAGCGAGAAGCTTCCACTGCTGCGTACCGCCGGAGGAGTTCGCTCAGATTACATGTGAGACGGTGCGCAAGCGAGGACTCTGCACGGCCCCTCAAGATACACATGTCGTCTTCAATGTCAGACGCTAGTAAGTGTAATTAATTACTAGGTAATAGGACTCGAGGGCGCGGTGCGCCCACCTGCCTGCGTAATTGAAGATCGTTGCGAGCGGAGCTCGCACCTCCCGGACCGTGGGGGGACAAAAAGATCGACGCGCGCGGCTGAGAACCTTATTTGATGGAGGCGTTTTGTCGTGCAATCTACTATGTAGATATAGACAGATGTAGATGTATTATGTAGATGTAGATAGATGCAGATATATGTAGATTACTAGACCTACCTGTGTAGATAGGTAAATGTTGTCAGCACCGCAGAATGAGCTGGCGTTGTGGTGTACGTAGGTGGAAATTCTACCGACGGTGACGCTCGTTTGGAACATTTTCTTCCCACAATGAACTCCCGCTGTGGCAGGCACACTTAACGCCGAGCTCGCTTAAGTAAGGTTCGATATCCGTCCATCGGCGAAACCCTCTAAGATGTCTCAGAATGCGGCAACCCCAAATCGGCGGATCGGCTGATGTACTGTAATAAGACTAGCCAAACCCTACTACGCCCCGATGATGTGTGGAGTACGCGGGGTAATTGTTGCTGCCAAGATATTGGCGTTGTACTTGTGTAGCTACCCGTGTCAGCAGGCAAGGCGCACCGTAAGTAGCCTTTGAAAAGCCAGAATCAAGGCTGGCAGGCCCCGACGGCGATCAACGAAGGCTCTTAAAGTGGAAGGAGCTGGCTCGAGTTCCCGTCAATATTCTGAGTGGGCGATCCATTGCACGCCGAATGTGGGGAGCCGCTGACGCTTGAGGGGATTGGCACCCGCAGCCCAGCGGGAAATGGACCTGTAGATCTATAGAGTATGCCAGTAGGTGCCTGGTCTCTATCAGCTCGTCGGTGTTCGGTTGAGATTGTGTCGACAAAAAAGTCACAAGCTCGAAGGCCGGCCGGCGGCCAAAATTCTTGCAAGTTCGGCGCTACGAAAGAGAAGAGTCCGAGTTACCTACCCCACTGCTCGCCAGCAAGAGAAGAAAAATCGAGGTGGACCATGCCTAAGTATTTAATCCTGGAGACTACTAGATGGAACGGCATGGAAGGAGAACGGCATGGAAGGGAGCACCGGGTTTCTGTGTGCCTCGAAGAAGAAGGCGAGCTAGGAGAGAATCGGACTTAGTAGCACCGATCATTGAATCGGACCGGAATCGGACTTAGGCGGCCTGACCCCTACGGGAAATCCGCGCAACCGCAGTTAGACCACGGCCGACTTTGGCGCGACGATTGAGCAACCGCGGGCACGCAGGTCCGACTTTGGCTCGATCGTCGCGCCAAAGTCGACCACGGTTAACTGCGGTTGCGCGGATTTCCCGTAGGGGCCTGACCTTGACCCGCGCCCGTGAATGTCTCTCGTCTCATACTCGACCTACCAAGGTATCGCTTCGCCGCTGTGGAGTTCCCGTTGTCAGCTCACCCACGAACTTCGAAACACTCGATCCCACCCCAAGTACTCAAAAACGCAGTCATCGTCCTTGACAACTTCGGTGATATCGCCAACTCGGTCAAATCCTCCATCTGATGCCCATCTCGGCCGGACCGGCGCACTCGGCAAGGACTTCTTCAGCTCTCGACGACACGGTCGGCGGCCCGTGCACGAGAAGGTGAGACCGAATTGGCACGGGGTCCGGGCACTGCCCAAGCTCATGATATCCAGAAGTGCTGAACTGAGTCTTGTCCGTGTACTCCGTCGACCTGCGACCTTGTCATTCCTCCTCCTTCGCTTGATAGACTGTCGCTCCGCTCAGCCTCTGCCATTGTCCAGCGGCGCGAGTCAAACTCGCAGCCAAGCCCAGAGATTGGCCACCGATCAAGCTCTCCCAGTCAATTGAATGGTAGGAGTATCTACCGCGCTGAACTACTAGAGTCCTCAAGATCACGGTCAAACACTCCGATACATCGGGGCCCGTGCCCCCCTAATCGAGTCAAGTCGAGCGAACTGTCCTCGCCGCCGGCTCCTGAGCAGCGGCGAACTAGCAATCGCCGATCCCCGAACAAGGCCGCTCGCGCCGACGACATGGCACAAAGCTCAGAATCGTACTGCTTACCAACACCAACACCCTCCCTTCAACAACTTGCTCCAACACAAATCACCGCGGGTGGTATCTCTCTCATTTCCACCCCTGCTGCGGCGCCACAGGCCCCTACGGCGCTCGGTCCTCCTCTCCTATCGTCGCCAAGCGCCGCTCTCTCTGCGATCGAACTCGAGGATCTCGATAAGGACGAGCTCATCACGCTGATTAGGAAACATTTACCGAACCGAGCAACTGTTCCCGATATCGACCCGGAGTCGTTGGACCGACTACGGCGCCCCAGTCCTCGCTCGTCTCGCGTTAGGAAGAGGGCCTCGGGTGCTCAGAACGCGTCGATCCAGCACCTCGTCACGAGACTCGTCCCGGGTCAGAAAGAATCGACGCTTTCGGCACTGACAAAATCCGAACTGGCGCAAGGCCTCGTTTCCACCGACTCATTGGTCATCAACGTCTCATCCCCTGATGACCTTATGGCAGTTGCGCCAAGCATCCCCGAGACCAGCAAGGAGCGAGAGCAATCCTCAGCTATGGCTTCCAAGTCGCCGAAAAAATCGGCCAAGCGAGATCGCAACCAACCCCCTCGTCCTTCCAACCCTTGGATTCTGTACCGCTCGGCACAGATTCAGCGGCTTCGAGCCGACCCGCGGTTTGTCGAAACCTCACAAGGCGAAATATGTGAGCCAAGTGCCGGGTCAGCTCCCCCATCTGCATCCATAATGACCTAATGAGAGATCTCGTCTGTGCCCCAGCCAAACTCATTTCCTACATGTGGAGAGACGAGGACCCGCAAGTGCGGCTCAAGTACGAGCAGCTCGCAGCCGAAGCCAAAGCACGCCATGCCGACAAGTATCCTGGTGAGTCTCGGCCACTCAATGTAACTGGATTAGAAACTTGAACTCAAAATTGAACTCTTCCTTCACCCCGGATCACGTCTGCGTCCCTTCTAGGCTATACGTATCGACCGGCAATACGTGTCCGCCGCAAAGCCGAATTGGCTGCGGATGGCAGCTCGCCGTCTTCCAGCGCCTCACGATCGCGTCCTGGCGTATCTGGGCCATCGAAAGCACCGCAATACCCCAACACCTCGATCTTTTCACATCCAACCGCGATTGAAATGCCCTCTCCACCTGCCTCCCCAACGACTCAAAGCTGGGAACAACTTACGAACGCAAGCTCGACCTCTAATTGGCTTCATTCGATCCCGAGCACACCTGCAGCTCTTGACGCCAGTATCAATGACCTGCTCGCCTCAATCAACAAGCAGAGTAATATTTATTCTCCCGGATACGCCATTGATCCCATTTTCAACTGCGCCGACTGTGGAGACACAAGCTCATCATCTTCGGACGCCGACCTTGAATCGCCAGCGTCGAGTGCCTTCACGTTCCGGGACCATCTCGCACCTATGTCGGCCCCCGCAGCCTTCTCCTTCTTTGACTTTGGTCTTGTTCCATCGGCTTTGCGCCAAGCTACACCCATTGCGACGGCTCCACTGTCGCCTGAGTGGCTGACTTGCACGCCACTCGCCAGCTATCCGTCCACCAAATCTTTCTCCATCGCTAGCAATAGTTCGATGTCGAGCAGCTCACCAAGCCTGTACGATGATAACGGAGAAGATCAATTCGGCCTTCCCAAATAAGACGAATTTTCGAATGGATGGCTTTATCCCAGTCAGGAAGCTTCTCTGACTCAGGAGACGGCCCAAGGTCGGACCGTGGCGAACGTTGGGCATCACACGTTTCCCTCGTCAGGTTCTGGCGACGATATTATGATTCACGTTGACCATATTCGTCAAAGCGCTGATGATCAGGAGCGATCCCCTGCAAAGTTTGTCTCTTCCCTGTTTGTAAAAAGTTCCGTCGAACCGATTTATGTCTGAAGTGAACTGTGGTAATACTCGTTCTGTATGTGATCTGTCTAGCACTTGGGGACTCATGTTGGAATACTTTTGTACCGGAGTCCTGCTTCACCCCGCAGTAGCTTAGCGGGGAGTTTGGATGTCAGAGAGTTTCAACCGTACAGATTTGTGGGCCGGGTAGTTACAGAGCTTCATGCCTTACTCTCGGCATCCTTAAATCAAGAGCCACTCGTGATTCGAGTACCTAGGTACCACCTTATTGGGCTAAGGTGCCTTCGGCCTGGATACCGATCGAGCCGAGCGAGATGGGTGAAACAATGGCCAGTCTTTATCCTAGTCGATGATCGTCGGTTCGGATTTCCGCGATCACTACGATCCCCCCCGCGTTCCAACTTCCGAACTTATGGCTTCGATCGCCAAACACTCTAGGATGATCAAAGCAGATACGAGCTTGTTGTGGACAGGAAGAAGACAGGGTGGACTACAATGGCTTCTTCCGGCGAGCTTCTGGGTGTATGCCACCTATCCCCGCACAGGATAACTCTCGACGCCGCCCCCTTTCGGAAGAAGGTGCCGCTGTTGAAGCTGGAGTTCTCACCTGCTCGCCCGTGTGATCGCACACTTATTGAGATGCTACTCGCTGCTCTCATAATGAATCCAGTGAAATTCATTGCTCATCTATGGGATACAACCTGGCCTTGGGCTTGAGTGTGGTGAAGACGAAATAACGATAGGAGGGGTCACCAAAAATTCGTTGTGCCATCCCATTGCGGAATAATGCCGTAAATCCGGCGCACGCAGATAACACAACACGAGATGTATGCGCATTCCAGCAGTCAGGAGAACACGAGAACCCATCAGGAAAGAGTCCAGAAAGCCTGGTACGCACAGTGGCGCGTGTTCGCTGTCGGCGCGGGAAAGAGTGGCTGCGGCGACCGGTTAGTTCGTGGCTTACAAGTACCAAGGGGCAGAAATGCTTGGGTTATTGCGTCTGTAGCATGCGCTGCACGTTCCCTTCAGGGCCTTCACTGCACCGTAGACGTCTCTACCAGCCTCTGCCGCTGCGTTCATCACCTGTTGGGACGGGACGTTCTCAGCTAGCCGCCACTAGCTCGTCCAAATCCTCGACGTGGCTCTGTCCAAGAGTAACTCGGGTGATCTTGCCAATCGTCAGTCCCTTTGCCGACCCCCTTTCGCTCGAAACGTTGCCTCTGCCTGCCACTGTCGCATCTCAGAGTTGCAACTAGCGGTGTGCCAACAAGAACGGACTATCCAATGGCGTGACAACGAAAGACGAGATTGAGACCCAGCGAGTGTAGCGAGATGGAAGCCAAGAAGGAACGGAATTGAACGTAGTGGGAAGGCAGACTTGAAAGAATGAAGTAGTTTTCGATAGCTACCTTCGTCTCAGCATACCTTTGCAAGAACAAGCGAAATTCCGAGATGCGGTAGGGGCAGGCAGAGGCAGCGTTTCGAGCGAAAGGGGGTCGGCAAAGGGACTGAGGATTGGCAAAACCACCCGAGTTACTCTAGGACAGAGCCACGTCGAGGATTTGGACGAGCTAGTGGCGGCTAGCTGAGAACGTCCCGTCCCAACAGGTGATGAACGCAGCGGCAGAGGCTGGTAGAGACGTCTACGGTGCAGTGAAGGCCCTGAAGGGAACGTGCAGCACGAGTGACCGCCTGTGAGCCCGCGCGTGTGAAAGGCACAGCTATAACAGGCTCTAGCTCAGCCTGGCAGGGGAGAGAGGAGAGGGGAGGCCCGAGCGCGCGAGCTCGATCGCCGGCGCGTCAACTTGAAATCCTTGCAGCAAAGGCCGAAAAGAAAAAATCTTGTCTGCATTCGGCAGCACTTCATGCAGTGCACTTGGGGCTCGCTAGCCCGGATTGTTCGGTGCAAAGTGGCAACAGGATGATATGGACCGACCACTGCTGCCTAAGGCCTTCGACCGAGTTCGAGAAGAGCGCGAGAGCCGGAAAGGCCACGTGCTAGGCGGAGTGGGCCTCGGGCAACTGAAGAGCCGGGGCAAGCGGAAGGAGGCTATTCCGGCTACCCCGTCTTTCCTGCAGCACCCCGACCTCGAGCCGCACCGCACCGCATCCCGACCTCTCTACTTCCTCCAAGTGCACGACCCCAACTTTCACAGCCAGTGAGCTCAATTCAGACTAGGCATTGATCATACGCTGAGCTGACCCCCACCATGACCCTGGCTGCAGTGGCGTTCCAATCGATGATGAGCGGAGCCGAATGCTCGACCGGCGCCTCACCCCTCTCCTCCCTACTCAAGCAACAAGCTCAGGACCATTCCCTCCACCAATCAGGCCTCTCTTCTCAACCGGGTCCATCGTCGTCGATGCGATCGGGTGGCGGAGGCATGCACCAATCGATGCCCGGCCAGATGCGAGCTCAGGAAGCGGACCGCTTCTTTGAACAGTCCAGTCCGGCCGGGAATGCTTCGTTCGGCGACCTGCAAGGTCTCAGACGCGAGTTGGACCAGGTCGCTCGCTCGTCCAATCCGGTACTCAAGGGTGATCGAGGTCAGTTCGAGGCAGGATGTCATCGGCTTGCGTCCCTTGACGACGTGGCGCCAGAGTTGGGTCTCCTCCGCGGCATAGGCAGAGCTGACGAGTCCCAAATCCATGATCTTACAGGATGGGCCTCGCAATACCAACCGGCTGGTGCATCCCTGAACCCAGTCGACATGGCGCAGATGGAGCAGTCGTTCCGTATGCAGCACCACGGCGCGCAACCCAACGAGCTCTCGGGTTAGTCAGCGCTCGGCCTCACGCCCCTACCCGGCCTAAATCGGACATTATGCTGATCATGACTGCTCCATCACCACCATAGCCGAATTCTGGCGCCATCATCAACAACAGAGGGCCTCACCGGGACCTTCAATCCATGCGGGTGGTGCAGGTAGCACCGGTGGCTCCGCCGCCTACGCCCGAACGGGGTTCGCACCTTCCTACGGTGCCTACGGTGGTGGCATGTCGATGCGATCCATGCCCATGATGGGTGGTTCTGCGGCCGGTGGGATGTATCAACCTTCTCCGACTGTACAGCAAGATGTCAAGGGCAAAGGTCGTTTCGTCGAACTCGATGATGCCGACTGGGAAGCCCAATTCGCTCGCGCCGGCGAATCCGCACAAGAGCCCGCCGGAGCTGTGACCGAAGAAGCCGACCAAAAAGACAAGATCATCGACGACAAGGCCGCTCCACTCGATACGATCAACCTCCTCGATGGTGACTTGGACATTGACGCCTCCGAATCGGATGCCGAGTTGCTCAAGGAGCTCGAAAAGACGTGGCAGAACTTGCAAGGGACCTTGCAGGAATCGTCGAGCATCTCGGATGCCGAGATGGCGGCTTGGGAGGCGCAGTACGGTTCGCAATTCGTTAATGGCGATGATGGCGAATTTGACTTGCCCGATATGCGCAAGATTTGGACCAAGGATAACGTTGATGGGTTCTTGCAAGAGGATTTATCCTACCCTTACGCCACGGAGAACGAATACCTTCACCATCCCGATCCTTTCGCCGAAGGACAACGTCTTCTCGCCGAGGGAGCACCTCTCAGCGAAGCCGCGCTCGCCTTTGAAGCGGCATGCAAGCTCGACCCCAGCCGTGCCGAAGCGTGGAAAGCCGCTGGAGAAACCTGGGCCGCGGACGAACGTGAAGTTAAGGGTATCCGTGCACTCGAAAAAGCCGTCGCGTGCGGTGGTCCCGACGGAGTCGGCGCGTGGATGTCCCTCGCCGTCGCTTACGTCAACGAAGGACAAGAACTTCGTGCCTTGGCGACGCTCGAGAAATGGCTCACGCTCGCTTATCCAACTCTTTCCGCCAAACCCGGTCCTCTACCCTCCGCGACGAACCCCTGGGATGCATCGAACCGCATCATCGACCTGTTCCTGGAAGCTGCACGAGCAGGACCGATGGCGCGTGTCCCCGGTCAATCAAACGAATTAACCGAAGTGGACCCGGACGTCCAAGTCGGCATCGGTGTGCTCTTCTACTCCAATAGCGATTACGAACGAGCCAAAGACTGCTTCGAATCTGCTCTGAGCGTCCGTCCGACCGACTTCCTTCTCTGGAACCGATTAGGTGCGACCCTCGCCAATGGAGGTCTACCCGAAGAAGCCATCTCCGCATACCGCAAAGCCCTGGACTTACGACCCACTTTCACGAGGGCGATCTACAACCTCGGCGTCTCTTGCTTGAACATCGGTTGCTACCACGAAGCGGCCGAACACCTCCTCGCCGCCATCGATGGGCAAATGACTCGCGAGAAGAACGGTTCGGGACCGTCCGCCGCGCCCGATGGTCAACCATTGGATGAGGAGGATGGGAGCGCGAATTTGTGGCATACGTTGAGGAGGGCGTTCTTGTGTATGGAACGTCATGATTTGGCGGATAAGGCTCATGCGGGGACGCCGTTGGATGAGTTTAGGAGTGAGGGGCTGGAGTTTTGAGGAGGGTTTTCTCTTGAATGAAATGTAAAAGAAAGATATGAATATCAGACTCTAGAGAGAAATTGAGAGTAACACGTTAAGCATTGCTGTCCAGCGAGCCATGACTATCAACATAGATAGCGAAAGATTGCCTCCTTTCAAACCCATCAACAACTACACACACATCGAAAGCACCCTATCTACGAACCCTCCTACTGTCCCTCTGTAGCTCAATATGCCGGTCTCGAAGGAGGCTGAGGTTGACCTTGTGGAGGGTAATGAGGTCTCTGCGGTGGGACTTGAGAACCACCATATGATGAAGTCGCCGGCGGCCCCCCGTATTGGTATGGGTTCGAACCCGGAGGTGCGGGGGATTGACCATACGCCGACGAGGGGTATTGCTGCTGTTGTTGGTGTTGAGGCGGTGCAGGCGCCGAATATTGGCCGTACGGAACGGGTTGAGAAGGAGGTGGCAGACCCGAGTAATTGACGGGTTGAGGAGGTGGGGGTAGGATTGATGATGCAGGCGGTCGAGGGGCGGGTGCGCCGTAGGGCTGTGAAGGAGGTGGTGGAGGAGGGGGTGATGAGGTTGGGTTATGGCCGTAGTGGGATGGATAGGCCGAGTATTGAGAGGGGGGTTGAGGAGCGGGGGTGGTAGAGAAAGCTCCGCTCGAAGGGAAGTTCGAATACGGGGAGGTTGCAGCAGGCGGAGGGGATGAAAACGCATGTTGTGGATACGCAGGGATCGCAGGCGGTGCAGGCGGTTGAGGGCTCGAGTAATGCGATGGAGGAGCAGGCGAAGTCGAACTAGCCCACGAAGGGTTTGCCCCAGCTCGTGACCCAAGATCCATCGCTCCAAACTGTTGATCGAGGGAAGGCGACGTCGTCGAACTCGGCGCCTCGAGACGTTGCTTGACGCTCGCTGACGAAGCCATCTGTGATCTTTCCCCATCCCGTTCCTGCAGATACGACCTGACCTGGTTGTTCAACCCCTCGACCAACTCGGACAAGTCGCCATAGAACTGCAACCCTTTTTGCAACGCCGTTCGAACCTCTCCATAAGTCTGCGCCGCGTGTCCCAACCTCGTAATGAGGTCGCGCTTGTGGCGTTCGGCTTCCCCCCACCTGCCTTGCATCTCGCGCGCCTTCTTGCCCTCACTAATGACCTTGAAGTCAGCGCTGATCTCTGCCAACGTCGAAGACTGATGTTGCAACGTCGCAGTTATCCTCGATTGGTGTGCACGGAACTTGTCCAACTCTGTCGCGAACAGCGAAGGTTCGAGCGCGGCCGATCCTTTCCGATTCAAGATGAGCAAATGCGAAATATCGTCCGCTTGGACCCGTTCCTTGAGGTCCTTGAGGACGTCATGACGTTCCTTCTTGACCTTGTTCAATTTACTGAGGTTGTCCGAGATACTCGTCACGCGCTTCTTGATTTCTTCTTCCTCGTCCTCGTCCCCCGTAGGATCATCCAACAAATTCGCTTGATTCGACGAAGCACTGGCCGATCCAACGGCTTCAATGAAAGCCCTTTCCAAAGCTTGTCCCGAGGGGTCGCACAGTAGCGCCACATCATTCTTGACGCCGTCCCATAGGCCTAAGGCCTGCGCATCCGAATGGGAAGCTTGCTCTAGGGACTCCTTGTGCGACCTCAAATCTTGCCTATACGACTTCGTCAACCCCGCGGCGGGGACTTGTTCCCACAAATGGCCGAAATGGACGCGCATCGCTTCGCATTCCCTCGATTCCTGATCCAATCCTTGCGAAACCGAGTCGAGTTGACGAGTGACGTTGTCCTTGATCTGTTGCAGCCTTCGGAACGAATCGTCGACCCTACCTTGCGCCTCGTCCCTCCTCAGCTGTTCGGACCAAGTTCGAACTTGGGGTCCCACGTCCGAAAGACTAGCCTGTCCACTGGTCCCAGTTCTATACCTCTCCAAACTCGCCGGAAGGCCCATATACTCCAACGCCGCAGCCAATTCCCCATCCGCCAAATCGGACCTCTCCACTTCGCCACGTACGACTTTTGCTTTTTCTTCCGAGTACATACTCGCGCTTTCATGCACGCTCAAAGGCACAAGTTTGATGAACAAATCAGGTCCTACGATCTTTTGCACTTCAGGCGTTGCGTAGACGTCATGAATCGCGACAGGTTCGGCGACGTCCTTGCCTTTATCGATCGGTGCGAGCGAGGCTTCGGAAGGGACGACTTCGTTATAAACGATGTCGTTGTCCTTTTGCGCCTTGTTCTTGGCCTCCGTGACGAGTCCGAGGTGAGTCTTGTTCAATTCGATGAGCGTGACGGGTGAATCGGGAGCGAGTGAAGAGGCGGAGGAAGAGGTGGAGAAGGAAGCGGCGAAAGCGTTGGCGAGTCGTAGGGCTTCTTTGGCAGCCGCTTCGGCGATATTGAGTCGGGCCAACGCTTCTCCGTATTGGAGTGAGGTCGAATCGGCCAAGGAACGGTTGTACTGAGCCAGAGAGGTAAAGTACTTGGCTTTGACCTGGAGAGGTTATCCGAAAATTGACTCGATCGGGTCAGTCCCCACCACGGGCGAGAATGACCTCCACGAACGTTAGCTGACTTGCCTGAATGAGCAAACTCCATTCCCGAATGAAGACGCTCTTGGTGACCCATTCCTTGACCTCCTCGATGACGTTCGCGTACGCCATCGAAGCCTGCATGCACAACTTGGCCCTCAAGCCAGCACCCTTGGTCACGCCCGCCGAAGGACCCATCGTCTCGATGAAGACCTCGATCGCTTGGGCGGACATCAACCCGACGAGGACTTTGACGACCTCGCGACTGAGATCGGTCGAAGGGGCGTGGAGGAAGTTGTCGTTGATGTAGGTGAACATGCCTGCGGCGCAGCGGAACGAGTGGAATGCTCGTTTGAGACCTTCGGGAGAGGACCGGGGTGACGACGCCGCGAGGGAGGACAGAGTCGCACCGATGTTGAAGATGACGGAGGCTTTCTCATAGGCCAGGGACAATTGTGATATTTTGACGTGGGTGAAGGCGTCGTTCCTGCGTGTCGAGTGGGATGAGCGCCTCGATGAGCAATCCGATCGCGTGTGGGGGGTGCGGCGCGCGTGGTGACGCCTCCTTCCCCAGCGCTGCTTACCAAGGGAACGGCACCCTCAATTCCGGGAACCTCAATTCCAACAACTCCAACTGGCCGAAATACTTGTACAGCAAGTCCCTCGCCGTCACATCGCTGCCGGCCGAACCCCTCAACGCATCCTGTCGAGCCCGGTTCAGTTGATGGATCTCGTCCGTGTAGTGGTCCGGTGGTTCACCGTAGGTACGTTGGATCACGCTACGCAGGTGGGAAGAGAAGTCGACGTCGGAGGTGACTTTTTTGGGGACTGTGACGGGTGTGGTTGAGCAGGGAGCAGGGAGGATGGAGCATGGAGCTTGGGTCAGTTCTGGGATCGGGAGGTAGGCCAAGCACCACCGCGGTAAGGACACAGCGGCTGATGGGGGGACTTGCCATAGATCAAGGGGGAAGACATGGCTCAGTCGTCTTTTCCACTAGCTCCGTTCGAGCTTGAGTGCACGAAGTGCGATGATGGCCGACGCTGAAGTGGGCCAGGAGCCAACCCACAACAAGCGGCGCCGGCGGTGGGGGCGGCGTGGCACCACGGGCACGGGCACGGGCACGGGCAAGCTGTCGTCACCGCGTCCCGTCACACCCAAGTGTGCTCAAAGCGTCGGTCGCGAGTAGTCTTCACTCATTTTAACCACAACAACGAGAGTGAGAGTGAAGAGACATCGTCGCTCTTGTTTGCAGATCCTCCCTAGGAAAAACAACGAAGAAACCCCGACAAGAGCCTACCTCCAACACAAAGTGGACAAAGAGCTCTCTCCCGTTCTGCCCTCACGCTGCGCAGAGCATCCTCTCGGAGGACCTTGCAATTCGTCTCCATAGAGAAAGTGGTTATTTTTGGATTACACACCGCATCACTCGCTTAAGCAACAACGGTGTAAACGCGAACGACGCTGTCGGCGTAACCAACGAACAAGGTCGCGCCATCGGCGGACCAAGCCAACGATGTCGCCTCGGGGTTGTTCGAGTTCTTACCGACATCCACAAACTCGGGCGTCAACTCGGCGATCAAGCTCTTGCTCTCGAGGTCGAAGATCTTGACCGACGAAGCGGTGGCCGCGCAAAGCCAGTAACGGTTGGGGGAGAACACCAAGGCGTTGATTCGGTCTCCGGCTTCGAGCGAGTAGAGGTGCTTGCCCTCGTTGAGATCCCAGAGCATCGTGACGCCGTCCTTGCCTCCCGAGGCGCACAACGAACCGTCGGGGGAAACGGTGACGGTCGTGATGTAGCCCGTGTGGCCGTAGTGGTTCACGCGCAGCTTGCACTTGGACAACTCCCAGACCTAAAGAGCAGTGATCCGAAGCGTGACAGTCAGCAAAACCGATCATCAATCAAAGGAAGCAATGCAGCGCGCTCCAGCAACAGCAGCGGCAAAACCATCCAATCAAAGCCAAAGCAGCAACCACGAAACCACCGTGTCCCACCCGCCCCCAAAAGCACCACCCCTTCCAACCATCTTCCCATGGAAGTGGGAAGGGGTCAGCGATCTTGGTGGATAAAATTGGTTGTTCTCATAGGGAAGATACGCCCTCTGAAGTAGCAAATATATACACAAGGAAAAATCATCATGTGTGGATGGAAGGGAGCGGTGCTCGAGGGGGGTGAAGAAGACGGTGGTGGCTTTGGTGGTGTGCCGTTCGAGTACGCCGCCACAAGTCTTTCGACTGTGTAGAGTGTACCGCGCGGCTCGAAGAATGGTCGCGGGATGCGATGCTGCTGCTGCTGCTGCTGCTGCTGCTGTTGAAGAAGCACCCAAAAAGAGAGAAAAATGCTCACCTTGACGACCTTGTCCCAACCAGCCGAGACGATGACGGGGTTGAGAGGGTTGGGGGAGAAGCGCACGCACGAGACCCATTCGGTGTGGCCATCCTCCTGGATGTTGAACTTGCACTCGCCGAGCGTGTTCCACAGCTTGATGGTGCGGTCACGCGAACCGGAGACGATCTGACGGTTGTCGGCCGAGAAGGAGACGGAAAGCACGTCCGAGGTGTGGCCGACGAAACGGCGCGAGGTCAGACCGGTGTTGAGGTCCCACAATCGCAGTGTCTTGTCCCACGAGGCGGAGAGGGCGAATTGGCCGTCGGACGAGACGACAACGTCCGAGACGAAGTGGTTGTGGCCGTGGAGCACTCGCTTGGGGAAACCATAGGCGGACTGAAGGGAGTCGGGAACGAGGGCTTAGTCCGTGGGATTTCCCTTGCAAGAAAGACTTGAGACGCGGTCGACGTACCTCGTCACGGGTCAAGGTCCACATGATGATGGTCTTGTCGCGCGAGGCGGTCAAGATCATGTCGGGGTTCTCCGAAGAGGTGGCGATGGCCGTGATGTCGCCCTTGTGGCCGACGAGCCTGCAATCGGCGGGAAAGCATAGGAGATGAGTGACATGTCCACAGAGATGTAGGTGAGGTGCAGGGCTGTCGCTGGCTGCTGCTGCTGAGGAAAAAGGCCATTCTCGCAGCCCGCGCGAGCCTGTGCGCACGCATTCAACGAGAGACGCGCGCGCGCGCCAACCGGCGAAGGCGTTGACGACGACCCCAGCCAGCGCCCGCACCGCAGGAGGAAAAAAACGGCGACGACTCACGATCCCTTGTAGACGAGAGATTCAGACATGCTGTAGGGATAGACGGGGGGAAGAGCCAGGGGAGACAGGATCCAAAGTCAGTTTTCATGGTCGACGTGGTACGATGTCGCAGGGGAGAGCCGACTGACGTGGATAGGTGGTGGATGGGTGGCAGGGTTGCAGGACGCAGAAGAGCGGCGAGGGCTCGGGTGCCCCCTTTGCAAGTGGGGAGTGATCGAGCGCTCGAATATCGGCTTGCTATTCGGTAGCACTGTGCTGTTCTTGATGATTCCGGAAATTTGAGAATAAATCAAAGCATTTTCTGTACTCTTCAAACACGTGCCAAGAGGTATACAGCACGCCCAATGACCACGTAGCTTTGCTCGGTCCTTCTGGCCATGAACCGCCTCCAGGGTCGTACAGTAAGTCGCCAAAACTTTGGCCGCCTTTTTATGGGTACCGGTAGAGCTGCTTCAGATTTTGTTTATCAATAAAAAGGGATCAAATATCTGCTATGTCGACAGATGAAGCCAACTTCGTCCTCAGTCTCGGCCTGCGCTCGGGCCGTCTCGACGAGCAGGGCCAAGTTGGGCTGCCGGCAAGCTCGCCGCCTCGCGCGCAAAGAGACGGGGCTTCGACGGGGGCTTCGCACTTTCGCAGTTTTCGCCCTGCAAGCGCAAGCGCAAGCGGTCGCCTCGCCCTCAGCTCGACCATCCCTTTCGCGCCTTCCCCCTTTCCGCCACCCCAACACCACTCCTTCATCAACCATGGCACCCAAGATCGACCCCAACGAAATCAAGGTAAGCTCAACCCCCTACGCCCAGCGCCTTGGATCCAGCAAGGACGTAGGACTGCATGGCCCCGTAGAGCGATGGGTTTGATGGGCTGGCGGGCGAGCGCGCCCGGGGTCATGGGCGGGCGGGGCCCTACGAGATTGGCTCGCCCGCCAATTCGATCCGGCTGCTGGCTGGGTGGTGTTGCGCTGTGCAGGGCTAACACGAGATTTCCTGCGCCGTGCGTTGCGCACACCGACCCATTCCCATTCCCATTCCCCCTCCCCCCTGCCTACCCTAGATCATCTACTTGCGAGCGACCGGTGGTGAAGTTGGTGTAAGTCATTGAATCCAAATCGCTGTGTGAAGACCAATGTAAGCTGACCGCATTGCTTGGTCCGTTGGTCGTGCTCGCCGCGCCTTTCTCCTGGCGTCGCGCCTTTCCTTTGCCCGCCGCTCTCTCTGCGCTGGTCCCATTCGATCCACCCAGGCTTCGTCCGCCCTTGCTCCCAAGATCGGTCCTCTTGGTTTGGTAAGTTGCACGCACTTTTGGACCCCACGACGGTGGTACTTCGCGGCAATCGACACCGGACGGGGATCAGCGTGCGGGATGGGATCGGAGGCGCGAGGGGTGCGAATCGGAGGGTCGGTTTGAGGCCTTTCGGTGCAAGCGCAAGCTCGGGCGGCGGATGGGGAGACGGAGCTGTGTGAAGGCATTGACGACGAAAGAGACGAATCAACGGATGGGAAAGGAGTGGTGTATGAGGTTGGGATGAGCGGGGACGTATGTCGACGAGTAGGGATCGCCACGAACCGACACGACGCCACGCGGACCACATAACTTCTGAAAGACGACATGACCGTCTGTGTACTGACCTCATCTTCACCCACTCCCACTCTCAGTCGCCCAAGAAGGTTGGAGAAGACATCGCCAAGGCGACCGGTGACTGGAAGGGTCTTCGCGTCACGGTCCAACTGACGATCCAGAACCGTCAAGCCGCCGTCTCGGTCGTCCCCTCGGCTTCGTCGCTCGTGATCCGAGCATTGAAGGAACCCCCACGTGACCGCAAGAAGGAGAAGAACATTCGACACTCGGGCAACGTCGAGTTGGATGCGTGAGTCGCCGAATTGGACCTCCCGGCTTTTCTTTTGAAGAGGGCCCAGGAAAGCTGACGTGAATTCGCTCGCGCCGTATGATTCCACTCCAGCATCATCGATATCGCGCGTACGATGCGATTCAAGTCGATGGCCAAGGAACTTTCGGGCACGGTCAAGGAGATTCTCGGCACGGCGCAATCGGTCGGCTGCACCGTCGACGGCAAGCCGGCGCACACCATCATCGAGGGCATCGACGATGGCTCGATCGAGATCAGCGATGATTAAACCAAAAACTCGACTTGGGACGGAGAGAGCTGAGGAAGAGTGAGGGGGGGGGGGGGGGGGGGCGGTCGTAGGTGGTGGTCGTGAAGTGGAATCCAAAGACTATTTTGGGAAACTAGTTCATGCCTCGTGCGGGCTGAGAGGAAGCTTCGGAAGATGTGCTATGGATCGAGTGACCGTGGTTTCGTTTCGTTTGCCTTGACTTCAACTCGACTTGCGATCCTGTATCCGCTTTGGACCCGTTTCTTGTCAATTCTGTGTCCGAGCTCTCTTCCGGTCTTGCTATTCTTCGTTTCTGTGGACCTGCTGCAGACGGATAAATTCCTATCGCCAAGAAAGTTCGAAGTCGATCAAAGTGGCAGCGATCGAATTCGAATCCCGTCGCGCTTGACTCGGCTTACCACCTCCACACCACGCTCCTCTCCCTCTTCTCACTGCTCATCATAGCCATGCAACGCGATCTGCTCAAAGCCAAATTCTCCACATTACCCCAACTTGCCGCGCTCGACGAACAAGGCAACGAACTTGGCGAAGGCGAAGAAGGAGTAGACATCCCAGCTCGTGTGGCAGTCGAGGCTGAGCACGATGACGACGATGACGACGAAGAGGACGAAGAGGAGCGCGATTACTTCCCCTCTTCCTTGCCCATTCGAGGGAGTATCACATCGAATAGGTGCGTTTTCTCGTCTCGTCGGGCCCACAAGTTGCAGAACTGATCGAGTCGACTAGAAAGTGGACAACAGACCACGACACTTGATCGGCAGTGGTCGCACGACCAAGGATTATTCACCGCTCACAGCGGAACGATACTTCACTTCGGCTTTGGAGGTTGACGTCGAGGAATCCAGTTCGACCTTTAGGGTTTATTACACCCCCCTGTACCTACTGGAGCTTCGACATCCACCCGACCGAACAACGACGACGACTTCCCAAGTGGGGGTGAGGATACCGACGGCGCACGCACCATCTTCGTTTGCGTTCATGGGGCAGGTTACTCGGGGTTGGCCTTTGCTTGCTTGGCTCAGCAAGTGACGGAGAAGAGCAGAGCCAAGGTCGGGGTGTTGAGTTATGATGCGAGGGGTCATGGTCAGTCTTGCAAGATGGGGGTGAAGCATCCCGAAACTGACCTTCTCGGATTTGATCTCTCTGAATCATGGTCGTTCCTCTGTGCTTCAGGGAAGACGAAAGCTTCGGCAGAGGACATGTCCTTGGAACGACTGGTTCAAGACCTGATCGATCTACTCAAACAAATGTTCAAAACCGCCGACTCGTCTTCACCACCCCCGAATTTCATCCTCGTCGGTCATTCCATGGTGAGCCCCCGGTTTGGTCCCATTTCAGTGGGGCTGGTCTGAGCGTTCACCTTCAAATGGAAAAGACATTGATTCTGCGGATGAAACTCGGGAATCGCGAGCTCACAGGGCGGCGCAGTCGTTTCGACGGCTTGTAATCGGATACAAGCCGAGATCGGCACCGTCATTGGCGTGGTCGTGATTGACGTCGTGGAAGGTGAGACCCAAGTGACCCGCTTCTCATCGAGCCCAGATATTAGATTCGTAGAACCTGACTGGACACCTGAATGTGCGTGCTTCAGGCACCGCCATCGATGCCCTCGCTTCGATGGGGTCCATCGTCGCCGCTCGACCGAAAGGATTTCCTTCCATCGAGAACGCCATCGAGTGGCAGTGAGTCATGCCTCCACCTTACCTCTTTCCTCCTTGGCCTGACCAATCCCGCACCCCCTTTTCTTTGTTCACCTCAAAAAAGCGTCCGAACGAAAACGCTCAACAATCTCGCGTCGGCACGAATCTCGGTCCCTCCTTTACTTTACCTCGACCCTTCCGCTCAAGATGATGAACAACAGTCCTCACGAACCAAGTATCTCTGGCGAGCGAATTTAAGCTCTACAGAACCATTTTGGCGAGGTCGGTCTCAGCTTTTCCCCCTCAATCAGCTCCGGACAAGCACTCTTTAAGCTCACCCAACCTTTCTTCGAAAAAAAAAAAAGGCTGGTTCACGAACCTTTCCTCCAAATTCCTCTCCTGTCGTTGCGCCAAATTACTCCTTCTCGCAGGTGCCGAAACGCTAGATACGGAATTGATGATCGGTCAAATGCAGGGCAAGTATCAACTCGAGGTGATTACGCAGAGTGGGCATTGCGTTCAAGAGGTGAGTGAGGTTCGTTCTCGCGAGGCAGGTGGGTCAAGGGGGAGGATTGCTGATGAAAGGAGGGTCTCGATTTGGAGGAAGAAAGGATCATCCAGGGCAAACGGCGGATTTGTTACTTTCGTTCTGGCAAAGGAATGATCGGACCGATATCCTCAAAGGCGTCAAGAAAGTTGGCCAAGTCTGAGGGTCCTATTCCATTATCGCCTCTTGAGGGGATCACGTTTTCATTTGGGCTTTCGGGTTCTTTCTTCGTTTAATTAAGTCTAGGGCGATCGTGTTGTGTTGATTGGGTAATTGCAGAATGGGTTTATGATTGTTTTTCAGAGAAGCAGAAGTCCACACGAAGCGGTGTTGGCAACCCTGTTTAGTGCTCTATTGAAAGTACATCAAGGGTCCAGCATGTCAACGGCGATTCAACCCGAAGCCAGCCAATTCAACTCACTGAGCACCTCCTTGCTAAGGACCTTTCCCTCCGCGTCCAACTTGTAAACGATCGGCACCCCCGTCGACAACTCAACCTTCAAGATCTCCTCGCCGGACAAGCCCTCCAAGGCCATGATCATGGCCCTCAAGGAGTTACCATGAGCGGCGACGAGAACCTTTTCACCCTTTGCGAGACGGGGCTTGATTTCGGATTCGTAGTAAGGTAGTACTCGGTCGGCGGTCAACTTGAGCGATTCTCCGCCGGGGGGAGGCACGTCGAACGAACGGCGCCAGATGTGCACTTGCTCTTCGCCGAACTTTTTGCGCGCTGGGGTCGGGTGAAGATAATAGGTTTAGAAAAGCGATCTTGGGACGTCCCTCGAGTCTAGCCCTAGGACTGAGCCAAGGACTGGCAGAAGAGAATTTGCTGAAAACTGACCATCGTCCTTGTTCAAACCGGTCAAATCACCATAATCACGCTCGTTCAACTTCTCACTCTTGAACGTCTCCAGGTCCTCCTGACCGATCTCCTTGAGGATGATGGTGAGGGTATCGTTCGCACGCTTGAGGACCGAAGTGAAGGCGACGTCGAAATGGGAGTGACCACCTTTCTTCAAGGCTTGGGCCCCGGCGAGGGCTTCCGATCGACCGACTTCGGTCAGTGCGGGGTTCTTCCAGCCCGTGAAGAGGTTCAACTGGAGGAAGAGCGCGAGGGGTGATTAGGGGATGGTGCTTGGGTGGTCAAGGGTGATGGCCGCCCCGCTGAGGTAGGGTGGGTTCAGTTGGGAACTGACCTTGTTCCATTCGGATTCTCCGTGTCTGACCAGGTCAAAGTGACGGGCAGTTTCGTCAGTATTGGCTCGTAGGACGCTTAAGCGAGACAACGGGCACTATCGGTCGGTCGGTCGGTCGATCGGTCGGACACGTTGTCTCACGCCACTTGGCGGCTAAGATCTCAACACCCACTGACAGAGAGGTACGAAGACTCACCGGACGAGGACGAGCTACGGATGAGCGAATTGATGGTAGGTCAAGCGGTAGAGCGTGGATGGATGGGTTCATGGTCAGTTTCAAGGTTCGGAGGTTCCGGTTTATGGCCCGTTTGCGGCGCGTGTGCGGTGTGTACGCGGGCGGAATCGGACTCACTTCAGCCCTGTGGAATCGGCAAGAAGTGATGTTAGCACATGATCAGGCTTGGAGCGCATGGCCTCATCTGATCGCTCACGCCGGCTGCTCACATGGTAGATAGATCAGCAGGGATGTCAAGTGATGAGCGCAGGGAGAGCAAGCGGCGACCAACAGTAGTACTGACCGAGGACTGATCGATCAAGAGGCTGTGAGAATTCGAATTTATTTCCGCACGCATGGTTTGTTATGATTTGGGTGGTTCTTTTTTCTTTTTATGTCCACGTGACTTCTTATTGTGGTTGTTATTGCCGAACACAAGTAATGATGTTGTGCTCCAGTAAGTAGCTCAATTTCTGAATAAGGGGACTTGCCTGCCCCAAACGATTCGATCCGATTTCTATTGATCGCTTTTAGCGTTTAGGACCGTCGTTAAATGAGGTCGGACGCTGTCACGCGCGCCGAGTGCCTGCGGGAGTGCCTGCGGGCGGGTAGCTTGCCTCCTTCCACTCTGTTCCCACACCCACACACACACACACACACACCCACACCCACACACGACATCCCCGTTGGTTCCTCGCCTTCGCCCATCACCACAGCCAACCCAAGTCGATCTACCGACATCCCACTCGTGTTGCTCAGCCCTTGTAGACGCCGGGTCGATTGGGTGTGGGCACTCCAGTGACGACGATGGCCCAACACTCGCTGCCGCACTCGGTCTCGCACGGCAGATCGCGATCGCAGTCGAGCCCGTCGAGCCCGTCGAGCCCGTCGAGCCAGCCGAGCCAGTCCAGTCAGCACTCGACCGATGGGTTCCCCTTTGAGCTGCAGTCCCCATCGTCGACCCAATCCGGCTCGATGCCTTCGACGCCCAAGTCGACCTCGTTCGGCGGCACGGTCGCCTCGCCGAGTGTCAGGGGCAGTGCGACCCTCAGCGGCTCCGTCTTTGGCGTGACCAAGCACGACATGGCCCGTCATCTGGACGAGCAGGCCTCGTTCGCCACAAAGAGGGAGACGTGAGTCCACACCCTTCGACAACACACTCGTTCACTCCCACCGCAGTAGCTCATCCATTGCCCTCTCTCTCTCTCTCTCTCTCATGCTCCCCCGCTCCTTGCCATTCTGAACGCTACGCTACGCTCACCCGATCCTTACCGATCCGGTGCTCGTCCGGCCTGGGGGTGCCGACCATCCCTCGACGATCACAGTCTCGTCCGTTCGCTCGATTCGACCACGACCCTCGTCAAGAGCTTGGCTGCCTTCAACCAAGAGAAATGTGAGTTGGGTCGTTTTCTGTTCTGCTACTAGTGGCAGCGAGAGACTCTGCGGGGCGTTCGAGCTCAAAGCCGTCAACGGACGCTTGCGGTCATCGCTCAGCACGCGACGTCGATGGTCAGGCCCTACACCCCACGTAGAAGGTCGCAGCCTCAGAAAGGGTCTCGCTCCAAGATCATTTAGAAACACCCTCGATTGTCTACAAGTCCGTTCTGGCCTTACGTGATAGACGCTGACCGAGTCGCGTGCTTGCGCTTTACGCCGCGGCTCCTGTTTCGGCGCTCACCAGGGACGATTCACTACCCTCATCGACTCGGCGTCGACGCGACCTCGAACGGCTCGCAACGGGACCCACTCGTGACTCCCGTGCGATCATCGTCCGCTCGTCTCCCCGCTTTGCGTCGAAGCGCCACACTGCAGCCGAGCGAGGACGCGCCCGACGACAGTCCCGACGAGCATTCGGCCTCATCGAAGCGGCCCTCACCGCAGCGAGCATGGTCGACGGTCGACACCCCGAACAACGCGACCGCTCAAGCGTCCACATCATCCCTCGTGGCCCCGGCCCACCCGCTCTCCATATTGTCGCTCGACCTCAAGCTCGGCCACCCCGCTGCGGCCACCGCCGCTTTGCCGGCTCTGCTCCCCTCGCTCTCCGTCGCCACCTTGTCGCAGCTCTTGTCGCGTCGTTTGACCTCGTCGTTGACCCACATCTCGTCCCTGCGCTCGCGTGTCGTCGATACCAACTCGCGCATCCTCGTCACCGGTGATCTCAACGCCGGCAAATCGACCTTCGTCAACGCCTTGCTCCGTCGCGATCTCATGCCTTCGGACCAACAACCGTGCACGGCCGTCTTTTGCGAGGTGCTCGACGCGTCCAGCTTCAACGACGGCGTCGAGGGCTTGCATGCGGTTCGTGATATCGGCGCCTACGACCCGACCAAACCCGAGACGTTCGATTCGTTCGACCTAACCCAGGTGCAGGAGGTGCAGGACGCCGAGGAGCCGTACCAGATCATCAAGGCGTACGTCCACGACAACCGCGCACCCGCAGTCGAGACCGAGCCGAACCCGTCCTTCATCAAGAACGGCCTCGTGTCCATCTCGCTCATCGACGCCCCTGGTCTGAACCGCGACACGCTCTCGACGACGGCCTTGTTCGCACGCCAGTCCGAGATCGACGTCATCGTCTTCGTCGTCTCGGCCGAGAACCACTTCACCTTGTCGGCCAAGGAGTTCTTGTGGAACGCCAGTCGCGAAAAGGCGTACGTCTTTATCGTCGTCAACAAGTGGGGCGCGATCAAGGACAAGGCGCGTTGCATGCGCCTCGTTGGCCAGCAGATCAAGCAGCTCTCTCCCGCGACATGGGAGGCCCGTCACGAGCTCGTGCACTTTGTCGACGCCGCCGATGTCGTCGAATCGGACTCTGCCGCACCTGCCCAAGTCGTTGTAGAGGATTGCAAATTCGCCGAGGAGAGTGTCGATGAGAAGGAGCCGACCGCGTTCGATCTACTCGAGCAGTCTTTGCGTTCGTTCGTCTTACTCAAGCGAACGACCTCGAAGCTCGCTCCGGCCAAGAACTATCTGCTCAATCTTTTGGCTGATCTGTCGACCTTGGCCGAAACCAACGTCACTGCTGCCTCGGAGCAACTCGCCGAGGCTTTGCGTCAATTGGAACGCGTGCGACCCATTCACGAGCGACTGAGCGCTCAACGCGACGAAGTCGAGGCCGGCGTGGACCGTGTCGAGGAGACCGCGGTCGAGGCCGTTCGCTTTTCAGCGTGGAGTCGACTCGAGCGGGCGCTCGGCTACGTCGCCGAAGGTCAAATCGTCCCTCCCCAAGCAAGCGATGCGAATCGACGGAGATTCGAAGACGCGGATCAACTCGTCGCGCCGGCGAGCTTGCCCGAGTACGCTGGCCTCGCTGGTCTGTGGGACTGGGCGAACGAAGTCAAGAAGACGTTGGTCAAGGCCCTTGAAGCTGAGGTGCGCATCGCCGAGGACGAGGCGAGGATCCAAACCAGTGCCGGCGTCGAACAGGTCATGCATGGCTTGGGCGAGCGCTATCTCCCCTCTGCGGCCGTTGAAGAGCGCACCGCGGTTGCTGCTCAGGACGGTCAAGACCCTGTCGGGAGTCAAGTTGCCGCGGCCACACCAAAGAAGCAGAACCGAGTCTTCCGACCCGAGGTCATGTTCGCCAAGCGTCGTCGTGGTATCGGACGTCTCGCCGCTCGAGGTGTCAGCACGGGTCTCGGTTTGGGTACGGGCGCTACGGGCCTTTCGTCAACCTCGTGGTCCGCGACCGACTTTGAGGTCTCAATCTTTGATCTGTTCGATCTCGAGCGCCTCTACTCGCATGGCTCGCGACTGAGGGGTAAGAAGACGCATGATGATGATCTCGTCGAAACGAGTACGATCCTCGGTCTCGGTGTGGGCACGATCGGGATGCTCGGTAGTCGCGTCATTGGCGTCAAGGGTACGATGGACTCGATCACGCGCATCTTTGAGGTGCTCGGTAGCGACAAGGCTAAGAAGTGGGCTGCTCCCATCCTGGGTCTTATCACCGTCGGTTTCGTCACGTATGTGATCATCGACTTGCCGAGGGCGATCCCTCGCAACATTGGTCGCAAGTTGCAAGCCTCGCTCGCTTCGTCTGATGCGCTCGTATCGGCCCCTTCATCACCTTCGGCTCCTACAGCGGCTACACAACCGCCCGTAACCTTTGCCTCGGCTCATTCTGAACGCATCGCCCGGGAAACGCGCAAAGTCTTGCGCTTGGCCGGATGGGATCTGAGGGAGAGGTTCCGCGCGGCATTGGATCAATCCGCTGCTGAACGTAAGGAGGTCGAATCGACCGTTAGCAAGGCCGAAGGGGCACTCAAGTGGTTGGCCGAATTCGAGAACAAGGTCGCGCAGGAGGATAGCAAGGTCGAATCCGTTGTCGTTTGAGCACGGTTCGAGCTCTCTTCTATTTGTTTTCTGATGACTTTTCGAAGGTGGTTTCTCGTTTGTGACACCTCGCTCCCTCCACTCGTTTATTTTCGTTCCCGTTGCACATATGGTCTCTTTTTCTTTGTATACTTGTAATGACAGCCCTTGACGATTAACTCCCCTCCCAACTCTGCAAGCTGCGCCGCTCGAGACTTCTGGTCGATCGACATGCAGGAGATGCAGGAGAGCTGGTTTTACTTCGTAGTTGGCAAGCGGCATCATGTGACCTGATGATCAGGTAGAATCAAATTGGCGACCGATCTAGGTGTGAAATCAGCGACAGGCTGTGCTCCGGTTACCACTCGCGCGCCGAGAGCCGTCATGGGCATGCGGCGATGCGCAAGCTACGGCCTTCGGCGATGTTGCGCGTCCTCGGCCGGCCTGTGGCCCAAAAAGGACGAGGCAGCAAAATGACGGCGACAGCTCCGGGCTGGCAGCGGCGGACTTACTTTGATCATCGTCCCCCCATCCCACCCACATCTCTCTTTACAAAGGTCGGTCCATCGTGCCTTGGACAGTCTCTGTTGAACAGTTCACTGTACTCAGGTACAGGTAGTGGATCGACAGACAGCCTTGTGACGACCATGCCTCCTACTTCGCCCGCGCCATTGGTCAAGGCCGCTCCTTCGCCGCGGGAGACCATGTCCCGTGAGCGTGAGAATTGCCCCTTTGACGTGCGCAGAATGACGTACGCCATGGGCGGCGGACAAAAGGGTGAGTGTCCAGTTGGGCTTGGGTCACTTTTCGATTGAATTGGTGGTGTCGGAGGCTATAGTACAGTACACGCGGTACGCTTCCTCCCGATCTCCGGCTCCCGGAATCGGACAACACCTTGACCACGCCGGTGATCCCAATGTCGTCTAGACATTCGGCGGCCGGGCTCTCTGCACATCGCTCGCGCCTTATTGCTCGACATCGGCAACCATGCTTTCAGTTACATTCGAAAGATATCCACCTCTTGGGACGATTCATATTGGACCCGACTGGAGCATCTGCGTCGATTCGGGTCATAAGAGTCGTCACTGACACGTGAAAGTCGATTCCTTTACCTTCAATTTCCCCCCCTTTCCGGTTCCGTGCTTTCCCGCAGATGTCGAACTCAAGGAAATGTTCATGCAGGTACGTTGATTATGTGGATGTGGATGCCTTGAGTACCTTCCCAGAACTGACCACGAGCTTTGTGAATTGGACAGGACATTGAGCGAGACCCTCTCTTCAAGGTGGGGGCGGCGATATCATGCCGGCACTTTTCGATCGGGGAGCAATTTACTGATGATGGGTTTGCTCTGTTTAGCTTGCCGATATTCATGACTTGACCAAGAACCAAATTCGAGAACGCACCATGGCCAAGTTGTACGTCTGAACCGAGGGAGGTCTGGCGTATCCAGCGTGAAAAAGTGGCTCATCCGATCTATCGTACCCTCTCGTCGCAGTGCCACAATGGTTCACTACGTGCTCAACGAACGCCTCGACGTTTTCACCAAGCGCATGGAACTCGTCGGTATCGCCGATCCTTCGTTCTGGACCCGCTACGGTGTGCATTACGGTCTCTTTCTAGGCGCGATCCGATCCGCCGCGACCCCGAACCAATTCTCTTACTGGCTCGAGAAGGGTGTCCTGGGTCTCAACGGGATGGTCGGTTGCTTCGGTATGACCGAGTTGGCTCATGGGTCCAATGTAGCTGGGTTGGAGACGACCGCGACCTTTGACGAGACGACGGACGAGTTCGTCATTCATACGCCTTCGGTCTCGGCGACCAAATGGTGGATCGGTGGTGCGGCCCAAACAGCTACGCATTGCGCCGTATTTGCTCAGCTGGTCATCAAGGGCAAGATGCATGGCGTCAAGACGTTCATTACCCCTCTTCGTAACCCCAAGTGAGTTCAACGGTCGCACTGCGCAAGGGTTTGATCTAGTCGAGCTGATGAGTTGGGTTCGTGTTCTTTCAGAACTTTTGCTCTCCTCCCCGGTGTTGCTATTGGAGACATTGGCAAGAAGATGGGTCGAGACGGTATCGATAACGGATGGATGTGAGTATTTACCTAGACCAATTCGCTTGACGGGATACTGATTTCCTCATTCGCCACCCATAGCCAATTCACAAACGTCCGAATCCCTCGCCACTACATGCTGATGAAGCACACCCAAGTCACTCGAGATGGTAGCGTACAAGAACCACCTTTGGCCGCGTTGACGTACGGTGCTTTGCTTCAGGGTCGAACAGCGATGGTTGCCGATGCGGCCAACGTTTCCAAGAAGGCGCTCGTGATTGCGATTCGGTACGCCATCGTACGCCGTCAGTTCAAGTCCGGAAATCGCGATGTCGAGACGCAAATCATCGACTACCCGATCCACCAACGTCGTTTGTTGCCTTTGCTCGCCCAAGCCGTCGCGATGGGTTTCACGGCGTTGCAGATGACGACCATGTTCGAGACGCTTTCGGGTCAACTCGAGTCGTTGGGTCCCGATTCGCCACCCGAAGAGACCAAGGAGGTACTCGAGAAACTCAAGGAGGTACACGCGACCTCGGCCGGCTTGAAGGCGTTCTGCACCTGGAACGGCCTCGAGACGATCGAAAAGTGTCGCGCGAGTTGCGGTGGTCATGGGTACTCGGCCTATACCGGTTTGGCGAGCATGTACAACGACCAGGCCGTACAGTGCACGTGGGAGGGAGATAACACCATCTTGACGTTACAGGCTGGTCGATCGTTGATCACGGCTTATGCCGATGCTAAGGCCGGTCAGACCTTGCCAGGTGGAACGGCTTACCTCAACCGCTTGCCCGAAATCCTGTCACGCAAGTGCCCTTCGGACGACAAGGCGCTCGATGCCGACGTCCTCGGTGAAGCCTGGGCCGTCGCTGCTGCCAATTCGGTCAAGAACGCTGCCGAACGTTTCGAAGAATACCTCGCCGAGGGTAAGGAGAAGGACGAGGCGATGGAGTTGACCTCGCAAGAACGTTTCGTCGCGGCCAAAGTCCACACCGCGGGTTACATTTACCGTCGTTTCGTTGATGCCATCAAGGAGTTGTCCGCTACGGAGGACCCTTCGAATGGGGTCGTCGCGACGTTGGAGAAGATTTGTCGCTTGTACGGTGCTTGGTCGATCGAAGAGAACGCGGGTCAGTTCCTCAAGTACGAGTTCTACACCCCTAAACAGATGGATCGTATCACGGCCGAAGTGACGTCCTTGTGTGGCGAGTTGCGTCACTGCGCCGCTTCACTCGTCGATGCGTTCAACTACTCGGATCACATCATTAATTCCCCTCTGGGTGTTTACTCCGGCGATGTCTACAAGGTGTACTTTGACCGCGTGAGGGAATCGAACCCGCACGAAACGGTGCACCCTTACTTTGAACGCATCATCAAACCTTTGATCGAACGTGAACCGCTCGAGATCGTAGACGCTGATGATGTCGGCTTGGACGAGGAGATTGATGAGATTAGGGAGGAGAGGGAGGAGGCGAAGAAGGAGGCCGAGCAGGCGAAGAATCAAGGGGTGCAGAAGGAGATTCAGGAGGAGGTCGATAATCAAAGAAAGGATTGAGGAGGCAGAGTCGAGTAGTACTTTTTTCTCTCTTATGTAATTGTTTTTTGTCGAGTAGAATATGGGGATACACAAGCTGGAATGCGTGAGAGAGTGGTATCGACCTTTTAATTGATTGGATCGAAAGTAGACCGAGCGAAAGGACCCAAGTCACGTTACTTGACCCGTCCGTCTCTGCCTTCCCCCTGGCTTCTTCGTGCCACAACCAACACGGCGCTATAGCCTCGGACCGGTCGAGTTGCGGCTGTATGGGCTCGACTTCGTTCACCCCACCAGTCGCATCAAGCTCGTCATCCCTTGCGTCGTCTAACTCGCTGGAGGATCCTCTACCCTCAATCTCAAGCTCGTCCTCGTCCTCGTCCCAACTGACTTCATCCTCTGTCGCCGAATCCTCTGCCCCACCCACCACCACTACCCCCTCAAATCCAAACCCCAACGTAATCATCCCTCTTCGAGCCTTCTCCCCACCTAAATGGATCTTCTCCCACCCCTCCACCTCCACCCAAAGTGGCGATGACGACATTCGTTCTCACACGGTGGCCAGCTCGAGTACCTCGTTCTACGATGCACATCGATCAATTCGTGGGGAGGTTGGGGAACATTATAGAGAGAGTTTCCCTGCTTATGCACCCAGGAGACCTGGCATACGGTTCGTCAAGGCGAAAACGCCTGTTTTAAATGGCGGGGAAGTGGGGGGCGAGCATTCGAGCAGCGTAGTGGAGGGGACTCAAAGTGGAGGGGAGATAGCTCAAGTCTCGAAAGGGAGTCAAGCCAGAGGATTGTACGAAACTCTCGTAGGAATCAACGCTCCACCTCGTCTCGTCGAATCGCCGGCGAAACCGGTTCGGAAACCTTCAAAGAATCCACCCTCTCGCGAATCAAAACCCGTCGATCTTGATCTCACAAGTGATCAATTCGACTCGGACTCGGACTCCGTTTCGGATGAGAATGAGGACATCATCATTTTAGATCCTCTAACTCGACTCCCCGAACCGAATTCACTGCCTACCCCACTACCTCGGACCAAGCGAACTCGACCGAACGCCGCACCTCTTCATCGAGCGATTCACGAATTACTCCCTTCTCAACCTTTGGGCGACCCTATAGCTCCACAAGACCAAGCTCAAGCTCAAGCTCAAGGGATCGTCCCTTTAGTCCCACCAACGTATTACGCGATCCCCTCGACGAATATAGGATGGAGGATTTTACAAAGACAAGGGTGGAAAGAAGGGGGTTCTTTAGGTGTTGTCCAACAGGGCGAAGGAGGGCCTGAACAAGGCAGGGGTTTGAAAGTCCCTTTGAAGGCGAGTGATAAGTTTGATAGGAAGGGGTTGGGCAATAAGCTCAAGGGTGATGAGGAAGAGGGGGCTTTGAAAGAGAGGAAGAAGGAGAAGGAGAAGGAGAGGAAGAGGAGGGACTTGGTCGAGGTGGAGAAGAGGGGTAAAGGGAGTAGGGAGATTGCATTGAGGCAGAGGCAGGAGATGAAGGATAGGAAAGAGTTGTTGGCGTATATGAATAGGGATTGAAATACGATATTGCTTGTATGTTGTAATATAGAGAGTACGCAGCATGGCACTTGAAATACTCGATCGGGAGGCGAGGAGCTTTTACATGCTGGAGGAAATCCTTGTACAGTCGAGGCACGGCATGTTGCGTTTGATCTATTTGGTAATAGGTCTATTACTATACGATGATACAACAATCCTTACCCCGGTAGACACGCTGTCTCGAAGGCATGTCTAGCGGCCTCGCCCCCTACCATCTCATCTCCGAGACCCTCCTCGCAGCCGTCAACCTCGGTGAAAGTACGACATTTCCCTGTACCATCCTTGAGCCTATTTCATATGACTTGCGCTTCCCATCCCTCAATGGACTCCCCGATGTGGAAACAGAATTCAACACAGGTCGCGTCGGGGCTCGAATCGGTCGGCTTGGCCGAGTTGTTGGTTCCACTGCGGAATTCGCGTTGACTGGCGGGGAAGATGGAGAGCGAGCGAGTGGGGGTAGATTGGGCGACGAGAGGTCGTGCGAGAGGTGCGTTGTTTTGATGGGGAGGAAGAGCGGAGTTTGATTTGGTGTAGGCGGGAGAGAAGAACTTGGATGCAAGTAGGTTGGCTGGCGAGCTTGGTGGGGCAGAGGATGGAAGGTCGGTCCGAGGGCTGATAGGCCAGGATCCGGACTCCGCAATGGACCAATTGAAAGTGGACGTAGATTGGGTTGTGTATTCGTCGAATGAACCAGTCCCTTACCCGGATGGAAAGAGGAAATATTGTGTGTATTCCCGATCGGTGCTCTCTGAGCCGAAAGCCGCGGGCTACCACGCACCCCACTCGCTCGTCTCGGAGGCGAACCGTTAAGTTTGGCGAGACTTTGTTCGATCTCTTCCCTCCTCTTCCATTCGGGTAGACACGGCCTTGGAGAGGAAGGGTCTTCTGCGAGTGGGGTCTTGGGTACAAATTGGGTGACGGGTCGTCGTCGTGGTGGACGTTGGGGTGGTTCAATGCTTCTTGGAACGAGCATAGGGGGTGCGGTGAACCTTCTGGAGGAGCTGTTCCGTCTAAAGCGTAGCTTCAGGACGCTGAATCCCTTCCGAGCAGACTTGTATCCGAACTCACATCGACCGAGTGACCAACAATGCCAAAGGAGTGTCATCTTCCTTTTGCTCCTTCTCTCGCCGTGTCGAGTTTCTTGGACTGGGACCTATTGACGCCGGATGAGCGGACATGTAACTCGAAGGCCGCTCTTTCAGACCAGTTTGTACGCCTCCGATCCCAATGGGGCCTGGAAGACGGTACTGGGGCCGGTAGTACATCTTTGAAAAAGGCGTAATCGATTCGGTGAATCCTCGCGAGGAAGCAGGGGGTCCACCGATTTTGGCGAGCGTTTGGATTCGACCACTCATGAAAAGGGGCGGGGATCTCAATCGAGATTCGATCGGTCGATTGAGAACAATGTTGTCGGAGTACAAGAGCATTTCGACATGCGAATCCATGAAAGAAGGTCGAGTGGCCCATTGCTGAATTCGTTGGGGAGTGGCAGGAAGGGAGGTACTGCGCATCGAGCGTGTTTTTGCGGTAGTCAGGGGTACCTCCTCGATCGTCGATCTAGGAAGAGTATCAACGAGTGGACCTAGGACTTGTTGGAGTGAGATAGCGATTGACCTCGCCCCAGTCAAAGGAACGACGTCATCCTCGTTCCCTGCCACAGAGCCATAACCCTCCACTTCGATCCGCTCATGCGCAGTCGCCCCTCGTTGAGCTTTCCTTGCTATCCCAACACGACCCAAGACAACGCGCATATCCATTTCTGGTCCTTTTTCTCGAATATGACGATGCTTGTTTGTCGAGAGAGGATGATGCAACGTTCGAGTAAGTCGGGAAGGGATGGGCACCGAACGAGGGAAGGAGGATGAGAGTCGCAGGACGGTGTAGTCTAGAACGTCAACGCCTCTTGGACCGAGTCCGAGACGGTCTTTCGGATTAATCGGGTACGAATTGGAGTGGATGGTTGATTCGGGTGTCGGTGTGGTTGATTGCCGTCGGGAGTAGGTTGTGACCGGGAAAGGTGGGGCGACGTCAAGACCGTAGATGGCGGCATCCTCAGCGTCGACCTCGGTAACGCGATTTTTGTTGGACGTGTTGGGGTCAAGTGACGAACCTCGCGAGTATTGAGCCAGTTCTGGCCTGATGGGGAACCGGGGATCACTCGGAAGAACTGCGCGAGACCGAGTGAGAGGAGGTGAAGCCAGCTTGACGGTAGTAGTACCCTTGTACGACGCGTGCGAAACGCTCGACGCGGCTGAACATGACGAAGTGCTGGTGTTGGTGTAGGAAGGCGTGGAAGGACAACTCGTTTCACACGTCGAATCGCTTGCTGAATCACCGGCGGCTTGGACGAGTTCGAGCCAAGATGCGAACTCGTCGTCGAGGTGGGGTGAGGTGGGGGGACCGAGCGAGTGGAGACTGGAGGATGCTGCAACGAAGTGATAGCAGGTGAAGGTGAGCATCGTCTCGGATAGTCTCTACGCCAGGAATGGGACTCACTCAGGGAAAGGTCCAGACGAATGGGTGGGATTGACGGAATTGGCACAGACGTGGAGATCTTGGACCGACGATTAGGGGTCGCACCGCGCGCAGGATCGACGGACTTGTCAAGCTGTGGCTGCCCCCGAGTCGATGAAGATTCCTTTCGATGCAAACCACCACTCTTGACTCTTCTCACCATGCCTCGGACGAGTTTGTTAGTCTTTGAGCGTTCTTTGTTGGTAGTAAGCATCGCCGATGGAAGAGCTGGGACGGGAGGAATTGGCTCTGCCGGTCGCGATGGGGAGGGAGAGGAGTCGACTGCTCCGGCGGACTTTGAGCGTCGTCGTTGAAAATGGAAGACCATGATCTCGACTGAAGTTGAAATGGAATGAACAAAACACTGAGTGGGCACGATCGCAAGCGCAGAGAGGGGTTCGTGCGCCAATGGGCTGAGCAAAGTTGTCCACTCGGGAGCAGGGAGCGGTTGACGGTGAGGAAGAAGCTGTCGTGGGGGAGAAAGAATGGCGTGACCTTGGGGAGTCCGAGGTGGAAGTGACTGGTGTGGATTGGTGTGAGGTCCTTGGGTGAGGTGAGGAGGAGAGGGAGATCTACAAGTTAGGAGGAGAAGGGGAAGCTATCTTGGACATGTGGTGCACATACCCCTTCGGATCCCTGGGCCAAGACCAGTGAAGAACAAGCTCTGCGGTGCACGGTTCTCGCCAGGCGCGTCGCGCGAGATGCCGGCTCTTGACGTTCCTCCGTAACCCCTTCCCGCCCCTTGCGGCATGACGTCGCCGTTCGGAGGAGGCGCATTCGGAGCAGGGGCAAGTGGAGGTGGTGGTGGTGGAGGAGCTTTTGGGGGTGGCTTCAGCCAGGCCACCAACCCCTTTGGAGCTGGCTCGACGGGCGTCTTTGGCGCTGCTGCTCCCTCAAGTGGTGTCTTTGGTGCAGCCGCCTCGACTTCGACCTCGCCTTGGCGGGCTTCGACTCCGGCGTCGGCCCACCACAATGGATCGACCTCGACTCTACCTGGTGCACCGTCGAGCGTGTTTGGATCTTTCGCAACACCAGCATCAACCAGTGCAGCGCCACCCGCATCTGCCTTTGCCAACATCCCTCAACCTCGGCAGCTCGACCGCCGACCACCAGCTTCCTCGGTCGCAACACCTCCTCCACCACGCGATCCTAACCAGATCTCGACGCTTGAAGTACTCGGCGAAGACTCGGATGCAAGGAAACAGCGCTTTGAGAGTTCCCTTGCCAACAATCGATATCTCGAGGTAGGTTCCCTCCCGCTCGGCCGGGTCTTCTTCGTGCCCGGCTGGTTCAGTGGCGCTGACCGACGAGATGCATGTCCGTGTTGCGTTCATACGACAGTTGAAACCATTACGAGAAGCTCAACGCTTACGGGACATCAAGAATGGGCTCATCCCCGATCCGCTCAAGCCGATGCGCCTCGACCAGGCGACCGACTTCCTGGGGACCTGCCAAGACATGTGTCCCGCGTGGGAGCGGGAGGAGCGAGAGTACCAGAACAACGTTGATGCACTTGAAAGGGTCGGTGCATGGAACAGAGAATGTGCGCCGTTCTTGCGAGCTCAGCGCTGACAGGCCCCCCCGTCCTCCTCGCTCAGTATCCGGGTACGACTCGCATTGACCCTGCCCGAGCTGTCAAAGCATTCCATCGACCCGCAGCAGGGAATGAACAGCCTCTACCCTCGGATGTTCGACCACCACGCGTACTCAAAAAGACGCTCGACTATCTCTTCCACCACCTCCTGCCGACCGCGCCTTTGCACGTGACCCACCCCTTCCTGCGGGATCGAACCCGTTCCATTCGCCAGGACTTGACGATGCAAAACATCCGTGGAGAGGAGGCGATCGAATGCAACGAACGCATAGCTCGGTACCACGTTCTTGCTCTCGGCACATTGCGCGAGCAGTCGAGTTTCAGTGAGAGTCAAGAGCTCGAACAATTGCGCAAGGGTGAGCACTGTTTCGCCGAGTTCGGTTGGGGCTATACGCACACTCACACCCGAGCCTCTCCACATCATAGTCCTTAAATCTCTCAACGAGTTCTATGACGACGCTCGGCTCGCCAATCCACCGATACCAGCCCCCAACGAAGCCGAGTTCCGAGCTTACAATATCCTCACCCATCTGCGCGACCCCGACATCATTTGGTCCTGCGAACTGTTACCGCCGCGCGTATTCGACGAACCTCGTCTTCAAATCGCATTACGGCTCCACGCGTTGGTGCAGCGCTCCAACATCCCTCGTGGAGAGCGGGCAAGTCTCAATGCCGCTTCCCGGTTCTTCAAGCTGCTGGCGAACCAAGAGGTCCCCTACCTCTTTGGCTGTATCTTGTCGACACATTTCGATCAGATCCGCAAGAACGCCCTCGAGACGATGAAGAACGCCTACATGCAACAGCATAGTGGGTTTCCTGCGCGAACGCTCGTCAAGGTTCTTGGGTGCGATGATGAGGAAGAGATCGAGTCGATCTGCTCACAATTAGGGATAGGGGCGAAGAAGGACGAGAGTGGAGAACTGGTTGTCATGCTTCATAAAGCGGCTGTGATCAAGAGTGAGTCTGAAGGGAGCTTGAGTGAACTGTGCTGTGAGCTGAGCTGCCCGCTTCGCTCTTTGCAGATGTCACATTGCAGCAAAGGGTGTCCCAGCGTCTCGTCGAAGCAAAGCGAGGGACGACGACCTATCAAGCCGTCATCGATGGTGCGGACTATGTCTCGGCTGCCGTGCAAACCCTACCCTCGGCATCCTCACCGGCCGTGTCTCGAGCTCCTGCTGCCCCTGCACCAAAAAGACCTGCACCTACCCCAGCCGCCCCACCCACGTTGCTCACCTCGGCCCCTCAAGTTCCGCCGTTCGACATTATTAAGCCGGCCCTTGTCGAGCACAAGGTGCCCTCTTTCCAGACATCAACCCCTCTTGCGTTCAGCTCCGCCCAAGCCTTACCATCGACGACCCCATCGACCCCATCTCTCAATCCCGTTGCACCTTTGTTCGTCCCAACCTTCGCTGCGAATCCGAAGGCCGCCGCATCCGCTCTCAATCCCTTTGCATCTGCTTCTACCGCTTCGGCTGCGTCAGCCTTTGCACCACGCCCCCAGCCGAGCGCCTTCTTCGCGCCTCCACCGCAGCGAACTGCACCGAAACAGGAGTCGGGCCAATTTCCCGCTCCCAAAGCGTTCAGCTTCGAGTCCGCACCCCAGCCGGCCCCAGTTGTCGAGCCGCGGAAAGCTGCCGAGCCTAGTCCCGCAAGCAAGCCATCACCTGAAGTTGTCAAATCTGCTCCGACCAAGCCCAAGTCGGTCCAAGCGCCGGTCTTGCTCCCCAAGTCGCCGTCGCCGCCGAAACTTGCCAAGGTGGATCAAGGTCCTCTGATCGCGTCACTCAGTAAGATATTCGTCGACGAGTTACTTGCATCCGCTGCACGGTCGTGTGCTCAACATGCGGCCGAACAGGCCCTCGAGGATTATTGGGACACGATCGCGCATGATGAGCAAAGGACGATGGAGTACGTTGCTGCGAAGCTGGCTGCTGACCTATTGGAAGGCCATGCGAGGCGCGTGACGGCGAGTGAACTTGTTCGAGCCAAGAGGCAACGACGGATGACGAGGAATGTTTGGAACTCGTGGAGGTTGAGGACGATGTTGAGTTTGGATGCGAAGGAGAGGGATCGAGAGAGGAGGAAGAGGTTCGAGGAGAATGTCAGGGAAATTACGGCTTCGGTAGGGGTGGGGAGGACGGCGTGGGACCAAGGGGAGGATTATTCCTTTGATGGGGCTTTGGACCTCTCGACGCTTTCGTTGGGGTTGCCAGACCTTGATGCGCCGTCGGCGCCTTCGGTCCAGGCCGATCGAGCGTTCGCGGATCAGATCTATACTGCTCAAGCAAGACGAGACAAACTTTGGAGGTCAGGAACGATGCTTCACACTCTGGCCCAACACGTCGACTCGCTCGTGCCTACTCAGCAAGCCACACGGCAAGCATGGGCTGCCCTTGTCTCGACAACCTCGACCACTTCGACGTTCGCAACTTGGTTGGCTCGCAAATTCGACTTGTCCGACTTGGAACTGACGAGTACGATCGACATGCCGCATGTCGACCTCCTTGTCGAGATGGTCGCGCACGAGGACGACCCACGCCAAGAGACCCTGGATGACGTGGGGTTGATCCTGCTCGATTGTACCGAGGAACTTGCCGCTTCGGATCTATATGCCGCTTGTCAGCGCGTTCATCAACTTGTCGAAGCTGCGAATGAGGTTTCACGCTTCAATCCATCGTTACTTATCACGTGTTGCCCTTCGACGACGCTTACGCTGGAGGAGCAAGTTGAGCTTAAACAAAAGGTGAGTAAGGTCGTTCGTTTCTTCAGCCCCAAGATCGAGCAACCCGATTGCTAAAGCAGGAACGCCATGTCACAGCTTTTGGATGAGCTTAATATCAACGCGCTTTGGGATGGATTGCAAGCGGTGGATGTCTGGATCGCAAGACTAGATGACGCTGAGGAAGACTTTGATCAGCTCATACGAACGACTTTGCCGAATCTGGCGATACGGGTGGATCGGGCTAAGCGCCCTCTCATTGGTACGTTCGGTTCGGGTAGCGTGCATGTGACAGCTTGGAACTGACTACTTCTGGCACCATCAGACTTCGTGGCACCTCTCTTACGGTCTTGGTCCGATGCGCGGGCTTTTGCACTCTCCCAACGTTGCTCAACTGACGATCGTGAGTCGAATGGTAAGCCAAGTTTTTTTGCGCGGGAAACTGATCCCTATCATATCCAGCTATTACCGCATGCAACATCCTCTTGTCGTCTTTGTCTCTGATCCTCTCTTCGGCGAAAAAGACCGCCATCGCCAACTCTCCCTTCCATCCTATCGAATCCTTACCGCTCTTGTCCACCACCGCCTCAATGTCATTCCGCAACCGCATACAATCTTATGTATCGGACAAGCGACTAAAATTGCTTGGACCTTCACCTTTGCTGAATTCAGCGTTGAGCGAGTTCCCGCCCGTTACGGATGGTCAGTCACTGTGCTCATATGTGCGTCGAAGCCGATCTCGAAGCTCACGCGCCCTTGATTCCTCCTACGACTCGCAGCCACGCTCGCTCGTTTACTCTTCGACCATCTGGAAAATCGTGTTCTCTCCAGCGTGGAAGGGTGCTTCATACAACAAGATACCTACGACTATGAACTCCGGCGAACGCATGCACGATTGGCAGAACACCTCTTTACTCTACCCCGGGACGACGACGAGCTTTCCTCTGAACCTATCAAAGAGAATATCGCAATAGCCTCGACGACTCTCACATCGAAACAAAAGGGCAAACGCAAAGCTTCTGCGTCCCCCGAGGTAGCGTTGAGCAAGAACAAGAAGACTGTTCTTGAACTGAACGGGACGACACCGTCGACGACGGTGGATCGCTTGAGCGCGTTGGAGAAGATCATGAAAGAAGCGAAAGGGTTGTTGACGATGGGAGGGGGGAGTTTGGAGACGGGTTCGAACAGTTCGAGGGTGTCGATTGTTTGATGTGATGGTTTTGTAGGATTTTTAGAATATTTAGGGGTCTTTGATGACGCGCATGCAATCTTACGAACTGTGATAGATCGACCAAGCATCGTTAAAGTCAATTCCTTCCATCTGCGATTGAGCTGATGGAAGTTCAGAAAAAGAGTATTCTGGATGGTCCCGTTTCTTCTTTTTGTTGCAAGATGTCCGACGACGAACAGAAAGTGAAACCCAACATGGGATAGGCTCGATTGCGGAATCCGAGCGCCTTCCGAAAAGTTCCCAAGAAAAGGACAGGCGCCAACGATGTCAAAGGGGTTTCGATTGCAGTCCAAGATCATTCTGTACTCATTCGGTGCGGGACTATCTTTCTAGAGCATGATATATGCAGCACTAGTATATGCAGCATGATGGCATATCCTCTCAAGCGTGTAATCACCCAGAAAGTAAGTTTCGGCCCATGACGTGAAAGATAAGACAAAGGCTTGGTTCAGAGACCTCGATGATGCAAGGCAAAGGCTTTCCCGCGTGCGTACGAGCTCCGACCGCTCACGACCTTCGTTATGACCATGAATGCTCGTTGATTAACCGAGGCTGTGCAAAGATTGTCGGACGGATCTCAAAAAATATGGGCAGTAGATTTGAAGTAGTACTATTCGTTTGTGTTTGGCACATAAATAGTATTCAAGCGATTGAGAGTCCGCCGGCCCGCTGCCATCGACTCCAAAGGAGCCAACGAGCTGCAAGGGCCGCGGCGTCCCCGATTCCCGATTCCCGATTCCCGAGTCCCGTCGCCCTCCTCGCCGAGGGGCGCAGGCCATCGCGCCGCGAATGGGAAAAGCGAAGCCGCGTCCGATCGGATTCATGCATCATGTATGCACAACGGGAGTCGCGAGCCTCAGCAACGTGGTGCTCCGGCAGATCTAAAGTGGCTTCTCCTTTGTCATTTCTGAGAAGGTGTTGGTAGGTCCTAGTGGCTTTTGCAGATGTGAGAATATGAAGATACCGCTTTTTGCGGAAGTTGTCAAGCGCAGCGCGGCACCGGTGACGTCGCGGGCCCAGGCGCTTCACCGCCAGTTGTCCTGTAAAGGGGCCAAAAAAGGTGATCACAAAAAGGAAGCGGCAATTATTATCTGCAAGGTGCGACTGAATTAGAAACCCGAGAACCCGAGCACATCCGCGATGAGACGAGAAAACTCATCACACGCTCGCAGTCGAGGTGGTACCTAACCTAATGCAGTACAGTCAGACCTGAGAAAATTTATATTTTCGGTGGACGGATTTTCCCATAAATTAAGACAGGTATAAGCTTGGAGAGTGCGGCTTCAGATCACTACATTATGACCTGAAACTCCGTTCTTGAGCTTCCTACATCAAATCAAGAATTTTCGTGCATCGTTTGAGTCGATACATTGACTTTTGAGGGGGAAGAAATTCAGAAGGCCCGAATTACTGAATTGCAGCCAATGTACGGCCTCTACTGAGGCATGATGACACCTAACAAGTTTTGAAAGCTCCAAGAAACAATATCTTGACCTACTGACGCTGGAAATACGAAGTCATTGTCGTCTGAATCCTCGCGGCATCCTGCTCGGCAACAAGAGTCCTGCGAATCCTCCTAGCCTCGTCCTCAAAAGAAATCAAATCCGTTGGACCTGAGTATTCATTCATAGCAAACCTAAGGAAAACATCAAGCGCTGAGATTGCCTCCTGCAGCGTCGTTCGCTCCGCCGGTCGGAGCTCTATCTCCCCTTCCTCCTCTCCTCCTTCTTCCTCGCAATTCTCTTTCAACTCTTCGGCAATGACCAGGTCCACAATCTCCTGATCGGTCATTTCCGCCCCACCAGCAAGGTTCTCCTCCTCCACATCGACGAGAAAGTGGATACTCATCTTCTCGTTGCTCGTAACTATGCCCTTTTCGACCAGCTTATCGTTCGCCGTCTTCAGAGCGTTCATCGCGTTGATGATGCCGCGATCGCCATTGAGAGGCCCGCGACCGTTGGGAAGAGGTGTATGGTCGGTCGATCCTTTGTTCTTGCGATCAGACAAGATTTGAGCGTGGCGCCAGCAGTTGGCAATCGTCTCGGGGGCGGATGTCGTTCCACGCCTCATGTCTCGCAATGATGCGAGTCTTATTCATCTTGACACCATTTCGACCGTTCCGAGCAAGGCCCGTAGACGGACGCATAGCGTAGAAGAGACCGGTTTCGTCCATGTTGAAGATGTCACTTGGGTCCTACTTGTTCGTAAAATTGTCAACCGCCGCCTTTGCTCTCCTGTGCTCGCTTCTCGGCTGTTTCGGGGCATTTCGGACTCTTCCAGCAGGCGGCTCGTCAACAAGAACGCCGAAGGAGAGGCCAATTCCTGATCAATCGCTCATTTCCGGCTCTCTCTTATCTTATAATTTGACCTGTAGACCCATAAATTATAAGGTATAAGATTGGACAGGTTCTGTCAGCCAAAAAAGTCGGGAGATTGAAAAGTCCATAAATTTTGACAGGTATAAGATTGGGCGATATAAATTTTCTCAGGTCTGACTGTACCCGAAACACCGACTTGACAGGTCCTTCACAGAGTACTCGGATGCCAATACGAAGGCAAGTTGACGTGGAAGCCAGGGCCTTCGCAGCAGGGGCCCCGGGAATAGAATGACGTGCAGAAGAGTCCGACTCTGTGACGACGACGAGAGCCGGTTCGACTTCTACCTCCAGTTCGTAAACCAGAGTGGGGAAGAGCACGGCTGTTACAAGAAAATTTAGGAAGGCACAATTGTAAGCCGTGTTTACCTTCGTGTCTCAGGGATTTTTTCATTGCGAATGAATATTTCCGAAAAAAATGTCGGGTTGAGTCGAGCTGCCGGCCTCGCTGCGCCGAGGATATTGAGCGCACGCCGTTCGGCTGAATCACGCGTGCATGCATCCACCTCAAGCAGCGGGATGAGGGGTTTTGGTAAGGAACGGTCGTCGTCCGATCGAACGGGGCTTAACTCCGTTTGCTCAATTAGAACTTGGGATCACACACAGGGCGTGACGTATCGGGTGATGGCGCTTGCACCGGATTTCATGCGGTAACTGCGAGTCCTCATCCAATTTAGTCGGCAATTGTGGTCGACTTCCGTTGAAACGTCTATACGTCGGGGTCGGCCTCAGCCTTGCAAATGGAGTTGGCGTTAGAGCAATTCATCACCACCAAAGCCAGCCGACGGCGAGTACCGGCGCCGCCAAAACAGCGATCAATGGGCCCCAAGACCTAACCCATCATATTCGATCCTTTGAACCCATTCGATGAGTACCCACTCTGCCCCTGCTTCAAGGCCCAGCAAACACGCCGACGCTTTCACTTTCGACTCTATCGCAGTCGCCGTCGCTGGCAGCCGAGTATAGCCTCTGTGACTCTGTCGCCCCCGTATGAGTGTGCGTCTGGGTGCATGTACAGATGTTCTCGAATTTTGTTCATATATTTGCCAGTTTGTCGTGGCTTTTTGACGGCCACCGGGGGTGCGGTTGGCCCCCGAGCAGCTTCCCGTACCGGTTTGAAATATACGCGGCGCGCCGCACCCACCTTTATCGACCCTCTTGTTGAAACTTCGTTTGCTTAAACTTCGATCACTTTGCCACGGCTGAGCAGCTGGAACGTTCGCGCTCTCAAAAGGAACGTTGTAGTTGCGTGCCTCAGTTAACTTTATCGATGTTTGCTGACTTTTGCAGAATTCGTCCAATTACCCATGTTGCTGAACTGGGTCCAGTGAACGCCCTTGTCAGGCCATTCAACACCCGAAATATCAAAGCTCATCCGTGGGACGTTCATTGTGCGTCGAGCCCCACATGGCCCGCCGGTGCTCGAGCGTCGGGATCGACTAAAGGGAACCCTGACTTGACAGTGCGCTGCCAGGCTCGAGCGTTCGTGCAGCGCTGATCGCCGCGCGCCTGAATTGAGTCGAACTCGGTCATTTGGCGCGCTACGCCAGGACCCAGGAGCCAGGGCCCACTGGGGCTCCCTTCCGCTGCTCGAGAGACGGTGGTCGGTTGTCTGGCCTTTCCCGCTCGTTCCCTCAACATCGCGCCATCCCACATTTTCTCTCCTAAATTACCTGACTCTCGACGCCTTTCTTACGACCTTTCCGCTTGAACTTTCGCTTTTCCACGTTCGCCTTCCCTACTGCTTCCCAACATGGCCGCATCTCAGCAGCACCCGGCGGTGCCTCACGGCTCGTTCCTCAGCAGCAGCTCCTCGACGACGACCGCAGCTCCTACCCGGCCAAAACGACATGCACCACCGCCAACGAGCTTCGATGAGGACCGAAACGACCATAGCCTCCATCGGTCGACCTCGTCTTCGACATCGCAGCCGTCGTCCACCAGTTCGCGAGCTTCGAAGCGGGCTCGAGCGATGACCCAAGCTCAGGCCCAAGCCGCCCAAGCCCAAGCCCAGACGCATACCCTCTGCCAGCCGACGCCCGCGGCTCCAGCGCAAGCGGCGCACGCGAGGGCCGGCCAGCAGCAGCAGCCGCCACCGCCGCCGCCGCAGGCAGTTCCGGTTTCGTCAGGGCCATCGCAGCACCATCCCGCCGGGGCCCCTGCGTCGACCTTTTCGGGTTCATTGACTCCGTCGACATCGCATCGCCATCACGGTTCCCCCCACCAGCCTCGACAGGCGCCTATTCAATTCGCAACCTCGTACAACTCAGCGTCGTCAATGAACACCTCGCCCCCGCCCCCGCCTGCGCCTTCGCCGAATTCGACCCTCCTCTCCTCGGCGTTCGGCGGTGCCAACAGCAGCAGCAACAGCAACGTCGCCGCGAGCGTTTGTTCTCTCGATGACCACATGGACTCGCCCGGTGGTGCTTCCTCGACAACCGGCACGACTCACGAGAAGGAGCAACGTAAGCAGGCTCGGATGATCCGCAATCGCAGTAAGTTCAGGCGGTGCCACTCAATTCCTGTTCCTCCGCTCGGTCTGCTCTCGGGTCTATCGACTCCTCGCCTCCTGTCTTGGTGTTTGGGCGTTTAACACGGGTCTTTCGACCATTCGATTCGGGATCTCTCTACGGTGTTTTGGTTTGCGAGCGATCTCTACCCGGGACCATTGTCCTGTCTCACAAGTCGAACTTTCGACTTGCGAGTCGCGAGCTTCACGTCCGAACGAACTCGGATTTTTGTGGGGTAGACGCGGCTCGCGCGATAGCGGCGCGGAGGATTGGGCGGCCGGCCCAGCCCCGCTTAGCGCCATCGTCGACTCGTCGCCCGGTGCGCCCTGGTTGGTCGCCTCTGGTTCCAGGCCCGTCCAGCTCGCGGGCACGTTTCTGGCAGGGTTGGAAAACCCACCTGCGTTGCGATCCATTTACGGAACAAGGACTGCGCACCCGTCATCGTCGCTGTTCCCATACGATCGAGCGACCGACGGCGCGACAGTCTTCTTTTGGTCAACCTCCGAGAGAACATTTCTCCTGAGCGAGCCCACGCTCGGCGCCTCCCCTGAGGCATGGCCTGAAAGGCGCCTCCTGTCTCGCACCCGAACGGCCCTTCACAATTCCGCGCTAGTCACCTACGCCGCCTCATTTCTTCCGATATTCGCTCCGGTCATTGGCCATGCTGACCTAGATTGATTATCTCTTCCTTGAATTTTACGAATAGACGCTGCACAAGCCTCTCGCGATCGCAAAAAAGAGCACACCGTTTACCTCGAGCAGCGGGTCGCGCAGCTCGAAGCGCAGCTTGCGGTCCCCCTTCCCTTTGTGCCGCCCCCATCCCACGGCGGGTCATCGACGCCGACCTCTCACACCTCGACCTTGCCGTCGACTCGGTCAAGTCGCTCCCACTCTGTTTCTTCCTCGACGACAAGTGTCAGTGATCACCCGTCGTTGCACGGCGCAGCCTCGTCCGCGGCCTCTCCGGCGTCGGCCGCACCGTTCGCGAGCAAGATCGCCGAGCTCGAAACAGAGAAGGAGAATCTACGCACCCGCCTCCGTGCCGAACAAATGGAGTCTAGTCGACTTCGGGAACGGTTAGAGTCGCTCGAGGACAAGTTCAAGCGGTTCGAACAGTTCCTCGCCGCTCCGCTGTCGACCTCGGCCCCCGACCCCATCACCTCGCACCCGTCGCCGACGCATGCGAACGGCTTCCCCGTCGCTCCCGACACCACCTCCGCTCCCGCGCTCGGACCCGCCTGCTCGCTGAACGATGTCTGCGGCGACGACTCGATGACGATCCGAAGCGACTTTGACGATCCCATGTCCCCCAACGGCACATCGTACAGCACTTCGCCGTCGAGCGTGCGCTCATCGTCGCGCAAGTCGAGCCCTTCCTCCTCGGCCCACTCGTCGCCAATCAGTACACGACGCTCCACGTTGCCAAACTTGACCCCTCACTCTGATAGCTCTCGCCTCGTCGCACGCGAGGTTGAAATTTCCCTGCCGCGGAAGCTATCAGAACGGGCCCTGTTCATCAACCTGGAGCGCTCGGCGCTGTCGCCGACCCTGTGGATCTAGTCCAGGTCGACATCACCTCGTCGCCAGCCTCGGACCCGATCGAGGCGGCGGCTCCCCCTCAGCTCCACCTCGACAGCGAAACGATCGCCAACGCTTGGGGCGACTGGGCCAAAGGTATCATTCACGACCCTAACGACGACCTCACCAACGCCCCTTGCCCGCCCTCCGCACACGCGTCTCACGTTAACGACGACGAAGACGCTTCTTTGGAATTTCTCGACCTTTCTTATCTTCAAGACGCACCGATGATGTGCTGAGCTCCATACTTGCGAAACACACGGCGAGATTGATACAGTAGGTCCTCGATACAAGCAGCGTCTAGTAGTTCGAACGCTAATCGGTATCCCGTTTTGTGAACATTCAGGTCGCAATGCCCTCAGTCTCAACTCCCACCCTTACATTCCCGCCTTCTTCTCACCACCCAACCCTGCTGTCCCCTCGCCCCTTTGTTCTCCTCTTTCCATGACTTTCCACCTGCCCTTTGATCACTCCCGAGCCTTTTCCGGTGCACCCGCTTGCGCGTTGGTGCCGCTGCTCGTCAGAGTCCGTGCTCTTCCTCCAACGTGTCCTCGTTGTTCCCCGTCTCTTTGCGATTGCTCTCCTGCTGGCCCGTTCTTCGTTTACGAAGAGTGACTGTGCCTTCGGTTCGATTGAGCTTTCGCTCCGATGACGTCGGGATGACCTGGGCTACACGCGGAGGAAGCATCGACTTGGCGGCAGTGATGCCAAATCGCGTTCGGCATTTGCTGTCCGACGGGCTTCGGTTGTCTTGTATCACAGGGCTTTGGAACGGTATGGAAAGGAGGCTCTGTGGTGAGGGTTGACGCGATTGGTGTGGTCGAAGAAGTAGGGTAAGACTGGACGGAGTTGACAGGGCATGCGAGGACCATCGCATCTCCCACGAAACCGCAGCTATTGTCGAAGCTCGCAGACGAAACCGGACTTTTTTTGGAATCTTGGACTGAACTCTTCATTGAGCCTCGATCCGGACGACTCCTCATTTTTCTCTTTCTTTCGGCTTCTTTCTTCGTCCCCAACACCATTCTCTGCCACACGACTCCCACGACCGACGCGCCGTAGTACCCTCAGCTCTTGGAGACCCCAACATTTACGACCCCCTTTTCTGTTCCACCTTCGCAACTCTTCTCATAGACGGACACGATCCATCCTCGAATGTTTTTCTCTTTCGTTGACACGCCCTAACGCCTCCCTCGTCGCACCTCTCCCCCATCAGTTTTGCAGTTGTCACGCTTTCTCCTCCCTCCTCTTTTTTGTTTGACGGGCAACGCTCCCTCCACCATTCTTGCTTTTTGTTTCTACTCTGTTTACTACTCCACCAAGCCCCCAAAATCGTCCAAAGTTACATTGCAACGCACTATTGAAAGTTTTTCTGATCACTTTATTGACTCGAGCCAGTCGCGGATGCTTCTTGCGAGTAGATCCGACAATCAATGATCGATCCGATTCGCGACGGCGCGGCGAACGAAGAAAGACAAAGGCGACGCGCTTGGGCCTGCATGTCTTTGCAATCTACGCGTCTCTTTGCACGTGACCATCACCCGGCCTATCGGCGCGCGGCCTCGACATCACACGCAGGCAACCACGTCAACAGCACTACAACGTGATTCGATCGTCCTCTTGACTTCCCGGACTGGCCATTCACTAGAACAAGCGCTCGCCGGGCTTGATTGAGCCGGCGACTTGCCCTCCGAGTCGCGAGGACTCGCGTTCGAAAAGAGGCGCGTCGAGTCGCGACGAGTCGCGACGAGCTCTGGTTTCAGCCAACGCAAGCCATCAAGGGTGTGAGTGTCCCCGGCTGGCGTACTTGCCATTTCCCCATGAATTGATGTAGTGCGAGAGTAACTGAATGCGGTGTGTTTCACAGTGGATCAGCATGGTCAATGATCGACCGACCGAGAGTCAGGCCAAGCATGCGCTCGCGTCCTTGCTCGCCGCTGCGTTCCCTGGAGCCAACAGCACCGGCACTAGCACTGGCTTGGGAACGACCGACCTCAATGCCGCGTCCCCTATTGGTTTCGATGCGAGGGTGGTAGCGAGCAATGCGCCTGCCACGACGGCTTCGACCTCGTCGGCGGTGACGCAGGCGTCCTCGGAAGAACTGTTGAGAGCTCTCACCCATGGAACCATATCGTCCGGATCGAGTCGAGCCAATCACCTCGTCGGTACATCGACGTCGAATCTCATCCCACCTTCGTCCTCACCCCGAACGACGGCGCTCAGTCATACGCTGGAATTCCTCGCCGCGCAACCCAACCTCTTTGCCGGACTCGCCGTCGCTCCTCCTTCCCCCTCGGCGCATGTCAGTCGAAATAATCCCCCTGTATCCTACACCCCCCTCCCAACTCGATCGGGTCGAGTACCCCATGCCCCCAACGCCGCAACGACGACCGAAACCGATCGCGAGACGATGCTCTTCAACGATTATTTCGACTGGCCCAGTTCAGACGAGGACGATCCGGATTTTCAACCCGGTCGAACGAACCCCGCATGGGACGATGGTTTGTTCGATCTTGGGACCGCAGGACCGAGTAGTGGTGGCACGAGATATATCTTCTCGCCTGATGAAGAGGGGGATGAGGAGGGGGAATCGGATTATAGTGCAGTCGATGAGACTTTCACGCCGGGGAAGGGGTTGGTCGATGTTGATTTCGGACCGTTGGTTCCAAAGTCGGTTTCGCCGACGGCGGTGGGGACGCCGCATTCGAGGGAGTTGAGGTCACGGACACTTCAGTCATCTTCTGGACCCAATGCACGATCTATCGACGAGCTCGCGGTCGGATCGAGTACGCATCGAGGTCCGCCGCTTCCCTCGAGCGCATTCGAAGTCACCCTCGCACCTGCTCTCGCTCCAACCCGATCCAAGCGACCCACCACTACCCCCAGGATCGACAAATTTACCTCTTCCTCTCCAGCTCGAACCTCCCCTCGTAAGAAAGCTCGAACGAACCTATCCCCCATGACCGAAGAAGATGATCGAGCGACCCCTATCGCCTCGACCTCCCAACTTCCCTCCACTCGTCCGAACAAAGCCAACGTAGTTTACAAATACGTGGATACTACCACGACGACGTATTCGGATTTACCACCTGGGATGGCGAGGTTGAAGAAATCGGCGGGTTTGGGTCCGGCGCCGCAGCCGAAACCGAAAAAGAGGAAGGTCGTAGCGCATCCTCCTCCACAACCACTACCGCCACCGCCACCACCGCTACCAGAGGGGTCATCGCATCAGGGAAGGATCCAGGGTCATGTTGCGGATTTAGATCGCGAGATCCCTACGAACAAGTTGGAGAATACGCCGCTCCACTCCAACGTGTCCTCAACTCCTTCTCAAGCCTCCCCCGATCGCCGCTCCGGTTCGATGACGGCCGAAGAGAAACTTGAAGCGCGACGCCAGAAGAATCGGGAAGCGGCGAAGGAGAGTCGGTTGAAGGCTAATCGGGAGAGGGTGGAGAAGGAGGAGAGGTTGGTTTTTCTGGAGAGGGAGTATGTTAGGTTGACGAGGAGGGTGAAGGAGTTGGAGGAGGAAGGGAGGGGAGGGAGAAGTGACCGGAGCGTGGGTGGGGATGAGGACGGGGATGGAGATGATGATGGGGACGGGGAAAGCGTGATTGATAGTTTGGAGGATAGTGAGGAGGAGAATGAAGAGGAGGAGGCCTGGGGTGGGGAGGAGGAGGAAAGGGCCAAAACTGCGCAGGAAAGAGGAACCCGGGCTGCAGGTGGGAGTGGGGCTGGGGCTGGGGATGATAGACGTACATCACGAGCGGGTTTCGATCTGGGGCAGTTGACGCAGCATCAGTTGAGCGAGCTGAGTAGGTTGTTGGCTTCCGCGACGAGGAATTGAAGAGCTTGGGCGTGGAGCACCCGTTCTTGGGAGAGAGCTTCGAGGCTGGACCGTCATACAACTTCTGGGATCTTGTATGATTACAACATTCCGAGATAACTATACACTCCCAAACTTAAACGCGCGAGAACGCGCGCCTTCTCATCAGCTCTTGAGGAACGTCATCAACTTTGCCCTCTTCTTCTGCTCCTTCTTATCCTTGAACGCCTGCACCTCCTTCGAACTCGGCTTCCTCTTCCTACCACCTTGCTCCTCGACCTCATCTTGCTGGCCTTGGTAGAGTCCTCGTCCTTGTAGGGATTCGGTCCAGGCGTTGGTGTCGTAGAAGGCTTGTTGTTGCCTCGACGAGCGCGAATAGTCCGAAATTCGATCGGGGACCATGGACGGATCACCCTGTTCGTCAAATGCCGAGAAGCTGTCAGGCCTTCACCTCACATCTCAGCACTCACTTTTGATCAAGTACTGACCTGGAACCTCCCCGTCTTTGAATTGAACCTCGCCTGAAACACCGGTGCGGCCCCACCTCGTGTCTGTTGTCTCGCCAAGTTCGGATCGAGGAACGCCAAGTCCGGGTCGATGCCTCGGTAATTGATGTGCGAGTTGGGATCGTCGTCTTGTGCATCTGCTGTTGTTGTTGCGGTTGTTGTGGAAGGACCTGCGGTGGGTTGTGTGGTGGGTGTCGAGTCGACGGGTGCTTCGAAGGGGTTCGTCCATTGCGTGACGCCCGTGAGCGTGTGGTGGAAGTAGTAGGCTTGTGCGCTGTTCGAATCGGTGCGATTCATCTCATCAGTACGACCAAATGGGGTGTTACCCCTGCAGCAAGACTGGTGCGAACTGACGTTGGATCCCAAACGGCTGTCCAATTCGGGTCCCGGCCTTTATGCACGCCCGTTGCGGGAGGAGCAGGTTCGTCGGGTAAGGGAGGTTGAGTCGATGTCATGGCCGTTTCTACCTCTGGTGCTGCGGGTGTTGTGGCTTCTTCGCCCTGCTCAGCTGCTGCGGCATCCGCTTGCTCGTCGTCGTCGTCGTCGTCGTTAGTCACTTGTGTTAGCTCAGCTTGAGCTGCTGTGTCCTCATTCGACGCAGCTGTTGGAGCAGGAGGTGGTGGTGAACCAGCAAGTAAAGAGGGCTGAACGGCTCCTTGCGTGACGGCGGTGGAAGGTTTCTTGGTTGGCATCTTGGTGGGGTGGAGATGGAAGTGGAGCGGGAGAGAGCCGGACCAGAGCAGCGCAGTCCAAGTGAGATCAATCAAGAGTTGGTTAGTAAGATCCAAGGTCTACCAAAAACGGCCTCGCTCCGACTCTGTAAGCTGTCGTTTCACCATATAGTGTTTTTTGTTCTTTTCTTTTCCAAACTGTCGTATAAGCCGGCAAAATTCGGCGCGAGGCTACGCACTTTCGATGCCCCTTTTCCGATGCCCCTCGCCGGACGTGATCGGAAATCGTCCACGGGACCGTTCCAGTTTCGTTGTGAGAATGCTCGGATTTACAAAGACGTGGGCTCGTTCGGACATTGAGGAGATTTTATTCAAATCGTATGTGCTTCTAATCCATAGTGGGTCCGATTTCAGCTCTTGATTATCAACCCATCAACCCATCGGGCCAACTTGTCATTTGCCATAACCAGACTTGAGCTGAGTCGGCGAGTTGAGCACGCGTCGACTCTGCACGCGCCCGTGCGGTCTGACCGTGTCCTACCGTGTCCTATTACCGTGTCTGACCGGCTGATCGTCTGCGCTGACTCGGCGCCTGACTCGGCACCTCACACCCGATCGGCTCTGGCCATTTCGTCCGCCGGCACCGACGATGGTCGCTGCACCCATGTCGTCCTCGAATACGACGTCGATGAGCAATGGTATGAATGGGCGGAATGGGCGGAATGGCGCGAGTGGTGGGCATCGAAGGTGAGCTTTCCTGTAGTTTGGATCGGAAGAGCGCAGTAGCTGTCGTCGTCGTCATCGTCGTCGTCGTCGTCTGTCGGTTCGTCGTCCGTTCGTCGGTGGGGGCGAGTCGTACCAACGCGTGGCGCTGCTGCGATCGCACGGGCCATGGCCTCGCTGGGGGCAGTTTACCTGGTCGTTCAAGCCCGTGCACATGTGCTGGAGTCCCTTGTGCACCGTGGCTGCTCTGGTCGGGTTGCTCTCGGTGTTGCACTGCCTTTTGGGCCTCGTCGGTCGACGCTCGACACTCGACGCTCGCCGGCCCGCCACGTGAGGCCCTCTCCGTTCGCGTCGAGGCGCGCCTGCAACTGGTCTTCTGCGCACGGACTCGACAGCCCCGAGACGCTGGCAGAGAGTGGTGACTTGTAGATATGACGTACCCAACACCAAAATATTCTCCGTCTCTTTCCGCGATTACCACGAACTACCAAAGCCGAAGCCGAGGGTGGAGCACCGAACTGACTCATGGCTCGGCCTCCTCTCGGGTCCTTCCGAACTTGCAGAGCTCGGTCGGTCGCCCAGAGCATCGACCCGGCATCCCTGGTGGCGTCTACCCCCTCACCTCCTCCACCTCCACCTCCCTCGACTTCAATGATCTCACCTTCCACCTCGAGGTTGTCCGCCTCGACCCCGCCTCCACCTTCGATTTCGCCCAACCACCACCATCAGCAGCAGCAGCACCAACGCCGAGCCCAGTCCGTGTCGTACCTCCAAAGCGCATCGCCGTACTCGCCCACGCGCGACTATGATCCATCAGACTACACACCCTCGGGCTACGTTCCCCCCGTCGCTGCTCCAGTCACTTCTACCACTGCGTCCTCGAATGCGAACGGCTATGCCCACGGGAATGGCAACGGCAGCCCGTATCAGGCTCCGGTCCCCGTTACCCCACCTACGCCCAGTTCTTCGGCCTCGAACAATCCCAGCCCGCACAAGCGGCGACACCACAGTCTGCACAACCTCGGCCCACTCATGGTCCCGTCACCGCCACGACCCAGTCTGAGCACACCACCACCCCATGGTCTGTCGTCGTACATCATCGAGGAGGAGAACGAAGAAGAGGTTGCCGAGGCCAACAAACTTCCTACAGCGCCCAAGGCCCACGATGAAGACGATGAAGACGAATTTCCCGTCGAAGAAGACGATGAAGAGTCGTTCCTTCCTTTGCCATCCCCGAATTCGTCGTCGATGCTGTTCCAGGTCCCACCGACAACGACGGTTGCGAGTTCGGCCACCTCGTCCCGGACCGAGCATGCGCGCTCCCACTCTCGCATCCACGAACGCAACCTCTCCGTGTTCTTCCCGAGACCAGGTCAAGCGGCGCAAGGCTATGGCGATACTTTTTCCGATCCGAATGCGTCGACCTCGACCTCGGCACCCGCACCCATCGTGGATATCTCTTCCCCGACCTCGAGTCGAGCGTCGGACAGTCGATCCCCACCTCCATCCAAATCACGGCGAGGGCACCACCATAAGCATTCCGTTTCGCACAACTTCTTCTCCTTCATGGAACCAGGGCAAATATCGCAGAACGGTACCTCGCCTGTTTCACCACCATCAATGGCGCATGGTCGTCGTGCCTCGATCGCGAATGCCTCGGGCCATGCCGCGGCCATGCCGTTTCCCAAGCAATCCCACCTCCGGTACAAGCATGCTGACTTGCCTTCGCCGCTTCGCTTCTTTATCCTCTCGGTTTTCTACCTTCCCTCGTCGACGCGCGGTCAGTTGCTGCTTGCGGTGGGACAGGTCGTGCTAGGCGCTTCGCTATGGATCACGGGGCAAGCCGCCGAGGCACTGAGTGTCACAGGTCTCGGCTACCTCATCGTCTTTGATGGTCTAGGCGCCCTGTCACGGATCTTTGTCGATGGTGCGAGAGGGATAGACGCCCTTTTGGGTGCCTTTGAAAGCGGGACGGGCAACTCGAGCATGCGAACACCCTACGGCAGTCGACGCCTCGTCACCCTATCTCACTTCTCGCAAGCGATCTACCTCCTCTTCTCGGCCGTCTACGTCTGTAAGGAATCCGTCGAGCATGTGTTGCTACTACATGGAGGAGCCGAGCATGGTGGAGCTCACGGAGCAGGACATGGTGGGATGGGTCACGGTGAGGCAGGAGCGGGGATGACGGCGCCTGGTGCGCATGGAGGTACGACGAGCGTCTTGGAGGAAGGCATCAAGTTCCCCGTCGTTCTATTGGCCCTTTCAGCGACGTTGACGTTGTTGACGTCCATCATGATGAGCAATCATTACGCTTTGGCTCAGGCGATCGGTCCGACTTCGTCGTCTGCGGCGATGCTTCCTTCGAGACCGAGACCTTTGAGCAGCTTGAGGGGTCCTTCGGTGGTCGAGAGGGTCATGAACCCGTTCACGGCTACGATATTGATGTTTAGTGTGGGGTTATGCGCAGCGGGGCTGACGATTCCAGGGTGAGTTGTATCTCTCTCCCTCTCTCTCGCCCAGTGTTTGAGGCTCTGGCTCACACCTCAAAGATTCACGTTTCTGCAGAGCCCAATTGGCGCCGCTGGACAAGGTCGTGGCGTTGATGCAATCGATCGCCATGTTCTACGTTGCATACCCGGCCGCGGTTACGACGGGTCAAGTCCTACTACAAACCGCACCTGATCCCGAGTCGCTCAATTCGAAAGCTGTGCAGAGTGCTGTGCGAGATGTGAGTGCCGTCGATGACGCGTCCAGGTGTTAATTCAGGGGTGCTGAAGGGGCTTCCCTCGTTTCGGACCAGATCGAAAATCATCCACTGGTCGTCTCCTTAGACCGACCTCACGTATGGCAAATGATCACCCACCCCGCCTCTCTCAACGCCTCCTCTTCGACGAACCCCACCCCTTCGAACATCAACCCCTCCCAATCCGACGGTGGCGCCTCGCTCATCGCGACCCTAGTCGTACACGTCAAAGCCTCTTGTACAGACGCCGACATCTTGACCGTGACCAAGTTCTGCCGTGAACGATGTAGAGGACCTTTGAGGTTGGGGGATCAGGGACCCGATGCGCCGAATGAGAGGTTTGGTGAGGTGACCGTTCAGGTTGTGAGGGAGAAGAAGGGAGAAGGGGGCTATTGGGCTCAGGGTGATGGGGTGAAGGGGATTGATGTGGAGTATTTGAACCATGGCGTGGAGCAGGGGCATGGACATGGACATGGACATGGGCAGGGGTTGAATGGTGGTGCTGCGGACGGTGGTATGCATGCGCATTCACATGCTGTGAAGCAGCAGCAGCAGGGGCATGGAGGACATGGGGGGCATTCGCATGCGCATTGATTGATTGATGGTCGATCGGTGGTGGGGGCAAGAATTTGACATCCCTTGATCGACGTCCGGCGTTTGGCCGGATACGTTCGGCCGAACGGATTTCTACACCGAGGAGACATCCCCACCCCTCTTCCACACTACTCTCGTTTTGCAAAAGTCGTCGGTTTGTTTTTCTATCGTATTTTCGTTAGGGTCATTGCCCTTATTTTTTTTATGTCTTATCACCTTTGTGAGGGGTTTCGATCCTTAATGCTATCACGATGGACTCTTTTGATGATCATGAGCATTCACGTGCTGTGAGAAAGAAGTGAAACTATTTTCGCTTAAACCCCGCACGGTGCAGCCTGACGAAGCAGAGGACTGAAAGAGGCTGATTTCGGCGCGGGCGTAGAAGAGAAGGGGCATCATCTACCTCTTGTTCTGGATTCCGAATTGTAAAAGGATATGCGAAGACAAGTTTCTTATGGTGGGACAGCGTCGAGCCGCGAACTGATGGGCGACTTCGGGTAAATTGCTCGATCATTTGCCGATAGCGACGCGAAGGTCCGAGACTTGAGGTACCCAAAACTCTGGAAACAAGAGGATGGAACATCACTAGAATGCACCCCACGGAAGTTCGAAAACCTCCCACCCTTCCACCGGACCGGCCGACCCCCACTTTGGTCCGTGCCCGTCCTCGTGCCCTATTTTCGAGATTTGAGGGCACGGGATTCCTCGATTGGCTTGGCGTTGCTCAATAGGGGTCAGTCGACTTTTAAACTCTTTTTTTTTAGCTCCGCGCACGCACTATTCGGAACTTTGACGAGCCGAGGGGGGTACACGTGATGCTACGTTCCTCCCCCACGTTATCGAGACTTGAGTGATGTGTGGGTGAAGTTTCTGCGCAGCGGCTCGGTCCCGCGTGGGCTGGAGAAGGAGAAGCTCGGAACGGAGAAGGGCGTGGAAGGGGAAGGAACTTCCCGGATCATGCAGAAGAGCGAAGGGTATAAAATCGCGCATGGATTAAGCGCTCTCTCCCTCTTTCTCTTCACACCGCAATTCTATCCTCCTCACCACTGCTCCACCACAAAAGCGAAACACACAGCACACTCCCTCCCAAAGCGATCATGAAGTTCTCCATCCTTCCCGCTCTCACCGCTTCGGCCCTCGTCTCCATGACGCTCGCTGCTCCTGCGATCACCGCCGAACAAGATTCTCACCTCGTGTAAGACCTCTCTCCCCTTGAACGAGACGCCTCTTGGGTTGATTGCTGACCTTGATCCGACGTCCGACTTTGTGACTTCCCCAGTGCTCGCGCCGGTGACGGTGACACCTCGTTGATCAAGGCTTGCATCGTCGCTTGTGTTCTCGACGTCTTCGGATGTGCTCTTAGCATGTAAGTCATTTCACACTCTTTTCTTCCCCGTTCCGTTTCTTCCAAAGGCTCGGAGGACCCGACCAAGAGCTGACGCTTCTCCCTTCTCTCTCTCGCCTTCCTCTGCTCCAACCAGCCAAAAAGGTACCTCCTGCGCCTGCGCTACGGGTTGCAACACCTCGCACGGCGGCAGTGGCCACGGCAAGGGCGACGGGTACAAGCTCTAAGGTAGGTTCCGCTGTGTTCGGACCCTTAATATTTCGCAGCGAGGAAGAAGGCAGAAAGGAAGATTGACTTGCGCTTCTTTTCTCCCTTCTTCCTGACTCCGACAGTACCTCCAACGATCCAAGATGTTCCCTCTTCTTCGACTCTACACACCGGAAGACCTTAACTCAAGCAAAGCCAAATCCTACTTGACATCCTACAAAGGTCATCCATCGTTGTTTCCCCTTCGTGTAGGGAATAAGAAGAACTAGGTGAAACCCTCTTTTTTCGTTCATTAGCTCCTTTCAACCCCCTCCAAGTTTCAGGACACTTTTCGTCGTTCTACTTTTTCGCTTCATTCAGTCTTTTTGCTTCAGTTCGCTCGTCTTTCCCGAGACTCGCTCACTTTTTTTTTTTTTCAATCTTCGTCTGTGAAAAATAACACGTTGTTCCAGTGTTGGAACCTTTTGCATCGTTTTTATGTTTGTTCTTTTTGTACGAGAGAGCTTTCGTTGGTTGAGAGAAATGGGTATTCGGCCCGGGAGAAAGGATGAGTGAAGTTTCCAGGAATCGATTACAACGGGTAGAGTAGAGGACGAGCAAAACAAAACGAAATGCGATGACGAATGAAAAGATAGCAGGAACAATATTGACCGGAGAAACGAAAGTAGCACAAGCAAATGAGAGGTAGGAACCCGTCAAAGTGTCCAAACTCAGATCCCTGGAGAAGAACGCCCCTCCTCGGAGCTCAAGATTCCTCAACCCAAAGTTCATCCCACACCCTCGGCCCGGCATCGATGGCGACTCCCCCTTCCCCCGCAACGGCATACAAGTTCGCCATCCTCTCCAACAACTCCTTCCTTTCCCTCAACACATCCCTCAGATGATCGACCGTCTTCCCCAAAACGACGGCTTCGGACTTGGGTCCGGCCCTTCCATCGATCTTCTCTCCCCCAATTTCAATCCCTCCACTCAAAGGACCTGAACCCCCTTCCGTCTTTGAAGAGGATGACGTTTTCGAATCGTTGGTGGGTACAGCGCCTTTCTTGACGGCCGAAAGTTTTTTGACCCTCTCGTCGAATTCCTCGATCGCGGCTCGAAGACTAGGTACGATCACGCAAAGCGTTTCGTAGCCATGTCGAATCGCCGCGCGTCGTTTTTGTTCCGAAGCGATGTGGTTCGCCTTCTTCTGTTCGGCCGTCAAGAGACCCGGTTTACCTCCGTTCAAAGCGGTCAAGGAAGCAGAGGACGTCGAGGATGGAGGAACGGGAGGTGCTTTCAGTAATCGACGAGGTGTGAGTTTCGGATAGGGTACGTTCGATGAGGGAAAAGGTATGTTGGAAGGGGTCAATGCCGGACCGGGGTTGAGTGTTTCCGAGTCGGTTGAAGAGAGCGAGCCTAGGATCGTTGTTGAGGTGGAAGCACGAGGTCCGTTCCTATGCGATGAGGCACGAGCATTGATACTACCATTCACGCGCGTAGCGGGTGTTTTGCGTTTCGTCGGTCGAGATGCAGGTGAAGGTTGTGCGATGACTTGGAAAGAGCTCGTCGATGCGACGGGTTGGTGCAACGTCTTGGCCAAATGAACGGGTCGCATCGTCATAGGTGAGGTCTGCAACATCATCTCGGTCGTAAAGCCGTTGACCGGCGCATTTGGGATGGGTAGAAGATCTAAAGGCATGGGTACGGTCGTCGCTGCACTCGTGTCCATCAGCGTGGGAACCGGCATCCTCCCCGCCGTATACCTCTGCGCGAACTGGGCCTTCTCCTCTGCGGCCTTGAGGCGAGCGAGGTCGTCGTTCGACGAGGAGGAAGACATGTTTCGTTCGGTCGCGTTGGGCATGTCCATCAAAGGTGTCGCGGTCGGGATGACACGTCCTCGCTTGTTCGGACTTTGCTCCTGCCGAATCTCGCCCGAGGCTTGTCGCGTTCGGCGAGCTCCTGCTTCCACGGCGTGAAAATGGGATGAAGGCCCAGCTTGTGGTGCGTAGTTTGCTGCGGACGCCAAGGCGGGCACGGGGGATGCTGATGGTGTCGGTGCGGTGGTCGTGGTTGGCTTGGCCGACGCGGTGGATCTAGACCTCATCCAATCGGCCAATTCTCTCGTCTGTTGCGCCATCCTAGCGAGTTTTTCCTGATCGAGCAGTTCGGCTGCATGACTCGGAAAGCTAGGTGGGATCTGATCCGAGTAAGATTGGGATTGATTCAACGATTCGGGTGGGTTCATCATCGTTTGTGGTGGGGGTGGGATGAGGGTCGGGTTGGGAAAGAGAAATTGCGAATTGGTGGCGAGGCGAGGTCGAGTCGTGAAGGTCGAATAAGCTTGAGGGAGATGGTGCGTCGAAGAGGTTGACGCATGGGGTAGGTCATGGTCTACCGTATCGAGGAAAGAGCTGAATTCTTTCGAGTCTTCGGGAGAGAGGATCGCTGCCATTGTGCGTCTCGTCAAAGGGGGGGGGGGGAGCGCAGTCACTTATTCCTTTCCTAGGGTCAGGCCAAGCTCAGGACGAGGACGAGGACGAGAAGATCGGCGTGCGGTGCATCCAACGTTCTTTGCACCGGGGCCTTCTCTTGAGCCAAAGGATGAGTACACGCCTCGACTGTCGATCTAATTCAGGGCCAAAGAGGGCGCGTGCTTCCGTGCTTCAGCTGCCGATTCGTGTTCTGGCACGATCTCGGCTGCTTGCGCGCGCCTGAGGTAGCGCTGTACGGTGGGTTGCGCTGTGGGAGATGGGGCAGGTGGGGTCAGTACATGAGCGTGTAGAGTGGTTTGAGACTATGACCTTGAGCTTGCAGTCCAAGTGACTGCTGGTGGAGCTCGCTGGCCAATGAGGCAGCTGACCCAGACCACCACCCACACCCGGTGCGCACGGCCAACCCACACCCCAGGCGCCAATCTCATCCCAACAGTCAGGAACCAGTGGTACTCACAACCAGCAAGGTCTTGTGTAGCTATTCCCTGAACGAAAGAGGTTGAAGCGTCGTTGCACGCGAGTCGGAGGCGTCGATCTCGAGCCGACCGGCTGACCGGCTGAGAGTGGTTGCTGAGTCCGAGTCTGAGAGGCAGTAAGCGCGGGAGCGATTGTGCCGAGCGCCGCCGGCTGGATCGGAGTCTATTGGAGCAGATTGGAGCGTGATACCAAATCGCCGTCGGCTTAGCGCTCACGCTCACGCATGCTGTGTTCGGCCAACGATTCCAGAGCTGATGTTTTCGGACTTTGGCGTCCACGACAGGCAGATGCCATTTAGTGCATAGGTCCGTGCGGCTCCCAACACTGCACTAACCAGAAATGGATGCCGACAGGCGAATAACAGGCTGTGCAACGTCCTCCTTCAAGTTCTCGGCTAGCCTCGACCGAGTGGACCCGTTCAACAAGCGAGCAGACTCTCCATTCCATGCATGAATGAATCCATCGGAATAATCCGTCAAATTACTAGTATTGCAGCTATCAGCGGGGATAAATTGCTCAGATTATTGTATGGTAAAGCATTGTTTCGGGGATGTCATCCTACGCTCCTGCACAAGGGTGCAATTGTAGGTCGAAAGTGTAGTCGAGCAGCCTGGAGACCGGGAGGAGGCCGAGCCGCGCCGACGTCACTTCCAGGTCACGAGGTCCGAGCGTTCGGCGCCCAAGAAGCACCTGCAGGGTGACTCACTCGGGCATGCTCCTCGTCCTGCCTCACCCGACCTTCCCCAACCTCGACGCGCGAAATTTCGACGAGCACAAGATGGACTCGAGTCTGTTGGCCTCGATCCAAAAGGGCAAAGGCTTGAAAAAGGTCACGACCGTTGACAAATCTGGGCCAGCAGTCGCAGGTCAGTTTCAGTTTCAGGCGAGCGTGCCACTTGGCGACATCGTGGGGGTGCTATGGAGTGTGCTGGCTACTGTGAGCTGACATGTTTGGATCGTTTCCATGTATTCCATACGATCCCTCCTCTCGATGTGCGCTGATGGCTGGCCAACTCACTCGGCGTCACACCCACACACCACCGCGCTCGCTCATCCATGTACGGGCCCACACCCGAATCATACTGCCACAGGACGACCACTCGATGGACCTACTCGAGCAGGAAGACCAGGACCCCCCGCCAGACCTGCCGCAGCTGCCGCAGCTGCCGCACCTCTAGCCTCGAACGACGACGATGACGACCGACCGCCTCAACTGGCCGGTCTCTTTGCCGGTGGGATGCCCACCTTGAAGAGTCGAAGTGGGACCATACCGACGGGCAAACCAGCTGCACCTGCTGCACCACCCGCTCCTACTCGTGCACTTCCCGCTGCTGCTCGTCCTCCACCACCAAGGCCAACAGCCGGCGCTCCCGCCGCGCCCCCCCCACCACCGGGGAGACCGCCCGTTGCACCGCCTCGTGCGCCGCCGCCTCCTCCTTCGGCCGCCGGAGGTGCAGCGGCGAGACCGCCTCCCCCTATTCCTTCCCGAACTCCTGCTACACCTCCTCGACCGCCTCCAGCTCCACCTCGCGCAGCCGCAGCCCCGCCTCCATCGCTGCCAGCTCGACAGGTCCCAGCGCCGCCTTCGCTGTCTCAGCGATCTGTGCCCTCGGTTCCTGCTGTTCCTCGGCCACCCCCACAGGCTCCGCCGAGTCAGCCTCAGCTACCACCTCGAGGCCTGCCTCCACCACCACCGAGACCGACCTCATCCGTGGCGGCACCCCCACCGCCACCACCCGCTCCTCCTGCTCCGCCTGCCCCGCAAGAACTTCCCCCAGCGAGGGCTGGGCCGAGTCTGCCCTTGCGGGCCCCTATCGACGCTCTTTCTCCAGCTCGAGGCATTCCCCCTCCCCCTTCTCGTCCACCACCGGTGAACGATAGCGACGACGAAGAAGCACAAGACCAATACGGCCATGCGACATCTCGACCCGCATGGATCAAATCCAAACCACCCACAGCGAACGGAGGATCCCCTGCTCGAGTACCTCCACCACCCCCCGCTTCCAGACCCGGTGGCTCAGGTCGCGTTCCACCTCCACCACCCCCTTCGAGAGGTCCCGCCGCTCCGCCATCTCGTGTCCCTCCTCCCGTCGTCGAGGCTCCCGCACCACCCTCACGGCCCATCCCTGCTCCGATGGTGGCCCCTCCCGCCCTCCCTCCGACGCGTGTTGCCCCACCCCCTTCTCGAGCTCCACCTCCACCCATCTCGGCCTTCTCAAGCATGACTGTCCAAGATGGCCAAGAAGAAGAAGACCAAGGAGCCTATTCGAACTACTCGAACGGAGGCTACGCCCCTCCACCACCTTCGGCTCCGGTTCCACCCCCACCTCGTCAGATGGCCCCCTCCGCAGCAGCGCCGATCTTGGCACCTCCGATGAAAAGTGCGCCCGCTGCTCCTGTCACATCTCAAGTTCATCAAACGCCTGCTCGGAGTGAGTCTCCCACACCTGAGGTATCCTATGAAATGCGCGGGCAAACTAACTCCGAACGCTCAACCCTTATCTCACAGTCCCCTCTCCACCCCTCATCCTCGCCCTTCCCTCTGCACCAACACGCAATTTCGCCCCTTCGAGTCAATTCCCCCCTCCTAGACCTTTCGATGCGGGAGCGATGAGGGGCTCGGGGAGAAAGTTGGGTTCGTGGGATTATCGGTCGCAGATGGTGTGAGGGGGAAGAGGGGTGAGGGTTGGGCGGGGTGTATTTGGGAGTCGATGGAGGTGTTTAGTGCGTTGGCGTTTTTATATATTAGTGAGTTAGTGGAAAATATAACCTTTCGTTGTGTTCATGGAAGTGCTCGCTCGACCGGGGGAGAGGAAATCTCTGATGATGTCGAGCAACGACCCGCACTGCCTGCAGATGCCCGAGGCGGAAATGGCGCTGCAGCAGGAACCATCTCGAGCTCCTGAACGAGGTTCTAGAACCATCGGATGTACTAGGTCAGTGGATTCCTCTGCTTGACGGACGGACACGGAACCCCTGAAACACTCTGATCAACAAAGTCACTTTAAAGGAGTTGACCCGCTTTGAAGGATAGTGACCGTCGAAACGGATGGAAACAGTTATCTTCCTTGCTCGGACTGACCAAAAAATCACGCCCGACCGCTTCGAACGCACAGTTCAATCACAAGCCGACGGTTTTATTACCAAGTCGTGCTCGGGATCCCACTGCGCTGCAAGACGAGTGTGAATCCTATCCACAACAAGTCTTCTCGACGTGCCGGGAGGATGGACCCAGCGCTCGTGTAGAAGGAAGAATTAAAATTGTCAATAGCAGTCAAAGCCATCTTGAAAAAAAAAGTCAGGATGAACACGTACGTTAAAGTTTATGGGTTTCAACGCCCGAAACATTCTTTTCGTTCCTATCTTGTCAGTCAGCTGCGAAACAGGAACGAGTGGCGTCGCCGCGGGTGAAACTTCCCCGATCCCCGACTGCGACTACTCGCGCACGGTGAAGCCTAACCAATGACGACAGGACTGCTTATTGGGTCCCGACACTTTGGCTTCTATCCCCGCGGATGATGATCGATGCAGAGTGTTAGAGGTGGGGTCTGAGAGCCTAACTCATTGCTATTAGTCTTGGTTAATTCCTTATTCTGCGCGCGCGCCTATCTCTGTCTTTGCGTCTTTTTTCCTTCTGGGTTTCCTTCTCCACGCTATTCTCATCATCTCACTCGTGTACCTCGGAGCTGAGTCGTGGAGTACCTCTTAGTCCTTGTCGTAATACAGAGAAACCAAACTTGTGGGCTGAGCCGAGCGTGAGGAACGCTAAGCTCACCCCCGGAACTCACCCAAGACATAGGAGACGATTGATCGGCGACGCTCGCCGGTAAAGGACGCGCTCAGTCCGACCTCATACGATCTCTTTAAGATAGCTGCAACCTGCACCGCTTCGTACGTTGGCAGCTGAGACGGACGGAGAGGCACCTAATTAGAGACAAGTTCTGCCTTCATTTTTGCAAACTCGACCCGGCAGTGGGATCATTGGGTCCTGCTCTCTTCTCTCTTTCTCTTCTTTCTCTCTATCTCTTCTCACATCCCTCAGACCCCACGTCTCCTAAACCCCTCGCATTATCATCAATCTCTACAGCAGCGTCCACACCTTTTCAAGCTTCATCACCTACTGCACATCATGTTCCGTTTCCCGTGGCTCGCTGCATCGCTCGCCTTTGTGGTCTTCATCTTCTCAATTGAGGCTGCTGCCACATCGCCTCCCGACCCTTATGGGCCAGTCATAAGGGATTGCTCGATTATTGTGGAAAACTCAGAGGAATTGAAGGGGTAAGTCTTCCCGAAGTATAACGGCGCGACTCGCTACCAGTACTATCACTGATCAGGCAAAACCGTCTTGGCGCCCGCACACCGCTGGCCATCACTGAAGAATTCCTGGGTGCAACGTCGTCTCTAGCGATCCTGCCATAATCAACAGCTGCCTATGTGGCCAGTATCACTATGATGTATGGAAACAAATGGATACGTGCATTACGGCCGGTAAGCTTGGTTTCGAAACGGTTAGGTGAAGCGCGACCCCTGTCTACTGGTGACTTACACTCAAGGGCCCCCTGTCTCTCGCAGACCGACAGCATGTAGTTTCGGACGTCGATTGGTGGCATGACTTTAGATGCGCGACTTGTTACAGTGCTAACTATGGGAACAACCCTGTGGTCAAATCTAGTAAGTGTCTTGCCTTCATCCTTTGCCTAAGTTGGACCCCGAGGCCACTGAGCTGGCACACAGTGCAGCGCCCCGGCAAAGTTGCGGACGCACTGGCTTCAGAAGCTCATTGGCTGACATTCACTTTTCTCAATTCTAGAGGTGTGTGCACACTCAAAACGCAAAATGCCCTCCAAAGCTCGCAAAAGAACGAAAATGCCCTAGGTACTCCTCATAAAGACAAACATGCCTTCGTGATCTCAGAAATGATGTATCACTTCCAAACTTTGGTGATTTAACGGCTCGGATGATCCGGTGATCTCTCTCGCTAAAATCACGGGCGTTGGTACAACCACGTGCTATCCATGCGGTGCAATATACCAACTCATTACCGAGAGATCCCCATCACTCCCCCCCCCCCCCCCCCCCATCACGGTGACTAGCGTGCAATCCAGTTCGCGACGATGACTTGGCAGCTCGGTGATTTCAAGACGTGCGCCTGTGGGACACTGAGACCTCACCTGCTTAGATAATGTAGCACATCCTTGCCCTGCTCCGAGATCTGACGAATCGACGGACGAAGGATCGCCGACGCTCGACGGTAACGGACGCGCTCAGTCCGACCTCACATGATCTCCTTAAGATAGCTTGAAATAGCGAAGCCCACTCAGGGATGATAAAGAGACAGGATCTATCGTATGTACGTAGGTCTTTTTAAGGGTCGCGGCGCGAGATATTCTTCCCGCTCCTATCTCGGCCACAAAATACGAACGGGCGGCGTCGCCGCGCGTGTAACTTTCCCGAACTGCCTCCAGTTGTGCAAAGTGTTGCCTGACAAATGACAACAGTACCACTTGGGTCCCGACAATTTAGCTCTTATACTGGATGATGATCGATACAGAGAAAACAAAGTTGTGGACTGAGTCAAGCGTGGAGAACACAAGGCACACCCAGGAACTTACCCAAGACATGGGAGAGGCAAGATCGGCGACGCTCGACGGGGACTGACGCGCTCAGTCCGACCACGCATGATCTTCTTGAAACAGCTGAAATCAGCACCACCTCGTACGTTGGTTTAGGTGGAGATGGACGAAGAGGCACCCCCAAGCCAACACAGGCTCTGTCATCATTTTTGCAGATTCGAACCGGCGGTGGGATCCGGCTCTCTTCGTTCTTTCTCTTCTTTCTCTTCTTTCTCTCTATCTCTTCTCACATCCCTCAGACCCCCCGTCTCCTAAACCCCTTGCACTTTCGTCAATATTCAACGTCAAAACCATGTCAAGCTTCATCACCTACTGCACATCATGTTCCGTTTCCCTTGGCTCGCTGCATCACTCGCCTTTGTAGTCGTCATCTGCTCAATTGAAGTCGCTGCCGCAAAGGTCAAGTTTGTCGTTCCTGACCGTTATGGGCCAGGAATAAGGGAGTACTGGCTTATCGTGGAAGAAATTTTCAAGGAGCAGTAAGTCTTCCCTGTTAATTGATATGTGTCTGTGCCTGTGGTATCTGCGCGGATGCGCGTGCGTTTAGTCATTAGTCACTTTGGTATTGGAGTTTGATCTGTTTAAGTTAGGGAGCGCGCGGGGCTTTCTTCCCGCGCGGCTGTTTACTCTTGGTAGCTTTCTCATCACTCGCTCTACATTGTGGTCCTGACTTCTCGGCGTCGTGCACCCTCACCTATCGGAAGGCTTTACTTCCGCGCTCGCATCGTTTCTGCGATAGGTTATGAGCTCAACGGGCAGTGCCGAAGCCCGAGTCAGTAAAGCGATTCCCATCGCACCACCATCGGAATGGACACCGATACACCCTCCACCGAAACGAGTGATCGTGGAATACATGCCCCAATTCTTCGAGCCACCAACTACATGGATTGGCGTCGACGTCTTATTGGTCGTCTTGTTTCCAAGGCTGTGCATCTTTGCGCATCAAGGCCGTTGAGCGCCGCTGCGGAGGCCGTTCTTCAGGTCGCAATCGACGATCGATCGCGCGGCTTCCACTCGCCATTCGAGCGGCTCGACTTCGCATCTATGGACGTGAAGATCGCCAAGGAGCGTTCGAAGTCATCTGCAGCCCCTGCTATGGTTGCGATGAACACCCACCATTCCGTTTACCTTGCTGGTTCGTCCTCGAGAGCTCCCGATACCGATTTCGTTTGGATCGCGGATACCGGAGCTGGTCACCACTTCGTTGGCGATCGCTCGCTGCTCTCGGACTTCAAAGAATCCCCGATGCAAGTCCAGATGGCCGGCAATTCGCTTGGTCAAGCCACTGGATACGGGCGAATGTTTGTTAAGACTTCGCAAGGTCTCTTTCTCGAGTTCAAGGAGATGTACTACCTCCCTGGATCGAAGTATAGTCTCATCTCAATGTCGTCGCTCCGCGCTGGAGGCACGAAATTGGTTTATGGCCATGGGGGAGATACTCAACAGGTTTGGCTTGACGGCTCTCTCGTCGCCGAAACTGTCAAGACGAAGGCCAAGAAACCAAGTTACGTCTTCGATTTTGAGATCGTTCCCCCACCCTCGCCTGTGCTCGTCGCCACCACCCGTGCCTCCGTTGGCGCTTCGCTCATGGAATGGCATCGGAAGTTCGGGCACATGGCACCTTCATCAATTCTTCGTCTCGTCAATTCCAAGGCTGTCGTTGGGATTCGTCTACTCGACAAGAAGATTGAAGACTGTGAGCCGTGCATTATCGCGAAGGCGCGCGCGGGCCCTCACAATCATGTCAGTCGAAAACCCGAACATGTTCTTCAACGGGTTTCGATCGATCTGGGATTCGTCAACGATGACGATACCAAAGGACGATCCATCTACATGGTTATCGTCGACCAACTTTCAACCTATAAGTGGGCTTTTCCACTTGGTTCGAAGTCGGCATCCGAAGTCCTCGAGGTCTGGCGCGGCTTTCAAGCGCAGGTCGAGAGGCAGTCCGGTCAGAAGATCAAGTTTGTTCGTTCTGACAATGGAGGCGAGTTCGTCAACCAACTCTTTGGCGACGAATTCAGGGCACTTGGCATCACCCATGAACTGGCTGCACGCTACACGCCGCAGCAGAATGGTCAAGCGGAGCGCGCGAACGGCTCTCTCTTCGCGCTCGTCCGTGCCATGCTCAAGGACTCCGGACTTCCCAAGAAGTATTGGTCTTACGCACTGGAAGCGGCTGTTTTCGTTTCCAACCGCGGTCCTCACCCGCATCTCAAGGGCAAGACTGCGTTCGAGGTCTTCTTCGGCAAGCAACCCGACGTTTCGCATCTTCGCGCGTTCGGATCTACTGCCTACGTTCTCGTCCCCAAGGCGATTCGTAAGAAGCTCGATGATCATACTGTCAAGGGTACTTTCCTCGGCTATTCGGGGGAGTACAACTACAAGGTTCGCGTCGAACACGGTCGGTCTTTCAAGATCGTCGTCTCTTCCGATGTCACCTTCTCCGACAAGGCTCCTTCGATCGCGGACTCGGCTGTCGAGCCTCGCATCTACGAAGTTGAACCTCTACAGGAATACGAGTTAGTACACCAACCGTCGTTTCCTGGCTTGGAGCAGATTCCGGCTTTACGGCCTGCGCTCGTACCCGAGCTTGGTCCGGCTTTTCGGCCAGCTCCCGCTCCTCTTCTTCGTTTCCAACATATGGACGATGACGACGTTGCTCCCCCTCCTTTACCGGCTGTCGGCTCGTTGGCCGAAGACGCTGGAGGACCCGAACGATCATCGACGCGAGGAAGCAGTTGAGGCTATCGACAGTGACGATGACGACGGCCCTGCGGAACACGATCAACTATTACCTCCTGAGGATGGTTACGAGTATCGACCTTACCGTGTCGGCCGCAACCCTGGTGCGCTCGAGAACGTCGATGCAGGCAATATTTTACCGACTCGCCTGCGTGCTCAGCGTCGTGCAGACGCCCTTCGTGTCGTGTCTACTCGCTCGGTCAACCGTCGTCCACCAGAGCTCATTGCTATGGTTTCGTCTCGTCACCCTCCGCTTCCCAAGACGTTTGCGGAAGCGATGGCCTCTCCTGAGGCCAAACACTGGATGGCCGCTTCTGAGAAGGAGTTGGGCTCATTCAAATTGCACAAGGTCTTCAAGCTTACGAGGTTACCCACCGGGGCTCGCGCCCTGGGCTATCGTTGGGTGTTCACTCGGAAGGAAGACGCTGAAGGCAACATCATCAGCTATAAGGAGTTGGTGTGTTGGGAATGAGGGTTAGGAACCGCGCGTTCTTTGGTAATTTGTTTAGAAGCGCTCGTCTGTTTAGTGAAGCCTGGCGATGCGCACCAACCGTTGTCTTCTCTCCACGGTTGGATTACACGCTCGTCAAGTACGCATGTTTAGCTTCACAGCCACTTTCGTTGCAATTAACTGACGGTTGGATTACACGCTCGTCAGTCTTTTATTCAAGGCTCGTCTCGTCATCAAAGGCTTTGCTCAACGACTTGGGATTGACTACAACGAGACGTTTGCTCCTGTCTCGTCGATCACGACGATCTTGTTTCTCATCGCGATTTCTGCCGCTCTCGGACTCGTCCTCGAACAGTTCGACTATGATTCTGCGTTTCTCAACGGGATTATGGAGGAGGATGTCTACATGAAGGTTCCTGAAGGATGGACTGGTGGTTCTCAGCCCGGTCACGCTCTCAAGCTCCTGAAATCCATGTATGGCACCAAGCAAGCTCCTCGGCAATGGAACGCGGCTCTCCACAAGCTGATGACGGATCGCGGCTATACGCGCTCAAATGTCGATGCTTGTCTGTACTTCAAGTATCATGGCAAGTCGTTTGCGATCATCACATTGTATGTTGATGATGGGCTTGCTGCATCGAACGACCAGGCTTTTCTGGACTCCGAGATTTCGGCTTTCGATGCGGTCTACAAGCTCAAGCGACTTGGCCCGGTCAAGACGTTCCTCGGTCTCGAGTTTGTTCGAACCAAGGATTTCATCTTCGTCCACCAATCGAAGTACATTCGAGGCTTACTCGAACATTATACTTTCGAAAACAAGTCGAAGAAGCCGGTCGCGACTCCCATGGAGGATCGCGTCATCTCGTCTTCTACCGCACCGTTCTCCGACATCCTCGTATATCAATCGGCTGTGGGAGCTTTACAATACGCTGCGCAACGTGTTCGTCCCGATATCGCGACTTCTGTTCGTGCGGTGGCGAAGTGCGTGGCTGCTCCAACCGAAGGGGACTGGATCTGCGTCAAGCGAATCTTTCGCTATCTTTCTGACACCGTCGACTATGGGCTACTCTACCGCGTAGGCGGTTCTACCAAGTTCGAGGTGTACAGTGACGCGTCGTTTGGTTGCGATCACAACAACGGCAGATCTGTGGGAGCGTATGCCGTTATCATGGCTGGCGCTGCCATCTCCTGGAAGTCGAAACAACAGACGATGGTCGCTTCTTCTACAGCAGAGTCTGAGACTCTGGCTGCTTCAACCGCAGCAAAGGAGGCTATCGGTCTTCGCAACCTGGCGTCCGAGCTTCGCATCAATCAAGGTCGATCTACTGTTCTGCACGAGGACAACCAACCTTGCATCGATTTGGCGAAGAATCCTGGAGCTCGAGGTCGTACTCGCCATTGGAATGTGCATCATTTCTATCTACGCAAACAAATCGAGGTTGGCGATATCGATCTCCGCTACTGTCCGACCGATCTGAACACGGCCGACATCTTGACAAAACCCCTATCCAAGCTCAAGTTCTCTACGCATCGCGAAGGACTCGGGACGGTCTCGCTGGCTACCTTGGCATGTGGGAGTGTTAATTGATATATGTTTGTGCCTGTGGTATCTGCGCGGATGCGCGTGCGTTTAGTCATTAGTCACTTTGGTATTGGAGTTTGATCTGTTTAAGTTAGGGAGCGCGCGGGGCTTTCTTCCCGCGCGGCTGTTTACTCTTGGTAGCTTTCTCATCACTCGCTCTACATTGTGGTCCTGACTTCTCGGCGTCGTGCACCCTCACCTATCGGAAGGCTTTACTTCCGCGCTCGCATCGTTTCTGCGATATTCCCGAAGTATAACGGCGCGGACTCGCTACCAGCGCTATCGCTGGGCCGGTAAACCCGTCTTGCCGCCCGCACACCGCTGAACATCACTGAAGAAATCCTGAGTGCAACCTCCTCAATATCAACCCCAAGATTATCAACAGCTGTCTATGTGGCCAGTCAAACGATGTTATACGCCAAAAAGGGAGGAGTGCATTACGAACGGTAAGTTTGGTTTCGAAACGGTTAGGTGAACCGCGACCCCTGTCTACGGATGACTTACACCAAGGGCCCCCCATCATTCGCAGACGTGCGGCATGTAGCTTCGGACTTGACGTGGTGGCATCAATATACCTGCGCAACATGTTACAATACTGTCTATAACGGTGTCCCTGTGTTCAAACTTGGTGAGTGTCTTGCCCTCATCCTTTGCCTCTGATTAGACCCCTAGGCCACCGCGCTGGCACCCAACGCAGCGCCCCGGCAGAGTCGCGGACGCACTGGCTTCAGAAGCTCCTTGGCTGACCTTCACTTTTTTCAATTCCAGCCAACTGTACAGACTCTAGTCCCCCCGAGAGATCTAAACCACCAAGGTTGGCGTACTAATCGAAATGATCTCCCACCTCGGTCTTCGACGCCGGCGGCAGCATGGATCATCGACATCGACTCCGCCTCGCCTCTCATCGACGCCATTACCCCTCTTTGGTCGAGTGTCTGTGGCGGCGCGCGGGCTTGGTCCTTGGTTTCTTCAACCCTGCATCAGCTCTTGTCTCTACTTCGCCTTTTTTAGTTCTCATTCTTCTCATTCTCCATTCTCCGTCGATCTACTCGCTTCATCTCCACGACCCCCAAGAGCCACTCTTGACACTCTACTCCCCCCAGCTCTTCACAAGTGACCCCCCGTCCTTTGGGAAGTTGCTTCTTTTAACTCGGTAGACGTGTTCCAATTTTTGCCCCTTTGTCAATGCCCGCGGATGATGATCGATGCAGAGCAACTAAAGTTGTGCACTGAGCCGGGCGTGGAGAACACAAGGCACAGCCCCGGAATTTACCCCAAGACATGGGAGACGAAAGATCGGCGACGCTCACCGGTGACGGACCAAGGATCGGCGGCGGACGAAAGATCGGCGACGCTCGACGGTGACGGACGCGCTCTGTCTGACCTCACACAATCTCTCTGAAATAGCGGAAACCTGCACCGTCTCGTACCCTGGCAGCTGAGACGGACGGAAAGACACCCAAGTCGAGACAAGCTCGGCCATCATTTTTACAGATTCGTGGGATCATTGGGTTCGGCTCTCTTCGTTCTTTCTCTTCTTTCTCTCTATCTCTTCTCACATCCCTCAGACCCCACGTCTCCTAAACCCCTCGCATTATCATCAATCTCTACAGCAACGTCCACACCTTTTCAAGCTTCATCACCTACTGCACATCATGTTCCGTTTCCCGTGGCTCGCTGCATCGCTCGCCTTTGTGGTCTTCATCTTCTCAATTGAGGCTGCTGCCACATCGCCTCCCGACCCTTATGGGCCAATCCTAAGGGACTGCTCGCTCAAAGTGGACCCAGTTGTGGAATTGTGGGGGTAAGTCTTCACGAAGCATAACGGCGCGACTCGCTACCAGCGCTACGACTGATCACGTAGACCCGTCTTGCCGCCCGCACACCGGACCATCACTGAAGAATTCCTGAGTGCAACCTCCTCGACATCAAACCTGACATAATCAACAGCTGTCTATGTGGACCGAAAAACGATTTCATACGGAAGCTGATGCAAATTTGCGTGGCCAATGGTAAGTTCTACTTTTGAAACGATTGGGTGAAATGTGACTCCTGTACGGTGACTTACCCTTCGGGCCGTCCATCTCTCACAGACAAACGCTCTACCCCTGAGGACGTCAGGTTATGGAATGACTTTAAGTGCTCGACGTGTCGCAATACTGTCTACGAGGGTAAACATGTATACGTCCCTCGTGAGTGACTTGCCTTCATCCTTTGCCTAAGTGGACCCCGAGGACACTGGTCTGGCATCCAACGCAGCGCCCCGGCAGAGTCGCGGACGCACTGGCTTCAGAAGCTTCTCGGCTGACCTTCACTTTTTTTCAATTCTAGACGAATGTAAAACTTAAGCTACCCCACCCCAAGAGACTTCAACCACCAAGGTTGGCGTACTAATCGAAATGATCTCCCACCTCGGTCTTCGACGCCGGCGGCAGCATGGATCATCGACATCGACTCCGCCTCGCCTCTCATCGACGCCATTACCCCTCTTTGGTCGAGTGTCTGTGGCGGCGCGCGGGCTTGGTCCTTGGTTTCTTCAACCCTGCATCAGTTCTTGTCTCGCTACTTTTGGTTCTCATCATTCTTATTCTCCATCGCTCCTTACAGAACAGCCCCATAAGTAGCCTCTGAGTAGCTAAAACTGTCGAGTTCTAGTTACGACTTGCTTTTAGTCTAGTCTAGCGGTCAAGACGACAGATTGTAGTTTATGCACATCAGAGGCGCATACCTTACATCTTGACACTCTACTTCCCCCAGCTCTTCCCAAGTGACCCCCCGTCCTTTGGGAAGTTGCTTCTTTTGACTCGGTAGACGTCTCCAATCTCTGTTCCTTTGTCAATGCCCATTTTTATCTCATCCACGGGCCATCATGTCATCGTCGCTGTCTCGCGCGCTCGGCCACTGGAGACGGGGCTGGGCGCCGATCAGACAAAAGGAAAAGACAAAAAGACAAAAATGCCCTCAAAAGATCGCGAAAAGACATGAATGCCCTCTTTACTTCTCATAAAGACAAAAAAAGCCCTTTTCAAAAAGACGAAAATGCCCTCGTGATCTCAGCTGCTGTAATACATGATGTATCACTTCCAAAGTTTGGTAATTTAACGGCTCGGATGGCCCGGTGATCTCTCTCGCTAAAATCACGGACGTTGGTACAACCACGTGCTATCCATGCGGTGCAATGTACCAACTCATGACAGAGACATGCCCATCACCTGCCGCCCCCTATTACAATGACTAGCGTGCAATCCGATTCGCCAGGATGCCTTGGCAGCTCGGTGATTCATGACATGCGCATGCGCCAGTGAGACACTGAAACCTCACCTCCGAAATGATATCGCACACCCGTTCCCCGAGACCTGACGAATCGATTACGTCAACCATGTGACAGTTCCTTTGGATCAAGTGTGAGGAATGATGCGACGAGCCAACAATTGTCACGTTGGACACGCACAGCCACAGACGACACTTGTGCAGCGAGGGAGCAAGCACCGTCCAAAAGAGCCCCTTTGGGCTCTTAATTACCCCAATTTATCGAGGGCTCATCCCGTTTATCGAGCGTGTGCCATACATGTCAATCGCCCTGGCAGACGCACGACAAACGAGACAACATACTCTGCACTTGTCACAGCCCGAAAGGTCTCTCTCGACAACTAGCGATCCCACCAAATAGCGATTCTCAAGAAACAGACTGTTCTGAGATTTCGATTGCGCTGAAGGGTTTCATCATATGTACTTCATTCCTTTCTCTCTCTTGTGACTCGAAGACAAAACGAGAAAGACAGGCCCCCCCAAAAAGACCAAACCGCTGATCGATGAAAGAGTCGGTCGGGACGAAGTTGAGCCGAACGGGTGTCCGCAATTGCCCCTGTCTAAACGCGCTCCTCTTCTTGGGGCGTCCAGACGACGAGCAACGAACGACGGCCTAAACAATCAACGGGCGATTCTTTTGGGAGCTTGCGTAGAGTCGTCTAGTAGTTGTCAGAGCTGACGGCTTGCTCGGCCTGCTCGCGAGCTTGACGCTTCGCCTTCTCGCGGTCGAGGAAGTCGAGGCCCTTGGTCTCGAAGAGCTCTGGAAGGAAGGAAGGAAGTGAAAGAAGACGATGGCACGTGTCAGTTGGGCTCGAATGATTTGTACACGTGCAAGGGTATGGGATGAAACTCACTGTCAGTCTCGGCACCGGCGAAACCAGCGAGCAACTCCTATCGAAGATCAAAGCGGCACACGTTCCTTGCGTTAGGAACTCAGCGACACGTCCGCACGTGGCAGCTGGACTAGCGACTGACCTTGGCGAGCTGATGGTTGGCGGGCCTGCCGTTTTGCGAAACGTGGCGTTCGTAAGCCCTTTTGTGTTGGAAAAAGGAGGAACGAGGTCAGTTTGAGGGTTGCAAACAGGTAGAGCGGCTGGGTCTAGAATCGGTGCCCGAGGCCGAAAGCAGGGTGGGGCAAAGGGCGGTGACTCACTTCTCGGCCTCGAAAGCGGCAGCACCGGCGATCAACTCTGTGGGGCGGGGGAGGGACCGAGCGCGAAGATGATCAGCACATGCGCAAACACGACATCGGAGAGCAGATTGGCCGAAAGGGTCGAGCTCGAGTACCGTATGGCTCCATTTACTGAAAGATGAGGTGGGTGGGGCCCGGTTGTGGGAAACAAAATGTCCCCGCCGCAGCCATCGGCTACGCTCGATTACCGCCGGAAGCCCCTACAAAAAGTGCTACGCCCTAGGCCAGACTTACCGTGAGACCACGACGATTCGTGCTCCTGTCCACCGTAGACGGCGTTGTGGGCGTCTCGCTCGTCGTTGCCGAAGAATCTAGAAAGGGAAGCGGGAGCGCGGTATATATGGGAGCGGGGGGAGGGGCAGGTGGGGGCCGCGTGAAACGGGACGTCGACGTGGCAGTGCCCGAGAGAGAAGGAGGGGGGTAAGAAGAGGGGTGGATGAAACGTGGTCAGTTCAACGTTCGAGTACGAGGAGACGATGCGGATTATCACAGCTTGCTACTACTCACCCCATGTTGATAGTAGTGGTGTGGGTCAGGGGGTTGTGGGTGAAAGAAGTGTGTGGTGTGACTGTGAGGTGGAGGAAAGAGAGAAAGCAAGGAAGGCTTTGATGATGAAAGCGAGCTTGCGGATCTCTCTGATTCTGATCCAAAGCTGCCGTTGCACAAGTGGAGATCGTCATCAGCGCACCCACTCTAAAAATAGCCCGGCAAGTTCCCACCCCTCAGAATCAGCGCTGATGGCGTGCCACGGATTCTAGACCCCATCCTCGGGCTCTCGATCATGTTATTCGGTGGCTGTGCACCTGGATGCCCCGAGCGGTTCTGTTGCACGTCTAAAGCCTGGCCGGTGCTCTTGTCAGGGGCGCATCGGTAGTGAGCGCGCATACATTCAGCTTCAACATGTTGCACAGCCACTCTCGAAAGCGATCAGTGCACACTTGACAAATCGTAACCAGTCGCATATGTGTTGTCTCAGAACGCGACTCACGCTGATTGCCTGCTGCATGGCTCGAGCCTGCTCGAGCGCCCCTACTGGAATGTCGACGTCAACGTCATTGTCTCACAGACTCCTGCGGACGCGCAGCTGCATAGTCTCGTCCCATCGATGACGACGTTATCACTCGGGTATCACTAGGTACGTGTATGCGTTACTAAAGTATTATGCCAATCAGATACTCGAAAGTAAGCGGGGTCATTCATCCTACACCCCTCCGGTCCGAATCAACTCAAAGAGAACTGTCCATGCGAACGAGCGGGGTAACAATCTACAGCACAATGAAGAGTGTGCCAAGCACTGCGGCACCGATGAAGACCAAAGGGTTGACGAGGCCATGCGACCGCAGCCCGGCTGATGTGGTTACTCCGAGTGCGACCCCACCTTTGGATGTACTGCGGAAGAGTTGCAAGGTGGGGGATGAGCTATCCTGTGCAGCACTGCTTCTCCGTGCTTCACTGCTTCTCCGACGTTCGAGATTGACTCGGGACTTACTCAGGGTAGTATCTGAAGGAACCGACAAAGAAGAGGAATAACGTTATCGTCAGCTATCGTCAGTTTGATTGTCACCGAACCCTCTTGTGATTACTAGGCAGCCTCTTCCCATTGCCGCCTCCTGTCCCATACGTCCAGCTATTTTGCAAGCCACAAATCCCCGCACATCGACCGAACACTTACTTTGGCGTATCATCATAACTCTTGACTTGGTAGAACGGCACGATCTCGGCATTGGTACCGCACACCGAGGTGAGGATGTAGTTGCACGCGGTCTGGCACGTCTGCACATTCGTCACGGCCGTGTTCCGGCGATTTTGGCATGCGTCAAGGCACGAGAGCGCTCGTAATCGACAGTCTACGGAGATGTATGATTGAAAAAGGATGTGAGTTGACCAGACGGGCTGCGGAATACGCGGCATCGATCCACCCGAGAAGAATTTGTCTGCTGCTTACCGTAGGTCGTGACGGGCGCTACGATGGGTGCGAGTCGAGAGGTGGCCTTGTTGTTACATTCGCAGTTCCACCCCATAGTTTTCGGATTACAGCTGTGACATCAGCCCGCCAAGCAGAGTCAGTATCTCGAGAAGCGGAGCTCGTAAGCCATCGAGGGCCGAGGCCAATCGCTCTCCGATTCCGGTCTACTCTGTCTACATGCTCGGTCGCAGGACTAATGCTCACAAGTTGACAGAGACGTTAGCCGAATTGCTGGTGCAATGCGATGTGGCACAAAATTGTATTTGTTGTGCACAAATCGCCGTCTTGGTCGCATTGGACTGCAGAGTGCCGAAGACACGGAAAAGCAGGCGAGGTCAGTAAAAATCGGCGAACTCGAGAGCTGGCCTAACAGGGCTTGTGCGCCACCGCTAGCGCCAAGCGCCGAGGGTCACGCCGGCGAGGCGCGAAGCCCAGCCGACGTCCGACAGCGCTCGACTAGGTGGGGACACTCACTTCTTCTGTTAAGTTGTATGTATACGGTGGGAGGTATTTGGCGAATGCGGAAGCGGAGGCTGCCGCATACGGTGTGGCGCCGGCATAAGTTGGTACAGGTAAGAGCGTCTGCGTCGCCGCCGTCGTGGTTGTTGTCGTGGCTGCACTGGAGTTTTGAGCTGTGGGAAAGGCAGAGATGAAGGTCAGCTGAATCGCTCTTGAGCCAAGACAACCTGGTGGCTGGGGAGCGATGATCTGGGATTGCACCGGCTCCAGAGGCTCGTCGTCGATTAGGCGCCCCCCTTCGCGCGGGCATGGCGCATGGCGAATTTGAACGGACGTCGGCGACCGAACATCCGAGGACGACGGCCAAGCTATAAGTTTCGAGAACTACTGACCCAAAACGACCGAGAAGCCGCTCGCTACGATGAGCGCGAAACACGATCTTGTTGAGCACATCCTCATCCTTGTTGGTGGACCTAGTCGCGCAGGGGGTTTGCTTGAACGAGTGATGTGGTGGGTGGTGGATCAGTGCAAGCGTCGCGAGTGGAAAGGTGAGCCAACCCCCGCGCGGGCGGCCTCCGCTAGCAGCTGCTAGCGGCTAAAAAGTGAATCCGGGGAATCGAGCGGTTGCCTCGATCGCTAATGGTGAGAAAGAAGGTCGCGCCGCTCGCTATGCCTAATTCTGGCTGTCAGTGAGAGCGCGTCGTAGCACCTTCGGCCTCCTATCGGAATCTCCGAAGTCCCCACCTGTAGTCGACACCAAGTCAAGCCGACAGTCAACTCGTTCGTCGGCTCAAACAAGGACGACTGCTTGCTTCCACGCAGGTCCTGCCACGAAGCGTATCGGACCCGCCCCAGATTCGCTTCTCAGCCAGCGCTATCAAGTCGGAGCTCGGCCTCATCCGGCGCCACGACTCCGAGTCCTTCGCCGATCGAATCCCAGCCGGACCTTCATACCCCCACTGGCTCACCATGGCAAGCTACTACAGTCGACGAGCGTCCTACGTCGCTTCATGGGCACCACAACGTATCTACCCACTCCAGGAACCATCCTTCGAACCACCGGCGTCGGCCGATGCTCCTCAGAACCCCGCGGCGCCGCTGTCACCCTCACTATCACGCGCCAGCGCCACTCGAGCCAACAGCTCCCAGGATGCCGCGAACGCGGACACGGTTCCCACTTCAGCAACGAGCCTAACTACAGCAACCACAACGAGGGAACCTACCACCCGGCTTCAAGCGCCACCCATGTACTATCCCGGTCAGGCCCAGCTTGCTCGAACTCGTGCAGCTGCCGCAGCCGCCACCGGACTGGACCCCGAACTGCACGCCTCGAGCAGCACAAACGTCGCGAGTTCCATCACCGCAACCATACCGTGGCAGTCGCACCCGACCGCAACCCACGTGAGACCGATCAAGAGATTCCTTCGCGTACCTCTGTGGTGGAGTGGTTTGACCAAGGAGAGTGAGGTCCTGTGGCAAGAATGGCCCAGAGAGTTTGGAGGGACCAAGATGTTGCCGAGCTCGAGCACCGACGATGAGGAACAGAGCGTACAGGGGAGATTCTCGACGAGCGTCACAAGATCTTTGTCTCGACGGAGTGGGGCAAGTGCAGCCGACTCGGGCATCGCATTGACTCCAAGGCCGACATTTTCGTCGTCGAGCGAGATGCCGTTCCATCATCCGCTCGAACCGCTCTTCAAGTCGCGCATCGAGGAGCTCAACGAACTGATTCCACAACGCCTCGGTCCGAGTCGAGTGTGGCTCGCCGCATTGGAGATTATCAACTGGCTTTGGATTGTCGCTTTGATCGTGGCTTTGGCGCAGGGGAAGGGCAAGCAGACAGAATTTCTTGAGGGCGTTGAGGTGAGCAGCCGTTCGGAAGTCTCTGTCGACCGGGGCTGGGTCGATTGGTTTGGCTAAATCACTATATCGTGCTCTTTTCATTACGCAGCTCACCCTCATCGTGATCATTGTGCTCAATGGAATAGGCGTGAATGCTGTGCGGGTGAGCCAAACAGACATTGTGAACTCGTCCCTTGTTTTGTCCTGGAACTGATCCAGCACTGTCTGTTTAGATGCGTCGGTGGGCCTTGGCTCGCGCACTCCGACTTCGATCCCGTGATTGGTCACCTCTACCAACGACGACATCGACAAACGCCCAGCTGCTCAACAATGCCCAACTGCAAGGTCTGGGCGAGGAACGAGAGGATGTCCAGATGACGACGGAACGGACGAGGGGCAAGGATCAACCGACTTTGAGGTGGAAGATGAGGGAGACCGAGGTGAGCAACCAGTGTGGTTCAATTTGGTGTGCGTGTGTGCTCATTCCATTTGTATCGGAATTTGAGCAGGGCTCCTGGTGGCTTTCGTATCGTCCCATCATCAAATGTGAACTCGTCATGCCGTCGGTCACCCATGCGCGACACCACGTCGCTCCACTTCACCCACTTTCAATCGACCTGCCAGCTCATGACACCGCCGAGGCATCGCGACCACCTCCACCGCTGTCTTCAACGCCTCCTCCACTTCCGTCACCGGTACTTCCAACTCACGCCATTGCGGAAGAAGACCACTCTCACCAAGGCGATGCCCCGGCTTACTCAGAGTCCTAACTTTTGTCCTTCGTCAATGCCTTTCGAGTCCCCTTTGTCGCTGTCCCCCTCTCCCTTCAACTTTTGCGCCGTAATAATTCACGAAAATATATTTTGCTCGCGTTCTCCGAAGAACTGGTGTATTCGCAATCATGACCTCGACCCTTCAAAATGGAACACCTCGGGCAAATCAACCCACCATCCTTTCTCCCCTCCTGATCCAGTCGCTCCTTCAACGAGCGATTCTTGCATCCCATCCGTCAGAGCCCACCATCTTCGGGTCTCCTCGTTCTACAGAACACGATGATATCTCACGTTAGGATCTCCCTTTAGAAAGAGGGAGGAGAAATTTCGACAACTGACCTGTGCGATTGTTTGACAATCGCCTTCCCAGTCGTCGCCGACATAAGTGAAGTGCGCGATCAAGAGGTTGTTCTCAGCGTAGTGGTGGATCGTGTAGTTTTTGAAATGTGCCTGGGAAGGTCAAAATCAAGATCGTTCAGTTGAAGATTAACCACCCTGATTACAAGCCGCACGTGAGCTTACCCGTTCTAACGTCTCCAACACGCCCGGCCAAGCGTTTGCGTGGAGCTGCAGTCGACTCCCACGAACGCCAAGGGCAGTTCAGCGTGTTCAGGAAGGGAGGTATGGGTCCGATGGGGGTTACTTGTTTAATTCCAGACCTCTGAACACTCCACTTGACCTCTCTGGAAGTGACACTTCCCCACTAGCTTCCGGCCAGAGGGGGGGCACGTGACCTGGATGTCAAGCGGACCGGACCTGCCGGGCCATAACGGGCGGGAGAAGACTCCAACCGCTCACTTACATGAACGTATTCGTCCAACCTGTCTGGCTTGATGCAAATGATCTGACAAACTCGTTTAGGCGCCATAACGACGGTAGACCGTGAGTCTGGCCTTTCGGAACGCTGAGCGCTGAGACGCGGGGGTCTGCAGTGATGAAGCTATGAAGAGCGGCGTCTCGCCCCCGCGAGCCCCGCTGGCTCCCGCTGGACCCCGTCCAGTCGTTTGTTTGGTTCGGAAATCGAACCGCTTCGACGGGCCGAGGCGCGCCTGGCCCCTTGCTCCAAAGGTCCCGCCCGACCCGCCGCCGCCCATCGGCCAGTCGCCCGGCTAACCTCTTGATATCAATCAATTCGGAACGGTGCGAAGCATCGAATGATCTGGCACGCGGTTCGAGAAGAATTCGTAACTACCTACGTGCTTGGTTCTGGCTCCCTCCCTCCCTCATCTACAGCGCGCGGGGAAGGGAAATCGTTTCTTGAGTTGAAGTCTCTTCTGGACGGGGCCACGAGCGAGGAAATAACGGGTTCGCCGCGTCTGGACCACCGTCCGCACACCACCTCTGGGCAGCCTCCGAGTCTATGTGGTGGTAGTCGTAAATACAGAAGAGCAGTACAGCAACGAGTATACATACTCCAAAAATATGTTCATGGTCCTTGACAAAACTACACCCCTGCACGTGGGGTCAGCTCGCAATGCAACACAACGAATACCATCCCTGGCAGCTCGGGCCGTCGCCGAGCACGGATCCGCCCCCAGACGCAGCAACCAAACTCCGCACGTGTAGGGAACGCATTACAACAGATATCGTTAACATCCTGATCCAAACGTAAAATATAGGGCCCACTTTTACTCCGCATCAACACCCAAAATTCAACGCCGTCTCCCTGATTCTCAATCTGACCGTCCTCTCCCCTGGCCAATCGAACGTCACCCATTCGAGCGTCGCTGCATTCGTCATCAACGCCTCATCGCCGACATGGAACTCATACTGCTTGAAAGGCGAAGTCCCATTCGACGCATTCGAAGAGGTCGTCACCGCCGCTGCTAGACCAGTCGTTTGTCGAGGTGCAGCACCGGGCATCAAGAGAGAAAAGAGACCGATGCCGACTTTCCAAACGACGACTTTGGATTCCTCCAACGACACGGTCACGAGACGATGACCATCGCGGGACCAGGAAACAGCTGTGACGGCTCGTTTGTGCCCTTCGAGAACGTACATCCGCGTCGCGGTCTTGAGGTCGTAGATGATCGCTGCGCCTTCGTGGGTCCCAACGGCGAGACGTTGGGAGCTGCCGTGAAAGTCGATCGAAGGGTAGGTGCGCACGAGCTCGTTCAAAATGACGGTCGCGGCTTGATGGACCGTCTTGCGCAACGCTGTGACGGTCGGATCTAGAGACTTGACCACGGCTTCGGCGAGGCGTGGCAAGCTCGTCAGGAGCACGAGTGGTTTCTGCAGAGAGGCACTGAGATGCGTCAGCCTGGCTCACGAAACGCTTCGAGACCAATAAAACATCCTGACCCACCTTGCGAATCATAAACCCCAACAACTTGAGCGTCGCATTACGATGCGAAGCCGAAGGTGCATTGAGGATATCAAAGATCAACGTCGTCATGAACAACGGCGTATTGACCGAAGCGACTTGCAGCGTCGCATGTTTAGCGAGCAGGCGCAACTCGGGCGGTGTCGAAGGGTCCCGACCCGTCGCGAGGCCAAAGAGGTGTCGAACGAGTTCCATCGCATCGACGTAGTTTTGAAAGATGACGAAACCGCGAGCACATAGTTCGACCGCGATCGACTGGTGGTAAGGGTGCGCAAAGTCTTGGATGTAAGACACCAGCGACGCGGTCAAATCTTTAAGGACCCTGCGGGGATTGGCAAAGCTTATGCATTAGTGACGATCCCCTCATCATGAGCCCAGCCAATCTCAACCCACATAGGTGAAAGAAGTGAAAATCTCTCGCACGCAATCAGTCCTACCACCAACACCGCCTGGTCTGCGCCTTCGCACAAGGACCCCATTTCACTCTGCCGTGCCGGCAACGCGTCCTGCCATTGTTCAACCAGAGCCTCGACGCGTGCATCGCTCGACGCGGCCAAGTAAGTCCCAAACAACGTCCTCGTCGCCTGTTGAACCTCGGTCGACGTATCGAGCCAGAAATCAGCGAGGTAGTTGAGCGAAGGGAACTCGAATTCTTCGCCGACAGTCTCGTCGAGGAAGCTCGAGTAGAAGACGATCGCTTGGGAGGCGTAGCGTTCGGTATCGGGGAAGTTGAGGAAGAAACGAAGGACGCAAACGAGCTGCAAGAGTCGTTGGGCTGTCATAATCGGAGAGATCGTCCATGGGGAAGGGGACGACTCGTCGAAGGGGAAAGCGAGCGAGTTCGTACTCTGCAACGCCTCGGCATAGCAACGGTCCGGCTTAGGAGCACCGAGATGTTCGGAAATGAGTTCATCGGTATCGCTATCGAGTTCAAACGTCGCAAGGTGTGAGAGGAGAAAGCGCAGCCTATCCAACCTCCCCGACTTGCCAGCGTCTTCGGCGTTGCTGAACTCGGCTAGGGATCCCTCATCGGCACCCGCCGTTGCAGGTATCGCACCCTCAAGCATCGCCGTCTCTCGGTTGACGCGTTTCGACTCAATCCAAGGAAGTAGACGCTGGCCTCTTTCAAGTTCTTGACGAAGGTCGATGTTGAGGATCGGGGCGATGAGCGAGCCTGTCGGTGGGTCCGAGACATTCTGAAAGCCCGCAGTGAACCTATGATCGTCACATCTCGTCAGCACATCAATAATCGCGAACAGATTAAAGTCTGGTCTGACTCACCAAGTCGACCATTTCCCCTCGGCCAAAACCCCTCTAGCGGTCTTGGCATCCATAGACCTCCTCAACTCCCTCCGCGTGACATCACACACCCTCGCCAACCCATGCGCATAAACGACCAAGATCTCCTCCTTCAGCGTCGAGATACTTATCACCGGGCTCTTGGTCCCAGGTAAGACGAAAAGTAGTGCTGGAGGGAATAGGGAAACGAGAGCTATTGGCGAGTTGGCTGAGACGAAGGCGATCGTTTGAGAGAGTTGAGGGATGGTCGGATCTTGGATGAAGGTGAATTGGGTAACGGGGGAAGCGAAGAGGCACCATCGGCCTATCTCGTCCCAGTCGCTGAGGTTCCAGGCTCCAGCTGTACCATCGAAGGCTCCGGCGATGACAACGTCACGACCACCGAGCTTAACCACCGAGAGTAACGAGATGGCACCAGAGAGGTTCGCGTCGGGACATTTGATGTCCGTCACGGCCACGAGACTGCCGAGCGAACAGACACAAATCTCGCCCGTGCTATAGCCCACGATGACCTGTGCTCCATCGAGTTGCTGTAAACACGTGACGTGAGATTGCTTGCGTGCGGGGCCAGACGACAGGAGCACGCGCAATTCGAGGCCCGCCTCAGCAAAGGTGGCAACGACGTTCTTGTCCAAAGTGAGCGCGGCGAGCTCCCGCTGTCCGTCTCCAGTCGATCGAGCCACCAGATATGTAGCCGATGGAGTCGATTCCGGAAGACGAGCCGTCCATTCGACCCCAGTCGTTGCAACCTCCCCCATCAACCTGAAGCAGAAAGGTCCCTGTTGCGTCGCATCTTTTGCGACCGACGGCTCAAGCCGATACAGCCGCAATCCTGCCTTGGTCGCCACAAGGACGTTGTTGTACCCTTCAACCGAGACGTCGATAATCCCCTCCAGTCTGGCGAGCGCGAGTTGGATGACCTTTTGATCCCGAATCGTAAAAAGTAGGATGCTTGACGAGCTGTAGACCAGCAGGTCATCAACGCAGTTGCGAAATCCACGCACGCTTCCCGTCAGGCCCTCGAGCACGCCAGCTGAATGAGCGGGTTCAATCTTGACTCCCGGAGACGACGGCTGTGAATCGCGATCTTTAGATTCGATCGGAATCAGGGGCCGTACGACCAGTTCGGCCGTGGCGGTGCTTGAAGATGTTGTCGGCGAAGCGAACACGATGAAGTGGACGCCTGGGAGTGGCAAGGTGTGGTCAGTATTACCGCTCAATGACCATTGAGAACCCACACTCACCTTGCTTGAAGATGATCGCCGCTCCTCCAGGTCCTGTCCCACCCTCCACCACATCCTGCGCAACGAAATCATCCAAATTGACTGCAACGAAACCCACTCCATACGTTCCAAAACACAGCGCAAACGTAATCTGTAGGATTTTCGATTTTCTCAAGCAACGTTCAGCTTGCAAACAACGATTGATGTTCGCTTCAGAGACTTTGCACCCACATCGGCCAGTTGGACCATCTTCAACCCCAAGAAGGTGATCTGCACATCCGTCGAATCGAGCGGGACTTTGCTAGAGACATCGCAGCGAGCGAACGCTCGTCCATCAATCAGGGAGTGGGCTGACAAGACACTGTAATTGGGATATGACTTTCAATGAGCAACCACTCCTTTGTATCGAGGATCACATGCGCCCACTCACCCTTTACGTCTTAGCACGATTAGTGCTCGACCTCCTTCCTCGGGTGCGAAAGCCAGACCATCGACGATCTTCATCCCGACGATTTCTCCCGACCCGATCGTTTGTACCCTGATGAGCGGCACCAAATCCATCAAAGGCGTCTCCTCTTTTTCTTCAACCTTCTGTGCGCGTTCGAGGTCCTTTTCCTCTCCACCTACGAGAGGCGGTGAGGTAGGCCCCGGTCCGTCATGAATTGATGTCGCGGCATTCGATTCAGCCTCCCACAACCCGATCCCCGTCGTAATACTATCCTTGGCCCTGTGATGCCTCTTCGCCGCCGACGAAGGTGCATTCGATACCACCGACGCACTCGAACTGGCGACACGATGTCCCCCATTTGAGGTATTGGATCTGGACATGGGTGTAGTGCTGGGTGCGCGCGAGATGTCTTCGATGGAAGCGCGGTGCATGCCGAGGAGGTCGACGCTCGAGCCGGTGTTGAGCATCGAGATGCCGACGGTGGCGCTCGCTTTTCGAGGTCGAGGAGCGATGACGTGCCCCTCTCCAAGAGGTGATGCCGTTGGCGAGGTCGGTGATAGGGCACCGGATGGTACGCGTTTGCGGTTGTTGGATGCTAATGAATGGACCGAATTCGCACTCGAATGAGTCGCCAGAGGTGGGCGAATGGCCGAACCGAGACCTAGTCCGGCAGTGGGGCTATTCCGAGAAAGGGAGATCGAAGGAGGCCGAGAGCGCGTCTTGGGAGACACGGGAGGGGATACAGGCACAGATCTTCCCGCGGTCGGTGAGTTGGGACCACTCGTGCTGGCTGAGGTGGCCATAGCCGAAAGCGAGTCGGTCGAGGTGGCGGTTGCTCGGCGACTTGGGTGATCGAGTGTCAAACGTGGCACCGTGGGCTCGTGGGTCGTGTTGCCGGCTGGTCCGTGGCCGTCGATCACATTGGACGACGAGGATGGTGACAAGATCCACAACGACCCATCCTCGCACCCCACAGCTACCCTCAGCACGGTCTTGCCCGTGCATCTCCTCGAAGAACCTTCTTCACCGTCCTCCGTCTCTAGTTTCCCCTTGCCCTTTCTCCGACTCGAATGCGAGCTGACGGGATGCGAATGGTCCTGGCCACCATCGGCCGTAGGTTTGGTAGTTAAGACCTCAATATAAGTCGAAGCAATGGCAGTGACTCTCCGACTTGTCTCGACGAGCCAACTGGGAAGATCTTCGCCCATCTCGGTCGTCTGATCGCGTATCGAGCTCAGGTTGACGAGCGGGAACAAGGTCGAGGTCGAGTCGGACATGGCTTCGTAGGAATGTAACGGTTCCTCGTTCATCCCATTCACTTGTGGCGTGGTTGGTGACGATTGCTGTACCCGATCCGCCTCTGTCGTGGTCTCCTCCTCCCCCTCGACGCTCCACGACATCTCCCCTCGATCCAGCACATCGAATACGTCCTCACAAGCGGGCCTCAGTCCATGCTCAGCGACCCAAAGCTTAGGTACCGGTGCATTCGCCAACGAGAACGACACATGCAATGGCCAGGACGTCGTCGCACCTTTCATCGAGCTCCTGCCCTCGACTCCATTCGACGTCGTCGCGCCCGTGGTGGGTGAGGACGACGAGGATGCGATAGGTGGCGTGGACGAACCTGGGCCATGGTTGGGTGTGTGGAGTCGTGATACGGGTGTACCGGGTCGGGATATTGGAGTCAGGGCGCCTTTGAGCGACTGCATCCCACTCGCAGCGGCAGTGCCCGCGTGACCCAGCAGCGCAGGGGGGCGAGCGCGGAGAGAGACGAGCCAAGCCGATCGAGCCAGCCTGCAGATCGAGCCAATCCAGCCAGACGAGATCGATCGAACGACGCGCAGAGACAGAGACAAGTCCTCCCCTCTCTCTTTACTGCAGACACCAAACACATGACCATCGCTGTTTATCTTTGTAGTATTACGAGTACAATGGTAATAATCATAGCCAGCCGAGGGGTTCGTCTCGAGAGCACAATCGTACAAACATAGAGAAGAGAACTGGGAAAGGACGAAGCGACTCTAGACGAAAACAGGGAAACAAATTGTTGCCGAGGTCGTAGAAGAGTGGGGCATGGTATGGTGTGTCGATGTGGGGGCAGAGTAGTTTTTTCTTTGGAAACAAGACTGACAGCAGGAGAAGGCGAAAAGCCTCCCCAAAGTGAGAAGAAATAACGACGGTGATTTGGCGCGGCGGTGGTGGATGGATGGCGACGGTGGCGACGGTGACAAGAATAGCCCAATAGGTGTGCGAGACGTGAGAAAGAAAGAGAAGAAATGCGAGCTTGAACGAAGAAAGAAGAAACGAGAATCACAACATGAGAGAGTTGGATTGGATTGTCGGTCTGCGAGGATGGTTCAGGAAGATAGAGTCAATCAAGAGCCCATAGCGAGAACACGAAACGAGGCTGCTCACCTTCCAATGGCCGAAGTGTCTATTAGTCCGTTCGGGCCACGAACAATGTTGACCCGCCGCGGGCCCTGGCGCATGTCTGAGCTGAGACCACCCGAGCTCGGTGACGAGCCACTGTTGCTCTGCGTAGAGAAACGCCACCAGCTACCGCGACTGCCGCCGCCGGTGGTATGGCTCGGCCCCGCACTCGCAAGGTCGCTAAAGTCGATGCTCGTCTGGGTTCCTCGGCGATCCGAGGCCATCGCACTGGCACGATCCGAGAAACCCGAGGTAACGGTTGAGTGCGATCGAATGGAGTCGCGGTCGTCGTCACGTAGCTGCAGTCGACCACCCCCGAGCTGGAACGCGCGCAATGTCGGGTCCATGTCCCGGCGTTGGTAATACTGGTTCGACGGGGCGCTACCGCGGCCAAAGCGACCGCCATCGGAGCCGAGCGCAATCGCACCCTCCTTGGTCGCCCTCCACGCGAGGTACCCGGCGATGACAAGTAAGATCACACCGCAGGTCACGACGACTGCGATGATGATCGTCTTCGAGTTGTCTTTGGGAGCGGTGATCAGTGTACCATTGGCGGCGATGTTGGCCGTCGATCCACCAGACTTGGCGAGCGACGAGTATGACGTGACCGAGAACGAAGGCACAAATTGTTGCGACAGCTGACCAGCGACGCCCGATTGACCGTAAAGGGGGCTGTTGGCCGCCTTGAGCATCGCCGCGAGGGTGTCGACGTAGCTCGAAGGGAGCTTGGCGAGGTAGACCGACAGGATCGTGTCCTTGGATTTCTCGTCGTACGACGCCTGTTGGTACGCCTGCAACGCCACGGTCTGCACTTGGTCCTCCGAGATGCTGAGCGCCTGCGCTACGATCTTGGGCATGTAATACAGAACCTGACTCGACGCGTCCGAGTTTTGCACGAGCCACGTCCAGGGCAGCGCATCGCCGAGCAAGATCGAGACGATGGTCGTCGGCACCGAGGTACCGTTAACCTGCACCTCGGACGTGGTCGAGACCGAGTCGGACTCAGCGGGGATGATGCGACTCGGAAGGTCGGTCGGGAACGTCACGGCGCTCGTGATGGTCACATGAGGCGTGCCGCTGAGAAGGATCGTTGTCGCCCCGGCGCCAGCGGCGGTCGTCGAGGTCGTGCTCGTCGCGTCGGTCTCGGTCGGCGTGGAAGCCTGCACCAATAGGGTCGAGGTAGGGACCCAAGGAGCGGGGGGCGAGACCGAAGCCTCGGACGTCGTCGAAGTAGGCGCGGCGCCCTCCTTGGTCGACGAAGTATCCGGCGCTTCAGTCGCACCCGAAGTCGACGCTGTGCTCGAAACGGCGGCACCCGCAGCTGAGGTTGTGACGGGGGCGACGGGGTCCACTGATGCTGCTGGAGTCGAGGAGGTGGCGGTAGGTGCCTGAGCCCGGGTTGTTGCGCCGGCTTCTGTGGCTGTCGTCGTCTCGGCCCAGCCTGCGGTGGGGAACACTGACGGGAACAGACTCGACAGCTGACTGAGAATCGCCGTCCCCTGGGGTGTTGTGGGCGTCGTCTGTGGGTCACCACCGGAGCCCGTCGTCTGGGCCTGAGGCGGCGTCGTTTGAGCAGGTGGGGTAGAAGCAGATGGCTGCTGCCCTTGGGCGTTCGTTGTCTGAGCGGGAGCACCGGTAGTTTGCGCTGGGACATCCGAAGTCGTCGTCGGGACCGGGATTAGGGTGGGGATCACAATCGGGATCGAGAGCGAGATCAGCGGAGCAGTCGTCGACGTCGGCGTATCGTGCGTCGCAGCGGGGGTCGTCGACGGTTCAAGGGTCGGCGAAGCGGCGTCTCCAGCGCTCGTCGTCATCGCAGCCGGCGAAGTTGTGGGGGCAGAATCGTCCGCGGTCGACGTCGGGACGGGGATCAGCGTCGGGATGATGATCGGGATCGAGAGCGAGATCAACGGGCCTGTGGTGGTTGCCGCATCGGTGGTCGTCGTGGTGGTCGTCGTGGTCGTTGATTCAGGGCCATCGGTCGAGCCTGCGGCACTGGGCGTTATTGGCGTGGTGTCGTCCGATGTGGTGGTGGTGGGCGTCGGAGACGCTGCCGCTCCATCGTCGGCGGAGGTCGTTGTGGGTGAAGCTGCCGGGCTGGCCGTTGCCGTGGTCGACTCCGAGTCCGCAGTCGTCGATTGCAACGGGGGAAGACCCGACAGCTGCCCTCCCATCCCTCCAACGATCGACAAGATGCTCGAGAACATGCCACTTCCCTGTGTCGTCGTCGTTGACGAGGATCCGGGAGTTATGGTCGTGGGGGTGGTAGTGGACGCTGAGCCCGTTGTCGGGGTAGCATCGCCCGTCGTCGTTGAAGTGGAGGATGCTGCGTCCGACGTCGTCGACCCAGTGGTGGTCGAGCTCGAGCTCGAGTCGTCGTTCGACGTGGGAGACGCCACGACACCTCCTCTTCTGCTTGTGGGCTCGTCCGATGCGGACGATTCACTCGACGAGGATGTCGTCGTCGGTGAGGCCGTCGGAGGAGACACAGGTTCCGTATCGGACGTACGAGCGCGGCCCGTTGTTGTTGTCGGGGTTACGGTGCTGTCATCGGTCGAGGACGAAGTGTCGTCCGACGAACTGGACGTCGTTCGCTGTCTCCTCGAGGTCGTCTCGCTGTCGTCGACCGGGGCCGAGGTGGGCCGCGACCTATCGGATGTATCGGTTGTCGAGCTTGTTGACCTCGGATCTTCTGATGTCGACGAGTCCGAGGAAGAGCTCGGCAGGGATGTGGTCGACCTCGGCAGGCGTGATGTCGACGTCGAGACCGCGCCAAGGATCGACGTGATGTTAACGGTGGAACCATCTCGAAGCACGCTTTCATAGATCACTGCACAGGTGGGAATTGCCGGGAATGTTGTGGTCAGTCAAAACTATCATGCGGTCATTGTAAAGGGTGTGACTGGCACGGAGTCGCCCGGTTTCTTGTTTCTCGACTGGCAGCAGCACGCTTTCCTCACACGCGCTCAGAACACGCCCGAGCAAACGCGCGTGGCCCCGCGCACGCGCTTTCCAGGTGGCTGCGCAAAGGGCCCGCGCCCGCGCCCGCTCCCTCTCCAGGCGCGGCCCGGCGCGTGCATCGACCAGGAATGCGGGCGATCCGAGCACCCGCGCGCGACCCCGAACCGCCGTGGGCGTGATCCAACTCCTGGAGCCACTGTGGCGGCCAGCGAGAAAGGAGACGCCCCCGAGGCGGTGACGGAGGAGAGGAGCGCCTGCTAAAGCAAAGCATAAAGGAGAGACCCACCTTCAACAATCTGATTCCCGCTGCGATCTTGGGTCGTGGTGACGAGGATGACGTCGTCGTCGCTGACCGCTCGGGCGCGCATGGCAGCAGCGGCAGAGGGTGCACCTGCTAGTGCTCGAGGTCGACGAGCCGGCGGCGGCGTCTGCTTCGGCGCCGCTGCAACGAGCACACGGCGCCGCTGCGCATGGTTGGGTGCCGCGTTCGCATCCGCCAACACCGCTGACGAGGTCGAAAGCAGCAGTGACAGGATCACAGCACTTGTCCATGTCGATGAACGAGGCATGGTGGGGTGAGGGAGCGTCTGCGCCGGCGCTGCTCGTGCTTGTTTGTCGGAAGGCCCGATGGCGGCTACTGAGAGGCACGCACACAGACACACACGATCGGTCGTAGGCCGCCGGGCAGGGAGAAAGGGAGATGAGGACGAGCTCGAGTATTGTATCAACCCAACGTCCAAGGTCGAAGGGCGGTACAGACAAGTCGAGTCGTACACACAAGATACACACGACAAGAGCGAAGAGTAGATACACGGCGGAAGGGCGGGAGAGAGGAACGAGCGTGACCGGAACTCTCTGACAAGTGACGGCGGGCAGCGGTAGAGCGCCAGAGAGCGGCTGTTAGGCAGGCGCGCCCAGCCCTCGGCGCGCCCGGCGCACCTTCTCACAGACTTTATCTCTAATTTTGATATTTGTAACCTCCGTGAGGGGTCTCGCGGCGCGAACGGAGCAGTGCCCGCCGATTTCCTCCTAGACAACTCGCTGGTACTTTCCTTACCTCTGTTCACAGCAGACATTGTACAACTAAATCTCATAATTTCGCTCAAGACCCTTCAAAGGACTTGAGCTTGCAAAAATCTACACGCCGCTACTAGCTCCGACCTCAAACTTCGGTCTCACTGGCACGTCGTCGACGCGTTGAACGCCCAGCGCAGTTCCAAGGTGCCGACTTGCTTCGTTTAATCAAGATCGGCAAGTTCTTTCGCGTCGTGACTACGAAAGGGAAGACATGTACACGGTTCGCCTTCTTTCAAGATTCTCAACAGAGGACGGTGCTTTTTCCACTGACGAAGAATCCGAGCGGCGGAGCGCGCGTGTCCTGACAGGACGTTACAATCGAGGGTGCCTCCGCGCATTGGCTTCATCGATCGCGGTCACTGTGCAGAATTATCCAGCTTTCTGCGATCTGTGCGGGTCCGCTTGTAGCACACTTTTTTACTTTATGATGAGGTGTCGCGCAAGATGTTGAGCGATCCGCATCTATCAACACTCTGGCACGTGTGGGAAATTCCTTGACCGCTGCATATTCTCCCTTTTTCGAACCGCCCTAGTTTAAGTAGGCCGCTGCGGCCCAGCCAGCGCGGCCCCCGCGCGACGCGTCTCCAAGCTGGGCGTCGAGCCGTTGGGAGAACCCAAGAGTTCGAATTTCAATCGAATTCAGTCCGCCGAGACGACGACGCCGTCGTCGATTCAACACTGAACATGGAGTAGCCAGACAGACGATTTGGCCCCTCAGTCTCGTCATTGACAAAATGGACGGATCTGTATTGCTTCTGAGACATCGAAAGTGGGCTACATTGCCACCCCGGCTCCAAGTCGGGCCCTCCCCTTGACACCTTTTGTTGGCAATTTACCATCTGAGACATCGCCTGCGGTAGCCGCGCTGGATCACCAGCAAAGGATCCGGGATCGCGAGAGCGCCGGGAGGGCGAGTCTTTTTTTGTGGATGCCAGGGTTTGGGTCGACAAAGGCAAGTGAAAGCGACGCCTCTGGGCACCGAGCTACATGCATGTAACGTTGCTTTCGTAAGTCGCAGGATTCCCGAAGCGAGGACGGCACCCCGATTTGCCATGTTGCCCGAGGTTACTGGGGTCGACCCATCGGAAGCCGATACGCACGACTGCGAGCTGCAGTGAGCCCGAAACGATCAATTCGGCAAGCGTTTTATAGCACGCGGCATCGCGTACTTAGGCAAAGCAAGTCTCAGTCTCTGGAATCTGGATCCTCCTTTGTCCCTGGTACCTCAACTACCTCACGACAAAACAGGAGTCGGCGATCGAAGTTTGCGCGGACTTTTAAGGGTGGCGCCTCACTGCACTGGAGCTTGCAAGCCACACCCATCGACCCCTGCCTAAAAGGGGGTGAATTTCATTCTGAGACTTCTGAGCTTATTGCCCCGATGAGTGTGAGCTTGCAATTATGACGCCAACGTCGCCGGGAATAGGGGGTTCAGACTCGCTTGCCATCTCCGAGGTTATTCCCCTGCCCCGACGTCTAGTCGAAACGGAAAAGGTAGGTCGGCAACAAGTCGGTGGTAGGACAGAAGTCGAGGTGGCTGTCTCGAATCAGGAAATAGCTTTCCCTCTTCACAAGAAGAAAAGAGACGAGGCATCAAGTCTTGACTAGCGTTGTTGTATTTGCTCTACGAAGCGTCATCTTGCAACGGCGGACTCGAGAATGCTTGGACTACTAGTGCCTTTGAGGTACAGCTTTACTCGTAACCTTAGCCCAATCGGCGTCTGAGTCGTTGCGCGCGTGTGTATAAGTTGGGCGGGCCTGAGGACGTGCGGCGGGTGACCAGACCCTCCCGACTTGAAAAGGCTTGCCGCAAGTGGAAAGTATTGGAGGGGCCACGCGGCGCACCTGGCGGCAATCAATTCGGTCGAGTCGTACCTAACGACAGGGGCCTTTTGGAGTCGTGGCTTATCCCCGCCAAAACAGAAACGCCGCTAGCGCTTTTTTCTTCCTGGTGGGGAATCTGGGATCGTTTATGGACGGCGGATGAAGCGAGAAGTGTGATCGCCCGAGTCCCTCGCGTGGCAACTTGTGCAAGAGCCAGCGCAAGACACGCTCCCCCCTCCTGTTAATTTTTCCATGACCTGGTGCCTCTGATCGAATAGCCCAATTTACACAAAGGTACCTAAATAAGTACAACATGTGGGCTTCCAACTCTACAGTAAGCGGTTCCGCGAATGAAAGTCTTCCGTCATCGCTCGACCGCCATGGGCGCTGACGACCCGGCCAACTTCTTCTGCGCAGCCTTGTGGACCGACCTCGGCACCAGCGTGATACTCGTCCCTTGCAACTGTCGACTCAGATCTTCCATCCCGTCCCCTACATCCACCCTTGGCGTAGGATGTTTCAATTGGTTCGCTGGTCGCCGTTCTTCCGGCGATTGACTTCGCTCAATCTCGGCCATCTCGGTCCCTTCCTCTTCATCTTCGTCTACGTCATCCTTCCTAGTGATCTGAGCCTCCCCCTTCCCTACATGACTGGTCGAATTAGTTAACCGTGGCGTCCAGTTGCGTCGAATCATCCCCCCACCTTTCCTAAGCACCTCTTGCACTCCCCAGATCGTGACGCCGAAAAAATATTCCTTCGGGTAGCCATGCTTGTCGATCAAATGTCGTCGACGGGTTTTCGGGGTCGCGAAGTGCATCCCGCAAGGTGGATGAAGACAGGCGAACTAGATGACAGTCATGTTTCGTGGAAGAAGGGCGAAGATGGACAAGTCAGCTTCGGCAAGCGAGAGCACGTGACCTAGCTCTGTGCGAGCGAAACTGACCGTTTTCTCCCCTCTGTCCTCCTTTGCCCTCCTCAACTCGTCATGACATTCCGAGAGATGCAAATCCAACATTCGCTGACTCGGGAAGACCCTCGAACATTCTTCTTGTTGTTCGTACTCCCGCTTGTGAGGTGGTTTGGGTCTCGCAAAGTCAAAGGATGAGGGACGGGCGTGGCAGACGAACGAATGGTACGCTTCGTGGTGCGCTGTTAGTGTTGCTAAGGTCGAGAAGGATTGGGCATCATCGTGGCAGGTCGGTGGGAGGGTGCAGGTGTAAGTCCTGTTCGTAAAGTGATCGGACTTTGTGAGCAATTGAAAGCGAATCGCAGCGCGATGAGCGAGGTTGAACGACTCACGGTGCGGCATCAGAAGCACGACTGGCTTTGGTCACCGGTGATTGAGGTCTTGAGCTTCCTTGTTCTTCTGCATCGTCTTCACCGTCATCAGAGGATCGCGACGAGGCGCGACGGGTGCGTTTGCTCGTCAGGCTCATGCGAGGTGGTGCGCACAGGGGACGGAGCAAGAGCTGGTGCACTCAAGTCACCACAGGTCGGGTGTCTTCAAGTGGGTCTTTTCCAGTCTTTGCCAGCTCTTTGCCTCGTCTGTTCGTCTTTGCTCTGTACCACAATCGAAAGCCTGTTCACAGACCACCACATCTCTGCAAATGAAGTCTCATTACGATTCCCCTTAATACAAAACAAGAGTACACATTATTCGTCCAACAAGTGCGCGCGAGAAAGACGAAGAATTCAAATACCCCGCAGCGTTTTCTTCCTCCTACACAGTTCCCTCTCATGCAGCGGTCCCTTCCCCAGCCGACGTCTTGCGTTTGTACTTGAGGATCCAAGGGTGTACCGCGACTTGACTCAAGGGGAGGCGCTCTTCGGGCTCATAACGCAAGAGCTGAGAAGGAGCAAATTCATCCGTGTTAGCCCATCGTGCTCGAAGCGCTTGAAGTCTAGTCTATCTTCGTACTTTGCGAATCAAGTCACCAGCCTGTTCAGAGATGTCGCTAGGGATATGCAAGTCCACTCGAGCGATACGCTTGTACGTCGCTAATGATGAAGCCCCAAACATCTCCAAGTCAGTGGCGGACTCTCGGCCAACCCCCTCGAGCCGCTATAGACTCACCGGTATGTCCATCCATGTCCTCGAATGGGGGTTTACCAACCAAGAACTCGAACGTGAGCACACCGAGGGCCCATAGATCGACCTTTTCCGAATGGGGCTTGTTCTCAATCATTTCTGGCGGGAGGTAGTCGAGCGTTCCGCACAGTGTTGTTCGTCTAAAAGGGGGATGCTCAGGGTCAGGATGCGTGAAGAGGTCGTGATAGATCGCAATTCAAGTTCAGTAACCACTGACCGGTTACCGGGAGCATGTACGCTCCACCCGAAGTCACCAATCTTGAGCTCGCCGTGCACACCCAAGAGCAAGTTCTCCGGTTTGATGTCTCGGTGGATGACGTGCTTGCGATGGCAGTAGGCCAATGCGTCGGCCATTTGGGCGATGTACTGTGACCAGACGCAGTGAATATTTTGTGTAAGCTTATAACTCTAAATACAATCATCTAGACGAAACTTGAAGCTTACCCGACTACTTCGCTTCTCGCTAAATTTGCCGCACCGGTGCAGCTGCTTGTACAGCTCACCCTTGCCGGCGAATTCGAGCATGAGGAAGATCCGCTTCTCATCGTGCTGCAAAGTGGGAGAGCTCGTGGGTGTCAGTATGCCCTAGCTTTTCCGTGAATAGGCCGGCGCACTTTGACTTACGAAGTACCCATACAAGCGAAGAATATGAGGGTGGCTGTACGTTCAAATACACGATCAGCTGCGAGCCAATCGCTGAAAGAACCTGAGATCGTAAACTCACGCCAGGTTGCTCTGGATCTCAATCTCCCTCCTCACTTGCTTCTCCACCTTGGCCTTGACCAACTCATCCTTATTCAAGCACTTGATCGCAACGATATACTTGGGCTCCGTCTTGGTTCTAGCCATGTAAACTCGACCAAACTTGCCCTTGCCCAAAGGTCGACCGATCTCGAAACTGTTGAGGCTGAACGTCTGCGTGCGAGCATTGGGCCCGATGGAGGAGTCGAGTGCTAACATCTTGGCGATGGCGGGTTTCAAGGGCTCGGATCGACCGGCAATGTCCTTCTCGAAGCCTCCATCGTAAGTGCCGATGTCGCCTGTTAGCATTCCTTGGGCATTGAGGGACAAGGCCGCGGAAGCCGAGCCCGTGGTCGAGGCGAAGGAGTTGTGCTTGACGAGCAGGGGTCGAGACGACGACGAAGAAGCAGCAGACGAGGAGGGTGCACCAGATGTCATTTTAGGTCCTTGGTACTTGGACTGCAGACCATTTCCGGCGGCGTTGAAGGAGCTTGATGCGGCCGTAGAAGCGGAAGCCGGGTTGGCGACGCGCATCTTGGTCAAGTTGGATGACGGCGCGACGCCGGCGGTGCGGATCGTCTGCGTCGACGTATTCGAGCCAGACAAGATGTTGGAACTCGAGATGGTCGCGGAGGTGTAGTTGGACGTGGTTGTGGCCAGTTTGAGCGAAGGGGCGCGTTGCGAGTGCAGCACGTTTGATGATGAAGAAGCATTCGCAGGTACGCCCGTCGAGGCTCGGATGGGGACGAACTGTATGGGATGAACACAATGGAGTCAGGCGCAATCAAGAAAGGACAAGATCCAAAGTCATCTCAGACTGACTTTGCCGGTGAGTACAGGCTTGTTGAGCGACGACGAGGCGCCATTGGTCGTCGAAGACTTCAAGGTCGTCGCGCGTTCATGCTCATCGTCATGCAGCGAGAGATGCTCCAACCTGTTCTCGACAGTTGAGGAACGATTCAAGACACGTGAGGTCATGACGAGACCGACAAAGAGGTCGGATGAACGGTGAAGGCAGATGTAGGCGGAGCGGCGTGGGGGAGGAAGCTGACCAATGCGATCAGTCAACTTGTCCGGTTTCGCCGCGTCGAAGCTGAGCCCTGCCGAATAACTGCCGCATATTCTGCCGAATAGGGCGGGACCCCGAAAGCCGGGTCTAGAGCCGCTTTTTCAAGACCCTTGTAACCACAATTGTGTTGAAAAACCTATAAGAAGAAAACCTCGGAATATCCTCGATTGAGCTTACATGGGCCCGTGCGTTGCAACGGCCTGTCGCCTGCTATCAATCAACTGGCTTATAAGCAGTACTCAGGCTGACTGCGAGAGCCCGAACCCGCGACTTGCTTCGATTAGTAGGGCACAAGACTTACCACGCCCTACAAGGTTGACGATATTCATCCCCTATCAGACCACAGCGTCTGAGGTACTGGTCGAGCCTCAGGAGAACCTTCATCGACAATCCGGAAAAATCATGTTTCAAAAACACACGTAGGCCGAAGCTACCAACCTCCCGAGAGAGCTAGCTTCAAGGCCGTACTCCACGGGTGAGTGCAATTACGACGTCATGGCTCATGCTTTCAAACTACAGCCCGATAGCGTCAGCGCCCTGCCTACAATGAGACAGAAAGCGCGCCCTCCCCCACAATTCACCTCACTGAACCCACCTCCCCACCTCCTCATCATCATAACCCCTCGGAGCCCCCTCCTCCTTGATCTCGAAACTGCCCCCAACAACCCTCGATGAATGCCTCACGAACTCGACCTCTTTCCCTTCAAATCCCCTCGCCCTCCCTATCCTTCCTCGTCGATCTAATTCCTCGAATGTCTCGGGGATGTTGGAGAAGGATTCGAGGGGTGCTCGACCTAGGGAGCGTATCCAGGTCGCTGTGGATAAGAGGGAGTTTTCGACATAGTAGGCTCCTCCTGTTTGGGAACGATGGTAGAGGGCGGCTTGGATGCCGAATCTTTTGAAAGAAAACAACATTTATCAGTTCACCTCTTTCCGTCGCAATCAAGAATTTGAAACAACTTACGCCAATAAATAACCACTCGAATGATCCAAAGCCTGACATGGCAAAGCTCTCGGTTCCTCCCCGCTGCCTTCCTCCACCTCTTTCCCGCTCCTAAACATCTCCCAAGCCCTCCCTTCCGCCTCATTGAACCCCACCGCGAACTGCACCAAAGAATCAAACCCCTTCCTTTCCTTCCAAGGTCCCTCTTCACCCCATGCACTCAAAGTAGCGTAAACGAGATCCGGGTTGATCTCGAGGCATTTCTCGATGGGATATCCGAGGGAGGATAAGCCGTTAGGACGGTAGCTTTGTAAGAGGACGTCGGCGGTTCGTAAGAGGTCCTCGAATTGAGCTCGGTCGGTGGGGTTCGAGCGACGTAGGTCGAGTTGGATCGAACGCTTGTTGCGCGAGGTGTCAAAGTCGAGTGCGGGGAGTTTGGGATTGTGGGGGGCATTGACTGCGCGAGAGGGGGGGCAAGGGAGAAGCAAGGTCAGGATATATTCATCATTGGGGTAAGTCAGAGCGGTGGATGGACCTACTCCACAAAACGTCGGCTCCGTATGCTGTTCCATAAAGTGCATCAGCAATCTACTTCTCGGTGTGGATACCAAGAGACACTCACTAGCCAGCGCCCTCCCCGCCGTCGGGCCGGCAATGACTCTCGTCAGATCCAAGACCTTGATGCCTGAGTGGATTACCCAGTCCAGTCAATCATCGCAGAAGGACGGTATCACTGCTCATCCCGATGACCCACCTTGTAATGGTCTGTTCTTCTTGTCGCTCGGGACTTTGGGAAAGGGTTTCGGTGGTCGATCGTTGAGTTTGTAGAGTGGGATTGGCCCTCCTCCTTTGTCGGAGGCGACTTGGCCTTGTTCATGGAGGTCCCTGTCGTACAATTTTCAAACAAAGATCAGCTGCTTTAGAATGCCACCACTCCCTTCCAGCAATTCTCCCCGGACTGACCAATTCGTAAACCCCCTCAAACTGGTCATGCACAACCCCTTCTCCATTACCTCATCCGCGGTCTCATGCGCCGGAAGTGTCTTCAACCTATTCGCCAACATCTCCTTAGTGGTAGTGCCATCCGTAGGTAATCCAAGATGTTTGAGGAGTCCATCGCGGTGATGAGGAAAGTTGAGATGAGGGCGGACCCACGCCGAGGAGGGACCACCTTGGGAAGCGGGTGGGGAGACGGCTGCGGGGTACTGCCCTGCTAACGGGTCCCACAGTTGTCCTGGCTGTGGAAGAGGACCATACGAAGCAGGTTGGGTCGGGCACAAAGGGAAAAGGCGTCACCTTTTGCCCACTGCGCCAAACTCGTTCGACCCAGCCAACTCACCTCACCCCCACACCGACTCAATCTCTCATTCCTAAACTCGGCCACCGCATCCCTCCCCTCGACCACCAACTCGGCCTCCTCCCCAACCACCCCATTCCTCTCAGCAGCTCTCCTCATCCTCAAAATCTCCGCGGCGATGCCTACACAAGCGCCAATCGAAGCCTGAGCCGCGGTGGTAAGGTGGAACGAAGTCGGTAACAATTCGCCCGAGTTGGGCAGGCTTATGCGGGTTAAGGCGGAGGGGGGCAATTGGGTTGTGAGCCAGAGGAGTTGGAGGGTCGTTTGCGGGGACGGCATCGCTGTACTGTGCTTTTACGGGGTGCGGATGACGCGGGTGGGGGAGAGCGAACGGGCGAAAGGCACGGCCGTGTACGACCGACCTCTGAGCTCCTCTGAGCGCAGGCCGAAGCCGAGACCGATTGCGAAGCGCGATCAGCTCGGGTCACGTTCATCATCGATCATCTTTCGGCCTCTGGTCTCCTTTTCCCACACTGCACCAGCCTCCACTTTCCAACATGTGGCCATTCACATCAAATGCCGAACCGTCCACCAGCAGCGAGCCCATTCCCGAATCTGCGTGCCCCGTTGACCACTCGACTCGATCGGCCTGGGTCAAGGAAGCACAACAACCCGAAACGCGGGCGCAGACTGCACCTTCCCGACCACCACCAGCTCAGCAATTGAGCACCGAACGAGAAGTGTCGTCGATCCCTAGGTGGTTACCGAATCAAAGCACTCCCTCCCCATCGACACCGACACCATCCCCCACCTCCTCGGAAGCGGACCCCACCATTCCCCCCTCGGCCTGTCCCGCCCATTCCACTTCCGTAACCGCCAAGCACACCTCAGACTCGACCACTGCCACAACCCAAACCGAGAACTGGGTCTACCCCTCTCCGTCCTCCTTCTACTCCGCTCTGCAACGCAAAGCCCGCCCCGTGAACGCCAGTGACATGCCGATCGTCGTCCCCATCCACAACGCCGTCAATGAAAAAGTATGGCAGGACGTATTGGATTGGGAACGATTAGCTTTGGGTAAAGCGAACGGAGAAGAGGTGGGGAGCAAATTGGTCAGCTTTGTGGGGAAGCCGAAGGATTTGAGTCCGAGGGCGAGGTGGAAGAGTTTGATTGGGTCAGTTGGGGTTTGTACCTTCGCAAAGGGGTTCATCCTGGAATTACGAAGCTGATACTCGTGTACTATGTCTACCAGCTACGCCCCGCCCTTCGATCGCCACGATTGGATAGTCGATAGACCCCTACCCTCCACACCCGAAAACCCTTCCCCCGGTTCAATACGCGTACGCTACGTTATCGATTTTTACTCTGGCCGAGGTGCACACCTCCTCGAGAATGGTTCATCATCGGCAAAGTCAAGAACGGACATGTTCACGCGCCCGTCATTGGCCTTTTTTATTGATTGTCGACCGGCTTTGGATGGGTGGGAAGGCGTGAGGATGAGGATCGATAAAGTGCGAGAGAACTGGTTGGGTAATTCGAGGAAGGCTACGAGTGCGGAGGGCAAAGGGGATGGAGCATCTTCATAGTCGTCTTGACAGCATCGACCCGTCCTTTTCGCAAATGACAACACCCCCCGCATTTCGCATACACGGTCATCTCGCGCATGACTCGCAGCGGAAAGCTCGGATTCGAAACCAGATTCATTTCATCGGCAGCTATTGCATTACGTTCAAGCTGCTCAACGATCAGAGCTTGTTCTTGATCTCCTCGCAGTAAGCTTTCAGTTCGGCCATGTCGGCCGGTTTGGTCGGCCAACCGACGACAAGACCTTGTTCGTCCGAAGCCGACGGCTTGGGGATCACTGCAGAATCCGGACGAAGATTCGCATTAGAACCATCGTTCATTCACGTGTGGGGCTTGGCAGGATGTTAGTACTGACTGTGGAAATGGACATGCTGTAATGAGTTGAAACGTGAGAATAGAGAAGAAGAGATAGTTCAGTGCCTTGCTTTCTCTAACGAAGAATCCCGGCGCCTCCATCAACCTACATCGACTTGTTGGTGTGCGTTCCTCCCGTTGTTCTATTGAACCCGAAATCGTCCAACAAAGCCATCAGTTTGATGCAATCGACACTAGATAGTCATTCTCCCGAACACAACACACGCACCTGAAGGACATTATAATCCTCCGAGCCGACGGCGATGGCGATCTTCTTGACGAGCGGCAGCAAGGTCGTCAGATCCTCGTCGGGGATGTCGTGCAACTTGGCGCCGTGGTCTATAGAACATTCCGAAGCATTAGTTCATGTCGTGGGTCCCTCTCGTTCCGGAATTCGGTACGTGGATCCCGAAGCCCCCGATGACTCCGAAAACGGGAAGCAGGCGAGCCATCGAGCCATCGTAAGTGGAGTACCTACATTTAGGAATCACAAGCGCATGACCCTTTGCCAGCGGACCGATATCGAAGAACGCATACCTAGAGGCAACACGCGGGTACAACTCGAGGTGCGTGAGCCTTGTTCGTTCAGAGTGTGTGGGGCGGCACATCCATCCCGACGACCCCGATCGGGCCCACCTCACCACGAGCCTCACCGCCTAGACTCCCTCGTACCTCTCCTTCCTCCTTGCTGGGTATCACTCACGCTCGATCGGTATCGATTCACTCACGCTCGATCGGTATCGATCAATTTGAACGAAGGGATTTTACCTAACCCAGCATACCCACTCGTCGTCAGCTCAGTGTCCGATACTCCGAACCCTTCTCCGGCCTCGCGAGGGTCAGGGCGAGCGCGCACCTTTGACGATCTTGCAAAAGATGCAATTGGGGTCCGTCTTGTAATCCGTCGAAGAGCTCATCTTGGTCGTCGTCGTGTGAAATTGCCGGGTCACCAAGGAGAGGCGTGAGAGGGGCCGCAACGGCGTCAGCTTGGGCTACGAGTGGGGGAGGCGGCGGTCGGGGAGGAGAGGCGGAGGCGGAGAGAGGCGGCTGGCACTCAGGCTGAAGCTGGCCATGTGCTTGGTATCAGGGTAAGAGTATGTTTCTCAACTACTACAGGGTACATAACAGCGTTCAACTTAAAACACTTAAAAAACACTTGGAACTAAAAAAACTTAGGAGGTTCACGCAGCACCACCAAAACACTTAAAAAACTTGGAACTAAAAAAACTTAGGAGGTTCATGCAGCACCACTACAAGATCCCTCAACGCCTCTCACCGACGACTCGCCGGCGTCTCTAAACCCCCTCGCTGGCCTCCTTTCTCACAGTCATCCATCGAATCCCGCGGCGTTAGCCCCTCCCACTTCATCAACGCAGGTGACCTAGGCTTCCCCTCCTCGTCTTCGTCTCTGATCCGAACGAGATTGACCATGATTTCCTCGGCGCACCTTCGTCGGTCTTCGACTTCGACGCACGCCCTTTGTTGCCCCGTTTCCGAGCGAGGTAACGAGCCAGAAATGACGGGGGAAGCAACGAGGGTTTCTGGAGTCGAACGCCTGATGATCTTCTTTCGGTTTCCTTTCGAACGAATCCACGAAGCGACTGGCCCCGTGCTCCCCTCCTCAAACATCTGAGCAGTACCCCTCTCCTTCCTCCTAAACGTCAAAGCGTTCCAAATCAACCCCAATTGAGCCGCCAACATGACGACCATGATGGCCCATGCAGGTCCCGTGAACAACATCTCCGATTTGGCCCACGAGATTGACATCGGGTCGCTCGTTCCCGATACGATGGTAACGAAGAGGAGGGCGCCAGAGACGATGAGTGAGAAGCAGAGCACGAAAGCGAACATCTGCAACGCAGCAAGGATAAAATAAATAAAAAATTAATCCAACGGTGAACGTACCCACATTTCGAAATGAAGAACGCCTCAGTACTGACCGTCAAAACATCCCTCCTCGCCCTCTTGAGACCCAAAATAATCCTCTGTTCCTGCCGTTGGGCAAGCAAAACATTCGCTCCCGCCATTACCCCCCCACCTTGCATCCGCGAGATTGGATCCCCGGCCTGAGGTTCTCCGACATTCCCATGACCAGCGACGATCAGGGTTCCTTGCTGTGTGACAGCTCGCGATCCGCTAGTTATGAGCTTTTCGTTAAACTTGATTTGGTGCTTGATCTTGCGCGCGAGGAGCAGACCTCCAAAATTCTGATAAAGGAGCGGGGCAAGAGTGCCAGCGGAGGACGGTGGTTTCAGCAGTCTGGCCCGACTCCAAGCAATTGACTGACATAAGCTTGAAACTCACAATAATGGCCGAAAGCGCGGTATAAGCTACAGCATTAGTCGCCATCATGCAAAAGGTGTGATAGTAGGTGTTGGCAGCTTTAACGAGCGCCGCAGCTTGGGGTTGAATTTCTGCGTAAGCGGCTAGGGTGACATTCGGATATGCCGCTGCGTTGGATCGCAGGCCTTTCGCAAACGCAACGTAGACGTCTCGAAACTGCATCCCGCGAACGATCATAAAGACCAACAAGACGATCACAACGATCAAAGGGGCCAATCCTGCGGCGAGGACCAAAGTGTTGACGACCCGCGAAGGGATCTTGCGATGCGTCGCGAGAACGAAACTGGTGACGTTACCCCAGGTCAGAACCCAGAACCAGCCTAGCATGAACACGATTGTGATGGCACGCCACACGATGGCACGGTCCAAAGTGTGAATGTCGCCGCCCGTGTAGAGCAGGAGATGGTCGATCACGTGGCCCATCCAGACGCCTTGCGCGAGCGCCGAGAGGACCGTGCTCATCGTCCGTTGATTGACTACCATGATGCGTCCCGTCGATCGGTTAACCTGTTTATTGAGTAGAGAGATACAAATCAAAACGTCAGTCAGTCGATTTTGTAGTAGTCACTCCGATATTTTACGCCGGGTTCTCCCGAGCAGTGAGGCACGTCGTTCGGCGAAAACCCTTCGGAGACCGCGTCGGTTTCCGCAAGTTGGACTTACCCATCGCGCGACCCACCACATGCCCGGACCGGCATTCCCATCCTCCGAGGAGCGTTGGGTATAGTGCAACAGGCCGAGATAAAATACATCAGCGAGGATGGTCCTGCGTGTTGGGTGTGACAAGACCCGGAGCGGGTCAATTGGGATCAGTTTTTAAAAAAGAATCAGGCGCAGTCCGACATTTGCCCGAAAGGCACGCGACTCGGTCTTTTCCGCCCGTAACGCTGGGCGCTTCAAAGCGGTGCAATGTTGCGGAGCTCGCGGTTGCCGCCTTGCGAACGTACAAGGCTTGCAGGGTGATCAACACTACTTGTCGCTTGCTGAACCCTGGTGGAGCGGTCCAAAATACGTTTGCCTAGATTTGAGAAGGTTCAATGAGAGTGGATGTGGGAATAAGCTAAGAAACATGGAAGCGCGGGACAGCAGCAGAGCAGGTCGGACTCACGTTGACGGCCACCAGCGCTTCTGCGAGAGTAGGGGGTCAGGCAGACGAGATCGGGGCACGCACGGACGTCACAACGTGAGCTCGCGGCGTCAGCTTCGTTACATCGGCACGCAGTAGGATGAAATGACTGACGATCGAAAGGATTCGTAGCAGAAGACAATGCCATGGATGAGACGGCTTCACTGGAGACAGCAGTGCGCAGTGTGGTCGAAAGTTAAGTGTCGACCTTGAAAGCTTCAGCTTCAACCGCCGCCTACCGCCGCGGATCGCCGATGTCTGACTGAGCTCAAGTCTCCGAGTCGCCCCGTTCAGCCGTTCTTCACTTAAATCCGACGCAGTCCGATCACGCACAGCGGCGCACTCAAATAGGAAAGTCTCTGGGACTCTGTCGTCGGTATGCGTTGAAGTACAAGAATGAGAATCACATTATGCAAACTTGAGAAACCACCCTCTTAAAATAAGGATCGGCCCCCGGAGGTCCCGTGTTTCGGACTACGGTGGCACTACGGGGGGGAAAGAGGCGATCTTCCCCGATCCAACCTCGTGATCTACGCAAATCGACGCAGCCTTCAGCCTGAGTGTCAAAATCAGTAGTGACGACTGTTGGTTTCGGTCGGCAATTCACGAGTCTGCGACTCTGCTGTGCGCGCAGGCCGCCGCCGCCTGGCGCCGGGCCTCGGTTAGTACGGGCAGTACGGTCGCCTTTCCCGAAGAGGCATGTGCCCCTGCCTGCCCACTCTTAAAATGTGCACCAGCGCGCATCCGCCTTTATCCTTACCTCCCAGGGGCGCCGAATCCAATCTCACGGAAGGCTCTAGGTACCTAATTAAGGTTCTCCGATCGCTTTCGATGGCGCAGACGAACAGGTAGGTCTAGTATCTACCGTAGGTAGTTTCAAGGTAGACTGGTGGGTGTTACAATAATGAAACTAGATACTGAAACTCTTGTTAGGGTTGGGAAACAGGCTCGTCCAGCGTTTGATGAAAGCAGGCTTTTCCCTCTCCCGGGGCCAACGGGGTGGCTAAATAAGGCCGAAACTCACGTGCTGCGAGCACGAGTACGACCCTTCTTTGTTTCCTTCTTTGTTTGTAGTGCATGTTGGAATCAACGATGAGTCCGAAAATGATCAACAAAAGAAGAGAAACGGCTGGACCAGGAGTCGAACCTGGGTCGCTTCCATTAATCGGAAAAGCTTTGACCTCTAAGCTATCCGGCCCCCGATATCAGTGCAAGGTCTACTAACATATTCAATAGTGCAGATGATCGGCTTCGAAATGACGACCTGGCGCTCGACTGGAGGCTCGCAACCAATGGCCGGCTCAACACCGACAAGACCGTCGTACTACCCATCGGGTGTCGCTGGGAGGCTGGCGATCGTCCGCTCGTCGTCAAGGCCGAGGGCGAGTCGCTCGAGTGGATCGGCCTATCTTTCGACCCCACCGGCAACATCGAACTCGCCAACGTGAATCTCGTCGCACGGCTCGAAGCGGTGCTCGATTCGGCACGGGACCGAGGGCTCACACACCACACCCGAGCGTTCTACGTCAACCGATACGCCATTCCCAAGATTCTGCACATCCTCTCCGCCGACATCCCACCGCTCGAGGTCGTCAAGGAGCTTGATCGCATTCTCGCCGACTTTGTCCGCGGCGGCAAGAGGAGGTCGTGCTATGGCAAGGACGTCGTCTTCACACCGAGGTTCAAGGGGGGTCTTGGGGTCATGCGGATGCAGGACGTCGTCGACTCGGTTGCGGCACGCGTCTGGGACGTGCTTCTTGGCGGTTCGGATGCGATCTGGCAGGGACTTGCGCGCGCGGCGATTGTACGAGCCCATCCCGCCCCCGACTTTGACTTGGCAACCGATGCGTGGCCTTGCGACTACACTCCGATCCGAACCGATCTACACCCAAGATGGCAGGCCGTGCTGAAGGTACCATCGACGCACAATGCGCAAGTCAAGCCGAGGACGTTGACGCTCGCGAACCTTCTCGCTCTTCCGATCAAGTTGCACACCCTTCACTACCTACCGGGAGCACCAGCTGTGTCGCGACCACCCTACGACGCCGACTATGCTGCGTTTGCCATTTACGCCAAGGTAGCGGACCTGTTTCGACGCGAGCTGTACCCGGGCGGGGGCTTTCATCTCTGGACGCCGCCGACGGATGTGGTCGTCAGCAACAGCGAATACGATCAACGGGGCCGCCCACAACGAGAGCACATCGTGGCATGGTACCGACATGCGATCAATCGATTGAGGTTCACACCAATAGCTCAACCGGTGGCGGCAGTACGAATCAACGGGCCTCCCCGAGTCCGCCCCACCACGCCGCTCGAGTCGATCCTGCCCCATCCGATCGACCCGCCGCAGCGCCTTCCGAGACCGGCTCTCCCAGACCAATCAACACAATACAACTTGCTCAGCATGGATCGGCCATACACCATCCGTCGCGTCCGCCGAGTCTTGAATGCAAAGGCCTTCACCGACACGATCGGTTTCAGGGACTCGCTGCAGCCCGACGATCTCAAGGGATTCTGGAAGGGGGTCAACTCGAAGGCATTGACGGCGAGGGAACGCGAGGTGTGGTTCAAGCTCGTCAGGAACTTCACCCCGACTCGGAGTCTGCAGTTTCATCAAAAGCACGACGACTCGCCCGCGTGCCTCGTCTGTGGAGCGCCCAAGGACGATCGGGAGCACTACTTCTTCGACTGCGTTGACTCTAGGAACGTTTGGATCGCGGCAAGGGGCGTGCTCTGCGACGCACTGGGGCTCGACACGATCGACAACACGCATTACACGGCCGTTCAACGCATGTTCGGACTTCCGAAGCTCAAGGCCAGTCTGCGCGATCAAGAAGGAGCGGGGAGGACGATCGAAATATTCACCGGGCTGGTCTTGGAGATGATCAGCAGCGGGAGGTGGGGGATGCAGAAGTGGGGGACGAGGATGGAGGGTGTTGGGAGGAGGAGGATAATCTTGGAGGAGAGGTTGAAGCTGAGGGCGGGAGGAGCTTGGGGGAGGAGAAGGCAGTAGAGGCTGGGTTCGACTTTCCCCCCACCACCACACACACACACCAAATTCTCGTGACATCATTTTCTCCTACTGTACACTAAATAGCTCGCTTTCCTCTTTCTTTTGTTACAGGTTCACCGTTGCGGATCATGGACCATCTCGCGATTTGGCGTCGACTCGGTGTGGCTCGCGCTCTTCGGCTTCGGGGTTCTGAGTCAAGGGAGGGATTAGCGGACACAGGCAGAAAGTCGGCTTTGAGGGGCCCGGGACTGCCGAGGGGGAGGTTTTGAGGGACCTTCACCGCGTCTTGTTGTGACTGAGCAGAGACTTGGAGCGTCGAGGGTCGTGGTGGTTGCGCAGTCGTGCTCTTGTCTTCGTCTCGACCGAGTGGGAAGTGGCTGTGGGGTGGGCCTTCTGTCGTTAGTACATTTCTTTTCTTTCTCTTTCTCTTTCTCTTCATCTCTCTTTCTCTCTCTCATTCGTCTCCTGGGGGGAGCAACCGCTTGGCTAGGGCATTTGAATCCGAATCTCGGATTGGTGGACTTGGCTCGTTTCTCGCACTTTTGCGGGCGGTTTGTGTTATCATCGTAGTCTTCCATCTAGTTTTTCCGTAGGCCGAAACAGGGGGAACAGGAATTGGGGGCAATATGATGAACGTTTTCTACAAAAAAAAAGAAATGGATGTGGGTTCGGCTGGCCTGCGCGATCGGCTTCCAGCGGCTGCACCTGCTCCGCTGGCGCGTTCATCAGCGGTTCGAGCTGGACAACGTCGTGGCCCCTCCCTCGCTTCCCAGTGCGCTCAGAGCGTTCGAGCGAGATTTTCTCTCTCGAGCGGGTTTTGTGCCTGGGGTTCGAGATTGGGAGGTGTGATGACCGAGTTAAGTCCTTCCTTCCCATTTTCCTCCCCTCCTTTCCTCCCTTCCTTTTCGGTCAGAAGCTGACTGTCTTGAAACTTGTTGCGCAGTGGAAGGCTGCGCACCTCTCCCTCTCTCTACTTTGTGCAGTAGCGGTTTTCGTTCTTGGATGGATCGGCAAGCCGGGTCGATCGTCGTTGCGTTGGAGGCTTTGTGAAGTTCTCCCCTCTCTTTCCCCTTTCTCCCTTCCCTTCCTCTTCTCGTTCCTGTTGCTCGGTTGTTGACTACGCTTCAGCCACTTCTCCTTTTATTCCTAAGCCGTGTGTTGGATTCCGTCGAATAGATCGTTCGTTCGCGTTGGTCAAGATCTACGGCATGGATCGGGAAGAAAGGTCGCTCGTTTTTTTGGTCAATATCCTCGCGTCAAGGCGAGGCTTGTTTCGTTGTATTGGATCGTTTTCGCTCGGCCCCGACGGCTCAACAGCCAGCACTCGAGACTCAGCCAAGGGAGGACATCAGGCGCTGTCGGGGTGACGAGTAGCTGGGGCTTGGCTGCGGCCTGTCAGTCCCTGGGGACCTCTAGCTCTGGCTTCGACCCCCTCCCTTGGCCCCTCGGGTGTGTTCCCCTCCTCCTCCCCTCCTCTCTGTCTTAGTATTCCTGGTTCTCCGTGTTTCCAGTCGTGAATTTTTGTATATTCTCCCCTTTTCTTTCTCTAGGCGCTCTTGCCTGGTTTTCGAGTATCTTCGCTCCCGCTCTTGGGACGTGAAGCGGCAGCAGTACTCACCGCCCGTTGGAGTCCGCGTTAGGTGCTCGGCGGGTTTTGATCTGCGCAGCGCTCTTTGCGCGCAGGGGTTTGACTTTCACCCAATTGCTTGCCGTCGTTGCTTTATAACCTCTTTTAGCTCTTTTTCTAGCGGTCCCAGCCAACCCGAAGAATTGCAATTTATGAGCCCCAGTAATAATAATTAAAAAAAAAAAATCATATTTCGGGCTGACAGCTAAGTTTTACAAAGTTTTCAACAATTCGTATATGCGCAGTAGGAATCATTTAAGCCGAGCGAAGGCCCGGGTATGCGGAGGGCTGTTGAACGTTGATGTCCCGGCGCATTTCGCCATGGTCAACGCCGTCAACGCCGTGTCCTCGATCTGATATGAAAATAAGGCGGGTATCTAAGGTGCACGAGGCTGTAGAGAAGGGTTTAGTACCTGGTCCTTGTTTTGTACGTTTCCAGCTAGGCCATGTCCCGAAGGTCTTCTTCGCTATCGCCTGACCTGTCGACCTCGACGTCGACATCGACAAAAATCTTGCTGCCGTGAATTGCGCCGGAGCCCGTCTGCGACCTTGGGTCCTCACGTGTCGCGCGCCTCGCTCCAGTAGAATTTGCACGCGGATTGAACTCAAGCGTATTCCTAGCTCCGCGTTCCAACATCACCACATCGATCGGATCTGTCGCGCTTGAGCCGGCGACGTTCGAGTGCACCATTGCTCGACCCCCCTGACTGTGGAAGTCGACGGCAATCCAGATGAGCGCAACCTGCGCCACGAGCATGACGGCAGTAACGACCCATGGCGCGCAGGTGAACAGCACCTCCGTCTTGGCCCACGACACGTCGGCGAAGTTGGTCGTACGGTACATGATCAGATTGAATAGCAATGGTGCCATGACGATGATAGCGAAGCAAAGCACCATTCCGAACATCTAACGCGCCCCCGCAGAATGGATCCCTCAGTTTCAGATAGGAGTTGCGCCGCAGAAACCGAGCGTAATGTGGCACTCACGGTGAGGATATCATTTTTCGCTCTTCGAAAGCCAGCGAGTGCATCCCGCTCTTTACTGCTGGGATTCGCTTCGTTGCTATGGATGAGGTCATGAGCTGTCTGGGATCCCGCCCCACCTCCGCGACCCGGGTCCGAGATAGTCGACCCCTGATGAGGTTGCACGGAGGCTTGCCGTGCTGAGATGTATGACGTGTGATTATTTTCGTTGAAAACGATTTGGCGCTCGATCTTGCGCGCGAGCATAAGCCCTCCAAAATTCTGTCACAGGAGTAGACAATATAATTCGCTTCGTCGGCAAGGTTCGAGATCCAAAGGGCCATTTTAGAGTCTTCGGCTCAGGACCACTCACAAAGACAAGTGCAAGTGATACAACCACCGCGGTAATAATTCCCAATATGTAGAACATGTAGTAGTAGGACGTCACTGTCGACTTGACGATTGAGACCTTGGTGAAGACCTCCGCAAGAGCACCCGCCGGTACGTTCGGATAGGCGGCAGCTTTACTGCGCAAATCGGACTGTAGCGATCGTAAGACTCGGTTGAAAGCGTTGCCGCGAACAATCAGGAATGCTGCTGTAATGATCGAAGCGGCAAGTTGACCCCCTCCAAGCCCAATCAGTACGGCGTTGATGATCCTCGAATCGATCTTGGGGTCGGCGGCGATGATATAACTGGTGATGTTGCCCCACGTGAGGACCCAGAACCAACCGAGCAGTGAGAGGACTGAGATGCCGCGCCAAACGATAGATTGGCTCAAAGAATGGGTCCCACCGGTGAAAATCTTCAGGTTGGTGATGTTGAATGCAATCCAAACGACTTGCGCGAGCACCGAAAAGATCGTAGACATGACGCGCTGATTGACGACCATGATCCGGCCTTTCGGGCGATCGACCTAGAGCAAAAGAGGAGTACGCAGCAGTGGATCTCAGGTTCAGTCATTGGGCGCGTCGGTCGCATTCGCCTTTGAATGTTGGGAGAGTTGGTTACTCACCCAGCGCGCTACCCACCACACACCCGGGCCTGCACTGTCAACGCCGCGGCTCGACCCAGTCCGTTGAATATGGTGAAGGAGCCAAAGGTAGACGAGATCGCAGATTACGACTCTGTAAAGGCACGGAGGAGAAAAAATCCCTTTTACGCGTCAGAGCTGAGTTGTTTTGACGGAACCAATCACCGCGGCCGAGGCGGGACGACCGACGCGTTGGAGGTAGGGCAAGTGGAATGAATCCTTGACCGATTGACCGACGGCCCGACGTACAAACCCTGAAAGGACAACAAGACCGCCAGTCGTACGGTGAAGCCGGGTGGTGCGGTCGGAAACGCATTATTCTAGAAGATGATGATCAAAGATTGCGATTTCAGCCACACTCTGCGGCGGAAGCGCGTTGTGAATCGAACACGATGGTGAACTTACCTCGAGCGTGTCGAGCGCGACTGCGGCCAAGCGGAGCAGGCAGTGAGGCACACAGCACGTCAGGTTGTGCCCGGCTCCCGCGTCGAAGCCCAAGTCAGATCGAAGTGGACTGACGTTGAAATGGGTTCATTGAAGAGCACACTTAGCTGGGGCGAGAGGATAGTTATCTATGCACTCAAGAACAATTTGGGGCACTGGCAAGAAGTTGCGGTAACAACACTGTGTAAGTGCCAGGTGGCGATCGCCGCTGCCGATCGACCGCGGGCGCGCCGATTTCGGAGGGTGGGCGGCGTAGATTGATTTGAGACCCAGGCGAGATCTTCGTTGAACACCTTTCAATTGGGCGGTAGGTGTCTAGGAGACGTTGCTAGAACAGTCCGGTATGTACGAGGATGAAGTGAGAGAAGCACCAACAGATGCCTTGGCAGCCAGGTGCCTACTCGTAGATACTTTCAAGTTGAATGGAGCGATTTGGAGGCGGCCAGGCACGCAAGGATCGGGCCTCGAGCGTTCGAGAAGTCATTTCGGAGCCGTCGCAATTTGACTGCACATCCCCGAAACGGGCTCGCCAGCGAAGCGACATATCTCATCAAGTACGTGGAAACCCGTCTAACTGCCTAATATGGAGGACCAATGGTATCTACCTCGATAGGATTGTCTAGACAAAGACTCTCTTCGAAAACCTTTTCGAGGATATTCAACTCCAAACTAAGGAGTGTCAATCTGCGCCTTGACTCTTTAGTCCTTGACCGGGCAACGTCGATAGGGCGGACGGCGGTTCGGGACAGCCTCAAGCGGAATCGAATGCATAAACTCTCGTCCGTGTGCGCCTAGGTCGGTAGATACCTAGGTATGTAGCCTGTAGGTAGGAAGCCACGTAAATAGATGGTATAGGTTAACACCTTCCGAGGAGCATTGTCATTTCCTGAATTAAGGATGAACCAGTGGGGACCCGTTAAATTAACGGGAGGATGAAATTCAAATATCAGGATAATCGAACAGTCTACATGCAGCGCAGAGATTAAGATAACACAATACGAAGTACAGCATAGAAACTATTCTCCGTTCATTGCCCTGAGAACAGAGCAGAATACTGGGTTTGGGGTCGCGGTGGTTGCGGCTGCCGCTCGATCGACGGCAGGTAGGTCGTCATCATCGGCGGGTCGCGAGAGGGCAGTAGCACCTTGATTCGATCAACACTCGTGGCTCGAGACAATGCCACATATAGCTGCCCATGAGTGAAGACGGGATGCAGGGAGAGATCGACGCCAACGCAATCGAGTAATTGACCTAGGACTTTGTTGATCGTCATGGCCAAAGCAACTCGAAGCGGGGGTGGAGCCGGCGCATAATGAAACCAAGTTGGCGACTGCTAGTTGCATTCGGATGCCCGCTCAATCTCCGGTCAAGATGATGGCTGGAATGACTTGGGATCTTGCGTGCAAGACGATAAGGCAAGTACCGTTGCAGAGGCCGGCGTCTGGGTCCAGATTGCGAAGAAGAACTACAGGGATCCCTTCCTTGAGACGCAAGTGATGCGCGGGGAAGTCGCCGGACGGGTTGATTGAATGCAGATACACCGGCGAAATCAGATCGGGCGCCATCCCATCCTCAGTTTCGGCTGCCTCGACGGATAATCGATCACGTGTGTATGCATCAGAACGACGCCGAAACAGCCTGCACCTTGCTTGTTGCCGTCGTCGCAGAGTCGGTTCAGCTTGGCTTCAAACACTCGTGCAATGAGATCCGGACGGTTGCATGCTTGGTCCTTTGGCCCGAGTGCAGCCTGGATTTCCGGCCGTCCGGGGATGCACGTCACCGTGATGAACAGTGAAGGCTTTTCATATTTGACGACGCAAGCCATCGTACCTTGGTAACCTGCGTGATCTCGCACGGCCTGTTCTTCAACGTTGATCGAGCCCAAAAATCACCGAACGTCCCATTTGATCCGGGGTCAAGCTGTTGGCAACAGCTTCAGCGATGCCTTGGGCCGTGGTGAGGCGCAGATTTTCTTGATGCAACCGGATGGAGTTCAGTCGATCGGTCTCGACTTGGGAGTATCCGTCGATCACGAACCTCGAGAAAGAGACGCCGGGTGGAACGCGGGATTGAGAGATTGTTGCCGCGTTCGTGAAAGTAGTATGCAAAGAATTGGGAACGCAAGACTCGGGTTGATCCACCTCGAGCCCTTCTCCTTGATCTTCGTGCTAGATGTTCAGACATTCTATGTCAGTCTGTGCTTGCATCTCAACAGAATGGAAGACGTGAGAAAGAGCCGAAGACGCTTACGTTCACCTTCACCTTCCTCGCTGTCTTCATCCTCATCGTCGCGGTCTTCGTCCTCCTCTTCGTCTTCGTCATCCAGACCGAGACCGGCAAGTACCTCGCGCAATTGGACACCATTGTCGATCTGCTCTCGGTTTCTGGCGATGGGCGGCCCGACTTGGTGGAACCCGCAAAGAGGAATGTTGGGGTGGAAGTCATTTTCCCCTGCAGGAAATAGTAGTGGGTAATGGAGATGCATCGCGGACGGATGGAGCGAGCTAACGACTTGGTACTTGGGCCGACCATCGGGACATCGATCACCGTGCACCTGGAGAATAAGATCTTGCGGTCCACGATCTCCCGTGTTGGTGTCGGAATTGCAGATAAGCATCGCCATTTCCGTGCTTGACGTAAGAAGGTTGTGGGTGCGTCGGTCTCGGCCTGGCGGGAGGTAGAGGCGCAGGATCCACTCTTTGGCCGTATCCCAACCTGCGCGAGCTTTGGCTGATGCGAACTCCCTCACAAAGCAATTGCCGGTACGCAGGATGGACTCGAACTTGGTCAAGGTTGATCTTTGTATGCGACTGTCTGCGCCGTCGCGTCCAAGTCGAGTGTCGATGGCCTCGGCCGGGTCGATCAGCCATGTTTGACAAAGGCTGGGCGTTGATTCACGGCAGGGATCAGGGCGCCGAGTCGATGGTAAAGGCGAACAAACACGCGAAACACGGGAGGTCCTAGCGTGCCCACTTGAGTTTGGTTCCAGTGGGCAGCGAGCGAAGGAAACGACAACGCGTTGTTGTACGACCGGGCGTTCTCGCGGAACGCTTTAGCTTCTGTGTGCGTGGGAAGGTTGTCGCACAGTTCAGCATGTGGGTCTACTGCAGACGAATGTTGTTGGACGGAGCAACTGGCCGCTATTCGAGCCTTCAAGTAGATTTCGATACTCGGGATTGGGCTGGGGAGGGGGAGGTAGCCGCCCTTGCCCTGCGAGCAGCACGTGCTGAAGTGTCCGGTCGACTTCGGCCTACTTCGACCTTTCGCACTCCCAGTGCGGAGCCTTGCAGTGGGTGCACACGGCCGTCTGGGGGCCGAGCTAGTCGCGGATCGAAACGTGGGGCTTGAGGGGTTTGAGCGCGATTCGAGCCAGTTCGAGCCCCGCGCATTTGCGCATGAGGAGGTGGTGGTGGGGCGTGTGGGGCGTGGGGGTCGCGCGCGAGGCGGGCGAGCTGGCGAGGGCGAGCCAGGCGAGTCGAGGCAGGTCGAGGCGAGCACTTCGCCGAAAAGCAGGTATTCGCACACTTCAACTCAGGAAACAGTCGCGTTCAGCGTCGGGTCGGCCATCGCGCTGAGTCGCTGACCACGCTGTCCGTTCTGCACAGCTGCACAGCGGGCTCGTATATGTGTCGCAATACCAAGATCGGTTGGGTTGTTGTCATGACGTGCGGGGGGCTGATTCTGTTGATCGGAGCGGCCCCGAGCGGGACGAAGAGGAGGGTCGAGCAGCGGGATGCCCAGCAGCAGGCGCTCGAGCAGGCGCATGGTAGGGCAGGGTAGGGCAGGGTAGGGCAGGGTAGGGCGCTACCGCGCTACCCTCGCGCCCACGACTTGGCGAGGTTGCGATGGCCCTCCTTGGCGACCTTAGGACCGGGACATAGTGGCGAGGGTTCCTCCTTGAATGAGTGTCACAAAATTCGATGAGAGTGGGAGAGAAAAAGAAAAGGTTAGAGGGAGTGGCGCGGGTTTGTTCACGGGGTGTGATTTGTTGTTCAGCACCTAATGCCGCTGCCAGTCGGCTGCCGGAATGACACTTGACACCGCTGGCGCGCCGCATCACGTGACAGACGCCAGCCCTCGCCCCGCCCGTCGGGCGGAGCTCTGCTGTAGAAGCATTGTCATACGAAGCCACGCGCTTGCCGCCCATTAAATACAATATAAGTATTCTCGCTGTTTTAGGTCAACGAAAAAGTGAAGGAAAATACTGGGAATGCTGTAGCTTCGTTCGACTGGCGCGAAAAATACAAAAGGTGCCATAGAGCTTGTACATGACTTCTGATCGGAACATGGACACCACGGGCAGGTGCGGCAGACACAACAGTATGCTGGTACATCCACCACAGGCGGCCCTCCGGGCCGCCACCTAGTTAAAAACAGTGATTTTAGGTACATTCCTTAACTCACCTTTTTTTTATGTAGAGGTAGTAAAGGTCTCAACCGCTCGGCAGGCCGGGTAATAGGTGGAGCGTCTCCGAAGTATTGAACAGGAGTCGAGGTCTCGGCCGACAACCAGCGTTATTGACTTTTGTGACACCCAGTCAGCTCAATCATGGAGTTATCGCAAGCTCATTCGTACACACTGTCGTCTAATCTACAGGGTTTGATCAATTTCGACGCGAGACCGGCACGCGAGACTCGTCGCAAGTCCGCTCAGCTTCTTCGAGGGTTACCAGATGATTAGGCTCCTCGTAAAGGCTTCCCAATCTCACTCTGCCATCCACGAGCCTTCTCAAAGCCATTGACGCCCATCTGGAAGTCCTGGAAGGCTTGTCGGATGCCTTGCTCAGTATCCTTGCATGGCGCGGAAACGAGAAAGGACGAAAAGTTATCAGTCATTGCATTCGCTTGAGCAAGCAGGACATGACCAGTCGACCGCATGTGGTCGATCTGATTAAGATGGAAACGCGAGACTCACCATGACAAAAGGACCGTATTGTATAATCTCCTGATCCAAAGGCTCTCCGGCGATGAGGACCAACCTCGACCCTTCCGACACCAATTCGAGTCGAATGCCTTGCTCGCCCTCGGCCGAAGAAAGGACGACGGTGTAGAAAGGATCGGTTGGCTTGGTCAGGCTGCTGTCGCCACCGATCAAGGTCTGCCCCTCGAGCGTGTAGGCAAACGCGTTCCATCCCGCCGGAATCGCTTGGAAAACTTGCTCGCCCTTGGCTTTGAAAGTGACGTCAAAGATCCAGCATCCTCCAGGTGGTTTGATGGGCGAGGTGACGGAACCCTCGGATTCGTTGCCAAGAGCGGTACCGGAGATAACTTTGATCGTCGTGTTCGATGTGGGGTGGGTAGAAGGGATTTCCGACGACTTGAGCTCCTGGTACGACGCCTCGGTCATGCGCTTCGCCTTGGGCAAGTCGACCCAGAGCTGAAGACCTTTTGGGTTGGGGAGTCCAGGTCCCCGTACGGGCATCTCGGCGTGAAGAATACCCTTGCCAGCGGTCATGAACTGAAATCACCAGCATTGATCGTACCGGCGTGACCCATAAAGTCCTCGTGCTTGAACGAGCCTTCCAACATGTAGGTGATGGTGCTCATGCCGCGATGCGGGTGGTCGGGGAAGCCACCTTCGCCGACGTTGAAGTGGTCCAACATGAGGAAAGGGGTGAAGTTGCGCAGTTGAGGGGTGCCGATCGAACGACGGACGATCGCTCCGGCGCCTTCGGGGGTTTCGCGCGAGAGGATCGATTTGACGATCTTGCGAGAGGCTTGAACAGCGGTGGACGACATGGTGCTTGAACGGGTTTGAGTGATGTTGGTGGTAGTGGTGGTGGGGGTAGTCAGGCTAGACGGTGAGGCTACGGGAGGGTTGAGACGAGGCTCAGTGGCGAGTGGGGCAAAGTAGAGTGCGAGCGCGAGTACTGTGACCGCAATGAGGATGGGTCGGGTACAGAACCGATGGCGAGGTGCAACTCGGATGAGCTTCTGAGTAGAAGCCACGATGAAGTGGTGGGAAGGGAATAAAGCGGTGAGAGGGAAGGAGAGATGAGATGTTTCCTGAGCGGGTCCCGACGTGTGGTGGATGCCATATCGAGCTCAGCTGCTCTCTGCTCTCGCGAGCCTCTGACTCACTCGGCCGGCGCGTTGCTCAGCTTGCTCGCGCGCCTTGAGCAGCATTTGGCAACCGCATTTCGACTGGGGCTTACAGTGACTCACTCTGTTCTGGGTAACGAGCAGGTCATGACAAATTCAAATCAGGGGAAAGCGGTGGAATATTCTGGAATCGACCAGGTGCTGTCTTGCCACGGATTATGAACTCACGCTCTCGGCCTCACTGTGCAGTGCGACGTGGGGAACTCGATCTCAAGATCACGTGATATTGCTTCGACGGCACGTGAGGCACGTGAGCGCGCCCACATTGAGCCGCAGTTCCTCGAGGCACCGGATGGCTGCAGTCACATTGGCTGGGCTGGGGACTGGGGTGTGTGTAAGGCCGTGCACTCTGACACACAATGATGCGATATAATGGTCTCCAGTACCGTGACCATGATTGTGCTCATTGTTATTCCCGGGTTGGTCCTTGTCGAAGCCTTGCAACCTGCCTCGGCCGACTCGTGAGCTTGTGTATGTGTATGTATGCACTGGCGCTTGCGGCGCAGGCCGGATTCGGGAGCTGGCGACTGACGTCGTACCGGCGCGCACGACGACTAGCCTCGCTTCGCCCACGATCTTCTGCTTCCGACACATCCGCATCAACAGAACCCGTCCACAAGGTTAGTCATAAGATTGATCTGATGGGTGAGAAGATGCTTGGCTCGCCAGCCAGCTAACACGTCTCCGCCTTCCTTTCAGGCCCCCCGTGCACTGGTCGAACGGCCGCGCTTGCAACCACAAACACTCGAGTCGGCCGAGCTCGATTATCGACACGCGCCGATCGGCGATGGCGACTGTCTATATGGACATAGACGATCACCCCCATGTCAGATGTTCCGATCAAGTACAGCGACCTGAGCTGATCAAGGCTCCGATCTCGGGAAGGGTCGGCGGCGATGGCTTGACCACCAGTCGGCGGGGGCCCACGTCCGACCAAACACGGCTTGGGATGCCCGAGCGCGCGACGGAATACCAGAACCAGAGCGGCCCCTGGGCCAACGGTGGTATCGAGACGGCGACCTTCTTCGGGGCAAAGCGTCGGCGGATAGACTATCGCACATATCAACCCTTTGACAACGTACCCATCGACGTCATCGAACGGATACTTGATCAGTTGCCCCTGCTTGACCTTGTCAGATTGAGGCGGATCAATCGATCGGTCAGTGTTTTCGCTGCCGAGCGTTAGACTATTCCACCCAGGTGATACATCTGCTGACTCCAGAGTAGCTTTCCTCTTTCCATAGTTCAACCACCTACTCAGATCTCCTCATCTGTATCATACCTTGTGCATCCCTGCCTCCCCGGCGCCGGCTCCCGAACTGCTGGCTCTATTTCCCTCGCTCCTACCGGGTACCTCCGATCTAACGCTCCGCTCCTTTCCCTTTCCCGCCCTCGAGCCTTTACTGTGTTCGGTGACTCCCTACCGATTACTCCACCTCGATCTGTCCTTCTCGGCCGTTCGGGACGAGCAACTTGAAGCGATGGCCGAGGAAGGCGCGCTCGCGAGCCTCCGAACTCTTAGGCTCAAGGGGTGCCGAGGCGTGAAAGATGGTGTATGGCTCGCGACGGCGTTGCCAAAAGTCGAGACGCTCGATCTGAGTTGGAGTGGCGTCACGTCCCTTCCTGCGTCCGTGGTCGGCGCCGTAACTCCGCTTGTTGAGCTTGAGAATGAGCTCCTGTCCACTTCGCCAGGATCGGATGATTCGGTCGATTCAGGATATTACTCCGATCTCGAAGTTTCATCCTTCTTCCACTGTTCATCAACAAAGCCTCGATCCTCAATCTGGCCTCGATTACAGCACCTCTCTCTTTCATCATGTCCTCATCTGACGGTGACGACGATCGAAGCCTTCCTCGAATCGGCGATCCCTCCGAATCTCCGCACACTCGACCTTTCGCACCTCCCACTTGATCACCACACACTCGCTCATCTCAACCTCAGGCCCTCCGACGACTCTGATCCCGAACCCGACTCGCACCCCCTCGAAACAATCGATCTGAGAGGTGTACACGCCCTCACACTCTCGTCTATTCGACGACTCGAACGCTTCTGGGCCCTGCAACGGATCAAGATTCTTCATTCGGCGGTTTTGGAGAGTGATGATGAGGTCGATGTAAGACGTTTTGTGGAGTGGGTCGCGGGTATGCATGCGAGGGGTGGGGCTTGAGAGGGGTGGAGGTAGTTTATCCATCTCTTCGTGTTTGACCAAGTTGTTTTGCTCTTCTCTTCGGACACCCACTGTGTTGTTTGTATTCATTCTTCAGACTGGATACCCTTCGTTGTGCTTCGTCAACTCGAATAGCTCGTTCGATGTTCTTCTCGTCCCTTCACAAACACCTTTGTTGTTTTCTCGCCGACAGACCTTTCCGTAGCGTCTCGTGTTGTATTCTATTACGCATACCACAGTATTCTAAATGTTCTTCAAGATTATCCAGTCGAGAACCCCGTCGTCGTCCTTTCGAAGCGAGGTGACGAATGAGCACTCGTATGCACCTCGACATGTTCCGTGACCCTAACCCCTTCGATGCCCTCAATCTTTTCATCTTCATCGGAATGCAAGTGCTTGCGTTGACGACGTTTTCGTAATCCCCGGGTGATGAGATACCAACTGGCGAAAACGACGATGAATAAAGCGACGACACCGGCACCTAAGTAACCCGCTGTGGTGGGGGACGACCGAGGCGCGAAGCGAATGAGTTAGAGGCTATTGCGCTGAAGAATTCTGGGCCCCTACTTACAATTGTCATTCGCGGTCCCCCAGAACCTCCACCAACGACCATCGAGGTTTGGACTTGTGTCGGCTGCTTGGGCGCAGGCTGTACATTTCTCCAAGGCGAGGCTGGGAAGGAAGAACGTAGAGGTTAGAAGGGCGTCTCTTTGTGAGTGCTTGCGTTAATGTGCGAATACTTACCCCATGAATTCGGTGATGGAAATGAGGAGGGCGAGGACAATCTACGGAAGACACAAGGAAACGAAAATCAGTGTACAGTATTCAACCGCTTTCAACCTTCAACTACACGACGTACCGAAAGGATCGTCAAAACCGTCGAGATCCTTAACAAACCTTCCTCATCCGCAGTCCCCAAAACGCCCAACTCGACACTCTCCTCCTCCCCTTCCCTCACCCACCACTTCCACCTCTTCTTCTCCCTAAACCTCTCCCACGAATAACCCCAACACATGCCGATGTTATCGATCGAATCGACGAGCGTCATCCCCGCCGTGAAGAGGAGAGGGAGGATCAAAATTTCGCTCGTCTTGATTCCGGCTCGGAGGGAGCCATCGGAAGAGATGGATTGACGACGTGCGAGGGCGGATATGCCGAGGAGGGTTATTTCGGACGCGGTATCGAATCCGAGGCCGAAGAGGACGCCGATGAAGTACATCTTGTAGGGGCGGTTGATGAGCGCGAATAAAGGACGGCCGAGGCGGGTTAGGCAGGTCGTGGTGGGGAGTCGGGCAGGGGCAGCTGATGGGACAGGTGACGTGGCCCTGAAATCCGGCTGTGCTTCAAGGTCTTTGGAAGGTGTCTCGGGGACGCCCACTCTCGTGATGGTCGCGGCAGCGGCGGCGGCATTTCGGCGCTGTGGGAGAAACGGGTGATGAGGCTCCTGACCAACTTTCTCGGGCTCTCTGACGCTGTCTTCACTGACCTTGCGAGCTTCCCGCAGTGTTGCAAACAAGATTGCAGAGTTGATGAGTGCTGTAGAGGATGAACAAACTTAGTTTCAGTAGCTTTATTTCGGATCAGAATCTTAACTCTCGAGCGTGAGCAAACAGAAGAACTTACCGAGCAGGAGCAAAAACGATGCCGAAATGGAGACACCTGCACCGGGAGACAGGGGAAAGGGATGATCAGTCACAAGACCCCCATCATTTTCTTCATCTTCCTTTTCTCTTCAAGCCACACCTACCGAACACTCCTCCGATCGCGCTAACATTGTCCATCTTGTCGATCGCCGAGGTCGCGATGACGATGCTGATATATGAGATCACAAGGTTGAGCATGCAGCCACCGTATCAGCTACCACCCTCATTCTTTGTGCTTTATAATTTGCTTGCTCACGCTATTGTCGCAGCGACGACGATGGTCGAATGCCCGAGGGAGAAGAAGAGGCCGACGGTGACGGGTAACCTCCCCAAGGCGACGAGATTTCGTGTCACTGAGGAGACGGAATCGCGCGTTGGATTTGTTACGGGAGGAAGGAGGAAATCATCGTGTCAGCGAGTGTTTTTAGGTTGGAAGGATTTGAAGGATTCGAGTGAGGGATGTGTTCTTACCATTATCGATCGCGACGATATGATCCATGTCGAGGCCGTGCCGGAGTCCGAGCGTCCATGCAATCAGGCAGAGTGAGAGGATGCCTCTGGAGAGGAGTTGGAGGTGTGTCAGTGGGATCTCTTCGGACTTTTCCACTGAAAGCGAGTACGCCCCAGTAATAGGTTTTCGGCCTCTCCAACTTCACACAGAGCAGGAGGTAGCTAAAAGGCCCAGCAGCTCCGAGCAAGGTGGGGGTCCCACTGGTCGACGCTCCTCATCCCGGAAGCCAATCCAACAGAAGCATCGATCCCAAACTCACCTCCTCCCCTGATCCCCAACAAACAGCGCCAACGCCACGCCCCAAAGTAATACATTCACCACCAATTCCCCTACCAGAACCAAGACCGATCGACCGAACAAGGAGACGCGGCGACTTTGCCATTCGTGCTGCAGGCGAGCGATAAGCGACGGCTCGGACGGGCGTGCAGGTGTTGGGCAGTCGCCGGGGGTTGGTGAAGAAGAGGTTGAGGGGGGTGGGTCTATGGCCTCTTTCGAAAGAGAGCTCATCATCGGTGATGACTTGGTCCTCGGAAGGAGGGCCTTGCTGGACGAAGGACAGGGTCGACTCGTCGAGAAGGAAGGCGAGATGGTTCGCATACGCGGGGCGACTTCGATCATTCTTTCCCGCCAGCGCGACCGTAGCCGAGAGCGACAGCAGAATTCGCGGAGCTCGCACAAAAGCGAGCCGTTTGTCCACTTGAGCGTGATGCACCGTGGTAGGGGCCTCATTGGAAGCGACGCAGTAGAAGAGCAGTCATCATCGTTATTCCTCATGGTCGCAACATTAATCCGTCACTTCAGCCCCATACCTCGCGCACCACTGACGCGTCAACTCGCCCACTTCCCTCAATCACGTGACTCCACCCCAACATCCTCACGCGTTCCAACAACGCCTACCTAACCCCCTTCCTCAACCCCTGCTCAACTTCATCCATAACCTCCTCACACTTCTCCGCATCCTCCTCCCCAACCCCACTCCCATCCCCACCCCAAATCTCAACCAAATATCTCTTGACCAACCCCGCTCTTTCCAACGCCTTTTCCACGACTGAAGGGCCTTTCATGGATCCTCCTCCCTCTGTCTCGGGCGCAGCTGCGGACCTCCGTCGGGGAGGAAGAGAACGGACGGGGGTCCCTTGTGTATGTGAAGTGGTGGACCAACTTGGGGGGAATTGGGTAGGCACCCCTCGAAGAAGTTGTAGAATCGCAGGAAGGGAGAGTCGAGTGTTGAAATAGGGGATCTCGGAAGGAATGACGACGGTCGTCGTGGCCGATGACTCGTCCGTTCTTGACTTTGTTACGTTTTGAAGAGCGGAGGAGAGATCTTTGACAGGAGAAGGAGGGGGGGCACCTCCTTCGAGGCTGACGACAGAGGATTGTTGGCTCATGGGTCTTCGACGAGGGGAGGCGTGCAGGCCGCTTAAGTGCGATGGGATGGACGAGGCCGATTGAGCTTCGGAGGTGGAGGAGGTCGTGGTGGCGAGTTGGAGAGGTGGTAGGGGGTGTGAAGTGAGCTCGAGGTAACGAGCCAAGATGCGAATGACAAAGTGTGGGTGGGAGGTTGTGGTGAAGTGCTGTTAAGGGTGAGGGGCAGAAATGCAAGCTGAGCAGACGAGCAGGGGGAGACAGGGGAGTAGCAACACACCTCGAGAAAGCTCGGCAGACTAGTCAGAGACAAGTCCCGCATTCGACCTGCGATGTCACCGACCCAGGCGAGGTGGTTCAGGCGACCTATAATGGCGGCGTTGGATACCTAAAGACAAGAGTCGAGAGTGAGCTCGATCTTCGTTCCAAGTCCTCAGCGAATCACAGGCAAATACTGACCAGAGCCAGCAACCGACTAGCGATCCTCCTCTTCTCGGCCAACTCCATCTCGAACAACCTCTCGTCATGCGAATCTTCCTCATCCTGGTCGTGGACCTTCAAGTCTCGCGCGTAATATTCGGTGGCGACTTTGCTGAACGGCCAAAAAACGATATCAAGCACTCGAGGCGAAACTTCCCTGATACCGATCGAGTTGGATTTGAACGTCTGCATCAGACTAGGTGCAAAACCCACCTCTCGTACCCCTGTCAAGACATGCCATCAGCGACTCTGCTGCGGATCGATCCAAAGTCGGTCACTCTGCTGTCGTCCTCACCATTCGGCGTCTGGACCTTCATCCTCTGTTCGTCCTCCCAACTTGCGACGAACATCCCCAACGTCTCCCACCCCCCTTTCGTCAAGGGCCTATCCTTATCCCTACTCTTGGGAATTCGATCGGCCGAACCACCCAAGAGAGCCCAGACGTCCTCGCACGTCGTTCGCTGAGCCATTCGACGGGCGGAAACGACGAGTTCGGTATCGTCGTCTTCGGCTTCGTCGATGATGACTTCGTCCAGGCGATCGTCATCGATCGGACCATTGTCGGGGTTGAGAGACTTGGAAGTCGGTAGATAGTCCTCGTATAAGGCTTGGAGCAATGGATCCCTCGGTGCGTGACCGGGTACGGAACGAAGAATTGCTTGGACGCTGTTGGATCGGGCGATGCGTTCGAGCAGATGGAGTGCTTGGAGTCGCAGCTTGCGTTCGGTCAAGGGGATCGGATCGAGGGTCGTAGAAGAGACAGTTGGGGTCAGAGTTGATGTGGAAGTCGTGGTTGAGGGTCCACCGAGGGAGGAGAGCGTGCTCAACGAGAGAGAGAGCAGTTGGCGGATATGAGTTCTGGTGGAGAGGCGGCGTAGTCAGCATGGGAAACACTCTTCACGGCATGCTCGTCTGTGCACTTACTGATGCGGTATCTGATGATGAGCAATCATACCCTCGAGCGCCAACAAAGCCTCGTCGTCTGGTCAGAGCCCCTGTTCAGTCAGCTCCCTGACCCCCACCCACTTGCTCCCCAATCGCACGCCGAAGCTGAGGAGGACATACAATTCCTCTCCTCCAGAATGGCATCAAAGAAGTTGACCAACACATGATTGAACCCCGCTGGCTTCCGAATCCCCTTCGCCGCAGCTGCCAACGCAGAACGGGCTTTGGGGGTCGTGGTCGAAAGAGGTTGGCTGTGGGCCGAGTCCATGCCTTGCAGACGGGCGGTCTTGGCATCACTGGACGATGAGTGGGGCAGCGCTGCTCTTTTCACAGGAATTGCGGTCATCGTGGCTGGTGCATGGGGTCGAGGTAAGTGAAGATGAGGGGGTGCGAAGGCGACAAGTCGACGCGTCGAGGCGCGCCCTGACTCAGAGTCGCGGCGGAGCCGAGTCGCCGCTGCTGGCAGGTCCAGCCTCTGTCGCCGCTGCAGACGAGTGCATACGTGTGCAGGCATGTGCACATATTCATTAAAACGTCTCTGCCCAATATTGCATATATGTGTACCTTCGTGCTCGCGCGGATCGAATTGAACCGCCGCAACTTGCTTCTTTGCGAAACCCCCTCTTAGTCTTCGTGGCTTAGGCTTTCACTCATTCTTGCATTGAATCTCATCTTATCTTCTATCATATACTCCATTCCGTTGAGATTTTTGTACAGTGCCGTCAGAACCATCTTTTTCACTACAATCACCTCCTCTTTTCACTTCCTTGTCCGCAAAGCTCGAGTCCTCGTTGCCGTAGTCGTCGGCTCCTCGGCCTGTTCAACAGGCTTGACCGCCGCAGTTCGTCGTTTCGGCTTGGTCTCCACAGGCGCAACGTTCTCCGTATCAACGACTACAGCCGCCTTGCGTGCTCGAGTAGTCTTGGCCACAACAGGGACTGATAAGTGCTCTTGCTCCTCCTCCTGCTGATGTTGTGGCATCGCTTCAGTGTGCTTCAGCGCCGAACGACTGCGCGCTTTTCGAACCACTTTGGGCTCGGCGACGACGCTGACGGGTTCCGGAGTCGGTTCGGGTTCATCTTCATGGAAGACCAAGGGGGCCGCTCTGGTGGTTCGTCCCTTTCGAGCCGCGGGCTTGGACTTGGGCACGGGTTCGGGTTCTGTGAGACTCACCGGACGAGTCAGCTGTTGTCGGAAAACTCAGTGCTCGAGGCTGGAGAGAGACTTACGATTCTCCTCAGCAACAACCTCGACTTCCGAGACGGCCTTCTTCTTCGAAACCGTTGCACGCTTAGGCTTGACCGTCTCGATTTTCGGCTCTTCGACGACCGCAAGCTCCTCAACAGGCGCCAGGACCTCGACCTGGACCTCGGGCTCAAGAGCTTTCTTGCCACGTCCTCGAATCGTCTTCTTCTCCACCACGACCGAAGTCTCAGCCTCCTCCTCAACGATGGCGGCGACAGCGAGCTGTCGTTTAGTCGTAGCCTTTTTCGTTGTTGTCGAAATCGCCTTCTTAGCTCGGCTCGCTCGGGCAGGCCTCTCGACGACGGCTTCCTCAGCAGTAGGTTCGAGCACAGGGTTCTCCTCGACTGCTTCAACGGCAGCTTCGACGGCGCCGACGGGAGCACGTTTGGTCCGAGTCGCCTTCTTCCGTGCTGCGGCTGGTGCTGTCGGTTCTTCGACAGCGTCCTCCTGTTGTTCTTCGATAGGAGCAGCAACAACTTCCAGTTCCGAAGATTCGACGACAACGGCTGGTTCAGGAGTTGCGGCTTGGACGAGATCGGACATTACGGGCGCTGCGATCTCGGCAGCAGCTTCGACCGACCGTGTTTCGATCGAGTGAGTGCCAGCTTGTTCGAGCGGTGACACTGACTGTGCTTCTTGAATCGCTTCGACGACGGGTTCCTCGATCAGAGGCTCGACTACCTCAACGGCTTCGACATCCTGGACGACCTCGATGACCTCTGGTGCTTTTTCCACGACCACGAAGTTCTTCTGCAACGCCGGCGACACACTCTTCTCCGTCGCCGGAACAGGCGTCAACAACAACTCCTTCAAGCCCTCATAACCCGGCGTCTTGCCCGTCCCCTCCCCGATCGTGGTCATGGACGAAAAAGAAGAAGAAGCAGGCGTCTTGAACATCATCCTCAACCCATTCATCTTGGGCGTAATAGCGCTAGGAGCGGAAGGAGCGAATAACCTCTTGAGACTCGTCGAATGATTTGGGTTTGGATCACCCATCACCAATGAGGGGGCTTGTTGATGACCTGGTGCGGGGCGAGTGGGAGTAGCGAATTCAAGGTCGTCGTCTTCTGTTGTTGGGGCGGGGGTAGGTTTGGAAGTGGAAGGGATGGGTTTGGTGGACTTCGGCGCGGTAAGAGGTTCGCCGAACCGGATGGGCGATCCAGGTCGATAAGGCGTTTCAGTAACGGAGGGAGTACCGTTCGACGATGAACTGTTGACATGTGATCGCGAATCCTCCATCCTCTGCTTGAGCGCCAGACTCGAACTTGTCGTCGTCGCAGGCGCCACCTTGCCCTCTTCCTCCCTCCCCAGAATCGGCATCAAAGATGCACTCCCCACCTTCACCGCCGAACCAATTTTAATCGCACTTCCACCCACACCCGGCGTGCTACCAGCCCTCTGAGCCCTCCTCATAGGCGTCCCATTCGAAGCGAACAATCGACTCGCTTTCGTACTCGAGGGTAAACCACCTAAACGTCTCGATTGTCCGATGCTGAACGTTTTGGGCGTCCCGAAGACGGGTCCTGAGGGGGCTAGTTGGGCGAGGGCGGCTTTCATTGATTCGGAGGGGGTCATACCACCCAATGGGGCTTTGCGAACTGAGATTGGTGCGGGTAGAGGTGTGGAAGGTGAAGTTGGGGAAGGAGGGAGAGGGATCGTTGTCGGGTCCACACGGGCCTTTACAACCGCGCTCGTAGCGACAATCTCCTCCTCCGCATCCTCAGCCCTCCAATGCAAACCCGGTTCTCGGATATCCACAATTTCCTTGACGTAAACCGACTCGTTGAAAACGACCCTTCTCTTGACCGTCGAAGGTGGGGCTTGTAAGAATCCTTTGATCGACTTGCGCCGACCACTCATCACCATGGGTCGTAAGGCAGATTTGGGGGTGGCCATGACGCGGTGGTGATTGATGGGACTGGTCATTTCGGGAGTGAAGGTCGGGCGGAATTCGAATGTTGGTGCGGAGGAGATGGGGGTGCTTCGTGTGGGAGTAGAGTGGTAGACAAATCCGGAGAATTTGTTGGGAGATGTTGTGGACTCGGGGGTGCGGGCAACAGAGGCGCTGGCACTGGCGCTAGGAGCGGGAGATGGTGTTGGGGTGGCCGTCTTGGCATGTTGCAATTCAGGCATGAAGATGGGTCGAGCTGCTTGAGGTGTATAGGAGTAGGTGGAGCCGGAAGGTGTTTCGGGTAAGGGGACCAATGCGGCTTGGCGTGCTTCGGCCGAGGTGGGGATCAGGCGCGGAACCGTGGTCATCTGGACGGGCGTAGAGTGGGTGATCATGGACTGCGAGAAGGATATCGACTCTCATCAGTACCACTTCGGCCACGCCATTTTCTTGGAATCGAGCTTACCTGACTCGCAAGCCCGACCTCCGCCTCAGCCTCATCAACGTCCATCGCGTCATCCTCGACGTCGTCTTCCTCGTCCTGGTCGTCACTATCCCGCCTAGGGGTCACCAGTGACCCATTTCTCCCCCTGACCAAGTCCAACGAGTCCCTCGGCATCTTTGCGGGACTCAAATCCGGGCCCATTCCGTTCTGAGACGGCGTCGACTCGACTGAACTCGTCTCCTCGCTCGAGGAAGAAGCGCCACTCGATTGAGAAGGCGTCAAAGGCGGTGTGATAACACTCTTGATCGCCGAACGAATGAGGACTTTTTCCCTTAACGAATGACGACGCGTCAACAAGTGTCGAGGGATCATAGGTACAGAAGTAGAGGATTCGGTCGGTGTGGCCGGGAGAGGGACCTTCGTCGCTAGGGAAGCGACGGGGGTGAGTGGGAATGAAAGAGATACGTCCTCGTCCGCTTCGGCGATTTCGTCGGAGGATGAATCGGAATCCGAGGCATTCGCTTCTTCGTCGTCACTTGGGACTAGGGAAGTAGTCGCTACCTCTCCCACGACAGGAGAAAGCAACAAAGTACTAATCCTCCTCGACGTACTCGAGGACCTCCTCGTAGGCGTCGTCGGTGCATCGACGCGATTAGACGAAGGTGTAGGAGAAGTAGGTCTCCACTCCTCTTCTTCCGCTTCAGCTTTCGCTTGAGCCAACTTGAGTTTCTGTTGACGTTCTTTGATCCATTCTTCGGCCTGGTCGGTGGGCACGATCGTCATTCGCATGGAGAGACGACGTTCCTTTCGCGCAGTTGGGGAGGCGTTCACTCGACGGTCGGCTGACATGGGAGAATGGCGGGATCGTGCTCGTTGGTCGAGGGAGGGGGTGGCTTGGAGAGCGAGAGAAGCTTCCGATAGGCTTTCCCCGTCTTCATCAATTTCCTCCTCCTCTTCTTCCCACGTCACCAAATCACCCGCTTCATCATCCATCTCATCCCACTGCGCCAAATCAGTGTGGACCAAATCGAACGGTGTAGGTGCGAGCGATTGCTGAACTATAGGAGAAGCAGGTGCTGAGGATCGGAAGGGAGACAGAAGTCCGCTGAGGAGAGAAGCGGCTCTCTTGGGTGAAGACGGCGTGGCTTCTTCGCAGGGCCAGACGAGGGATAGGCGTGGGGAAGACGTCGCGAGGTTGGGTCGGACAGGGGTCTGTGAGGGGATAATCGAGTGGAGTGTGAGCTGTGCTAAGGTAAAAGTGAAGGGTTCGCATGTGAAGACTGACATCTATCTTGACCTCGATGAGGGTTGCTGCTCCCCATTTGAATGTTCGGTCGCAAATGACGATCAGGTCCCCGTCGTTGAGGTTGGCGGATTCGCTGGGAGGTTATTGAAAGGGGTTAGGGATCGAAGGCGACGAGGCGGATAATATCCGCGTATCTGCGCAATTCACCCTTTATTGATCAATCTCCCGTTCAAAAAAAGACCGTTCACACCTGAACATCCAATGACGGCCTGGGGATGTGCAAGTAAGAGCGTGTCGGGACCACCAAGGCAAAGTCAGTTCCCGGGCCGATGTTTCCCACCCGGCTACTCCCTGACCTCGTAGGGCGCGTCCGTATCGACCGTAATTATGGCGTGTACTTTGGAGCATGTCTCAAAGGCCATACGACAGTCATTTGAAGAGAGCCTAAACAATACGAAGTGAGCGGCATGAGCGACACTGATAGGTTGAGTGAAGCCACCGGGAACCAGACAAGGTCACTCACCGACCAAAGGTGAAGACAGGCTTGACGAGGGACAGGCCTCTAGGTTTCCTATGCGGTTTGGTGCTGTCCAACTTGACCCAGGTTACGGAGCCGTAGGACTGGACTTGGGCCATCGCTCATGCGCCGTATTCGAATACGGAATACGGAGCACGGAGCACGGAGCGAGGATGTTGATTGATGGTCGGCGCGGCGTGCACTGGTGGGTGGGTGAGCTTGGTCGACTTTGACCGCGGGCGGGGTGACGTAATGGCGAGTCGAGGCTGATGTTTTGTTGTGACGTAGCACAAGAAGAAAAAGTAAAACCAGAGAAAAGAAGGGGGCCTGTAAAACGAAACACAAAAGTGGCGGAGAACGGACGAAGAGCCTGAGGAAACAAAGCGTTGGAAAAGTCGCGCCGCCAGACCGCGCGCGCGAGTTGATTAGGTCTGATTAGGTAACTGGTTAGGTCCCATCCTATTAGGTCAGTATTAGGTAGTCAATGTATGCGCTCAAATACTCGCAGCCGCTCGCACGGACCTCTGGGATGACGTTTGTGCGCCCCTTTCCAGTCCCGTTTGGCTTTTGGCTCGTGTCTAGCTCATCGCGGGTCTACCGCATCGCGTGCTCCCGGCATCCCCTCCCCGGTCACCACGATGGCCGTGAGCGAGTCCCCCGTCACGCCTACAGAACTGATCCAACACCTCCTCACGCTCGCCACGCTCGAACACGAGCACGAGGCCACGTCCACCTCGATCGTGCACTCGTCCTGCTCGCTCGCGCAACTCGTCGACGCCGGCGTAGCGATCGCCAACCTCCGACCGGTCAAGACGACCATCGGCTTGGGAGCGAGGACCCTGGTGCACCTCGAGATCAATCCGGCGCATTCGAGTCAGGCCGAGCTGCAGTGCGGGGAGGTCAGGAATGGCGATTGGGTCAAGTTGGTCGACGCGAGTGGGGCAGCGTCTACGAGTCAAGGCAGAGGCAAGGCGAAAGCAAAACTCAACACGAGTGTCCTGAGTCAGCAAGAGGGCATAGAAGGTGTCGTGTGGAAGGTACAACTCGATCGGATCGTCGTCGCGCTCGGCAAACCACCGGCACCGGGGAATCGATCCGGCTCGGGCTCAGCTGCCAATGACACCAACGACGATATCCAAGTCCCTTTCAACACTCATCTGTGAGTTCACTTTTCGGGAAACGATCGTGGAACCCCGAGACTGATCCCACCGTATGCCACAGTCTCAAGCTGTCCAATCCGCCAACTTTTCACCGCCAACGCTCGGCCTTGCAAAAAGTGCTCCTCCTCCTCAACTCGCACAAGCCACTCCGGCCCCTCGTCTCCATACTCCTCGGATTAGCCAAACCCGCTCCACCTTCTGAGCCCATACCGCCTCTGACGTATTACGACGATCGACTGAACGAGTCCCAGAAAGAGGCGATCGAGTTTTCGCTGAGAGGGAGTGAACATTTGGCACTGATCTGGGGTCCACCGGGGACAGGAAAGACGCAGACGTTGGTGGAGATAATACGACAGTTGGTCGCGAGGGATCAGAGAGTTTTGGTGGTGGGTGGGAGTAATTTGTCCGGTACGTTCCTTCGAGCCAATGTCTCCGATCTCGAGCGCCAAAACTCATCCAGCTCATTTTCTACCGGGGAAAACAGTCGACAACGTCCTCCAACGCCTCTCTATACCCACCTCTTCCTACCCCAACCCCATCCCTCTAACTCGTCTAGGCCACCCCGCGCGAGTCCTCAACACGCTAACACCCTACACCCTCGATTCCCAAGTATCCTCCTCCTCCGCCTCCGAAATCAACGCCGACCTCAAAGACGAATTGGAACACCTTGAGAATCGATTGAGGAATGCGAATGGGAAGGATAGGATCAGGGGTAGTGAGAGGAAAAAGAAGTGGGAAGAGGTGAGGGGTTTGAGGAGGGATTATGCAAAGAGGGAAGGAGGGGTCGTTAAGGAGGTGTTGGGGAGGGCTAAAGTCGTTTTGGCGACGACGCATGGGTCAGTGAGCCAAGTGTGGATACGGTGAGCAGAGATTGACTAGTGATGGTCAGCCGGTGCATGCAGAGCCGGAGGAAGGAACCTAGACGGCTACATCTTCGACTCCGTCATCATCGACGAAGCCGCTCAAGTCGTCGAACCTTCAAGCTGGATACCGATACTCAAAGGCAACAAGTTGATCCTGGTCAGTACAGGCGACTCGCATTCACTTGGAAGGAGGGTTCATGTGTTGAACTTTTTCTCGTTGGATAGGCGGGTGATGATTGTCAATTGCCGCCGACGATCAAGAGTCTTAATTCGAAGGAGAAGGGATCCCATCCGGAAAAAAAGGGGCTTAAGCCAAAATCGAAAGAAGGCGCGACGGACGGGGTAGCGGGTACAACGACTGACGTTCAAGTCGAGAAGCGCTCTTCGGAGGAACCCAGGTCGACAGCAGCCGAACCCGTCAAAGCTGAGAACCTCCCTTCTCCCAAGACGGAGGAAGGGGCTGAACCTATATCCGCTCCGCGGGAATCTGAGTTTACCGCCACTTCAACACCGTCAGATCCAGAGATCCTACCGACAGCCTCTACAGAGGAGACGGCCCCCGTCCCAGCCGACTCTATCCCACCCTCACCTCCGCCACCCGAACGACCCCAACTAGTCCCTCTCTCCCTCTCCCCCGACCTCTCCCTAACCCTTTTCTCCCGTCTTCTAAACCTTCACGGCCCCTCGATTCGACGCATGCTCAACGTCCAATACCGCTTCAACAAGACCATAAACACATTCCCCTCTCAAAAGCTCTACGACTCCAGACTCGTTCCTTCACCTTTAGTTGAGAATTGTACTCTACTTGATCTCTTTGAGGATAAGAAGGGGAAGGATGAGGATCTGAGTGAACAGGTCGTGTTTTGGGATACGGCCGGTTTGGACATGTTTGAGAGGGAGGATAAGGAGAGTCGGAGGAATGAGAATGAGGCGCAGATTTGTGCAGAGTATGTGAGGTTCTTGGTGAGTGCTCTTTGAGTGTTACAACTGGATCGTCCTTCTGTGCTCGGACTTCTGACAACCCTTGTCTTATGAATGTTCGTAGATCGATCAAGGCATCAAAGAATCGCAAATGACTTTGATCTCACCTTACAACGCCCAAGTCGCGCTTCTAGCCCAAACGCTTCACCCCGAATGGCCGACCCTCGAGATCGGTTCGATCGACGGAATGCAAGGTCGTGAAAACGAGGTCGTCATCATCTCCTTGGTTAGGTCGAACCAGAAGGGAGAAGTGGGGTTCTTGAATGATCAGAGGAGGTTGAATGTGTGAGTTAGTGTGGGGAGCGTAGGTACTCGAATCCAAAGGGGATGCGCTGACGATGGCTTTCACTCCTGTCCAGCGCCATGACTCGACCTAAACGACAGCTCGTCGTCGTTGGCGATTCAGCAACGGTCAAGAAAGGCTCGACGTATCTCAAAGATTGGATGGAATGGTTAGAAGAGAATGCGCTCGTCAAGATACCGGAATGATGAACGAGTTGGAATATTTGCATTGTCGCGCGTTGCTATACAAAGATTTTTCTTTTATTTTGCTGTTTCTAAGGTACATTGTGTTGAGAGAGGTTTTACTTGTACTGAATTACCTAACAGTCTTTATGAGGCTTCCCATTCTCCTCCGCTTGCTAGTTGGGCAAAGTGGCCACCGCGTGCACGAAGATCATCCACCGTTCCTCTGTTGTGGATGAACGCGATGGCTGTCAGTTTTCTGTCCCTGGTTACAAGAAAGAAACGACCGCATACGATGTGGTACTCACGTCTCCACTACCCGTCCCTCATGTATCACAATTAACCGATCGCACCTCCTCATCACATCCAACTTGTGCGTCACAATAATAGTCGTGCGTCCCTTCTTGACCTCCTCAATCGTCTGCATCACCAAAGCTTGATTCGTAGCGTCCAAAGCCGAGGTACATTCATCCAACAAGAGGATCTCTCGATCTTGCATCAATGCTCGGGCGAGTTGGAGACGTTGCAGTTGGCCTCCGGAGATGAGCGACGCGTTTTCACCTAGCTTGGTCTCGTAGCCCCGGGGAAGGGTTTTGATAAAATCGTGAACATGAGCGAGTTGAGCGGCTCGTTCGATCTTAGCTTGTAGTGCATGTCGAGGTTCGGAGAGATTGCAACCGTAGGAGATGTTGTCTGCGATCGAGAGGTCGAAGAGGACGGGGTGTTGGGAAACGACGGCGACGTGATTGCGGAGGAACTTGACATCGACGCGGGAGAGGGGTCGACCGTCAAGAAGGACCGAGCCGTTCGAGGGCTCGTACAAACGTTGAAGGAGGGCGGTGACAGTTGATTTTCCCGATCCGGATGAACTGCGAGTAGTTTGAATGGGTCAGTAACGGTTTCAAGTAGACGACGTAATCGGTGGCAGGCTCACCCAACAATCCCAACACATTCCCCCGCTTTGATCGAGAATGAGATCTCTCGCAAGATGGGGACATCCGCTCGCGAAGGGTACGAGAAGTCGACCTTGTTGAACGAGATCGCTCCCTGGACGGGGAAGACCATCGAACCTTCCGATTCGGAGGTGTTGGTGTCGAGTTCCAAGAGGCGCGAGAGATCGATGATGGCTTCTTGGGATTTGGTGATGGCTGGCACTACGGGAAACACAACAAGGTAAGCTTGAGAGGGCAGTTGGTCGATTACGAATTTTTTACGAACGTACTATAGATCGCGATTTGTGCGGCATAAGTCATCGAGAAAATGATGAGGGAGAAAATCGTCGCCATTTTTTCAAAGTCGTAGCGACCGTTCGCGATCAGCAAGGCGCCGACGTAGACCATGACAGCTGCAGAGGAGTCCATGAAGTATTCAGCAATTTTGAAGCAACAATAGCGCAGAAGGTCATTATTTACCCTCAGCCACGAATGTGAGTCCTAATGTGACACCGTTGCCCATCCCTGCGAGAGGGGCAGCTCGCATCGCTCCGGCGTACGTCTCGCGGAGAGTGTGTTCGAACTTGGCAAGGACGACGGACTCGAGCGACATGGAGCGAAGCGCCTTGATATTGGAAACGTTCTACAAGGGGTACAAAGAGAATTATTGTGAGCTCAAAAAGGCTTCCGTCAAAACTCTAGACTAGTGGAAACTCACGAGATGGAACCGCCTCGCCACATTTTCGCGTAGCACCTTATTGCGCGCCTCGTGCTTAGCGTGCAGCACCTGAAGACCTCGAGTAAGGAAAAGGAAGATGGGTGCAAAACCAACCCCAACGAGGGTCAACTCCCAACCGGTAGCCATGGCCCAAAAGACGCCCAAAAGCAGCATGGTGGCGCAGACGAGAACTTGGCTGATGACGGTGCCGACGAGCAAGCGGGCGTCCTCGGCGTCCTTGACGAGGGAATGAACGAGAGCCCCGGTCGTATTCTCCGGTCGGTCGAAGAACGACTTGTCTTGGCGAAGTACAAGTGCAAGACCTCGGCAGCGAAGGGAGGTGATCCATCCCATTGCACAGCGTTCGAGGATGTAGAATTTGAAGAAGTCGGCGAGTCCGTCAATGGCCGCGACGAGGAGCACGAGCAACGAGGTTCTGGTGACGACTTTTCCGGCGTGAGGGTTGGCGAGGTTGGCGATGAGCTTGGCCAACAAGAAGGAGAACACGGGTGTAGAAACACCGACGACAATCGAGAGGAAGAGGCCCAGGAAAAGGGCCATCTTGTTGGGCAAGGTCGGATAGAACTCGCGCGCGATTCGAAACAAAGACATGACCTTGCGCGGGGCTCGATCCGAAGTCATCTCGACTACGACGTCGCCAATGGCGCCTTTTTCGCTGACGTGAGGGGTCGTGCTCAACTCGGACCCTTCGATGTACGAATCGTGCTTGACGCGGTTGATGACAGGTCGTCGAGCGACTGCGGCTGAGGCGAGCTGTTCGAGGACGACGAAGGAGAGACTCGAGTCTCGTCGGCGGCCCATGCTTTCATCCAATCTGAAAGGCGAGGAACAGGTGGAGCCGAGCTCCATCTTGGAAGAAGTATGGTCGCGCGACGACACTGACCCCTGTCCAGAAGAGGGGTGACGCCGCGGCAGCGGCTCGGTGGGGACCGCCAATGAGCTGGAGGTCGTCTTGTATCCCATAGAGGCCCGACGAGCCTTTTGAAGATCTCGAGAAGCCCGAGCCACATTGCACACCCCACTGCCACCGCCCATCAAGCCAGTTCCCGGAAAACCCCAGTTGGACGAAGCTCGTCGACTGTTGTGCTTTGATTGAGGCCAGTAGGAAGACCGCGTAGCTGACTGGGTGCCCAAGAACTCGGCAGAAAGTTCCTCTAACACGTCTGTGTCGTTCATCTGAGTCTCTTCCTCTCCGAGCTCAAGACGCGGTAGTTGCTGCTGTTGCTGCGCAAGCTGGTTGAAAGGACCGTAGTCGACTGCTTCGAGGTCGCGTCGATAGCCTTGCTCGACGACTTGTCCATCGGCCATGACGTAGACAAAGTCGTTCTCCTCGATCGCGGAAAGGTCGTGGGTGATGATGATGGTGGTCCTGTTCTTGCGAGATGCCTTGACGGCCTCCGAGACGAGCAGACGAGAAGTGGCATCGAGCGCCGACGTAGCTTCATCTGTACAAAGTGCAAGGAAAGAAACGGTCAGAGGTCACTTCATTTATATCGTTTTATAACGATAACCTACCCAATATCAACACCGTCGGGTTTCGAATCCAAGCCCTTGCAATGGCAAGTCGTTGTCGTTGACCTCCACTGAGCGCAGCACCCTTCTCGCCACTCAACCAAGTATCGTAACCCTCAGGAAGGTCGCGTACGAAATCGTGCAACAACGCACCCCGACACGCGGTGGTCACCTCTTCCCGAGTCACATCCTCAATCTTCCTACGGGTCCCGTCTTCCCGTACTTGACCTACGACACCCATCGCAACGTTCTCGTGAACGGTACCTTCAAAGATGATAGCCGCGCCTTGAGAGACGCAAGCAACGTGCGATCGAAGCCACTCGTCGTCTATCCATTCCAGACCTTGTTCATCGACTTCGACACGTCCAGATTCAGGTGTGTACAAACCCATGAGAAGACTCGCGACGGTCGACTTGCCACTTCCTGATCCACCGACAATGAAGGTCGTTTCCCGAGCGGCGAGGTACAAGCTGACGTCTTGAAGGACAGGGGGAGCAGGGTGAGGTCGCGAAGGGTAGTGAAAAGTGACGCCTCGAAGGGACAGCTCGCCTGTGAAGATGGAGGGCTGGACCTTGCGGAGCGCACGAGGGGCAGATTGGCCACGATGCTTCTTGCTCATCGCACCGTTGACGGGGATGAACACGGGAGCGCTCGTCGACATGGGGACGGAGACGAGAGGCGGGGAACTACTCTCACGTCGCAGCTCACTCAATGCGATCGAAGACGTCTTACTATCGCGCAGCGGTACGGAACTGTCCTTCGATGCGCCTCTAAAGTGCTTGCTCTTGCTGCGACCTCCTCGGGAAGTCTCCTTCGACGAGCGAGGATCCTTGACGACCGCCGAGTTTCGGTTCGCATCTGGGCCTGAAGTGATCTCGGTCTGCCTAGCCAGATTGAGCTCTCCAGCCATCGCGACTTTACCCTTTTCGATCGTGACCAAGAGTGGCACGCAAGACTGGACGTAACTCGAAGCGACGAGGCAAGCCCAGAAGCAAGTGCTGATCGACTGCGCCGAGGCCTTGCCGTGACTGACGAGCCACCACCCGAACCAAAAGCCCTGCACAAACATGGCCATGATGATGAACTGCACGATACCGCCTCGCAGACCCCAAATAAAGTGTAGACGGTTGTAGACGTTGAAAGCGATGTTGGTGAGCGCAGAAAAGGACTTGACCTCGCGCTCCTCTGCGTTGAAGGCTTTGACGGTCGGGATGGCTCCGAGGATGCGATCGAGGCGGGATGCTGACTTGGTCGAGTATTCGCGATCTTCGAGGACCAGAGAGTGCGCTCTACTCTCCGTAGAGGAAACAACGAATGCGATGATGGGGAAGCAACCGAGGACAGCGAAAGTGAGCATGTAGGAGCGGTAAAAAGAGATCCCGAGGGCCACGAAGAACGAAGTGAGGTATTGAACGACGAGCCCGCATGTCGCCGAGGTCGCCATCCGCACATCGTCAGTTTCTCTGTTTGGCATGTTGGTAGAATCAGTGATTAAAATATCCTATTCTTAGATGACCAACGTGGACAGCTCACCTCGTGAATCTGCCCACGAGACCTCCACTGCCCGCTCCCGTTTCCTCATCACCATCCTCCACCTCCTCCTCGTCACTATCGGCAGAAGTGTCGACGCCCATGCCCATGTCGAACCACCCTATACTTCTCTTGTTCACACCTTCATACACTTCTTTCCGCAGTGCTCTAACGACCCTCTCACCATGGATGGTCCACATCCAAGTTGACGACACTTGAAGAAAAAAGATCGCCACGCCGATACCGGCGAACGTGATCGCCGAAGTGCGTGATTGACTGAGCATCGTATGTCGTGCGGCGGCAAGTTGGTCAGCCGATAGAGGGGGTTGGTGCATCACGGCAAGTGCATAGTTCGAATAGGTCCCGAAAGCCTTTCCGATCACCTCGGTCATGTAAGGGGCGACCAGACCTGCGAGAACCGATAGGATGGTTGCGGGGAGAACGATGGTGAAACGGTCGGACCGGGAGGTGAGAGCGAACAGGAGCATCACCGAAGGCTTCGCGTCGGGCTTCTTCCGAGCTGTTTCTGAACTGTCGCTGCCGTCGTCGCTCGACCCCGACGGCTGCTTCTCCTCCTCCAGGGAAGTCCGTGACTGAAGCTCGGCCGCCGGTGCAAGAGTGGGCATGTAGGTGCCAGGCATGATTTTGGCACGCGATGTGTCGTCAAAGCTCTGCCATGCTTTTTCGGGTCTGTTGAGGCAAAGCAAGTGTCAGTAAGATGGATGGAGTCGAATCGCGGATTTTCCACGTACCTCGAGATGGGTGATTTTGCGGTCGGACTGAGCCACGAGTGATCCCACTCGAGCGTTCTGGTTGTGCTAATTGGTAGGGTGTGGTCGGCAGTCTCCTCTGGTATCGGATGGACGCTGTCGTCGTAGGACAGTTTCCGATAGTGAACCGGCTGGGCAGCCAGACCGCCTTTGGAAAGCTCGGCCGTATGGCCGGCTCCTGTGTTGCCTGGGGAGCGAGCAGGTGTGCCGAGCCTCCTAGTTTCATTGTCGAACGTGTCCTGACCCAACCGAGGTGATCTATGGTGGGAGGACGCTTTGAGTGAATGAGATCTCGGTGACAACTGAGTCATGGGGAGCGAGTCGGATCGTGGGGTCGTCGGGGGCGTGGCGCGCGGGCGCTGGTGGTGCTGTTGCCGAGGGGAGGACAGCCCCTTTGTTACGGCGGGGGGTGCTTCAACCGACGGCGCTTCGCTCGGCTCAGGCTGGCCCTGAAGGATGGGATACGAGATCTTCCTGTTCATGATGAAGCAGGAGATGGACGAGGGGGTGTATCACAGCTTGGTATTGAGTATAGTGAGGAAGGATAGGTGGTTGGCAGTCAGAAACGATGCCAAACTCGGTGCAATGCATCATGGCGCCCAGTGTCACAAAGCCCGACGACGGTACAAAGGGACTTGTGCGCCCGGATCCGAGCCGTCCGCTCCTGCTGCGACAGTTTTAGTGCCGGAGCGCCCGAGTGCCCGAATGCCGCGGCCGGCCACAGGCGGGTAATAAGTCGTCGCGCGCATTACAACGATTACCGCGTGAAACTATTATCGTAACAGGGAAATTCGCAAACAGACATGGACGATTCGCAGCCAGCGCGCCCCCGAGTCACGTCCGACGCTGAGAGCGTTCGGTCTCTGGTGCATTCCGACTCGAACGACCGACCCAAATTACGCATCATGGCCATCTCGCCACAGTAGGTGCCCATTTCGAAGCTCAAGAGGTGATGAGTAGGCCACGTGACTGACCCCAGTGGCGTGTGAGGATGACAGGACGCGCAAGATCGTGCAGGACGTGGCACTGTTCGCCGTGTCGCAGGTGCTGTTCTACGCCGCATTCAAGGTGGGTGCAACCCGAGCCCGTCTCGACAACGCACACGCGTACTGAACTGATGCAGGTGCCCCGCGCTTACGCACAGGCGGTCATGTCGTCGATGGATCCGCAATCGAGCAAGCGCAAGGAGGCCAAAGACAAGTCCAAGAAGGCGCTCTCCAAGCTCGGACTCGATCTCTCCACCTTGGACCTCACCGAACACGAGGAGATCATTGCCGGAGAGGTCGTTCACCCATCAGAGATCAACGTCACTTTCAAAGGTCAGCGCAGAGCTGTCTCGGCGTTGAGGCGTCACTCGTCGATCAGGTCGGCGATGTCGATATCGGCCCGGTCGCTTAGTCGCCGGTCATCGTCGGCTGCTTGGTGCAACGCAAGGCTGGAGAGAGCTCACCAACTTCAAAGACCAGTTACTGACCATCCAATGTGCCTTTCGATTCACAGACATTGGTGGTTTGGAGCCCATCATCTCTCAATTACGCGAGGCCGTCATCTTCCCGCTGTGTTACCCTCAGGTCTTCGAGTCCGCCGCTGGTCTCTTCGGCCCACCCAAAGGCGTCCTACTCTACGGTCCTCCAGGATGCGGCAAGACGATGCTCGCCAAGGCGCTGGCCAAGGAGTCGGGCGCGACCTTCATCAACATGCACGTCTCGACCCTGACCGACAAGTGGTTCGGCGAATCCAACAAGCTCGTCGCCGCGCTCTTTTCGCTGGCCAAGAAGCTGCAACCGAGTATCATCTTCATCGACGAGATCGATTCCTTTATGCGGGAACGGAGATCGAGCGACCACGAGGTCACAGGCATGATGAAGGCCGAATTCATGAGGTACGATTTGGGCAGTCACTGCCGCCGTCGTACCGTTGTACTAGCCACTGACTCTGTGAAGTACTGCTCGCCTCTGTACAGTATGTGGGATGGGTTGGCAACGGGTAACGATACTCGTATCCTCGTGTTGGGTGCAACGAACCGACCGAACGACATTGACGCCGCCATCTTGCGACGCATGCCCAAACGCTTCTCGATCAAACTCCCGGACTTTCAACAGCGACGCAACATTCTCACCCTAGTCAGTCCCAACCATTCTCTGTATGCAGAGTACAAGGCGATCGCGACCGGCCCCATGCATCGCTGAAGCTGAACAAGTAGCGCCCTTTCCTACCCTCGTCACCCACAGATGCTTCGAGACATCAAGCTCGACCCTTCATTCTCGATGGACTCGCTCGTACGACGAACCGACGGCCTATCCGGCTCGGACCTCAAAGAAGCCTGCCGCAACGCCGCCATGGTCCCCGTGCGCGATCACATGCGAAGTCACTCCGTAGGCGGGCAGGTCGATTTGGAAAAGATCAAGCAAGGCAACTTTAAGATCCGACCTCTGCTCAACGGCGATTTCCTCCAACCCGATCAACCTGCAAACGGGAGATATGCGACCGAATCGGAGGGTTTGGACTGAGTGCAAGGCATTGGCGGGCACGTAGGTCGCTCTGATGGAGTCGAGTCGAGACGGAGCGCATGAATTGGTCCTCTGGCATTTGATCGTTTACAAGATGTTGTGCCAATACAAGATAGACGACACAAGCACTTTTTTTTCCATCTTGTCCATACGAGAGCCTCTAATTCAAAGTGTAACTTGCCTGTCGTTGCCGTAGCGGGCGATCCAGCGTGGGTTTACACTGATTCGGCGGTGCGCCACTTCCTGTCGGACTGATGTCTGCGCAACGTTTTTGATGCCTTGGCGGTACTCATCGTGCATGTTTCGAGTCGATCGCAAACCCAGCTCTCTCCACGCCGTTCGATGCGCGAACATAGATTGGACCCCCTGACGAGGGTAAGTCAAGTGCGGCGGCATCGGGGCTTCCGTCCGAACGGTGCGATCCGGCGATTCATCTCCACTGTACAAGACCCCTAGGCCAAATTAAGAGAGCTGAAGGCGTACACCGACCTTTGAAAGGCGCAAGCCAATGAGAATCGGCGACATCTGAGTCGAGTCGCCCGCCAGGCACCTCCGCCGCCCCGAGGCGGCCCCCCACACGTCTTGAAGCGAAAAGCTTGGCAATTGGGCGTGTACGCGAAGAACTGGGCCTTTTCGGCGCGGACAGACACAAAATGGCATACTGCAACATGTTAGCATTTCTCCTGGTGTCCGTAAAACGTTTTTGTGTTCGAAAAATAAGTCTTTAAATTGAGTGATATTCCTACCAGAGTACAGAAATTTTGGGCACAATCACAGCACCTCAGACGCCCTGGAGCGGTGGAAACAGGACTTGGATCAAAAGGCGCCAATTGATATTGGTCAGTTTTCGCGCGGGGCAACGGCGCAGAACGGCCCGATCGGTCGCACTTCTCCCCCGCGGACAGCGAAACTGATCGGATGCGAGTGGGCCGTACATCCGTAGTGCGATCTTGAGGTAGCCCCGTGGGATTCCCCATATTCCACTCCAGTTTTATCACTCCCTCTCCCTTTTATTCAACACTTCTTGCCAACCAGCCAAAGTCCTTCTGGTTCTTCAGGTCCTGTGGTCCTCCGCTTCCTCGCCGAGACCCCCGCCCGAGTCCTCCTTTCCACTTCTCCGTTCTCGCTCGCTTCGGCTCAATAATTTCTTGAGCCGCCTCAACCTCTCCGCACTTTCTCATACCGCCTTCGCCATGGTCTATCAAGGCACCGATGGCGACTCTCTCGCCAAATACGAGTCCAGCGAGGTCTCTGTTGCCCAAGCCAGCAAGAGCGGTCCTAAGCGCTCGTATACTCTCTCGTCCAATGTCGCCGACGCGCACGCGAGGACTGTCGCCAAGCTCAACGCTCCCCCGGCCCCCAAAGAGGTCAATAACGCTTTGGTCTACTTGATCGGCATCACTATCTGCATGGGTGCCGTTGCCTACGGGTGAGTTCACTATTTCGCGCTAAGAAAAGTTCTCAACCTTCCGCGGCTGCTCGGACAATGGCTGACTTCTTCTCGCTGTCTTCGCGGTCCACCAGCTACGACACAGGATTCTTCGGTGGAACGATCGCCCTCACATCTTTCCAACGCGACTTCGGCACCCTCTCCAAATCGCCCAAGGAGCGCGATGCGATCTCGGCGAACCTCGTCTCGCTCTTCCAGGGCGGTTCTTTCTTCGGTGCTGCGTTCCAATTGCCCATCACCAACACGCTCGGTCGGAAGTGGTCCATCATCATATCCAACATCATCTTCATCGTCTCTGCCATTGTCCAAGCGGTCGCAAACGGCAATGTCAGTGTCATGATGGCCGGTCGCTTCTTGGGTGGTCTCGCCATCGGTGTCTCTTCACTCGTCATCCCTGTCTACCTCTCCGAATTCGCGCCCGCCCCGATCCGTGGTCGACTCATCGGTTTCTACGACATGGGTATTCAGGTCGGCACCCTCGCCGGCTTCTGGATCAACTTCTTGCTCTTCCGTACCTTCCCTTCCAACCAGTGGCAATGGCGAATCCCCGTACTGCTCCAGCTCGCCCCCGCTGCTCTCCTCGGTCTCGGCATGTAAGTCACAAGCTGACCCACCTTGCGGACACCCGCTACTCTAAGTCTCGCACTTTTTTTTTTTTTTTTTTTTTTGCTCAGGTTCTTCCTTCCCGAGACTCCTCGCTTCCTCATGGACAAGGGCCGATTCGACGAGGCCGAAGCCGTCCTCGTGCGCCTGCGCCGTCTGCCACGCGACCACGAGTACCTCCAATGGGAGTTGACTCAGACCCGCGCCCAAGCCGAAGCCGAGAAGATGATCCGAGGCGACGACACGACCTTCGACTTGATCAAGCAGCTCTTCCGATCCAGAGGCCACAGCTACCGTCTGTTCCTTGCCATGTCTTTGCTCTTCTTCAAGACCTTCTCCGGTGTCCAGGCCGTCAACTACTACTCGCCCCGCATCTTCGAGCAACTCGGCTTCAAGGGAACGTCCAACTCCCTCCTCGCTACCGGTGTCTACGGCTCGGTCAAGTTTATCTGCACCGTCATCTTTGGCCTGTTCGTCGTTGATCGTATTGGTCGTCGTCGCCCTTTGATCTTCGGCTCGACCGCTGGCGCGCTCTGCCTCTTCTACATGGGTGGTTACCTCACCGGTGCCGGCCCCCGTCCCGCCGACGCCACCGGCACTCGCCCTGGAGATTACTCGGCCATCGTCGCCATCTTCCTCTACGCCTCTATCTACTGCTTCGGTTACAACTCAGTCCCGCTCACGCTCGTTTCCGAGATCTTCACCATGCGCTTCAAGACGGTCTCGATGACGTTCTGCCTCATGTGGCAATGGCTCTGCACCTTTGCCGTCGTCCGCATCATGCCCGTGGCTTTGACCAACCTCGGTGGCAAAGCCTACTTCCCCTTCGCGGCCATCTTCATCACCGCAGGTCCTTTCGTCTACTTCCTCGTTCCTGAGACCAAGGGCTTGCCTCTCGAAGCCATGGACGACCTCTTCGGTGTGGCCGAGATGACCGATGCCGAGCGCGCCGTTTTAGCGAACGAGAAGGGTGAGGTCGGCTCCGTTTCGCACGTCGAGCACGCTGGGTACGCTAGCGCCGCTGCGGGTGTTGCGAGGACCAACACCGTTCAGGTCATGGCACCCATTGATGAGCTCGCAAGGCGTGTCTAGACGACGAGGCGGCTGTTCTGAAGTGTGTTGCCGGGTTTGTTTCATAGGAATTCTCTTTGGAGTTTTTGGGCATCATGAGTTACCGTTTACCCAAGTTGGTAAGGCTGTTCAACTATTACACGAAATGTAACCTACTATTGGATCCTACCCTTCCCTCGCCCTGTCGAATCATCATTCGGATTTGAGAGCATCTCTCGTGAATTAGCATGGCTCGCAATGACGATGAACCAGTGGCAGGAAACAGGGGCCGAAGCTTCTCCTGTGGTAGTACCAGAGCTCGTGAGCGGCACAAATGTGGGTATCTTGCATGACAACGTTCTAAACTGGATGGTACGGATTTACTGTGTCTCTAAGATAAGTCCCAATACAGATCCCCAAAAGAGTACATGGTTCTATGTTCGATCACTTGAAATTCTATGACTGAACGCGAGGCCACCCGTATCCGAGTCGGACTATGGAGTGGCAGGGGTATTCGTCGGAGCAGCATTGCTGCTAGTACTGGTAGAGCTGGAGCTGGAGGTTGACGAGCTGGTCGAGGTTTGACTTTCCGTCGTACCAACAGTGGTAGGCGTAGCACTCTACGTTGACGTCGATGTCGAGCTGCTCGTCTTTGATGTTGACATGCTGGTGGTCGAGGTGCTCGTCTTCGAGGAGGTGCTGGTCGAAGTCGTGGACGTGGGGAGTGCGGTAGTAGAGGTGGCCGTGGGACCGGGGAAAGGCAGAGGTAGTATGATGGTCCGATCACTCATGGTCTCGACCCCTGTGAGCCAGTTGTTGGTCGCGATAGCGTTCTTGATCCAGATGAGGGGGATAGAGTACATTGGTACCTTCATGAAGTTGACCGAGTTGGCACTTGCGACCGTACCGAACCATCCCGGAAGCCAGTACGCATAGTATGCCCAGCCTAGAGCAGCATGATGACACTCCGAGTCAGCAACCGCAGCTTGCACCAAGAGCGCCCAAAAAATCTCCGCGCTACGGAGACTCACCGCCAGAGAGAACCGTGGCCGCAGGATCTGCTGCAGTCGAATGCCCGTCGACGTAGGCGGAGAAGGTGTCTAGGGGCAACGAAGAAATTTGCGCGTCAGCGAAAGCACACTCCGGCGCCATAGCATAGACTATGAACTCACTGTTGCCTTGATAGATGGTGTATTGCATCGTATTCGCAAGCGAAGTCATTAGACTCGTCGTCATGTTGTAGTAAGCGGCGTTGCGTTGCCATGCCATGAAGAACCAATACACGTCGAACCAGCCATGAATACCGCGAACCTCCTCGGTATTGTTCCTACCGACGACGTAGTCCCAATCGTAGGAAGGAAGCGTGCCATTGAGGGTGCTCGTCTGCTCCATGTCGTTGACGAACGTTTGGAGGTTCACTCTAATGAGCTCGTCGTAAGATGCCGTTACGGACGGGTTGAACAACATCGGGTGCTCGTACGCGGAGGCGAGTTTCAACATCCCATCCAGGAGCAACGCTCGTCGATTGAAAGCCATCGGCATTCCGGCCCCGTTGGTGCTACCGGTATCTCCGACTTGGCTCCATCGAGCATCGTTCGGCTGAATCACGTTTCCCGTATTGTCGAAGAACCAGGGTAGAAAGTATGCGTCATAGGTACTATGAGCGGACAACGAGCGAGCATCAGCTTCGTCAGCCACAGTATTGGCTGGACTCCGGCAAGCAACTCACCGTCGCCCGGCGGCGATCAGCCCTCTAGCACGGTCGAGATACGTGACGTTGCCGTAGAACTTTGATGGGCCTGTCCATCCACCGACTCGAGTGGGTGTCATGTCCCAAAGGCACGGCTGTTTGAGGATGTACAAGGCCGGAAGGATCCTATGAACAACAAGCAGCCACCAAAGGACTTGATCAGTCTCTTGTAAGTCGTGCACAGATTACGTCGTGTAACAGAACTGACATGTTCGCGACAATGTAGCCATTCTCACTGCCAGCGTATTGCAACTTGGCTTTGTTATTAGGCGTCGGGGGCTGGAATGATAGAGGAGGAATTGTTTCAGCGTGAGCCGGGAGCACGTGTAGAAATTGGCGATCGAAATCGCTGTGCACAATCACAGGGCCAGGAAAAGTGGTACGTACACCTGTAGGCCAGACGGGGTCACGGAGACCGGTCCACATCACCGTACCGTTCACGGGATCATTCTGAAGGAAATGCATGCTGCAACCGACGAAACCCAGAACATCAGCACGAGTATTTCCGCGACTCATCCGAGGTTGCCAGCTTACTTTTCGGCCATCTGCAACGCCAAGTCCAAAGCACGTCGGTCTCCTGTGACCTGGTACATCTGCCCTGCCGCCCTGGAGGCTTCACCGAGGTACCCATTTGCGAGCACATTGCCGATTCCGTTGGCCAGTACGGGCGGGATCTTGGCCAGTAAGCCAAGAGCACTCTCAATCTCCAACCGTGTTACGTTGCCATCGGTACCACCCCAAATCGTATCCACGTATCGGTCGTTGGGGTCGCAGTACCGTGCTTTGCAGGTCATGGCGAATCCAACAGCGGTCCCATCGAAGCCGGATGGTACTCTGTTCGTCGAGTTGCAAGGGTACCTCGGAACCACGACGGGTGGGATGGTTGCGTTCGTAGTGGTGTTCGTGATCGGCACGCACACCGTCACGTTTGCACCGACGGGGTTGACATCAGTCCCGTTCATCGCCGTTCCATTTGTGGCCAGGGTCGCATTCGAAACAGGTGTGGTGTTGTTGACAAAGGAGATGATGGTCGTGCAGTTGAGCGTCACCTTGCCCGGGCCAGGGAGGGTCGAATTGGTGCCGGAGGACGAATTGCCGGCGCCCTGCGTAAAAGCGGGCAGACCAGAAGTTGTGGTCGGGGTGGAAGTCGTCGACTTCGAAAAGGCAGATGATGATGAGGTGGTCGACGTCGTCTTTGGGGCACTTGATGACGTTGTCGTCAACACAGGCTTAGTGGTTGTCGTCTTTGACCGCGTAGCAGAACGCGTGGTCGACTTGGATTTAATGGTCGAACTCGGGGTCGTTGCACGCTTCGTCGTCGTCGGTGCGGTGGTCGGTGGGCGAATGGATGTCGTCGTTGGCCGTCGACTGCTCGTCGTCGTTGGCCGTCGGCTGCTCGTCGTCGTTGGGCGCCGAGAAGTAGTCGTAGTTCTCCTGGGCGTCGTCGTCGTCGGGCGCCGAGAGGTAGTTGTCGTCCGCCGGGGAGTAGTCGTGGGATTCCGTACGCCATCCGTCCGAGCTCGAGTGTTGGTCCTGATTCTCGGACTGCGCGTTTTTGTCGTCGCGCGAGGCGCAACCGTTTTCCGTCGATCGACCGTCGTCCGACGAGCCGCCGTAGTAGTCTTCTTTTTAGTCGTCGTCTTACGTTCCAGCGCAGCCAGCTGATGACGAGGTGACGTCGTACGGCGAGTCGTCCTCCCCCTCCGAGCGGTCGTCGTGCGCAACTTCTTGTCGTCGCGCTTATCTTGCTCCGCTCTCTTCTTTCTCTCGCGTATTTCTGATTCTTTCCGGTAGATTAAGTCGGAATAAACACTCTGAAACAATGACCGTCGTCATATTTGTACATCCCAATCAACTCACCTTCCACTTCATCGTCGCCTAGGTCATCTTGCGCGCCTCCGGCGTCGGTATCCTCCTCATCGACTACTTCTGTAGATAATTCGACAATATCCAGCATCACAGACTTGAGTGGAAGTTAATTTACCGAAAGCTTACAACAACCAAGCACTGACCTTCATCCGTGGCCGAGTATGACTCGTCCGACTCGTCCGCCAGGCCCGACTCGGACTCGTCAAGTTGAACGACGACTTCGCGCGAGTCATCGAGTTCGTCGGCCGACGCGACCCAATCCGAATCATCGCACGGCACACTCGTCTCCGAGTCCTCCCAAACATCCTGACATCCATTCGTATCCCTTTTCGCAAGATGATAATGTCTCTTCCCCAAAGTAGCGAGCCATCGAATACGACTAGTATGTCCTAGTCGATCGCCCAAAGGAGTAGCCGCGTCGGCGCGTCGTTGATGAACTGCCTGAACGCGCAAAGCCTCCTCGCCAGCGACGAGCGTCCCAATCGGCTCATTCACGCCCCTCAACCCCTGTTGAGCAGCCAAGGCGTTCCCGAACTGACTTAAAATCCACCATGAAGCGATCGCCAACTTGGCAGTCTTCATCACTGCTCAAAGTTGGAACTAGTCGTCCACGTTCGCGCGGGTGGTGGAAAGCTTCTCTTCCTTGTGGGAATGGCGGAGGCCGTGGTGCGCGCGCGAAACACGCGGCGTTTTCTAGCGCGCAACGACGACGCGTGCCTGGGGTGTTGATCGGCGTTCTTCGTGGATCTGCTGCTGGGGCGGCAAGGTCGATCGATGGTGAGGCTTTGCCAGTGGAAATTAGATCGAGCAGTGTGGTTGAAGCGCGGCGGAGGAATATCGAAGGCACAAACAAGTCGAACCAAAATTGAAGAGAGGGGAAGAGGACGAAGAGCAATTAAAAATGCCCAGGAACTGTGCACGATGGGGGTCGAGCCAGTTTTCCCTACACGGTCAAATTGGGCGGCGGCCTCTTGAATCTCTCGAGAACTGCCTGCCCAGTGCCGACTGCCGAGGCGGACTCGCGGCATGCTGGCGGCGGTGTTGCCCTGACGGGAGACGGGGCGCGCGCGTCGTCCGTGCGGAACCGACCTTGCAAGGGCCCTCCCGGACTCCCGGTGGGCCAATTTAGGCTGTTACCTACACTTCGAAAAGGTACGCGCTTTTACCCCAAAGCAGGACAACATAGTCTCAATTCTTCGAGTTTTTAGAGCAACGCTACTCGTTCCCCTTGCAGCAGAATGCACGGGTCACCGGTCCGTCGTAATTGCTTGCTCCGACAAGCCTACTAGTGCAATTACGCGACCTCGGCTCCTTCGACTGAAAACGTACAGAACTGTAAGCAAACAGGTGGGTGCCTAGGTACTACCAACTCGCGCGTGAAATAATAATAAGACGAGTAGAGTCTGCCACCACCTCAACGGACGAACAAAACAAACAAACAAGCAAACCGGCATCCTTCCAGCAATGGGCCCAATTGAACCAACGCCCAGCCCTTTTTTTTGGACGTTTCGGAGGCCCACGGACACCGACGCACCCCCGTACCGCCGCAGCACGACGACGCGCCTACCCTCCGGATCCTTTGCCGGTTGCCAAGAACGACACTCTGGTAGCTAGTTAAGACTGTAACGGACGTGTTTTTCGGACAGGTGATTCGCGTTCCACGAGATGGAGTCAACAGGCCCCTAGGCCGACGGTGGGAACAAGTGCGACGCAAGGGCCAAGGGTCGCCCTCACAGGAGTGATTATCCACCTTGCCCTCCACCGTACCGGCAACTGTGCGACGAAGGCCTTTGCACCTTACCGTGCGTTACAGAAGGCTTGTGCGCATGAGGCTAGCCATGACCCTTGGGCTTTCAGCATGGACCCAGTACGTTGGTTCCCGAAAGGAACAGATCAAAAGTCATAAACACAAAAACCTTCGTATATCATTTTTTCATCGCCCAAACACACACACCACCTCTTTTTCATCTATTCAAACCCCCCCTCGATCAACTCAATAATCATCCACACTCCGACTCAACAATTCCTCGTCCGACCTTCCGACCTTGACCATCTCATGCGGCGGGACGAAACTCTCTTCATCCTCCTCATCCTCATTCTCATCCTCCGCGATCCTCGCGTCCTTCGTCGTCCCCGTTCCAGCCCTATGGAGCGAACCTCGTCGTCCGAGGTCCATATCCCCGCTTAAAGTCGGAACGTCCGCGCTTTGACCTTGTTCGTTCCTGTTCTTGTTTTGAACAACAGGGAAATAATTCTGACTCGACCTCGCCAAAGAAGTCGCCAAAAGTCCACCGTTCCCAGTCGTCATCGCGCCGCCCATCGCCTTCTTCGAAGTCGAAGCTGCGCTCGGTCTCGAAGGTGCCAAATCGAACGGGACGGCCGAAGTCGTCGTGATCGTCTCCTTCCTCTTGGGTAAGAGAGGCGGAACGAACATCCCCTCCCTAACAGGTACCGAAGTCTTGCGTTGTAACTCCCTTTCCCCCTCTCGATCCCTTGTACCACCCGCTCCAATCTCCCCATTGAACAAACCGCCACCATCACCTCGTCTACGTTGACCCATCCCGATCGAGATAGGAAGAGAACCGACGGCGAAACGATTCTGTGCACGTTCCTGATCCCCTTCGATCTCCTCCTCATCTTCCAAAATCTCTTCCCCTCCCCTGCTCATCAAAGTCTTACCCGAATTGACGAACCGTTGCCCCTTGCGGGGTAAAGGACTTCGATGACTGGGTGCATCGATCGCCAATACCTCGCGTAATTTTTGTTCGCCCTGTTTCATCGCTTCGGGATCGACTTGGTCGTGAGAAGATTCGAGTAGTGCGATTTGGGCATCTTTCCTCGCGGTCGTTGAAGTTGAGTGTGAAGCGTCGGGTGGGGATCCGCTGAGGGTGGCTGAGAGGTCGAGAGGTGGGATACGGAAAGAGGATGAGGAGGCGTTCGGAGGGGACGAGAGCGACGTCGCTGCGGTCGGGGGTGATTTGAATGAAGCGTGTTGCTGATAGCTGTGTTGTTGTTGTTGTTGTTGTTGCCTCGCCATCGAAGTCTGCAACAATGCGGCATACGAAGAAGATAGCGTCGAAGGACGGAATGAAGAGGGTCGGTACGAGGTCGAGGCAGTGACTTGGGGTGAAGCAGGTGCGGCGATCGCGGCCGCAAGTTCGACGTCACCCGTTGATACGGGAACAGGTGCAGTCGAGGTGGGGGGACTGCCCAGTTCGAGATCTTCAACGTCAATGTCCTCGTCCATCTCAAAGGGGGCATCGTGTTCTGAATTCGATAGAACGGCAGCAGGAATCAGCATCACGCCATCCATAGCGCTGTCATCTGTAAGATGCTAACGCACCTTCTTCATCCTCCTCATCGCCAACCAGACTCGTCTCCTCCTTTGTCGTCGTCGCCGTCGCCGTCGCCGTCGCCGTCGTCGTCGTCGGCAGTTCCCTAGTCCTCGCGTCCCTCCCCCGTCTCTCATTCGCCTCCTCCTCCTCCAGCGCCAATTCCTCCGTCTCGGGAATCGCGACCAATGAATTGACGCTCGGTACAAAATTATCGATCGCAGTCCCGTCCTCGAGATTCTTCTTCCTCGTCGAAGGCTGAGGTTGAGGCTGGGGCTGAGGCTGAGGTTGAAGCGTACTGTTGCTGGTAGTCGTCACAGAGGTGGAAGGCGTGATCGAGTCGGGCGTATCATCTCCCCCGAGATGATCCTCATCATCCAAAGTCGCCGAAATGACTTGCCCAACCTTATAAGGGCTCCTGGACCTCGAAGCAGAACTGACATCCTCATTCGTCGGTGCGACGAGATGGGTCAAAGTTCCCTTCACCGCCGCCACGACTTCGGCGACCGCTTTCCCACTCCTCGATTCGCTCCTTCTCGTCCGACTCGTGTCCCTACCCGTCGCTTCATCCTTGGAAGCTCTTTCCACTCGACTGCCGGACCTGCCCCGTTCTTCTTGTTCCCTCTCATCCTCGGCTCGGATTCGACTACTGATCGATTCGTCCCTCTTGGCCGCTTCGGGACCACGAATCGATCGTTCCCTTTCCTCCGCGATCACACTCGCCAGCCGATCCCTCGATCGTTCCCTTTCCACCGAATCAGATCTCGGACCAGCATTCGGCGCCCGTTCGAGCGCGTACGTTTCAGGGAAACCTCGCTGCACTGCTGTAGTGGGTGAAGTTCCCGTCGTCGTCGTCGTCGGTCCGACTTTTTCGTTCCGAGAGGTCGAGCGAAACGGTGCCGTCTCGTGCGAAGCTCTTTCGATTCGGTTCGTGAGCAAATCGAGTTCCAAACTCGCCCTTTTGGTGTAAGCTTCTTGCTCCTTCCTCAATCGTAGAATCTGTTCGGTCGTTCGTTTGACTTGGTCCGAGACGTGGTTCGTGTAGATCGTCGAGAGTGGGAGATGAGGTTTCGGAGCGGTGAAAGCGTACAATCCGATAGGTGGGGTCGGGTTCGAAGGGGTCGTACGCGTCGAGTGACGGGTGAGTGAAGGTGCTCGAGCGCTCGCGAGGCCCAACGATAGAGGCGGTACGCTCGTATCCGATCCTTGGGAATGGGCTCTCCTTTGGGGACTCAGTGAAGGGGACCAGAGCGCGCGTTGTAGTGTCGGGGAATGGGCGACGCCGCGGGTGGCAGGTGGGTTCAGGTGTGGGGACGAAGGCGGGGTCGCGTCCGGGTCGAAGTGAGGGGGGACGAACTCGGGTCCGTCGAGCAGGACGCGGAAGATGGTCGAGTAGAGCGAAGAGGCGACGAGCTCGTCGTACTGGTGGCGCGGGACGAGGGGGAAATGCACGGTCACGCTCGACAGGGGCTCTTGTTCCGCGGAGGAGAAAGACGGCGAGGAGGGAATGGGAATGGGGATGGAGAGTACGGGTGTACGGGTGTTGATCGAGACGAGGAACTGTTCTGTCGAGGTCGAGTGGACGGTGACGAGCGAGGGATGTTGCTGTTCAGGTGATCGCCGAGGAGCCATCGCGCGGCGGAGTAGAGTAGATGTCAGCAAGGGGGAAGTGCAAGTGTCTCCCGAACGCGCGAGGTGATCGACGCGAAAGAAGAGCCGACGGGGGGGGGCAGAGCTGACTGACAATATGGATACTCTCACGGCCTTTGTCCAACTGGAAGGTCGCTGTGGAGGAGGGCGCAGGGTGAGGGTGCCGGTCGATGATCTGGCCGCAGAGGAGCACGTTCAAGTCCGGTGAGGCGTAGGTCCACTTGAAGTTCGCGGACGACGACTCGCTTGGCTCGCGCTGGGTGGGAGCAGGTGAGCGAAACGGTGCCGAGGTCGGTGAGAGCGGGTCCATCCCCACGCCCTATTCTCGTAAAAGGTGAGGCGAGACGGGCAAGAGCGAACGAGTGGGAGTGGGAGTGGGAGTGGGAGTGGGGGGGAGGGGCGGCGGTCACCGGTTGGGCCGGGGCGCAAGTAACAAGTCGTTACTAGGGCTCCTCAAAAACCCCAAACCACCACTAACGCGCGCCTAATCCGAATTGTGTGGGCCGAGGCCTGAGATGAGCTGGCGCAGGCCGGGGCTGGCCGGGGCTGGCCGGGGAGAGGAGACAGACGGCGGCTGACGGCGGTGCGTCCAGGCTGTGCGAGGCTGTGCGTTGGCACGGCGAGCTGCACGGCGTTCGCGGGGCTGGCGCTGGCGTAGTAGCTTCAACGTTTCACCGTTTCACCGACTGTGCCTCCTTCTGACCTCGGCGACACTCACCTCTACGGCTACTGGCACTGGCACTGGCACTGGCACTGGCACTGGCACTGGCACACCTCGACTGGCCTCGACTCGTCAGCGCGTCAGCACCGACCTCCACCTCGAACGACGACCGGCCTGCCTGCCCGCCTGCCTGCCTGCCTGCCTGCCTGCCTGCCTGCCTGCCTGCCTGCCTGTCGATGTCGACCGACGCCTTGCCACCCGACTCGTCGACCGTCGACGTCGATCCCGACCACCCTCCGACCACCGTCGACCACCACGGGATGCAGTCTGACGAGCTACAGGTCCATCAGGACGACGAGCAAGACGACGACGACGACGACGACGACGACGACGACGACGACGACGACGACGACGATCAGCTCGAGGACGATCAGGTCGAGGTCGAGGGCTATGGTACGTTCCCCTGCTACCTATCGGCTCCTAGACCGTTCCAGTCGAACCGGCGAACGTAGCTCTGCCCTTGAGCCAGCTCGTTCTCGTAGATGTCGGTCTCTCTCCGCAGCCGCACTGGCCGTCGCTCGGTCTCAGTTCTCGGTCGAGCCACGGCCAGCACATCACACCACTATTGCAGCTATCGCATGCGAGCATGAACTGATCGAACCCTGTTCTACCACCACAGAATCCTCCTCCTCGCCGAGCACCAACACCTCGACGCTCACCTGGATCACCTGGTTCTGCTCCCTCCCCGGCCACGAGTACTTTTGTGAAATCGCAGAGGTGGGTACAACCCCTTGCTCTGACGTTGGATCACCCCGCTGACCCCCCCCCCCCCCCCCCCCCCGATTCGAACCAGGACTTTATCGAGGACGACTTCAACTTGACCGGCCTCTCGGGCTTGGTCCCCTTTTACAAAGAGGCGATGGAGATGGTCTTGGACGTCGAAGCAGGCGAGTACACACACCCCTTCCCTTCGAGTCATGTCCATCTTGCACACCACTGACCAACCATGGATCCCAGCAGAAGAGGAAGCCCACCGAGTACCGGACGTGTCGATCGTCGAATCCTCCGCCGAGCTCCTCTACGGCCTCATCCACCAACGCTACATCCTCACCCGACAAGGCTTGCAACAGATGGCAAGTCACCCCCCCCCCCCCCCCCCCCCAAAAAAACAAGCTGCATCCTGGCAACAACATCGACCGACTGACCACAGCTATTGTCCCTGCTATCCCCAGTACGCCAAATTCGACGCCTCCCATTTCGGCACCTGCCCGAGGGTCTATTGCTCCCTGTCCAAACTCGTCCCCTGCGGTCGATCCGACTTGCCCGGCGTCGATACCGTCAAACTGTACTGCCCCAGTTGCGTCGAAATGTACACCCCCCCGAGTTCGAGGTATCAGGGGGTCGATGGTCAGTCACAAACAACCCCGTGCGGTCTCTACTCGATGACTTTTCCCGACCGACCCTTTCTTCTTCCACTTCATCCCAGGCGCTTTCTTCGGCACGACCTTCCCCCACCTCTTGTTCCAAACCTACCCCTCCCCTCTAACCTTTCCCCCTCCCGCACCCGCACCCGCACCCGCACCCGCACCCGCACCCGCACCCAATACGACCGATTCCGAACCGAACGCCACAAGAAGGAGGGAATTGACGACCCCGACGACGAGTTTGGCCAAGGTGTACGTACCGAGGATTTATGGGTTCAAGGTTTCGGAAAGGGCGAGGAGTGGGCCGAGGATGCAGTGGTTGAGAATGAGGGTCAGTCCGTCGTCGTTGGGGAACGCACGAAAGGCTTGGAGGAGTCTACTTCTACTTACTCTCTCAAGGTGGAATTTGGTCTCGTAGCCGAGAACGGAAGGTGAACTCGATTGGTCCGATCAAGACGATTTGGGACCTCATGCCGATGAAGACGATGGTGATGAAACGCGTCGTGCTCATCGCGGTGGAGGAGGAGGGGGAAGGGGGAAACTCTTCGGCGATGACGACGAAGACGAACAAGGTGGGCCCAATAACGAATCTGAAGATGCGTCCGATCAAGACGCCGTTGTTGGAGCAGGGGGAGGGGAAGGGGATGGAGCAGGTGGGACCACACCTGGTGAACCTATGCAGATGAGTGGTGTGGTCGTCGCTGAGAAACAAGCGAGTTTGTCGGAGAGTGTCAGGAGGCATGTCGCGAGGGCCAAGGAGGAGATGGTGAGATTTGCTTCTGGCGGTGGAGCAGGGAACGGGAACGGGAAGGTCATGGCTGTGAGATCGACGTCCGTTGGGGTCGGGGCTTGATCAATGGACATGGAAGGATTCAAGGTCATCCAAGATCGTTCTAGGCATTTTGCTTCACCCCTCCTTCTTTCTATTTTAGCTCTAGAATGTCTTTGGGTCCGTCGAGTGTGTGCGTGCGTTTTTTGTACACCAATCCTTATTCTCTTTTCGTTTCTCCGTTTTTCATGGTCGAGAGGTGACGAGTTGAGCGGAACTACATGAAGTTACAACACCCTTCGACATCCCTCATTCCCTCGCCACCCCCTCCTCAGCCCCTTTCGAACCCCCAGCTGCACGACCACCTTCACTCGTCTGAGCCAACATCTTGGTCCAATCGTACACTTCATAACCCTTCCTGAACGCTCTGACTCGTTCGTCATTCTTCCTCGTATCAACGCGACGCGGTTTCCTCCATCGTCGAGCTTCGAGTCCAAGCAAGTTGCCAATAATCTCATGGGCAAAGTATCTGTTAAAAAAAAGGCACGAGCAGGAATGAGCTTTCGACACGCTCTCGAAAAAAAAAAAAAAACTCGCTTCAAACTGACCTCTTGAACTCGTCCCCCTTCTCGCCTCCCGTATAATCCCTCAATTCGTCCCCATCCTTATCCCTCTCCGTCGCATCATCAACCCCCTCAATCACATGCCCATACCCTTTCTCACCCTTGTAATCGAATTGGACCATAAAGTAAGGCAGGTTGGGCACCAGAGCTCGACGAAAGGGGCGGGAAGGGTTGAAGGTGACGAGTTTTTGGTTTTGGGACCATTCGGATTCGGAGCTGAAGATGGCTTCCTGTAGGCCGAAGGGCCAGAGAGGGAAGAGCTCGTTAGGAGCTGAATGAGAAAAAAAAAAAAAGCATGGCCAGAGAAGTAAGTGCCTTCGGTGACGAACCCTGAAATAAACTGGTAGTTGATCGAACAAGTCGAACGGGACGGGCAAAGCTTCGATGGCGCAGTGCTTTTGGTGTTTGAGTGAGATGATCGTCTCGAAAAAGACGACGCCTCGATCCGACGCCGCAAAACACTGCATCAAGGTCTTCATGAAATTCTGGCAGAGGGAGCAAGAGCAGTCGGCGTTCAGCGCTGGAGCGTCAACACTATGCAGGAAGTGGATGAACTCACTTTGATCTCGTCCCACGTCTCTTCGTCCGCATCGAGCGAGGTAAAGTGATGTTGGATGGGTACGATTCGGCAATGGCCCGGGACGAGTTCCTCGTTGTCGAGCAAGCCGAGGTAGGCTCGTGTCCCCAGAGCGACGACGGCCGATCGAGGTGGTCCACCCGAGTCGGCGAAGCACATAGTGCAGCTGCAGCAAACAGACGGAGCCATCAGCAAAAAATCATTTGGAGCCTCAACTTGAAGCGCTCGGGCTCACCTGTCGAGCGCCTTTTTGGTCTTGGCATAGTCCTGAATCGCAAACGCCTTCTTGATCGTGTCGCTCTTCATCTTCTTCCTCGCCAGACTATCAGCATGCTCATCCATGTAATCGAGATCATTTGTGAACGGTCGGTCGGTCGCGATACGGGAAGCAAACTCGTTGTCGAGGCGTTTCTGATCGGCCGCGCCACCGCTGAAACGCTCCTGTCGCACCAGCTCGGCCAAGGAAACGTCGTCCTCGGCGGATTGGCGCAGCACCTCGCCCGTCTTGGGATCGTGCGATTGAAATCCCTGTGAAGACATCACGACTCGGGCTGCTTCAGTATCTGTGGCATATAACTAGCCCTGACCGACGTCTCACCTTTTCCTTCTGCTTGCGTCCATTCGCCTTCCTCTCCAATTCGGGTCGATCGCCCCTTCCAATATCGTACAGGTTCCCCTGCGCGTCGAGCGTCGGCACCATCTCCACCTTGTCACCAACCTGTTCGCCATGACCCATCGGACCTTGTGCCTCGCGTGCTCGAATGCTCTCCCTCTCGTACTCGATCTCCAATTCGGTCGCATCGTCCGCATCCATCAGGCGCGCTTTGATAACGCGCGCTTGTAGCTTGTTGAGCTCGGTCTGGCTGAGCACGGGCGAAGGGTCGATCGTGGTCGTGGTCGGGTCGGGGACGAGTACGATGCTTTGCGAAAGTTGCGAAGACGTTCGTGCGGTTTTGGGGAGCATGGGTCTGGGTGCGAGCACACTGGGCACTGGCGTCGAGGGTCGGGAGCCTTCCTTGCTCGACGCCACGGAAGAGACAGCCGTGGGTTCCCCGGGTCGCCTGAACGAGTTCCTCGAACCAGGCCGGGATGCCCCAATCGACTCTGATCCCGAGTCGGTATAGATGAAGCGCCTGTTGGCGTGGGAAGAAGACGGCTCGGCGGTCGGAGTCGAGGGTCCAGACCCCCCAGCTCCGTAATTCGACCTCCTGCCTCGCCTTCGATCCTCTCGCTCGTCGAGAATCCTGCGTTCCTCGATCGCATCACGGAAGGCGTCGAGGTTGCCATAGCGATCGAGGGCGATCTCTTCAACGTCTTTGCCCTCTTCTTGGGCGACTTCGAACGTGCGCTTGAGCTTGGACATGCGCCATGCCGAGCCTGATGAGCCCGGAGCGGGAGACTGGGAAGTGGCACCCCCACCCGTCGACTGCAGCGTCGGCACGGCCGAAGGAGGGTCGGGTATTCCTTGCCAATGCGCCTTGTTGAGTTCTCGGGATGACTGACCCATCATCATCTGCGTGGAGAAACAACTAGGCTCAGTTTGATCCTGCCGACGCCGGTCTCGATCCCCACTGACCGAGGGGTCGACCCTCTCCTTGGCCCGGTCCTTGCGCTTCCTCTCTGTGCCCATCATCCCAAACAGGTCCATCCCCATCCCGCCCGAGTTCTTGCTCATCAAATCGCCGAACCTGCCTCCTCCATTGTTACTTCCCCCGACGTCTCCCTCGCCGTAGCCGTCCGTCATGTCCTGCTGTTGGCCGATCGACGAGCGTAGTCCCTCTGTGACGGATCCAATGTGCCCGATCTGAAACTCGGATACGGTATCGATGGGAGGTCCTTTGGCTGAAGGTGCATGGATCGTCAATAATGATGATGCAGCCCCTGCGGCGTGATTCGACGAAGGCGCTTCGACCCATTCGTCCTCCTCGTCGGGCTGTTCGTGCGCTCGTTCTGTCCCTGTACTGGTCCCCTTGGTGCGCTTGGTCGACGAAGAGGGACCCGAATGTCGGTGTTGGGATGATGAAGTGGTCCCTGACGCGCGATGTCGCTTGGAATGACGTTCCGAACTGACGACGTCGAGGTCAGGATCGGTCTCGTCCCTCTTGCTGTTGTGGCTGCTACGATGCGACGAATGGTGGGAGTGGTGACGGTAAGATGAAGAGCGAGAGTCATCTTTGCTCGAACTGTGTCGCTTGGACGAACTCGAAGAGCCGGTGTGGTCGCCCATCGCTGCTCAAACTCAAGCTAGAAAGTCGGCTGACCGGATCATCGTCGTACGATGCCAACCCGGCTCAGTGACCTCGGGCCCCACATCTGTACCGGGCTGGGATCAGATCCGTTCCACTCAGCTACAACTCCTACCTTCACTTCCTAACTCTCCTTTTTCAATTTATTATCAGACCGTATAAAATTTTCCTCCAACTAAATATTTGCCATCGCAGATTCCTCATTTTCAACACCTTTCGTCCCTGCCTGTCCTTGCCACGACTCGGACCAGTTGAGGGGTCGGTACGAGTCGCTGGCGCCGTCTTGATTCTGGCAAGCGCCTTCGTCGGAAGTTAAGGCTAATTTCTGAACGAAGTGTACCGCCAGCGGAATTTCAGTCAGAGTATACCAGAAGGCTCGAGAACCGAGACTCGTGAGGCGTGAGGTGAACCCCCTTTTTCGATGGCGAAGCGAAAGAGGTCAAAATGAGGATCCTTGAAGACGGAGGCATTGCGTCATGTGAGCATCATCATATTCCCAACACACTGACGTAGGTACATATTTTGACTTTCCTCTTTGAAGCCCAAGTGTCGATGTAATGGACCAGTGGTTCTCTTCCCGTTGATGTCTGAAGGTGAACCGAATGCCGGCGCATGATCGATCTGAGCCCTCAGCGCCTCAGCAAAGAGATGGCCCCCCCACGTTTCCGAAGCGACTAATAAGAGGCAGGCACTTGGGTTTAGTCCTGTCTCTTAGGTCGCATACTGCTGTGAGGATCTCGCTGACGACTATCGGAAGCGATCATAGCGCATGTGACGCTCCACGTGAAGCTCCTGCGTCACTGAGCCGCCCGTCGGAGACTAGAAGGCGTGCACTTTTATCAGTGCCTCATCTTCCGGGCTCTCTGCCACAGCTAACTATGCGCAATAGCAATGTTTGCCTGCACACTGAACTTGAGCTCAGGTTCTCCTCCAGTCCCTCCCTCAGGTCTCATGACCGGTCAGACACAATATCTCGTGGGAAATGTCGACGTCTCGCAAGAGACTGCTCCGAGGCCGAGACGCCCGTTTTCTCAAGATTGAAGTAAATTATTCATGTTCCGAGAAAAGCACCGGTTACACATCAAAGACAACCGTAAAAAAGGTGAACCACATCGCGCATGTGCGAGCTTCGCTCAAAGCTTTTGCATGGCGGCGATGTCGGACGACTGGACATAGTCCTCGAACTCGGCGATCTCGTCCTGGAGGTCGTCCAATCCGATCTTGTCGTCCTCGATGACGAGCGTGATCTGCAACTTCTTGATACCGTAACCGATGGGGACCAACTTGGACAGACCCCAAACGAGACCGTCCTTCTCGATCGAACGAACGGACTTTTCCAACTCGGCCATATCGGTCTCGTCGTCCCAAGGCTTGACGTCCATGGTCACGACCGACTTGGCGATCGTCTTGGGCTTGTTGGCCTTCTTCGCGGCGTACTCTGCCAAGCGCTTCTGCTTCAACGCCTCGGCCTCGGCGTCGATCTCGTCGTCGTCCGAACCAAAAAGGTCGATCTCATCATCGTCGTCCTCAGCGTCGGGGGCCTTGGCCTTGGCCTCGGTGACCTCGACGGGCTCGGGTGCTACGGCGGCAGCGGAGGACGAAGGGCCGTAAGCGGTGTGGGGCTTGGACGCATCACCGGGGAGGGTGACGTGCTCGGCCTCGTAGGATTGGATGTGCTTGTACCAACGCGCCGAGTGGGGGTACGTGGCTGCGTCGGGGCTCGAGGGCAAGGCCTTGAAGACGGCGACGTCGGCTTGCGAGGGTTGGTATCTAGTACGACGAATGAAATGATCGTGTCAGTTGTACTGCTCGACATGCTCGTGTTGTGTGATGCTGAAGCGAATGTGTGTGTGTGTGTGTGTGTGTGACGGGTCGATCGATTGAGAGAATTCAGAAAGCTTGGAAAATGATGGTTGTCTTCAACGTAAAAGGGTGCAAAGTATATGGGAGGTCTTAAGTCCCCTTTGACACCACTCGGAAACACGGACCAAAGCGTAGTATTCATCACAATGAGGTGCAGGGGGAAGGAGCGGCGACGCGCGGGAGGTGCAACGTGGTAAGCTTGTGCGGAGCGTGGCCGACGATCGCAGCAAAGGAAAAAGAACGCCCCAGCGAACAAGGAAAAACGTGACTGACCCCTCGATGTAAGAGACGTGCTGGAGGTGAGCCTCGAGCGACTGGAGGCCGGCGGGGGTGGTGAACTCGGGGAATCCCATGGTGAGAGTAGTGTAGTGAGTGTGGGTGGAGGTGGGTTGGGTGAGCGGAGGGTGGTTGAGGCGTGTGCGAGAGAGAGCTCGAGCCCGGCGCCTGCGAGCGCAACCGAATTGATCGCTATAATAGTGCGCCAAACCAGCATTAGCTTGTGGCAAATAGACCGGGCTAATCCACCATTCGCAGCCCTCAAGCTTGTTTTGTCTGCGGTTGCGGTACGGAGCCAGCTCGCTCCGGTCAATTTTGACATAATTTCAAATGTACACTGAGCCTAGTTGCATGGAGGGAATCGAGTCCGCCGGCGAATTCACGCGATCTCACCAAAATTGGTCAATTGCCCCCCCCACCTCTGTTCATTTGAACGCCGAGCGCGTGCGCTTCCACGGCTTGCGCCACTACGACTCCGCGCCGGGCTCAGTTCAGCACCACACCATTCGCCGTCGAATAGGTTCCACGTTCCCAACGCACCTTTGCTTTCCGAGTCGCAGCCTCGGCTGCTCACATTCATTCCCTTCGTTAGTGACTATCCACGAGGTCAGTCCTCATCCTGGTCGTCGATCGGTGGGAGCCTTTCGTTCCTGTTGGGTCGCACGAGCCGAGTTCCGACGATCGCTGCCACGACTACGCGCGTCTCTCCTGAGCGCTCTCAGCTCAGCGCTCGGTCACGCTACGTCGCACAGCACCCTGCACCGCCCCTCGAGCTGACCACCGTAGCACCTCTCCTCACAGTAGACCATCTGAAGCGCTAGTACTGAACACGCTGCATCGTGTCGGTTCCCTGCACCTCGCCCTCGTCGCGCCGGTTGCCCCAGGTCGTCGTCAGCCCCACGACGCGCACGGATCGCCCCCACTTTTGGATTCAGTTATAGCTCGCTCGCTTTCACCTGAACGCCTTTCAGGAACTCGGTCTTCTTCTGTCGACTTGATTGCTACGCCCATCTCTTTCGTTCTATACGAACGTATCGTGTTTAGGGTGAGTGGGACGTTCGAAGCGTGTGACTGCGATCTTGCTTCCGCATCGACCGCCTTCTACGCCACACCCACCATCAATTTGCCTCCCGCACGCGTCCACGTCACCTCGCTGGCTCGCACCCCATCGCGAGCTTGTTGTCACGCCATCACGAGCTACATAGGTGGATCATAGGCCTGACGCCAGTCAACATCGATCCTCTGGTGACTCTTGACACTTCGATACACCACCGCCCCGAGACGGCGATAGGGCCTCTTGTTTGACGACCCCACTTGAGACATCCACTTTGGTGTGCCCGAACTGACAGAAGAGAGCTCCATTCATCTCGCGCACAGCAACATGACCGAAGAAAGCGTGACGCCTCCGCGTACAAACACGCAGAAAAAGTTCGCCTCAGCGACACCCAAGCAGACGACGCCATCCACCTCATCGTCTGGCAGTCCCAACGTCGCCGCCAACAAGGGAGCCGGATCGGCCCAGTCTCGCAAGGGCAGTCGCAGCAACGCAGAAAAACAGTCGGGACGAGCCTCGAACAATGGCCAGGCCAACGCAAGTGAAGGTATGGCGAGTATCAAAAACATCATATCCAAGCCCCAGGATTCACCTTCGTCCGAATCTTCTTCCCCACAAGCTTCGGCTACCAACCGTTCGGGTCACCACAACCAACCCCGCTCCAACTCGAACTCACCAGCACGCCAACGCCAACAAGCTGGTGGCGGAGGGGGACCGCACCGCAAGAACCAAGCGTCGTCGACGACCCCACCGGCGTCAGCCCCGATGATCCAGACCTTGTCATCGAGCCTCAACCCGCAAGCCGGCGGCTTCCAGCCCAACATGCTCGGCCCCATCCATGACTCGCTCGACGAATCGCTCGTCACACCGACGGCGACCCACTTTGACCTGATGGAAGGCATCCCGAGGTCCGCCGCCGCGATCGCTCGGGCTACCAAAACCGGTGCCGGTGCCGGTGCCGCAGCAGCAACTCCGCGACAGTACGCCGACTTCTCTGCCATGGGTGCGATCGGACCCGGGGCCGAATTTCTCGGTGGGTTCGCGGCTCCTCCAAACTTGGGCGCCGGTGGCAATGGTGCACGTGCGGGAGGATTTGGCTTCTCGTTCCCTCCCGCGACCTCGACGCAACAACAGTACGCTCAAATGCAAGCCGCGCAACAGCAAGGCCCTTACGGGCAACAGATCGCCCAACAGCAGGCCGCAACCGGCGTGGCGAGTCAGGCCAGCGAGCTCCTGAGCGAGCAGCTGGCGATCCAACAGCAACTGGCGAATCTGCGCATTCAGCAAGAACAACTCCTGGCACGGTTTGGCGACATGCAGCAGCAGCAGCTCCAAGCCGCTTCCGGCGCGGAGCCGACGCAACCAGTGCTGGTCAACATCGCGACCACGAACCCACCTCCGAGCCATCGACGTGGCCAGAGTGCCTTCAGTTCGTTCGGCAGCGGTGGCGGTGCGAGTGCATTCGGCCAAATGGGTTCATTCAATGCTGGACCCATCGTTGGCTCGGCCTCTGCGGCGTCGGGCAACTCCTCTGCGGCTGGTCTGCCAAAAGGTCATGGGCGCCGCCACTCGGTCAACACCAAGGCCCAACAACAACAACAACAGCAGCACCAGCAGCCTACGGGGCAGCCTGATCAACAAACCCTCTCTAGCAGCTTCCAGTTCCCCAACCACGTCCAAGATGGTAACCACAATTCTTCGAACGATCGCAACCAGCAGAGGCTCGACTTCAACACCTCCAACGACCAGGCGTCAGCCGGTCGTGCCTATGGCCACCAACGGCGACAGAGCGGCAGCATGTCCTCGCTTGGAGGATGGCAAGCGTCCTTCACCGGACCGGGTCAACAGCAGGCGAACCTCGCCGAGGCATCGGCTCATCTTCAACAGCTAGCGGCTTATCGAGCTTCGGCGGGTCACGCTCGCGTCCCCTCGTTCGGCATGTCGACGTTGGGTCAAGGACCGGGTCAATTGGCGATGGCATCCTACGGCGGTGGCTTGCCCCAACCGGGTCAACACAACCAACAGGGCAACCAGGCGAGGAAGAGTTTATTCGCTCCTTATCTACCCCAAGCCTCGATCCCGCCTTTGGTCCAGGCCGGCAAGTTGGTCATCGGGACGTTGAGGGTCAACAAGAGGAATCGTTCTGACGCGTACGTCGCTACCGACACGCTCGATTCCGACATCTACATCTGCGGATCCAAGGATCGCAACCGTGCGTTGGAGGGCGATCTCGTCGCTGTTGAACTCCTCGATGTCGACGAAGTGTGGGGAACGAAGAAGGACAAGGAGGAGAAGAAGCGCAAAAAGGAGGAGAACGCGAGCTACGACCCTCGTGCGACGCGCGATCTGCGCAAGATCGACAAGAAGAAAGACGACGTCGAAGTCGAGGGCCAGGGTATGCTCTTGTTCGAAGACGAGGAGGTCAACGACGACCAAAAGCCTCAGTACGCCGGTCACGTCGTTGCTGTGGTTGAGCGAGCCCCCGGACAACTCTTCAGTGGTATGCTTGGCGTCTTGCGGCCCAGTTCCGCAGCGACGCAGCAAAAGCAAGAGTCGGAGCGCCGAGAACGCGAGGGCGTCGATCTTCGCTCGGGCAACAGCAATTCGACGCCGTCATCGGGCAACGCCTCGCAGCAGCAGCCGTACGGCGGCGGAGGCAACCACGTCCCTGCACCGAGGATCATCTGGTTCCGACCGACCGATAAGCGCGTTCCGCTCATCGCGATCCCGACCGACCAAGCGCCCGAGGATTTCATCGAATGCCCGGACAAGTACGCCTCGAGGCTGTTCGTTGCTTGCATCAAGCGCTGGCCCATTTCTAGTTTACATCCTTTCGGTAGTTTGGTCGAAGAGCTAGGAGAGATCGGCGATATCGAGGCCGAGACGAACGCGCTCCTGAAGGATTGCAACTTTAGCAACGATGGTCAGTCTCATCTTTGATCTCAGTGGCGATCATTTAATTGCAGGAGCTGAGGCGGACTCTCTCTCTGCAGATTTCTCGGAAGCCGTCGTCAAGTGCTTGCCACCCATTCCGTGGTCCATTCCCGAGCGCGAACAACAACCCGAAGTGCGCCGCGATTATCGCGACCAGCGCGTCTTCACCATCGATCCTGAGACGGCAAAAGATCTCGACGACGCTTTGCACGTGGTCGAGCTCGAGGATGGCACGTTCGAAGTCGGAGTCCACATCGCCGACGTGTCGCACTTTGTTCGACCCAACACCGCGCTCGATCGTGAGGCTCGTAAGCGTGCGACGACCGTTTACCTCGTCCAGCGCGCCGTTCCATTGTTGCCCCCGACTTTGAGCGAGGAGCTTTGCAGCTTGAACCCGCGCAGCGACAAGTTGACGTTCAGTGTCGTGTGGAAGATGACGCGCGAAGGCAAGGTGCTATCGACCTGGTTCGGCAAGACTTTGATCAATTCGAGGGCCAAACTCGCTTACAGCGATGTCCAAGAGGTGCTCGAGGGTCGCGACCTCGTCCAGGGCAAGTTCGAGACCGAACAAGAGCGCCTCGAGGCCATCGAGGACATCAAGCGCTTCAACACGATTGCGCGCAACCTCAAGAAGGAGCGCTTCGAGAATGGCGCGTTGCGGATCGACAACGTCAAGGTTTCGTTCAAGCTCGATGAGGATGGCCAGCCCGAGGATTGCGATCACTACGTGCGCAAGGAGGCGAACGAGTTGATCGAAGAGTTCATGTTGTTGGCCAACATGTCCGTTGCGCGTAAGATCGCCACTGGCCTTCCCGACCAAGCCCTTTTGCGACGCCACGAACCCCCTATCGATCGTCGTCTGGACGGCTTCATTGACCGCATGGGTCGATTGGGTATCAAACTGGATGGTAGTGGACCTGGCGCTTTGATGAACTCGTTCAACCAAGTCACCGACGAGGCGTCTCGCACGACGCTGCAGCATCTCAGCAAGCGTTCGATGCAACAGGCCAAGTACTTTTGCACGGGCACGCTCGACATCTCCAAGTACTTCCACTACGCGCTCAACGTGCCCCTCTACACGCACTTCACGTCCCCGATCCGAAGGTACGCTGACGTGATCGTGCATCGCCAATTGGAGGCGATCCTTGCGCACCAGGCGGCTCAAGACGCAGCGCACGAGGCGCAGCAAGCGAGTGTCGGCGAACTCAAGTTCTCACTCGATGTCGAGGCCGTGAGCAAGATCGCGTCGATGTGTAACATCAAGAAAATGAACGCCAAGTTGGCGCAAGAGCAGTCGCAGCACTTGATGCTCTGTGTGCTCGTCCACGACCTTACGAAACGCTACGGTCCCGTCATTCGACCCGCGGTCGTGATCGGTGTCTTGGACCAGGCCTTTGATGTCCTCGTTGTCGAGTTTGGCATCGAGAAGAGGGTTCATGTCGTAAGTGTTGATGTCTGCTCTACCTCTTGCGCCAGATAGCACCTGACACGTTGCCCGGATCGTCACTGCAGGATCAAATGCCAACCGAGTCGACGCAATACGACGAACATGACAACAGCCTGTCGATCTATTGGAAGAAGAACGTCGAGGTACTGGGCTGGCTCGCCGAGAAGAACAACGACGAGCACCTGTTGCGCATCCGCGATCAGGCCGAGTTCCATGCGCGCGGCTTGGGCAACCATGCCGACAAAAAATCGAGGGCGGAGAGCGCGTTATTCGATGTGAGTATCCGGTTAACGTTGTAATTTCGACCGCGATCGGAGTACTGACCGCACCGCTCCCTTGGACACCGTGTCGTTGCAGGACGACGAGGACGACGAGGAGTCGGCGGACGCCCAAAGAAAACGACCGCTCCGAATGACCGGTCAGAGGCTCAAGAGTCTCAACAAATCGCCACTTAAATTCGAGGGTTTGTCCGACCGTGACCAGCATTGTATTCAAACCGTCCGGGAATTGCAGACTGTGCCGGTCGTCATTACGTGAGTGCTATGCGCACACTGCTTTCGAAATGCTCGCCCCATTGCGCGCATCAAATACTGACAAATCATCATGCTGCGTGCTTCACAGGTCCGATATGACCAAAAGTCCTCCCGTCATCAAGGTCCATGCCATCAACCCTTCTTGCTCGATCTAGTATGCCTTCTTGCATCGCTTGGTATCATCACTACTCCCCTATTTCGTGCCCGGCGGTGCTGCGGACGTGCATATGCTGGCCCGTCGGGCATCCGAGACCTCCAACTCGTTCGCGTTTGCCTTTTTCTGTTCATCTGTTTCCTGATTATGCCTGCAATACATTAACGATCTTCCTATCTGTGTGAGCGCTCTTTGAAATTGAGCTGGGTGCCTTGCGAAGCGTAGAAGTTGGATCGCAGTGTGGGGCGCTGAGAGAGCACGCAGTGATTTGAACGGGGTAGATATTTCAAATCCTCTGAAGAAGCGTTTGAGAAGCCAGGTGTTCGATGTAATCCTGGTACCTAGCCGAACCGATGCCGCAAGGGGGGGGGAGGGGGGGGGGGGGGGGGAGCTTCGGTCTCGGGATCGGGCCCGACGCTGCGCACTGCGCGACCGGAAGGCTCCAGCACTTGCGCGTAAAGCGTAAAGCGTAAAGCGTAAAGCAGGTGTGCGGTAAGACCCGGGGAACTCTTCTCGATCCAAGCGGTCTTTGAATTTGAATTGATGCCCGAACCGAATACGGAAGATTCCGGGTTCGATTACTAATATTCTCGGCGCCCCTGAGTCAAGCCGAAGTTCGAGTTGGGATGCGACGACGGATCCGAGGAGGTTTCCATTCTAGGATCCTGGCTGCCGCAATCACATCCCGGCACCAAGCTACTACCACAACCCAACCCCAGCTTCTAGCTGGTTCGGATGAATGTGCACCTCGGAATGCATCGACGAGGATTATGAGGGCGGTATACTATCTTTTGCAGCGTATAAAGTTGTGAATGTTTTGGCAACGAAGCCAGTTGCGCCGAATTCCTGTAGTTTCAACGTCTACGATCCTCGGTGTGGTCATGCATGTTTGTCGCTGCTTGGTATCATCGTTCCCGTTAATTCAACGGGTCCCCACCAAGTTGAAGAAAAGTATGAACTCGTACTGCATGGTAAGTGATTCGATCACTCGAGAGAAGTCTCGTTAAATCCCCGGAGGTGCTGCCCTTCATGATCGCGCTTGTCACCGCCTCCAACCACGCCAACTCCTGATCAAACCAGGATCTGACGTCACCTCGTCACATGAGCGCACCCCAACCTCGAGCTAGTCAACCGTTCAATTCTTGTTTGATCAAATTTCTCCTTTTCCCCCATTGGGTACCTACGTATCACGGGAAATGTGCCATGCCACGACAGCGGTTTTCAACAGGATGAACCATGTCAGGTGCCGTTGATCTGGATCCTGGTGGCATCTCGGCCCATAAGATCGCCCGATAAATAATCGCATGCAGTAGCAGTAGTGGTACCACTCGTTTGAGCCCTTGATTCATTTGACCTGGCTACCTGGCTGTTGCCGTCGGAGGGGCCGCTCAGTACCTATTTTGTCTCGCATGCATAAATCTGACTGGAGAAGTGCACACCAACCGTTTTCCGGATTCGGGCTGCCCTTTCTTCCTGCTCAACGACAAGCAATCATGGTTCAGTTCATTCCCTGAGTTTCTGTGAATACTTCTGGATGTTTCCCATACTCTGTATGCCACAAAAAGCTGCCACCAAGTCCGCCGGTGCATTTCTCGTCAGAAAAAGCACACGTCTCCTATCGCGCTTGATTTCGTGCACACTGAGCTTCGATTGATCGTCCACATCACCTCGAGGTTGCACCTTGGTGTACTAGCACCGGGATAAGCGCTGAAAGTTATCGTGCTGTGGAGGATCCGATTGTGTTCCGAAAGAGTGTGGCACAATATCCGTCAACGCTTTGGACAGGGGTCACGCCTGAAAAGTGGCTATCTCCACACGGTCATGAAGGAGGCCTGGGCTGCGCGAAGCGAAGACAAGGGAAAGGGCATGGTGGTGTGCGCGCCAAAACAGCTCATCCGGTTCGGTCGTACTTCACCTCGACCTCAGCGTCTCGAGAAAAAAAGCCCTCGAGCCTTCTTTGACAGAGGGCCCGCGCGCGGGCGTGCGGGGAGAGTCCAAAGCGGTGCTGACGGTGTGCACATCGCAACAGGGGCTTCGCCGGCAAGAAGAGACCCTTCCGATGCGGAAATACACCGCCCACCTTTGGTGGGTCGCACAGGACCCCACATACTTTGCAGAAATATGCCACGAGAATCACCCTATTCTCCGCCCGGTGTAATTACCTTTTAGTCACTTCATCGCGCCTGTCCATTTTCCGTGGGCGTCTTGTCTTTATGTCTCTTTCGCTTCTTTTTCCTCGAGTCGGAAGAGCATCGTCGACGCCCTTCAAAACTGGAGTCGGATTCCTCCGGCACAGCGCTTTGCCTCCACATCTTCGCTTCGGTATACCATGCATCCTCAGCGCCCGACCATGAGTACTCATGCTTCGGCACACCCTCACCCACAAAGCTGGACCAAGACGATCATCAAGGGCAGGAACAAGGCTTGCAGCAGGTGAGTGCTAGAGCTCCAGTCTTTCGCTTCCGTACTCGACGACTCCCAGCCCGAGGTCGACGGACTCGAGCCCGCTCACTAGGCGGGCGGTAGCGATGCGCTCTGCATGTGGGGCGGTGGTGTTCCGTGTGCACGCGAGGGCTGACTCGAATTTCGCCTTGGACAATGTCGGGAATCGTCGGGCACCAGATGCCACATTCGTCGGGTTCGCTGTACGGGCACAGAGGGTGAACCCTGTTATGCGTGCCTACGAACTGGTAAGTGTCGGCCGAATCGGGCTCCAATGTCAACTAGGCCTCGATCGCTGAGTCTCGGATCGGCTCTGTCCTCAATCCCTTCTGCTCTTCCTCTCGCATCTACGTAGCCAAAGCAAGGAACCACGACCTCGAGCAAGTCTATTGCGGGTATCGCAGCGCCAGTTGCAGCGAAGAAATCTTCGACCACATCAATCGTAAGTCCCAGCCCCACTCCCCATCACGAACCTGGCTGGTGTGCGGAGGTCGGGCGGCGCCGCGAACACGAAAGGGGGTCTGTGCAGGCGGCGCCAGCGCGCGACACCCCTTTCAACAAGGCGGCGCCGCCCAAGTTGCTACTCGCGAGTCGCGGCGCGCGGGTTGGGGCGCTTACTAGCGCGGACCAGCGAACATCACCTACTGCCGGCGCTTGGACAGCTGTTCATTCAAGTAAGCCCGTAGCTGACCAGTGACCAAGCTCTCATTACCTAATTGGCGGCGCACTTCCGGTTTGCCCTCCTTTCCCGTTGTCTCACCCGTTCGCCGTCACTCGCTTTGATTCGGTCGCGGACCGAAACACCCGAATTCACCTCCCAATAACAACCGGTCCCCACCTAGCTCGTCGGCATCGGTGTTCCTCAAGGAGGCACAGTTCGGCATCGTCGTCGGCTTCATCCTCGCCTACGGGCTCGGTGCCCCTGCACAACAGCAGCACGATCGCCGCCAGCGCGCCCTACACCGACGCCCATCACCATGCTGGCTGGGGCCCATCTGACGGCATGCCATCGATGAGCGATCTCAGCCACTACACACTGCCTTCGCATACTCTACCACCGGGGGTGCCAAGCATTGGCGGCGGAAGTCAGGAAGCCATATACCGACATCGTGCGTTGCCCCCGCCGACCTCGTTCGATTTCTACTCCCCCATGGCGTCGTCGTGCTCGGCCGAATTCCAAGCCCGACCGCATTCGCTTTCCAACACGAACCCACTTGCTTTGCTCAACTTCGGCTCGTCTTCGACTCTTGCTCGATCGGGTTACAGCATCGGCACAAGCCATTCGGGGCCAACTGCGACTAGTCATCCGAGCTACCAGCCTGGTTCAGCTTTGATGGACGGGCCCTCGAATAGCTCCTTCGAACATAACGGACACCCCTCGGGTCCGTTCTTCCTTCCGCCGAACGACTCTTCGCGGCCTTTCGGCAGCAGCCTCTTCAACGCCAATTCGTCCTTGCACCTCCCTACTCCCGGGTTCTCGCAGTCGTCAACACGCAGTACCAGCGGCCTTCTTTCTTCTCCTACTTCGGCGACGATACCAAGGTCGACGCCGACGGGTCCCCAAACACCCGGTCAGCCTTACTATTACCCCCCGGGATGGTCGATGGGACCTCAGTCACAGACCCCACCGTCCAATCAGATCTCCCTGCCTGCACGCGTTGCGGCCCCCGGTGCTGTCAGCTCTACGGGCAATTGCTCAGCGGCGACCGCTTCGGATGTCGAATGGTCGAACATGTTGGCCGCTACGACTCGAGCTGCGCAGTCCAGTCCAGAGCATTCAGAGGCTCAAGTACCGGATAAGCCCCACTCGGAGCGACCTCAGACTCCTTTGTCTAGCCCTACCCAAGTGCACGCCGCAGGGGCCGGTCAGACCGAAGCGACCCATCGCTCGTCTCACCCATCACCCACCGCTTCCCCTCCATAATCAACGACATTTTCAACACTCACCAAAAAGCTCACGAGACCTCTCAGATGTTTCATTCATACCAAGAACAAAACACACCACCCACGCGCTGGCGCCGCTTTTCTGACCATAATGAGTAAAGCCCCTCAAGTCCCTCAGTTTTCCCTGTCGACATCTTATCGTTCCCCTTTGGTCGTGTCTTCGTAACGTCTTTTTTTTTGAACACAAGTTATTCCTTCCTGCGCATGTATTTAATCCCAAAAACCCCGCCTTGGTTCAACTGTAATGAGAGGGCCCTCATTTTTTTAAGTCAACGCATTGCCGCCTCACGCCTCCTGTGGTGACCTCAAGGCGGTGAGGGTGATCATGAGGCGACCAGGAGGTTGGGGACTTCTCGGGCTCGGGTTCACACACCTCGCTTGACACGCTTCAAGGACCCCTGTGATGATGTATTTAAAATCGGGGTAAACTCATTGCAATGCTGAAACGATGCTGTGGTTACTGCCATGCAAAACGGAGAGCTGCAACGAACAGATTCAGAAGAAACGACTTGAACGGGGGAAGTGCGACCCGTCGACGAGTGTGGGCGCCGCTAGCGAGCCGGTGCAAAAGCAAACGGTGTACAGAGTAGAAATCGTGGATGAAGAAAGGGGAAATGCACAGGTCACGGAACAAGCAAGTGGGGAAACGAAAGAGGGTTGCAAGGGGAAAGCTCAGGTCGAGCGGGAGTCAAAACGTCAGCGAGACGAGCCGGAGCCGGAGCCCGTGACCCTGGGCAACGACGACATGGCGCCTTGTTTCTGCACACATCGAGTCAAGAGCAAACAGCAAAGCACCCGGGTCAGCGGATCGAACATGGAGACGCGTCGAGTATCGGCCGGCGTCGAGCCTCCACTGATTGCGATCCGGGCGTCCGTGTGGGCCACCTCGCATCGCACCTGCTCATCTCGGACCGAACCGGAGCCAGCCCAGAACGATCTGCTTGACTGCGCCTCACCCTGAGCTTGGCCTTTTCTCCTCCGCTCGACATAGTACCCGAGGTCGTGTTGGCATCTTTTCCAGCCGACCTTACCACGCGGGCCATGAAGACTTCGAGGGCCATGCGGAATGGGTCGTCGACCATGGCTGAGAGGCGCAAGTTCTGTCTCGGGGACAATGTCAATGTCAGCGATAAAGGCTCACGATGGAGTGCACGTGTGAGCGGGTTTGGGACGGGGCATTGGAGGGGGTGGATGGCAGAGGAGAAAAGAAACGAGGCGGGGGGAGAGGGAAGTGTCGGTCCGGACTCACGGTCGAGATTGACACAAACTCATCGGTCGTCGGCAGGCCACGGAGCGCCAGATCGGCTCGAACGTCTTCTGTTGCATCAGCTACCCTTACGGGCGATCTGAGGTCACTGCGCGTCGGCGAGGTTCGCACCGAGGGAGGAAGAGCAGGGCCGACCGACCCCCTCGACGACACAGGCGTAACCATGCGGTACGGCGACGACGGCAGCGTGCTCGGCGAGGCGGCTGGGACGTCGCTGAATTTTGTAGCGAATTGCAGATTCTTGTGGTGTGCGCGCGAGGTGAGATGTCGCTGGAACTGCGATTTGCTCCAACGCCGCTCCAAGAGCCGCGGGCACACCCGACAGCGATACCGTGGCAACCTATTGCGACCTTCCTCAAGGACGACTTCGCCACCTGGAGAGAAACATGGTACAGGTTAGCTTTGGCGCCAAGGGTCGAGTCGGTGAGGGGTGGTGGTGGTGGTGGTGGTGGTGGTGGTGGTTCGGTCGAACCTCACCAAGCTTGACAAAGTCTGCAGGCTCGATAGTCTCTTTGCTCGGAGCCATGGCCGAATCAAAGGGTGTGACAACGGGTGGAGTGAGGTGGGAAGGTCAAGGAGGAAGAGCGACGATCAGAGCGCGATCAGAGCATTAAGCAGGCCCCAGCAGGCCCCCCCCCAGCCCCTCAGGACCCCCGAAAGCCCGGCCTGAGGCGCGTAGGGCCCGACTGGACAAATTTTGGGCCAAAATCGCCAAGGCGCGTAGTCGGGGGTGGACAAATCATGGCGCGCCGGTGTGGGTGGGGTCCTAGGCCCGTAGGTTTCAGTGGACAAATCGGGACCCATTTCGGCCACATTCGGCTTGGAAAGCCAAAGTTTGCCGACCCTCAAGAGCCGCGGGAGCGCGCGCGAAACATTCTGGGCTGTACCGAATTCACAACAACGCCTCTAATTGTTGGATTGACGCGCCGCGGGGCGGCGACGAGTCCCTGAACCTCTCAAGCGCGGCGCGGTCGAGTTTAACATCGAAAGGGCATTCATCTCAATTCTATACCAGTTGGTAAAAATGAGCTATGTACTAGAAAGCGAGTAGATTGGTCAGGCGCCCAAGTGTCCGAAGCCCGCGAGGCCGATTTCGTCTTCGTCCGAGTCGGCGCTGCTATTGTCGCCGTCCGACTTGATCTTTTTGGCTGCAAAAGGGGGAGGCGCCGCCGGGGGTGAAGAAAGGTCATGTCAGGTTGACTTATGACCTAGTGTTAGGCGCATCGGTGTCTCCACTTACCCTTATTAGTTAGGTCAGCAAAGTCCAATTCGAACTCGGCCTCGTACGCAGACCTCTTCACAGGCGAATGAATGGCCGACGTGCCCTGGTATCGTGGTGCCGAGGAGGTCTCAGTATTATTATTATTTTCCAAAAAAAAAAAATGGTTCAAGAGTAAGAGACCATGCTGATGGGGGCCCACCGCTGCACTCACCGATCCGCTGGCAGCAGGGTGAGGTGCACTGGCAAGTCGACCATGGATACGGGCTGCCACCGGGGTCAATTGATAGCGTCCAATCCATTGCTCTTTTCTCTTGTCCTCGTACACATGGATCCCTTTCCCTTGCCGGATCCTCACTATCCGTCCCCAGCCAAGGAGGGATAGAGGCCTTGATGCTGGCAGGGAACGGGATGTCGCGGCCAAAGACGTGATTCCAGCAGCTGCAGAGGATGCCATTGTGAAACCAGTGTCAGTTTGGCCCCTTCTGCGGGAACTTAGTAGGCGAGGAAAACGCGCACTCACTCTTTTGTGGTCACCACACGGTGGTGGATGTATGCACTATTTGAGTTGCGCCCAAATGGCGATGCCAATTCCGCAAGTTCTAAAGTAGCCGATGGGAACCAGCAGCAGAATCAGCACCCTGCTCGCACGCCTAACACCGCCTAAGTTCAGCAAGCGGCTCACCTTGAAGATTCTTGGGAAGTTTCCAGTGCTGATGAAGGGCTTGAGACACCCCTCCTTGGAGCCAGTTTCGAAACTTTACGACCTCCGAGTCGGACTCGAACAGCTCCAGTCGAATCTCCCGGTCGAGATCTTCAGGCCTGACGTAATCTCGCTCAAGGCGCCATTGCTGGCTGTTCAGGGGCATGTATAGAAGTTTGCGGCATCTTGGTTAGCGCTAGCGTAGATCTCCAGTAACACGTGGCTTCGCTTACTTCTTTGGCACGATTCCCCCTGCAGGATCAATGGTTCGGATTCGGCCTACAAGCCATATGTTGGCGACTTGACCGGCCGCCGTAGCCAGTGCGACTTCGCCGTAGTTCCCCCGTTTCTGTAGACGAACGAAATCGGCAACCGAGCGATGATCGACGATGTTGGCTAAGGTCGTCAGGGAGACGTTGTAGACCTCGACAATGTTCTGAACGTCTTCGTGGGTGAGGGAAGTTCGCTCGTAATCTAGAGCGTCGTATGATGTTGGCAGTCGGTCGGTCAGAGAGGGGGTCGGAGTCATTGCTTGTCGCGGAAGAGGTAGATGAAGGTGGCGTGGTGACAAGTAGGGAGAAAGAGATGAAGAGACACCGAGGTTTTGAGGACAGCCAAAGATGCTCGCGGAGTCGACCCTGAACCATCCTTTGGACCATAGTAACTGTGTAGTACGACTGGCTGCTCTCGAGGGCCAACTTGTGTCGTTAACCTGATCTCATCAAACTCATCAAGTGTATTCAGCTGAGAAGGCGCTTCAAATGTTTGAAGGTGAACAAGGTGCGACAAAGTAGACATGTTGGCTCGAGAAGCGTGCAACTGGGCACAATCAGCAGCAGAATTTGACTCGAGTTCGGGGATCTGGATCAAGACAGGCTAAATCCGGGTGGTAGGTCTGGCCAGTGTCAGGTCCGGATGCTGTAGGTCTGGCTACTAGGTCCGCGCTCCTAAGATGACAAGAAGATTGCAGAGTCTGACAAGCCCACAAGTGTAGAGTGTGCAGGGTGGGTCGGGCCGTGTGCGAGTGACGAATGACAAGGCGAAGCTTCGAAAGCGACGTGGCTCGAAGGGCGTGAAACTGTGCTATTCTTAGTTCTTGCCCTCCCGCCCCATTATGGCAACCGGCCCCCCCTCGCCCCCTATGCTTTATGACGAGGTCCAAGGAGTCAAGGACCAAGAGCGACCCCGCCGCCGGGTCCGTGACTCCGTCGTCCCTGTCTCCTGAGTCCTGATCCCTGAGCTAGGCCGAACAACGCCGCGCGCGTTTTCATAAAGTGCGGGGAAGCTGTGCCTGAGGACTGAGGGGCCGAATTCTGAGACACTTTGAGATTTGCACCAATTCTGGGCTGGAACCGCCCAATTTTCGAAACGAAACCTTCAGCTCTTTCAGAGCTTCAGGGATTCCTTGCAAGTATAACCTCTTGGCTGGTTGAACGAAGCGTCTGAGTGCGCGCGTCTCTTGCGTTCCCCGCTGCGTCGCGTCGACGTCGTCTGTGCCATCATCGTCAATATCCTACATTCTCGGCACAGCTTGCTTCGACGAAACGTATCTAGAGATCTGGATATCGATCTCCTTGACGATGATCTTGAGCGAATGGCACCCCTCTTGGACGTGAGGATGTCTGAGCTTCTCGCCTCCAGCTTTGACAAACCAGACACCCGGATACAGCTTTCATGATCGACAGACGAGCCTCTCGAATTTGATACCCTTGCTAGGCCGCTCGATGCTTGGAGGGACAAGTTGAAGGATCGTGGAGCAATCATTGCGGCACATAGGCAAGGGCCACCAGTCTATCGCCATCGGCTGCCTTTCGATGTCGAATCTGGCCGCATATAGATTACGCCGAGCGCATGCGTTCGGTTGTTATCAGTAGCTAACAGTGGATGAAGTCATCTGCGTGTCGACATCGAAGATCAACCTCTCATCATTAAGGCTCTGGAGGTGCTGCCGTCACTGCTCGTTGAGGAGCAATTACCCCCTCAATGATCCTCGGGGTTCGTAGATCTCACTGTAGCTAGCTTACTCGCAGATTGACTGCAATCGATTTTACCTCTCGTGGTACGTTACATGTATACCAAGGCCACGTCAAATCATAGTGACAGAGCGGAGACCGACTCCCTAGCAGTACTCTCGAATGTCGTCCTCCAGGAATTGCGAGTTGTCAGCAAGGGCCGTTAGCAACGCATATGATTGACGGCACGGCTCGATTGTTTGGAGTCGATGCTCGAGAAACCATTATTTCCTTGGAATCATCATCGACGCCCGCGCTCACTCTAGCATCACAGAAATCACTCAAATCAGTCGCATACCTCGGGGAGCGTGTCTTTGACCGGAGCCAGCAGGCTGAGGCAAGGTTCCGTTTTCTTCGGCGCCGCAACGAAGTACGGGACGCTTCTGTGTCCTAGTGTAATCAAAAGAATGGTGTGAAAGATGTAGGGTCAAAAAGGCAGGCAGCATGTGCAGGTGAGGAGCCCTCGGCGAAGCTGAACCGAAACGGCTGACGCGCGCGCGGGCTCCGGCGATTCGGTCCGGCCGAAAACGTCCGGACGGCGTTTTCGCGATTTTTGAAGATGTTTTAGAGCATTTGAAGCAATTCTAGAGCTATTTTTGGATGCGCGTAGATAGACTGGACATTTTGGGGACTTTTTTGGGCGAAAAATCCAAAAAATGGTAGACAAATGAGGTCCAAAATCGGGGATTTTGCCGGATTTTACCTACGCGCCTCAGGCCGGGCTTTCATGGGTCCTAGCCCCTCACAGCCTCTCACAGCCCCCCACACTGCTCACTATACTGCTCACCGGCTCTGCTCAGCCTCGACGGCCGGCTACGGACCTGGGTGCAACGTCTGGTACCAACAAAAATGTGACACCTGGCAGCGCTCGAACATGCTATTTTGTTGCACAGTTCCACGCAGAATGCGCTCTACACAAGTTGCACAACCCGTGCCGCCGGAATTAGACGACCGCACTGGCAGAGGGTCCAAGCGGGGCCTCATTGCCCCATGCACCCCATGTGACCCCATGATCAATCGATCGACCAACGGAGAAAAGGTACGGAAGCCCGTGCTCGAGGGGCATCTTTGATTTGATCACGACCCCTTGAAAGAATGGTGCACTCTTCATGCTCGGCCCGCTCCAACTTGAACTTCAAGCGAGGATGAGCAGTATAATCGGACCGGTCTGTAGAATTCGGTGGAACATGTCTCGGCCGAGTGATGCTGCCGTGCGCTGTGTTTCGCGCGGACGGGTTCTCATTGAGAATGCGGTAATGGCTAGGCGACTATGCATACTTTACAAAACTACTGCCCAATTTTGTTTTACAAGACCAAGCAAATAAAGAAAACGAACCCGTACGAGCTCCCTACTTCTTCGTTCCCCCAACGGACGGTGCGACCTGATAAACCACCTCAGTCCTAATCACATACTTGGCCTCCCCCTCACCCATAACCGGTGAACCCTCATGCAACAAACTTCCCTTTGAATCACCGTGGGGGAAGACCAGTGCTGCGCCCATTAACGGTTTGACGGGGTAGGCGTCCAAGCGACCTATTTGGTGGGGCGAAGGGAGGAAGAAGGTCGTGCATCCGTTGGTAAAGTGGTCGTTGAGGTAAATCTGGGTGAAGAGTTGAGGAAAATCAGTGGCGTTTCAGTGAGTGAGTCGGTGCGCCTGTTAAGGCTTACGAGGAATGTCAGCCTCGACATTTGCGGCGCGTCGACGGGACTGGTATCGAATTGAAATGCACCGGACGACGACAGCCCAGAAGGTGGTGCCGCGCCATCAAGATGAGGCCTGAACCCCCCCACAAGGTAGCATTAGCCGTTTGCTTACTTCACGGTGTTCCGAATGACGTACCTATAGATCGATCCAGGAACATAACGATAGACCCTGAATCTCGCGTTGATGCCGACGAGTTTGCCGCCATCGATTTCGGGGGGTAAGAGGTGCAAGATACGTGAGTCGAGTCGACAGATGAACTCTTTATCCGCTAACCAATAAAGGTTCTGTGAACGTATTCCAAGCGTCGTTTCATTAGCTGGTGTTGTTCACCATACTGCGATGAGATTGACGTACATGAGCCAAAACGCTCGTCTGAGGTCCCAGTGGACGATCAGGGGAGAAGCCGACGCTTTCGGCCCCGGCCAAGATGGTCTTGCATTCGTCGGGGCTCAGAATATCGAGCAGGATGAACGCGCCAGGGACGTTAGGAACTTCAGCCCTCGAGGCAAGGGTCGCGGGCTCGAGATCTAATGGGATCGAACCTGGTTGAGAGGTATACTGGTAGGCTGGGTGATGATTCGGAGGTAGTCGTTCTGGACCGGGCGTGGTCTGTAGTAGCCTGAAGGCTTTGGCGAGTTGAAGCCGTTGAGAGGGGAGAGGAAGCCGATGCTGTTTGATCTCTCCGTAGAGGTCCAAACCACTTGGTGTGCGATAGACCCATTCGTCATGCCTCTTGACCACACTTCCCTCATCGACGATGTCGCCATTCGAGGCGATTGCCCGTGGTGTGACGCCATTGCAACACCTCAGGATCGCATCCAAAACCTTGAGCACGTCCTGATCGCCGAACGAACCGTCGGCCCTCGAAGCGCAATCACATTCCCTGACCCAACGTTGCAATGCGCCGAGTTTGGGCTGCTGTTCTCTGATCCTCATTTCGGACAAGAGCACGAGGGCGTCGGTGTACCTCGATTGGGAGAGCGCCGACGAGATGCGCGAGGTCAACGAGGTGCCTGATGGGCAAGGAACGGACCGTCGGGTGAGTACTCTCGCCCTTCCAGATCGTTACTACTCGATCACTTGATAGACCCACCCGTTGCCTGATTGACCTCACTCGATAGCCTCTGTACATCGAACAAGGCGGTCCTCAACCCCTTGAGCTGTGTGCGCGTCGTCTTGCTCGCCGTGTCCTTGAGCAGCTCCGGGTGCTGCACCAACGCATTTAACGTCTTGACCGTCACCGCCAAATGAGAAGGTGAGATCAGACCCTGTAGAAAATCCTTCGACAGGGGTGCGGATGCTGTGGGACGCGCGGTCGAACTCGGTGGCGAATCGGCCAACGAGTCGAGGTCATCACCCGAATGGTCGTCAAATAGTTCCGGGGCAGCCAGCTTCGTGGCTAGTGCGGTCGCTTCGGCCAGCTTTCGACGTTTGATCGCTTTGCCTGTTTTGCCCATCGTGCGTAACTGGTTCAAGGGGCGAGGGGAAGAGGACGAGAAGGCGAGCCGCAGCGCGAAGGCGATCTCGGGCTGGCGAGCCTTGCCGAGGAGCGCGCGCATGAGGTCCGTGCGGCTGAACTGACTCCGAGACACCCGCTGACAAGCGTCAATTTCAGTCTAGCTGCCTGTAGGGGGTGCAAACCAGTGGGGATCTGGCCCATTTCAGACAGGTGATGACTCGAAGGTGACGACGAAGACTCGGACCCGATCAAGCTGAGAGGTCGAGTCGACATCATCCTCCGAACGCGAAGGCTCCTCCGGCCTGACCGCCTCTCTTCTCGGGCTCTCGGATGTAATGCAATTTGTATTGTCCCTCTAGAACAGCACAATACAATCGAACAAAAGAAGAGAAATGGACGGTAGTCCCGCCCTCAGTGCGATCATGCAAAGCCTTCGACGAGCGTATCCCTCATCCCGGCGATTTTACTCGTGTCCTGTCCGCCGAGCTTGAACGCGGCTTCGAGTACCGAGATTTCCGTAGCGGTCGTTTCGAGACCGGTGAAAGCGGACCAATCTGTGCGTTCAGGAGAGTCAGAACCTCGGTTCGATTGTATCGGAAGATAGAGAAGCGCGCGCAAAAAGAGCGAAAACTGACCGTTGACAATCATCCCTGCGCCAATGACGTCCGAACCTCGGTTCACGGTCCCTGCGACCAAAGGGACCTGCAACAACGAACTCAACTCGTCCTGGTCCTGGATCGAGGTCTTGGGGTGCACCAATGCCCCCTGGTTCGAAATGCGGCAATAACTCCCAACAAGCACGTTGTCGGCGATCGTTTGACGGAAGACCTCGACCTTGAGCACGTCGGCGATGATCTCTTCGGTTTCTCGGTCAATGTCGGGGTGCACGAGCGCGACGTAGTCGTTGCAAGCAATGATGTTGCCCAGCGCCGAGAGCCGTTCCTCGATGCGTTGCAGCGCGACGGATTCGGGAAGGCAGTTGCGCAGATGTTGCAGTTCTTGATCGGTCGTGGTCGAAGGGACGAGCAGACCGTGTCGGTTACCTATGTGTTTATGCTTGCTGTCAGTCTTGGCAATCAAGGGATTCAGAAAAATGTTATTTGTGAGGCGTACCTGCTACCAATCTCCCAATGATACGTGTGCCTCCGATGCTGGTCTGGATCACAGGGATCACATCCGCGAGTTCGGCCTCGAAGGTGGAGTAAAAGTTGGTCGATCCGACCGATACGGACGAGAGGCAGTAAGAGTTGGTCAAGGATGCAAAGACGCCAATCTGTGCGGATGCGGGGGGTAAGAGCGTTAGCGGGGTGGCGGTGGCTCATCAGATCGTCAGGGGCTGACGGAGCGTGGCGCCTCGCGGTGGGGTCGGCTTACGTCGGAAGAGTTTTCGAAACGGCAACCTGTGCGGAACGAGAGTTGCCAGAGGAGGTCAGCTCACGGTCCTGATGCACATCTCCTCAATCATTGCAGCAGATGCATTTCCGGAAGGCGTGCGCTGTGCGAAGGACGGATCCGCACTTACGAACTGCCATAGTGGAAGCGTAGAGTGTGGTGTTGTCTTGAGCGAGTATGTGAATTGGTGTGGGGTGGTGGTGGATGCGGTGGATGCGAGAGTGCAAGGTGCAGGTGGAGATGAGAGGGCGTGAGCGAGTGAGTCGGTGCCGCGTGAGAGTCGGTCGGTGCGAAGCAGCTTGCGCGAATCGTCATCTGCCCCCATTTACATTTACGATTACGCTTCGAGCTAATCAGGCCAATGCGCGCGGTAATGCGGTCCTGACTCGCACTGACTCGTCCTCGCCGCACGGCCTGGGCGCAGCACTGACTCGCTCGCTTCTTTTAGCCCCAATTGCACACACATCGAGTCACGACCCCCTCCCCGAACTCCACGCGAGCAGAACGTGAGTGTTTTCAGGAAAGGGGTCAAATTAGATTCTACTTCTGTGCTTGGATACCGTAGCCGCTGCCCCCGCCGCTGCCCCCTCCTCGTCGTCGCCGCAATGGGCCTCCTCCTCCTCCCCTCCATCCGTGCTCAATCCCAAACTGAACCTCTACTTTCCGTCCTGTCCAGTTCTAACCTACCAACCAACCCAACCCAACCCAACCCAACCTCTCCCGCAACTCTCACCATGGACGCCTCCGCGATGAACCCCGCGACCGCGCAAGCTTTCGAAGCGATGATGCAACAAAAGCAAATGAAGGATTTCATGAACCTCTACACGAACCTCGTCGAGCGATGCTTCAACACGTGCTGCAACGATTTTACAAGTAAAGCACTTAGCTCAAAGGAGGTCAGTGGCCCAGAAGAGTGTGCGATGATGATGATGATGATGATGATGGCAAAAAGGGGGTGGGAATGGGGGGGGGGGGGGGGGGCAAGTATGCTGATTGATAAAGACCTTGGTTCTCGCGCCGAGTAGGACGCTTGCATCTCGACTTGCGCCGACAAGTTCTTGAAACATTCCGAGGTGAATCAACACTACGCCCGTGAAGGACCGATACCCCTCCAGTCCGTTCACTGATTCTGATTGCCCCGTCTTCATCCCTACAGCGAGTCGGTCTGAGGTTCTCCGAGATGAACGCCCAGATGATGGCCAAGCGATAGAGAGCACCGGGAATGCAGTAGAACACACAGCAAAGAGGAATCATTCTTTTGTATTATTCAGCAACTCCAACCCACCCTTCCGACAACAAATGACGGCTCGTGCGAGTCTGCCCTCGAACGAGGAATATTTGCAGAGTCGGAGCGAGAGACAGGTACAGAGAGAGAAAACTCGTTCATGTTACAGCGAAAAATGGAACTTGTAATGGACACGCCCAGCTGGAAAGAAGAAAAGAAAAGGGTAAAAACCGATCGAAAAACAGCACAAGAGAAACGTAGGGGTCAACCCCACCGTCAGTTCTTGCTCAAGCCCTCCGACTCTCCAACGCCGCAAACTCGAGCACAAACTCCCTCCTGACCCTTTCCCACCCATTCGGATCAAACAGGATATAACTACCCCTCTCGTACGTCGCCGTCTTCTGACTCGGTTCCGTACCGGCCTCCTTGGTCAACCACACCTTCATCTCCTTGTGGTACCTCCAATTGTGCTTGTACAACTCGTGCGCGGCCATCTCTTGCATCGCGTCGCGCGGTTGCGAGTAAAAGATGAAGAAGAGCGTCTCGTCCGAAAAGTTGCCGATCTTGGTTTGTGCCGGTGGAGGTTGCACGTTGTAGCATGACGGGAGGTGGAATTCGGGTTCAATGTTGAGCCCGGATGCCGTCTTGGAATCCGACCATGGCGTGATGAAGGTCGAGAACAGGTTGCTGCAGAGACAACATGTTGCGTGGTCAGCCTCACTCGCCCCGATACGCTTCATGCTGCACGCTTCAAGACACTCACTCGCTTGCGGATAGGTCCAAGCCCAGTGTCGTCAGATCATTCCCAAGTGCGAGCATGTTGAGGTCCGGATCGCTCGTCTTGATGATGTGCAGTAACCCCAACAACCCATAACGATCGGCCGGACTGAACAGGATCTGTTGCGCCGGCGTCTGTGGGACTTGACTCCCCATCACACCACCTGCTGTCGGCCCCGTTCCTGCTGCTGCTGCTCCTCCCGTTGTCGAAGCGTTGGTTGTTGTAGAGGCGGATGGTGCTGTTGGCAGTGGTAGAGGTGCACTTGCGGCTCCGGTTGTATTCCCCCCCGCGGATCCGATCGCCCCTCGATGTGTTGCGGCCGAAGGGAGCAGCAACGAATTGACACCCGGAGGTGGGGGCAGAGCCGACGAAGCCGGTGTGGACGAGAGCATGGAAGGCGACCGCATCGATGACGGTGCCCCGTCCGACGGATTTGGCGGTAAAGCTGATGCTGCTGCACCTCCACCGTTGGCGAACTGTGCCGAGGCTGCCCAGGGCTGTTGTTGTTGTGGGGTGCCACCCTGCTGTTTCAGACCGAAATTCTGCGCAGAGAGTAAGAGAACACACACGCCTCTAGATCAGCCCACCATTCCTCCTTTCTTTCTCGGTCAGAACCTCTTTCCTCTTTGCTCACCCGCTTGTCGGCGTCTGCCTGAGAAGGTGCGCTTCTCCCCCCGTTCATCGCTCCGAGCAAGTTGGCGCGATGCTGCTGCTGGTGCTGCAACGCGGCGGCTGCGCTGGCCTGCTCACTCGGCCCCATAGACGACAGGTTCCGGTTCGATAGCAACGAGAGGCCGTTGAGTCCGTTGGCGAGTGAGCTTGTGGCCGCGGTCGGGTCGTAGCTCCCTGTCGAGACTTGGGCTGCGGCACCGCTGCTAGCCGAGTTGGCTTGGTGGCCAGCGGTGTTGGATGGGGACGACATGCCCCCGAGTGCCGGAAAGTCGTCGGCCGAGAACTCGCGGGGCAGTCCATTGGCCAGAGGTTGGCCAATCGCGGAGGCCGATCCGAGCGAGGCGTTGGCGGTCGTGGTCGCAGGCCCGATCAAGGACGCGTACGACGAAGGCAGGCTCGTCACCGCGGACGGGGTCGAGGGTGCACCTGCTGCGCCGCCCAGTGCTGGGAAGTCGCTCGGGTCGAGGTTGGCTTCCTGTGCTGCGGTCAGTCCTGTCGACGGTCCAAGTCGAGGGCGTGGGGGTCGGGTCAGGCGAGGCGAGCAAGGGAACGACGACAACGCAAGGGGGCCCGTCGGTAAATCAGACGGGAGATTGATGGAGCGTGTAAGGGTTGGACCGGGTACAGAGGACAAGGTGCACGAAAAAAAAAGTGTCAGCAAGGTGCTCGCCACGACCTGACGAGCTGTGGAGGGATGTGTGGATTGGGTGGGTGAGCTCGCTTACCTGGTGGCAAGGGCTGACTCGCGGTGGAGTTGTGTTGCTGGTGTTGTTGATGTTGCGGCTGCTGCTGCTGCTGGTGTTGGCCGAATGCGAACGAGGCCATGGCGGCTGCGTTGGAGGTGCTGCGAGTACGACCGACGAGGTGCTGCAGCGGTGAGGTATGGGCTCCGTTGGCTGTTGACGGTTGCCGTAACGGGGTCGAGCCCGCTGAGACGGCCGAGGCCTGTTGCTGCTGTGAGGCTGAGGCTGCAGCTGAGGCTGAGGCTGAGGCTGAGGCTGAGGCTGAGGCTGACGGGGTCGTGGTCGCTGGGGAGCTGAAACGGTTGGTCGGCAGTCCTTGTCCGACTCCAGCGTATTGTCCTGGTCGAAATGGCGGTATGGACATGTCTGTGCGGGGTCGCATGCCAGTGAGGTTCGGTCAGCTGCAGAGCTGGGCAGCTAGTAGCACTCGGTCGCACCAGGCACTCCGGACTGGGTCCACAGCACCCTAGGCCAGCGACAACAGTGCGACACCGTCGTGGGAGTGCACACTCAAAGCTGTAGGAAGTACTCACATCGAGTGCGTGGATCGGTCGCGTCCAGTCGAGCAGGCGAAAGAGTGCCCGGCCGAGCGCGGCGACGTCCTCGAGTCGAGCTCGAGTCGAGTGCCGCTTGCCGCTTGCGCTCGGACCCCCCGTGTTATCAACGGGTGCAATTAGGTGCAATCTCGCCATAGTTCGCTCGCTGACGACGCCGACTTTGACTCCTTTTCACCGTCAAAAGTCAAAGAAACGAGCCCATGAAAGGCCCTGCACTTCCTCCAGAATTTGCGCCGACGATTTTTTGACATCTGTCTTTGCTTATTACCCGGATGGAATTGAGCATTACACCCGCGTTGGTAATCCACCAGTGCTTTCCCCACGAGCGATGACGAAATCGCGAGTCTGGGCCCGTATACCCGGCCACCACGCATCCCCCTTCATTCTTCTTCCCCACTCCAAGTCCCCTCCTCCCCCCTCTCATACATCCCATCATGCCATCCGACTACTCCATCCAGACCATCCAGACCAAGCCTTACCAGGACCAAAAGTAAGTCCAAGACCAACTGCCGCCGTAGGGACCAGAACGGAAACAGGCAGCAGCTGCTCCGCCCGCCGCCGCCACAAGTCGAATCCCGCGTGTGATCGGCTATGATCTCGTGCAGTGCAATTCCATTCTCATTTCTGACGCATGGCTTCTCCCCTTGTACCCTTCTTCTAGGCCCGGAACGTCGGGTTTGCGCAAAAAGTAGGTTGCAACTCACTCCCGGACGCTCAACTCTCTGCCTCCGCCACAGACCACCTCTCTGACGTGGGGGCGGAAATGAGGCCGGAATGACGAGCGGCACCCCGGACACGACCATGTCATCCCGATTCCGCGGCTTGGAATCGGTGCTGACCACCTCTTCACTTCCAAAACAGGGTCACCGTTTTCCAGCAGCAGAATTACACCGAAAACTTCATCCAGGCCATCCTCGACGGTATCCCGTCCCCGGGCGCAGAAGGAGCGACACTCGTCGTCGGCGGGGATGGTCGCTACTACTCGCCCGAGTGCGTCCAAAAGATCCTCAAGATCGCGGCCGGCAACAAGGTCAAACACCTCATCATCGGCCAGCACGCCATCTTCTCCACCCCCGCTGTATCGCACATCATCCGAGCGAGGAAGGCCACGGGAGGCATCCTCCTCACCGCCAGTCACAACCCCGGTGGACCCAACGCCGATTTCGGTATCAAGTACAACATGGAGAACGGTGGGCCTGCACCCGAGAGCGTGACCAACAAGGTCTACGATATCTCCAAGCAGCTCGAGAGTTACAAGCTCGTCGACTTGCCCGAGGTGGGTCAAAATAATTCAGGGCTGCCTGCACATGTCCGTTGCAACATAATGAACTCGTTCTCTAGCACTCGTAGGTCGATCTCTCCAAACTCGGAACGACCGAGTTGGGTCCCATCACCGTCGAGGTCATCGACTCGGTCAAGCCTTACGTCGCTTTACTCAAGTCCATCTTCGACTTTGCCCTCATCAAGGAATACGTTCAGTCCCCATCGGCCTCGGTCCTCTTCGACGGTCTGTCCGGTGTCACCGGTCCTTACGCCCGCGAGATCTTTGTCAACGAGCTCGGTCTGGGCGAGTCTTCGATCCAAGGCTGCGAGCCTTCGCCCGATTTTGCCGGCGGTCACCCCGACCCCAACTTGACCTACGCGCATTCACTCGTCGAGCGAGTCGAGAAGAACAACATCGCCTTTGGTGCCGCTTCCGATGGTGATGGTGACCGCAACATGATCTACGGCAAGGGTGCTTTCGTCACGCCGAGTGATTCGGTCGCGATCATCGCCGATTGGGCCGAGTCGATCCCTTACTTCCAAAAGGGTGGTGTCAAGGGCTTGGCGAGGAGTATGCCCACCAGTGGTGCGATCGACCTCGTGGCCAAGGCCAAGAAGTTCGAGGTCTTTGAAGTCCCCACCGGTGCGTACAGAGATTCTCCTTTCGAGAAAGACGATCAAGTTCGGTCAAGCTGACGATCACCTCGTCTCTCGGCTTCTTAGGATGGAAGTTCTTTGGTAACCTCATGGACACGGGGCGTCTTTCGATCTGCGGTGAAGAGTCGTTCGGTACAGGCTCGGACCACATTCGCGAAAAGGATGGTCTCTGGGCCGTCATCGCGTGGCTCAACATCCTCGCCTCGGCGCAAAAGCAAGGCATCGAGGGGATCTCGGGCGTGTTGCAAGACCACTACACCAAGTACGGTCGCACCTTCTTCTCGCGCTACGACTACGAGGAGGTCGATTCGGACAAGGCCAACGAGGTGATGAAGCAACTCGAACAGTCGTTCGCGTCGTCCGGGTTCGTCGGCAAGGCCTTGAAGGCGACTTCGTCCGAGACGTCCTTCAACGTCGCCGAGGCCGACAACTTTGCCTACACCGACCCCATCGACGGTTCGGTCTCCAAGAACCAAGGTCTTTACGTTCGCTTCGAGGATGGCTCGAGGATTGTCTTTAGGTTGGCCGGTACCGGCTCGAGTGGTGCGACGATCCGTCTCTATGTCGAGAAGTACTCCAAGGACGATAGGGAATACGCTAGGGATACGCAAGAAGGTCTCAAGCCTTTGATCGAGGTCGCGTTGAGCTTGAGTAGGTTGGTCGAGATCACGGGCAGAAAGGAACCGACTGTCATTACGGTGAGTGGACGGCTGGGCTGCGGACGTGTCCTCCGCTTTGGAGGGGCCAGAAGCTGACTCGGGGCTTTGCGTATGTCGTACAGTAAAATTGAGCTTGCAGCCACACCAGGTCGAGGTCGTGAATACAATCAGAAATTTGTTTGACATAAGAACTGTTAAATCTTTGTCAATATTAGTCCCACTCAAAAACCCCGTAGAGAAAGCGCGCCGAACCATTTTCTGAGACAGTCTAAATTGAAAAAAAACAAAAGCTTCGTCAAGGTCGAGTTTCTGCGGACGTTGCGTATTCACGCGCGGCCACCTTTTCCGCCTTTCAAAAACGAGGCAGATGGTCCGTGCGCAAGCGATCTGACATGTAGACGAAGACGCGTCACGCGATAAACCGGAATAGGAGCGTCTGTCGCCGCGTCCTTCCGCGACTCGTTGGCTTCGGGGTTCCTTTCCGACATCCCTCCGGCACGTCTTCTCCTTTCGCCTTTTCGTTTCCCACTCCCCGCTCGTACTACTCGGCGTGCAGAGCGTCAATTTCGCCGTTATCAGAGGAAAGTGAGCAGCGCTGCAGCGCTAGTCGCGGCCTCGGGAAGTCTTACGTTGGAAGAAGAGCTCCAAGCGCGAAGCTCGAGCGCGTCTAACAACATCTGCCTTCGGCCAATCTCCGCGTCGCGTGCTGGAGTTGAGCGCTCACCTGTAAGGTGGTGTACGATGACATGGTGGAAGAAAGGCCCTATCCGGCGGGGCGTGCTCGGCGGAGCGTACTCGGCAGGGCAACACGGGCGAACTTCACAAAATGAGCGCGACATCTTTTTTATAGGGGGCACGAGCGCTCGGCGTTTCACGTGACCTTCACAATCTCCATCACGAAATAAAATGAAAAGTGAACAGATCTATCTACCTACATCTATCTATCTACCTCTACATAAAATAATGCACGACTTAATTAAGGTTCTCAGCCGCGCGCCGATCTCCCCCCACGGTCCGGGGCTCGCAATGACCTTCATTTACGGCGGTGCGGAGGGAGGTGACTCAGGTCGGCGCGGAGCGCCCCCCGGGCCCCGAGCCCTAGTCTGTCCAACAATCGTGCCAAAAATCTGAGGTTGAGGTCGGATTTTTGAAAGCGCTTCAAACGCGTTTGCTTGTCAAAACCTGAAGCGATCGCGATCGAGCCTAACCCGAAGAGGAAGGCGCAAGCGATTTCACAAAGTCCTAAAGTTCAGAATTTGAAGCGCTCGGGCGGTCGTTTGGGGTTTTTGAGTGGGACTAATGTGCTGCCCGCTTAGCTGCCCGCTTTTGAGAGGGCACTCGGGCCGCCACGTCATGTGACCGATACGGATCCAGCTCGAAGCCGGTCGTGGGACGCAGTTACTCGCAGTCCGGAGTCCTCGGCCCTCATGTAGAGATGGTCTGGGAAGCACAAATAGAGTTCGCAGAAGGCCCATGGGCCATGCGCGGAGAAGAACTGTGCTAGCGTTTGCGAAGCGAATCGGTCGGTACAGTCTAGAAGATTCTAGCGCGCACCGATCCTTCCAAGTGCCGAGCCGACCCCGTGACCTCTTTGCGGCGGTCAGCAGTTCTTCGAGCCCAGTTGTTAGGGGCGCCCGGGGGTTGCCTGAGCAGTCCAATTCAAGTTGCCAAACTCACGTTGCAACACCTGGGCCATTGCTGTTGTAAGAACACTTCTTGACTGTGGGTCGGCTCAGCCCCGCAACACCGGTTGCAAAAAGTAGCCGACGCCGATGATGAAAAAACTCGTCCTGGCAGGGTGGCCAAGCTTTTTGTGATTAGGGCGATCAACGCGCGCGCCTGCTAGATCGAGAATTTTGTAGGCGGACGGGCCGCCCGCGCTTGGCTCGTCCGTCGAGTTCGATCGCACTTTTGAGTGTGATTCAAAGGCTGCAGCATCGAGCCCGAGGTGACGGTGAAGGATCGGAGGAATCGAGATCCGCTCCTTCAATGAAGCGGGGGCCAGGGGCTTTCTGACTCGTCGGCCAAGGTCAGGCTTTGGGCCATGAAAAAAGTTTGGGGTTGGGGCGGCGGGCGAAGCGCAATAATGATCGACCGACCGGAAGCGATCTCGAGCTCAAGCGGCAGATCATTTTTGCCTACCCCACGTCCTCGGGGTTCCGGGCCCCAGTCTATAAAGGGCTCCGTTCAGTGATTGGTCAGTGATGGGGCTATCGCGAGAGGCCCCAGAGGCGATTTATTGCCGAGGTCGAGCTTGACAAATCAGAAAGGTGCTTCCGGCCCCTCGAGGGGTCTTGACCTGGGTCTCAGTCCGTGGTATCCCCAGGTTTGATTGGACGCATGCAATTCGCATTGATAGGACCCGTATTCTCCGTAGATTAGGTGTCCTCCTTTGCCCAGTCCTTTGTTTTTGCCGCCCTCTCTCTCTCTCTTCTCTCAACTTGTCCAAGCGTCACTTCCTCTTTGTCACCTGTCGTCAACGCGTCAACGCCCCTATCCCCACCTCACTCGAGCCGAGCTCGCACCCGCACGAACCCTTCCGTCAGGTCTCCAGTACCCAATTCTCATTCTCTCGCGATGTCTTCGATCAGCTCGCAAGACAAGCCCACAGCACAGGACAAGGAGAATGCTGCTATCCACACGCTCGAGGCCCACACTTGGGACAAGGGCTTTGAGCGCAAGACCATGTAAGTCATTGTTTTCCAGCCGGCGCGTTTCCCCCCTGCGCAACCCGACGGAAACTTCGGAGCTAGCCCCGATTGAGGTGCCCCTCTTGCGCACGCATAACAAGAAGAATTGAGAACTGACCTTTGTGATGTATCATGTCACAGGGCTAAGGTCGATCGTCGTCTTTTGATCATCCTCGGTGCTATCTACGCCATCTCACTCATCGATCGAACGTGAGTTTTACCTCTGTTCGATATCGTCAATTCCAAACTGGACGGCTGAATTGATCCGAAAATTCTATCCTCCGTCCCCTCACAGCAACGTCTCTGTTGCTCGTGTTGCCGGTATGGCCAAGGATTTGAAGTTGACTGTCGGCCAGCGCTACTCGATCATCACCTGCGTCGTAAGCCTTTTGATCCTTCCGTTTGCCGATCACTTCAGCAAAATGGCTCAGCTGATCCCTTTTCTTATGATCGCCCTCGGCAGTTCTTCCCTCCTTATATCGTCTTCGAGCTCCCGTCCAACATCCTGCTCCGCAAGATTGGAGCTCGCAACCACTTGTCGGCCATCGTCGTCCTCTGGGGTGCTGTCATGCTCGGAATGGGTTTCGTCACCAACTGGCACCAGCTCGCCGCCTGCCGTGTCCTCCTCGGACTCCTCGAGAGTGGTTTCTTCCCTGGTTGCGTCTTCCTGATCTCGTGCTGGTACACCCGATACGAGACACAAAAGCGCATGGCCGTCTTCTACCTCACCTCGATGGTTATCTCTGGTTTCTCCAACATCCTCGGCTACGGTATCTCCAAACTCGGCGGCCAACACGGCATCGCCGCATGGCGATGGGTCTTCATTGTCTTCGGTGCTGCGACCGCCGGCCTCGGCTTCCTCAGCTTCGCTTTGATTGTCGACTTCCCCGACAAGGCCACTTTCCTCACCCCTGATCAAACCAAGATGGTCCAGGAGCGCATCGAACTCGACCGAGGCGACTCGGCCCCCGATCACCTCACCTTCAGCTCGTTCATAAGGCACTCCGCCGATTACAAACTTTGGATTTTCGGTCTCTGCTTCGGCTTCTCGACCATGCCCGCCTACGCCTTCTCTTACTTCCTTCCCGTCATCCTCACTGGTGGTGGATATTCGAACGAGCTTTCCTTGATCCTCTCTGCACCTCCATACGTCCTCGCCGCCATCCACACCTTCGCGATTGCCTACGGTGCTGATAAGCTGCGCAAGCGTGCCCTCTTCATCGCCGTCAACGCCATCGTTTGCACCGTCGGCCTAATCATCATGGGCTGGGGTGGCAAGATCGGCGTCCGCTACTTCGGCTCTTTCCTCGCCATTGCGGGTTGCCAGGCCAACGTCCCGTCGGTCATCACCTACTCGGCCAACAACGTGCGCAATCACTCCAAGCGCGCCGTCTCCTCGGCCATCGTCATCGGCATGGGTGGCGTCGGCGGTATGTTCGCTTCACTCGTCTACCGCCAGGTTGACTACCCCCGGTACCTCCCCGGTCTCGGCGCCACGATCGGCTGCCAGGGTGCGATCCTCCTCATGCTCGCCGGTCTCTCGTTCGCCTTCAGCCGGGCCAACGCATTCGCTGACCGCAACGGCACCGGGATTGAAGGATCCACGACTTTCCGATACACGCTTTAAGTTTTCTGACCGCGTGAATGGTGATCGTCTATTCGGAGGAGATTTTTATTGGATCGTGGTCTTGTGTGTGTGTGCGCGTTTAAGTGTGTTTAGGTCTCTCGGGTCTTGACTTGCTGTCTTGACTCGGTGTTGTAACTTCTGACTCGAAAGGAGTAAACTATTGTTACTGAAAAGGAATGAAAATAGGCTTTTTCGATGCACTTACCTCGTGAGGAATGAATCGATGAGATAGCTCAGTATACTTGTAGATTGCCAGGCATCGGGTAAGAATGTCGGCAGACGGGGGCTCATCGAGAGAAAGCCGCAGGCCCGATGCGACCGAGGAGTTTTCACAAAGAGCTTACGCGCTCGGTGGAGCCAATGCCACGCGAAGTATCGGACGTTGACCAAAGCGGCTGACAAGGAGGGGTTAGTCATTTCATCACGGAAAATGATCGACGCATGTCTCACTGATCGGTCGGCACTCGAGATCGGCGCAAAGAGACGTACCGAGTTGAACAGCGTGCGCGTGGCGCCGCTCCTTCGAATCCATAGCAAGCAGAGCGCCTCGTGATGCCACCCGTTGGTGTTTACGATATTTCTCATCTTTTCTCGATCCCTCCAGTAGGTAGGTACGTGTCGCAAACGTGATCGCAAGCTGGGATAATTCCCTGTCCAAGCGAATCTTATGGCAAAGACTTTGAAGAATTGCGATCATGACGTCGAATCCGGGGCGGATTGCGGTTGAGCATCTTCCCAACGACCACCTATGTGAGAAAACAAATGGAAGGTGTCTAGCTATAAACTTGAAGCAGCTTCGGGGAAAGAAGCGAATTGCTAGTGCTAACAAATCGTTGAAACAGACCGGGTCGGACCACATGCAGTGGTCGAACTTGCTCGCGTCCTGCCGCCGTCCTCACTACCGAAGTGAGCGAGGTGTAAGGGTTTCGCCCTACAGAAGGTCGCGAGGACGGTTGTAGATCGAAGTCGATGTAGTAACGGCCGAGAGAGGATACTTGTTAAACGTCTTGACTGGGTTTCAGCTAGAAGTTAACTACCAAGAGAGAGGAAAGAGAGAAAGAGAGATATGGGGAAGGGCGTCCCTATTGAGGGAGGCCGAGGGTCCGTGCGCCAGTGTCAGTCTTGACGTCGGGTCTCAAGGGGGGCGGCCTTACACGAGGTCTCCTTCGTGCCTCGACCTTCTCGGCTTGCCGCCTGCTCCGAATTCCTTTACCAGATCTGTGGTCAGTAGGTATTGACCGACCAGGTACAGATCGTCGTGATCGTATTTGATATGTATTGGACCAGGGAGAACCCACCGAGCCCGAGGAAGTCAGCTTTGGATGCGAAAGTCATCTGTCGGGCCTCGAGCGTGTACCTGGTCAAATGTCCGAGCGATGCGACGACGTTTGGGAGCGTGACTGTGGCGCGAGCACTGCACTCCTTTCGTTCAAAAGGACTTCAAGGTACCTAGCTTCGCATTTTGCCTACCAAGATGCATTATTATACCTACCTTTCTCGAAGCCGCAGCAGTAAACCTTAATCTTCACAGGAACGTGAATCTACATCTACATAAAAGAATGATGAATATGGACCTAATCGAAAGCAGCTCAAAGCGGACACAAAGCTACCACGTCTTGTATACTTACCTGCCTAGCTGCTTTGCCGGAGTATGTAGACATTCTCTGCTGACGGCTGAACTCATGAACTGTCAAAGTCGGGTTTGGTCGCACGTTGAAAAACAAGGCACGCAGGAGACTTGGCGAATTAGCGGTTAACGTTGCCATGAATTATCGGAAGCTCCGACGAGTCGGGTTGACTACTTTGCTTGCCTTCTTAATATTCGGAGAGCAGTCGGACCTCGGCAACGATGCCATATCATAAACTGTCATCTGGAACAGCCCCGCAAATGCGAGAGAAGACTCCGGTGTTCAAGGGTTGCCGAGCCGTAATAAGAGGGCGTGGGTGGACGAACGTTGACAAGGAGGCCCTGGCACTTGCCCAGACTAGAGCTTGTAACGTTGGCCGACCGCAATGGCATCGTTTTGCCAAGGTCATCCCGCGAGCGTCCTTCTACAGCTGCAATCGGTCGATCGGCCTGGGGAAGCGCGCGCCAAGAGATTCCCAGTCCGAAGCTCGGCGCTGACGCCGACGCGCGTAGCGCCCACCCCGCTCGGAGTCGCTTCATCCAAGAAACCGGGGTAAATCTGGGGGAGACCCCAGCCTTGTTGCGTCTTTCCATCCTCTTTCCCTTCCTATAAACCACTCGAACGAGCTACAATCACTCGTCACCACCCTCGACTGCCCCCTGCACACCTATCGGTCGTCTTTGACATCTAAATCGAGCCTTTCTCCTTCTATCCCGAGTTTCTGCCTCCTTTCGCCTCCATCGCCTTCACCCGCCATGTCTTCGGTCAGCTCCCAAGACAACAAGCATGACAAGCTCCACCGAGAGGACAATGCTACCAGTGCTCTCGAGGCTCGCACCTGGGACAAGGAGTTCGAGCGCAAGACAATGTGAGTAGACAACATATTTTGCGAGTCGATTGGGAGCGCTTGGCTCCCCGCGGGGTGACTACTTCGAGCTGGCTCGCTTACAGTCTTGTGTGCCTCTCTTTCTAATTACAGGCAGAAGGTCGATCGCCGCCTTTTGATTATTCTCGGTGCCCTCTATGCCATCTCACTTATTGACAGAACGTCAGTACTTTACCAGCCCGAGTCTGTTCTGCTGCGCAGTGACCTAGTCCTTGACTGACAGCCTTGGCACTTGTTTCATTCCATCTCACAGCAACATCTCGGTCGCTCGTGTTGCTGGTATGGCGACGGATTTGCGATTGACCGTTGGCCAACGCTACTCCATCATCACTTGTGTCGTAGGTTATCAGCGTCCGCGTTACTCAGCGCCAAGGAGAAATATTGAGCTGACCTATGCGCCACCCTCACCCTATAGTTTTTCCCTCCTTACATCGTTTTCGAGCTCCCGTCCAACATCCTGCTCCGCAAGATTGGTGCTCGCAACCTCTTGTCCGCCATCGTCGTCCTCTGGGGTGCTGTCATGCTCGGAATGGGTTTCGTCACCAACTGGCACCAGCTCGCCGCCTGCCGTGTCCTCCTCGGTCTCCTCGAGAGTGGTTTCTTCCCTGGTTGCGTCTTCCTGATCTCGTGCTGGTACACCCGATACGAGACACAAAAGCGCATGGCCTTCTTCTACCTCACCTCGATGGTCATCTCTGGTTTCTCCAACATCCTCGGCTACGGTATCTCCAAACTCGGCGGCCAACACGGCATCGCCGCATGGCGATGGATCTTCATTGTCTTCGGTGCTGCGACCATCGGCCTCGGCTTGCTCGGATTCGCTTTGATCGTCGACTTCCCCGACAAGGCCACTTTCCTCACCCCTGATCAAACCAAGATGGTCCAGGAGCGCATCGAACTCGACCGAGGCGACTCGGCCCCCGATCACCTCACTTTCAGCTCGTTCATGAGGCACCTTTTCGACTACAAGCTCTGGATCTTCGGTCTCTGCTTTTGCTTCTCGACCATGCCCGCCTACGCCTTCTCTTACTTCCTTCCCGTCATCCTCGCTGGTGGTGGATATTCGAACGAGCTTTCCTTGATCCTCTCTGCACCTCCATACGTCTTCGCCGCCCTCCACACCTTCGCGATTGCCTACGGTGCTGATAAGATGCGCAAGCGTGCCCTCTTCATTGCCATCAACGCCATCGTTTGCACCATCGGCCTAATCATCATGGGCTGGGGCGGCAAGATCGGCGTCCGCTACTTCGGATCTTTCCTCGCCATTGCGGGTTGCCAGGCTAACGTCCCCGCGATTCTCGCCTACTCGGCCAACAACGTGCGCAACCACTCCAAGCGCGCCGTCTCCTCGGCCATCGTCATCGGCATGGGTGGTGTCGGCGGTATCTTTGCCTCGCTTGTCTACCGCCAGCTTGACTACCCCCGATACCTCCCCGGTCTCGGCGCCACGATCGGCTGCCAGGGTGCGATCCTCCTCATGCTCGCCGGTCTCTCGTTCGCCTTCAGCCGGGCCAACGCATTCGCTGACCGCAACGGCACCGAGATTGAAGGATCCACGACTTTCCGATACACGCTTTAAGTTTTCTGACCGCGTGAATGGTGGTCGTCTATTCGGGGGAGATTTTTTTATTGGATCGTGGTCTTGTGTGTGTGTGTGCGCGTTTAAGTGTGTTTAGGTCTCTCGGGTCTTGACTTGCTGTCTTGACTCGGTGTTGTTACTTCTGAATCGAAAGGAGTAAACTATTATTACTGAAAAGGAATGAATAATAGGCTTTTTCGATGCACTAATGAGTACGGGATTCCTTTTTACCTTGTGAGGAATGGATGTGATGGCTCAGAGGCCACCTGGCCAGGAATTGGATGAAGAAAATGGGCAGACAGGGGTTATTCGAAGAAAGCCGCAGTCCCGATGCTGAAGAGCGTCTAGGAAAGTTTCAGAGGTTGAGGAAATCGACTCTCTGATCAGCGAAAGCACATCGAGAAGCGGATGGGGAGGAACTCAAAGCCGCTTCTACTCGCGGAGTCTCACACCAGCCAAACAGTCCAAACAATGCCCAATTGAACACTTTCTCGAGCCCAAGTCTCTCTGGCCTCGTTATCACCCACGATCGCCGCCTCTATCCAATTGGCTTCCACTGCGCTCACACTGCAGACGCTCACGCCGAGATCGTCCTCTGTTGCACCAACCCATTCCAACAGAGTGTTCACGAACGTCGTCTCCGCTCTGTGGGTCTTATGCCACACGAAACATCGGACGTTGACGAAAGCGGCTCGCCGGCTCACGAGGAGCTGAGAGGGTGGTTAATTCAATTGAAAGGCACGAGATCGCTCTCGAGCCTCACAATTTCGAGTCCAGACTAACTTCAATAGTCTTTTCGGCCTTTGCTGCAAGATTTTGACGCGGACAGCTCAAGCGCGCTGGTCTCGGCCTAACGGGGCCCGCTCGCGCTCCACTCTTCGAACACGCATTCTTTGGACCCTGTGCCAGCACGCACTCTTCTCGGCCCCCTTGGGCCTCCCGCCTTGCTCACCCGCTGGCGCGCGCGGGCCCTTCCTCTCCCTCTCCCTCGTCGTCCCGCACGCCTTAGCGTTTCGTGTTGTGGTTCCGGCACCCCCCCTGCCAGTCTCTACTCACTCAAAGTGGGTAACATCCCTCGTAAGCCCTCTGCCCTTGTTGGACAGTTGGACTGATGAGCTAGCCTGCCACTACGTTGTAAGCAGCCGCCGTACCCGCTGCTTTGCAAGGTCGTATCGCACCCACTGCTTAGAGCAAGGGCGAACTTTTCGAGACTCGCACTATCGCGGCTCGCTGTTTCTAGCTAAGGTTCGCATTCCGGATCACGACTGTCCTTGTTGGGCAAGTTGACTCATGGGGCTACCTTGTATACAGACCTCGTTTGGCCGCGTCTACCTACCGCGTCGCCTTCCTCCCCTGCCATCGCCCTGCGCTTTTCGAGCAAAGGTATGCCCTATCCCCCAAGTCAGTTGCAGTGTTTTAGTTACTAATCGGACCTGCGCTCTTTGAGCAAAGCCGATCGACCATTTTTTTGAGCTCCTCCCTCCCACCCTACTTGTTCATAACTCCTGTTTAGAAAACCCTCCGTTTGTTACGGAGTGCGGGTTTTTCTCTTATCACTGCAACTCGACTCTTCCATCCTAAAACAAACGCCACAAACAGCGCGCACTATGGAGGAGTCGAAGGACCAAACGGTGTACTTTTCGAGCTCAAAGTCAACTGAAAACGAGGGTTTACTCTCGGGTACTCTCGCAAAGACACGACGAAGAAAATACGCATTCAAGGGCCCCCTTGAAGAGCAGGCGAAGAAAGACAGTTACTTAATAGTTGACAGGACCTTATAAGTTACTAGATCCGCCTTGAGCTTGGAACTCTCGCGAGTCATGATTCATGGGAGCTGATTGCCTGGTAACTACTAACCAGAACTAGTCTGCACTACTGCCACCGCACTTACACTTTCTTCCGCTGAGATCAGCGGCCGATTGATGAGCGATTATCTTCCGAGTCCGGCCCCAAACTGGTCACTGTCGTCACACGCGTGCGCCCAGGGTTTAACCGAGCAGGAGGAAGTAGGCCAGTCATGTTCGACGACGTTGGCTCAAGCGGTCGAGCCGCTCGCGGTCGCGCGGCCGAGTTCGGTTGAATTGGCTGCAGGGAAGCGCCGGTGTCAGCTTTGGGCAGTTGTCTGATGTGGGGAAGAAGGGAAAATAGTTTGAAACGCTTTACGAGGTGGTACGGAGGGAAATTTGCTTCTCCTCTTGCAGTCCACATATCATTCTGACCCGCTTTCACACCCCGGTCTACTTCTTCACCATACCTCCTTCCTGCAAGTCTCGCTATGGCTACCCAGAGCATCGCTCGCCCCACGGCGAACCATTTCGGCAAAGAATCGGCCGGCGGTGCGACGAGGACCGGCGTCACCTCGAACGCCTCGGCCGCCACCGTCATGCCCGCTGATGATGCCAGTGCAGCTCCTGCGATCGCCCAATGGGACCTATTCAACCCTGCGCTGAAACGTCAGGACTCGGAACAGTCACGGATGCAGTCCGAAGAAGAGATCCTGAGGCGCATTCCGCCGTTCCCGTACGCGGATCTGCTCGACAAGCAGCACTTTGGCGACTGGCGCGACGAGCTGCGCGACCACGGCTTCGCCGTCGTCAAGGAGGCGATCCCGCGCGAGAAGGCGTTGCAATACCGCGAACGAGCATTCGACTGGCTCGCCGGACATGGCTATGGCTTCAAAAAGGACGACCCGGCCACGCATACGCAGAAACATTTGCCCATGCACTTCAAAGGCGGCAGTGAGTTCTCGGACCAGCCCGAGCGGCGCGGCGGATTGTCCACTGGTCGCGGTGGACGGGACAGGAGTGCCTGAATTGCCCGTGTACGAGACAGGAGTGCCTAAATTGCCCACCCGCCTTCTCATCTCCTTTGCAGTGTACCATGGTGGCGCCTACTCGATGGGTCAACAGCAATGGGTTTGGGACATTCGGTACGTTCGAAGATGTCTCCTTAAAGGATTGTTCGGCTCAAAGGTCTCTCCTCCTCCAGATGCGAACCCGGTGTTGTCGGAGCATTCGCGAATTTGTGGGGAACCGATGAGCTTGTTTGCAGCTTTGATGGTTTGTCCGGAACCTGGATTTTTACTTTTGTCATCGCTCGTCGAGCTAACTCGCTCTCGGGAAATCATGTCTACGCATTCGGTCGTCTCCTTTCTTAGGCGGATCGCTAATGATGCCTGGCCAAGGACCCAAGAAGGGCGAGCCAGGATCGGCGTGGCAACACATCGACCAGCACCCCCTTCGCAAAGGTTTCTTCGTCGCGCAAGGCATTGTTAACCTCAACGAGAACGGCCCCGACGACGGTGGCTTGCTCGTGATGAAGGGCTCCAACAAGTTGATGAAGCAGTTTTTCGACCTTCACGGGCGACCACCCTTGCCCGATGGCACTCGGATCGACAGCCACACCTTTAGCGACGAGGAAAAGCAGTGGTTCATTGATCAAGGGTCAGTCCTCCCCTAAAGTTGACGACATGTGAGCACCAAGCTGACCTTCGGTGATTTGGCCCTGCTCAGTTGCGAGTGGCTCAAGGTATGCGCGGGTCCCGGTGATCTCATCCTTTGGGACTCTTCGACGATGCACCAGAACGAGCCCCCAAGTGGTACTCGCGATCGTATGGTCACGTGTAAGTCTCATGGGATCGGTGAGGCGGTGGCCTCCTGAGCACGTTCAAACCAATACTGACACCGATATATGCGTTATTCCATTGTAGACGTCTGCATGGGCCCTGCTTCGCTCGTCTCCGAACAGGACAAGAAAGTTCGTGACCTGGCCTTCCAAAAGGGTGACGGGACCTCGCACGCCCCTTTCCACGGCGCCGACTCGGTTTCTCGGTCCGAAGGTCGCATTCGTCCCGAAACGGGCAAACCGGACCCTCTCTTCACCCAAAGCTTGGATCCGGTCAAGCCCACGCCCCAAGTGCTCAAATTGGCCGGTGTCGTTCCTTACTGAGCTTCGTCGACGATATTTGCCATAAGAAGTTCAAGTACACCTTTCTTTTTTTGAGAGCGCGCGTGTGTTTTTGTCTCAGCAGTCTTAACAATCGTCTCTTGCGCGTTCGCTCTGTCTCTTCTCATATCCCACCTCATTTTCGCGCCGATAAGTATAGGCCAGCCCATTCATGTACATATATATTCAAGCGGTTTCCTTCTCTCTCCGCGCCGGTGCATGATCTCAGGACGATCCCGTCGATTCACGCCTTTTGCAGCCGATCGCTGAGAGACTTGCATTAAGTGATGAAGCATTGCACATACGTGGTGTTGCGTCCGACGTATCTACTGGATCGTGTGGCACGATCGTGTAGGCTTTTTGGGAGGAAGAAATGGGTGAGACAACGAAGGCAACAAATGAAACCCGGCGGCTGGGACGCAAAGGGGCGGTACAACGAACGTCGTGCCGAACGTAAAAATGGTATGATAGTACAGTCGGCCCAGAATAAGCGCCCACGGGATACGTGAGGGATTTGCAACGCGCTCGTGGGGCGTTTAGCCGGGAGGCAAGAGGGAGGTGTCGAAGGCTTCAACGTCCTCCATCTCTCCGTCGTCGGCCATTCCGGCCCAATCCGACTTGATCGGAGCTAAAGAGAGAGAAAACAGGATTGCGTCAGCAAACCATTCATCGACCTTTATCCTGGTCCCAGACTCGGCCACTCACCCCTAGGCATGACCATCAATCCTGACCTCGCGGCCTCCAAGATTCCATACGGTCTGACCAGTTTGAGGAACGCGTCGACGCGCTCCGTCTTGCCCGTCATCTCAACGATGAGCGCATCATTGCTCAAATCGACGACCTTGCCACCGAACTGAGCAGCGAGGGCCTGAATGCCCTGCAAGTGGGTATGCTTTTGTCGCAGCGCCTCGGAAGGCGTCAAGGTGCCTCGATGGAGGTGGTGAGCCGCATCGGATCCCATCGGTGCCACACCAGGATGACCATCCGCCGCTGCAGCGATGGTGTTGTCGATGTGTTGCTTGACGGGTGAACCTTCTTCGTTGCCCTCGGTGGCGGGGAGGATGTCGGGCCCCTTGTTGGCGAGTTGATCCTCAAAGTATTCGGGTCCGAGGATCGAGATCTTGGCGAGCAAGAGTTCGCGTTCGATCGTCTTTGTTCGGGTGTAGTCCAACACGGCCCAAACGGGGACCTGCATGAACCAAAGACCCGCATCGGAAAGAGTCAGTACTCGGCAAACTGGACCCGGGCAGGGGTAGAGCAGCTCCGGCTTTAAGACGGAGCTCGTGGGTGAATTTAACGCACCAAATCTTCCAGCTGCCGCCTCGCCTGCTCAATGACGCCATCCTGACCCCTCAAGACGATGCACATCCTCGACAGGTCCGAGATCTCGGTCGCACACACGACGAGCGAGTCGATGTTGAAACCTCGTGCGGCGAGACAGCCCGAAACGCGCGAGAGCACACCCGGTTCGTTCTGGACGAGGCAGTTGAGCGTGTGGCGCGTGAACGCTTCTCGCGAGGGAGGTGGTGTGTTGTACAGGATGTTATTGACGGCCTAGAGAGTCCGTTAGGTGCGGAAGATTGTGGGTGAGCTCTGTTCTGAACCGCAGCAACTCCGGAGGTTCCGAGTAGAGACAGGACGAGGGCCATAAGATGCAGCTCTCTCCGCTGCACACGCTTCAACAAGGTGCTCATACACGGTCCGATCAGACCTACCTGTTCGGCACTCCATCTCGGAGGGTCGATCGTGGGCAAGGCCGGGGGACGACGGCGGGGATGCGCGAGCTTGTAGTCGGCCGCGCTGGTGGACGAGTTGGGCGCGTTCTTGGACGACGAAGGGGTCGAGTAGGCCGCTGTTCGACCTAGAGATGAGCTCGATGAGGACGCCAGGCCACGCAGGCGGCGGAGGGCGAACGACATGGTGTTTGGAGGCAAGAGCGAGCGCACAAGCTGTGGGGAGCGGAGTCGAAGCCGAGGAAATTTACCGCCTGTTACCGCTTGACCTCGCTTGACCGTCCGCGCGCCGGAACTCGCGCCAGCGCACTTTTTTTTTTTTGACTCACACCGTGCTGGAGGAAATTGGAGCGACGACTTGATTCACCGGATCCGCCGTCGGAATGTCTTGAATAGCCCACTGTGAGTTTGCGGATCAACAGCTGGCGTAGAAGTCTCAATCTTGAACTTGAAAGAGACGCTCCTGAGTCTTGCGATCTACCCTGTTCTCGGCCATAACTCAAACCCAGTGATTTCCAGTGTCAAGCCCAACTGTTGCCGTCATCGCCTCCGGTCTATTCAACGGGAAGCGCCACGTCTTTGGAATAACAGAGGAAAAGACCATTCAAAAAGTCCCGCCAGCAAGATTCCGCTCTCGAGCTGCTTCGGCGCGCTCATGCTGGCAGGATGAATCGACGCGCCGCGCCGGTCACGCGAAACACAGGGGGTGCAATTGTTTCAGGCGCAGTGAGAGCGATGAGAAACGCGAGCTGGGCAGGAAGTATCTTTCCCGGTCGAAAGCATACGGAAAAGGAATCAAAGGTGTTCTTCATCAGTGTGAATTCTGTGGCCTGGACCCATACCTGACACCCTACATCATCAAGCGGGCGCGGTTAAGCGGACGTCAAGTGGTGGGTGGAATCGCCGACTCGATTGCTGACAAATCGCCGGCGCGAGTGCCGGTGCCGAGGTCGAGTCAGGTCGAGTCTGGTAGAGTCCGGTGCGATCGCTGCGGCTCGTCTCGCTTTGTGCGACCACCTTCTCGCTCGGTTGCATCCCACCACTCGTCTCCTCCCTCTCCACCTCCGACCTTTCTACTCCGCACTATACCCGGATCCAGCTCTACGTTTCCCCCCATCCACTCGCTCACCACGGCCGATCCACCGGACCCCCCGCAGGCAGGCCATCGCGCGCCTCCGCCACAGCCAACAAGCCATGATCGCACCGATGCGCGTCATGCACAGCGTGCAAACAACCACTCAGCTCGTCTGAAAGAGCCATCGTCAAGACCGGCTCGTCGCCCCAAGGGACCATCATCATCGACGGCTGCCACTCTGGCCAATGGGTTCGGTGACGCCAGCACGGCTGCGAACCTCGGCGATACCTCAACCATGACACGAGATGGCAACAGCAGCCGCCGAGGACGTGGAGCAAGGGGCAGAGGCGCAAGTGCAGCCTCGTGTGCTCCTCCATCCTCGTCAGGAGGAACGCGTGGTGGTCGAGGTGGTGCACACACTCCCCGTGGTGGTGCTGCTGGATCGCAAGCGGTCAGTGGTGCCTCATCCGCTGCCACTACCGACGACGAAGGGAGGGCGTATACCTCCCACGAGGCGAACTATCAAGCTCGACCCAAAGGCAGCAACCGGCCTTTGCGGGGTGCGAAACGAGGCGGTCGAGGTCGAGGTGAGGGCCATGCCGGCTCCAGTACGCCAGCGAGCACGTCGAGGCGCTCTCGCTTCAACGCCACGCTCAGCTCTGGCAACGACATGAATGCATCCGCCGTACCGTTCCCCGCACCAAGCTCGTCATCCACTGCGGCTGGACAAGCTCTCTCTATCGTCGCGGCACCTGTTTCGCAGACCCTGCTCGAGCGATTGACGACCGAGCTCTCGGACGGATCCCACGACTGCACAATCTGCTTCTCGACTGTATCTCGCACGACCGCGATCCATTCGTGCACCACATGCTATACCCCCTTCCATCTGTCGTGCATCAAAGAGTGGGCGACTCGCTCAGTCACCGATACGGCCGAACGGGCCGCCCTCATGGCCACTCGCGATTCCGGTCCTCGTCCCTCGGCCGCCGATCTCTCCGGCCACTGGCGATGTCCGTCGTGCCAGACCCGATTCGGAGCTGCCGACGTGCCCAAACGCTATCGATGCTTTTGTCGACGCCTCGTTGATCCTTCGCATCGACCACCTGCGACACCTCATTCATGCGGTCAACCTTGTGCTCGACCCCGACCCGATGGATGCGTCCACGCAAGCTGTGGGCTGCTCTGCCACCCCGGTCCATGCCCACCATGCCCAGTCGTCCTCGACCTCCCTTGTCACTGCTCAAAGGAGAACATGCGTGTACGTTGCTCGGCCATTCACCCCGCTGCCGGTCTCGATTCGGGCACGGTTGCATCGACAACGGCATCTCTTGCTCGCGAAGAGCTCCTGTGCTGCAAAAATACGTGCGACAAGCTCCTCGGCTGTGGCTTGCATCGCTGCAATCGCATATGTCATCAAGGTGAATGCGGGTCTTGCGAGGTCGAACGAGAAAAGATATGCTTCTGCGGAAAGTCGACCGTTGTCGAGGCGTGCGGCGCTGGCGGTCGAGACGATCGCGTGGAAGGGTGTCGAGTACCCGGTCAAGTCGGTTCGCAATGGACCGGCGAGTTTTCATGCGATAAACCGTGCGCTGCACCTTACGACTGCGACAAGCACCTGTGTGAATCGAAATGCCACCCCCACACCTCTGAACTACCAGCGACATGCCCCTTCTCGCCCTCGCTCGTCACGACGTGTCCTTGCTCGCAGACTCCCCTCGACGTTCTGCTGCCTACGCCTCGCACATCATGTACCGACCCAATCCCGACCTGCGCCGAACCATGTTCTCGCATCCTCGACTGCGGACATGGTTGTGCGCGCCCGTGCCACCCTGGACCGTGTGGGTCTTGCACGACCCCCGTCTCGATCCCTTGTCGTTGCGGCTCGACAAAGACCGTCCGACTCTGTGGCAATCGATACCAATCGGACGGCAAGACGCCACTCTCCGAAGTGCTGTGCCAGCGTATCTGCCGTTCGCTGCGCAACTGCGGTCGTCATCAATGCAACCGACAATGCTGCCCCTTGAGCTACCAAGAAGCTCTCCATGTCGGCAAGGGCAAGAACAAGCGTCGCAATGCACTCGATGATTTCGAACAACATGATCCGCTGGGGATCCATGAGTGTGATCGCGTTTGCGGCAAGAAGCTGAGTTGTGGAACTCATTTTTGTGAAAGGAAGGATCATAAAGGGTGAGTCGATACTGGGGCTTAACGTTTCGTGCAGCTGTGGCTGACGACATGCTTCTATCCACACACAGATCTTGTCCGCCATGCCTCGACGCCAACTTCGAGGAGATCGCCTGTCACTGCGGGGCCACGGTCGTCTTACCCCCGATACCCTGCGGTTACGAGATTCGCTGCAAGCACCCATGTGTACGACCTTCGACGTGCATGCACCCCCAGGTGCCACACCAATGCCACGAGAACCCCGAGTGCCCACCCTGTCCCTTCTTGACGGTTAAGATGTGCGCATGCGGTAAGAAAGCCGTCGCGAACGTCAGGTGCTCGCAGGACTCGAGAAAGGTCTCGTGTGGTCAACGCTGCGGAAAGTGAGCCTGGATTCGTAAGGTTTTGGCAAAGAGATTGCGAGTAGATGCTGACTATTCGCTCGGGCGTGTTTTAGGCTCTTAGGCTGCGGCTTCCATCGATGCCAAAAGCCTTGCCACCTGCCGGGGGAATGCGAGAGTTGTGTGCAAATCTGCCTCAAGCCTCGCAAGCTCTGTGGGCACCCCTGCCCCGAACAATGCCACGTCCCCTCATCCTGCCCCGAAACCAAGCCTTGCATTAAGATGATCGAAGTGTCGTGCGACTGCGGCCATCTCAAACAAACGACCAATTGCGGTGCCTGCACGGATCGACCCGATGGGAACAACAGCAAAATCCTGACATGCTCCGACGCTTGCGCCATCGCCAAACGCAATGCTGCGTTGGCGGAGGCGCTGCAAGTTGAACGGCGCGAACCCAAGGTCAAGGAAGTCGAGTACGATCCGCAGACTCTGAGCTTCTACTCAACGAACGTCGCGTGGTGCACTTCGATCGAGAAGGATTTAGTCGAATTCGTTACCACCGATAAGCCGACCTTACATCTTCCCGTGATGAAGCGGCCGCAACGGCAATTTGCCCACGAGCTTGCTGAGCTCTTTGATCTTCGATCCGAATCGCTCGACGAAGAGCCGAGGCGCAGTGTCGTCGTGCATCGGCAATCCAACACCGGTATTCCGGTCCCCAATCTCGCCGACGCCTTGGCCGCGCAACGCAAGTCAGCGACCACGCTTTCCTTCGCTTCATTGCGCAAGGCATTGCCTGAAACTCGTCGCCATGTCAACGCGCTCCTGCTTGAGGGGGTGCTCGGTTTCGACGAGGCCATGTTGCGCGATATCGCCACCCCTTGTCTCAAGGGATTACAACCTTTCGCATTGACCTGGACCACCGACGAGGACGTCCTGATAACGATCGAATCCAAGATGCTGTCGGCGGCCGATCTCGAACAGCGCGTTACGGCCGCTGAGACCCATCTACGAGCACTGGCGGAGGAAACGGGTTTCTGCGCCACAGTAGAAGCCGTTGCCGCCACTGATGATGGGCGCATCACGCGAGGTGGATGGACGCCCGTTCAATCTCGTTCGAACCCGTCGGGATCTCGGGCTGAAGGTGGAGGAGCTCGATCGAATCCATGGGCGACGCACGCATCTTCGTTCTCGAACAATACCTTTGCCGCTTTGGCTTCGTCTTCGAATCCTTCAGCGGGTGCTGCACCTCCTTCTACTCAATCGGCGTGGGGTAGATCGCGTGACGATGCGGGTTTGATCGGCGTAGGATACCATCGTCCTCCTAGAGCAGTCATCGCCCCTGGTCTTGAAGTCGCTCGACCGGATCCTGCTCCTTTACCTAGCAAGGTCTCGAGTCATTTGGATGCGAGTCGTTTGACGGCTACCGCAGATTCGTTTGTGCCTGCTGGTACCGCCCAGTCGGGGGATAAGGCGGAGGTCAATGATGAGGATGTGCCGGACGATTGGGATCAGGAGGATTTGAGTGAGGTTCAGGAGGCTCAGGAAGCTTGATAATCGAATAATAGAATGAAGAACTGATGCCTTACTGCATTGCATAATTGTGTCATAAAATAAGTGAAATTGGTGCAAGGTGCTGCAGCGATACGTGATATTCGAGAGCAGTACAATAGGTCTTCTGAGGCACGTTTGGAAGCCCTCTCACTCCTCCACGTCCATCCCCTCCTCGTGATCCCCTATCTCGTCCTCTCCCTTCATCGTCTCCATCTCCTGCTGTATCTCTTGCTCAATCAACTCCTCCAACATATCATCGATAAACGCCTGACTCTTCTGCATCATCTGCGTCCCTCTTCGCCTGACCCTATCCCCTCGATCTCGATCATCCAACTCTAACCTCCGTTCCTTCTCCTTCTCCCAAGTCTTGAACCGTCGTTCCATCGCTTCCTTTTTATTCAAACGCCGCGATCGTCGGGTCAACACGATAGGGGGGACGTCGTCATCCCCCTGCGGATGAGCGATCATTCGAGCCTGTAAGAGGTTCTCGAGCTTGATCACGATCGCAGATAAGGAGATCGAGGTATGTCCAATGAGGGATGCGAGATGACGCGTTAGAGTCGCGAGAGGCTCGGGAAGGGAGGCAGAGGCGTCGAGCGGGTATTGGTGATACACCTCTTGGGGTGGGTCGGGCTCGGGTTGGTCGGTTGGAGGGGCGGAGGTGGTATCACGGTATAGTTTGGAAATCAGCTCGTCGACGTGATGTGTCGAGTCGTTTCCGAGACAGTCGGACTCAGTGGCTTCAGAGGGCGGTGGGATGGGGAAGTAGCGCTCAAAGTCTTGCATGCCTGCGAACGCCTCGGGGAAGTCAGGTAAAAGTTTTTTAAGTTTATGCGCAGAGGGAGAACGCACGTTTAGGCGGTAGTTGATCGCCAATAATGTTGTGCTCAAAGAAGGAGAGGTAGTCGTCAATGTCTTTTGAGGTCATCGAGGTCACTTCCATCCTGTAGGTACACCCCGAGACCATATCAGAACTTGGTTCACTGACATGGCCAATTCAGTCGGAACCCACCTCCACAAACGACTGGGATCACCTTCACGCTCCGCGCTTCTGATCTGACCCAGTGATTCCAACCATCCAGGGGGAACAACCGTCTTTCCTTTGGCTTTGAACACGACAATCAAGGCCGCGGCAAGGACACCCTCGGGGATACCCGCCAAGCCATGTTCACGAACCGCCTTCCCCCTCCCAATCACCTTCCTTTCGATCCCACGACCACTGTCTCGGACCATCGTTTTCAACACCGGTGCAAGGACCAGTTCGAAAGGTTGCAAGAGGTCGAGCAGACGTAACACGGATTCGTAGTGTTCCGGCGTCAAGGCGAGCGATTTGCAGAGTCGCCAGGTCAAAAGCGGCGTTACAGGTTTCGGGAATGTGATTCCCCATTCGAAGCGGTAGAGATTGACGAGATGCGAGAGAAGGACATGGATCCCTTTGGTGGAGATCGAAGGGACGTTCTGGAAAGAGGGTGCGTGCAAGTTCTACGTCAGTACCGAGGTCTGAGGAGCTACGACTTGTTCAGAACTGACTTGAGGGGCAAGTAATCGCCGGGCTTCTCGCTCGAGGTGGTTTTGCATAGCTGGGGGCAGATGGCGATGTGCATTGATGTAGAGGATGCGGTGATTTTCGGCGAGACTAGGCGCGGAGTTGAATGAAGATGGGCCAGGCATAAGCACAGGAGCAGAACAACCGAAAGTACGGTCGCACTCACTCGAAAAGGTCTTTGAGGAAAATTGGAAACTTGATCGTCAAAGCGGAGAGGTAGATGATCAACAGGAGCAGTTCAGGTTTTGGCCGTTTCCTCGGATCGGCATAGATATACTGTCCGGTCCGAGTTGACTTGGGCCCCGCTCGTGGCAGCGGAGCTCTCGGACGAGAATTCTTCGCTGACCGATCCTGCTCAGCACCGAACCCGAAGTCGTCGTCATCGTCGTCGTAGTCATCATCATCGATAAGTGACGCCGAATCAGACTCTGATGATTGTCGACGCTTTTCTTCCTCATCTGACCCCTTCTGTGTGCGCTCGTCGTCGTTCTCGTTCTCGTCCTCGCTCGTGGCCTTGTCCTCGTTCGACTTGCCCTTGCGCTGGGTACCCTTTCTCGGCCCTCTGGGATGCCCCATCCCTTTGACAGGCCCGGTGAAGGTGCTTGCCGGTTCGTCGCCCTTGTCCCAATCGCCAGGTGCATCGGGCACACCACTCGAAGCGAGTAGAGCGGCCCACAAATCCCTCGCTACGGGCTCAAGCTGGACAGGCCACCCGAGTTCATCAATGAGAACGCTCAACTGCCTCCTCAAGACCCATTGCAATGTCTGCCAGACAAGGAAGGTCGAGCGTTGGCCGTGGTAGTGTGCATTGGGCGGAGGACGAGTCGACTTGCGCCGGGCCTTGTGCACCCTTTGACGCGTGGCGACGTGCTGCGACGGTCCGTTGGCTTCGTTCGATTCGTTGACGTAGCCTTGGAGGAGATGACCTTCTTCGCAGACGATGCTGCAGGGAAGAAACGGGGTGAATGTGAATGCGTCAGCCGGGGCGAGCTGGGGACCGTCGGCGAGGAGAGCACGTGACTTGCGATCCCGAGAGTTGGTCTCGATGCCACTTTCTGGAGCGGCACACGGGACAACGAGGTCGAGGTGCCATGGGAGCTTGCGAGGTAGTTACTACCGGTGGGAGGGTGTCATTTGCCCCGCGTCTGACCGAGGCTGTGCGGTGGGCGGCGGGAAGGAAGGAGCCCAGGGGAGCTCAGCGCTCATCGGAGAGAAGGCGCTTTACGGCCCCTTCGCAGCAGTTCGCAGCAGTTCGCAGCAGCAGTTTCGCCGTTCCCCGCGGCTCCACGTCATCGCCCGTCTTCTAGCGGCGACCGTAGCGGACCCCTCTCAGTTCTCACTCAACTCCTAGCATTCCGAGCCGCCTCGAACGCGTCCACCATGTCCCCCGCGCCCAAAAGGATCCGTACCATCACCTTGCCCTCCCCATTCACCTCGAGCGAGTCAACCGACGCGCCTGAACCCCTCTCCCTTCACCTCTCGCGTAAGACCGCGTCGTACCTCCTCGTGCACTCCGCATCAGGCGATACAGCGCCGCACCAATACTCGATCATCAATTGCTTGGCCTTGAGTGATCCGTTCCCTTTGCCTGATAAGGAGAACCAAAGATGTCGGATGTGGTTGAAGATTGGGCCGAGAGCGAGCGGCGAGGACGGCGGCGAGAACCATGGCTTGGTCGAACACTTGGCACAACAAGCGATCATCAGGGAGTGCGTTTTTATATCGTCATTGCAGCAGAGTTCATGTTGCTGACGATCTAATATGGGCGTTGGCACCACTATGTTTCGTTTGCGGTCCTGTAACCCCCACGTGTAGCACCGGTCTTAGAAGCCAACAAGGCGAAATCTCACAGCCTCTCGTTGAACTCTTGCTCGACGAAAAAGAGCTCTCCCACGTCTGCGAAGGCTGTGGCAAGTTCGAAACGGCCTCCGCAGAATCATCGTCCGAGGACGGCGAGGAAGAGTCTGTACCCGCCGAGGACCGGTTCAAGAGGTGTGCGAGGTGCAAGATGGCTTACTACGTTAGTCCACATTCAACCTTGACATATCGTTCTCATCTGCGTTGCTCACCGATCCCCCACAACCCTGTCTGTTTGAGATAGTGTTCGAGCGAGGTAGGCTTCACACCCAAGACCTTATCTCCGAGTCTCCACCACTCGTCGTCTCTGAGTTCAAACCTTCGGCCCATCTCCACTCTTTTGAAATCCTGCGCAGTGTCAAGCCTCTCATTGGAAAACTCACAAACCGAACTGCCAAGATTGCATCGCCGAAACGGACTACGAGATCGAATTGGCCCGACGGCAAATCTTACTCAAGGTTTATGGACGCGCGGATCACTTATCGAAAGCGGATGAGGGGCAATCGGCGAAAAAGAGCAAGCTCGATTGAGGTGAAAGATTGGACGAACGTGTGCCCCTTTATACGCACTGCGACCGGGTGCTAATCAAGACGAAGCCCCAAAAATCACGCGATGGCATCATCTTATCGCCCGTCAAGGAGCCCAGTCAGCACCTAGCACTGCTGCACATGCGCCGCCGCGCTCGAGGTTCCGACAAGGATCGCGATTGCCTCGACGGCCGACACGGGTGTACTACTGCCTGCTGTGCAAAGTCTTATCGAGACATTTACCGGTCGGATCGGCGGAATCACAACATAGTTCCCTTTTTCTTGATTTGTTTCCTCGGTTTCGTTGAGATAGCGATTCTAGCGCATCTTGGAGTACCGTGTCTACCTAGGTACCATTTATCATATTGGGTGCTCGATCCCTTTTCCCTCGACAACGGATCCCGGGGCCGAGCCGATGTCCGATGAAAATCCCTTGTTCTTATCGGCGATACCCAAACGGTCTAGTTTCGACACCACCTCCACCAAGACCTGTGAAAATGCACCAGAGTTACTAATTAACCCCCGAGAGACTTTGGCAGGAGATTTGAGTCGATCCTACAGCGTCTGCAAACGAAGTGACTCGGTGTGTGCTTTTGGATAGGCTCTGAAAGGCTGCCAGCTCGGTCGCGCGATGGCTAAAAAGGAAGTTGAAGTTGATACGCAGCAAGTTGCTGATGATAGATAAGGTTCTGTTGTGCAAGAACTTATTCGGTGCTTGTCGAGCCAAACGGCAGTGCAGTAAATGGGATATGTCGCGCTCAGGACGGACACGTCATTTGCTTGAGTTCGGACTTGCTTGTCCGTAGGGTCGGAGGCGTGCCAGCTGGCTGTTGGCGTCGATGCGTGAGCCGTAGGTGGTTTTCCAGAATGAGCCCGAGCTTTGCCTGTATATTTTCGTCCTCATCCACCAATGACGGGGGAAGATGGATCGTGAAAAGAAAAAAAAAGGTTTCCGCAGCCGGACTGAGGTTGATCAAGGGATATCAGAGAAGCAAGAGGAGGTCCGAGCTTATTTAATTTCTGCCGCGCCCTGTTGCTCTGCTGCTGAGCGCTGAACGACGCGGGGAAAGAAGAGAGCCGTGCCCAAAGCCCAGCGCGGCCATAGCTGAGCATAACTGGCACTTTTGGGCGCGCTAGGGTCGCGGTAGTGCTGGTCGCCACCGCCCTTCGTCGTACATGTTACGGCACCAACCGCATCCGCCGACCACGCCCAACGACCTTTTGTGTCGTGTCCCTTCGAGATTGATTCCGTGTTGTGGTTTCGACTTGGTGACGCGCCCCCGAGTCGAACTGAGTGGTGCCGCACACTGCCGCACACCGGCTCTCTCCCCAACAAGATCGACTGCGTGTCTGTCCCCTTCATCTGACGTCCCCCGCGTCTTGTGATCCAGGCGCTGTGCCTGCGCGCCAGTCGCCAGTCGCCAGTCAGCGCCAGTCCTCCCGTCCCGTCGCCGTGTGCGCCTGGTCCGCGAGCAGCACGACTCTTGACCCCCCCAAATATGGAGTTCTTGATCGGTCTCGACCACCACAACTCGCCGCCGGCGTTGATGGACTTTTACGACCCTGACTTTGACTCGTCGTCGACGTCGTCGGACCCGTCGTCAGCGTCGCCATCTGACTCGGGCGCCAGCACGGGCCTCGCTCACTCTGTGAATTCGCCTGCGTTGCTCGGCCACGGCCACGGCAGCCACACCGGCGCACTCGGCACCACTTGCGGCGCACCCATCCCTACAGCTACAACAGGAGCCGATTCATCACCCGCATCAACCAACGGAGGAGCCACCGTCGGCATGGACGACGGTCATTCCAACTGGTCCGCGCATGCGCTGCAAGGCACCGACTACCACTGGACAGGCGCTCACGAGGCCTCTCCGCCTCCGCCACCCTCGTCCGGCGACGCGATCGACATCGATGACCTCGACTCGTTCGCCGCTGCTCGACCTTCACGCGCAGCAGTCACAGCAGCAGCAACAGAAGCAGCAACTTCCTCCTCTATCTCCGCTGCCCCGCTTTCTTCAGCTCGAGACTTTTGGTCCACAGCGCCCAACACGACCGTGCACTCGCCGTCGACCCCGTCTAACCATTTGCTAGAAGGCGCCTCCGCCCTCGGCAGCGCGGGAGCCTCGATGCTCGGGAGGAGCTTCAACGATTCGCCTCGTCGCAAACAACTCGAGGATCAGATGGAAGTCGAATTTGAATCCGTCGTTCACGGTCACGAGTGCGGGTCAGTCATTATAGGTGGGCTTGCTTCGGGGTGAGACGTCTGACTGACGCGCTTAGGCCTCTCTTTGACCATACTACATACGATCAGACCTTCGACCATTGGCTCACCCGTCGCATCAGGGAACGGAAACGGCTTTGCATCGTCATCCTCTCGGCATGCGGTTATGTCGATGCCCGTCGATCTTTCGGCTGTCAACGCCGGGATCGCCCCGCAACTGATGGGCGGTAACCCTTCTCCGCCGCTGAATGCGCAAAGGAAACTCGAAGACGAGGCGGCACTCGACCGTGTTGCGACTGCACAGGAGGAGCATGTGGCTGCAGACGAAGAAGAGGAGAAAGAGTATCAAGTACTGGACGACAGCCCTGCTCAAGCTGCGTCGCAGGCGAAGGGTGACTCGACCATGTCCCGGAGCAGCAGCCCCGACCACGCTTCCAGCTATAACGCCTCGCGGGACCCGTCTCGAAAGCCTTCTTTGACGAGCCCAGCAATCGCGGGAGGAGCTTCGCTGAACCTGGTCACCAAGGACGCCGTCATCGCTTCCCAGGTCTTGACGCGGTTGACTCGCGAAGCGGACCGCAAGCGCCTCAGTGCTGCCGGCGGTCTCGGTGATGTGCAACTGCTCGTTCTCGGTATCCCCAAGATCGGGGCCAAGTCTCGCGTAGAGACGCAGATCAAGATCTCTTTGGTGCTCGTGAAGGACAAGCAATTCCAGCAAGGCGCCAATCCCGTGGCGTCGACCTCTTCAGCGGCGGGCAAGATGCACGGTGAGGCGTACATGACGCTTGATGGAGGATTAGAATCTGGAGCATCGCAGGCGTTTGATCGGATTGGCAATTGGACGCATGTGCGCTTGCCCTCGACGCTCGCTTTGAAAAAGAGGCCGGCGAAGAAGACGGGCAAAATTGGTCAGTGGGAATGGGGGCGATTGGATAGTCCCACTTGTCGGGCAAATGCTGACAGTCTTTGAACCTCGTTTAACAGCTCCGGATCCGCCTGCCGCCAACACCCTCACTCTCGAAGTTGCCGTGCGCCGTGGCACACAACCGAACGAGGAGATCATGATCTGCACCGGGTGCCAGCAGCGCGAGATGAAACGAGCACAGCGCAAAAAGGGTAACAAGACCGCCGCCGCTTTGGGTGAAGAGCTCGTGTTCGATCCCGAGGAGGAGAAGCAGAAGGTTGTAGTCTTCAACTGCGGCGAGTTCCTCGAGTTCAACGGTGGCGAGACAGTGATTCCTACGCGCATCACTTGCTACTGCCGACACCACAAGGAGCGCAAGGGGTTCGTCGTTACGTTCAAAGCGCGAGACAACGAAGGCAATGTCGTGGCGACGGGGCAGACGCCGCCCATCATGATCACGGATGATCACAAAACGACAACAGGCACCAAATCGGCTTGCTCCGTCGATATGAGCTTCGAGCAGTCCGCCGTACCTTCCGTTGCACCGTCTGTCGCCTCGTCCAAATCATCCACGTCGAAGAAGGCTAAAGCGGCAAAGAAGAAGAAGGACAGCGCACCGTCCAAAACCGATCAGGTCATCTCCGCCGCTTCACTGGTACTGCGGGGTCGGTCGAAGCCGACGAAGCGAACAACGAATCGATCGAGGGCTGCACGAGGCTTGAACACCGAGAGTGACGACGAAGACAGCGCCCCGTCGACCAAGAGCGGTGTTTCCTCGGTGAACCTGTCGCGCACGTCGAGTCGATCCGAGATGAGTCCGAGCTCGGGCAAAAAGGCCAAGCCTTACGATTCGGATCAACGACCGCCTCGGAAGCGCTCGTCGAATGGAGCGTCACATCGGTCACCTTCTTTCGCCATGACGTCGCTGAGTCAACCTTCCCCGCCGCTCCGCCCGGTGCCGGACGCTGCTGTCTCAGGCTCTACACCGGGTTCTGCGCCTTCCGTAAACCTTCCTCTTCCCGCGGCGACGCCCCCGGTCGCGGCATCGGCAGCCGCCTCACCTCTGCAGCCGCAACCACGGGTGGAGCAATGGGAATCGGCGCTTGGTCTGGTGGGTGGGATCGGGATGGATCTCACAGCTGCCGGAGTTGGCAGCAGCGGCGACACAATGATGACCGACTCGAACTTTGGTATGCGCAACAACTCGCTCTCCCACTCAACCGACGTCTCGACCGCGCCCTCGCCTGCTCGTTCGTCGTCGACGCATTTCGACTGGCCGTCGCGCAGTAGCTCGCCTCAGTTCTCGCCCCGCTCGGCGACGACCTCGGTCGATGACTCGTTCCAGTCCTTCTTCAACAGTCTTAACTCGCCGCCGCCGTTGACGACGAACAACGCCCCGGCATTGTCGAATGCTTCGCGGTCGCCCGTTGTGGACTCGCAGTCGTCGATTGCGCACCGCCACCTCCAGCAACAGCAGCAGCAGTACCTGCAGCAACAGCAGCAGCAGCAACAACAACAACAACAACAACAGCATCAGCAACGAGAGCAGCAGCTGTTCGCGAGTGGTCTCGTAGGCGCTTTTGGTGGCAACTCGGCGGCAGGTGCGGCCAGCTTGCTTCACCCGGCGTCTCAAAACGGATCGACGTCGCACGTTGCGACACCGTTGGCTACGAACGTCCCCAGCGGTATCGACTGGACGCTGTTGCAGAACCAACTGCGTTCGCCCGCAATGCCGGCAGCGCCCCAGCCGCGTATCAGTCGTTTGATCCCAGGTGAAGGGCCCGTACATGGTGGTATCGAGGTCACGGTTCTGGGCGACAACTTTGTGCCGAACCTCACGTGCGTCTTTGGTGATAACGCAGCGGTGCCGACGCACTACTGGTCTGCCAACACGCTTGTATGCGTGCTGCCGCCATCGGCGAACCCTGGTCCCGTCGTTGTTGGGATCAAGGGTGTACCGCTCACGGTGGAGCAAGGCACGGGCCTGCAGCTGTTCACCTACAAGGACGACTCGGATCGCTCGTTGCTCGAATTAGCGCTGCAAGTCGTCGGACTCAAGATGACGGGACGCTTGGAGGATGCTAGTGCTGTGGCGATGCGCATCGTCGGCAACGGCGGTGGTAGCAACAACGCCAACGGTGGCGGATCGACCAACGGCAGTCGCACAACCAGCCCGGCCGCGAACAGCTTATCCAGGGATGCTGCAAGCTTGGCCCTGAGCCTCGAGGCCGCTGCCGCCTCTGTGTACATGGCGTCGGAGTCGTCGCGACCTTCGTCCCGCGCACATTCACGCCGAGCTTCGGCAGCGAGCACGAGTGGCGCTTCGTCGCCCGCTCACATGTCTGCACCTCTGCCTTACTCGTCCGCAGGCGAGACACGGGATTTTGAAGGGATCGTTATCAAGTTCCTGTCGTTGCTTGACCTCGACCCCTCGCTTATACCTGGATCGGCGCCGTCTCTGCCTCTGGCACACTCCCCCATCTCCCACGCCAATGCCCAAGGCCACACCTTGCTGCACCTCGCCACCGTTCTCGGCTTCCATCGACTGACCCAGTTCCTCCTCGCCCGTCAAGTCAACGTTGATGTTCGTGACCGCAGTGGCTACACGGCGCTGCACTTTGCAGCTCTATACGGCCGAGTCGCCATCGCTCGCCAGCTTCTCGACGCCGGGTCCGCTACGGGCGTGCGCAACTTGCAGGGCAAGATCGCCCTCGACATTGCTCAGGAGCGAGACGACGTCGACGTCGAGGAGATTCTGCGCCACAGCCGGCCTGCGAGTCGTGGACCGCACAGGTCGATGCCCCAACGACCCCGCTTCGCCATGGTGCAACCTTCTCAAGTTCAGTCGTACGAAGCCTCGGAAGTCGACGAGCTGTCGGATCTCGGATCAGGCTCCGAGGAGCTGACTTCTTCGGATGAGGATGATTCGGACTCTGACTCGGATAGTTGGGACTCGAGCCCTTCGGCCAGCGCATTCGACTCGGAGGAGGACGACGATGCCGAGTCTGTGGATGAGGACGAGCGCCAATTCTCTCGACGCGCGTCTCGCAATGCTTCCATCGTCTCGCTGCAATACCTGCTCGAGGCTGAGGAAGACGTGCTTGCCGAGGCGGACTGGCCAGAGACTTCTATAGTCACCTCGCTTGGTAAGCCTGACGAGTTCAATTCTCCATCGTCCTGTCTTGTACCGAGCTGACTCGAGGAAGATTCTTTGCAGATGTCAAAGAGCCGATTGTAGTGCCCACCGTTGCGACCGTTTTACCGAAGCAACAAGGCTCGATCGCACCGACGGGCTGGCTTTTCTCGCGCAGGAGAAAGACCAACGGATTGAGCGCCGACGACTCGGAGAAGACTGCACCGGGCGAGAAGCACTCGAATGGTGTAGTGACCGACATGTGGGAAAAGGCCAAGGCGAACGCGTTTGCGCCTCTGCACCACATGCCCGAACTGACGGCGTTCCCTGGCATGGCCATGGCAAGCATGCCTTCCTTCCTTGGCGGCAAGTCCGAGCAGGCGATCACGCCTCGCGTCGTCGATGATTCGGACGCCGACTCGGATGCGACGACGACGGAGAGGTCGGTTGCGCTTGAACGAGCCGCACGAGCGGCGGGCATCGGCAAAGATTGGAGTGCATGGTTCACGACCAAGAACCCGTCGTCGCCTCCTCCTGTGTACTCTCCCACGGATCGATTGCTCGCGCCGCTCTCGCCGTTGACCAAGTCGCAACGACCGCTCGGTTCGGCCCCGACCACGTTCGTTTCCTCCTCGACGACGTCGATCTCGTCGATCATCAGCAACCCACCTTCGGGTGCGACCACGCCGAGGACTGCGGCTCGCGAATCGCGCGTCAAGTTCAACAAGGAGAAGCTCGAGCTCGCGCTCGGACGCAAGCGTCAAGGCGTCGATCAGGATCGCATGCTCTGGTTGTTCTGTAGGTTTTGCGCAACGAGGTCATGTGCGATATTTTTGCACTGTATGCTGACAATAATTCTTGCACTGTACCTGCAGGGATCCCCGTTTTGATCACGGTGATTTCGTTCGCCATCTACGCCAACGCCGACTACATCTGCCCTGGGCTCGAGCAACTCGCCGAGCTGGTGCTTCCTCGCCAGCTTCTGTAATGATCGAGGCGCCCCCATATCCGTTCCTTATGATGGGTCGCTCTTCAGGTGCTATGACCCCCTTTTTCATACCTAGTTTCTAATTCCGATTCGCATAATGCACACACGTAACCTGTCTTTCTCGAATTGTCTGTTTAGTGCTGGCTAGTGGTGTATAGTATATGGGCTCGGTGAGTATATGTAAGGGCTATACCTCACGGAGAGTCGCGAGGACGGTCGTAGATCGTCGAAGTCGAGGCGGTGAGAGTTACTTGTTAAACGTCTTTACTGATTTTCAGCTAGAAATGAACTAGAGCTGCGCTTTTCCCCTCCGATGTCTCGATCGGATGCCAATGGGGTTCTCGAGCGCGGGAAGGGAATTGCGACCTTCCTTGTGTATCTTTCGGTTTGTTTGGTTGTGTTGGGATGAGGAAGATGATTAATCTTCCTGGACGAGACCCTGGGATGATGCGTACACCCCAATTCCCGAGCCCTCGGTTCGGTCAGGCGCCCTGGCGCCGGACGCGTACCACAGGTCACGCCCCCCACATTCACAACCAAAGAAACACAGCGAAAGATGCCTACGTTACAACGCATTCAGGCTCTAACCGAATCGAATGCAAGCTTGCCAGCCTTGCTCAGCACTTGGATCGCAATCTCCTTGTGCCGCCGCCAATACCTGTCAAAGGCATTCGATGACCAACGGCCAAGGTTTCGGATGTGATCCGTGTGTACACCTTCTCGAAGGTAAAACGTGGCCCCACCGGACCTAAAGGAGTGGTTATTCAAGGACGCCCTTCCGCTCGCCTCGAGAATGTCTCTGATTCGTCGCGAGAACGCCGAGGAGGTCAGCTGTCGATGACCTCCCTCGCGCGCCCGATATGAGAACAACCGCCCTGGTGGAGGGTCGTTTAGGCGGAAATGGTTATCGATGCCACCGACCGGGCAGAAGGGCTCGCCGTCTCGCGCCGAGACTACCAGCGTGCGGCCGACACGCCGGCGCACCTTGTCGAACGGGAGGTCCAACTCGTATCGGAGAGGAGCTTCGCTCGTCGCATCGATCCCGCGTGCATTGGCCACCGCTAGATGCCGCTCGGCTATGAACTCTTCGTCCGCCGAACCCGCCGTAAACTCGCCCAATCTCGCCATCGCGAAGAACGCCGCACACGCTGCAGCAAACACGGCCGTATCGAACGGACTGCACTTATCGATCCCCGCGGCCAAGCACCTGAGGTCGTCCAAAGTCGCCGCCAATCGGTTTGGGGCCTGGAGCTGTGGCCGCAGCCGCAGCCAGTTGCATCGTCCACATCTTGGGATCATAGTTCATACGCAGCCCATGCGTCGTGTGCCAAAATTCTAGGGCGGTACGGAATCGGCGGAAGTGGCTGACGCTATAGGCTCCGACGTCATTTCCCGACAACGCGATCCGAGTGAGAAATCGCCTGACGACGTCAGGATGTGCGGGGAATCGATCCCTCCGGTCGACCAAGGAGCGGACGTTGGACCGGAGTCGTCGGTGTGAGAACGAGGATTCGGTTGATGCCTCGATACGCCTTGGCGAACGCGGCGCACAGCCGCTCCTCCGGCGTGCAATTTGTGGATGAAGCCATCGGGGCCATCTCGTTCCCGTCTGCCTCAGGTAGGTAAACGACGATGTCCCCCGAATGGGAACTGCGCAACATCGGCAATCTTGGGTTCGACGTCGACGTGAATCCCAAACAAGTCCCTGGACTACAATCTAGTTTCACAATCGGAGGTGGCGCCGCAGCCGGTGCTCCATCGCGCAGCGCCGAACTCGACGCGTCGGCCCGACCGGTGAGCGCTCTTCCAGACTTGAACGCGCGCTCCCTAACGGCCATCGTCGGGTACGGAACGGCTCGTTGACGAAGCCTCGACGCGGCTCGTGAATCCTCGAAAGACATCTGTATTTTCCAGACGGCGTGCGACCCCCTCGTCTGACAAAGTGTGGGGGGAGGCTGAACGTGCCAAGCACGCGCCTACGCTCACGCGATTCTCTCGCGGCGGAGACGGGATAGGACCGGATAACCGCACAGCCGCAACCGAGGCATAAGAGCGCGGCTCTGAGTCATGATAGCGTGACATTGACAAAACAGGACGCAAGAGGGTTCGACCTCACAAACAAGCAAAGGTACACGACCTCGCAGACACAGGGATACGCAACTCCGTATGAACGAGGCTCCACCTTCCACGAAGGGAGTCAGATATCTCAGCCTATCGCCCACAGGGGCTCTCCCGCCGCCAGCAGCAACTCGCGCCCCGCCGGAAACTTCGACAGTGGGTGCGCGATCATGAACGGGAACGGTTCGTACTACCGCGGGCGGTCTGGCTGCCGGGACACGACGTCCGCGGGGTTCACCTTCGTGTTGATGTATTAAATCGACCACTTCACACCTCGAGTTTCTTCAAGGCTGCGCAGGTTTGAAAGCGACGAGTTCAACAAGGGATTCATCGAATGCCCTTTCCTCCATCCAAGCACAACCCCGGTGTTGTCGCATCGCATTGTAGAACGAAATGTCTATCGTCTTTAGACATTCGTAACGCAGCCTTGGCCAGCGCCTCGACCGCCCACGCCTCTGCGTTCGTGATCGAGACCGAGTGTCGAGGCGGTGGCAGATCCGTCCACCCCTCGGGGAGAGCGAAGTACGCGGAGTATCCGTTGATGACGATGCCTAGTCCGTGCATACAGACATCCCACGCTAGCGCAAGCTTCGATGGGATCGGGAGGGCCTCGAACGACGTGGAGAATGGGCCTTCCGACGAGAGGGACCTTCTCCAGTATTCGAGTTGATCGTACGTGCGACGGTCCAGGCGACGCGCCCGCGATACCGCCTTCCGGTCCCCGTGCGCGATACACTGTCTGTATAGACAGTTGAGATGGGTCCGTAATGCAGCTAGGATGTAGGCGACATACCCCAACGACCCAGTGACCGACTCGACCTCCGAGCGTTCCTTCTGATCGGCGCAGCTACCTTTCACCAAGGCGTCGATGTAGCGCATCCGCTTCTGATCGGTGACCCTCGCAGTCATTAGATCCAAATCCCAGTCAATCCCGACGTGGACAAACTGACGCGTCCACGTGAATCCTTTCTGCTCCGCGAGGCGCCAGCCGAGGGATCGTACGAAATGAAGAATGGTTTCTTGCGATATGGCATCCGACGTTCGGACCGCGCAAACATCGTCAACCATCTTGAAGATTGACACGCCGGGGAACTTCCATTCGACCAAGTCTTGGGTCAGGTCCGCAACGTTCCCAAAGACACCGGGAGTAGTCCTGCCACCGAAGCATGGGACTCGTCGTACGAAGATGAGGCTGCGCCACAAGATGCACATGCTCGATCGCTGGTCCCATCGCAAAGGGAGCTGGTAGAACGCATCGGCGAAATCCCAACCGCAGACTTCCGCCGTCAAGGGAAGCTCGCGAAACTTGCGGTACAACATGGGCAAGGTCGTCCAACGGCAAGGGAAATCCGCAGATTTCAGGTCGTCATTAATGGAAACGAGTTTCGGACGGCTAGACGAAGCATTCCGTTGCGACGGTCCATGCCCGCTCGTCGACGGATGATTCGCTTCGTCAGGGTCTGTGGTTCGAACGATCGGTTTCGCCTTCGGGTAAGACCGGCATTCCGGGCGCTACTGACTTCGGCACATAGCTGATCGGATTCGTGCGGAAAGGACCGACCGCGGCCTCGAGCTCGTCCTTGTCGTACGGGCCCGCGATGTACCCGAGATCGAGCATGCGCTCCATCTCGCCGTCCATGACCAGTTGTTGCTCCTCACTGAGCGGTGCGTTCTTCGCGATGTGACGCTCCAACAGAGGGTCCTTGATGCCGAAATCAAAGCCCTCTCGGATCTGCTTCGGTATAGCGGCCAGGTACGGCGCGACGTGCGCGACCTTTGCGAGTGCCTTAATTTTGGCTTCGAACGCACCAGCATCGAGCGGCGTAACAATCTTGTACATCGCATCATGGAACGAGTCGACTTCGCGAGCCATGATTCGCATGCGAGCGGAAGTTTCGGGCGCTGGCGACGAGCCCGGCGCGGGCATTGAAGACACGAACGGGACGTCTCCTTTCGGTTAGCGGGTCTGGAAATACAAATCCAGCACGTCAGCCCTCGGCTGCGCAGGAAGGGGCAACACCCAGCAGGTCCGTCGGGACCGGGCATCTACACGTACGCGGACGTGAGGAAGCGCGAACGGCGGGGGATTCGACCCCTGAACCAGAGAACGGAGGCACGCGACGCGATGCCTGAGAGGTAACGACCTCAGAAAGGGGCACAGGGCCCGTCGGGACCAGGCATCTACACGTACGCGGACATGAGGCGGAAGTGACGGCACGACACGAGAAGAGGGAAAGGATGGTGATACAGACGCGCCAACTGGGTCATGCGGACCCGACGTGGGTATAAGCCTCGTGCTGGCCTTTACAGAAAGAACACGCGTGTTCACGAACGCTGGTGCAGCCTGCCGCTCGCGGCAGCCGCAGCGCTGAGCGGAACCACCGAAGTTACGACTACCGCTGCAGGCGCACCACTACAGGTTTGAGGAGAGGAAGAATCGGCTTCCAATCCTCGTCCCCCAGCGTTGCGGCCTCCATGGCTTGAATGCGGCCACGCGCCTGGATGAGATCGTCCACCGGGCGCTCCATCGCCCGGGCCCACGATGATGGTCGAAGGGTCCGAAAACCTTTATCTTCGAGACCTTGAATCCCGACCACCACAAAGAACGAACCATCAAGTCGTACTTCCGCATGATGTACCAGTTCGAGTCACAGGTCCGCATCGCAACGGACTCCGAGTGGCGGTCAAACATCTCCGAAGGCAACTGTGCGCCTCGGACGATGGTCGAGGCCGTCATCGGAGCGAGCGCTGATAAGGAGCACATAGGAACAGCGCGCGTCCTGCCAATGCGAGCCAATGCGTGCGCGGCAGGCAACCGTCGAAGACCAGACCCGCCTCCAACCGCGCGTTGAGACCCACACCATAGTTCAGACTCATCTTGACTTGTTGGTGTCGTGACAGACACGACATCGGAACAAAGCGCCATCGTAAGTGGTACACGCCGTCGTGTCTAGGGCGCCGGAGAGTTGCATCGGGGGCAATTGCGGGGCCGTCGCGGCGTGGTCGTTGGTTGAGGTCGAAGCAGTCGTCATTGCCGGTACTGACAGGGTTGAAAAGTTTCGCGAGTGTAGAGGCAATGAGCACTGCCGTTCGAGCGAAACGAATAAGGTGCAGAAGCGAACAGGCATTTCTCTCGCCTTACTTCACTCTAAGCGCATGCGCGCCACCCCCAGGGGGGCGGCCCACCCGTAGTATCGACCGCCGAAATCGCGACCAAAGTCGTAGACTCGTAGTCGGGCTCAAAGCCGGTCGCGCTGTTTGTTAGGCTCGAACTTGTCGTGCTCGTTGAAGCCGCCGGTCTCGGTCACGGTGTCTAGGGGCTGGCACGCCGTTGCGCCATCGGCAATGGATTTCTTCGAATGCTCCTTCTCCTTCCGACGACGCGTTGACCTCTGGACCGATGGTGATGGGGGAGGGCTCGGCTGAGTCGGCTGACGTTTCGAACGCCTCTTCGTCGGAGAACGGAAAATACCGAAATGGAAGCCAAACGTCTTTTCGAACAGCTCGCTATCGGGGGACAACGATCGCTCCTTTTTCCGTACTCGCTTGGTCCATAATCTCCTCCTCTTCTTCTTCTTCGTCTTCTTCGTCTTCGCCTCCTCCTCCGTTCCCACCGACGTCTTGGCCCCATTCTCGATCGTGTCCTTCAAGTTGTTGCTGGTCATGATCACCTTCTTCCTCCTCCTCCTCACGGTCGTGCTCTTCTTGCGCTGCCACTTGGTCTTGTCATTGCGTTTTCCCTTCTCTTTTTTCGACTGGCGATGCTGAGCTAGGTTGTAGAGGTGGTGGGGGTGTGTGTGGTAGGATGTCCATGCTTGAACTTGCGATGGGTGCAAGCCTCAGCTGCAAGGCCTTGGGTGGAGGGAAGTGGGGGGGGGGATTGGGATTGGGAACTCGTGGTGCTGAGGCAGATGGACCATTAGCGGGGGGATAAGTATTAAGTAGTAGCAAGTGCCCGAATCAGTGACCACTTTTGCCTCCGGGCGCTGGGGCTTGGCAAGGGGGAATGATGGTGCACCTAATAGCCCGTACCAACGTTTTCCCTTGGCCAAATCTGCCCAAAAAGCCTCTTAACTCGCCGCGCGCGGGGTAGTACATACTGTAGTATATTTGTTAGGCTTATTTTGACCCCCCGCATCGGTATAATCTCCGCCGCGCCGCGCCGCGTCGTCGCGAAGGCTCGTCTAACTTAAAAGTGTTTTGACTCGAATTCCCCTTCGACGGACTCTCGGGTTCCTTCCCCCGGTTCCCCCTTCTTCTTCCTCCTCCCCATCCCAACCAATCCAAACACCAATCATGCCCAACCTCAACCTCTACGTACCCCCTCAACCGCTCGAAAGGAAGGCTTACCATCTCCAAACTCCAAAGGAGGAGTATGATCTCAACTTTGTCTTCCCCGTGCCGGAGTACTTGCAGACCGAGGGTGGGGTGAGATTGGTTCCGTTGGTGGTGAGTATGCGATTGGGGTGGGGGTGGGGGGCACTCGAGTCGGAAAGGATGAAGGCTGATTGTTGAGATGGATACATGTCCCTACTATTTCCCCCCTCCCCCCCCCCCCCCCCCCCCCCCCCATCAAGCCCTCGGTCCACGCCCCAGTCCTCTTTCCCCTCTTCTCTTCCCACCCTTCAATGATGCGCTACCTCCCTTACACCTACACCACACTCGAATCGTTCCTCACCTTCCTCGAGGAACGTAGAACCGATCCGGGCACGTTGTTATGGGTCGTATATGATTTATCGTTAATCTTGGTCGACGGGGAGCAGCGTGGGCGTGCTGAGTTGGAGGTGGTGGATGAGCAGAGCAAGGAGAGGATCGCGGGTATGGTCGGTTTGTTGAAATGTAATGATGAGAATAGGTGCGGGGAAGTAGGGTGAGTGGTTTTGATTGAAAGAAATTGTGGGCGGGAGTTTCGATATGTCAAAAAGAGCGAGGAGTTGAGACTGAAAAAACTTTTCGATATACTTTTCCTTTTTCGCAATCCCCCCCCCCCCCCCCCCTCCACCCCCTCTTAAGACATCTCGCGATCTTACCACCCTTTCATAGATCACATATCAATACCCATGCTTGTTCGCTCCTCATCCGTTACTTGTTCGACACGGTCCTACTCCGTCGCGTATGCTGGTTCGCCCACGCCGATAATACACCTTCGGTCAATGCCGCGCTCAGGTTGGGGCTCAAGAAGGAGGCCTTGTTGAAGTGGGAGAGATGTTTGGGCAAGGGCATGGATGGCAAGCAACTTGAGGGGGTTTTGGAAGGGTTGAGGGAAGGAGAGGAGAAGGTGGGGAGGTGGGCGGGAAGGGATTCGTACATTTTGGGAATGGGGTGGGATGATTGGAGGTCCGGAGGTTCAGAGCTGATTGATGGTCTGCTCAGTAGGGAGGTCAAGAAGAGGACGCTGGGCGAGTTGAATGGGGCAAAGTGATTGCAGTATGACGATTGATTATTTATCTAGAGGACCACACCGTGCAATAACTGTTTGCGCGAAAATGAGGGATCGGTATCAAGATCAGCCCTCTTCGCAAACGTCGTCGTAGACACAGCGCAGAACGTACTATAATCGCGAACCCTCTTGGCTTCTTGACCTCCCACGCCCTCAATCTCTTCCGCTCTCCTGCCTTGACTATCACATCGATCCCGATCGGCTCCGGCTTCGATGAGTGCGACCGCGGCTTCGGCATGCCCACTCTCGATCGCAAGGTGTAGAGGGGTGTTGCCCGCTCGGTCGGCTTGGTTCAGTCGAGGTGCTGTGGGCTTGGTTGGGGATGTCGAAGAGGTGATGAGGTGGATGAAGGGGAGCGCAGAGGTCGTCGCGGCTCGGTGGCTGCGAAAGGTGGGGTCGGGCGATGGGAGATGTGGGGCAGGCGGTGGGGGTGGGGGGTTCAGTCGACGGGGTCGTTCGAGTCGATCACAGCCACACTCACAGTGGAAGCTGGTTAGCCTTGTCTCGGGTATTGATGTCGGCTCCCTTTGAGATCAACAGGCGACCAATCTGTGGGTGCCATCATGACGAGATGTGGAGTCGAGTTGTCGGAGTAGATGACGGTCAGCTTGCGAGTAGCCGAGTGAACGGTGGCGTCGGTGGATTCTCGGTCGAAAATGAAAAAAAAAGGTTGGGCCGTTCATAACGCACCGAAACATGTCCTTTCGATGCAGCGTAGTATCTGCGAAACCGAATCGCTTGTGGTCAGTCATTCTTCCCACTGAGGCAGCGGTCGTCGCTCGTCGACGTCCTCCTCAATTGAACCGCCGATCGAGTGCAGGATCAGCACCCCAGCTCGATCAACTCACAGTGCCGTTGCTCCCTTATCGTTCGCAGCTGTTACATCCGCGCCTGCTCCCACAAGCAGCGACACCAGTTCGAGATTGCCCGTCGCGGCTGCGATCGATGAGCAGAGCCAGTAACCAACATCAGTGCCTGTTTCCACCCCCAAAGGTGACCAATTACGCCGGTGAATGTTGCTTACAAGCACTAATCAAAGCCGTATTCCCCACCGCGTCCCTGTTCTCGAGCAGGTTTTTTCGAGCGTCGTGATCGTCCAAGTGGGGCAGCACGTCCAGAATTGCGGACAGGCACGACGACGAGCCGTCGGGGAGGGAGATGATGTTTTGCAACGGGGTGCGCGAGTCCTGGTCGGGTTTGTAATGGGGAAATTGCGATGAGGGTGTGGGGTGACAGTCGGGATCAGCGAGTGAGGTGGAAGACTGGCACCGTCGAGACCGACCCGCGAACTTACCGAGTCGACTTGCCATGCCAACGACACGTTCTCTTGCAGAGCCTTCCGTAAAAGGTGCGTTTGACCTGGCGAGAGATACGAGTGGGAGGTAAGAAGAGCATCAGCCCGTCCGAGCGGTGTTCGCGCACCGAACCGCGCCGATTGGCGAGGACGACGACGACGATGACGCGTCGCCTAGCCTGGGTGGTACAGCGAACTTACCTTCCCGGGCCAAGCGATGCACATCGACTGAGCTCATGTTTGCTTTGATCGCGCTGCCGGTGACGTGCAAAGTGATGGGGCGCTCGTGGGGTGAAGAGAGACTGAGCAAAGTCGAGGGAGATGACCACGGTCCAAAGACGGGGAGGGAGATCGAGACAAGTCCAGCTCAGGTCCGAGTTTGCAAAAGTTCGATACAATTCAGTTCGAAACAGGTCATGTTCAAGCGGGACCAGACCATCATTAGATATCATCACATTGTGTCATATAATTTGTACAGAATCAAGCAAGCCATCAAAGAAGCGACATTATATAAAAATCTTACACGGTCCGGCATACGGCGCAAGTCAAGTTCCCTTGCCCCACGACGTCCCCGTCTTGCCTTTCATCTCCCCTCTCCGCACCCAGGCACCCCACATCAATCCAGCAGCAGCAAACGGAAGGATCGTCGCCGCGATCGCGACTCCCGCCGCCGTCTCGGCCGTGCGGTAGAGCAAACCTTTCGGACCAAACTCGTCGTCGTCTTCGGGCGAGGAGCAGGAGGAGATCGTACCCTCGTGTTCGGAAGGGCGGGAAAGTCGAGGCGGCATATTCGAAAAAGAGGTCTTGCGAGATGTAGGCTCGGTCGGCGATCGAGGTGAGTTTGCTGTCGAGTTGGGCTCTTTGGACGTGGGCTCGGAGCTCGAGTTGAGATACCCGCCAACCACGGGGAGCGATTGCGCAATGGATATCGGAACATCAACGGCAGATCGTGCAAGGTGAACGGGAAGGTAGACGGCTCGAACGGTCGTGTTGTACGCGAATGATGTCGTGCTCGACGCGACTCGACGAGCAAATCGAGGTGGGGCGAGGGCGAGCGAGAAGAGAGCCGATTCTGAAAAAGGAGTCGGATCTCGGAGTCGATACGCTTCGCTATGATCAATAGGAGAAAGATCTTTCGAACTTGCTCCATTCGACTCGGATTGGGAAGACTGCGATGCATTGTCTTGTGCTGCCTCGACCGTATCCTCGTTCGCGTCGACCTCGGGTGTCGCCTGCTCGACACTCGGCTGCCCCAACTCTTCGCCCTTGCCTTCTTCTGCGCTCGATTGCTGATGTTCGGCCAAGAGGGATGGGGGTGGTCTCTTTTTGCGCAGCTTGTTGGGCGAGTCGTCGGTGTTGGTCGCCGCAAGGTGTTGCTGGTGCTGTGCCTCGGCATCGGCGGCGAGACGCTCGCGGAGGGCGCGCAGAGCAGACGGTGAGGACGGAGAGGTCCCGGCCGTGCTTTGTTGATCTGTTGTCGAGTGGTCGAACGTGTGGGTCGACGAATGCGCGGTACGCACCGACGAGGCGGAAGAGTCGACAGATCTGAGCGAGGAGAGGCGAGGTGATGAGCGGCCGTGCAGTTCGGAATCGATCCCCCCACCGATTCTACGCACTCACCTGGGTAGTGAATGAGCCTCCCTCAACGAGACCAAGTCGGCATGGTCTGCGACGACGGTGACGACGGCGTCGGTCGCCTCGGCGGCTGCGATGAGCGGTGACGCCGACAGTAACGACACGGGTGCGAGCGAGGTCGTGGCCTTGTGGGGCGTCGAAGGCGCCGTCATCAGAGGCGGCGTCGTGCTCTTGCGCGGCTGGGACGTCTTCTTCTTCAGTTTGGGCATCGTGCGGGTTGAGGATTCGAGTGGTGCGTGTAGTGGGGAAGAGGTACCGCAGCGGCGGCTGAGTGGCGGCTGCTGAGTGACCGCTGAGCGCTGAGCGAAGATTGCCGATGACGCTGGCCTACGCGCATGACGTCGTTACGGCTAACCTACCGCCTCAGGCCGTGCCAAAAATGCACGTGATCGGCGCGCGGGCAAATTTCGGATCTTCTACTTGCTTTTCACATCATTATGCACAAGAGATGCAGCTGTGATGGTATTCTAGATTGTGGATTGATATAGAGGTTTGAGCATTTTCGAAATCGATCTGGCTGCCTCAACACCGCGCGCTATCACGAAGGACAAAGATAGGCGGTGTGAGCCGGAGGAAGGCGTTCTAGACCAGGGGCGAGGGACGAGGGACAAGTCAAGAAATGTTCTAGGGACAGAAAGGGAAGAGAGTGGCGAGCTACGAAACTGGGGAGCTCGGTCAGAGGACTGGGAGGTGGTGGGAACCACTGGGAGAGCGAGAGTCCAAGAGTCGCGTACATAGCAAAAAAATCCCCCCTGAGACGGGATCGGGCCCCCAATTTGAAATCCCACATCGCATTTAAAATGCATTTGAGATCCCACATCGCATTTATAATGCATTTGAAATTCCGAAGTGCATTTGAAGTGCCTTTGAAATCGGCGCAGCAATTTGAAGTGCCTTTGAAATCGGCGCAGCGATCCCAAATGCGGTTCAAATCGGCGCGGGACCGGCGGGAGGTTGTGCTGGCCTATCAAATGAGTTGTATTAGCGCCACATCTTCGTGTTGTAGAGCTGGTATCGCCAGAGTGACCTACGTCTGCTTGAGGAACGTCTTCCCTGCTTCGGAGCGCAGCCATGCCTTGGCGTACGGGGCCACGGCGGTGAGGGTCGCATGGAGGATCGAGGACCTTTTAGATCGAATAACGCGATGGAGCTGGGCCTCTTGCGAGCCGAGGACAAGGATGAGGTCAGCAACCTCCATTCTTGCCAATCCGAGGTCGCCAGGCTTACCTTTGCTTGGTTTCGGTCGGCCGAACTCATCTCCCTAAGGACCTCAAGACCCCTCCCAGACGCAGGCCTTGCAACCAGATACTGGCAATTGCGATCGTCCCAGTCTTGAAGAGAAAGTAGCGCTTGCAAGTTATGATGATATCGTCATGGTCGAAGGACTAAAACATTCCGGAGGTGCCTGCCAGTCAGCCCGAGCCAGACGCATTCGCAATGGCGTCAGCAACTCAAGCAGGACACTCACGGGCGGTAGAGTTGCTCGGGAACCTGACCGCTGTGTCTCAATACAACGCTTCTTGGCATGAGGCGCAGCCAACATCGATTTCTGCTTCTTGCCCTCCCGCCATTAACCACATCATCATCATCAACGTCATTCTCCTCGCCGCCGTCCTCGTCGTCTTCCTCTTAATCGCCAGAACCGCCGCTCTTTGCTCTCTTCCCCTTCTTTTTGGTTCTTGTTCGGGTGTTCAGTCGCGTCTCTGCCACGTCCTTGGCCTTCGACCGCATCTAACCACTCCCGTTCTTCTGGTTATTGTCCGGTCTTGTGGGCGCTAGTGGTCTGACCTGCTCGTCGCTCGACGAGTCCGATTGTTTTGATGGCAACCCAAGCTCTTGGGGAGATCGGTGAAGCGAGACCTGTCCCTTCGTCTTATCAAGTCAAGGACTGCGGTTCCAACCGACCTCCAAGGATCCCAGTCACAACCCCCTCCTTCGCACTCGACGCGCAAGGTCACCAAGGTGTACGGACGTAAGACGAAGGGACCACGCGCAAGGTCACCAGATGCTAGGCAGGACAATGGCAGCACCATTCGCATTCCACAACCTCGTGACCGTCTCATTAAAGCTCACGAGTCAAGGACTGTCGGCTGTAAATTCCTGGCTGGTCGAGCTCGAACCCGGGAAATCACGTCAATACCTAGAGCGACTGAACGACCCACTCGAGCTCTGGCTGTCGGCTCAAGGACTGTTCCTGGCTGGTCGAGCTCGAACTCGACAAATCACGTGATTACCTAGAGCGACTCGATGACCCGCTCCTCGAATGCGTATTCGAAACCCTGGACAACGACGAGAGTATGCTGTCGCGAACTTCTACCTGACCCAGGAGCTGACATATGACCCACGGTGCGCCACCAGGACGATGGCAAACCCTTTCGAATTCCACGACCTCGAAGCAGTCTTATCAAGCTTTGCAAGTCAAGGAGCGCGGTTTCAGTCGACCTCAAAGGACCCCTTCCTTCGCAATCGACGCACGAACGGTGCTGCCATCGTCCTGCCTGGCACCTGGTGACCTTGCGGGTGGTCCCTTCGTCTTACATCCGTACACCTTGGTGACCTTGCGCGTCGAGTGCGAAGGAGGGGGTTGTGACTGGGATCCTTGGAGGTCGGTTAGAACCGCGCTCCTTGATTTGCAAAGCTTGATAACTGCTTCGAGGTCGTGAAATTCGAAAGGTGCTGCCATCGTCCTGGTGGCGCACCGTGGGTGGTATGTCGGCTCATGGGCAAGGTAAAAGTTCGCAACAGCATACTCACGTCGTTGTCCAGGGTTTCGAATACGCATTCGAGGAGCGGATCGTTCAGTCGCTCTAGGTATTGACGTGATGTCCCGGGTTCGAGCTCGACCAGCCAGGAACAGTCCTTGAGCCGACAGCCAGAGCTCGTTAATCTCCCCTCGGCCGTCTCGTTGTATGGCTTGGTCGATACGAGCACCCATTCGTCGCGCATGCGAGTCCAATATGATAGAACTTCTCGCCCCCAAGGCGATACGACACGTACGACGCGGACGACGCGGAAGGGAGGGTAGCGGCGACTTTGGACGCCACGGCGGCACCATGTGCAGACCCTGTTTGCAGAGCGTTGGAGGTGGTGGCGGGCTGCAACGATAAAGTGGGCGTGGGAAGCGACTGGGACGAGAACTGTTTGACGGGTCAGTAGCTTGTCCTCGGGCGCGCGACGACGAATCAACAGGTGGGGGCAGGTGGCGTCGCTCTGAACCAAGGTGAGGAAGGATGAGCGGCGATCGACTAGCTTGGCCACGCACAATGATGTGCACAGCGCTCGGGGGCAACGAAACGAGCTTGGTTGATGCGCGCTACCCCAACAGGAGCCTGGACGGCACGTGACGCAGCAAAGGGTCGACCGGGGTGAAGCAAGCCAGGGAGCGAAAGGCGAAAGCGCGACCGAGATTTTAACTTTGTCGCACCCGCGTTCTCCCGCGTTCAACGCGCGAATCGGCCGAGAGGCTCGTGCGATGTCAGTGCCAAATTGCCAATGGTACATATGTACATATTTTGAGAGGTGCGACACTTTGTGGGCTGAGCGGCTGAGCCCAGAGCCCTGAACCGAGATCGGATCCGGGATTTTGGCGGATTTTACCTACGCGACTCAGGCAGACTCAGGAGCGCTTTTCCCCTCCGATGTCTCGATCGGATGCCAATGGGGTTCTTGAGCGCGGGAAGGGAATTGCGACCTTCCTTGTGTATCTTTCGGTTTGTTTGGTTGAGTTGGGATGAGGAAGATGAGTGATCTTCCTGGACGAGACCCTGGGATGACGCGTACACCCCAGGGACCGCGGTTTGCAAAAACGCTGATATTCCCTTGGAATAAGACAGCACCTTATTCGGGACGGTGGGTGGGTCAAAAAGTTTCGCGAGTGTAGAGGCAATTATTGAGCACTGCCGTTCGAGCGAAACGAATAAGGTGCAGAAGCGAACAGGCATTTCTCTCGCCTTACTTCACTCTAAGCGCATGCGCGCCACCCCCAGGGGGGGGGGCGGCCCACCCGTGTCGGAGAAACTCCGACGCGCGTCTTGGGGGTTGGACACGGCCAGACACGTCTGCTGCTTCCTCCTGTCTGCTCCTGGTTGCTCCCCACTCGCTCTTCCGTCAGAACGTCGCACCGACCATGTCGCGCCACAACAGCAGCACCCTGTTCGATGTCGACGAGTCGGCTACTCAACCGCTAGCTTTCCAAGGTCAGTCACGCGTGTGTGGACCACGTCACAAGCCTAGAACCGCTGAGAGCTGACTGAATGAACCGTCCCCGTCCCCGTCCCCGTCCCCGTCCCCGTCACCGTCACCGTCACCGTCACGCTCGCCCCCTCCGACTGTCCGACTGTACGGCCAACCCGACCGACACCTCGACGCCCCCTGGAACAGACTTTGGCTCGACTACGATCGCCTCGGATGTGCCCTCGGGTCGGATCTCCCCCTCGGGCGGGTCTCGCTCCGGCAGCGTCGGTGGTGGAGGCTCCTCAGCGCCGAGCAACCTGTACGAGGCCGAGCAGCGCTTCGAACAGACCCTCACCGGCGCCACAAAGTCCGGTGGAGTGCTCAACCTCGATTTCTGTAGGTTCCCCTCGTCAGCCATCGCCATCGTGTTTTGATGAGCTGTCACCCTGATTCCTGATCCGAGCCGACACAACCACTCGCGCAGACACGGGCTACTTTGATGTCGATACCGTCACCGTGCTCACACGCGGCGCAAGGACGTTCCTCCCACGCGAAGACTATGTCGGAGAAGTACTCTCCGGTGTACCCGACCTCTACGGTGCGTTCATTTTCGCCACGCGAGAGCAGGTTGTTCCTGTGGCGCGTGCGCTCAAGCCCGTTCTCCCCCTTCCCCCCTCCTAAATAGGCCCCTTTTGGATCCCGACAACGCTCATCTTCTCCCTCTTCCTCATCTCTTCCCTCTCGGCGTCGGTCGAGGCCTATCTTGCGGGTGAACAGTACACCTACGACTTTACCCGACTCGGCGCTGCCGTCTCGCTCGTGTACGGGGTCCTTCTCTCTACCTTCTTGATCAATTTTTCGATGCTCACCCGCCCTCTGACTCTTACAGGTACATGTACTGCCTCGGTCTCCCCTTTATCATCTGGGTTGCTCTGAAGTATTGGGCTGGGTCGACGGAGCGATCAGCGGTCGAGATCGTCTCGCTGTACGGTTACCAAGCCACCATCTGGATCGTCACGGCGGCAAGTCTAAAAGCTCATCTCTTTGCACGAGCCCTCGCGCTTGACCACGCACTGACCCGCAGCTTTTGACTTTTAATCTACAGTGGCTCACCCTGATCCCTTACTCACCCCTTCGAGCGGTCCTCGTCTTGATCGCAACCGCTCTCTCCGGCGCCTTTCTCCTGCGCAACCTCTACCCCGTCATCGCCACCGCACCCAACGTATCCTCGCGACTGTTGCTCATCGTCATCGCCATTCTGCACCTCGTCCTCGCGATCGCGATGTGGGTCGGCTTCTTGGCGGGCGGGAGGGGTGTGCTGCATACACCTCAGGTCCCGAGTATCCCGGGGACGGGCGTGGGCAAGACCCCAACGGCGGGAAGCGATTTACCTGCACCCGGTGGGGATGGCGTCGGGGCGAGATTGTTGTTCTAGGTTCTGCGTGATCTCACCATTGGCATATGTTTCTCTTGGTGATGCATCACACAAGTTGGGGAAGCTTCCTCCTTACAGTACATAAGACTACGACGTGGTCGGACTCGTTCGCGAGAGAGATAGAGAGGGGAGGCATGTATTGGTAACAACCTCGCAAAAGAGGTCGGGAGTGGTGACAATGAGAGGATAAACGAATAAGTGAAGTGGGAACAGATGCGTGAGAAGTAGTACAACTATTATGTGCTTGCGCGAGGTTTGGATCGTGATTATACCCGCCGACTTGGACGTTAAGTATTTCATTTGCTTCGTTCCATCAGGTTGCAGAGGTGTTCGTAGAATTGCTGTGCTTCGTCTTCGTCACTGTAGATAAAAACAACATCAGCGAGTACTCGCGAGAAGGACTGAGCAAAGCGAAACTCACTTTGACAATAGGCCTCCGCCGCCCGTTTCGAAATGGAACGTGACCGTCACCTCCCTCAAATGACCAGATTCTTCCTCCCCCGTCGCACGCGATCCTAAGCGACTCATCTTGACCAAAGGCGCGACGTCCATTTCCAAACTCGGTGAGGCACGACTTGGTAGAGTCGCTTCGGGTGCTGTTCCCTTGGCAGGCGGAGTTATGGACCCATGACGATCAAGTGGATGAGGGGCGAGTAGTAGATCGCCGGCGGAGGATTCGAGCGTGTGCACGGACCCGAATCGACTCCTGCTTGGTCGACTGGCGGGGTGGTACACTAGTTTCGTGATCAACTTGGGTGAAGAGATGTAAAGACTCGAAATCGGTCGATGGTTGATTTCTGGGAAGGGGGAAGGAAGGGGAGTCGACTCGCTGGGTGTCGAAGAATGAGAATCTTGGAATGCGACCGCGTTCGAGGACTCGGATTTACGCCCGTGCAGGATCACTTTATCGTTCGTCACCGTTCGAGAAAACTTGAGGTTCTGGGCAGTATTGAGGGTCGTTGCTCGAGAGAAGGAGCGATCATCGTCGTCCTCGTCGTCGCTGTCATGTTTTTTGGAGCTGAACAATCGTCGGAGGTACGATCGTTTACGAGGCGGTGAGACGTTGGGCGAGCGATGATCCATCGACTTGCTCAACCGAAGGGCTCGGTCGAACTTTATGGAGGAGGCGGGGGACGTAGAACGGGACTTGCTCCCACTTCGACCAAAGTGGAAGAGGGAGGAGGAACGCCGCGACTTGAAGGCAGGACGAGCCGCCATGAAGCGGCGGGGTGGGACCGACTGGTCGATGATGAAGATCAGCTCCGACTGTCAGGCAAGATTACGAACGTGACTTTAGCAGCTGAAATATTGGCGTCGCTCTTTGCGTTCGTCTGACCTTGCGAGTGATCCACAACACCCCTTCAACAGCCCATTGCTCGACCGCATCGCGATCCGTTTTATTCGCGCTTCCTTTCCCTTTCGACGAACTGAGCGTCCCATCCTCCCACAGCGTCACAGTTGCGACCACTCTCGATGATAACGTCCTCACATCCCCCTTCTTCAACGACGGTGGCTCGATGATAGGCTCGATCTCAGGCACCTCCTCCGGTTCCTCGGTAACAAAGTCGTGTCGGAGGTGAGCAAATTTCTCGGCCGTCGTCTCTTCCTGCGCTTGCCAATCAACCGAGCTCGTGAAGCTGTACAAGGAGGAACCGTCGCTCTTTTTCGAGTCTCGTCGTAGAGAAGATCGATTCGATCGACCGCTCAGACTGATCCTGTCTGCATCGAGACCCGAAAGCGATGGGTTGGCTGTGGAGGGCTCGGGGTTCGTCGGGCCGCTGGGGCCCTCGACCGGTTGTGGTAGAACGCCAGAGTCGCCGAGGACCAAAGTCGAACTGCTGCTGCCTTGGGCGCTGCCCTTCAACGACCACGACGACGAGCTCGTCGACTCGGAGATGGATGAAGCTTGATTGTCCGAAAGGTCGCTGTCCTGTCGATGACGGTGAGTGTGGGTATGGTGTGCCCTTGGATCCTCAAAGGGAGCCTGCGTCGCGGACGAGATGCGAACTGCTCGCGGCGGTGCGGCCTCGTTGGGGCTTGCGACGAATTGCGTCAGGAAGTCCTACACGGGGGACCAAGGTGGGGATCAATATGGACTCCGTAGTAAGCTTGACACATGGGGAACGAACCATTCAAGTCGCTTGTCTACTCCTAGTGGTACAGGATGAGAACGGTCAAGATTCAAGACCCTCGGCGAGTCGAATGCGCGTAGCGCGTGTCAACGTCGATCGCCGCGCTTGGCATCCAAGCCCCCAGGCACGATCGTCGCCGAGAAATGAGAGAGCGGTGCGAAGTGGCGATGACGACGGCCGATGAACGATGGCTGATGATGTGACATCGTGCCTCGCATGTTGGAGAAATCCAAGCCAATGGTTTTATTCCATCCGGTGAAGGACAGCTCAGAACATCTCTTTGTGAGACCTCCTCACCGCAGAATTGCGCAAACTTTCGAGAGATGTCCGAGCTGCCTGAGCTTCACCTCGGTCCATCTCCGAAGAAACGGTTCTCGGCCAAGATTGTACCCTCAGCAGGCCACTAAGATCGTCTAAGAACATCACTAAACAGTGTACCATAACGCAATCGGCTCGTAGGTTTCTGAACTACAGTCAGACCTGAGAAAATTTATATCGCCCAATCTTATACCTGTCAAAATTTATGGACTTTTCAATCTCCCGACTTTTTTGGCTGACAGAACCTGTCCAACCTTATACCTTATAATTTATGGGTTTAAGGGTCAAATTATAAGATAAGAGAGAGCCGGAAATGAGCGATTGATCGGGAATTGGCCTCTCCTTCGGCGTTCTTGTTGACGAGCCGCCTGCTGGAAGAGTCCGAAATGCCTCAAAACAGCCGAGAAGCGAGCACAGGAGAGCAAAGACGGCGGTTGATAATTTTACGAACAAGTACGACCCAAGTGATATCTTCAACATGGACGAAACCGGTCTCTTCTATGTGCACATTCACGTCACGACAAGACATTCACTGGCGGATGAATTGCACTCAATAGTTCTGGTCGACAGGGAACGGCCCTATCGCTCTGTAGGATCACCTGACAAGCCAGTCAAATTTATCGCTCCGTAAAGCCCGGACCCAACTGCCGAGCACGGAACCGGAGAGAATGCCTGGACTTGCTCCTCTCCGGGGCGCATCCGCCCAGTTTCCAATTATAAATACCTAAAGGAAAAGCTCAATACGCATGTGTGAAACAGGATGGGCATTCGCGCCTCCTGTAATGCTCAACAAGGGCGCTCTGGAGTTGACCACGCCCGAGGGAGTGATCACAAAATCTTGACGCTCGTCGGGTGGGGTGCTATATCGTGCAGGCCGCCAGGCATCCGGCTGGTTACCCAAGGGGGTCGAGATCGTTGTGGAACTGCCAATGGTGCGCTCAACTTGGTGGACGAGTCCAATCCAGAGAGGCATTTAGGTATTCGCCGGGGCGTAGGTTGCTGTCTCCGACTCCGACGAGGAGCTCATTCAGGGGCGCCACGGCCTCGCCGAACAGCGTATGTACCACCCTCTCACTAGGTACCCACATGTCATGCGCTAGAACGTTTGAACCGCAAATCACACAGTCTCTCGGACAAATAAAAAACCCCGCACAAAGAATATGTAATGCGCATTTACTGGGCGAGGTGTCGTCGAGGCCCGAGGGTCCGGACTGAACAACGCAACGGAAATGTGCTCGCACGAAATTGGGAAGTCCGATATCGATATCGAGAGTCGAAACTCGACACCGGCGTCGGCCTCCGAATACGCTGCCGAGAAGACGACAAGAAGGTCACTTTTATGCAAGCAAGAAGAGTAGTTTTCTCAGACCAACTGGGTACCTACCTAAGCAACCCGTGACTAGGTAGTGTCAAAATCTTGATCGCTTGCAAGCTGGAGATCGTCGCCCGCCGGCGCCGGGTCGGAAGGCGGGAAAAGCGTAACATGATGGATACACCTTTCTAAGCTGACTTCGTAATGTGTGCAGTGTGCATTGGTCCTTAAGGCTGAACCATTTACGCTACCCCACACACTCCCCCCCACTCGATCGACGTGGATCGAGTGTAGGTAATAATAGAAGGCTCTCCACCGCACTGTTGCGCCAAGCTTGTGCGCGAAGTTCAAGCGGCTGCCAGTCGTCGGCAAAACCATGGCAACTCAAGAGTCCACGTGGCACGCAGGCTGCTACGACTGGGCAAGGATTTTGCGCCGGCGCGCGCGCGACGGAACCCGGGGCCGCCGGCGCGCGCTTCCTCCACTTCTCGACTTAAAAATGATTCAGAAGCCGTCGGGATTGACACTACTACTCACACACTTAGTAACTGCCCCGCACTCCACCGCACCTTCTGCGAGCGCGGTAGAGCGCGGTAGAGGGGACGATCAATATAGCTGCGCTAGTCTGGGGATAATGGAATAGAACATCACGACCCGACTCGAGATGAACCACTCTCTCCTCTCTTTCTTCTCCATCTCCCAGATCCACTTCGATTTGACGAACAACCATGGTCGGCTTTGGCACTTCGTCCAGTTTCCTAATCGCGGCCGCGGCCGCGGCACTTTGCCTCACTGGCGTCGACGCACTTCCTCGGCCTGAGGACAGCACGGCTCGCGTTCCGGGCACCGACTTCAGCACTCGATGCGCCAACATGGCGAGTGTCAAGATGCCCAATATGACCATCTACGCGACCACGCACTACGACGCCGGCACCACCTTCAGCACCCCTGACGGTGAGTTGCCTCCTTTGCCGTCGACCGGTGGGCAGGGTTTTCGCCCCAGTTCAAGGCCCCACTGGCGTGCACTGCCTTTCCGCGACACCCGAGCTGACACTTCAGGCTTTTTGCGTCGATCGTGTCTACAGCCTCCCCCGACTACCACGACCCCGTACCTGGACTCGCTGCCTTCTGCCGATTCGGTGCTGAGATCGAGACCTCGTCCCAGTCCAAGGTACGTCACGTATACACATGCTCACGAACCCTACCCTGCGGACGCTGGCTTACTTCCCCTGCACCCGTGAACTTCTTCAGGTCCGCTTCGAACTTTGGATGCCCGATGACTGGTCCGGGCGATTCGCCATGGTCGGAAATGGTGGTGACGCCGGTGGCGTCAACTATCCCGACATGGGCGTCCCCTTGACCAAGTGTGAGTTTCTTTTCCTTCGACCGACCCCTAGCCTCCACACAGTCAGCACTGACAGCCCCTCTCTTCGGTGTTCTTCCGGGTCATCAACTACAGACAAGTTCGCTGTCGCATCCACCGATACTGGTCACAACGGCTCTAGCTTGGATGGTACCTTTGCCATCTCGAACCCGCAGACCCAGATCGACTTTGGCCACCGAGCCGTGCACCTGACGGCGACCTACTCCAAAAAGCTCATCAGGTCCTACTACGGCGGTAACGGAGCCAAGTACAACTACTGGATTGGTGATTTGCTCTGAATGGAACATCTTGCAGACCCTGTTCCAGCTGCTGACGGCCCTTCGAATTTGATGATCGCTCCGAACCGCCCAGGGTGCTCCTCCGGTGGCAAGCAAGGGCTCAAGGAGATCCAGCTCAACGCCTACACCTTCGACGGTGTCCTTGCCGGTGCCGCGGCTCAATGGTGGTCACGTGAGTCCGAAACCTCCGTGTCGCAGTCAATTTGCATGAGTACTGATGAAGGCAACTCTCTTGACCTGTTCGTGTCTTTCAGATCTCAAGTGAGTCTTTCTTTCCTGAGATTACCTGGGATGGAAACCGCCTTGAAAGGAGTCATGAACCGGGGAACACCTCTGACCCATCTGTCGTTTCTACAGCGGTCAAACGTACCGAATCAACAGCTTTGTCAACAAGCTCAACTCGGAAGGCTACCTGACCCCGGCCAATTACGCAACGATAGGTACCGAAGTGCTCAAACAGTGTGACGTTCTGGGACAGGACAAACTCAAGGACGGCATCATCACGGACCCTGTAAGCTGTCCCACATCTTGTTGTCTCCACAGGAACAAACCCGCTTATTTCTTCCTTGTCTCTTTTGGTATCATGACAGACCAAGTGTTCGCCAAAGCTCGAGGGCTTGCTGTGCTCGGCCCAAGGCGCGGACAATTCGACCTGCTTGTCCCAAGCCCAGATCAAGACCATGTACGCGATCTGGGCCGACTGGAAAAGCTCAACCGTCCTTGCGACCGGACCGGGCGGAACAAATTACTTCCCTGGTTTCGAACCCGGAGCCGAGGGCTACTCCGGCTTCTCCGTCAACGGCTGGCCTTTTAACCCTGCACCCGATTACTTCAAGTGAGCTTGATCTTACCCGTGTCCTTCTGTTCTTCTCCCTCGACACGATCTGACAAAACTTTACGCCTTGCACCATGGCCCAGCTACCAAGTTTTGAACAAGACAAGCCCGCAAGGCTTCAGTGTCGAGTCGGAAGCCGACTTTGAGAAGCTCCTCAAGATCGCCGACGACACGGACCCCGGACAGACGAACGCTATCAACCCCGACATCCGCGGTTTCCTCAGTCGTGGCAAGCTCATCACCTACGTCGGTCTCTCCGATAATCTCATTCCCCCGGGCTCGACGCTCTTGTACCATGACCGCGTCAAGGCCACGCTCGGCAACGTCGACAACTCGTTCCGTCTTTTCGCTATCCCGGGCATGTTGCACTGCGGGGGAGGCAACGGTGCGTACCACCTCGGTCAGAGCAGTCAGCGCGATATCTCCCTCGGGGGTTCCCTTCAGAGCGCCTCTTTCACCGCCAAGGACGATATGATCCTCGCACTCATCGCGTGGACCGAGAAGAACCAGGCGCCCGATTCACTCGTCGGTGTCAACTACGTCGGGGGCGACAAGCGACAGGGCGTGGCCTTTGAACGCCTCATGTGCCCCTGGCCTCAAATGGGCTACTACAGGGATGGTGACACTTCCAAGGCCAAGTCCTTCCGCTGCAAGTAGATCGCGCCGGGATTCGATGCAGTCTCGAGATTTCTGCAGGGACTTGTTTATGACCGAGTGGGATAAGTTATCGGGGTCTTTTAAGGGCATTGTGACAAGGATGTGACACCTTCAATTAAGGTGATGACTGGAAAACATTGAAAGCCACAATGCTATCCAGAAACTACCACCAGTACAGATAATAGAATGCTCGAGCACGAAAACCTGGGCGAACGGAAACTGAGATTGCCGTTGTTGAGCACGCCCCACCTTGGGCGCTAGTCATCAGAGTAGATGTGGGTTGGTTGGTTGGTATTTTGGGGGACGGTAACTTTCATCATATTACCCTCATTCATGTCCGCCCTGTTTGGCCTACACGAAATTAGATGGAAGTCGACGATGATCATACAAAGCGCCCACAAGAGGCTCGATATCCGTCAGTCCGAAGCTGGGGATTCAAGTGTCCGAGCAAGCGGTTGCTCCCCCTCCCCAGCAGGAGACGAGAGCCGCGCAGGAGAAGGGAGAGAGAGAAGAGAGAGAGAGAGAGAGGGCCAGAGAGATCATGTGCTAAAGACAGGAGGCCCACCCCGCACCCACTTCCCAGACACAACGACTGCGCAACCACCCTGACCCGCGAAGACCCAATTGTATGCTCGGTCCCCTCCTGCCCTCCGTTTCATCATCTCCTCCAATATCACCCTTCTGCCCTCCACGCTTTTCATCCTGGTCCCGGGCGCGTCTGCAGCCTCAACATCCCACTGCTGGTCATCTCCAACACCATCCCTGTGAAGGTGCCTATCGTCCTACCGGCGCCTTCCTGCCCACTTTCGCCGCAACGTGTGACGACAGCCTCAACATCAGCTCATGCGCGGCAACTTCACCCGCTGTAGGTGTGGAGCTGGGTCCGATCGGACTGGCTCCAGGCTATCATCTACGCTGGCTCGTCTGACATCCACCGAAACTTGCGACACCGAGCTGCGTCCCCCGGCCCTTGATCAGTAAAGGCTGTGCTCAACAAATATGTGCGTACCGCAGGAGTGCCGTGCAGGCCCCGCAAGTGAAAGCTTGCAGCCAGAGTCGCTGTTTCACCATCCAAGCCTTTATACCGGAGAAAATCGGCGCTACCAAACCAGTGTAAATTGATATGCGTCTTTTTCTGTGGTATCTGCGCGGATGCGCATGCGTGTAGTCATTAGTCACTTCGGTATTGGAGTTTAATCTGTTCAAGTTAGGGAGCGCGCGGGGCTTTCGTCCCGCGTGGCTGTTTATCCTCGGTAGCTTCCTCTTCACTCGCGCTACATCGTGGTCCTGACTTCTCGGCGTCGCTACCCCGCTCCTATCGGAAGTCTATCTTTTCGCGCTCGCACCGTTTCTGTAATATCTTGCCCTGACGCCTCACTGCGCACTCAACCATTGCACAGTGGGTAGAAGTTATCCTCATGGGCCCGTAGCAACATAGCAAAAAAGGGGGATATTTTGAGGATGGCTTTAGTGCGCGCTCTGCCGAGACCATCCCGGTGCCATCCCAGCACCATCCCGGCGCTCGGCGCTCAATTCTAGGACCATCCCGGCACACGCTCGCCCTCTTGGGACCATCCCAGGATCGGGAAGAAAGTCCAGGACGGTCTCGGGATAGAAAGGTGGACGCTGGAATGGCCTCGGCACGGTCCCGGCGGCGCCAGGTTGCAGTCCGGGTATGGTTCTGGAACTCTGGTGTAATCGCCGATGGTACTGGGAGTAGGAGGTAATTCCGGGATGGTGCTGACAGTGTACCAGGATACATAGGCTTCCGGCTGGTCAGAGGCATGATGTAGGGCTTGTACAGCATGTGCAGTAGTTCTACCCCACGGGTCCAAAGAATGGCTCTTTATGCATGCGCAGTACAGATGAGAGATATGGATTGCAAATGCCGTGAATTACGACGGCCGCAGTTGAGGCGGGGTTGGGGCCAGATTGAGCAGGGGCGAGCCGAGAAAGGCCGAGACACGACAAGACAGCCGACGAGAGTCGGTCTTAACAGTCCTTGCCTCCGCTCCACTCACGCGCTCGCTCACCCAGTCGCAAGCAAGAGGGTCCCCAGTCATCATCGGCGAGGCGATGTCCGCTGACCCTTACTCACCGGTTAGCCTCAAATCATGATGACGGACCGTTCTTGCCTTCGTACTCTATTGCCCATGGGCATGTTCGGTGCGGTGCGATTTGATGGGGCGACCGACGGGCCACGTTTATGGTCGACGTGACTCGACTTGACCTCGTCTGCATGCTGCTACTACCCTCACTTGGCTATCCACCACTCTTCAAACCCACAGGTACGGGTTGAGCAATCGAGACATCAGGTGAGTAGCAAACGACAAGGTCCTCACGGGCTGCCCGACCCACCGTCCGGAGCGTCGTCACCCTTGTTGTGCACGGTTCTCCTGTCTCAACGGGCGGGACTTCTCCTGTCTACGCACTCCCACTCTTGACTGTGCAGTGTGTGATATGCTTCACTCTCCACTTTATCGAATCTTCGATCCATGACCGCAATACTTTGCCTAGCTGACTTGCTCTCTGGTGGGCTTTACGTTCCTTCCTCAGATGGGCTGACTGACTGGGTGGCCCCTGTGCCGATCCGGGTTAGCTCTCTCCCTCTCGTCCCACACCTCCGACCTCGTTTCAAGCTTTTCTTCCCTCTTTTTGTCGCTTAGAGCTTTGCTGATGTTCATGCTGAGGTTTGTCAACTCTCTATCTCTGTCGTAGTTAGATTCGTTCGGACACCGTAGTGAGCCTCCTATGCCTCCGCCAGGCTGTTGACGGCTCAAGGCCTTACACTGACCATCAACCAGTTATGAGAACACCAATCATACAAATGCATTTCATAGCCCAACGTGAGTCACCGCCGGTTCATCTTTGAGCCGCTCGGTCGCTTTTCGGCATCAGAGCCTTGGACTCAGGGACTCGGCTGACTCGCTCGCGGTTCACTGACAATGTCCCCGACAGCTTACCATAGCAGCAGGTCTGGGTCAATCGCTCTTTGTCGGCTAATTGCTAGCTATTAGTACTGGAGTCTTGAACATAGAGCAGGCCGTTAACAGGCTCTACTGCCCCTCGACAGAGTGAAGCGTTGGCCCTCATCGGGCGCAGCCACGAAGTCCGGTAGGTGCCTTGTATGCGCGTCTAGAGCAGTTTGAGTAGCAGATATCATATTACGTCTTTTCTTTGCCCTTGTATTGTATTGTATGTGTCTACCACACTCGATTGGAGCGAGAGAACGACCGCAAAAGTGATTACAAATGAATCAAGTATTACGAGTATGCATAAGTAATAATTAAATTGTTTCCTAATCGATCCCACAACTATCCTAGCACCATCTCGGGATCATCCCGGGACCCAGGTCTATCCCCGCGCCGTCCCAGCACCGTACCCAGACCGCCGTCAATTCCTGGACCATCCCAGGATCGGCGCGGGTCCCGGGATGGTCCCCGGACGGTCCCAGCATTGGTGCGCCTGTCGCGGGACCGTCCCGGGATGGTCGCAGAATTGGGGCGCCCAATTCTGGTAGTGCGCCGTGATCGTCCACGGTCATCCTAGGATGGCAACCATCCCTCGGCCATCCCACGGCCGTCCCGACCCCGTCCCAAAGCCATCCTCAAAATATCCCCCTTTTTTTGCCATGAACTGCCTTGCAATAGTACTCCGAGCTTCGATCTGGACCTGGACAGCTCGACAGCCCGTACACTTCTGTATCTGTTCACCCCAACCCTCCCCTTCGTCCGCCAAGCATACCCGAGCAAGGATTGTGCAACCTGGATCCCTGTTCCCTCGCGCCCGCGGTCACTTCGTGCAGACTCCTCGGAGGCGGTCCCATTCTGTATGCCGGATCCCTCGCTTTCACCTATTAGACTGTCCGTGTTCAAAATGAGGAATCTGCGCGGGCGAATCTTTGAAGGTTTCATACCAGTCTGATAATAAATTGAAGAAGGAGAGTTAGGAAGTGAAGGTAGGAGTTGTAGCTGAGTGGAACGGATCTGATCCCAGCCCGGTACAGATGTGGGGCCCGAGGTCACTGAGCCGGGTTGGCATCGTACGACGATGATCCGGTCAGCCGACTTTCTAGCTTGAGTTTGAGCAGCGATGGGCGACCACACCGGCTCTTCGAGTTCGTCCAAGCGACACAGTTCGAGCAAAGATGACTCTCGCTCTTCATCTTACCGTCACCACTCCCACCATTCGTCGCATCGTAGCAGCCACAACAGCAAGAGGGACGAGACCGATCCTGACCTCGACGTCGTCAGTTCGGAACGTCATTCCAAGCGACATCGCGCGTCAGGGACCACTTCATCATCCCAACACCGACATTCGGGTCCCTCTTCGTCGACCAAGCGCACCAAGGGGACCAGTACAGGGACAGAACGAGCGCACGAACAGCCCGACGAGGAGGACGAATGGGTCGAAGCGCCTTCGTCGAATCACGCCGCAGGGGCTGCATCATCATTATTGACGATCCATGCACCTTCAGCCAAAGGACCTCCCATCGATACCGTATCCGAGTTTCAGATCGGGCACATTGGATCCGTCACAGAGGGACTACGCTCGTCGATCGGCCAACAGCAGGACATGACGGACGGCTACGGCGAGGGAGACGTCGGGGGAAGTAACAATGGAGGAGGCAGGTTCGGCGATTTGATGAGCAAGAACTCGGGCGGGATGGGGATGGACCTGTTTGGGATGATGGGCACAGAGAGGAAGCGCAAGGACCGGGCCAAGGAGAGGGTCGACCCCTCGGTCAGTGGGGATCGAGACCGGCGTCGGCAGGATCAAACTGAGCCTAGTTGTTTCTCCACGCAGATGATGATGGGTCAGTCATCCCGAGAACTCAACAAGGCGCATTGGCAAGGAATACCCGACCCTCCTTCGGCCGTGCCGACGCTGCAGTCGACGGGTGGGGGTGCCACTTCCCAGTCTCCCGCTCCGGGCTCATCAGGCTCGGCATGGCGCATGTCCAAGCTCAAGCGCACGTTCGAAGTCGCCCAAGAAGAGGGCAAAGACGTTGAAGAGATCGCCCTCGATTGCTATGGCAACCTCGACGCCTTCCGTGATGCGATCGAGGAACGCAGGATTCTCGACGAGCGAGAGGATCGAAGGCGAGGCAGGAGGTCGAATTACGGAGCTGGGGGGTCTGGACCCTCGACTCCGACCGCCGAGCCGTCTTCTTCCCACGCCAACAGGCGCTTCATCTATACCGACTCGGGATCAGAGTCGATTGGGGCATCCCGGCCTGGTTCGAGGAACTCGTTCAGGCGACCCGGGGAACCCACGGCTGTCTCTTCCGTGGCGTCGAGCAAGGAAGGCTCCCGACCCTCGACGCCAGTGCCCAGTGTGCTCGCACCCAGACCCATGCTCGCCAAAACCGCACGAACGTCTTCGCAACTTTCGCAAAGCATCGTACTCGTCCCCGACCCGACCACGACCACGATCGACCCTTCGCCCGTGCTCAGCCAGACCGAGCTCAACAAGCTACAAGCGCGCGTTATCAAAGCGCGCCTGATGGATGCGGACGATGCGACCGAATTGGAGATCGAGTACGAGAGGGAGAGCATTCGAGCACGCGAGGCACAAGGTCCGATGGGTCATGGCGAACAGGTTGGTGACAAGGTGGAGATGGTGCCGACGCTCGACGCGCAGGGGAACCTGTACGATATTGGAAGGGGCGATCGACCCGAATTGGAGAGGAAGGCGAATGGACGCAAGCAGAAGGAAAAGGTGAGACGTCGGTCAGGGCTAGTTATATGCCACAGATACTGAAGCAGCCCGAGTCGTGATGTCTTCACAGGGATTTCAATCGCACGATCCCAAGACGGGCGAGGTGCTGCGCCAATCCGCCGAGGACGACGTTTCCTTGGCCGAGCTGGTGCGACAGGAGCGTTTCAGCGGTGGCGCGGCCGATCAGAAACGCCTCGACAACGAGTTTGCTTCCCGTATCGCGACCGACCGACCGTTCACAAATGATCTCGATTACATGGATGAGCATGCTGATAGTCTGGCGAGGAAGAAGATGAAGAGCGACACGATCAAGAAGGCGTTTGCGATTCAGGACTATGCCAAGACCAAAAAGGCGCTCGACAGGTGAGCCCGAGCGCTTCAAGTTGAGGCTCCAAATGATTTTTTGCTGATGGCTCCGTCTGTTTGCTGCAGCTGCACTATGTGCTTCTCCGACTCGGGTGGACCACCTCGATCGGCCGTCGTCGCTCTGGGGACACGAGCCTACCTCGGCTTGCTCGACAACGAGGAACTCGTCCCGGGCCATTGCCGAATCGTACCCATCCAACATCACTTTACCTCGCTCGATGCGGACGAAGAGACGTGGGACGAGATCAAAGTGAGTTCATCCACTTCCTGCATAGTTTCAGCGCTCCAGCGCTGACCGCCGACTGCTCTTGCTCGCTCCGCCAGAACTTTATGAAGACCCTGATGCAGTATTTTGCCGCTTCGGATCGAGGCGTCGTCTTTTTCGAGACGATCATCTCGCTCAAACACCAAAAGCACTGCGCCATTGAAGCTTTTCCGGTTCCTTTCGATCTGTTCGATCAACTACCAGTTTATTTCAGGGTTCGTCACCAAGGTCTTTACTTCTCTAGTCGTGCCTTTATTTCATTCAGCTCCTAACGAGCTCTTCCCCTCTCTGGCCCTTCGGCCCACAGGAAGCCATCTTCAGCTCCGAATCCGAATGGTCCCAAAACCAAAAACTCGTCACCTTCAACCCTTCCCGCCCCTTCCGTCGAGCTCTGGTGCCCAACCTGCCTTACTTTATGGTCCAATTCGATTACAAGGGTGAGAAAGGGTATGGGCATGTGATTGAGGGGGTTGATGATGCGACGGAGAGGGATAAGGATGGGGACGAATTGAGGGATTATACGGGAGGCGAGAAGGGGGAGGAGTTCAAGAGGTCAGTTGAAGCGAGCTTTCTGCGGGTGTGCGCGGCGTGCCGAAGCTCATCATTTCCCCGTGCTCTGCACCAGATACTTTGCCCATGAAATTATTGGCAACTTGCTTGGACTCGAAGCTCGACGATGGAGGAAACCGCGTCGCGTCGATGCGAGGAAGAATGATGAGAGGGTTAGGGTATTCAGGAAGGGATATGATGCATACGATTGGACCAAGATGCTGGCCCAAACAAGTGAAGGGAGTGCGGCTGGTGGGTCTAAGGGCGCTGAGGAGGGGGTGGCGAGGGAGTGAGTGTGCGGTCATCAGCAAGGAGATATAGGTGGAGCTTTGTTGTATTCAGAAATTGAGTCCCCCCGAGTCTGAAGTGAGGGGCGGCTACTCTGATCGCGGGGCATTCGGCAGAACAGGGGCCGGGCTCCGGAGTCGCCGTCAGCTGAGGGCCTGTTGAAGACGCACTCAACATGAAAGTGAGAATGGCGTGACGAACACAAATCCTAAAAAGAACAGAAGAAAGCAGCAGAAAAAGCGAGAGTAAGGCTGTGCACAAGCTTCTTGACAGTCACCGCCGGGGAGCCGATGTCACATTGTGGCTGTGCACCGACGAGGTTCGCGCGATAGAGCCGAGCTGAGCCGAGACGCTCTCGCCAATCAGTAATCAGTATTAATCAGTGACTGTGGTGCGCAAAGTGGGGGCGGCGTTGCCTTGAGGCGCTTTTCTTGCTCTTGCCATTCAACAGCATCACCACCATCACTTCTCGCTGACCATAACCCAGCGCTCAGTGACCTCAACTTGACCCTACTCCAAACAGACACCTCCCACGATGAGCTCCCGCAGCCACAGCGTGGTGTGCGTGCCGCTGGTGCTCGTCGTCGCCGTCGGTTCGTCGGTGGATGGCCGTGCATCTCGTACCGTGCACGCTCGAGCTGACCATTCGACTGCTCTTTCAACAGCTTTGATCTGCTTTGCCCCCCAGGTCCATGGTGAGTGGTCTCGGCAATCTCACCTTGTCCCTGCAGCGAGCGCCAAGACCATCACCCCACTCTCAGCGCACGGGGCTGCCCCGATGACGTGCGGCGACCAGGCAGGCTGGCACACCCGGGCTCACCTCACCGAGTGATCGGTCCCACGTCCAATGGAACTCTGACCTTCCTTTCTTTCGTCGCCCTCTTTGCACAGCTTTCGGGTGCGTTGCTCTCGATCTGCATCCAGACCTGAAGACCATCCCAGTCGTGCTGACCCCGTGATCGATCCCCGTCTTGACAGAGCCGGCAACATCCCGTCCTTCTCCTATCTCGAAGGCAAAGCGTTCCGGTCAGTCTCCCGCCCTTCTGGAATACCATCGCGACTCTGGCTCAATCTACCTCACCCTTTCTTGCACGGCAGCCATGGTGACATCGAGGACATCCTCGCGCGCATCGTCAAGCAGTCCGGCGGCTTCCTCGGCAGGGGGTCAAAGTTCTCCGGACTCGACATCAAGCGCATCTACTTTGGCAACTGGCTGCGCGACTACTCCCAGGCCATGGACGTCGCCGGCCTTTCCAAATTGCCCAAGCAGACCAGTTGAGTTCGGCTGATACAGTCCTCGCAGAGGGAACGAGAACCTCCACGTTGACACGGTACTACGCTCCCATCGCTCAGTTTTGAACTTGGTCATGGCTCTCGGATTCTTGGCCCATGGTTACGCAACCGGCGAGTTCGAGGTCACCGACGACAGGCTGGGCGTCTACTCTACCACTGAACATATCGACAACCCCAAGGGTAAGCCAAGGTTTAGAGAGCTCTCATCGGAGGAAGTCGCTGACCTGAACCTTCACACACACACACCCCCCCCCCCCCCCCCTGCAGGCTATGCCGCCGATCAACCCGGAGGCGATGCACGCAGATTCGACCCCCGCCTCCGTCCTCCCGTCGACCCTCGTGAGCTCGAGATCGACCCTCGTACGGGTATGAAGAATTACATCGCCAACGAGTCCGGCGGATGGGACACCTCCTCCCGTCTCGTGCGCGAGCGCCTCCACCAATGCATCGAGCTCGGCCGTCGAGCGCGACACGGAGGCGGAGGTGATGCCGAGACGTACGAAGCCTTCCGTCTCCTCGGCTCCTTGCTGCACACCCTCGAAGACTTCACAGCCCACTCGAACTGGTGCGAACTTTCGTTGAGGCGCCTCGGCTACCGCGATGTCTTTTGTCATGTCGGCGACCGCGTCACCGTTCAATCACCCGCCGGTGTGTGCCCTCCCCTCGTCACCGGTACTTTCGGCGGATCCGATTTCATTCACTCGCTGCTTGGCGAGGCAACGGATCACATCTCGGAGGCTTCGGTTTCGGACCTCAACAAGGCCATGGACAAGGCTCGTCAAACTCGCGATGGCCCCACCGACACCCTACGGGATCTCTTCGTTCAACTACCTGGATCGACCGGCAACGACTTGTCGCGAGAGATGAACAACGTCGAAGACATTCGCTCGAGGGCCGCCAACGGCACTTTGGACGCTTCGGCGATGAGTCCCCAAGAGCTGCACGCGACCTTGTGGCAGTTGTTGACGTTCCGGGACAACGTCGTCAAGGGCATCGAGGTCGGCATCTCCAAGATCCCTGGCCTGTCGAGCTTGATCGAGAAGATGACCGATTCGGTCAATCGCCTCGTCTTCACCACGTTGGAACCCCTATTGAAGCCCATTATGTCCCAGGCGACGGCCGTCTTGCAGCAAGGTTCGGCCGAGGTTATCAAGAACTCGGATCAGTACGCCGTCTTCTCGGACCCTCAAGCTTCGGACCCGACGCACTCGTTCTTGTCCAAGGATCACTTCATTCTCATCCTCAACGAGCCCGCCGGTCTGTTGGCGACGATCATCGTCGAGCATGCCGTCAAGCTCGTCGTCAACGCTTGGGATCATAGCGAGGTCGACCCCAACGCCGTCGCGAACGAGATCCTCAAGACGTTTCACCACCCCTACTTTTACGACGACTCGTCTTCGATCCAACGTGAGATGGGCGCGTGCTTGAAGAAATGGATCGACAACACTCCCGATAAGAACTATATCCTCCACGCTTTGACGAAGCAGTCCGTTCGGGACGGCAAGAACAAGAGGAAGGGGCACGAGAAGGATCAGATTGGGCATGGGTGTGGGGGCGAGTACAACTCGATCTTGTCGCCTGAGAAGGTACAGGCGTTCGCGACGGCCCATGTACCTGGTGCTGCTCAGGCTTTCAGCATGGGACACCAGGTCAGCAACTATGGGCACCAAGTTGGTGGGGCGTACAACAGTGCGCAGCACTATATGGGTTACCGCGACATCAACGACGGTGGAGCGGGTCCTGATCCTAATGCTGGCGGATACCAACAACGTGAGTGGACTTGGTAGTATTGAGTGCCCCGCATACAAGCTCTTTCGGGCTGTTTACGAGCGAAGTCGATCTCACAGCCCCTCCTCTAGACTACAACACCAACTCGTCTTACAACCAAGGTGGGGGATACCAACAGCCTCCCCCTCCTCCTCCGATCCCACATGGCTACCAAGATAACTCGTACCAGCAAGGCGGTTACCAGCAGGGTGGATACCCTCAAGGGGGCTACCAGAACCAGGAGCAATTCGGTGGACCCCCTCCTCCTGACCCCCACGGTGGTCCAGGCGGCTTCGACGGTGGCTTCCAACCCCCTCCTCCTCATGGTGGGTTCCCAGTGGATCAACACCACCAAGGACAACATCAACAGCATCAAGGACATGGGCAAGGGTATCAACATCAGCAGCACCAAGGTCATCCTGGAGGTTTTGATGGTGGGTTCGCACCGCCTCCGAATCAGGGGGGTTATAATGCTGGGTATTGAGAGGTTGGGCTAGGGGAGGTGATCGATGATTTTTGTAGTTGTGCAATCTTGAGGAACTTCGAGTTTGGTTAGTCGATCTGCAAACAGAGGTCAGTGAAGAGGGAGCATGCGCGATGTCTTTTCTTTTCCGAAGTGCGCGAGAAGAGTAGAGAGGTGCGTGTTCACCCTCATAGGATCTAAGCAGAAGAGTATGTCTCTGGCTTCATCCGGTGTACATGCAGCGCTGACACCGACCAACCTAATTGAGGATGGCCGGAGTTAAAGGATGGGTGTCGGCCGATGGGTCCGAGCTCAACGCCGTCGTTTCTCCGAGTCAATATTGATTCCGTTCGCAAGAGAGAGCCACGCCCCACTTTCCATCGCGTCCCGCATCCTTGCGTATCTCTTTCGCAGCCTCTCACCTACCTCTTCCGTAAGTAGGCTTGCTGCTCCCAGCAGGTCTCCTAGCCTCGAGCATGCACGATATCATGTCTTTGCTGCTAGCTTAGCACGTCATCGTTCACTACCCAACTTCGTGGTGCTGACGGGGGTTTCCTCCTACACAGACCCCACCCAACTCATCACGTCAAAAGATTAGAGCATGCCCTGCCACGTTGCATTGATCGGAGTCGGCCTCGTCGGGAAGCAAGTCGTGCACCAACTGAGCTCGCCCGCACTGTCGCCCCTGTTCCGCATCGTGTCGCTCTCCAACTCGAAGCACACCGTCTCGATCGAGCCCTCCTCGTCGACCCTCCCCGCCGAGGACCTCCTTGCCCTCTTGCCCGCTTCCTCGGCCGCCCTTCCCTCGTCGTCGTCCCACCCCGGAGCATCTTACTCATCCGCGAACCCAGAACAAGTCGTCAAGGACCTCGCTCACGCGTCCAAGCAGTCCAAGACCTCGACGATCCTCATCGACTGCACCTCGGACCTCTCCGTCACGCAATTGTACCCTTTGGCCATCTCGTCCGGTCTTTCGGTCGTGACCCCGAACAAGAAGGGGTTCTCGTCCTCGAACGAGTTGTGGCAACAGATCCTCGAAGCGCAGAACGCTCCCGGTGCGGGGTTGGTCTACCTCGAAGCGACGGTCGGTGCCGGTCTCCCCATCATCTCGACGTTGAGGGATTTGCTCAAGACTGGGGACGAAATCACCAAGATCGAGGGGGTCCTTTCGGGTACGTTCTCGTACATCTTTAACGAGTTCTCCAAACCCGGCGTCAAGGGAGGACCCAAATTTTCCGAAGTGGTCAAAATCGCCAAAGCGAATGGGTATACGGTGAGTCGACCAGTTCCTCGAAGGTTGATGCAGTCGTCTGGTACTGATTCTTGCCTGCATACGATGTGTGCATAGGAACCCCACCCGGCCGATGATCTTTCGGGTTCGGACGTCGCTCGCAAGTTGACGATCCTCTCACGCCTGATCTCGGCCAACCCTTCTTCGCTCCCTGCGCTCCCTTCGTTCGCCGAAGGATACGTTTCCCTACCTACGCAATCCCTCATCCCTAAAGCGCTCGAAGGTCTTGCTTCCGGAACGGAGTTTGTCGAAAAGTTGCCCGAGCATGATGAGGAATTCGATACGCTGAGAGCGGAAGCGGAGAAGGAGGGCAAGGTGTTGCGGTATGTCGGGGTGATCGATCGTATGGCTGGGATTGCCAAGTGCGGATTAGAAAAGTGAGTGGCTGTTACCTGGGGCTGGTCGTGATTCTCTCCACAAGCGAAAAGAGCGCTGACCGAAAAGCCTGTTTCGACAGATACCCCGCCGCACACCCTTTCGCCTCCTCTCTCTCGGGCGCCGACAACATCCTCGCGTTGCACTCGCACCGCTACTCCAACAGTCCTTTGATCGTCCAAGGTGCCGGTGCGGGAGCGGAGGTGACGGCCATGGGTGTCGTTGCGGATGCGATCAAGGTCGCGGAGAGGACGGGCGTTAGGGTGCATCTTTAGACTGGGGGGGGGGGGGGGGGGGGGACAATTGAAATTAGTAGACTTTGAAATGAGATTTCGGGCTATGCGCGCTCGCCGATTGGCCGATCTGGTCTGCCTCTCGCCCAGTTCTTGCGCACTGGAAACTCTCTGTATGCTGATCAGCGCCACACGTCGACTGTTGCTCACGACCACACTTCCCCTCTCGTCGACGCTACGCGGTATTTCTACCTCAGCGTACGTTGTGTCTTGTGCGGCTGCTGTGCGGCTGCTGTGCGGCTGCTGTCACGGTGCTGACATCATCGCTCGCTTGCCCCTCATGCACCCTCATGCACCCTCATGCACCCTCATGCACACCGCCGCACCGCGTTCTCGGTCTGCGCTCACCCCTGAACCCGCTCGCTACGACCTGTTCACGCGCACAACAGAACACGCTCCAAGATGAAGATCGTCCCGGTCCCTTGCAGGAGTGACAACTACAGTACGCTACTTACCTAACCCGCGCGCCTTCGATCTCTACACCCTTCATCCCAACCGCAGCTGAGTGCCCCTCCCGTAATCCTTGGTACGATCCCCGCTGACGGTCTTGCCTCTCTCTCTCTCGCTCGCTCGCTGGCAACAGTGTACCTCCTCTCGGATGGTACCTCCAACTCCGCCGCCGTCGTAGACCCTTACGACGTCGCCAAGCTCCACGACGCAGCCAAGAAAGAAGGCCTTCAAGTCGGTCAATGGTTGTTGACGACCCATCACCATGCCGACCACAGTGGTACGTTTCGATGTGGACAGCTCAAGTTGGGGTCGGTGAAAAGCGTGAGAGGCGGATGAGGTGGGTGAGAGTAAGGTGTGTGTGTGATTTTGTGGGCTGACGGTTGGGTTGGGTTCGGTGGGGGGGTTCCGGCAGGGGGTAACGACGAATTCATCCAGCTTCATCCCGGCGTCACCGTCACGGGTGGGAGTGACAAGTCCCCTGGCGTCAACAAACTTGTGAGTACGATCGAACAAGGTTCTTTTACTCTCTTCAAAAAAGAGCCGGCGCGAGATGCTTGACCCCACCGAGTGATGCAGTAGGAAAGAAAACTCAACTGAGCCCCCACCTCGTGGTTGACGAACCTTTCTGATCAGTTGAAGCACCAAGAGACCTTCGAAATCGGTACACTCAAAGTCACCGCGATCCATACCCCTTGCCACACCCAAGATCACATCTGCTACTACGTCGAGGACACCAAGTCCGACGAGAGGGCCGTCTTCACCGGGTCAGTCCCCGCGCACGGCCGATCGATCGATCGATCACAGCGTCCAGCGGGCCCAATCGCTCGAGCTGATATGGATATGTCGTTCTGTGTACTCTGACAGTGATACGCTCTTCGTTTCGGGTTGTGGTCGATTCTTTGAGGGTACGGCGCAGGAGATGCATGAAGCGTTGAACAAGCGTTTGGCGCAATTGCCGGACGATACCAAGACTTATGTCGGACACGAATACACCAAGTCCAAGTCAGCTTTTTTTCCTTCAGAAACTGAACGATTTTCTAAAAGTGGGGGTCTTCCCATCTGACCGATCCGATTCCCCTAACCTACCGTCCTTCCCTTCGTAACAGCGTCGCCTTCTCCTCTCACGTCGACCCCGAGAACCCCGCGATCAAGTCCCTTGTTGACTTTGCGAACAAAAATGAGGTCACCACGGGTAAATTCACCCTCGGCGACGAGAAGAAGCATAACGTCTTTATGAGGCTGGGCTCGCAGGCCGTCAAGGACAAGGCGAACAGTCAGGACGAGGTGACGTGCATGCAGTGGTTGAGGGAGGCCAAGAATAACTTTAGGGGTTGAGGGTGTTTTTGAAGGTCGTCGTGTAGCTTGTCATGGAATGGAATGAATGGGGTTGGGCGCTGCAAATCGTTTTTTGGGTTCATTGCGTAACGTTACGAGGCGTGATAAGCTTAGGGAAATATAATCAAACAGACAGGATCGAGATGAGACAGGCATTCAAGAATCGTGAAAGAGGTCATCGCGTCGAGAGGGCCGAGCTACCACTGTTGGAACGTCCAAAGGATCGAGTATATCGTACATCCGACGAACTTGACCGCCGCCAACCCCGCCACGGAATACAGCACAAACGCCATATAAATATTGACCCTCCCCGCTCCACCGATACTATTACTCGCGCCCGTCGACGTGATCGCCGCGACCAAGGCACCATTCGTCAAGGACCAAGCCAAGACGACGTTCGTTCGTAGGTTGCGGTACGCATCCGACATCCTCTCCTCTTCGTTCACCTTTTTCACTTCTTTGGGTAGCTTCGTCGCGAGGACGTGGCATGCGTCTTCGTAGGCTGCGTTGATGTCCTTTTCGTCGGAAGGCAGCGCGACGTCCACCGCTCCGTCTTTGGCTGCGGCTGTGCCCAAGTCGGTAGAGACTTTTTCTTCGGGTCGAGTACCCCAGGTCACGTCTTGGACGTTGCAGAACGCGTATACGTTGATGATGTTGATATACGAAGGAGCGAGCAGCATGTACTGCACCAGCGAGGTGAACATGTGGGCCGGGTCGAGGAAGATGAGCGAAGCGAGCAGCCAGAGTCCATAGGTCGCGAGCAGGGAGATGACGATGTTGCGGAAGATGGCGTTGGTGAAGATGTCGCTTAGAGTGAATACCCCTCCCGAAGAGGTGATTTCGTTTTTGGCGTTCGTGACCCCCTTGATGGTGATGAGGATCGCAGCGACGAGCATGTAGACCGTGATCAAGGCGAACGAAACGGCGATCGTCGTGTACCAAGCCACGGCACCGGCAGGTCGATTGCCCAAGGCCAACAAGAAGCAACAGACGATCAAGGCGATGTAATAGTACTTGACGACTTGGTTGAAGTAATGGATACCCGTCATACCGAACGTCGGGTCCGCCAGAGATTCGGTGAGGATCACAAAGATGATGTAGTAGTTCGCAAGACCGAACCAGGTGAAGAACATGTTGAAGGATTGGTAGATCAACTCAACGTGGAGCCACATCTTGCGCCAGAACGTATGGTCCGAGCGGTAGATGTAGCCGAAATGCACGGACGAATGCAACGACGCGAAGAAAGAACCGTTGAGCCATCGACGACGTTGCGAGATCAGATCCGCCAAACGATCGGGAACATCGGTTGTGGCGAAGGCGGAGCGTTGATAGCTGAGGACCCAGGACGAGTTCCGCTTGGCAACGAGTTCCCAGCACAAGATTCGATCCTCGGCGAGGTACATGTTTTTGGTCCACAGGTCCGCATCGGGGTCGTGATGCAGCGTCTCACCCTTGAAGTATTCCTTCAGCGGTCCTTCGCCCGTCTTGGGGTCGTTTTGCAACGCAATGTAGCGATAGGCCGAGAAAGCCCCCGCTGTTTGGCACAAGAGCACAGAAGCACTAGGATCAGTCCCGTGCAGAGTGAAACAGAAAGAAGCTAAACCAAACTCACGCAGCACCGTAATGTACCCAAACACCGACTCCAACGACTTGTCCAGAATGTTGGACATCTTGTATTCAAAATTCTGAGCCGCTACGAGCGGGTTCAACAGATTCTTCATCACGTGGCCCTTGGAAGCAACGATCTCACCACACGCTCCACCGACGTTGGAGTTGAGGTCGAATGTTTTCCACAGCTTGTACAGCGAGACGGCACCGGGTTTGGTACCGACATCAAGAAGGATGCAGACGTTGGGTTGAAGGATGGGTCCAAAGGCGTTGAAGAACCATCGGTGCGAATTGATCTTCTTGGCACTGCGGAGATTCAGTTCAGTGGACCAACCGGGTTAGCTCTGCCGCAGGTACCTGAGTCCGCTTCGAAGCGAGGCAGCTCACTTTTTCTCTTTCAAGCAGAAGAGAATCTGGACGGGCACGACGCCTCGCTCGGCTGCCTTGAACGAGATGTTGCCGTTGCTCGCTTCGACCGAGACTGCAAGGCAACAATGATAATGTCAGTGGCATGCTTCTCGGGCTCATGTCGAGCAAAAACTTACTTTGTGTCGTGTACTGAACGAATGCACGAGATCAGACGTCAGCATCATCCACACTGTACTTCCCTCATGACCCCGCTGGATGCTCACCTCGTAGATATGGGCCGTCACAGGTTTCCCAGCAACAACGTTCTTGGCCACACCGTCCTGATACACTCCCATCGCAGCCAAGACACTCAACGTCCTCGAGTTGATCTTGGACCGACCATCCGAGACAACGCAGACGACGACCTTCTTCCACCCATCCGGACCCCACGTCTTTGATCGATCCCTCTGACAAAGATTGGCAATGTTGGTCATCACCGCGGACATGGTACGACAGAACAGATTCTCATCCTCATTGTACATGGTCATGACGATGAACAATTCGGTACGACGAGGGCTGTCGTAGAGGATTTGACGGAGGGCGTAGCGTTCGTCGAGGAAGTCGTCGGGGTCGCACGTCGCGGCAGTGTAGCGCATGTGGGTGAATTCTCGCTCGTCCTTGCGCGGGCAACGTTCGAGCAATTTGGGGGGGACTTGGCAGTCGAGGACGAGGTTACCATGGAAGAGTGGCACACCTGGTTACATCCAGAGGGCGAGTGAGATCAAGCAGCTCCTCTTCTGTCTGGGATAAGCTCGAAAGCACTCACGTTTGACGGTCTTGTACCTCCTCGGTTGCCTCTGAGGGATCCTACCGTACCTAACGACGCTGTGCTGATCATCGTCATCTCCAACGAAGCCACCCGGTTGACCGCCGTAGCCGCCCGCAATCATCGCCGGATCAAAGCCGCCGACATAAGGTTGGTTGTTGTACTGCGCCGAAGGATCGTAACCGCCTTCGTGCGCGCCGTTCGCGGAGCCCGACGTGGTCCAGCGAGGGTGACGGTTGTTGCGACCACTCGCGGCCGTCGGCGACAGTAGAGGTTGCTCAGGTTCATCCTCGTCTTGGTCCGGACGCGGATGGTGCGCTCCGCTGTTGTAAGATTGGAAAGAGGGCATAGACGAGTTGCCGTTGAGGAAATGTGGGGGCTGCGGCGGAGCGCCGGCGGTGGAATAATCGGCGATGTCCTGTTGATGCGGGTAGCCATACTGCGTGGGTGGTTGGGGTTGGGGTTGTTGCAATGGATGCTGGGTGTTGGAGGGGATAGGAGCCGATTGGGCCCAGGTGGGTTGCTGGTACGGATCGGCAGACGCGGGCGGATTGGCAAAGGGGTCGTGCACGCCCGGCGTCGCAGTGTTCGTGTTCGTCTGCTGAAGCGACTGGGCATAGTAAGGCTGAGGAGGGGGAGGTGGTGCAGGGGATGCCATGTATTGAGGAGCATTGAAAGGATCGTGGGAGGCTGGCGGGCCGGCGCCGTAGCTGGAATCGTAGGCTGGCTGTTGGTGCTGTTGCTGTTGCTGCTGCTGCTGAGGCTGTGGAGTCCGACGAGGAGCGCCTCCCGGGGCGGGCACGGCGGTCGCGTAGTACGGTGTCGGCTCATGGTGGCCCTGGTCGTCAGAGCCACCACCACCACCACCGTAGTCGGTATTGTTGTTGTTGTAGTACGACATCGTGTGAGGGATCACTGCTCTCAGCGGGGGCCTGGGAGGTTGCAAAAGAAAGGTGGAACGCGCCGGCGGAACTTGCACTAACTCTGGCGCGTGCGAGCACCAATTGTAGCCGCGTCACGGCCGCCGATCTGACAGGTTGAGCTAGTAGCTGCTCCGGTGTACTTCAATCCATATGGCATAAAGGTCCAATTTTACTATTTTCCTCAACCCGCCCGGATTTTATGACGGGGGGCTCACCTGCTCGAACATACGAAAAAGAGGAGCCCAACAAAATCCCGGCCCGTCGACTCATTTTCAGATCAGTCCGGAGTCCGATCCAGGGGGAGTGTACTTTGAGCTCTCCTACAGATAGTTTACACCAATCTCCTCATCGGACTCCATTGTTCAGCGCAGCATCTGCTCCGCCGCTTGATCGGATGCTCCCCGGGCTGATCGGGATCCGAATGATTGCTGGCAGAAAACTGGGTAGCACCGCCACTGATATGGGCCCGAGGAGGACAGCCGACGGCCCCAGGCGACGAGACGGCGCGGGCGAGTTTGGTGACGCGTCGAGCTTGGATCTTGAGACGCGCTTGGGCCTGCTCGGGCTTGGGGGCGACGCGTGTAAGAGTCGGCTTGAGGTTGAAGACAGGGCGGACTTGAAAACTCATCCCCTATCTCTCGCCCTCTCCTCCCTCTCGCCCATCAGATCCTGGAAACCCCTCAGGACCATCCCTTACCATGGCAAGCTCACCGCCACCTCCCTCTAGATCACGCGCCTCATCCCTGACGCGTCGAGCGACGACCCCTCTTCGTCGGCTCAGCGCCTCATCCCTACGCGCCATGTCGCTCTCCCATTCCCGTTCGCGCGACCCCTCAACGCACGAACCACCCCTCCAACACCTTGCTCCAGTCTTTGCCGAACTCGCCGACAGTCTCAGTGATTTGGCCGGGAACCTGCGCGAGTTGGACAAGAGCAACGACCATTTGGATGGTTTCAACACCGCGTTCGCGAGCTATCTCTATGGGCTAAGGATCACGGCATACACCGCCGATTTCAACGAGGTCGGTCGTCGGTCCCGGCGATGATGGGCTGAAGATTCTGAGCTATTGTCTCAGAAATTGATCCCCTCTGCTTTCTCTTCATTTCAGGCTCCCGCACTCGACAGCTTCAAGCAAGCCGAGGAGCGGCGACCCCCATCCCCTCAACCGCATCCGGACTACTCTTCTCCGCCTCAATCACCCCATACGAATCATGATCAACAGGACGACACTTTTATCACCAACGCGAGTCAACACTCATTCGTTGATCAGAACCCGGCCAAGATCTCGGGTCGAGGAGGGAGGGGAGGAGCGACTTCGACGAAGGGGTCTACACGAGGTGGTGCAAGGGTCGGTGGAGGCAGGACGATGACCAAGAAACAGAGGGAGGAGATGAATGTGAGCTGGTGCCAGATTTAGATCGATTCCCAACCGATCCCGAGGAAGAAGCACGCACGGAAAGCAGCTCACGTGATTCTTTCCATTCCATCCCACCCCAGGCCTTTGCAGACCTCTTGATCCAATCCTTGCCGCTCAAATACCGCGAACAACAACCTTTAAGGGGGGAGACGGAGAAGGTCATTCATGCTTTGAGGGAATATCCAAATGGGTTGTCGAGTCAGTTTGCAAATTTTCGGCTCCGGAGCGCCCTGTCATCTCCTCGAGAGGAGGCCTCAGGCTGGGACTGCACAAGACTACAGAAGCATCGAAGCTGACCGTACTCTTCCAATCACCTTTCACAGTGGTGGAAGCGCAAAGAACGACGGGAGTGGCGACCCATCGCGTGAACGACGCCATGACCGCGCTCGTCCGGGTCAAGTTCGTGGTCAAGGTGCATCAGCAGGTACGACGAAGCAGGGCGCGGTCCTACGTTTCTGAGTGAGGAGACGGAAGAACGGTCTGTTCTGACCTCGTCCTCTCTCGTGTACAGGGAGCAACGGTATTCCGACTGGACCCGAGCAAGTTCCCTTCCGCTGAGTGAGAGATCGGACCGAGGCAAGGTTTTCGTCACGTTATCGGCTCCGGGGGTCTTCAGGATAATTTGCGCGATCAGTCTATCATCGTTTGTTGTAATATTCTGCCTCTATGGTAATTGGTCAATTGCAAGAGACTGAGGTTCTTCGAAGGCCGCACCCACTGCCCTATCCGAGCGAGACCCAAGCGGAGGAGACATTGCATGTTGCGCGATGCTGTGATCACAGCACGAGCTGTGCCATTACCAAATTGACGAATTTCGCGGAGCTGATATATTTCACACAACCAAGATGCTCGAGATCGATGGGGCTTTCCGGCCGGGCTCGCGCTTATCGAGCTCAATTTTAGCGAAAGAGGGCTTGCTTAGTGCTGGCTGGCTGGCTGGCAGGCTGGCTGGGAGCGGCCCGGGCCACCGTGGCGGCGCGACTGTGCGCGTTGGGCGGTACGTGCGCTTCCAATTGGGTGATGGTGTCGTGCCTATCTCCTGACTCTGGAGTGGGCTGACAGCTGTCCTCCTCTGTCTCCGGCTGCATCAGTCGTGCGTCCCGAACTACCCCCCATCGGGATGGCGTTCCAACAACAACGTTCTCGCCCTCGCGTGCAACGCGATTCGCACGAGGATCACCACCACCAACAGGCTCTAAGCCAGACCGTGCCTCATCGTGCGCCACTCGGAGCTGGGGCCCACCACTCGGATCACGCGACGTCCTCGATTAGCGCCGGTGCTGCCAGTGGCACTGACACGGGGGCGGGTACCGGCCACGGCGCTGCGGAAAACACCTCCTACGCGTCGTCACATACGACCTGGCACGAGGACGACGAGGTGTTGCTCTTTGGGGGTGCATCAGCCTCTGCTTCGGCCGCGGATTCGTCATCGTGGTACGCTCAAGGCAACGGCAGCGTGCTGACACCTCACGCGCCTCTAGCCGCCGGCGATGACTGGACGCTCCTCTCGGCGCCGGCGCCCCATCACCGCCACCACCATCCGTATCAACGCACGCTCTCACCCGCAGCGACCAGATCATCGACGAGCACTTCGACCAGTGCGACCTCCTCGTTCGAACTCGGCGCACGCGAAGGAGGCGACCTGTCCGTGTCGCTGTTCCCAGCCCACGACGGTAATGGCCGCTTCCTCAGCCTCTCGTCCGACTCGCTCGTCAACTCGACCTTGTACGATCGAGCCGAATCCTCGACCCAGGCCTCGTCCGACGCCAACTCGTCCTCGTTCGTTCGGACTCGTCGTCATCGACCGAGGCCGATCGCGAGTGATGATGGCTCGCAGTGGAGCGACGTCGCCGATCCCGATTCAGCAGAGTATATGCGCCGGCCCCCCACATCCCGCTCTGCCTCCGCCGCCGCCCCCACGCACGCCTCGTCGTCGCTCAGCGCCAGTTGGGCCTTGACCGAAGCCGCGCTGTCGACGATCCCGGACGCTTCGATCGGCAGGCGCATTGTGCTACGTCGTCCTGAAGACCGAGTCGTACAAGAGGAGGTGGAGCAAGAGGACGAAGATCCGCAGTCGGCCGGGTTCACGTCCGATTCGAGCGTCGAGGACGAGAATCTCCCTCCTCGAGAGCGTAGACGTCGAGCAGCGTCGAGGAGGGCGGCGACACCTACGGCGCGACTCATCCCGGTCGCTCCACTTCAATCTCGCGAAGACGAGGAGGAAGATATGCTCTGCCGTACCCCAGGAGCCGAGAGCGCGGGCTTGCACCTCAACTCTCGACGACATCTCCGAGCCGTACCCTCGACCTACGAAGAGCATCGCACCCACGGCCGCCTACACAGCAGTCAACGCTCGCGCGAGGCTTACCCTTCCCCACCACCCGAGGATCGTCTCTCGGCGTCCAAGTCTTCGGTCAAACGACGACATCGACAGTCGGGTCGGTCGGGGTCGTCGCAGAAGCGCAGCAGTACCAGTGGCTCCATCCGCCACGCTTCGGTCCGTCATGCGAGTGTCGCAAGCACGATGCCGACGATCGCGCAGCTTTTGGAGGAGAAGCAAATGGCCGAAGCGAGGCGCGAGGAGGTACAGAACCAGATCTGGTTGGGCTCCCTCGTCACGGGAAAGACGATGGGCATCGATGCCGAGACGCTCGAAATGGTCGCTGCTGCTGAACCTTTGACTCCTGAAGCGACGCCGACGCCTTCGAGGGTCGCTTCGCCTCGTCTTCGTAATCGCACGCCCGAGCTCGGGGACGCGCATGGGATTGCTGCGCTGATGAGGCATGCCGAGCGGGAGCTGGGTACGGAGGCGTCCAAGATCTTTCAAATGCATGAGGCCGAGGACGAGTCGGAGGAGGAGGAAGAGGAGGGCGAGACCGATACCGAACAATCCTCGTCTAAGTCCCCCACGGTCGCTTGGCATCGTACGACCGAGCCCCTCGTCTTTGCTCCTCGGCATGCTACCATCCCGAACGAGGCTGTCTCTTTAATCGAGGCATCGAGGGAAAACCCATCTCGATCTCTGTCAACCTCCTCGCTACCGATGTACCTCGCGGACCATTCCCTCAAAGCCTCCTCGGGTCGTCTAGGCCCCCTCACGAGTACCTCCCCCGCCAACTCTGAGGATCCGGTGTCAGACCCGCTCCGTCTACGGCGTCGTACAACGTCGTTCACCAACTCGCTGAATTCGAACTCGGATGAATCGCCTTGGGGTGGGGAGTTTGATGGGCTCGAAGCGGCGATCGTGTATTGGAGGAGTTTGTGGAGGAGGATCAGGGGGTTGAGTGCTTGATGTGGATGATCGAGTGGAGAATTTGGGGGTTTTCATATCATTTTCATGTTGTTGTGGATTCGAGGAAGCATTTATTTAGAGAGTTGTCAATTAATTTGATTTCTATATACGGACGAATCGACAGCGATGCCACAGCCTATGATATTCATTCCATCCGACTCCAGTTCTAGGGCCCAAAAAAGTGGGAATCTATACACTACCCGCTCTACAACGTCGTGCCCTCCAATGCGGCAGCCAAGTCCTTGATAGGAGCCCCAGGCACTTCCTTCGCCGCTTCAAGCGCAGGCGGAGCAGACCCATTCGGCTGCGCCGCCCCGTTCGTTTCCACCGCCCCTCCCTCCTCCCCTTTCGGCTCCTTCATGAAATGAACCCCCTTGCCCTTGCCTCTCCCCTGCATACCTTCCCCCTCCCCCTCCCTCCTCCCCGATCCAAGCAAAGTCAACCCATCCTTCCCACTAAACCTCAACGGACCCCTAGGGAAATCCTCACTCTTATCCAGACCCAGCAAAGCCAACGCCTCGGCATCGAGGTTGGGTCGGTTGTTGTATTCGAATTCGAGGGTACCGCCGTAGCGTTTGGGGATATTTTCGGGGAGTATGTAGCGTGATAAGGTGGGGAATACTTCGGATTCGGAGAGGATGTGCATCTGCGTTGCGGGACGTAACGTGCGTGTCAGCGCGGCGAATGTAGATTGACAACCACCACATGAATAACGGACCTTCTCCACCGTTCCTTGATCGAACCCTTTCTGGATCCAACCCCAAACGGTCGAAAAGAATCCAGGTGCTCCGACGATGTAAGTCTGTCCAAGCATCTCGGGGTAATTCGCCGTTTGTAGGCCCGAGGCGCGGATCATGTGGTTGCGCAGTGACCAGAATTTGGCGAGGGAGACGTTGGAAATGTCGACGACTGGTGAGATAGGAACAAATAAGCTTTCAACTTCGGTGTCATACGGAAGGAGGTGGAGTTCGTGGAGCACTGACTTGTTGTTGTTGCGTCGATGGGGATCTCGAGGTGGTCTCGTGGGAGGGCCTCACAGAGAGGCACGACAAACTCGGTCAAGATCTGCTCGATCGAGTGGCCAAATGGTCAGAGCGATCCAGAATGCCTGGCGGACGACATACGAAGATCACATCCTTCGCGAATGTGATCCAGAATGTGGAATGGAAACGTACCTCGGATAAAGCGGTCATTCTTGGTGCTAATCGGTCGGCCTTTTTCGAATACTCGTTGATGCGCTCCTTGGTCAGATCGTTCAGGTTGTACACCGACAAGGGCTGGCCTGATATTGTTCTCCGGCCTGAATCGTAGGGGGAATGGTTTTGTTCCGGGGATTCGAAGATCAAAGTATCAGCTTTCACCCTTGTTCAATTGTGCTTCAATCGGGATTCGTTCACTCACCAGTCCATAGCGAATATACAAGTTGGCTCGCCACGAATTCGTCCACGTCAAAATTCTCGTACAACTCATTGACCTTGTCGTCCTTGCGCCAATTTTCGGAAGCGACGAATTGGTCGTAGGCCCCGTCGACTTGGAATTTGCGGGCGCGGAGGAAGCGGCTGAGTGAGGGCACGTGTTGGGTCAGTTCAGGCGACGAATGAAGCCGATGATGCGGGGGACAGTTTATCGGTCGTGCGAAGGTTCGTAATGTTCTTGTTCTCCCCTTGAGATCGTCCGTGAGCCCAAACTTGTAGCTTGACAAGAACACCATCCGCCTCCGATCCCTCCTCGGCATGCCTCCCTCGGAGTCCGAAACGATACCTCACACCGTCCCTCCTCCCATAGACCGTTCAAACTCACACAAGTGTCGCATCCGAATGAGAGGCCTCCTTCTCTCCATCCTCTCCAGCTGGTGTGTAGTAACCTGCCTCCTCGAGCCGTTGCTTGAACTGATCGAACGCTGTTGATTGAGCTTCGTTGAGATGACCTAAGCGACCTGACAACTGTGGTGTATGCGACCGGTGGGGCCGTGAGTGACGAACGGATGATGTCTTTGGGTTGCGGTCAAGTTTCAACTAACATTGAACACGGGAGGGAATGAAGCCATGGCGGAAGGCGATGTCCGGTTGACTTCGCCGCCGTGAAGGGATGGGCAGGCAAGATGAACGATCGACCGACTCGGAGTTGCACCGCGAAGCATGGCCGAAAATAAGCGGCGTGTTTTAGCGGCGTAGGAATCGTGTCTAACAAGGCATGAATTGGGCAGCTATACAGATTGTACAGGAAGCCGGCAGCCGGTCAACACAAAATTGTTTTGTCTCATCGAACCGGCAGAAAGTGAGCTCCCACTGCACGGAGAATTCTTGAAAATGATCCGAAGAGACAGCGACAAGCGAAAGCTCAACTGATGGGTATACTGGAGCAGATTACAGTGCGTTACGAGTCTATGCCCAATCACAAATCTCGTGGATATACCAATCTCGGGCCTTACAACGCCGTGCCCTCCAGCGTCGCAGCCAAGTCCTTGATGGGAGCCCCTGGCACCTCCTTCGCCGCCTCAAGTGCTGGAGGGGCGGCAGAGCCATTCTCCTTCACGCCATTCGCCTCCAACTTCTCCACAGCGCCCTTCTCCTCGTCCTTCTCCTCCTCTGCTGCCACATACTTGGCCCCCTTCCCAGCTCCTCGACCGTTCATCCCCTCAGCTTCACCGGCCGGCCTACCCGTGCCCAAGATGGTCAACCCCTCCTTCTTCCTGTACCTCAACGGAGCCCTCGGCAGTTTCTCCCCATCCTTAAGTTCCAGGAGAGCTATCGCCTCGGCGTCGAGATTAGGTCTATCGTCGTATTCGAAATCCAAGGTACCGCCATAACGTTTGGGGATGTTCTCGGGGAGGATGTAACGTGATAAAGTGGGGAAGACTTCAGCTTCGGTGAGGACGTGCATCTGTCAATCAATATCGGATGTCGGAAGGAAGGATGGACTCATTGAGCAGGCATCCCACGAGCGCAGATGCAGCGTTCACCAGAGTGAGTTACCTCACCTTCTCCACAGTTCCCTGATCGAAGCCTTTCTGGATCCAACCCCAAACGGTGGCGAAGAACCCCGGTGCGCCGACGAGGTACATGTGCCCGAGCATCTCGGGGTAGTTGGCCGTCTGCATCTTGGTAGCCATTTGCATGTGGTTGCGCAAGGACCAAAATTTTGAGAGTGAGACATTCGAGATGTCAATGACTGTAGGGCGGGATATGTAGGAGCAAGGTGTGAGGCTGGATGAGCAAGACTGGAACGAGGATTGAGAGTGGTTGTTGAGCAGCAAAAGGCTTGACCGACTCGATGTGACGGAATCGACAGGGACTTCGAGATGTTCTCGGGGAAGCGCATTGCAGAAAGGTACCACGAACTCGGTTAAAGTCTGTTTACGCATCATAGGAATCAAGAAACTCGCAAACACAGTCAGTGCTGAAGACCAGGTTTGGTGAATGGGGAAAGTGACGTACCTCGGACAAAGCGATCAATCTCGGTGCGGCACGATCGGCTTTTTTGGAGTACTCGTTGATGCGCTCTTTCGATAACTCACTGAGCCTGTACATCAGCAGGGGTTGACCCGCAATCGTTCTTCGGCCTGTAGAGCTCGAAAGTACAATTGGTCAGCCATAAGGACCTCAAAGATGCTACATTCTTGACTCGGCGCCAAAGATTTCGGACGTACCGGTCCACTGCGAATAGACGAGCTGGCCGATCCTGAACTCGTCGACGTTGAAGTTTCTGTACAGGTCGTCGACCTTGTCGCTTTTGCGCCATTTCTCGGATGCAACGAATTGGTCATAAGCTCCGTCGATTTGGAACTTGCGCGCTCGGAGGAAGCGGCTGTTAGATGGCGGTGGAAGGCAAGGTGCCAGGGTCGGAGAGCGGACGGAAGCGATACGGGGTCAGCTTCTCGGGTATTCAAGTAGAAGGTTTGGTGGCCGCGATGCTTCGATTCCTTCAAACCAAGCTCTTGGGTTCGTCGTCAAGATCGTATAGCCCGTCCAGCTTCACCTCATGGGGAATTCGCAAAGGGCTCCGGGCCCAAGTTGACACGTCACCCAACTCGCGCCGATCCATAACCGGGTCACCGAAGGACGACGACTCACACGATCGTCGCCTCAGCATGCGATGCATCCTTCCCGTCTTCAGCCGGGGTATAGTAGCCCCCATCCTGTAGACGTTGCTTGAATTCATCCAAGGCCGTCGTCTGCGCTTCGGTGAGGTGGCCTATCCGACCTGAGAGCTGTGTGGACGAGATGGCATGAACCGTGCGAACAATGAAGTTGCGCGATCAGCAAGGCGCGGGCCGGGGGTGTTTTAGCTGCCGGTATGGGGATTCCGTGTAGGCATAGTGGGGCTTACATTGATAACGGGAGGGATGGCAGTCATATTGAGTGATGGTCTCCGAAGTCGACGAACGGATGCGTCAAAGCAGAAGTGGAAGTGAAACCGCTAGCGGACCAGATGGGGAATGGAGTGAGACGGCAATGAATGATCGAATCGGTCGCCGATCACTCCGGCAGCTAGGGCGAGCTCGGGATCCCGCGGCCGAGTCGGGGTCTCGACCTGAACGCCTCCCAGGTTCCCGCCTCCTCCGTCTCGCCTCGCGTTCCTAGTCGCGTGTTCTTCGGTAGCGTCGGCCGCAGCTCAAAGCAGGGTGGCAAGTTCAAGAAACCTGCCCCTCTTTATTACCTCCCAACCGTATCGACCCAACATCTGTGTATTCCTGCTTGCAGATTCGAAACCATTCCGCCATCCCTCCCGCACAGTTGATGTATCGCTCGCTCCGTCACCCGCTTGGGAAGCGCAGGCCGCCTTCTAATTTCACATTGATGTACTTGACGAACCGAATAAACACCCAAGCATCATTCCCAAGCATCCTCATTCAGCCAATGACTCATCGTAGGGGCGATCGGCTCCCCACTCGCACCACCCTCGAGCAGACTTTGCGAACCCTCCTCGATCTCAAACTTGACCAACTTCAATTCAGTCTCGTCCGGGGAATTTGAATCCAGCTTGAATGTTCCTGCCGAAGGGAGCAAGACATGGGAAGGCAGCATATGCCCATCCCATATCCTTTCCGTCCGTTCGAGCAGCGGCATCGAAGGTGTGAGAGGGACGACGATGAGTGATTGCGAGGTCGAGTTCTCGATCGAAGTCGACGAGGTGGACGACGATGCTATCCGAGGTGTTCCTGAGAATCCAGGTATAGAAGAGTAGTAGTCGTCGGAGGAACAGAGGCATGCGTCCTCGGAGCAGGTGCAGGAGCTCGACATGGACGTCGAAGACGAAAAGGGGGAATCCGAGCGCGAGGAGAAGGGTTCGTCTCGGTCGGAAAGGGTAGAGGAGGCCGACGAGGACGAATAGCGATGAAAGGACGCTTTTGGGGCAACTGCGATGTCATCAAATGTCGTACATTCCTTGAGTTCAGGTGAGGCTTGGGCTGTCTGGAGCAACAATTTGGGAGCGTTTGGCCCCCAGAATCGAGAAAAGAACTGACCTCCTCGACGACTGGCGGTGATTCTCGCGTGCGCCAACTTGACGGCCGAACAACACCAACTGTTGGAAAGGGAGAGATCGCCTTGCCCATCTTGCCATCCGACGTAGAAGGGACCGAATTGAGGCGAGTTGGTGCGAGCTTGTTTTGGTTCAAAGCGGCTCAGATTTGAGGGTCGTGCACCGACCATCGACGGTGGTGGGGAGAAGCCCCTGGTGAGGCGCGCGGATACGCGAGGAGGTCGCGCGGCATTCGCATTCACAGTCGACGCGACGACGGCCCGGCCTGTCCACGTAACAAAGCGAGACGTGCTCCGGGTCAGCAGGGCAACTCCGTGAGAACCAAATACGGTACAAGTCTAGCTCACCAGTCGATCCATTTGAAGAGCTACTCGTTGAGGCTGATACATTGGCTACCAACACCGTGTCGTCGGCGTTGGCACCGGCGGCGGCTGCTCTCGGTCGAGCACGTGAAGTCGGCCTCGAAGCCGCGGCACTCTGCCCCGACGTCGTCCGGCGATTCGGCGTCCATCGCGCACGACTCTTCTTCGTCCTCGAGGTCGTGGTCGCCATGATTCGCGGCTCAGGGCTATAAGTTTCCGAGACGAAATAGTGCGAGGAAAAGAGGGAGGGATGAAGGCGGTAAAGGGAGGCGCAAGAAAAGGCCTTGACTTGAGGATGTTGGCCTCGGAGCTCGGCGCTTGGACCCACCCTTCTTTGGTGCGCGGCGGCAAGCTGTATAGCCGAGGCTCGTGAATATTGGATCGGCGCAATCGGGAAGCGATCTCGATCGCAGTCTCTCGTGGACAGGAGGCACGCTCCGATCGAGGGGATACCTGCACGAGATTATGGAATGATGTCATTTTGGCAGCTCTGAGACGATGTACTTAAAGACTGCGAATGAACGTCCCTGTGAAGCGGCGGACTAGGGAATAAAAATGCCATGCCGAGGCCTCGGTAACTTTGATGTTTGTCATCGGGCATGACTCATGAGACTCGCTGAGCGGAGGACTATGCACCTCGCTCCCAGTGGTGTAAAGTCCTGATCCTCTTTCCTCGACCGAAAATTCCTTTACTGCAATCAACCTTGCATTGCAACGTTCTCGAGGTCCGGGACCGTCGAGATCTTCACCACTGCACTCGACTCGCGGATGGACGATCAGCAAAATTGGCTGACTATCCTGATCGACCGAGGTTGAACGGAGCTTGTTCGGTGTAAAAGACGTGACATCCAATGCTTTTCGGCTTGAATGCTCAGCTGCCGGTGATGGTCCCCTGCCAGTCAAACTCGTCGGGAGCAAATTCTCTTGCGAGAGCTGCCAGCGATTATACGATTGGTGAATGAAGACAAAGCAGTTTGGTACACAGTGTTCAGGCCTATGGTAGGCTTACCGCCACCTTTGGAGATATCTTTCGGCTCAGTTGCGTAGGTGTGAGTTGCAGCAAAAGGCGTAGCCGCAGTTACGAGCCGATTTCTGAAGTGGTCCGAGCGGCACGAGCCTCCGTGTAGAGGTGCCGCTGGCGTCTATGCCCTCCTCCAACTCACCTCCGCTCACCTCCGCTCACCCAACCCCAACCCCACAAGCTCACGATGTCGTTCCTCTCCGCCGCCCGACAACCCGCGGTCCGATCGTTTTCGACAGCACGAGTTGCTCTTCAGTCGTCGTCGTCATCATCGTCATCGGATGTACCTGCTGCGCCGGCGTCCAACACGGCCGTCGCACCGCCTCGAGCCCAGGGAGCGGTCGCCCAGGCGGGTGTCGTCAGTGGTGTACCTGGTACGTGATTGGGAAATATCTATATTAAAATGTTAGGGTGATGTGGGTGCAATTGAGGTACCTCGTGTGGCCAGGCTCACGATTGGGGAAGCCCGCTAGCTCACCTCCGCATTGCGCCCCTACATCGCCACCTACACCCAATCCTTCCATTCACAACCCATACTGATCCAATTCACTCACCTCGAATTACAGACGAAGTGCACCACCGCTCCGTGCGCATCTTCCGCCCCTCGCCGCCGTCGACCCAATCCGCCAAGGCGACCTCGCATCACTGGCGCATCGACTGGGACATCCTGCAGGGTGCTGGGCGGTGGGAGAACCCTTTGATGGGGTGGGCTAGCACGTGAGTTGTCGGAGCTGAACTCGACGATGAGCGCTAGTGCAGCGACATGCAGGAGAAGCGGTCTGGCCAAGGCGTGGCGTGGGGTGTAGATAGGGAAGGTCCACGTCGTTGAGGACCCGTTGGGGAAAGCACCTACTACACCATGTACAGACCGGAACTCACACTTCATGATGTTCCCCATCAGCGCCGACTACCTCCAAGGCACGCATCTCAAATTCGACACCAAGGACGCAGCGATCCATTTCTGCGAGAAGCAAGGCTACCAGTACTTTGTTCAGGAGCCGCAGAAGGCCAAATTCAAGCCCAAGTCGTATGCCTCGTACGTTCTTCGATCCTGGAGTTTGAGAAAGGGGGTTGGGCCGAGCGGTGGGAAGGGAGTGACTGAATGGCAAGGGGAGAGTTGCTGACTTCTCACATCTTCGTGTTTCTCTCGCGACAGGAACTACAACTACTCGGCCAAGCCGTTAAGGATCGCGCACACCAAGTAGAGGTGCGGATGCGGTTGATGGTATACACGTTAGATGGATGAGCGAGATTGGCGTTGCAGACGTCCTCTTTATGTAATTTTTCTTTTGGTGGGTTGGAACGAAGCGAGGTCTGGGTACGACGACAAGGTCACTCGAGGCTCGGAAAGAGAGGCTCGGCGAGAGGGACGGGATGGTAGAACGGGGAGAGTGCTCTGAGAGGAGCGGTACATTGTGGTATTACAGGTGTTCGAGCAGCAGCAGATTCAGGAGCAAGCGGAGGTGAGAGCGACTTTGTCCAAGGAGGTCGGGCCCCAGGAAGGGGAAGAAAGCCAAAAAGGCAAGAAGGCAAGAAAGTGGCCAAGTCAAGCTGAAGAAGGGATTGAGAGAATCGTAGGCTACGAGGGCGGATTGAAGAAGCAAGGTTTATGAATGCTGGAGAAAGTTTTGTGGTTGAGCGCCGCCACTGTTGAGCATGACGTTCGAGTGTAGGTGATCTCCTCCTCCTAGGAAAGGCTGAAACCCATTCACTGCTGACCACGTCCACATCTCTTGTTGCTGAGCTTGAGCCGACCTCGCATGAACCGGTGGGAAGTGTTGATGATTCGGTTGGTAGACAGGTGGGCGCAGTTCCGGAGTACCACCGTGGTAGAAGTGAGGCGGATCAAGCGGCGCATCATCAAAAAGTTGAACAGGGACCTGAGGAGGCCCTTGATTCGGAGCAAAGAGGCGGTGGTTGTAGTAGACTTGCGGGTAGGGGTTCATGTGTGGGAAGGTCGCGAGTTCGTAGGACGGGCTGGCTGTGTAGGAGCGGAAGGAGGGGCAGTAATTGCTCAGAGGGGGAGCTAGGGGGTCCGAACCGGTGGTTCGGCTCGGAGCAGTTGGTTTGGTGGTGTGAGAGGAGAAGGATGCTGTACGATAGGGAGGTCGGAGTCAGTGGGAGGTTCAACGGTTCAACGAAAGAGCGCATAACTCTCACCGATGGGGAACTTGTATCCTCCCGACTCGCACAGAGTTGACCAAACCGAACGCCACTTGTGCTTGGCCTGCTTCATAGCCACTTTGCCCTTGTCAACCGTACCTGTTTCGCTCGCCGAATTTTCACTCCTTTTGGTGATCGAGTCTCCATCTCTAACCACACGGCTATGACGACGTCTCCAACTAAGCACTTGAGCGAGAACGCACAAGCCAAAGAGGAAGATGACGATCAAGACCCCACTGACGGCAAGGATCAAAGGGATGCGATGCGAGATCGTCGAGCGAGGGGCCAGGTCCGAATCGGCGGCAGCAGTGGAAGCATGTAGTTGAGTGACCGTAGAGTCCGAGGAGGCCGAGTCATAGGTGTAGTTGTTGTCCGGGTCCGCGAAGGGGGTACGTTGGGTCTTTGAATCCGAAGGACGGAGCTGAGTAGGCGCTTGCGAGGAGTCCATCGCTGGGGAGGGGAGTTCATAGGGGGTCAGAGAAGGCCTCGGACTCAGCGCGCGCGCGAAAACGCTGCCTCGGAGAACGCGTTGACTGTGACTGACCTGCTGGACTAAAACGCTCACGACTCCAGACAATCAGACGCACCAAGTCCAAGAGTGGACGGAGAGGGAGAAGAAGACCTTGGAAGGAAATCGTCTCGACTTTATGAACGAGACACATGGTCGTACCGTCGTCGGTCCCTCAATCGGTGCACTGTGCAAAACTCGATGTGAACCGCCCGTGGCCCGGTGCTCGCGCGCGGCAGCTCGGAGCCTCGATCGGCGGCCGGGACTCGGAACGGCCCGTGCGACCGAACACTACTCCTTTTTGTTTGACGCGATGAACCTGGGCCTGATATTGAAAAAGTGATCAGCACATCTTCCTGCTAATTTACTTGCTTCACTGAATATTCACGTTCGTGCTCGTTGCAACACGAGCAAATTGCCAGATAGGTCACACTCGGCCGGTTCGGCGCATGCTCGAGACCGGTGCATTCTGGCGTCTCGATGTGTCTCGGGGGTCGGCGAGCACCCGCACGATCGGCTCGACGGTTGCACCGTGACTACGGTAACCCGAGGTAACCCGGTTCCACTCAGTCGTCTGCGTTTGGCTCTGCCCGCACACATCCCAGTCTTCTCCCTTTCATATCAGTCATCAGTCATCAGTCATCAGTCATGGCACAAGTTCAAGAAGAACACAAAGACGATGCCTCGACTGGTCCTCCCGCGGGATTGATCGGTCGTTCGTTGGCAACGCTCTCAGCCGCGTAAGTCGTTTCCACCACCGCCGTCGGCTAGCTCGGCGACTCGAGTGGGCCTCAAATTGAACTCAGAAGCTGACGCATGCAGTGGCGATCCCGTACAGATGGACACAACGCGCTCTGGTGCAGACTGCGTTGGTCACGACGGCGAGGTTCTATACCATTGGATGTGAGTCGCAGTCGTCGCCGGCTTCGTTGGGCTAGAATTCGAGCTCCGCGACTTGGAGGAGCCGGAGCGGACATCACCGTGTGGGCGCTCCGCGTCGCTCGCCCGCACCTTTCTCGCAAAAACACACTCGGCAATTGGTCGCTAGGAGTTCGGCGCTCGGGCATGTCGACTTATGCGACACGCCTCAGCTACCTACCGGCATTGGAAACAATGTGTTGTGAATCTGCACTAAATCTGACTCCATTCCACCACATGTTTTCTTTGCAGGCGGCCACGAGGCATGGGATCTGCGCACCGCCCTCTTCATCGGCATCGCTCGAGCCGTCTCGGAGGAATCGAAGAAAAGGCAAGACCCCAATGCCGTTCTCGATCCCGCAAAGGTTTGTTTTCTCTTAATTACTTGTATTGCGCTTCATATCTCGTAAATTAACCTTTGATGCCTTCACTTTTGGCGTGAAACAGGCGACGCAATCCGCACGCAAGAGGCTCGTCACGCTCGAGATGAAGAACCCAAAGTTCGGCGCGTGCGTCGAAATTAAGATCCCCGTCAAACCCAAGCGAGGGCTGGGTGGGATCTTGGAGTTGCTCGATCAGGAAGAAGAGGTGGGGAGAGAGATTCCGGTGAGTTCAAGGGTCTGGGAATGTAGTCGTACAGTTCGCATGAGCCGATGCTGACGGGTTGTTGCTGGTTAGGCTGAATGGCAACTACACAAAGATGTCAAGGGCAAGGCGAACGAGAGAGTGCTGCTTTACTTCCATGGTGGTGGATACACTCGTAGGTCCCCAATGGGATGTCCGTCATCTCGTCTGCGTGTGCTAACTCCGTCTCATCCTCTCACGCCAGTGCTCAACCCAAGGACTCATCGACCAATTTCGCTTCACCTCTCTCAGGAGCTCGGCTGCCGCGTGCTGTGTGAGTCGCACTGTCCTCTATCTCAAGTTTGAAAGGCGTCTCTGATCAATGTGTATACTGTCCGTAGCTGTCGACTACCGACTCGCTCCAGAAACCGTCTTCCCTGGCGCTCTTTACGATGCCGTGACCTCGTACCTCTACCTGACCGAAGAGCTCAAGGTGTCACCTTCCAACGTCCTCATCGGCGGTGACAGTGCTGGTGCTGGACTGTGCCTCTCGTTGATGCTCTACCTCCGCGATACCAAGATGAATCAAGTAGCAGGTGCGATCCTCTTGTCCCCGTTCTGCGATATCACTCATTCGTTGCACTCCTGGGAGTCGAATGGGGTAGGTCCAAGCATCCCTGCGCATGTTCTTGGTCTGGGTGAAACTAACCATTCTACTTTTATCCAGCACCTTGACTACCTCAGCGTCCCCGTCGACCCCTCCCCCTTGAACCCAGCCAAACTCTACGCCCCCTCCAACGCTTTGCACCCCTACGTCACCTCCGTCTTGGCAGACCACCAAAACCTTCCGCCTCTCCTCCTCCAAGCCGGAGGCGCCGAAACCCTTCGCGACGAAGTGACGCTCTTGGCCCATCGTGCCGATCGTGCGGGCGTCGATGTGACGCATGAGATTTATGATTCGGGGGTGCATGTGACGCATCTTCTCTTTGAGAGCGAATTGGCGAGGGTTTGTAGGATCCAAGTCGGGGTATGGGCCAAGAAGGTTCAGGGGCCGGAGAAGTTGAAGACTAGGAGCGAGGGGTGGAGTGAGGTCGATGCGTTGTTCGGATCGGAATGGAAGAGATTGGAAGGGAATGCGACCGACGGTGGTGCGAACAAGAGTGGTGGAGCGGAGAAGAAGGCGACTCCTCAACCGGCGTACATTTTCGAACCTGTTGTTCAAGAAGCGCCCCAAATTCATCTGCGCCAGAACGCGAACGAGGAGGTTGCCAAAGCCGTCGAGGAGGACGCCGAGTACAAACCTAGGAAAGGCCTGACGACGATTTTTGTCCCCAAGAGGAACCCCAAGGCGGGGCTGGTGGGTCAAGTCCGAGGGGTGTTGCATTTGTGAACAAGAGAAGTATCCGTGGAAGTGATGTCGTATCGTTTGGAGAAAGTACTTTCTTGTAGTGAAATGATGACTGGTTGATTATCGATTATCGAACAGAAATCCATGACAGATAGAAAGGCGACTACTAGGAACTGCGACATATCCCCCTGAGGTGACTGGTAAAACCCTCAAGCCGTTAAGCTCCGAACCTCCAAACAGAATAAAGTGTCAATATATTGCTGTTTCATCCCACTGGTATTCCCGATTATGATTAGTTACTAGTTGTTGATATTAGTCGCCCCGCGCGTCTCGAGCCTGCCTCGCGCGCGCTCCCTTAGCGCTTATCTTCTTTCTCCAACGATCTTTACTATCTTCATCGGCTCTCGTACTTACGCACTTCGTGCCTCGGCCTCAGTTCCATGAAAGCTTATGAGCCCACCTAGCCTATCAGCGGCGGGCGACCTCGACGTCCACGGTGACATGGCATCAACGCGTCCACCACCGTCATCAACGTCGTACCATACCAACGACGTCGCCTCCACTACCTCCGTCACGCTCACTAAAGAGCAATTCGACGAGCTGATCAGGAACCAGCGCCCCGCACGGGACGACGACGCATTCTCCATGCGTCAGCGCCTACCCCCAGCCAACCCTCCGGTCTTCCCCGACGACTCGAAACTTACGGAGGACAATTACGTTGACTGGGTCCCCACGATGCCGCCATGCCCGCCCTCTTGGGCTGGATTCAACGCTCGGACGAATCGAGCGACGGTCCCCGTTGCGAAGGCGGTCGTACCGACCAAACGCTCTGCACCAGGCAAGAAGGGAAAATGGGATCGTTCTGGTCCTGCCCCGAGCAACTGCCCAGCTTGTGGTCAAGGCAAACACTGGCTCGACAAGTGTCCGGAATCGCGCAAGCGAGCCAAGTACCTCGAGCTCAAGAACGCCATGAAGGAACTCCAAGGCTCATCATCGCCTGCGTCCACGTTCGTGGCCACCGAGGCAGCATCCAAGGATCAACACCTGTCCGTCGTTTCTTCTGCTACGTTTGTCAACATCGGGCCACCGGCGGAAATCCTTCTGCTAGACTCGGCGTCGGCGTGCCACGTCGTCAACGATGCGTCCTTCTTTGACGGCCCCCTTTCGCCTACCCCGCAAGTCCTGCAAGGTCTAGGGGGAACGGTGAAGGCCTCGGGAATCGGCTCGGTCAAGCTCGTCTCCGATAATGGTACCAGGTTCACCCTCAACGACGTGATCTACGCCCCCGAGAGCCCTGCCAATCTCATCTCAGTCCGGGCCTTCGACCGCAAAGGCGTTCGCATCACCTTCGAACACGGACAAGTCGAGCTCCGCACGCCGCAAGGGTGCATCGCCACAGCATCAGCCATCGCGTCCTGCGTTTACAAACTCAACGCTTCGGTCCAAGCTGCCAGCAAAGATGCGCGACACACCCTCGTTGCCACCAAGTCCAATAGGCTACCTTTACTTACCCTTCACCGGCGCTACGGCCACGCCTCTGTCCAGACACTTAAAAAACTGGCGGCCTCTGGCCAGGTGGAGGGTTTAGATTGGCCCTATAGTGACTTCGAGTGTGATGGCTTCACCTGCAACGCGTGCCTTGCCTCCAAAGCGCATCGTTTGCCTTTCCCCTCTTCGTCGTCGCATGCCGCGGAACCACTCGCATTGGTGCACTCGGACGTCTTATCTTTCCCCGAGGAATCCTTAGGCCATAAGCGATACCTCGTCACGTTCATCGACGACTTCTCGAGGAAGACTTGGGTTTACCCCATCGGGCACAAGAGCGAGGTCCTTCAGACATTCAAGGATTGGCTTCTGGAGATCGAAAACGCCACGGGTCGCAGGGTCAAAACACTTCGCTCGGACAACGGGGGCGAGTATGTCTCTACCGCTTTCAACGGCTATTGCGTGGCCCGCGGAATTCATCGCGAATTGACCATACCGTACACACCCGAGCAAAACGGTCGGGCTGAGCGAGCCAACCGGTCGATCGTCGAGGGCACCCTGGCTCTACTGTCTCACTCGGGACTCCCACGATCGTGCTGGGACGAGGCTGCCATGTGTTACATTCACGCCAAGAACCTCTCGCCTCACGCGGCCCTTGGTGGAGCCATCCCAAACAGTCGTTGGTCGGGCCACACACCAAGCGTAGGGGGTCTTCGGGCATTCGGTTGTCGCGCTTGGACCACCGTGCCGGCTCACCGACGGGACAAGCTCGACCCAAAAGGGATTCCTCTGGTCTTCGTCGGGTACGATCGACACGCGAAAGCCTACCGTCTTCTCGATCCTTCCTCCATGCGTGTGAGTCTGGGCCGCAATGTGACGTTCGTAGAAACCGAGTTCCCCTTCGCTATCGCGCCCACCCGAGTGACGCAGCCGTCCATCCCGGGTTACGCCCCCCAGCCCCCACCCGTCGAAGCTCCAACACCCGTCGAGCCTCCCCCACGGCCACCGGCCCCAACGCCTGTCGAGGCACCCGCGTCGCCCGCATCGACCAGCTCGGCCGACAACGACGACGCCTCATCGACCACGAGCGCAACGACGGAGTCAGCCGTGAACCTGCCGCAACCACCTCCGGATCCAGCTCCACTCGCCAAAGTCAAGCCGAGTTGGGAGTACGGCGACGTCGCCAAGGTTGGTCCCGATCCAGGGAAGTACGGTGAAGTCGACGCTCGAAACATCATTGATGGCCCCCGGACTCGCCGCCAACCCGTTCCCACCATGATCACGCGGGAACAGCCAGTCGACGGCACCGACGGACCCACCGCCTCTTTCAAGAGCCTGCTCCTTGCCTTCGCATCCACCAAGGCCGGCTTCGCAGATCATGACTTGTCGGTTGTTCGCGATCCGGCAAATTGGGGCGACGTCATCCGATCGGGACAAGAGGACGTTTGGGGCGCTCCGGCACAGGATGAATTCGATTCGCTTCTGAACGATTACGAGGTCTTTCAAATCGTCGAATCCTGTGAGCTCCCAGCGGGTGAGATCCTCCTGCGGTCGGGCTGGGTGTTCCGGACTAAACGCAACCAGCATGGCGACATCACCGATCACAAGGCCCGACTTGTTGCTCACGGATGTGCCCAACGCCCTGGCCTTGACTTCGAGAAGACCTACGCCCCTGTCGTCAAATTCACGTCCATTCGAGCCCTCATCGCACTCGCCGCGGCCAACGGCTATCACGTCCATCAGGCCGACGTCAACAAGGCGTATTTACACGGCAAACTTGACAAGCCTCTCTACATGCGCGTCCCTCAGGGCATAAACCTGCCAGGCAAGATCCTCAAGCTGTCCAAATCCATCTACGGCCTTCGCCAGGCCGGCACCATCTGGAACGCTGAGATCGACTCGACTCTGCGGTCCCTCGGATACGTCCCCACCAGGTCTGACATCTGTATCTACCGCCGCGAACACGACGGGCACTCACACTATATTGCCTTGTACGTCGACGACTTGCTTTTGGTTGGTCCCTCTACCGCCGAAATCGAGCGGGTGCTGGACGCGCTGGAACTCGCATACGGCATCAAACGTCTCGGACCTGCCGAATATATTCTAGGCATCCAAGTCAAACGTGGACAAGACGGCTCTATCACGCTCTCACAAGAGCGCTACCTTCGGGACATCCTTGCCAGGTTCCAATTCACCGATGCCAAGCCGGCAAGTATTCCAATGCAGCCAGGTGTCGTCCTTGACTTCGAGGACTTGGCGGCCACTCCTCAGGATCGTACGCGCTACTTGCAGGCCATCGGTTCGTTGATGTACGCCGCAGTTGGAACTCGTCCGGACCTCGCCTTCGTGGTCAGCTACCTCGCTCGCTTCTCCCAGCAGCCTGGCCCGGAGCATTGGACAGCCATCAAGCAGGTCCTCCGTTACATCAAAGGCACGCTGGACTTGGGCCTCACCTATCGCAAGACCAGCCAACCACTCCATGGCTACTCGGATGCGAACTGGGGAGCCTGTCTAACGACCTCACGATCGACCATGGGCTACGCGTTCATCTTGTCCGGAGCCGCTATTGCTTGGTGCTCCAAACGCGAGCACAGGGTGGCCAAGTCCACTACCGACGCAGAGTACCTCTCTCTTTCGTACACAAGCGGTGATGCCATCCACCTGAGCGAACTCCTGGCTGAACTTGGCGCTCCGGTCTCCGGTCCAGTCGTACTCTACGGGGACAACCAAGGTTCGCTGGCTCTTGCGCAGCACCCGACCAACCATCAGGGGTCTCGTCATGTTCGCATCTCGGAACATTACGTCCGCGAGAGGGTAGCTGAGAAGGAGATCGAGGTCCGCTACATCGCCACCGGCGACATGATTGCCGATATTTTCACCAAAGCCTTGGGTCCCAAGCCGTTCATCTTCCATCGGGAGAATTTGGGTTTGCGAGGTGCAGTGGTATGACAGCACGGGGGGGGTGTCAATATATTGCTGCTTCATCCCACTGGTATTCCCGATTATGATTAGTTACTAGTTGTTGATATTAGTCGCCCCGCGCGTCTCGAGCCTGCCTCGCGCGCGCTCCCTTAGCGCTTATCTTCTTTCTCCAACTATCTTTACTATCTTCATCGGCTCTCGTACTTACGCACTTCGTGCCTCGGCCTCAGTTCCTGAAATAAAGTAACCTCGACCGCCTCACATCTCCCCCCTTAACCCTCACTTCGAGCCCTCAGGCTTCTTGCCCGGACGTCTCGCGGGATGGATTGGGTGTTGATGCTGGTGCCGATGGTTTGCTGGGGGTTGAAGTAGACTTCAAATCTGGATTCGAATCTGATTCTCCCAGGACGTTCTTTCACGAGCTGAAGCCGAGGAACGAAGTACGTAAGTACGAGAGCCGATGATGATAGTAAAGATAGTTGGAGAAAGAAGATAAGCGCTAAGGGAGCGCGCGCGAGGCTGGCTCGAGACGCGCGAGGCGTCTAATATCAACAACTAGTAACTAATCATAATCGGGAATACCAGTGGGATGAAACAGCAATATATTGACACGTTCGCCCATCAAAGCTCCGGTCTTGAGCCCGAGGACCTGGACCGGCACCGAGGCCGTCCCAACTTTCAAGGCAGGTCGAGACCGGCAGTCTGTGGAACTGCGAGAAGCCAGCCTTGCCGGGCCAATGACGAGAGAGGGTCCGGCAGTTGGGGGCGAGCAGGCGAGCCGGCGCGACGATGAGACAGGAGCCTGTTCGCGAGTGGTTCCGAGGGTGCAGGGGCAGCAGGGCCAGGAAGACGGACGCGTAATGAGGGCTTGCGCCTGGGTCACCACGTAGCAAGGTGTTTATCACATTGTAAAGTGATCTTTTTAGTCGCTGACCTAGCTGAATCGTGTACGCGCTTTGGAACCTTCTGAAATGGCCTTCCTTCGGAACCGCCGCCACGCATAGTCACCAACGGCGATCGTCAAAAAATCACACGCGCGTCTCTGGATTCCGACGCCTAAACACGCTGATCTTCACACCTGAACGGGGCATGCAGGGGAAGCATGAGCTCGAGAGCACAGTGAGAAACAGTCAAAACCAAGGAAGCTCCAATGAGGACCGTCGCGGTGAGTTTTGGTGGGAAACCCGACGCCGATCTTGCAGCTCGCCGAGTCCCGCGCTCACGACAACTTGGCCTTCGGACAGCTCTAGCTCGGCCAATACGGGCCCAAATGGACTGGAAAAAACACCGTTGGGCTTCTCAGACCTTTGTGTACCCGAAAATGAGCGTTCAGGTCGCACATGGGAAGGTCAAAAAAAATGATTTCATATTGTTGTGGAGTGCTCTGTCTGACACAGCGCCGGTGGGTTAGGGGTATACTTGGACATTGCCATTGTCTAGACCTGGGTTCGAGTCCCAGTCGGCGCATTCTCTTTTTGCTGTTTGTTTGAGCATTTGATTCCACCGGAATTAGCTGTTGGACCAAGTGTTTTTGTTCGCGCGTCGCTGTGCAGAGAGTGGGCGAATTAGCCTCTCGGAATTGGGCCTGAACGGGGGGCGAGGAATATTGCGCGGGAATGCCCGGGCGGCCGTCCCGTCTCCGAAGTCAAACGGCTGCTTACGGCTGCTTACGGCTGCTTATACTCGCGCCACAGACCCCACTCCCAACGCGCTCCCGCTCTCGCTCTGCCTGCTCCGCCCATCCATCTCCTTCAACATGCTCGCTCTCCGATCCAGTTCGAGAGTGAGTTTTGGGGTGCTCTCCCTTTTTTTGGTGGCTGTGCTGTTGCTGATGCTCCGATGCGCCTGCACACAGTCTCTTGTGCGTGCGACGAGTCGGTGGCAGCCCGTGTTTGCGCGTGGGTTGGCGACCGCGTCCGATCCGTACGACGTGGTGGTGATTGGTGGCGGTGAGTCAGCACGGAAGCTGCGTGGGCTCAGCTCAAACCTGGAGGGAGGAGCATCGTGTGCTGTCTTTGCGGCGCGGATCGGATCCGAGTCGATTGGGCTCCGCAACCGACCGAGGCCACCACGGCCCAACCAGCGGCGGCGGCCGATCCCGACGGCTCATCTCCGGCATCTCCGGTGACGCATCCACACACCCTGTGGTCGACACTGTACTGACTAGTAGGATCGTATATCCCATCTACCCCACCTCTTTCGTTCTCGGGAATGCGCGCTCATTCACGACCACCCCGCGGCCGATCGCTGCAACGTCCCGACCTCGGTTCGTCCCGGCTCGCACGACCTTGTTGACTCTCAGGACCCGGTGGATACGTTGCCGCCATCAAGGCCGCTCAAGTCGGTCTCAAGGTCAGTCTTACGTCCCGGCTCTCCTGTGATCGGGCGGGCGGAGGAAATGCAGCCTCAGCAGAGCTCTTCCCTTCTCCTTCGTGCCCGCGTCCGCCACGTACTTTTGTCGAGTGAGCACCACTCTCTTAACACTCTCACCTCCACCCCACTCTCTCCCTCATCGTAACAGACGGCTTGCATCGAGAAGCGAGGATCGCTGGGAGGGACATGTCTCAACGTCGGCTGCATCCCTTCCAAGGCCATGCTCAACAACTCGCACATCTTCCACCAAACCCTGCACGACACCAAAGCCCGAGGAATCGATGGTCAGTCCACTACGCGCCATGCAGTCACCGACGCCTTGCACTGACTTTTGTCATTCACACACGCGCACACTCGACACAGTCGGTGAGGTCAAGTTGAACTTGCCCGTGATGCTTGACGCCAAGAACAAATCCGTGGCGGCGTTGACCGGCGGTGTCGAGTACCTGCTCAAGAAGAACAAGGTCGACTACATCAAGGGTGAAGCCTCGTTCGCCTCCGCGACCGAGATTGATGTCGCCCTCCTCGATGGTGGCAACACCCAAGTCTCGGCCAAGAACGTCATCATCGCCACCGGATCCGAGGTGACGCCCTTCCCCGGCATGGAGATTGACGAGCAACAGATCGTCTCGTCGACCGGTGTCCTGGACCTGCAAAAGGTGCCCGAGAAGTTGGTCGTCATTGGTGCCGGTGTCATCGGTTTGGAGATGGGCTCCGTCTGGTCCCGGTTAGGCGCCAAGGTCGAGGTCGTCGAGTTCTTGGGCGGCATCGGAGGTGCCGGTATCGACGCCGGCATCGCCAAGGCGTTCCAAAAGATCTTGACCAAGCAGGGCATCAAGTTCTCGCTCAACACCAAGGTGCTCGGCGCGACCAAGAAGGATGGCAAAGTCTCGCTCGAGATCGAGGGGGCCAAGGATGGCAAGAAGTCGACGATCGAGGCCGACGTCGTACTCGTCGCGATCGGGCGTCGCCCCGTGACCAAGGGCTTGAACTTGGACAAGATCGGTGTCGAAGTCGACAACCGAGGGAGGATCGTCATCGACTCCGAGTTCAACACTTCGGTCAAGAACATCAAGTGCATCGGTGATGTCACCTTCGGGCCCATGTTGGCCCACAAGGCCGAGGAGGAGGGTATCGCCGCCGTCGAGTACATCAAGTCCGGCCACGGTCACGTCAACTACTCTGTGCGTTCTTTTTTTTTGCAGGCTTGGCTGTTGGACTGGACTCCCAGCTGACCTTGCGCCTGACTGAATACACTCACTCTGAACAGGCAATCCCTTCGGTCGTGTACACGCACCCCGAGGTCGCATGGGTCGGCAAGACCGAGGAGGACCTCAAAGCCGAGGGCATCAAGTACAACATCGGCTCGTTCCCCATGGTCGCCAACTCGCGTGCCAAGACGAACAATGACACGGACGGTTTGGTCAAGGTTTTGACGGAGAAGGAGACCGACAAGGTTCTTGGATGCCACATCGTCAGTGCTATCTCTTCCGAAATCGTGGGTCTGGGGCGCCTTAGCTGACCCGGTTAACGTTGTTCGGGTAATTCAGATCGCTTCCGCCGCCGGTGACATGATCGCCGAGATGGTGCTTGCTATCGAGTACGGTTCGAGCGGTGAGGACGTCGCAAGGACGACCCACGCCCACCCCACGGGTCAGTTCATCCCCTCACCACGCGATGTGCTTTTCGGACTGCTATTGACACGCTGCGTCCTCTTTCCCACTTGCAACAGTTTCCGAGGCCGTTAAGGAGGCGGCTTTGATGGCCTCGAGTGGAAAGGCCATCAACTTTTGATCGGACCAGTTCTTTTCTTCCTCTTTACATGATCCCTTCCTTCATTCTGTTACTAGTTTTTGTGTGTTTTCGGCATGGGCAATGGAAATCTGAATGGACCAAAAAGGGAAGCCAGGATGGTGCATTGGTTGAAGAGAGGCCCGAGCGCGGCCCGACATGTAAGACGGGTTCTCGGATCCCAATCGCTTTATGTCCCTGACAGGGTAGACAACACAATCATCATTTTCGCTCATGGGTTCCAGCCGAATCCGCGATCTGCCCGACTTTCGTGCGGACCAGTGGGAGGCTGGCGTTGAGCTTAGTGGGCTACGTCATCCTCGGGATCGAGGCGAGCAGGCCGATCGCCCGATGCCGACGTTGCTTCTCGCTTCAAACACTCGCGGCGGCTACCTACGGTGCTCGATTTGCAGCTTGTCATTTTGATCCTGGAAGTGGAGGGAGTGTGACGATGACGTAGTTTAGGCGGATCGCTCACCTCGGTCATGTTTTATTCTGGCCGGAAGCGAGTGCGTGTGTGCCATGACATGGGCGTCTGCGCCGGCAGCAGTCAGTGCTCGGTGGTTCTCCGATCCGTTTGGCCCCCACTTGTCAGAGCGAGTTTTTTCTTTCCTTTCTCTCCCTCCTCTCAACCCATAGACTCCTCCGTCACTTACACAATCGTCCCATCCTACATCCTACACCATGAGCTCCGATCTTCAATTCAAAGGCTACGCCATCCACGACACCAAGAAGTTCACCGAGTTCGAGGTGATTGACTTCCAGTGAGTTTCCAGCTCGGTTGGATCTTTTCCGATCCGACTCGTTCTCTCGGTCGCCCCAGGTTGCTGCCTCCGAGTCGCGGCGCCACTGCGACTCAGACTGGGTCAGCTACCGCTGGTCCAGGCATGAAGAACGATTCAGGAGCAGTTTGGTCGTAAACAACACTAACCTCATGTCGACTCCCTCCACCTCAACCAGGCCCAAGACTTTCGGTGATTACGACATCGAGATCAAGGTCAGTTTCTTCGCGGGCACGACGAGCATGTCTCAACTGTGATCGCCGAGGCTGACATTATCGAGTTACTCGCAACTCTTTTGAAAATAGATCAACTGCTGTGGTATCTGCTCTTCCGATGTTCACACCATCACGGGTGGCTGGGGTGAACCCATTCTTCGTGAGTCAACCGATAGTTTTCAGGCTCAGCGCACCAGTCCCAGTTCAGCTTATTAATCGTCTTCCTGCGATTCTCAAAATAGCCATGATCACCGGTCACGAAGTGGCGGGTGTGGTTACGCGCGTTGGCTCGAAGCACTCTGGCGAGTTCAAGGTCGGTGACCGAGCCGGTGTCGGCGCCCAAGTCTGCTCGTGCTTCGAGTGCGATCCTTGCAAGACCGACAACGAGAACTACTGCGTCAAGGGCGGCGTCGACACCTACAACGCCAAGTACGAGAACGGAGAGATCGCCCACGGTGGTTACTCGACCGGTATCCGTGTCCACGAACGCTTCGTCTTCAAATTGCCCGACGCGCTTTCGGACGAGGATGCGGCCCCTATGCTCTGCGGTGGCCTGACCGTCTTTGCCCCGCTCAAGAACCACGGCGTCAAAGAGGGCAGCAAGGTCGCGATCGTCGGTATCGGAGGACTCGGTCACTTTGCCGTTCAGTTCGCCAAGGCCCTCGGTGCCGAGGTCACGGCTTTCTCTCACCAGGCCGACAAGGAGAAGGATGCGCGAGCGATGGGCGCCTCGGACTTTGTGCTGACGTCCAAGAAGGACTTTGCCAAGGACTACGCGCAAAAGTTCGACCTCGTACTCTCGACCGTCGACGATGCCGCCGGATTGCCGATCGCCGAATTGATCTCGATGTTGCGCCTGTTCGGTGTCTTCCACTCGGTCGGCCTGCCCGACAAGCCGGTCCCTGAGCTCAAGTTTCAGGAGCTGGCCGGCAACGGCGCGTCGATCGCGGTCAGCCACATCGGGTCCAAGAAGCAGGCCAACGAGATGCTTGCTTTGGCCGCCGAGAAGGGCGTCAAGACGTGGAAGGAGATCCTCCCGATGAAGGATGCGGGCAAGGGTGTGCAGGGCGTCAAGGACAACAAGGTCCGATACCGCTACGTCCTCAAGGTCGACATTTGAAAAACAGGTTAGGTGTCGATTTTTTCGAAGGATTCGATGCGAATCTGCAAGGCTTGCGCGAGGTGGCTCGTTGTTTGTATAGTTCTCTGGTTGATGCAGGAGATGATGAGAACTGATGCAGTATCGCAAACAAAAATGAAATCAATGTACATATGCGAATCGGACTTGAGTTGTCGAGGCGAGCGGCGCATGTGAGGAGCCGCGGCGGTGGTTGAAACTTGCGCGAGCTGGGCAGCCCCGTCAACTGATGTAGTTGAACAGCGACAGCATCGTATGTCGTCGAGCCTTGGATCTTTTTCTTTCACCAAAGAGAAGTAAAACCGATAAACATACTTTTCCGCTCCCAGCTGTGGACCTGTGGTCATGGTCCGTCGTCTTCGGAGTGAATTCGGACATAAGCAACGTCGAGCCGAGCACGTTGACTCGGCCCGGTTTCGCACAGCGCGCGAGAAGGCGCGGGTGCAGATTGGACCGACAGCGAACGAGCTCGACGCTTGTTCAACCCTCAACTCCTTTGTTTCCTCCACCTTTCCTTCGCTTCGCTCACATCCTCAACATGACGCACACTCCTATGCGGTATCTGTCGACACGAGGCGGCGACGAGCGGCTCACGTTCGAACAGGTCAGTTGGTCGTTCCTGGCGATTTGCCCGATGTCTGGGCGAGGGTCGGGCGCAGTGGCAGCTTGCAGAAGCAACGGAATATGATACCGTAATCCATCGAGACGATGCCCCGGTTGTCGTTGCACCGGCTGCTTCGTCGTGGAAGCTGGAACGATGAGCCTCCTCGTCCGGCCCCAAACCCCAGCTCAGCTTAGCTCAGCTTGATGAGCCTCTTACACCCTTCAGATTCATGCTGACCAGCTCCGATTGTACCACAGACCGTCTTGACAGGTTTGGCACCCAACGGAGGTCTCTACATCCCCGAGCACCTGCCGCAACTGCCCGAGAACTGGGAATCCGACTGGGCCGAGCTGCCCTTCACCGAGCTCGCTCTCAACATCCTTTCCCTCTTTGTCGACGCCGACGAGATCCCGCGAGAGGACCTCAAGCGACTCATTGAACGATCGTACGCCACCTTCCGCCACCCCGACATCGCCCCGCTGCACCAGACCGGTGAGCGTGAATACGTGCTCGAACTCTTCCACGGCCCAACCTTCGCCTTCAAGGATGTGGCGCTCCAATTTCTCGGCAACCTGTTCGAGTACTTTTTGCAACGCAAGAACGAGGGCAAGAACGACGCCGAGAGGGAACGTCTGACCGTCGTCGGTGCGACGTCCGGTGACACCGGCTCGGCCGCCATCTACGGTCTGCGATCCAAGCAGGACATCTCCATCTTCATCCTCCACCCCAAGGGGCGAGTGTCCCCCATCCAGGAAGCGCAGATGACGACCGTCACCGACGCCAACGTCTTCAACTTGGCCGTCGAGGGCACCTTCGACGACTGCCAGGACATCGTAAAGGCGCTCTTCTCGGACGCCGAGTTCAACGCCGAGTACCGTCTCGGTGCGATCAACTCGATCAACTGGGCGCGCATCCTCGCGCAGATCGTCTACTACTTCTCTTCCTACTTTGCCGCGCGCAAGTTGATCGGCCCCGAGGCCAAGGTCCAATTCGCGGTCCCGACGGGCAACTTTGGTGACGTTCTGGCTGGGTACTACGCCAAGCGATTGGGCCTGCCGTCGCAGCAGTTGGTCGTCGCGACCAACGCGAACGACATCTTGACCCGCTTCTGGAAAACGGGCCGATACGAAAAAGCCGATCCGTCAACTTCCGAGGCTCAGGTTGCTCAAACTGAGGTCGTCAATGGCTCGACCGATGGCAAGCAAGCTGCCGCCGCCGTCGCTGAGACCCTGTCCCCAGCGATGGACATCCTCGTCTCGTCCAACTTTGAGCGTCTCTTATTCTACCTCGCATTGGAAGGGTGCACCGCTTCCGCCGTCGCCAAGGACGGTGAAGTCGACGGTGGACAGAGGGCAAAGGTCCGATTGGCGGCTCAACATGTCGCCGAGTGGATGGACAAGCTCAAGACTGAAGGGAGGGTCGTCGTGCCTGATGAGGCGGTCAAGATCGCCCGTAGGGATATGATCGCAGAACGGTGTTCGGATGAGCAGGTGATTAATTTGTCACTCATTGGTATCATATAATTGACTCTGTATGCTGATCTCTCGTGTCCCTTCAGACGACCGCGACGATCCAACAATACTTTACGAACGGAGACAAGTTCGGATCCTACGTTGCGGACCCGCATACCGCCGTTGGGCTTTACGTCGCCAACAAGGTCGCCAAGACAAAGTCAGCACACAGCTCACGCCTTGATAAAGTTTCCAGGAGCTGATCAGTGTGCGCTCTCTCTCTCTCTTGAACAGTCCTTCCGATGTCGTCCAGATCGTGCTTTCGACGGCCCACCCGGCCAAATTCAACGCCGCCGTCGCCGACGCCCTCCGATCGCAGCCCTCGTTCGACTTCAAGCGCGATGTTCTGCCCAAGGAATTCGAGGGTCTCTTGGAGAAGGAGAGGAGGGTCATCGACGTCAAGGGGACCAAGCAGGCCGTGCAGGACGTCGTCATTGAGCAGGTCAAGAAGCTGAGGTCCGTGGGGGGGAGTGAGGTTGCCACGACGGCGGAGAACGGCGCGAGTTTGTAGGGTGCGCGAAATTGCCCGTGGAATCCGAAAGTCACATTTCGGAACCCATGGGAAGTTAGGAATTGCGGTTTCGTGTCCCCGGCATCTTCCAAACCTCGGCCATGTGGTACCGCGCCTTGGTGAGGGGCTTTGGGATCGGGTGGAGCGAACCGCGCGGCGAACGTTGCCCTCCTTCGAAACGGTTCGAAGGTCGGTCTCCAACTTTAGGTATGAAGCAAATCCTTCATTTTCCGTGGGAGCAAACTTCGAGGGTTTCCCTTCCCAATTTTCCCTGAACCTGATCATAAAGGTGAAAGTCGTGAGCGCTTTCATGCTCTCCCTGTCCAGACAAGCGCTGAGTTGCAGGAGGTCTGTTTTCGACGCTTCACCAAGAAGTAAGATGTGCTCAAGCAGGTATGTCGCACCTCAATTCGATTCGGAGATATGACTTTAACTGCCTTGGCTCACGCTGCGTCATTGAAAGAACAGGTACAGGGCCTAAAGGTTGAGGTGCAAAAGATATGATAGTTTGCCAGGCTCTGCAGCGTGAGCCGCCAAGATCTGTGACTTTCACTGTTGATACAAATCCAGTGCTGGAAGTGGCAGCAGACTCTGATCACTGTGACGTGTGCTTTCATGGAGTACATAGGGACCTAGCTTAATACATCAAGTGCCGCCAAGGTAGCTCGTGAGCGTGGTTTGTGCGAATGATCACATTCTGGTTGTGCGATTGATCGAATTTTGAACAGGGGCGAGGCCTTCAACGAAGCGGGATCGGTGTAGTTCGACGAAACATGTTGAGGAGTTGGACTGCAAACGTTCTGCCACCGTTCCGATCTTCGCGATGTCCCTGACCGTTCGGATTGCTGGAACAGATTGGTGTTTGGACGGCTTGGCCACGTTCGCCATCTCGGTAAAAGGTCTGACGATCATGAGCCAACGGGTCGGCGCAACCAGTTGTGACATGTGAGGTCCCACCTTTACCTGCAAAGCCGGTTTGAATCATAGAGAGCTTCCCTTCCTTCACATTGTCACGTTCACGGCTAAACCTTACGATGACGAAGCTGTCGCTCCCTATTACGGCAAGGACTAAGAGGTACTCCACGACTCAGCTCCGAGATACACGAGTGAGATGAAGAATAGCGTGGAGAAGGACTCAGGATAGGACCGACTTGTCTCCAACGCAATGGACTTTGGCACCCGAGTCGATGATCCATGGAAAACGTGGCATCGTTCGAGAATAAGGGAAAGTGTAGGTCATCAATGCAGATTCATCTCACCTCGGCGTACGAGATGTGGGACACCCTCCGAGGCCTCCACTCTCACGGTCGCCCGAGTCGTACTATGGACCTCCTCAATACTCTGGCACCCCTACGCTGGAGATATCCCATTTAAAGAATTCGTCAACAAGTTCAAGATTGCCATGACCGATTTTCAAAACCTCGGAGATCCGCTTCCGCATTGGTTGTTTGCAGGCATGCTCGTTCGGTCGCTCCACAGCCCAGTATGACTCGATCGTTGGGAACCTTGCCTCCGATATCGACATTCACATGGATTGGAACACGTTCTATCCGAAACTCCTGATGAACGTCGAGATGGCTGATTCCCGAAACAAACAAAAGGAATCGTTATTCGCTCGGATCGTTGACGATACCAGCCTCGTCGCCCGTATTTCCACCACGGCGCAAAAGGACTACTCCAAGTCGTACTGTTCGCGCTGCAAAGCACTGGGACACGAGCGTGGTTGGCGTCTCTGTCCAAGCAGGAACAAACGGATGCGAGCGCTCCCGTTTCCTCGGACTCAAACTCGAACGTAGCTGCCATTGGTGTAGATGAATCTGCATTGATGACCTACACTTTCCCTTATTCTCGAACGATGCCACGTTTAAAGAATTCGTCAACAAGGTCAAGATTGCCATGACCGATTTTCAGAACCTCGGAGCTCCGAGGTCGAATTGGCGATGTATTTGCATGCCAAGTCGTTGCGGCGGATGGCCCGTTCGCGATATTCCGCGACCTTGTCCGCAACTTGAACGCTGGTGAGCCTGGGCAATTCGTCCGAGTGCGCAGAACCAGAGCCCCCCCCCCCCCCCCAAGCCCGCTAAAGCCGGGGGAGGCTGGTTCAAGTGGCGCGACGGACGCCGTTGGATGTGCGATAACGAGCGTGGACCGATAGTCCGCGACAAGGGAGTCGATGGATTGGTTGACGACATCCCATAGTTTGTCGGCTCGAAGATTGATGAACGCACGTTGTGACCAGCTCTTGTACCCTTGTGTCCTTGAGGTACAAGCGATTGCCCGACCCGTTAGGGAAGTCGGATTCGCTCGTTGAGCTCATAACCTATTAAGACAAGGACTAAGAGGTACTCCACGACTCAGCTCCGAGATACACGAGTGAGATGATGAGAATAGCGTAACTTTGCAGTAACTAACCTAAGAGGTACTCCACGACTCAGCTCCGAGATACACGAGTGAGATGAGAATAGCGTGGAGAAGGAACCCAGAAGGAGAAAAGACGCAAAGACAGAGATAGGCGCGCGCGCAGAATAAGGAGTTAACCAAGACTAATAGCAATGAGTTAGGCGCTCAGACCCCGCCTCTAACACTCCCCGCAGGATTCCTTGCACTTTGTGCAGTTGGTCACCTTGAACTTGGCCTGGGCAGTTTTCCGAAACGTCTGCCGACGTGCGGCTGTGCACGTCCGGCGCCTGGCCAGTGGTCCACTACGCGCCATTCTTGCAGAACGTTCGCGGGTGGCGTGTGCATCGAGTCAAGGAGAACGGACTTGACAAAGCCGCTCTGGAATGTTTGATCGCAGCTCTCGCCAATTGTGAAGGGATCTGTAAGTCGGATGCTCGGATCGGAGCATCGGTTGAGGCCAAGCTGAGCCTGCGGGCTCAGTTGGTGCAAAGTACGTGATGCTGAGCACTCTAAGCGATAAGACTGGGGAGATTATCGTCTTGGAGCGCGAACAGCGGGTTCCGGGTTCCGGGTTCCAGGGATATGGGAAACCGTTTGAGGAAACCGTTCGTTTGATTGTGAAACTATGACCTGGCCCTACTAGCCCTGGCCCTCGAGAAAGTCCTCGTCAACGCAATTGCGCCGTGGCGGACAGCGCACGATGCCCACCCTACGGTCGCGATGGACCTGCAACGGTGACCATGAATTGACCCGACAACGGCATCCCATTCTAGAAGTCTCTCTGGAGTAGTGGCTGGTCACTATCACAGGAAAAAAAACTCCCAAAATACACCTGCATGTTTGTGCCACGTGCAAGAGGAATCGCGACCTCAAGTCGGAACGAGAAGTTGCAACGCGGGGTTACCAAGGTGAAGTGGAGAGCAGATTCACCAAAGATCCGGAACTGTGCCTGGAAATCCAAATCAAATGAGTTGATTTATGCAGATCTTCCCGATTCGAGCTCGTCGATGTTCCGCTGGTCCCTGCTGTCGGCAGACGTGTCACGGATTGAAAAGCCGAGGGCTCGAAGGCCGATCCGTGCACGATTCCAAACTGCCGGTCTTCTCAATTCGGCGGGGAAGAAAATGAGCTCGGTCGGTTTTGAGCAATACGTCAAGTGTATTATGGCATCGACAATTCATCAAAGTTGGTTCGGCTTCTTTGCGGACTCGAGGCCCTGTGCGCGGAGATAGCCCCACTTTTACCGGGAAACCGCAGCGTGATTGAAGCTCCTCAGTAATCCAGAGCCCCCTCGCCTTTCGCCGTTGGGGGAAGCGTGGGTGTTCCGCAACCGAGGGGACGATATCCGCTAATCAAACGCATCATCAGTAGACCCCGCTGAACTTTCCAAAACCGGCCCCCCTTCTCGGACATGTCGCTGACTGTTCGGAGTCCTGAGCACGGCGCTCGAGCCTCGCGATGTCGCAAACTCATTCGCACATCAGACCATTGTTGCGGCTTCCCCTCGCAGTATAGGCACCCCTTGGGACATCTTGGATACCTTTTATTCCTCCTTGAACATCACAAAACCGCTGGTTCGATTCTTCGCCGATATTTCTGAACCTATCACAACAAGCAACTCTCGAGCTGCATCATCTCTGGTCAAACCTTGCCGAGCCCAGTCTTCAATCGAATGGCATCAACGATCGTCGAAGTTAGTGCTCTTCTCTCTGAGGCCCTGGGCCCAGAGGGGGCAGCCGAATGGATGAAGCTATGTAGGTTCCTCCTGTGCTCTGGTGGCTTGGTGCCAGGTTTTGATTTTTGATCCGACCTCGACAGACGGAGACTTTATGATCGAGGCTCTCGCAACCAACAAGAACCCCTACCCGATAGCAATCGCTTCCGTCGAAAAGGGGCTTTACCTTCGCGTTTCCGTGGCGGTGGTCAATCAGTTCCGATTCCTCATTGCGCTATTTACGGTATCACTGGCCTTCGTCTTGCTGGGCTTTGTCTTGCGGCTCTTTCAAGGTCGATTCTGGCTCTATTACCGTATCGACTCACGTGTTACGATACCGAACATCCTCGTGCATTACAGCATCTGGGCTGTGTGCTTTATCGCTCGTGAGTTGAGACCTATGTTGCCACCCTCCAACTTGAGACTCTGCACTGATAAATAAGCAAATTTCGCCCAGTGAGCATCTTCGGATTGGATACGACCATCAAGTGTGCATCCGGCACCCGTACACCAGGTTGGTACATCAGTCTTCAAGGCATCTTACCACTGGCGCTCTTTCTTGGGCAATACAGCGAGGTCTGGGCGACCGCAGCTGGCTATGCGATCCGCAGGTACGGCGTGCACAACGGCGACCCGCCTTTAGTCTCGTTGGCATTCACCTTCTTGCCAGCCCTGTGCCCCCTGGTCATTCTCGTCCCTTCTATTGCCACGTTCGTGCTCGCCGCGCAAAATTTCGCACAAGTCGGGACTTCGGGTGCCGCGGTCTTGCTGTCGCTGAAGATCTCTGCCGAGTCGTGGGTCCCCGGCGAGGGGCTTGTGCTTTCGCAACTTGAGCCAAGTTTGCACAACCTTGGACTCATGATGAAAGCTGCCCGCTGGCACGCGCACTACACCAAGATTGCTTTCGCCTACACTGGTGTTTCCTTATCCATCATGTTTGCAGTGAGTTTTTCCCTGACTGTCTGAGAGGACCCAGGTTGAACCCTCTTGGCTTGAGCTGATTTCTCTTCCATTGAACCACTTTTTCTTCTCGAACATGCAGTTGTACGTGATGGCCGCCATTGTCGAAGTAGGACAGCTACGTAGTCAGGCAAAACACCTGAAGTCGATCGCGAGAGTCGGAGCTGAGCCTGACACCGACTCTGGAGCACCTTCCTCCCCCGTGGGCTCACCCCGAGAAGCTGCCCATCGTCTCAATGATCGGCCTTGTGCTCAACTCAGGTACGCTTGCATGGACTTGTAGTCACTTACGGGACAAGGAGAAGTACTTATGACAGACCTGCATTTCTTGAAACACAGAGCGCAATCCGAGCTCGTCGAATGGGCCGCCTCGAACCGGCTCTTGACGGCGACGCTCATTTCCTTGACGCTGCTGGTGAACGCGGCATTCGCTTTCTGGTTCGCGACCAAGCCCATCTCGCTCGCCAACAATAACCATCGTTTTTCGACAATTGTGCTCGTATCGGCCTGGGTCAACTCGACCCTGTTGACCTTGGTCGCAATTCTGATCCTTTTCCGATCACTGGACGGCTCGAACCCAGCGGCGAAGCGGATGATCAAGATCTTGCCTTGGATGACTCGTTTGCTCCCGCCCTCGGTCGGATTGGATCGTCTTCAAGATGCGACGTACGAAGATCCGGCCAGCACGAAGCTTCATAATCCCATCGAACAACCTACCACCGTGGTCAAGCTCAAGGCCAATACGGCGCCAGCGAACGAGGACTCCCTGTCTGAGAAGAGTGCGATGACCCATTTCCCGCACTCTGCTCAAAGGCACTCCTTTCATAGCTCCGAAAAGAACGCGTCGGATAAGTCAGGATCGATGTCCGCTAACGGTAATAGATCTGTCTGATGCTGAGGTCGGAAGTTGAGGTGCATGTTAAGGTTTGAGCTCCTCACCTGTTCTCAGATTTTTCTGCTCCCGGCGTGGATCGCCGATCGCTTGATCAGCACCTCGTTCTGGCGGCTTCCGTGCGTTCTGGCAGCGTTTTCGTGTATTCTTGGGGTGTAATTCAAAGATCGGCTCCTTTCTGCTGTCAGTTACTAAATTTTGGCACTCGCTGATGAGCCCTTGGTGTGAGTCTTGATGCCAGGATTTGTGAAGAATGGATGAGAAGGCTCGGCGCACTCGCAGCAGCATGCATGAGTTGCCTAGACAGATCGGCAAATGACGTGGTCGGGAGCGAGCGGCGCGCGCGCACTCGAGCCCAAAGTAGGCTGATCGCGATTGATCGCATCGGCAGTCGATCGCTCGGTGCCTGCCTGCCAGCTAGGGCTGGGTCACTAATAGGTGACATTAGTGACGTGACATTAGTGACGAATTAGTGACGGATTAGTGACAAGGGGGTCCCAGAAATCGTTGTCACTAATGTCACTAAGTACCCATAGGTACTAGGTACCGGTCTAGACCCGGTCTACTTGCTTGTACCTGATGGCGACCCTGGAATGTGAATGACAAGTCTGGAATGCTATTTACCAACACGAAAATGCCGGGTCACGACTCCGGCCCAGCTGGATATCTTCGAGTGGGTCGATTTCCAGATCCTGCCTGACCAAGCATCTGAGGAACGAACAAACATCGCTTCCGCTCCCAGCAGTGGTGTTGGACGACGAGGAAGACGAAGCGATGGATCTTTGATTACCTGATGACGAGATGACCATGTAACGATGGTCTCTCTGGCGCACTTTGTTATGTTGAGTGCTAGAGCTTGCCTCCGACAGTGCAATGTACATCGTTTCCATTCAGTGACATTAGTGACCAAATATTGGACTTAGTGACATTAGTGACAGGCGAAAATCTGGTGACATAAGTGACAGTGACAATTATAAGTGACCGAGGGTCCGACTTTTGTCACCTATTAGTGACGGGGCCAAAACAATTAGTGACCCAGCCCTACTGCCAGCGCCCAGCGCCCACCCCTCGTGCGCCTTCGTGTGCCTTCGTGTCATCGTGTGCCTTCGTGTGCCCCCAATGTGCCCTCGCCCGCCCGCCTCTGCCCAGCCTTTGCCCGCCTATCGGTTTGCGCCTGGGTCCAAGCCTCGGTCGCTTGCGGAGCTCGGTTCCGTACCTTCTCCTATCTTCGGCTGCTCCTCTCCTCAGGAGATTTCCTGAACTGAACCGTAATCACTTGTGCGTCCTTGTGGTCGTATGCGCCATTCTTGGCACAGCGCTTACCTCCTTCCCTCTTGTGCCTCCCCCCACTAGCGTCCCGTCTCGGCCGTCGTTCTCGGATCGGCCCCCCTCATCGACATCGATCTCAGTTCCCTCTCTCAAAATGGCACCCGTCAAAATCGACCCCGTCGTCAAGGTCTCGGGAGCTCCTTCGTCGTCTCTGAGTGAACGACGCAAGTCGGATGCCGCCAGGACCTCGCCTCCGAGCATGATAATGCTCAACAGCAGCAGCAACAGCAGCGCCGCCAGCGCGCTCGTTGTCCCGCGCGAAGCTTGCTCGCCCTCGCTCAATGCGACCGGCACCAAGGATGCGCTCGAATCCACGAGTGGGGTATCGACCCCGTTAGCTGGATTGGCTGCATCGGGGCGACCGACCCGGTCGGGTACGGTCAAGAAGTCGAGAAAACGATCGTCGTCCAAGCAACCCTCGCGTCGCCAGGACACCGTCACCGACGCGGGCTTTGAAGGCGATGTCGAGCTTCACGGTCAAGCCAACGACTTTGTTGACCCCGATGACACCGACGAGGAGGCCACAACCGGTCCTTCTGCTCGCGGAAGCCGTCCTTCCCTGGCCACCGCAGGACGAGGAGCCGGTTCCGAGCGCGTATCCGAACAGATCCATGCCTCGATCCCGGCCAACTTCCCCGACGAAGAGTCGGTCGCTCGTTCGACGTTCCGCAACCGCAACCCCTCCATGTCGTCCCACCAACACCCCGGTCGCTTGCCTCTGAACCAACGTATGAGCTCGTACCGATCGGCTAGCGCTGGACGACCCCGAGCAAGTTCGATCTCGAGCACGCGGTCCCACGAAGCGACGACTCATCCGTTCCCCACCCCAGGCCACAAGGCCCACGGCGGAGCTCCCTTTGATGGCTGGAAGTCGGTCGAAGAGAAGCGACTCGACGAGGATGAGGCGAAGGAGAAGCACTGGAAGCGCTGGGGACCCTACGTCTCTGAACGCCAATGGGTGAGTTGCACTTCGCAAAGCCACGGTCGTAACTTCTTCACCGACTGACCTTTTCTCCACCCTCTTTGTCTCCAGGCGACCGTCCGCGAGGACTACTCGGCGAATGGGGATGCTTGGTCCCACTTCCCTCACGAGCATGCTCGTTCGCGAGCGTACCGCTGGGGAGAGGATGGACTTGCCGGTATCAGTGACAACCATGGCCGCATGTGCTTCTCCGTCGGTCTGTGGAACGGCGTCGACTCGATCCTCAAGGAGCGAATGTTCGGTGTCACCGGTCATCAGGGCAACCACGGCGAGGACGTCAAGGAACTCTACTACTACCTCGATTCGACGCCGACGCACTCCTACATGAAGATGCTGTACAAGTACCCGCAGCGCGAGTACCCTTACGAGCAGCTCGTCCGCGAGTCGAGTAACCGTGGTCGTGACGTCGGGGAGTTTGAGATCACAGACACGGATGCTTTTGAGGACAACCGCTACTGGGATATCTTTGTCGAATACGCCAAGGACGAAGACTGCGCTGAGGGCATCTCGATCCGCATCACCGCATATAACCGTGGCCCCGACCCGGCCACGCTTCATATTTTGCCTCAGCTCTTGTTCCGCAACACTTGGTCCTGGCCAAAGGACAAGCCCGAGGGCGACAAGATGCCTTCGCTCAAGCAAGTTGGCGAAGGGGTCGTCGAAGCGAACGAACCTCATCTTGGCCGCTACTATCTTCATGCCAACTCTTCGCCGGCGCCGGTGAACCCGAGGCGGAAGGGCGAAGACGAGACCGTCTTCACGGATGAGATCGTTATTCCCGAACTGCTCTTCACCGAGAACGATACCAACTTTGAGCGCCTCTACGGTGGCCACAACGTCACCCCTTACGTCAAAGACGCTTTCCACGACCACGTCATTCACAAGCACCGCCCTGCCCTGCCCAAAGTTGCCAAGGCTCGAGCTCCGGCTCCTTCTGAGAGCGAGTACGACTCGGACAAGACGACGGGCGAGGCAACGCCGAGGACCGAGGATGGGTCGCGCACGTCGTACGTCGAATCCGACACCGAGGAGGAGCAAGAGGACGACCGCGAATTCGTCAATCCCGAGAAGAAGGGTACCAAGTGCGCTGCGCACTACGTATTCCGCGACGTCCCCGGAAACGGCGGATGCGCCGTCGTGCGTCTCAAGCTGACGCCCAAGACGGCCGAAGAGGACGCGTCGATCCAAGACGAGGAGAGCTTTGACTGCGTCGTCGAGGAACGCCGCATGGACTCGGACGAGTTCTACTCGAGGTTCAACTCCGGTGCATTGAGCGATGATCTGCGAAACATCATGAGGCAGGCCTTGTCGGGCATGCTCTGGTGAGTCTCCTCTCATCGTGACGGAATTGGCCGGAGATTTCGATCACAGAGCACTGACCAAGACCACGCTTTTGGGTTTGTTCACTGCACAGGACCAAGCAATTCTACATGTTCATTCAGAAACAGTGGATTGAGGGTGATCCCGGACAGCCTGCACCGCCGGCCGAGCGCAAGTGGATTCGCAATAGCGACTGGAAACACATGCATATCGAGGACGTGCTGTCGATGCCCGACAAGTGGGAGTACCCTTTCTTCGCGATCTGGGACTCGGCTTTCCATTGCATCCCGCTCGCCATGGTCGATCCGGCTTATGCCAAGAAGCAGCTCGACATCATGACGCGCGAATGGTACATGAAGCCTGACGGCGCCTTGCCCGCTTACGAGTGGAACTTTTCCGACGTCAACCCCCCTGTTCACGCATGGGCAACGTTCCGCGTGTTCAAGATCGAGCGCAAGATGCACGGCAAAGAAGACTTGCACTTCCTCGAGCGAGTGTTCCAGAAGCTGCTCATCAACTTCACGTGGTGGGTCAATCGCAAGGACGAAGGTGGCAACAACGTCTTCGAAGGCGGTTTCCTTGGGCTCGACAACATCTCGCCCTTCAACCGTTCCGAGCGCTTGCCGACCGGCGGAACGATGCGCCAGGCCGACGGCACAGGATGGATGGGTTTCTACTGCCTGAGCATGCTCAACATCGCACTCGAGCTCGCCAAGCACAACCCCGTGTACGAGGACATTGCCAGCAAGTTCTTCGAGCACTTCTTGTTCATCTCGGATGCGATGACCTTCGAAGACGGCCAAAACGAGATGTCGCTCTGGAATGACGCAGAGGGCTTCTACTTTGATGCCATCACCTGGGGCCCTGGCGCGGTTAAGCAGCTCCCCGTGCGCTCGCTCGTCGGCTTGATCCCGTTGTACGCTACCTTGACGCTCGAGCCGGCGACCATCAAGAAGTTCCCCGGATTTAAGAAACGAATGGAGTGGTTCATCGAGAACCGCTCGAGCATGGCGAAGCGTAACATGGCCAACATGTCGCTCGGAGGCAAAGGTGATCGACGCTTGCTCGCGCTCGCGAACGAGGACCGCCTGCGTCGCATTCTCGAACGCATGCTCGACGAGAAGGAGTTCCTCTCGGACTACGGCATCCGATCGTTGTCGCGTCACCACAAGGAACACCCTTGGGCTATGGACGTCAACGGAGAGGAATTCTCGGTCCACTACTGGTAAGTGCTCGTTCACTCTGGGCTCACTCGGTCCCCGCTTGCTCGGTCTTGTTCCTTACCCCCGCCCCGCTTATGCTCACCCCTCTCGCAGGCCCGGAGACTCGCACTCGGCGATGTTCGGCGGTAACTCCAACTGGCGTGGACCAATCTGGCTCGCAACCACGTTCCTGCTCATCGAGTCGTTGCAGCGTTTCTACCAATACCACGGTACTGCTTTCAAGATCGAGTGCCCCACCGGCTCTGGTGACGAGATGAACTTGGCCAACGTTGCCGACGAGATTCAACATCGCATCATCCACATCTTCGCCCGCGATCACGAGGGTAACCGTGCGTGCAACGGTGGCTCGGAGATGCTCAACAAGGACCCGCACTTCCGCGACTACGTTCCTTTCCACGAGTTCTTCCACGCCGACAGCGGCAAGGGTCTAGGCGCCTCACATCAGACGGGATGGACCGGTCTCGTCGCTTACATGATCTGGATGAGTGAGTCAAACATAGCAGGGACTAACGCGAAACGCCCGAGAAGTGTCGCTGATTATGCCTGTGGAACATGGTGGTGCTCACACAGCTGGATCCACGGCACGCTTGCCTCGAACCCCTCGCACCCCGAAGAGCGCTGCTTCACATTACTTCGACGGTCAGTGCTACATGTGCCGCTACAGGTTTTAGGTTTCGTCTCATTTAATCTGACCTGGCCCTTCCATCTCGTTGCATCCTTTCTCGTATCTTGCCGACTGTAGAAATTCCTGCGACACCCGGAGCGACCGATGTCGAGTATTCAGATGCCTGGAGTGGGTTCGTGTCGGCGAGCGACATGTCGCCTTCGGAGCTCTAGTCGCAAACATAACCACGCTCCGCTTGGCCATCCTTCTTGCTGTTTGTATTCTCCGGTTCAAAAAGTACTTACACCTCTTCAAAACTTCAACGCTTCACCGCCCTGTTCTCCGTCTCTCCCAAAAAAGGACAGTGATGTTCCCCATGTCCTCGAAATGAGCTGCTCTCTGCTTTCCCTTGTAATGGTTCCCATAGAATGCAATCACCCTGCACCCTTTCCCTTCAGGGGGCCCAGCCACGCCGTTGGTATCCTCATGTTATCCTTAGATGATAAACTGCTAGGCTAGAACGAGACCCTGTCCGTCCCGCACTGCGCAACTGTCCCTGCCCTCAGGGTCGCACGTGCGCAGCGCGCACGCTTCCATATCATCCACTTCACCCTCCAAAGTGTGGGAATTGGTACCGATGCGTATCGTCTGTTCGCCAGTCCTTTATGATAGCTTAAAATTCGATAAGTGTTCGGGATCAAGCGACATCAAGACTTTGCGCAACAAAAAACACGACTGCATCATGGAGCAAAAGAGGTTCGAAGACGCTATGGAGTACATGGACACCACGCTCCATCTCAATCCCCATGTCGGCCACACCGGCTTTATCCTCGAGGAAGATCGCCGTGAGACATCCATGACGGACTAATATCAGAGGTTACAGTTTTAAACACTGCTACAAGCTTATTCCGGACTCGGCTTCGTGTTTTAGCCCTCGAAGAGTAGGAAGAAGCTTGCGTAGATATTCGGCCGTTCACTAACCTTGCACGAATCCGGTCGTATCTCATCGGAGTGGTTTAGCAGATAAATAGAAGAGGGAGTCGGGTGGATACGTATTCTATTACCCATCTACCACAACATATGCGAAGTACGTGGCTACGTGCTACGTTTTAACGGTAGGCGTCGCCGAGCGCGTGGGCCCGGTCGAAGGTGTCGCCCCTTCCTCGCTTTCGCTTTGCTTCCTCCAGAGCTCGGCGTACACACCATCCTGCTCGAGCAGCTCATTGTGCTTCCAGAATGAGTTAGGGAAGTATCAGCAACCTGCATATCTTCGCTCATGCTTTACTATCGTCACTCACCGATCCCGATTCGACAATCTTGCCCTCGGCAAGCACATGAATCACGTCGCAATCGACACTGCCTCAGAAGCACAAAGGTCAGAAATAAGATTCCAAACATTCGAATACCTATTCCCAGTACATACATGGTCGAAAGTCGATGCGCGATCGCGAGTGTCGTCCTCCCCCGCGATAATTCGCGCAGTCGAGCTTGGATCAGTCGCTCGTTGGTCGTGTCGAGTGCCGAAGTCGCTTCGTCCAACAACAAGACTATCGTCAGGGGAGCGGATCGCGTTAGCAAACTGCCAAGTCCATATGAAAGCAGTGGATGTTTCGACCTACTGGGTGGGTTCTTGAGCAGGACCCGAGCGATGGCGACGCGCTGCTTCTCGCCGCCGGACAAGCGCTGTCCTCGCTCCCCAACTCGAGTCTCGTAGCGATCAGGGAAAGACATGACTGGGCGAGAGAGAAACGCAGTTATTCAGTCCACGTGACGACGAAGTAATTTAGGACACCCTCTCACTCACTCCTATCGTGAATCGCCGCTGATCTTGCGGCTTCGATCATTTGCTCCGTCGTCGTCTCGATGCCGCCCCCGTACGCGATGTTGTACCTGGCCGTCTCATTAAACAAGATGCTCTCTTGCGGTACCAAACCGATCGCATTCCTGAGCGTGACCTGCGAGTAATCCCTCACGTCCACTCCATCAACGAGGATGCGGCCCTCGGACACGTCGAAGAAGCGATATACGAGGCGCATGATCGTGCTCTTGCCGCTTCCCGACGGTCCGACAAGGGCGACGGATTGTCCCCGTTGAATTTTGAAGGAAACACCTTTGATGGTCTGGGATTTGTCGTCGTACGAGAATTTGACGTTGTCGAACTCGATCGTGCCGCCTTGTCCGGGAGGGATGACGAGAGGTAAAGCGTTGGGACGGTCGACGATGTCCTTCTTCTCGTTGAGTAGTTCCATCAATTGCTCCGTGTCGACGAGGGACGACATCACCTGGCGGTATAGCGTGGCAATCTGATTCAAGGGAGTGTAGAGTTGATTGAGGAACGAAGAAAAGGTCACAAATTCTCCGACCTAGAGGGGGGACCAAAGTCAAACGAGAAGTGAGAAATCGGGTGAAGCTGCAAAATACGCACCCAGCCCTATACTCACCTCGAGCTCGCCACGAACAATCCGTCGGGACAGGATGAAGGAACAGACGAGGAAGCCCACGGAAGAGATCCCATTTTGCATCAGCGACAACGAGTTCCAAGCCTGCAGAACGATCAACGCTGGTCAGAAATGAAACCACAATTTCGGAAGACGCAGTTTCGGAAGACGAAGAACACACACTGTAGACTTTGAACGATCCCTTTTGATACACCCGCAAGGCATTGCGTAGGCGCTCGGACTCGAATCGCTCGGCCGTAAAGATCTTGACGGTCTCCCAGTTGAACAACGTATCCGTCTTGATCTGATGCATGAACTGCGACTCGTCACGTAGCTTGCGGTATAACTTGGTGCGACTCTCGGCGAGTATGATGGACGTCGCGACAAAGACGATCGAAACGCCCGTGACGATGCTGACGATACCCCACCCGTATCGGTAACCGATCACGACCGCGGCGACGGGCAAGTCGATGATGACTGGGACGAAACTGAAGATGAGAATCTGGAAGAAGTCGTTGATTGCGTCGGCACGACCGAGAATGCGCAAGAGTTCGCCGGTCTTGCGATGGGTATGGTAGGATAAGGAGAGGTTGAGAAGACAATCGAACGAGAGCATCGACATTTCTCGTTCCGAATATTGTTTGATAGGGAGAGACAGATATTGGTACCTAGATTAGCAAGGTAGAGACCCGTCAGTCGTCGAAACGATTCGCGATGGCAAGAGCGCTCGCCAAGACTCACAGCATAGAGCTCGATTCTTGCCAAAAGCTCATAATCGTGTAAAGGCCGACGTTGAGATAAGGCGGTCGACCGGCGGACAGATCGGATACGACACGACCGAGCAAAAGCGGTACCCAGACATTGACAACACGCCTAAACAGCATCAGCCCGATGCAGACGAGCGACACGATCTGCAACGACAGCGACTTTGACGGCCACAAATAAGGGAACAGGATGCGCACGCGACTGAACAAGGTCAGGATCGACAGTGATTTTGGGTCTGGCGGTCGGTTTGACGGGCTGCAGAAGAAAGAGTCGGTTAACTGTTGTCTACCATCTGTGCGGCAAGATCCGAGGCTACTGAGTCGACTTACGGCCTCGAAGACCTTAACGGCCCATATGCGGGTTTGCTCGGGATCGTGCCATAGTCGCCACTATCACCGTTCGCAACGCCACCGTTTCCGAGCAAACTCGTCCGTTCGCCAGTCGTTGGTCCATCCTTTGGCACGTACGATCGCTTGTAAAGGAGCGAAGATTGCAGTAGGGAGAGCATAACGAGAAGCAACAGACGGAGGGCGAGGATGCCGAGATGGATACTTGGCAAAGGCGTTGCTGGGGGTCGCATGGAAGCGTCTGTACGAACGAGGAAGAGTCTCGGGAAGTGCTTGTTGTCAGGTCGCTGAGGATGCTCCGCAAGACATTGACGCCCACCTTGCTGTACTATGCGGCCGAAATAATATGCAACCGCGGCGTCCAAGGTGAGGCCGACCAGGACCAACGCCCGAGGATACACCCGACCCCAATCGGCTTGTTTTTTCCTTGCCCTCTCTTGCAGCGTCATGGCCACGACGCAGAGGACGTACGACAGCAAGCCTCCGACGGTGTACGGGATCATTTGCCGGAATAGGGGTTCGGACGGCTCGAACGTCGACGTGATCAGTGACGCAATGACTGTGGGCGTCAGGTGTCAGCTCTGGGCATGACAGCAAAGTTCACGGACCGGACGTACCCTGTGCCATACCGTCAGCAAAATAGGTCGCCGCAACGAGGCCGAAGAAGGCGACGATCCAGGACCGTCTCGGTGTGTTGACGACGAGCACGACGGGTACGATACCGTCCTCGTCCTCGCCGTCTGCGGCTCTGGCATTGGTCCTATTCAGTGCATCGATTGGGCCATAGTCGGTATCGGTTTCGACCCAATCTTGTGCCTGTATGCGCGCAATGAGCGCCACAAAGCCCTTGGCCGCGAATCGACCGAGCAGCAACAACAGCAAGGTCGACGGCAGCGCCAGTCGCAGCGTCGCCAGCGTGGACAACAGGTCGGCCATGTCGGAACCCATGGCGGATGCGAGTGCGAGTGGAGGTGCGACGATCGACCGGCAGGACGGTGGGTTCGATGCGGTGCACCCAAGGACGGAAAGGGGCGCTTCCGAAGCCCCACACGCTGTGCGAGTCCTCACGCACGCTCGCGTCAGCCTGCGTCGATCGGGTTCGAGGTCCGTGCGCACCCGGCGCCGCCACCGATCGGCGATAGTCACTGCCAAGAGTCGATGGCTACCTAGAAAATCAAAGGACTCCGCCTATAAGACCGCGATGAAATAGGATCTGGCCAATACTATCGTCTGAATTAAAGTCGTTGCAGATTGGCCCTGACGCCGGTGACACACTCGAGCGAGCACGGGAGAATGATGATGTTGACACGCGATCGATTTAATTTACGCTGCGTTTACGCTGGTGCCCCTGTTCATCTCGAGTCGGTCGGCCTTGAAGCGCTCTAAAGTAAGATACCATGGCTCACTTCAAGACCCCCTTTTCTTTCAAAGCGATGAAGTACGAGCAAAGCCCCTCAGCAAGCTCAGGCGAGCTCGCCCAGCAATTTCCCAAGCAAACATCGCACCGTACCCTTCATTTCATGAGGGCTGCAGCGACAGGACGCCGAATCGTAAAAGTCCGCGCACCCAATGTCTCAGAATAAAAATTTCGAGTCAGTCGGGTTCTACAGTACGTGCCGGCAGTGCGACACTAGTTGTCAGTTTCGAGGCAAAACTTGAACGGCACAAGTACGCGACAGCGGGGCGCAGAGTCTGCTTGTCCCGAGAAGAATCCAAGTGCCGAAGCGGGTCGGAAGCCGATGGTTCCGAGACGTCAGCTTCCGGCGTGTATGAAGTTTCGGAATGCCCGATCGATCCCGTCGATCCGGTTTTCCGAACCGAACAAAAGCCAGGGTCTAGCAATCATCAAGCTTCCTGTCGCCGAGCGACTAATAAATGGGCGAATCGGCCGATCTAGACCCGCGACCCCGCTGGCCGGCCGGCTGGCCCAGCTCTGCGAGCAGGCTTGGATGCGCTTCGACCGGCCTACAAAAGACTTTTAAGCTCGGGGAGGCGGGCGAGCGGGCCTTTCAGCGATCTCAGCTCTGGGCAGCGGAAGCAGGCGCGGAGTACGGCTTCGGCAGGGGGCGGCCCTGATGAAGCGCTGCTATATGAAAGTGCTATGAATGCGTGCCTAAAAGGCATTAGGCACTCGGAGCTAACGCGCGAGCTTTGCCTTTTGGTTGAACGCTGTTTCGCGACTCTTTCGCCTCCACCAATTTCGTCGTACGACACCGACTACACTTCGTGTGAGTGTTGTAGTCCCAGCCTTGAGGGGCGGCGCTCTGCACCGATGGGAACGTGGGGAGGCATGTGGGAGCTGGACGATGGAGACGAGGATGCGGTCGCTGGCCGTGCTGGAACTCGGGGGAAGGCTCCGCGGTGACGTCTGTCCTGTGCAGGCGTGTGGGCGTGTGGGCGTGCATTGCGCGTGCCATTGGCTCGACCCAAGCGGCCGACGACCGACGCCACAGCTCGACTCTCCAGTGCGAGCAGTGCCGTCTGTGCATGTCCAGGGCGCAGGGTGTATGAGCTGGCGATATGTGCGGCCACAAACGTGACCTCTGCCACTGGCCCAGAGCGCCGAGTCAGCTCGCCAGGCAGGCCTAAGATGATGGATTCATCGCTTCACTGGGCACGACGTCGACCATTCTCGACCATGAGCGATCGGCGAGCAACGCAGCGCGGAAACGCGTGCGCGCCCGAGCGAGCCGATGATCTGCCCGCCGTCTGGCCTCGTCTGGCCCCGCCGCCTACAGACAAGTCGCCCGCGGTCGCAATTTAAAGCGCCAGCTTGCGATGTCGATCCTTCCCAGTCACGACGGGTCCTGCATGGTGGTCTTTGACGAGTCAGGACAGGTCTGGTCTGTCTGGGATGGATGCTGTTCAAGTGGGGTGCTCCACGGCCGGACCCTGGTCCACGTCTGAGCCCACTCTACTGGTTGCTCGTCTCCCGGCTCCCATGACGCAACGGCCACACTTGCCGCAGCCAACTCGCCCGTCGGGTATCGTCCTGCCTCGATTGTCCCTCTTGGCTCCGGCTCCGAGCCGATCCGCCCAATCTGCGCTTCCCACGTCCCTTCCATCAAAAATACCTCGCTGACAACAATTTTTTTGCGCTGTCCCTTTACACTGCCAGAATCGATTTTCAGCACCCCCTGAGGAAGTTCACCGCGCACGCGGTCGTGGGGCTCAATCGTGCTTCCTCCTCCGAAAAGGCGAAGACTCTGCGCAATGGGGGCTTCTTCCGGGATGTCCGATCAGGACGATGACGACTACGATCCGTCGTTCAAGACCGTGCAAATTGACGCCCGCGAAATCCTCGATACGTTCCCTCTCCCTCACCTCATCGTTGACCCGGCCTCGCGACTGCACTCCATCAACGCCGCCGCTCGTCATGCGCTCGGTCTGCCGCCAGTACCCAAAGATGGCGCGACGCCTCGCATCCGGGCCGACTCCCTCTTTTGGACCACGAGCGAAATGCCCGGCTCGACTGCAAGCGAGAGGCTGTTAGGTGAGCTGTTTAGGCTGTCCAAGGTCGAAGCGAGTTGGGGGAGCGCGGACGCGATCGAGCTCAAGAGTATCAACATACCTGGTCTGAGATGGGCCGCGGAGATCAAAGTTCGAGCATTCACAACACCCAAAGGTGTGGATGATGCATCGCTCGGGTCGCGTTCCGCACCAGACACTCTGGGTCAAACCTCGTCAACCTGGTTCTCGGTCGTGCTTTTGCGGCCTCTACCTGGCCGTTCCGATGCTCGAGACGCGGCAACGTCGAAATCCGCTCCTTCATTACCCCGCCCCGCCGGTTCTCTCGTAGAAGGAAGGCGCAAGGGCAGCAGCTCAGATCGGACTCCGACGCTGTTTGCAACCGAGCGGGTGGGAGATCCATTCGCATGGGCGATGGACCAGTCCGTCGAATCGACAGGAATTGGCGAGTCCAAAGCGATGGTGGTGGACTCGGAGGAACCATCGTCAGAGTCTGCCTGGACACATACGGTGCAAAAGGCGACCTCTACCGCCCCTTCTGCATCCGACGACGCGGCTTCTACAGGGCTTGGATTTCTGGTCAGCCCAACTGCGAAATCAACACCAACGTCGTCTGCTTCCCCGTCTGTGCGACCGAACATGCGCATGCATCTCTCGGCTCTCCCTGCTCCGGGCACGCCTCCTCTCTCGTCCGCTGGTACGGGCTCGTCCAAGATCTCTAGCCACGCCTCCTTGTTGACAAACGCTGGCGCCACGAGCTCGCCCGCGACGAGCGCGCAGTCAGCGAAACCACCCAGCATGGTGGGGTCGGAATCGTCTTCGGGCTTCGCACTTAGCAACAGTCGGACAGCCGAACCCATCCCTGAGGCCACAGAAGCCGACGTTCTTCCCGGCCCGAAAGTGCCGACACCAGCGCAGGTGTTTGCTGCAAAGACCGTCATGAGCGTTACCGTCTCGAGCGCGGGGATACATCTCTCGTCTAGCTTTGATGGCCCACCCACCGCGGCCTCTACTATCCCGATCTCAGCACCAGCGACATTATCGCCACTGCTCGGCAAGGTCCCTGGCGACCCCACTGTGCCTTCATCGCCTCGACCCACCGCATTGCCTCCGCCCGCTCCGAAGCCCCATGTGACACCGCCCGAGCCGTCGTTCTTGCTCAAATTCGCGGCGTTGTCAAGTCTTCCCAAGACCGGTGTCATCATCGCCGATTCGGACCTGGCTTCTGGTTTCGTCAACTCGCTTGCACGCGAGTTGTTGATGGGTGTTCCGGCTGATGCAGCGACGGCGTCACAAAGGCAGCCAAATTCGGTTCCTCCGGCCGGCGAGAACTCTTCGTCAACTGGTGCTAGCGGCGGATCCGCGCCCATGGCTTCCGACTCGGAGCATTTGAACGACTGGTGGTCCGCAGGTGCTTGGAGCTCGGAAGACGGGTGGTCCGCTTTCTCGTCGTCGACTTCTTCGTCCTCCTTCTTCCCTCCTCAGCCACAATCGATGTTCGCCGACCCCGAGAGCCCATTCGACTTCCAGGGCAGTCACGATCTGACGCACGCGAGCATCATCGCTTCGGGCGAAGCGCGACCGACCGCACCGAATGAAGGCACCGCCGGTTCGAGCATTCGTATCGGCAAAGCCCACGAGTCGAACCGATATCGAGCTACCGTCGCAGCCATCCTCGCTCGTTCGCTTGCGTCCGACGAGAAGCGTCGAGCGAGAGCCTCACCCCGGTCGCAAAAGGTCCATACTCACGAGGGCAAGGATCCCAGGGACCGCTGGGCGACCGTCGGTGATCACGATTCGGCGGCCTTCGTCGCAGCGGGGTCAAAACAGGGCAAGAAGCCGTACAAGGTCTTTGACCACTCCTTCTCGCAGCGCATCATCGATCCTTTCGAGCCTTTGCTCGAGATCTGTGCGCGTCGCGGAGAGTACCCGACACCCTACGCCGAGGATGAAGATGGAGATGACGATGGTGGTGCGACGTCGGGGATGATCGTCGGCATCGAAGTCGAGGTCTGGGAGTCGGCCGAGGAGCTCAAGAACGGTTCGTTCGTCACTTCCAATTCGGCCGCGAGGAAGAAGCGCGTTAGGCGGCGGTTGGTCGAGATCTCAGCCGCCCCCATCTTTGCGCCCAGCACGTCAAAGTCGAAGAATGGTGGCAAGCAGCATTTAGGCGGTGTTCTTCTGCTTCGCGATGTGACGGACGACGGAAAGCGTCGAGCCGGAGGGTGGGGACTCAAGGATGCCAGCAAGAAGAAGAAGAAGAGCGATGGCGACGCTTACTACAAGCAGGTAAGTCGAGTTTGGTCGGAATCGGTTATTAGATCGAGCGGGGATCTCACTGACTTGCTTTCCTGCTCGTCCAGATCGTCGATTCGATGCCTCAACTCGTATGGACGACCAGTGTCAAGGGTTCTCATACTTATTTCAATCAGCAGTGGTACGCTTACACCAACTTGGAGCCCGAGCAATCGCTGGGCGTTGGGTGGCAAAATCCGTTCCACGAAGGTAGGTTCCTGGTGATTGCACTGAGGCGGATGAGCTCGAGCTGAGATGAGGCTGACCAGTAACCCTCTTACGGATTCACTAGACGATATGCCTGCCGCTTTGACGCAATGGACGCACTCGCTCGAAACGGGAGACCCTTACTCCGTCGAATACCGTTGCCGAAGGGGTGACGGTGTTTGGCGATGGATGCTCGGTCGAGCGCTGCCGTTGCGGGATGCCGATGGCGAGATCCAAGGCTGGTTCGGAACATGCACGGATGTCGATGAATTCGTTAATGTGAGTAGCGCGAAGATAGCAGGTGTGCGTTACTCCTCAGGAGCTGGACTGACCGAGAGCGATATTCGATCCGTTTCCAGATCCGAACAGAGCTCTCCAAGACGCAAGAACAGTTCAAAGCAACCCTCGAAGGAGCCGATGTGATCATCTTGGCGATCGACGCGAGTTGGCACTGCACCTTCTTCCAAGGGTCTCACCGTGCTGCGATCGTAAAGGACATTCCGGACGGTATCATCGAGGGCAAGAGTATCAAGGAGTTGTGGCCCGACTGGCCCTTGTATGAAAAGTGCGAGATCGTCATGGAAGGCAAAGCCTCGCGAGAACAACTCGAATGGACGCCCGCCCGTGCCAAAGACCAAAACGCGTTCTACCGATGCCTCATCACGCCGCTGACGGAGAAACTGCCGGACGGGACGCCAAAGATCACGGGATGCATCATCGTCGCGACCGACGTCACCGACATGCGTATCGCGCAAGAGCAACTGCGCGAGTCGTACGAAGAGAGGGCCAAGTTGCTCGCCTCTGAAACAGCGGCGATAGCGGCGTCGAGGCTCAAGACCGAATTTGTTGCCAACACATCGCATGGTGAGTCCCCTGTAGCCGGGCGCAATCGCTGTATGTCAGTGGATCACGGTGCTAATATTTACAGTCGCGAACACAGAAACTCGCACACCTGTTGCAGGTATCATTGGTCTTGCCGAGCTGCTGCTCGACGATCCCACCCTCCCCGAGCAGCACCGCTCCTCGGTCGCGAAGATCATGCGCTCCGGCGAGATTCTTCTCGAGATGATTGGTATGGTGCTCGACATGGGCAAGGTCGAAGCCGGTAGACTCGATCTTGAGCATCGACCCTTCAGCATCGACGAGATCCTGAATGACGCTCGCATGTTCTCCACCTCGGCCGAGAAGAAGGGACTCGCGTTTAAGGAGCAGATCGGCCCCTACTACCACGGGACTGTACTCGGTGACATGCCGCGTCTGCGCCAAGTCTTGGCGAACGTGCTGTCGAACGCGATCAAGTTCACCAACAAAGGCCGCATCACGATGCATCTGGAACAGGAACACGAGACGGAGAGTCACGTGCAGATCCGCATCGAGGTCCAAGACACCGGTGTCGGCATCAAGAAGGATGCGATCCCGTTGTTGTTCAAGCCTTTCCATCAGGCCGATGCCTCAACTGCTCGCCAATTCGGTGGAACGGGTCTGGGACTCTGCATCGCCAAGAATGTGAGTCAAGGATCTCGGAAGTGCCCCGAAAGTGATACTGAGCTTCTGACTGTCTTCTCGCGAAGCTTCTCGCGCTCATGGGTGGCACCATCGATCTCTCGAGCGAGTTCGGAGCTGGAACGAAAATGACGGTCGTTGTCCCTCTCGAGAAGGCGCCGGACGGGACAACCGAGGATGCGACCCCACTCGCCGAGCCGGGAGCCGACCTTGTCCGAGAAAACGTCTGGATTCTCGTCACCGATGACAACGAGCTCAACCGTGAGATCATCACCAAAACTTTGACCAAGATGCGTTTCAACGTTGAGTCGGCGTCGAATGGGCTTGATGCGATCGAGGCTGTGCAACGGCGTCAGTTCGACCTCATTCTCATGGACGGTCAAATGGACACGATGGACGGGTACGAGGCAACGCAACGGATTCGACAAATGTCGGACCCAAAGCTGAACCGGATCAAGATCGTCGCCCTCACGGCCTCGGCGATCCAAGGCGACGAGGAGCGTTGCTTGCGCGCCGGCATGAACGGATATCTTGCCAAGCCCGTGCGTGCTCGGGTCCTTGAAGCGACCATTCTCAAGCATCTCGCCAGACCTCCCCCTCCCCCGACGTTGAGTCGTCGCACGAGCAGCTCCACAACTCCCGGCGCCGAAACGGCGCAGTTGATGTCCTTCGATTTCCCCGACACGATCCCGGAGGCCACGTCGACCTCGGCGGCCGACACCCAAAGCGTTCCTCGTCGACGACCGAGCCACCCCTCCTATAGTATCGACGCAGTGCCCAACAGTGGAACTCCTTTGGGCCCTATGTAGGCCACCTGGAGCAGCCCCTGTATCTGTATCACCATCATCGACACGTACGCCTCGGAACTTTCAGTACGGACGACGAGCCGGAAACGAAAGAGGGCGATGCAGACGGACACTTTGGACACTTTATGGAAGCATTATGTACATACACATATATGGGTTTTTTGTACTATTCCGACCCTTTTTTGCAGCATGCTTTTCTTTGTTTTGCTCCGACCCCATGCCTCGACATAGCTTCTGCCTAGTCGTCGTAGACAGGCCGGCTGAATAATGCATTAATCTTATTGTTTGATACAAACCACTGAAAGAGCCTTCTGAGGGCCCATCAATTCGATAGGGAGGCCACTGCTCCCTTCGGACTCCATTGGATCGGTCAGCGCCGGCGCCCCTCAACTTAAAAGCGGCCCGATTGGCAGCAGGGCCGAATTCTTCTCCATTGCTTGACGTGAACACCAGTTCCTTTGTACATACTTCGAGCCATCTTATCCATGCGAAGTCGGTATTCCACCCTAGCGAGGTTCGATGGCTAGCAACATGAGTTGACGCGCCACTGAAAGGTCGGTTGCTATTTTTGGCGACTCTTATTGGGAGCCGGCGAAGGAGCCGGCGGTGCAATTCGGAGGGTTCGCAATTCGAAGTCTCAGCCTGGCCCTGACTCGAATGATCACGCGCTGGCGGCCTGGCAGTGGAAGTGGCTAGGATATAGGTAGTTAGTAAGGCATAGGCCCCGAAGTGTCCACCAAGGACATGTACCGAAAAAGTGAAGCACAGACAGCCTGAGCTTTGTGGTAAGGCGCCGTCAATAAGGAGCCTGGTGACGGGCGGCGGACGACCGCAATCGAAAATCCGAATAGGCGCGGCGCAACCTGGGAGTCAACTTAGATCATCGAGGCAAATATTTACGCCCGCAAAGCTGAAACTTCGATGCATAAAGGGAACGCAGACTCAACACGTGGTTAGTCAGCATAGTTGATTGGGTCTCTGCAATTCGGAGACCCGAGCGTCAGCCATGAGCATTCGAGTCTGGCACACTCCTCGCCGAGAGCGTGCGCGGCCGCGCGCAATCGCGAATTCGAACTAAGCGCCAAATTTCTCTCCGAATAAGTTGCGAGGATCCGAACAAGCAGCCAGCCAGCCGCCTGGCCGTGATTCGGCTCGAGGGCTGGGATTGATTGGCTTGGAACGCGGGTATCGGGAATTGAGCCGGACGTCCTCCACATTAAACAACTTTCCGCTGGCAGCCTACCCTTGAGAATTGAACTTCCCCCTTTCTTCTCCCTTTTCATCCTACCTACCCACAAACCAAAATGTCTCGACCGGATTCACCACACGACACCCTGACCGCCCGCGACGCCCGCGACAACCACTCCCGCGTGAGCGGCCAGATCGACGCGAGGACTCCGGATGGCCTGGAGGCCGCTGCTGGAGTCGATGCCCCGGCCATCACTGGCCAAGAGCTTGACACCTCGCCACAAGCCACCGCAACGGATGCAAAGCCCGCTCGACCTGCCGTGGATGAGTCGACAATTCTAACCGGTTCGTTCTCTCTTACGTGCGGGCTCGCGTTCGCCCCCGCGTCCGCTCGGAGTCCGCGAGCTCCTCTCCCCTGCCCGGCTGAGCGCTGACCAATGAACATCGTCCGCCGTTTTCTCCGTCGCCATCCGCCGTCCGCCGCCTGGTCGTGTGTGTGTTCGCGCCAAACAGGAAAGAAGCTCGCCATTGTCTTCGTGTCAATGCTCTTGTCCATTTTCCTGATTGCTTTGGACCAGAGTGAGTACTCGTTCACCTGTTCCGACCCACATCAGCATGGGTATCCGCGAAGGGTTAAAGATCTTCGCTACGCGTTCGCGAACGATGTCAGAGTTGTGTTGCTCGGAGTTTGTCGACCCAGTCTGCAGCCTCTGGCCTTCGGATTAAGCACATGCGCTGGCAGGACCAGGAACTGATCGGTGAACGTCTTGCACTTCATTCCTTCTCTTGCATTTCACAGCCATTCTTGCCACGGCTCTCCCGAGGGTGAGCTCACGCAGTCCTGTTCACGGCCCGCGAATCAGCCATGCTGATTCCTTCTTCACCGCACCCCTACTCTAGATTGCCTCTGATTTCAAGGCGTTTAACTTGCAAGGATGGGTCAGCTCTGCTTTCATCCTGACGCGTAAGTTGGCGTTTTTCGAAAGTTGTTGTTACTCCCTGACCAAAGCAAATTTCTATTCCTGTCTGACAGAGACTGGATTTCTGCTGCCCAGTGGGCAACTTTTGCGAGTCTGGCCAGCGAGTGAGTTGCGCTTCTTCCTCCTCCTCTTGCCCTCTTGTTTGTGTCTCAGAGAGAGTCAGTGGATGCGGAACGAAAAGTTGACCTATCGAATCTGTGTCACGACCCGACAGAGTACTGCCTCCTCGTCGCCATCGTCTTGTTCGAGGTCGGGTCAGCGCTTTGCGCTGGAGCGCAAAACGTTTACGCCTTGATCGTCGGCCGAGCCATTAGTGGCGTCGGGGCTGCGGGAATTTTCACCTCAATGCTCCAAGTCCTCGCTCAGGTGACCCGTCTTGAGGACCGCCCGCGTTTGTTCGGCTTCTTCGGTGCCGTCTTCGGACTTTCCTCGGTCATCGGCCCGCTGATGGGTGGTGCTCTTGCGGACTCATCGACGTACGGGTGGCGCTTCTGCTTCGTGTTGAACATCCCAGTCGGTGCTGTGACTTTCACTGCCGTCGCCTTCATGCTCAAGGCGTCGCCGCCACTCGGCGCCAAACCCGACGAGACCACCACGAAGGCGCGCATTCGCAACACGGGACGCATGGATTGGGTCGGCGCGACGCTTCTTTTCGCCGCCATCACGTGTCTCGTCCTCGCCTTGCAATGGGGTGGCAACACTAAGCCCTGGAACAGCGGCTCGGTAATCGCGTGTCTCGTGGTCGCGGTCGCCTTGGGCGCGGCCTCCATTCTTTGGCAGAGGTGGCTCGGCGATCGGGCCATGGTCCCAGGCAAGGTGTTCAAGAGTCTTTCCATCTTCGCCATCTGTGGTTATTCCTTTACGACCCGGTTCGCCCTCCTCATTTTCACCTACTACCTCCCCCTCTTCTACCAAGCTGGTCGCGATCACACCGCGACAAAGTCGGGAATCGACATCCTGCCCTTCATGCTCGGCGTAGTGCTCAGTGTCATCCTCGGAGGCCAGATCGTGGCACGTATCGGGCGCTACTGGCCTTTCCTCGTCATCGGTCCCATCTTCATGTCGATTGGATCTGGCCTCATGTATACCATTAGTGTTTCGACGCCGAGCCCGACGTTGATCGGTTTCCAGATCCTCGCCGGTATCGGTGTTGGTCTTTCGATGCAAAACAGTCTGCTAGCGATGCAGGCCGAGTTCAAGGATAACCCGAAATTGGTCGCCCAAGCGTGAGTTTGTTCATTCCCTTCCTCGGAATGTGTGACTGTGTACTGACATGTATTTCGTCATTCTAGAACGAGTATGGCGTCCTTTTCGCAATTCCTCGGAGGCACGATCGGTCTCGCGGTCGGGCAAGCCGCCTTCTCCTCGCGGTTGTCAGTGAACTTGCGTCAGTACGCCCCGACAGCCCCTGCGTCCGTGATTGAGCGATCACCTTTGGCGATCTACACCGCCATTGAGGCTAGCATTAGGCCGGAGGTCATCAAGGCCTACGTCAAAGCGCTTGATATTGGTCAGTTGCCTTTTGCTCGCCCCCCAGCGCGACCCATTTCCGATCCAGATTGCTGACGGGACCTTCTCTTGACTACTCTCCGTACAGTCTTTATACTCGGTGTACCCTTCGGTGTTCTCGCACTCTTGTTGTCGCTGCTGATCAAGAACATCGACATCCGAGCGCCCAAAGCGGATGCCAAGCCCAACGACGAGGAGGAAGGCGCTGCCACTGCGGATGCGTCGCCGGAGAAGATCGTGCAAAAGGTCGACACCGTGTCGGACGACGGACAGCACGGTGCCAGTTCAGAGAAGAGGCTGTCGTCGGAAGCATAGGATCGGGTTCGAAGTGGTGATGGGCCTTCTCAACAGTTGATTTCGAAACCATAGAGAATAGGGATTATTGTGTGTAGCGTTTACGAGGTGTCGAAAGTTGTACGCTGACTCACTGGGCCGGGCTCGAGCCTCGGGCCTCGAGTCGCGCACAGATCAGGCTGCTGCAAATGATGATCTGTAACCAGTGGACTAGTAAATACCCGTCTTCGAGCTCGTGCCGATAACAGTGGAACAAGATTGCTCAAGATTTCTGAGCTCTAAGAATTGCAGTGGGAGGTGATGCGTGAATGATAGCATTAAACTACTATGGGCCTGAAAGCCAGGATACAGTGAAGTGCTGTGAAGTGAAATCCGCCAGCCCGCTCGCCGGGGCTCGAGCTCGTTGTTCTCCGGCGCCAAACACCTCGAGCGACACCCGGAGAGTACAGACCCTTCCTAACGTCCTCGGTCCATCAGTGCCGCGTCTATATTGGGGAAATAACCAATGGTGAGCTTGGTCGTTACACCCTACTTACGTACTGCGACTGTGTAGTGCATGCACCATCCGGGAATGCCGGGCTGCGCTCGGGCCAGTGGCCGGCCACTCGCAATGTCCCGAGTATCATTCAGCTCAGCCTCAGCGGAGCACGGAGCACGGGCGTCGCACCGCGCGTGCGCGCACACAGCTGCACAGCGAGCTGACCATCGATTCCCGGTGCCTTTCCTGCGTGAATCACTACATCCAGAGACGCATCTTTGGAGGTGGGACGGGCGCGAATGGGCCTCCTAGCTCGGGCTCATCGTCGGACAACCTCACCTCGTCGCCCAACGGCCAACCGAGCCATCGCAATCACAACAACAACAGCCACAACACCGGAGCAGGCTCAGGCTCAGGCTCTGGCGCGGGAACGGGTTCCGGTCTGGGGACCAATTTGGAATCCATGATGGTCAACTACTCCGTAAACAACAACGAGCCGAAGCAATCCAACTTCGAAGACCGGTCCGATTCTAAGAAGGCTGGCGGAGGTGGGGGTTGGTTCAGTGGGGCGTTTGGCGAAGGCAGCAGTAGTGCCAACGCGCTGGGCAATGGATACGGTGTAAGCGCCAACAGCAACAGCAACAGCAACAACTTCAATTCGAGCCTTGGCGCGGGGAGCAACAACACACGAAACTACGCTTCGCCACGCACGACAACGGGTCTGGCCTCGCCCTACCATGGCGCAACACGATCCCACGATGCAGGTGGCATCTCGCCCATCTCTCCACCCTACGATTCGGGTGCCGCCCCTTTCGCCCCTCAAGCCGCGAGTGACGACCTAGAGGATCTTAAACTTCCCTTTGGAGGGAGGAGTACGCCAAGATCACCACCTTCGACCAGGAATGACCACACCCGATCGTCGAGCCAGGCATCCTCGATCCTCTTGCAAAACTCGACCAACGGTCCCTCGTCGAGTCGACCTTTCTCACCTTTTGGTATGAGTCAAACTTCGCTCTCAGTCTCGGCCGGCTCAAGCTTGACGACGGCACCGGATGTCAAAGACAAGATCATGATCGACTTGCTGAGTGGTCAAGCCGTCGTCGAGACCAAGGACTTCCCCATCCTGGGTTGGGAAGAGATGCAGGACGTGAAGAAAGTGAGTTTCATCGTGCGTCGTAGGATATTTGAGTGCACATCGGCTAACTCAGCGTCTGTGTGCTTAGGAGCATGCTGTTTTGGCTACCAAGATCGCCTCTTTGTCAAGATCGCTCGCCCTCGAGACCCGACTGCGTGATTCGGCGGCCAAGCTCGTCCGACTATCGAGTCCCAGTCCCATTCCAGGATCACCGACCTCGACCTCAGCGACAGGGTCCGACGCGTCGAATCGAGCACGCGTGACGAAAGCACAGGCCGAGGCCCAGGTGCAACAGGCGAACGACAAGATTGAATCGATCCAAACCGAGCTGTACAGGGTCGGGTGGAAGGAGGCCGAGTCGAGAACCAAACTTCTACGGCATATGGCGGGTGTGCTCGGACTGGCGATGAGGAGGAAAGAAGAAGAAGAGCGCGGTTCGTCGCAGACGCCTTTGTCGCGGGGCTTGCATGGTTCGCCGTATCCGTTCGGGGCTTCACCGGCTACGTCCGTCGGGAGGGATCAACAACGCTCAACCTCACCTTTTGGAGGCCCCGCGAAATCATCGCGCTTCGATGGCCATTCGTTCTTTGCCGGGAACAAGGAAGCCATCCTTCCCGGTCCGCCGACGAGAATTTCACCTTATGCCTCGCCGAACTTGTCCGCATCGAATAACGGCCAATTCGTCGTCGCAGTGGCGGACGCTTCCCATGCCGCGATCAGGGATTTGGAGACCCAGGTCGCAGGGTTGCAGCGCGCACTCAACGAGCAGAGGGATCGACCGGTCCAGCAGGTCGACTCGGCCCAGTTGCGACAGTTGCAAGAAGAGGTTGCGCAAGCACGAGCGGCCGAGCGATCGGCGAGGGATGAGCATACCCAGACTCGGAATGAGCTCGACAGACACCTCATCGAGCTAAGGTCGATCAAGGATAGTCACGGATCGTTGCAGCGAGAATTGGAGCAGACGAAGCTGGGTCAAGGGCAAGGCGAGGATGCTCAAAGGGAACTCGAGCGGTCACGACAAGAGATCGACGAGATGACGGACAAGATGCAAGAGCTCGAGCAAGAGTTGAATGATTTGGAGGAACGAGCCGTCGCGAGCGATCGAAGGGTCACGGACGTCGAGGGATTGCTGGAAGACATGAAGATCAAGCATGCTCACGAGCTGCAGAGGGCACAAGGCGATCTGCAAGCCGCGAAGGACGAGGCCGAAAGAGCACGGCTCGCGGTACCGAAGGTTCCAACGCCGAACGGGGCGGAGGAGGAGGAACAACGCTTGCGCGACGAGGTCGCTTCAATGCGGTCGGAGCGAACCAAGATCTCGCAAACGCTCGCCGACGTCCTGCAACGCCATCGGGCACATGCCAACAGCTTGGGCACCGAATTGCCCGAGGAATTTGACGAGACCGCGGTCGACCATCACGACGATTGGTCTGGATATGTTGCATCGTCTTTGGGTGACCACTTTGATCACATCACGTCGCACGCAACAGCCGTTTCAGACGAGCTGTCGCTCGCACGGTTGGCACAAGAACACTCGGCAAATGACCTCGAGGGCGAGTTGCGCCAGGCGCAAGAGCATCGCGATCATTGGCAGGACGAGGCGGAGCAACATCGACAGGCGAGGGAACAGCTCGAAGCCGAGCATGACGACTTGAAAGCCACGGTGCAAGGTCACGAGGAGCGCCTGGCCTCCCTCGCTTTGACGCACCACGAGTTGGAGGTCTCGGCGGAAGAGAAGGAACATCTGCGTGCACAGCTCGAGCAATCGCAAGGACGCATCGCCGAGCTCGAGAAGAAGATTGCCGAATATGACGCGACGCACGCCGCATTGGAGAAGTTGTGGCAGTCTCTCCCCGCCGTCGAAACCCGGCGCCGGGCTGGCGACTCGCATGATTTGGCCACTCTCAAGGCTGCTTTCGATCCTTCCCAGAGCTTGGCGGATTCTTCGGCGCGATTCTCGATCGATGCGCTCGTCGAACGTGTCCGCGCTCTGCTCGCCGACGATGCCACCTTGGTCGAGACTTTGATGAAGATCGAGAGCGGCACTGCAAGTGCGCAACAGGAGGCCGAGACTCACCGCTCCAATGCGGAGCGATACCAGAAGTTGGCCGAGCAGCACTCGACCAACTTGACGGTCACACAGGGCAAGGTCAAGGACTTGGAGGAGCGGATCGAGGTGTCGTCGCAGCAAGAGGTGACGATGCTGGAGAGGTTGAACGACCTGACCGAGTCTTTGGAGTCGACGAGGGCCGAGAAGCGCAAGCTCGAGACGGCGGGTAAAGGGTTGGAAGAGCAGGTCAAAGCCGCGGAGAAAGAGCAGAATCGATTAGCAGCGATCGTCGTGGGGTTAAAGGAGGAGAACCGCGCGTTGAAGGAACGACCCGATCATGCAGCCAAGCTGGCTTCGCTGGAGAACACGGTGCAGGACTTGAAGGACCAGTTGACCGATCTGGAAGAGGAGCTGGAGGATACCAAGAAGCGGGAGCAAAAGACGAGGGGCCAGTTGTTGGAAGAACTCAATGCAGCTCAAGCGGTGAGTCGGGGCTCCCAGACTGTGCTATCATTGATCACTGATGTGGATACTTGCCCACTTTGTATGTGTGCAGGAGGTGTCGGCTTTGCGGACGAAATTGCGCCAAGCGGAACGGAAAGCGAGCAAAGCAGTATAATGCGATGTGACTTGTTGGATCTTTCATATATTGTTGGGATGATCACGATTGGGGGTGATTCATGTTGTAATGTGCGATCGGAACCAAGATTGGCTGCCGAGCCGCGAGTACTGCGAGTGCCTCCGAGGGAGAGCTCCGAGCGGGTCCGAGCGGCACGAGCGTCGTCCGCCTCGTGACTCGAGCGCGTCGGCCAAGTCGCGCCGAGCAAGCGCGCTCTCCTTCCTGCTCTCCTTCCTGCTCGCCTCCCCAACTCACACCTCTGCTACCTGCTCCGACTACTCGATACCCATCCAGTTGGGCATCGCTCGGTCGAGGGTGCCGACGACAGCTTTGGATCGCGTGTTGGATCGAGATCGCGGTGGGTCGTACGACGTAACTGGGTCGCCGCGCCGAAAGGAGCTTAGTTCCCCGCCAAGATGGGTGAGCGCCCAGCAACAAACAACCTCTCACCAACTCGGTTCCTTTGGCCCCCAAGCTGATCAACACCCCTCGCCACACAGCGCATCTACTCCAAGGCGACAAATATGCGTTTGCAAGTCCCTCTTCTCTGTGACGGCTGCGCTCGCGGGCCTCGCTCGACGATGTCACTGATTGCTGCAGATCCCCTCCCCTGCATTCTCCCCCCGCACAGCTCAAGATGAAGGCCCCAGCGGCGTACGTAGCTGGTCTAGGTCGAGGTGCTTCCGGGTTCACGACCCGATCCGATATTGGACCCGCGCGAGAGCAAGTGACGGATGACGCCGCGGAGGACAAGAACGCCGGCCGAGGCGAGGAGATCGATGGCGATCTGCCCGACCGCTATCAGGATCCAGAGAATGAGACCGGCTTGTTTGCGGGTACGTGGCTGTTTTGCGTGGCGTTCTCGGACCCGAGTGTGAGGGGGGGCCACGTGGGGGTGCAAGCCAGCTGATGGAACCCCCACCTCGTACGGCGACTGCAATCTCCTCACAGGCATGGTCTACGAAGCCGACGACGAAGAGGCCGACCGAATTTACGAAGCCGTCGATGCCCAAATGGACGAGAGGAGGAGAAAGCGCAGGGAAGCGAGGGAGAAGGAGGAGGAGGAAAAGTTCCGAGCCGAACGACCGACGATCCAGGCCCAGTTCGCCGATCTGAAGCGTGGCTTGGCCGACATGACCGATCAGGAATGGGACAGTCTACGTGAGTGGTGATCACGGTGCACACTGGGGGTAACAGTCCGGCAACTGAACTGAACACCTTGCTCATCCTGCAGCGGAGGTCAACAACTTGATCGGCAATCGGATCAAGAAGCCCCGGCTGGAAGGCCGAAGCTTCAACGTGCCCGACAGTGTGCTCGTAGCTTCTCGAGATCGCAATGCCGTCGAGTCGGCTCTCTCAGAAGAGCAAATGGTAGGTGGTCATCGGGACATATCCTGCCTGAGTCAAATGCTGATGATTCTAGTCACTTTTGTCGATCGCAGGAGGATGGGACGAAAACCTCGATGAACGCTCTGACCGACTTTGCCGAGATCGGTCAAGCTCGAGAAAAGATGTTGTCAATCAAACTTGAACAACAAGCCGGCACAGACTCGGTCTCGGGCTCGACGACCATCGACCCCAAGGGCTATCTCACCGGCCTGCAATCCCAAGTCCTCAAGACCGCGACCGAGATCGGAGATATCAAGCGAGCACGGCAGTTGCTGCAGTCGTTGACCAAAACGAATCCCAAGCATGCTCCTGGATGGGTCGCTGCAGCTTGGCTGGAAAACGTTGCGGGGAAGTCCGTGCAGGCACGCAAGATCATTGCCGAAGGGTGCCAGCATTGTCCCAAGAATGAGGATGTCTGGATCGCCGCGAGCGAATTGAATGTGAGGAAAGCTGTGATCGAAGTAACATTCAGACGCGCTGACTTCCACCTTCGAACATTTTACAGACCAACGATAACGCCAAAGTCATCCTTGCCAACGCCGTACAAGAGCTCCCCCAGTCCGTGCGGATTTGGATGCGGGCCGTTGAGCTGGAGAACGACCCGTCCGCAAAGAAGCGCGTGCTTCGGAAGGCGCTCGAGTACATCCCCGCCTCGGTCAAATTATGGAAGGAGACGGTCAAACGCGAGGAGAACCCCGAGGATGCGCGCATCTTGCTTGCCCGAGCCGTCGACGTCATTCCTCATTCGCAAGAGCTATGGCTTGCATTGGCACGGCTGGAAACGCCCGATCGCGCTCGACAGGTGCTCAACAAGGCGCGCAAGACGATCCCGACCTCACACGAGATTTGGATCGCCGCCGGTCGATTGCAGGAGCAAGAAGGCAACACCTCTCAGGTCGACGCCATCATCGCAAACGGTGTCGCCGCGCTCAAAAAGAACGGTGCGATCTTGACTCGTGAGCAATGGCTCGGCGAAGCCGAACGATGCGAGAGCGCCGGCAGTATCGTCACCGCTCAGGCCATCCTCAAAGCGACGCTGCATCTCGATGTCGAAGAGGAGGACCGACAGGAGCGATGGCTCGAAGATGCGCAGACCATGACGAGCAAGGGCTTGATCGGCTGCGCTCGAGCCATCTTTGCATATTCGCTCAACGTCTTTCCTCACAAGCAGGTGTTGTGGCGGAAAGCCGCCGAATTGGAGAAGGCGCACGGCACAAGAGAGACGCTGTTGGCGCTCTTGAACAAGGCCGTCGAGTCCGTACCTCAAGCCGAGGTCCTTTGGCTCATGGCTGCGAAAGAGTCTTGGCTCGGCGGCGACGTCCCCGGTGCTCGCGCAATTCTGGGCCGGGCATTCGAGGCCAATCCCGAGAGCGAAGGTATTTGGCTCGCAGCGGCCAAGCTTGAGGCCGAGAACGGACAGATCGAGGCCGCTCGAGAACTCATGCGACGTGCCGTCGAGCGCGTCGGAACCGAACGTATTTGGATCAAGTCCGCCGTCTTCGAACGACAACACGCGACGGCCGATTCTGCGCTCTCCACTGCCAAAGCGGGTTTGGCTAAATACGACCGCTCCGCGAAACTGTACCTCATCCACGCGCAGTTGTTGCTCGCCCAGGAACCCCCTGCCACAAATGCAGCGAGGGAAGTGCTGGCGACGGCGGCCAAGAAGTGCCCGACTTCGGTGCCGATCTGGTTATTGGCTTCGAGGCTCGAGGAGAACGTCGGGTTGCGCATCAAGGCGCGTGCGTTGTTGGAGAAGGCGAGGAACCTCAACCCCAAGAGCGAAGAGGTTTGGCTCGAGTCGGTAAAGGTCGAGGAGAGGGACGGAAGTGGGGCTGCCAAGGGGATGCTCGCTCGAGGTACGTGGTCACGTCGGGCTATCAAAAGTTCAGCTGTGCATCTCACTGATCGTTCTTCTTCCGTTGTCCGCCATAGCTCTGCAAGCGTTGCCGACATCAGGGATCTTGCACTCGTACTCGGTGTGGCAAGAACCTCGGGCCACACGCAAGTCGCGATCGGTCGACGCGCTCAAAAAGGCCAACAACTCGCCCGCCATCATCGTCACCGTCGCGCGGCTGTTCTGGGCCGAACGTAAAATCGAGAAAGCGAGGGACTGGTTCTCGCGAGCCGCGACAGCCGATGGCGACTTCGGCGATGCTTGGGCTTGGTGGTGGAAGTTCGAACGGCAGCATGGCGTCGAAGCCAACAAGCAGATCGCGTTGGACCAGTGCACACAAGCGGACCCGCACCACGGTCAGACTTGGCAAGTCGTCCTCAAGGACCCTAAGAATGCTGGCAAGAGCATGAAGGAGTTGCTGGATTTGGCTGCCGATGCTGTGGAGGAGGAGAAGAGCACTGTTGTGTAGATCGTTCTCGGCAACGTAATACAGACGATACGATCTATGGGCTCTTTGTCTTTTGAAGGACAATTGCTTGGGCATGAGCTTGGGCATGAGCTTCGGTTGCTACAGATTATGTATCGCAATTGCAGAAGGCGGTAAATATGCGGGAATTAAACGAGTAACTAAGCAAATGCAAGTGCTTGCTCCCCGTAGGTAATGATCAGGAGAGAGGAAAAAAGCGATTGAAAAGGCTGAGAAAGTGAGTGTCTGCTCGTCATGGTCCTCACACTCTGTATTCACACCTTCAACAGGGCTTGGTAAAAGTCGGAGTTGACGGCCAGGTGAAAGCTCGTTAATTTGGCGAGGCGTTCACCGAGACTCTTGATTTGGTCGGCGAGAGGGGTGAGGCCGTTGCGAAGAAGAACCGTGTTCAGGTCAGGAGAGTGAAGAGGAAGGTCGATCTTGTCGGTATTAGGAGCGGCGTAGCGAGCCCGTTTCTCTCGGCACTCTTGCTCATCGAGTGACGCGCGTTTGGTGCCTCGTCCAGTCGCTGACACAGCCTTCGCCTTCATGTTTGCTTCTGCAGGCACGATGTCGATATTTCTTTCACCCGTGCATCCCGTGCGCCGACTTCGTTGAGGGTCGAGCGTGATTGAGTTCTGGCTGGCGGGCGGACTCACGGTCGGACGCATCCACCATGGAGCTCCTTTCATCTGTGTCTCATGCGCGAGCTCATCTTGGACGACGGCCGTAACGGCCGCTTGAAGTCGAGATCTCAGGAGAATAAATACCTTGGAGTGAGAGCGAACATGCGTCTCGATGTAGCTCTCCACCAGAGTAGGAATGTCGTGTACCGTATTCGAGCTGATCGCTGGCGCGGATCTTACGGCTGTTGCCGCTAGCTTGGTGGCAAAGCCGGCCATGATTCGCTCGACATGTCTGAGCTCATGTCGCCACTCGTCACAATCGAACTTCGCGGTCCCTTGCATCGTGGCTGCTTTGACGCGCGATTCCGTCGACGCGGTCGTTACAATTGGCGCGTTTTGCGAGATTGCGGCGTTGGCAGTTGAGATGACGCCGGCAATGCATTGTCGGAGTTCCAAGAGCTCCTTCACGCACGAACGCGACGAAGGTACAAGCTCTTGGAAGAGCATCATGAGCATGTAGAGGACAGTCAAATCCGTCGCCTCATTGCGATGCAATTTGAGCCTTATAGCGTCGAGCTGGAAAGTGAATGGGAGAGTCGGCTGTTGTGGAGACGGGGCGACGGACGAGAACGCAAGGCCCAGGACGCCTTGCAGAACTGAACAAGAAACGCGATCTCGGATGGCCGAGCCGTCCCCGGGAGATGCATTGATTAACCATTGACGGACTTGCTCGGATTCTTCGAACGAGAGCCTGATTTGTTGATGATTGCGCTCAAACTCGACCGCCGTTCGAACCAGATAAGGTCGCAACGATCGCAACTGATGATTCGCAATATCCTATGTAATCGCAGTCCACGAGGCAGTCAGCACACTACCATAAGGAGGCTGCGCACGGCCAGTCAGATGTGAAACTCACGAGCTTCATCAACTCTAGAATCTCGAAGCAGTGGCGAATACCCAGAGCCACACTGGCGTCGTCCCCTTTGCAAATGCGAGTCATGTTGTCGATCATGTGATCGCGCATAGGCGCGCAGTGCATTTTAAGCGTCATTCCGAAATAATCGGCAAGCTTGCCGACGTCCAAGAGCCCGCGCGTGAGTTGCTGGCAGATGAAGGCGGGGTCGAGCATTTCCATCACCTCTTCCTGAGAGTGTTCGCTAGGTTTCACTGGAAGGAGAGAGACAACTATGTTCCGTAGCTCCGTAATCAGGTTCGGGATGCGGGAAGGCCACAAGGCCGAGTTCTCGGTGGCGTCACTCCTTGGGCTTTGACAAACGCAGGCAAGTCGGTCGGAGCCAACGAAGGCGGTGCAGCGGCATCCCACCACCAACTCGCGAGAGACGGCGTACCAATATCGATCAGCGGCCCGTTTCTTCCGCTCGCCCCTGTACAAGCGAAAAACGCGGACGACGGCGGGCAGAAGATGGTCAGTGCGGGTTTTGCGCACGTGCTAGTCGCGACCGACGTCGCGGAGCGAACAGGCGAGCCTTGCACGCACCTTTCGCCGTCATAGTTCGGTCGGAACATCAGATTGGAGTCAAATACGATGTCATGACGTAGCTGTGCGCTTTGAAGAATATCGTGCAGGTCGAGCTCCTTAAGAGTAGCCATTGTGATGGGAGGCAGCAAGAAGGATGCGGTCGCCGTGGGGATCGACGGGCTTGTGTCGGTCTGCGCACCAACGGAACGGCCGTGAGCCGATCCCTTCCCATGCAAGCGATGCGCGCCTGCGATTTCTCCGTTCTCGGGCGTTGGAGCGGGGGAGCCGGCAACCTGATTGAGGGATGTCGACGTCGAGCTCGCTTCACATGGCGACGCAGAGGAGGACGGATGCGAATGGGAAGCATCGAGAGCCATAGTTCCCGACTGGGAATGTACGGTGGGGAAGCAGGGGCCAGAAATTATCGGAGGAGCAGAGGAAGAACGGGGCCTGGAAGGAAGACAAGCGTACGGGCGGCACGATCGAGTCGCGGTAGCAGAATCCAGGCGTCGATAGGGGCGATCCGGACCTGGAGCCCCGTGCGGTTGGGTTGAAGGGACGGTCGCGGCCAATCCAGTGCTGCGTGTCGCTTTGGGTGCGCTCGCGACAGTCTTATCCGAAGACGCCTTGTTTAGCGCACGCGCGAACGAACCGGAATAGGAGAGCGGAAGTCTCCAGTCCAGACGTCGATGGTCCGACCATCGGGCTTCGCGTCCGTTCGGGGTCCCGTGCTTTTCCGTGCCTCGGGCCTCGGCGGAAAACGGAGCGCTTGAGCTGATCGACTGGATAGCTCCAAAGCTCAGCAGACCGGTCCTGATGCGTTTTGAAGCAATACTCGATGTTTCCCGGTCCTGACAATTGCACGGAGCCCCTGACGGCGTTCGCCGCTGCGAGACCGAGACAATCGTCTCGCGGCTGCCTTCTCTTGGCTTGGAGGATGCAGACGCTGGCCGGTGGAGACGTTGCTTGTGCGTGACCGCCGTTGGCACAGTTCCGCATCGCCTTGAACGGTGCTTTGAAGGTCGCAAAAGCGCCATTGTCGCCGCCCATACGGCACGTGACTTTACGTGGCTCTCACACGCCCAGCTCCTGGGTTCGACCAAGTGGTCATGCGACCTTTTCCGCGGTGTTAGGCCGGATCCCCGGACCTGACATCGTTGCTGGAATGACCAAGACGTGACCATGTGTGTTGCTGACGAAGACGGAGACGGAGGCGGAGATGCAGGATCAACGAGGGAGCTCGAACAGGAGATGGGCGGGTGCGTAGCTTCATGATCGGGAGATGCCGAGCAACGGCTTATTGCGACGGCCGACGAATTGGAAGATGACGAGATGGGTGACACTACCGAAGCGCGGCCGTCCACGTCCACTCGATGCGATCCAGTATTGTCGCCATGAACGGCGTACGACGGATTGGCCACCGTTTTTTGATCCATGACGACAGTTTTCGAGACGATGCGAGGCCGAACTCGAGTGAGGGAGGGCAACAGAGGCCGAGAGCGCCAGCTAGTGCGGCAGTAGGTCTTACTCGCCGCGTGCTTCAAGGCTCGCCGGCCCTGCGCCCGTACGGCCGCGTGAAGTCAAAGAGCGGCGAGAGGAGGCAGGGTCGAATGGGCTCGAGCTGCACTGATCCGATGTGCCGAAACTATACACCGTCCAGGGGGGTGGAGACTATGCTGAAGTCAGATACGAGACTGGTTTGACTCGCATTCGGCATTTCTCATGCCACAAATGCGCTCAGTTGGTGAGTACTCACGGAGGTGCCGCGGAGGGAGCAGGCGTGAGTCGTCACCGGGTGAGACGTCGATGATCTCTTTCGGCCAGGGGTGTTGTCGCAGCTCGCTGCTGGTGACGTGGCGGCCGCGCCAGAAGCTATGACTTCGAACAGAGCTCAGGCTCTCGGATGCCGGTGGCAACGATCGTATCGTGAAGCTCAAGAGCTGAGGTGGCCTTCAGCAACAAACGTAGATCAGAGAAACGCGACCTGCACAGACCACAAGGGCACTCAGCACGTTCAAGCTGGCGCGCCGGTCGTCTTGGATCGGAAATAAGGATGTGCGGCTGGCGCCGCTTGTGCATTGCCGTCGATCTCCCGATTAGCCACGCCCGTGCCACGCCCCGTCTCCTTGCGGTAGGCGCGCGCGCCGAATTCGATTTACTGCCAAGTGAGACCTCTGCGCCGCGTTCTGTCCGGCGCGCGGCCCGCTTGAAATGACAATGGCTTTTGTCAGCTCGGTCGGTACCTGCCCTACAAGTTTTTCGTTCCGCTTCGCTGCTCTCCCGCTCTCGAGTGCTCTCCCTGACCTCTAGGATTTCATGGAATTGATAACCTCATGATAATGTCTCACCCCCTTTTTTGCACCAAACTCGTCGGGCTCGTCCAGTGACCGACGATTAAACCCATGGTGATCAGAGTCACTGCTGAGGTCGCTCAGCGAGCTGCGAGTACTCGTCGATCCGGAAATTGATCCGGACCAGGTTAGTGTTCAGAGCAATGGGAATACATTTGGTACACTGTTATTCTGCTGCGAGCGGGTCGGAAGATGTTGCGTCTGCACAGCGCACCTGTTCTAGCATGGCACTAGGCCTGCCCTGGCATCAGGACGACGGCGGACCGATTGCATGCGGAAGTCGAGCCAGCCTCTCTCGCCGCCCCGAACCCCGTTTGCGCGATTGCCGATGAAGGTGCGAGCGAGTTCTAGCAGCCGATGCCACGAAGAGAATTGGGTCATTTTTTAAGAAGAAGATATCCCTGTATTGAACTCGTAGTGGTGGATTCCGTCTCGGAAGGCACTTGTTACTTGTCGGTCGTTAGTACCGAGCTAGCATGCGCGCCAAATGGCGACTGACTTATAGGACCTTCCGAATCCTTTTTTCTTTTTCTTTTTTTTTGACCTTCCGAATCCTGGGACCTGTGCCAAGCGAAGATCCGTGCCGGACCCGTAGCTGTGGGGTCTGAGGGGTCATATTTTCACACCGAATACAGGGGCAACTTTCCACCTAGATCACCTCTATCCGAACCTAATCAAGCTCTGGGAGGATCTTCTCGTTCGTTTTCTGATCGAAGCGGAAAGGATCGAGGCATCGGAATAGGCGTATGCCACGGTCCCCGACTTTCTCTCGAGCGAGCGACCAAACGCCTTATTATAAAAAGCGCTGAAGAATGGCGAGAGCGATCTTTCATCCGGACTGGTGATCAACACCTGCTCTCGGACTTAAGCGCCTAGAAGGGACGTACATTTGAGCGCAGCGCCCGAAGGCGGCGCGCGCGCGCCCCTACCCATCGAGTCCCAATTCAGTCGAGAAGCAAGACCCTCTTGCGCGGAAGACGTCGCCCAACGCCGAGACACGACATTCTCAGAACAGCCTATCATGTAACTTTTTGCACGCAGCGCGAATTGTTTTCTCTTGTCGAGAAGATGACCAGCGGAACAGAGAGGTCACTTCGCTGTGACCCGAAGGAGACCTCGTCTACAGAACATTTTGCGGATTACTATAGTGCTGAGCTCGGCTTCTCGAACAATCGGAAGTCGTCGCTGAGCTACCTAGGGTGCCCATAGGGAGGTACCGAGCTGAGCATGTATACCTGCGAGCGTCCTGCGATGAAAAAGCAAAATAGTTCCCAGACTTTACCCATAGTATGGCGCTGAAACACTTCTGCCACATCGGTCCTCAGCGCAGTTGACGCGCTGACCCCTTTGTTGCACACACGCCACGCGCGCGGAAGCCCCTTTGTAGATGGTGTCCGTGGGGAGGCAGATGAGGTCGTGAGAGACCACTAGAAGGGTTAACAAATGTCCTGTCACGGTTTCTTTGAGCACCCAATTCATGCTTGGTATCAGGCAACTCGAGCGACCACTAGAATACCTTTGGCAAGGAGACTGCCTGATCTGGATCGCACCTGCCGATCGTGGCCAAAGATCATCGAAAGCCATGGAACATTCGAAAAGTAGGTACCATATTTTTGAGTGAATCTTGAGTAGACGTAGATTGAATTTCAATATGTCGTGACGCTCTTTGGGCTCTCCTGTACCCGGTGCGAGTGAAACGACTGCCATGCATGAGGCGTTTCGGACTTCGGAGAGCGATCATACCGAAGGTCAGGCCGGCTTCGCGCCTTCACCCCGACCCGTCCAACAGCTTGCAGGCTCTGGTCTTCGAAGAAATCGTTTAGAAAATGAACCTCTTAGTAATTAATTAGGACCATCGGGAAAGTATCTCGGACCTCCGTAGTGTGTCTCGTGTCGCAGTCACGCCAAGTGGGCTGCTGCTCAGCTCCGGTTGGAATGACCGGCTTTCCTCTTCGAGCTTCGAGCTGCCGCGCATATGCCGCTTTCGGGATCCGCGGCGCCTGAAAACGTGTCTTCATTTTTAGCGCCGCGAAGGCGGAATGCATGTCGTGCGCAGAATCGGCTTAGAGGAGAAGATCCACACACACACTCGTGAAACGGTGAACTGTCACACAGATTTTATTTCCCCGTAGGTTTTGCCGATCCCTGAAACAAACTCCGTTCTTCTCCGCGGACGGGCGCATTGACACGCTTCGGACTTGCCCTGGCCGAGAGCGGCGCTCCCGACCCGACTGCGCCCTGTTTGTTTCAGAAGGGACCGAAAAGAGATTGGCACGGGTTTTGCTTCAATGTACGGTATCGGGGATACGTCTGGGATTATCCTGCCCCAGACACACGCAAAAGGTAGTCTACGACCTTGACCGCGCCGACAGGTCCGACTTTGACTTCCCAACTCCGACAATGTGGAGCCGTGGTCGTCCGCAAGCAAGACTCGTTTGCTGATCGTCACTCCCTGTCCTGGCATGGTTCATCCCATTTGCGTCAGTCACAAAACCAGGAAACAGTTGTTCACGCACTACTTTTTCACCCGGTTGGTAAGGGAAATTCTAAACGTGATGTCCCTCCGCACTACCGGTCCATGCTAGGGGAGGTGGTCTATGAACGGATCTTGCAAAGAGTGCGCTCGCTCCTGGGTGAATCTCGATGTCAGTAGTGCGCAGGCGTGCGCAACCCTTCCATCGGATATTCTATCATTGCTCTTCGTTTTGCGAGTGCTTGGTTCGGGAACTATGATCATCGGTGTTTCATTTTGACTCATTAAGGCTTTCGTAAACCCTCTTCATCTAGAAAGCAAGCATCGTGCGCAGGAATCCCAGGTTGTGCAGCACATCGGACCAAGGCGATCGGCCTTTTCCGATCTAGTACACAGCGATCCTTCTTTGCTGGCCCGATCTTCACTGCCGGACACACCTTGGAGCAATCGTAGATGCATGGTCAGAGCATAGATGCGGCATACCTGATATTGCAAGACGATCTCTATTTCTCTATTTCTGCCAGCTGAACTTCTCGATACCGCCCGCGTCGATCTACATATTTACTCGGATCACGCAACAACCAAACAAAAGCTGGTTCTTGCTGCAAGGACCAAAGTTACCTTGCGCCTTAAAAAATAGGTCCCTTCTGATTTCAATCTGCATCGATTGACATTGTTAGCTTTTTTTTGACTGTGTAGTCCAGTTGTGAAGGGGCTGGCCTTTCACTTGGCTTATAGATACCGACTTGCGACAGGCATGTTGGATCTAACAGCCCAGGAAAAATAAAAATAAAAAGATGACAAGGGACATTTGAAGGACCAACTTCAGCAGGTAGCACCCCTTTGATCAGCGCAACGACTACGTCGCGTGGAAAGATGGGGGGCCTGGCGACCGGCCCTGAGAAGACGTGGGCCAGGCAGCGGCAAGACGGCAAGAGGCGGCAAGCGCTAATCCGTGCGCCAGCCGGCGGCGGCGCAACTCTCGATTTCGTCATCTTCCCTCTCGGCTGAGCGCGTTCGTGACTTCACAGGCACCCGCAGCCAAGAGAGTTTGATGCGTTGAGAGCAGGGAGAAGGGAACGACAGTTACCAGTAGTGTCCCGTGGTGATTCGATTCACTACTTGAAGCGCTCGCAGTCGACTAGGAATCGAAAGTTTGTCGCGTGACTAGGCACTTTCAATCTGGCAAAACAGCGCAAATTCACCAACGAAAGGGAGTCGGTAGTACGGCATGCGATGCGAAGGAGTACATCTGGAAGAGCTCGGAAACAACGATGCCGTGCTGTTCGTGTTCCGTCGCCAGCCACCCTCCTCCAACGCTGTGAGAAGTGTGAGGCATATTCCGGTACCGAGTCAAATTTCTGAAGAAGTTGTGCTCGGCCTTGGCACGCCGACGGGCCGCGCTTGGGCTCGCTTGGGGGCACGTCACGCGGACGAGGGAAGCGCAAGCCAAGCCGGGCGTTGCCGCCCCTTGCCGCCTGCGCGCCCCCGACTTTACCGAGGACGGCGGGGTCCTCGAGGTCCGAGAGACGCACCCAATGCAACCTGTTTCCATTGCGTTCGTGCGCACTTCTGCCTTGGCCCATCCTTTCACTCGGTCGTCGCTCCGTCAACTTCTCTCTTCCCTTTCTGACCTTCTCCACTAAGCCTAACACGAGCCAAACAAGATGGTCGCTATTCTGTCCGCCGAGTTGCTCAACGCGATCCTGCCCGCCTCGCTGCCGGCCGCCACACGTGACGGCGTACGGCCTCGCAACGCGCAGCTGTGCACGCTCGCTCAGCTCGACCGCACCTGGCAGAGGTTCGCGCAGGCCCAGTTGGAGGACTGTCTCAGATTGAGGGGCGAGCATTTCCGCAAGTTGGAGCAGGAGCACCCGGACAGGTCCCCGTCGCCGACCGCGGAGAGGAGGAGGGCTGACTCGAGTCTCGGCAGGCACGCGGCGGAGAGGGCACGTGATGCGGGGGAGCGTGGCAGGGGCTCGCCATTCAGGAGCTCCAGTTCGGCGTGTCATACGGATACGGATCGGGATGACGGTCAAGCGCAAGAGCGAGGTCGTTCGTTGCTGCGTCGTACTACGAGCCACCATAAGAGGACCCCGATCGTACTCCCCGGTGGGGCGAGGGAACGGGCGAGCAAGGTCAAGACGTTGGTCATCGACAAGTGCCTCGACCAGCAGCGCTACTCGGTCGTCAAGAGGTCCTTGGCGGCGTTCGATCAGGTCGAAAAAGTCTACCTTGCCGGCACGGGCGAGTGGTACGCACTAACGAGTTTAAACGAGTTGCCGAGTGAGTGGATGCTCTCGACTAGGTTACCATAATTCTTGGAAGTTCCTACTGATCGAAAGGTCGTGTTTGTCCCGCTAAAACAGACCTGACCTCGCTTCACCTCGCGCGAGTCTACCACGCCTTGCCGCCGTCACAACCCTTTAGCTCATTGACGACACTCTCGATCAGTTTCGGTCTACCCAAACACGTCGACTGGGCTTTGCTGCGCGCGAGGTTGCTCCCTGCGTTGAAGACATTCATCCTGCACCCGGTCGACTGGGACTTTATCCAAGAGCAAGGCGCGACCTTCTACCCCGCGTTCGAAGAGATCGCACCTCAACTCGAGGCCGTGCTCTTTGCCGGACAAGACCATCGCTTGGACGAGCCCGTCGATTGGGCGAGGATGATGAGGAGATTGAACAAGGTCAAGGTGTTGGAATTGAGGTTGACGAGTGGCGAGGCGTTGAAAAGCGTCGAGGGGCTTTGGAACACTGAGGACGAGGGAGAGCACGTTCAAGGCGAGCTGAGGCTCGGATCCAAGATGATGACCAACGGCAGACTGAGAGAACTGCTGTTCCCCATGGAAGAAGCTGCGGTGGATCAGGACGAGGTCATGGTGCCGAGAACGAGGCTGAGGGGTCTGCAAAAGCTGTGCTTGCCCGAGGTGGGCGGCGGCGAGGTCTGGAGGAGGACCAAGACTTCGATCGACTTCGACCGAGAGGACAGGGAAGCGGCCAAGAAGTGGTGTGCCTTGTACGGGGTCGAGTTGTCGTGGACTCGCGAGGACGAGTGCGAGTTGGTCGAAGAGTGGAAGGCTTGAAGAGGGGCTTCAATGGACACTTCAATGGACACTTTCAATGGACATTGCCTTTTATTTTTATTTTTTTCCTGTGGACAATATGCAGCAGATACTTTTTTTTTTGGCTTGTCCAGGGTCTCGAGGCGGAGGAGCTCGGTCTGAACGATCGCCGATCTAATTCGTCATAGGTCCGTGCGAGAGGCGGTGCTACGTCGTCGGTCGATGCGGCACGGGAGTTGGTGCTATGGATTCCGTTCAGTTGCTTTACGTGAGTTTAATAAGCACAGCAAATGGTGGGTCCGCTAAAATCATTCAACATTTTTGAGAGCGGTGCTGTGCAAGGACCATGCAGTGGGCGAATTTGCTCTTTGGGTGAGAGACCCGGCCGCGGAGGCTGTGACCGGCTTGCTGCTGTGTGACTGCAGCGTGAGCCTGCGTAAGCGAGCTTCCATTCAACGTGCCAACTGCGTGCCTAATAAGTGAGCTTGCGTGTGCTTGCGTGCGCCTGCGTAGGCCTGCGTGCGCTCTCGGTGCCGCCGTCTCAGGCTGAGTGCTCTTTCCCATCCCACCGACTCTTGTCCACTCGAGGTCAGTGCCTTAGCTGTGGACGGACTGCCCAGGACACTTGGCTGACAGCTTGACCTTTTGTCTGCCTATCGTTGTGTTTTGTCGCCTTCTGTTGCGCGCGTACGACCGACGGCCTACTGCTGCATCTCGACTGCCGGCTCACTGCCGCTCACTGCCGGCGCTGGTACGACGCCGCAGCCCACAGCAGCCAGCGCCAGCCGCCAGCCGCCGCCAGCAACCGCCAGCAACCGCCAGCTACCGCCAGCCGCCAACTGACCCCAATCGCATCGCATCGCATCGCATCGCGTCGCATCGCATCGCGTCCTCGGCTCGCCCTAACCCTCCCCCGTCTCACCTCCCCTTCCCTCCCCGTCCTCTCCCCTCTCCCCTCTCCGCTCTCCGCTCTCCGCTCTCCGCTCACACCTCTCCCCCTGACCATGTCGATGGAACAGACCAAGCGCCTCAAGCTGGTGATCGTCGGCGATGGCGCGTGCGGCAAGACGTGTCTGCTCATCGTCTTCTCAAGGGGCACATTCCCCGAGGTGCGTCGCCGTTCGCGCGTCCGGCTTCCTGCTTGAGATGCCGCAGTCAAAACGCGGAATCGTGTGGCAGTCGAGAACTGTACCGGAGGGCAAGACAGTGGTGTACGCTGTCTCGCTGGATCGGATGCCGCCTAAGCAGTGTAGGCGTCGCGGCCGTCGTCATCGTCGTCGTCGTCGTGACGCTCTGGGCCGCCGTGACGGACGACCGACCACACCGCGCGGAGGCACTCTCGCCGGCCCGTTCCGGAGACGACCCGTTCCGGAGACGACCCGTTCCGGAGACGACCACCACGACGATTCCACCCCACGCTCGTTAGCGTCAGCTCGACGGTCGATCTTGCCATGCAAATTCAGTCATCAGAGATCTGTTCCTGCTCTCTGATGCACGTGTGCTGACACTGGTGCTCCTTATCTTTGCCACGCGGTGGTGCCTACGACGCTCGATTCCCTCTTCGTTTGCAGGTCTACGTCCCGACCGTCTTCGAGAACTACGTCGCAGATGTCGTCGTCGATTGCAAGCGCGTCGAGTTGGCGTTGTGGGATACCGCCGGCCAGGAGGACTACGATCGTCTGCGACCCCTGTCATACCCGGATTCGCACGTGATCCTCATTTGTTTCGCGGTCGACTCACCCGACTCGCTCGACAACGTTCAGGAGAAGTGGATCTCGGAGGTGTTGCACTTCTGCTCCGGCCTGCCCATCATCCTCGTCGGGTGCAAGAAGGATCTTCGACATGACCCCAAGACGATCGACGAGTTGCGAAGGACGTCGCAACGCCCTGTGACGAGCCAGGAGGGCGAGTCGGTGCGCCAAAAAATCGGCGCGACGAGATACCTCGAGTGCTCGGCCAAGTCCGGCGAGGGCGTGCGTGAGGTGTTTGAGCAGGCGACCCGATTGGCGCTTTTGTCGTGCAAGAGGCGTAAAAAGTCGAGCGGGTGCAAGATCCTCTAGTCAGGCATTGTCACCCCCTCCGCCGGGTAATCTACCCTCGCCGTCTCCTCCCCGTAATCGCCTCGGAATGCCTCACCCACGACCACTTACTCCTTCTCGGTCCCCGCCTCATCCGTCACTTCCGTTGTCGGTTTCGAAGATTTCTCAACCTCCCATCCTATAATCGATGCGAACACTCCGCGCCCTCCATGATGATCTGCCTTTGGTACTTCCCCAACGATCTCTCACGCGTGGTTTCTGTCTACTCGCGGCTCCCCGAAGGCCCTTTCTTGTGTATTCGCCCACACGAATTCTTCTCAACCCTCTTCTTTCTCTTCTTTTCCTTCTCCACTTTGTGTGCTTCATCTCTTTTGTCTTTTTTTGCTCTTTTTTTCTTTCATTTCGCTATGAATTTCTAGCTTAGTTGGGCCCCGCTTTGTTGCGTGTCGTCTGATGATGAGTGATGAGCTTGGACGGAAAAACCCTGCTTGTTGCAGTAGGATCGTATGCGACTCGATTTCGATTCGGATCATCTCGCGCTCGATCCGAGGACGACGTCATCTTTCTCTTTCGCGCTCTCTTTGGTGCTCAAAAGCTTGCTCCTCCCACCGAAGCAAAGCGCATGCCCCTGAACCTCTTTCGTTTTAATAGATCACTTTCCACCCTACGAACCGGCGTGCTCTGTAGACGACCTTCAACGACGAGGCTCGAATCGACTTTGTACGCTCTCCGTTCCTCCGTTCAGCGCGAAGCGGTGGAAGCATTTGCTTATGACTTGGGGGTCTGCGACCGATTCGGAATCATAGTCATTCTACTTTGACGCAGGGGTTTCAGCGCAATATGTCTACCACCACTACCACCACCACCACCACGAGGACGGGAACGGGGACGGAACAGCTCTACGGTGCGCGCTCGACCCCACTTGATTACGCGCGATTGAACTTCACCTTGCCCGAGGTCAAGTATGTCGGTATGCTGGCTTGTCAGCGTGAGTGTTTTTTATGATCCGTTCTCAAACGATCTTGGGTTCTTGGGTTCTTGGGGGTAGCTGAGGTTGGGGTTCTGGTTCGTTTACTCGCGCGGGCGATTGTTCAGGCGATCCATTGCTGGCGAGTTTGGAGACGGAAGTTATTCGCTGTGAAAAAGTCGTCAAAGGATCGGTGGTTACGTCGAATGGCAAGCAGACTAAAAAGGGCAAAGGTGAAGAAAAGAAGGTCGAAACTGTGGACAAGGATTTCGGTGGGAAAGAGAGTGACTCGGAGGTAGTGGAGGAGTGGGAGCTCGAATTGCAAGATACGGTTCTCTTCCCCGAAGGCGGCGGACAACCCTGTGACCATGGGACTATTCAACTTCTTCATCAAGGTCAAACATCCACGGAGGAGCAAGGGGAGGAGACGATCCGCGTTGAAAACGTGCAGAGGAAGAGTTTGGATGCGGTGCATTATGTCGATCGGTTTGTTGAGGTTGGCACCAGGGTCAGGGTCGAGGCCGATATGCAGAGGAGGTGGGACGTGATGTTGCAACATACGGGACAACATGTGAGTACATCCAGAGGTATCACTATTCCGAGCACAGCATACAATATGAGGTTGACCCCTTCAGCGACTAATCCTCGCCATCAGCTCCTCTCGGCCGTGATCGAGACCCAGTTGCAACTCGACACTTTGTCTTGGTCGCTGCAGCCTTTCCCCGAAATGAACTACATCGAACTACCGCGTGCGCTGACACCAGCGGAGATCGAAACGATTCAATCGACGTGCAATACCCACATCCGGTCGGCCGTCCCCATCCACGTCGATTTCACGATCCGTTCCCTCGAAAACGCCGCCGGCGGCGAATTGGGTGGTTCGCTCCCTTCGAACTATGTCGATACGACCGGACAAGCGCGCCCACCGGTGTTGAGGACCGTCTCGATCGGTGGTATCGACTCGAACCCTTGTTGCGGAACCCATCTGCCGTCGACGTCGATGCTGGAGACCGTGTACGTGTCCGCTTACACGACGCCGATTAGAGGTACGAACGCGAGGATCTATTTCGCCGTTGGGTCCCAAAGGGTCGGCAACTTGTTGAGGCAGGATGAACAGGTGCTTAAAGGCGTGGGCGGAGTCTTGGGATGCTCGGTTGCGGAATTCGTGGCGAGGGTCGGCCAGATGAAGAGTGGGGCTGCGGACGCGATGAAGAGGGAGAAGAAGCTGAGGGAGGAATTGGCCGCTTTCGTCGCCGAGAAGGTTTGGGACACCTCGAGTCGCAATGAGGAGGGTCGGAAGGTCGTGAGGAAAGGATTATGTTGGAGGTTGGAAGATGCGACCAATTCGTTGGAGTTTTTGAGCAGCGTTGCGGTTGGGCTCAAGACGCGCATGGACGAGGCACAGGAGAAGTGCCTCTTCGTCTTGGGATGTGGGGGAACACCTCGAGCGGGCGGGGTCAGGGGCGAGAGCGCGAGTGCAATGAACGGCGGTGGGGCGTTGTTGATCGTTGGTGATCAGGGTCTGGTCGCTCGAGCCGGGAAGGAGGTCGGGGTCAGGTTCGGCACGAGGATCCGAGGTGGGGGTAAGGGCAAGTGGCAGGGCAAGCTCACAAGTGAACTGGGGTGGGAAAAGAGCGATGACGGCTTGTTGAAGAAGGTGCTGGAAGCGGTAGAGCTGTAGCTTTTTTTATAGAATAGAGTATAGATTGGTACAGAAGCCCCCACTCGGATCGGATCATTCTGAAGCCATTTTTTTGCGTGGGATTTGCGTGGGATTTGCGTGGCGATTCATCACCTCACTGACCGATTGGCCGAGCCTTCGTGCTTCCCCACACGATCGCGATCCTCTCGGCACCGTCTCCGCCCCGAGCGAGCTCAGCTTCATCGTCACCGTCAGCCGCCGGTCAATTCCTGCCCTGCCTTCCGCCCCCACATTAGCTGGCTAGATTCCCGGTTTCATTCTCCTTCCACCTCGTTCTACCTCCATCCACCTGCTCACCGACCGGCCGAAAATGCCTATGATGAGCTCGACCTCGACCTCGAGCGCTGAGTCCCCGATCCCGATCCCGATCGTGTTCGATGTGCTCGGGACGTGCTTCTCGTTCGATCCGGCGATTGACGCCGTGCGCGAATTGTTCCCGGAAAAGTTCTCCTCCGAAGCGCATGCGAGATCCGTTATCGACGATTGGTTCCATTCGAGTCAGAGGGACTTTACTTGTCAGTGTTGGCAGCGTGTGCAGTGGTCGTCGTTTGGTTTGCGCTGATGAAGGCGACTCACTCGCTTCGACACCGGCCCCACTTGGCTCACGGTGGTCCGTATTTGCCAACAGACTTGTCAATGAATGGTGGCTACACGTGGGTTACAACCCGTACAAGTCGGTCCCTTTCAGAGAGAAGGCTGATCAACGGTGGTCTGCTCCCCACCCCCCACCTCATGACGGCGCAGTCCGATCGCGCAAATCCTCAAAGCGACCCTCCCTCGCGTACTGCAGATGAACCAAATCACCACCACGACCCTCACCCAAGACGATCTCGCCCCCGTACTCTCCATCATCCCTTCCTTACCACCCCGTTCAAGTTTGGTCGAGTGCTCGGCCCTGCTCCTCGCGGCTGAAAAACCTTCGTTCCAACCCATGGCTGCGACCAATGGCGCGCACAAGACTACGAGGGCTTTGTACAAAGCCGCTCTCGGAGAGCAGGAGGCGGACAAGTGGATGTATTTCAGTTGCGATGAGATCGAGGTCGCTAAACCGGCGCCGGTCGTGTACGAGGCCATTTGGGAGCGGTTGAGAAGTAAAGCGCTCGGCAAGGACGGAGGGTGGTTTGTGGCGAGTCATACGTGGTCAGTCAAGGGTTGGATGATGGATTGATGAGCCAACCGGGACCTCATGTGGGTCGAATGAATGATGGCGTGCTTGACAGGGATCTTTACGCGGCAAAGAAGGCTGGGTCCGTCGCTCTGAAAGACTTTCGCGTCACCCCATCACTGAGATTCCATCTGACGCCCAGAGTTCCATCGATGTCCACAGATTCAAGACAGCCTGGACATCGTACGAGGAACACGATCTCGCTTCGGACGTGTGGGGTCGGCCGGACGTCATTGGTGCCGATCTCGTCGACGTCGCCAAGCAAATCATCGCATGGGAAACAAAGAAGGCCTCTTCGAGATCCACGGCGCAGGATTGACATGCGTGCAATTGCAGGGAAGAGCATAGATCAAGGCGAAACTGAAATTTATATGAATATACGTGAGCACCCGTCGGAGACAATCATGTACATTCTCCGGTGCTATCAGATCCACCCCGCCGCTTTACGCTCCCTCAACACACTCTCCACCTTCCTCGCCACCGGCGGCGTCCCTTTCGGACTCGAGCTCGAGGTAGTCGAACCTGCTCCACCGCGTCGTTCTCTCTCTTTCCTCTTCTCCACTTCCCGCTCGGCCTTGAGCACTCGCACCGCTTGCACGATCGTCGATCGTTCGTTCTCGATCAATTCGAGCAGCTCCGACATCCCGAGGTAGTGAGCCTCGCGCGCGAGCTCGCGCAGGGACGAGATGCGATGCATCAGGATCGAGGGGGACAGATGTAAAAGGTCGAGATGCGTTCGATCGAGATGATTTGGGGAAGAGGTCGAGGTTGAGTAAGGTTGCGGTTGAGGGCGCGGGTTGGGCTGGGGCTGGGGCTGGGGCCGGGGCTGAGGCTGGGGCTGGGGCTGGGGCTTGGGCTTGGGCTGGGGCTGAGGCTGGGGCTGGGGCTTGGGCTTGGGCTGGGGCCGGGGCTGGGGCTGGGTCGATGAGGTGGGGAAGGTCAGCGAGGGTGGAAGAACTCCTTTTCCGGAGGGGGAGGAGGCCGCCGAACGCAGGTAGGACATGATCGCCACGTAGGGTGGAGGAGGCCGGTCGAGGAAGATTGTGAGGACCTGAATGGGCGCCTGCTGCTGCTTGGAAGAGATCAGAGGAGGTGATGGCAGCTTGCTCGTCTCGAGGAAGGAGTGCGGGGACGAGACAAGAGAACCCCCCATTGCTGTCGTGTCTTCGACGGTCGACGGGACGGTTTGCTTTACGTCGGTGGCTTCGACGGGCTCGGCAGCTTGATCGATGATGTTGAAACGAGGAACGACGAACTCCATGCGCTGAGGTAGACGTGGAACCGCTTCGTCGTCGTCGTTTTCATCAGCCAGGACGTCGACCGGAACGGACTTGACCTCCCTCCTCGCCATCGCCATCGCATGTGCCTTCTCGCTCGAACTCGCTTCGGATGGCGTAGGGAGAGGAGGTAAAAGCGTTTCGGTAATAAGGTGACTCTTCAACCTTCGTTCGAATAGATTTGTATCCCGCGTTCCGAGCGAAGGCAAAGTAATTGACGTCGACTGCGACTCGATCTCGTCGTCCGAATCCGTTCCAAACTCGAGCGTCGATTCGGGACGGACGATCTGGGGGTGTATCGAGTGGATCCGGTTTTTCGGCGAGGGCGTTTTGCACAATTTTGCGTGGTGTTGGACGGCTAGGGGCGGGGTCGTGAAGCTTGGCAAGGGGAGAAAGAGCTTGGCTTTCTTTTCGGCGAGCTGCGAATGGGATGAACCGGTGCGCATTTCAGTTCGGCGTCGCGAGTCGTTGGGCTCTAAGTGATGCCGATCAAGTCTCGTTCTTACCTTCTTCGCCAGCTCTCCGTACGATAAAAAGTGAGGATCCATCACCTCACAATCATCGTCCAAGCCCTCATTTGGGCCATTTTTTAACGATTCGACACAGATGTCGATCGTTTCGTGCGACTGGGCGGTAGTCCCACAGTGTTCTTCATAGGGGAAGGGCGACGGCGACCTCGAAGTGGCGAAATGTGACGCGTTGAGGATGATTGACTCGCCATCGTCGGAAGATGAGGCGTAAGCCGAAGAAGAGCGAATGCACGATGGTTTTGGCTGAGCGGGCCCCGTATCGGGTAAACGGCGTCGAATGTCATTCACCGCGCCTTGGACAAAGTCGGCAAGCTTTCCAGCACGATTTCGCGTCGTCAGAGTCGAAAGCGTTGTTAGATGCACTTCTGCGCCGATGTTGAGTTTGATGAGGAGGGTTTCGGGTGTTTTGTCTACAATGTCGAAAGGCTCGGGACGCTCGAGGATCAAAGCGGAAAACGTTGCCTGTTCGGAAGAAGTTTCGCCAACATTCATCGGGGCGAGAGGAGTCGAAGGGAGAGGGGTGAAGACGTCAAAAGTTGAAGGTGTGCCCGGAAGGGGTTGGGGAGGAGGCAACCGTTTTGGTACAAACAATGGGCGAACGCCGAGTGGTATCGATGGAGGGGAGATGGGCCGAGCTGGCAGCGGGCGCGTCGGTGGGGAGGTCGGTTTTCGGCAGCTTGCCATCGGAGGGGGTCGACGAGGGGTCAACTGGGACGACGAAGGATTGTTGACCGCCGCTTGGGCCGCAGGATGAGGATCCTGAAGGCGGGAATCAGAGCGCGGTGGTGGAAGAACAATATCGGACGTTGATTTCGAGTAGCGATGGCCCGTTGCCTCGGGAGGGCGACGATTCGGAGAACTTTGAGGGGTTCGGTGCGGCGAGCTCTCGCTGCCCGGCGGCTTGACGCGAGGTAGGTCCAGAGAGCCATTCTGCTCAATTCCACATCCAGTGGTTAGCATATTGCTCAGCATAATACGAAGCGCCTATGTGACCTACCATGCTCAACGCCGGACTTTCCGATCGAGGGACCTGCTCGCGATGGTCGACAGGACTTGCGCGGCCCGACTCGTTCGACTTCGAGCCCTGGCGGCGCTTCTTAAGTGTTTCGACGACCTCCTTCGCAATACCCCCGACACCCCATCTACCGTCGGTAGATCGAGAACTGATTTCAAGAATCTCTTCTTTACAAGCCGAGTCCCCGCTGCGAGATCGAGATCGAGATCGCTGGCGCCCGTGCCCGTGCCCGTGTGCCGACTCGATCCGATCGCAACTGCGACTCGCAGCGTGACCACGAGTGTAGGATCGACTCGAGCCCTCGGAAGTAGGGGAGAGCTGCATCGAATCACGGGTAAAGAGTCGTTGGAATCGGAATCCGGCAGAAATGAGACTGTTGGGACTCGAACTCGCGGCAACGCCGAGAGTTTCGGACGAGAACCTTGACTCGAGTCGGTGATCGGGACTCGGCGGCGGGGTCGTCTTCCTGCGAGGCGGTTCGGGCAGGGTGAAGGGCTGGAGGTCGATGATGGGACCAAAAGGTTGGGGGAGGATCCAAGGCGCGGGAAGGGTGTGCGACGTCGTAGTAGTCGTAGTCCGAGTCGAAGACGGAGTTTGGGAGGAAGTGGGGGCCGCGGGCGAGGAAGTGCTCTGGGTCTTGTTGTCGATCATCGAGGCCCCGGTGCCAGCGCCTGTGTCGAGCATGTCCATGAGTGAGGGCGTAGGCTCGAATGAAAGAATGGGAAGCATGGTCAAGGCCTACCCTATGCCTGGAACAGAGGCAGGTTCGTGCGGGCGAACAAGGACGAGGGCAACCGCACTGTGAACAAAGGATTTAGGCGGTCCGAGCGATGCTCGTCAGGAGCCGCCAGGGGGGTTGCCTCCTGTTGAATTTGTCGAGGAGGTGAGCTGGCCACCTTATTGATTCCATTTCGGGGTCCAGTACTATTCCATATGCATATGATTCAGTGACGTTCGGCTTGAGATCTTGTCCACGATAAATCCTGTAGCTCAACATGAGGGGAGCGCAATTAGTTGCCGACCCCCGAGGCAAGGTTCGAGCTTGGGTAGCTCACAGGGGGTGATCGGCGCAAGCTCAAAGTCTCACGACCGTGGTAGGAGGCATACTTAGCAAGGAGGATTAAGCCGAGATCTTTTTTGTGGAATAATCTCATCCCCCCTCTTGATACCCACGTTGAAGTGGGTAGGCTACTTCGATGGCCCGATGGCTATACTCGATCGCAATCAATCTGAGCCCGCGCACCACCCGAAACTCGGGCAGGTTCCAACGCGTCGCGACGCGGAATGAGCCGCACGGTGCCATGCCAGGACACGGGCCCCTTCCTTGTCTTAGGCCGATCGACTTCAGGCGCCCACTTCGTGATCACCCGTTTCGTTACATTCGCTGTTGTTTTTCGACACAGCACGGCCCTCGATCGACCTTGCTGCGGTGTGACGATAACGAAGGAGGGGACGTGGTGCAGGACAGGGGCAGTCTCCGCGAGCGTCGCTCAAAGGTCGCCCGCTTCGTGCCTTGACACGCTTCAGGATGAACGCCGTACTCTCCGGGTCGCAATGGCTTCGTCGATCCGGCTCGAACAAAAAAGCAGGCGCAGGCAGCCTTGGTAACTCACAATCCGGGACCCAGTCGACCTTACCACTACCACCGCCAGCTGCCCAAATGAGGAGGACCAACCCGGAGGCGCCGCCAGCGTCTGATAGCCGTTCTTTCGAGGAGCCGCTGTGGCCGACCTACGAGCCCCCTATGATTCAACATCAGACCCAACGACCAAGCTCTGCCATCTCGGATGCTGCAAACTCGACAAACAACTGGACGCTCGATTTGGGTCTCTCTACCCCTTCGCGTGCTCGCAAAACGTCGTCGCATTCCAACGGTCGCGCACAACTCCTCGCCAACGCAACCGACCACGCTAAGACATCCTTCCTCGCGCTGGTCGGTGAAATACAGCCGGGCACATCCTACTCAACTGGATCAAAACAAAAATCAATTGCTCGTCGGACTTCGAAAGAAAGCTCGGCAGGAGGCTCGGACTTCAGCCATGCGCACGTCTTTGAGGAAAGCGAGTCGCACGAACTGCCCCTTCGTAACGAGACTCCGCATTCGCATCACACTTTCGGTGGGTCTTCAAGGTCGGGGGGGATTGAGGTAGATCGCAGGCGCGGGGCAACTTTGGGTCAGCACGGGCGTCGGGCGAGCAGTCCCAGTATCGTAGCCTCGAGTTCGCACTTTGCCAGTGTCGCCTCGTCCAGATCCGAGGCCGAATCGCTCCCCGCAGGAACGCCAGAGCGTGTTCGAGCACTTGATTCGGTCGCATCGGAGTGCTCTGTGGGACTGCTCTCCGTCGCATCGGGACTGAGTCGAGCACCCTCGGGCAGAGCGGGTACCTTCGACGCCGGCAGCTTTGAATGGAGGGCAAGTCATTCCGCACAATCGCGAATCAGTCTGCCTCCGAACTAATCACAAGCCATATTTTGCAACCAGATTGCTGAGGCGCTACTGAACTCACCACGATCCAGATCTTCAAGAGCATCGCGTCCAACAGCCGAGAATGGAGCTATTTCAAGCGCCGAAGCATGCTCGCCTCTGCAGTCCGAGCACGACTCATCACTTCAAGATAAGGAGGGTATTACGCAGGGATTAACTGGAGAGAAGAAGCCTCGCTCTCGGGTTGAGTCGATGCCGGATCCTGACGTGCTCCACTCGTCGAGTCCATCGAGGGGCCGCCGCCGTCATCTCTCGCTGCCAGCCAGGAACTCGCGGGCTCGAGCTCGATCCGAGGGCCCACCTCGAGTACGTGTTCGATCTGGTACACCTCTCGACATGCAAATGTTCGACGTAGCTCAGGCGAATTCCGATCCTTTCCAAGAAAGCCGCCGCGATCAACCGCAGGACGATCGACTGTGGGCCGTCTACCCATCTTCGCGGGCCGCGCTCGGCTATTCCTCATCCGCGACATTGCTATGTGCGCGCGAGTCCACTCATTCCATTCTTACGTTCATTACTGCATCACCTCGCCTTTCATCTACCTTTCTCATCGAGCCGAGCCACAATGTGCGGGACCCGTTCTCGGATGCGTTTTCGTCCTCGTCCAGTGTGCACGTGCCGTGGCCCGAGATCGACGATTCGAAGCAAAAGACTGCGTGCGAGCACTTCGAAGAGGAGTCGGTCTGGATCCCTCTGCCGATTCGACCGGTTCACAAGTCCTTGCCGACTTCTCATCGTCCTGTCAGTGCAAGCTTCCTCAGTGCACCTCCACGCGAGCTTCGTCGAAATTGGCGAAACGAGCAACGAGAAAAAAGGCGTCAGTCTGCACACGATTCGCGTCGAGAACAGCTGCTCGACGTTCCATCCACCCTGCACGAAGTTTGGGCCGCCGCAGAGCAGTCGTCGCCAATCACTCAAGAGCCCCTTGCTCTCCAAGATTTTAAAATAGCAAATATGCCCGAATTTGAGATGACGCCGAGCTTGCAATCGAGTCGAGTCGGATGGATTAGTCGCTCGATCTCGCTCGGTCGCTTGGCTCTCGTTCCCCTCGGAGGGTGGTGCTTCGTCTTTGGCTTCATCTGTCCTCCTCTCTGGTGGATTGGAGCCGTTTATCCGAGGAGAAGGACTCCTTTGACTCCCAGGCAACTTGGAACCTCACCGAACCATTCCGGAGGACCCATCTCGGAATGGCCGGACACTCGTCCCGGAGCAAGGAAACCCCTGTACGATCGACGCAGTCGAGGGGGTTGGCTCAGCAGTGGGCTCTCGCGATGTATCGAAGGCACTGGGAGGGACGACCTACCTCAAAGACGTGGCCGGTCTTCCGAGCCAACCTCATCGAGGGGTATCGAAGGTGGACCTGCGGCGATTGCGAGGAGTGCGGCGATGGAACGCGAAGCCGCGCCGTGGGAGTGGCGGAGGCGTAATAGAGTCATGTCGCTCATCTCGGCGCCAATCCTCTCGGCCATTATCGCGGCAACGATTTGGGCGTGTGTGTCAGGGGCATTCGTCCCCTGATCTTCAAATCGATCAATCAACGGTACATACCAAAGACCTTACATCTTGGTCGCTTTCGATTCATTTTTCGCTCACACCCCGCATTGGTCGAAGACTGTGTTCGGGTTCGCTTCTCTATCCACGCCAGCGTTCGATCTCCTCCTACACCTAGATATGGTAATATGTGCAATCTATATCTACTTTGAGAGGATTACCCCAAATTTATATCTACCTAAGAGATCTCACCCCGAACACCTCCAATAACCATTAGTCATTAGATCTGGAAGAGACGGCGAAAACGAAGATTGCATCCGGTTTGGCACTACCTATAGGGATTTAGACCCGTGGTGCATGGGCACTCGGAATTACAGAGCAGAAACGGGAACACTAGGGAAACGAGACAAGGGTTCGCGAAGGAGGCCAATCTTTGAGCCAAAAGTCTGATCGGTGCCTCCCGGGTGCCCAGCCATCCGGCGAGAAGCCGCGATCTAGACCCGGGCTGGACCACTGCGATAGAGCACAGGGACGCGCCTTCAACAACCCCTGCAGGAGGTGTTTCTCTATAGGTACCTGCCAAGTTATTCGCTCGGGCATTTATGCCAATAACATCGGGTTTTCCGCATCACTGGCGTAGGAGGCGGAGCTCTCCTGCCGCCGTTCTCGTGTTGTCGATACCCGGTGGACAATTCCGGCGCCCGCGGACTTGTGCAATTACGGCATTGATCACTGAAGCCACTGAGAGCTACTGAGAGCTCTACGGAGTCGCACGGAGTCGCCGCCGAGGGGACCTTATACTTCTCTACGAGCGACGCCTCTTCCCGCCTTCCTAGCAACCTTGTCTCCCCTTCAAATCTTGGACCCAAGTTGACCGAGTATTCAGATTACGTGCGTCGACACCGAACAGGGCCAGACAGGGCCGCAGACAACAACGCGACCAACGCCCAGCTACTGGCACAGCTTCTCCTTCTCCGAGCGGCGGCGAGAGCGCGTCCCACCCTCAGCAAGGCCTGCCCCCGGGCTGTACGGCGCACTGTGTAACGTACCATGTCCGCTGGCGGCCCTCCCACGGATGAACAGATCGCCCATGCTCTCGAACTGGCTCTTGGTGAGCGCTGTCGTTCACGATGGCTCAGCGAGGTGGAGCCTGTATCGGCTACACCGAGATGGACAGATGGTGTCCGCCTCGCCGCGTCGGACTCCGGCGCACGCTCGGCGTTTGACGCGGGAAACCGTGCTGCCATGCTCATTGTGGGGCAAGGCTGATGCTCGCTTCACCGGACTGTTCCCAGGTGGTTTGATTATCGGAGTCTTCTTCGAGGTGCTGTTTCTTGGGATGATCATCACCCAAGTCGCCTTCTACGTGCCGAGAGCGTCGAGGGATCCCGTGCTCTTGAAGTGAGTTCGCAGGCAGTGCACCCCACTCACGTGCGCGCGTTCGCTTCGCTCAGTACAGCGCGAGTACCATATGGTTGACGCGCAAGTGCTGATTCGCGCCCCTTCCCACTTTTCGAATTTACAACGTCCGCCGCAAAATTGGCAGAATCCTTGTCGCAGTGCTCTTCTTCAGCGTCATGATCAAATCAGGAATCGATATCAAGACCGTCTACTCCAATGTAAGTAGCGATCAGGAGGCGGCGTGCCATTTCTGCGGATTATCGAGACTTTTCGGATTTTAAGCGGCCGTGATATCCTACAGCCGAAGAATGAAGCTGTCTCGAAGCTGATTAAAATGACTTTTCCCTTTCAAGTATGTGTTTGGCGTGTACAAAACGCAAGATCCCACTCTCCCATGGTCCATTAAAGTCGGTCTCGTGGTCGGTCAAATTACCCTGTTGGCCTCTCAGCTCTATCTGTGCTTTCGTCTGTGGGCGGTCAGTCCTTGTCGCGTATATACTATTCTTCGTCCGACAATTTCCGATCGGTACTGAATGCCTGCTTCTAATTATACCTTATGCACACAGGCGTCTGAGCGGAGAAAGCTCCCCACCGCAATTGGCTTGATCGGAAGCTGCGCCTCGTGCGCAATCTTCATCGTCTATGCGGTGCGGCGCAGTGAGTCTGAATCAATGTCCGAATTTTGAGAATCTGAGAATCGACCCGAAATTCGTGCTGAAGATGGCCCTCCCTCCTGTCCGCAGTTTCAAGACCACAGATAATAGGAAACGAGAACATCCTCCAGTACTGGCTGCCTCTTTGGGCCTTCTCCGCTTGCGTAAGTTTTGGTTTGTGCCAACCATGGGAATTCTTCTAGCCCCTCCAGCCGTCGCTAATCGAAAACCGGACTTTGCTACACCTCATAGGCGATCGACTTGTACCTGTCCATCGCTTTTGCTCATTATCTGCTACGCGCAAGACGAAGAGCTATCAGCTACAAGTGCGCAGTCACAACCTTGGCAGGGCGCCTAGTTCGATCAAAGCTGATTTTCAAGTGGGGAAACCAATATTCTGCCCAGACTCGAGTTCATGCTAGGGCGACTCACCTCCATCGCGATCACGACGTGTTTTCCATCAGCAGTCTTCGCCCTCTTGCTGGCGATCCTGGAAATTGTCGCCCCGGATCGATCGGTGAGCACCCTTTCAAATGAATCGGCTACAAGGCATGCCTAACGCCATGTAACGCCCTGTTCTTGTTCGTAGCCGTGGCTCTTTTTCTTGATCAACGTCTCCAGCGTATACACGCTCTGCATTCTTCACACTCGTAAGTCGCGTTTGTGCGGCGTACGAAAATTCCTCTAATACCGTACTTAGATTAATAGACACGTTTCTCGCAGTTAACTCCCGCAAGCAAATCACCGAGGACGCTGTTCGGATCGTTAAGGCTGACCCTACTGGCGGCGGACTAGCAAAAATGCAGGGCGAAGGCCAGGATGCCACCACCCAACCTGCTAGTTTAATCTCTATCCTGAGTCGAGCGACGAGACAACCAGGCGGCGTATCCAAAACCACATTTGATGAAGAAACTGGTCTCAGCTCTAAACCGGGGCATTCGATGCAACACTTGCACCGCCAAGGCTCCACTGCACAAGGGGTCGGATACGAAATCAAAGTCGAGCGCAAAATTGAGAGGATGAACTCGATCGACTTTTCGACTATGAAAAAAGCCGAGGAAGACGGAGATGTGCAGTTGATGGGAACACCGGCGACAGATACGGGATCGGCGGAAGCAGAGCCTTCGCAAGCGGCGAATCAGTGGACGTGCTCTTGGGCAGGTGGACCTCCGATGACGTGAGGCCGTGGCTTCGCCGTTGATGCAAGCAACGATTTTCTTTGGTGTAGGGGCATCCAATCTGTGTAGTGTACATACTCTGGCGTTGTAACATCTGACTTATTTTGTACTACGGGTTCTCGGAGTGAAATGCTTTTTCCTCGTGCGGGGAAACTCTCTCTCATTGCCCGCTAATTTTGCGATCTTCTGGCGCTAGTTAGGTCAGGGGTAGCATAGGTCAACACTAAACGAAGGAACTGCGGGTCAAATACTATGTAGAAACATGGTTCTCCTGATCGCCTGGAACAAAACAGCAATATAGCGAGCCGCCGGTATCTCGATTTCCGGACAGAGACACGCTGCTGACCAGAAGAAAGGAGCGCCGTTTTACCCGCCGGCGGAAAGGGGGCCTTGTGCGTTTGGCACTCGGCGCCAGCTTCGAGAGTTCGGTTTCGCCGCGCCGTAGCCCTTCGCAACTTCCCCACACGCCGTCGTACCTGCCTGCTCGATTAGTCTCCTGCAGACTTACCTAGTCGCCAACGAGTGTCGTCCTCGTCTGTCCTCGCCGGTTCGGTGTCATATCCACGATCCCCCGTCAGCCTCATCGTCGGTTCGGGCAAGACACCGCCGCCCCACCGAGACGCCATTCGAGGCCACGCAGTTAGCTCGGTCCTCGCTCCCGCATTTGGAAGACCACCGCTCGCAGGCGAGTGAGGCGACACCACAATCCATGACACCCCAAAGTCCGCAACAGTTCAAGATACATCTCCACGAGATAGTAGGTGAGTGCCATCATTGCCTCACCGCTTTTTGCTGGCGCATGCGCTACGAACAACACGCCGAGGCAGCACTCGCCGGAGCTGGCCATATCTGAATCAACAAAATTCACAAAGCACGCCTCTCCTAGTGACATAGTCATGATATTACTTGCTTACTGACTTTCGGTGAACTTCTGGTGTCAAAGCGGCTCTGGCCATGGCAGCATTTTTCGAAATCTGCCTACTCGGCATCATTTTCGCGCAGACGTTTTATTATTTCACCAGATGTTTCAGAGACGCTGTGACACTCAGGTAGGTGGCGCTTTTCGGTTGTCAGAATTCTAAATACCATCTTGGAAGGCTCCATTTCTCAACTCTTCCTGGATAAATTTACACAGAGCACTAGTAGGTATCGCAGTCTGCTCGATGTGTGTCAAAGGTGTCCTCGACGTGTGGACCGTGTGGTGCCATGTGAGACCGCACTGTTTCTTTTCCGTTTGTCTTTAAGACGCCACTAACTGAAGGGAAGTCTCCATCCCAGCTTATCTACCTTGAGCTTCGCGTTACTCGACCCACTATCCCATGGGAAATCCTCGTCGCGATCCCGCTCGGCCAGGTTCCCATCCTGACGTCACAAGCGTACCTTTGTTTTCGAGTCTGGGTGGTGCGTGCATCACGACCTCCTACCAATGGGACCAAAATGATGGTGACCTGCTTCAAAGGACATGCAGGCTTCAGGACGGAAGAAATTGCCGGTCGCGATAGGGGCGCTCGCGTCGTTGTCATCGACAGCATTTTTTTGCGTTTACGTCGTTTCTCGAAGTGAGTGGACTCTCTGATTGCGAAGACCTTTACATCCTGGGACTGACACATTCGCTGGGCGGAGCATGAATTCGTAGTCATCCACGAGAGTAGTGACGACGACTCGGTACCGATCTGGATCCCGCCTTGGGCGTTCGGTACCGGTGTATGTTTCCCCCTCCTTTGTCGGGCTCAGCTGGGGCGTGGATCACGTGCTAATGATTTAACACATGTAGGTTACAGATGTCTACCTCTCCCTCACGTTCGTGTACTACGTTTTATACACAAGGCAGCAGCCCGTATGCAACCGGTGAGGCATAATCGCTGCAACACTTGTCCAACCACTCGACAGGGGCTGACCACGGCATGAGCCGGTGTAATTCATCAGCCTCGATTACATGCTGTTCCGTCTGGCATCTCTCGTGGTCACAAGCTGCTTACCGCCAGCACTCATCTCGCTTGTTATGGCAATCTTGGAGGTCACAGCTTCAACTGGCACGGTACGTTGGCTCGGTTTCGGAGACGAAAAATGTCCAGGACTTCCGCGCTCCCCGATTGCTAATTTTGCGCGGCTTGTCCTCGGCATACGTAGGCCTGCTGGGTCTTCTTCACGGTGATCATAGGAGGTATTTATATGGTCTGCATTCTTTATTCTCGTGAGTCAATCATGCTTGCCTGAGTGAGATTTCGTCTGCTCACATGCTTTCGTCGTCCCCCTTGTCACAGTCAACTCTCGTCGACAGATCCTCGAGGAGGCATACGCTCGTCGTTCGGGAAAGGTTGTGCCGTCGTCAAATACGCGCCCTTCCGGAGGACCTCGTCGAGAGCCTACTCGCTATATCTAGCCGAATAACGCCGCGAGTCAGCGGTCTATTGCGTTGGACGAAGTCACGATCGAAGCGTCCGCCCAAGGCGACGAAGAAGGATCCGATTCGAACCCCGGTCTTTTTGGCAGCGAGCCATTTTCGAAGTAAATTATTGTCAGTACGCTGTGATTATAGTTAGCACCCTGATACCTAAAGGGGGGTAAGGGTCGGATATAGGTGTGCATTGTGTAACATGAAGATGCAACGAATGTAACATGAACATGCAAAAATGTACTTTCGTCGTCGCTACATGAGAGTGAGGTGGCCTTGCCCTCGTCCATCAAGCCGGCTACCATGAATTGAGACAGTTTCGATGAATTAATCTGGTTGTAATACTAACGCAAGCCTACTGAACGTACGACGGTTTACGATCCACCTTCTAGTCTCGCGATAGTTTCATCTCGTAAGATCCATGACGCCGACCATGTCCCACAGCATCTGGACCCAAGCGTTTGGCACGCCAGGAACTTGCCAGTGCAAGCAATCTGGAGAGCCTGGACTCATAATGTCATGCGCATCGGGCCGTGGTCGAGCCATGTCCGTGATGTTCATATAGGCGACTGAGCCGGACCCGTTCGCAGTTCGCCCCCGAGGCGCGAGCCGATCCATCTCGTTCGCCCACAGATTATTGCGAATGTCGAAGCGACCCCAGTCCCAGGCTTTGTAAGTTGGGCGACTTTCGAATGGAGTGGAGGGATACATTGGGGTATGGGCACCCACACAGCCTACGTGGCCAGGCGCAGTTCCTCGGTAGACGATGTCGAGGTTGGGTCGTTAAACGAGGTCTGAGAGCAAGTCACGTGCGAGAAGCGCCGTGATGGCATCCAGACCATCACTTGTGATGTTCATCTCGCCTTGGTTTATGTGAGCACCCGTATTGAGCATGATGATTGAGTTTTGTTCCTTCTTCCATTTTCGGGCCGTTGCTTGGGTCGAAGGGAGTTCTTCGCACCACGGCTCGCTCGGAGGTAAGTGAGGCCGCGAACTCCATCGGCGGGAGGTCGAGCTGCGCCGCGAATTCCGCGATCCGGTCAACGCCGACCAGGGTATCGTCCCGGATGAAACGAAGGAAGGGCTGGCTAAACCGCTCCGAGGGGATGTGGGGAAGCTCACGACGCAATGCCATGGCGAGTCCTTGACCAGAGTGACGTCGAGTCGCTTTGGCTTGATCTTGCGCTGCTGGGTCTTAAGGGGCTGATCCTCTTTCTGGCTTTCCTCGGCGTCATTGTTCTCGATGCTCCATTCGAAAATCTCTTTGAGCGTGTGCAGCCCAGGACCGCCTTTGGGGAGCATGTACCACAGCTTGTCCACGTATTGTTGAGCGAGAGAATCTGGATGATAAAAAGCAGGAGCATTTGAGGGCATGTGTCAACGTCATGAGGTGAAGAGCTTTTTCGCCCGGCGGAAATTCCTGGGTAACAAACCACATACCTCCCACTACGAGCAACCCGGTCTGAGAATTTAAGAGACGCTTTACGAAATCATACCCACTCCACTCCCTCATTCCACCCTCTTGTAATGGCTGCCACCGAAAGGCGGCGACGGTCAACGCCCTTCGATCGCCGCCGTTGATTTCGTCCGAATGCGCTGTGATCCCCCATTCATCTTCGCACTCTTTCTGCTCGTACGGCGGCTGTGCCCGAGGCGGGACCCATCGACCGTGGGTCAAGCGAGCGACTCGTTGCGAGGGGAGGAATGAGGTACGGTCGATTTGGTACTGTAGCGCATTCCAAGCATTGCGGAAACGGACATCGAACGGGCCTGAGTTGAACGACGAGGAAGTACCGCCGAGGGTCCCGACTCGGAACCTTGATTGCGCATCCGGCGCCGTTTCGGAGCGTGACAACGATTTCCGTGAGCTTAGCGCCGCGCTGGCGAGGATGACGGCGAGCAAGACGAGCAGCAGGTTGCGCACGACTCGACGTGGATTTGTACGAGATGCTGTGTTGGATGTTGGGGCTGACAGCGATAGTCTGGATTGTGGGAATACGAACGACGCTCGAAAGTCCTTGCTGTCTTGAAGGCTTGACAGCGACGAGCGCTCATCCGGCGCCACCCTTGGACTTGTCCGAGCTGACGACCGTCGACGTTGATCATGTCGAGCTGGATCCCAAAGCAAAGGGAACGATAGGTGAGGCCGGGGTGATTTCAATCGTGTGGTAGTTTATATGTTTCGACATGGTTACTGGGGACTCTAGCGGAGGCCAGCAACTTGTCTATATGGGAGGCAGCAAAGCAAGCACTATATTGGCAGCTGTCTCGACCGAAGACTGGGTCTCAAGCCCGCGCTCAGACCTCAGCTTGAGGCTCCCGACTCGCATCAGCCACGCGTTCCGGACTCAGCTCTGGCGTGGGCAAAATGAAACGGTAATTTTTGAGTCGTCTCACACATCCGGTTTTCGACTAGGATCATCGGAGCGCTCCCAGCCTGGCGCCTGGCGCCACGCGTTTCCGTAGCCGGAGCTTTCGGGTGCTCCCCAAGCTTTGAAAGTGCAAGCTTTCGTCGTATCGGGCAAGTCTCGCGCGTGCCTTGCACAAGCTCTTGGACTCGGATTCCCACCGGCGAGCGCTCATGTACCGTTCGAGGTGCCTTGGCTCAGTCGATGCTAGAGGAACAGATGTGAAGTTCACTCGCCGTGAGTCATGTCAAAACTCGACAGGAGCCACTCATTTGTCAGTCGCGAGTGCCCGCACTGCCGATCAACGAGCAGCTCGGAGCTCTTGGTGAGAATTGTGACTCGGCGAGTTGGTCGCGCCGAGCCACTGTCCTCAGGTTGCGACATCAGCACAATTTTCGAATGGGCGTCATCTTTTCCAAAGAGACTCAGCAGTGACGCACGATTTGACATCTGGGTCCGGTCTTTCGATATTCTTGATTTTAGGCTCTAGTAGGCTGCTGGTCAGGCCTCCACTTGATTTTTGACCTTGGCGCGCGGTTGCGTTGGTACTACGCCACACTTAACCCCACTTGCGCGTCCTCATCCGCCTATCGTCGATGTCGAAAACACCCAACTTGATCAAAGCGAGTTAGGTGCAACTGATCGAACCGGAAATATTGCTGCACAGCACTGCTGAGCATCTCGAGTGGGGGGGGGGGGGGGGGGGGGGAGGCGAGCTCGGTCGCACGCGCCGGCGCCTAGATCGGTTGTACAGGCTCAGCCTCATCGTTCGGTCGTACTAGATCACACTAGGTTGCACAACTGACCCCTCATCATGGTCCCCGTCACACCTCACGAGGGATCGGCCATGAAAGAGCCGCCAACACCCCTATCAGCTCTGCATGCATGCAGCTCGGCGTCGTCATCCAACCCGCCGCTGTCCGAGATCGGCGACGTCAAGCACGTGGTACGACTCGACAGCGCTGCGTCGCATCACATCGATACGCTACCGACACCCAGTCATACCCCACCAGCTTCGCCACCCTCCCTCGACTGGGTGATGAGAGCCGCGACAGTCGTCGATTCGGCTTCGAGTATTCGCGATGGCCCGCAACTACCTTCGTCATCGACATCGATCGAACGGCCATTGGAGACGACACCGCCACCTACGAACTATGAAAGTAGCAACGAGCTGCTCCGGGCCCCACAGGATCCGGGATGGAGGACGATCCGCGACTGGGGACGAACCATAGCCGATGATGACTTTCGAGTCGGGGAGCGGACCAGGTCAGAGATTGGATCCGAGTCCGCGAGTCGGAAGAAGACTGGGACCCAACTCATCCCGCTTGCAAAGCTCATCAAGGCTGGCACCATCGTGTTGAGAGGATACGAACTCAGAAACTGCAACGGCTCAGCGATGGTCGTGGACGAGGATGGATGGTTTCGGTTCGCGGCCGAATCGGTCGTCAAGTTCGGCTCGGATGACGCAGGTCCGACGACGATGATTGACGCTGACGGTTCTGATGCCGGACCATCGACATCGACGATCGTATTCACCTCGAAGCTGCCGTATGATGGATCGCTGCCTCCCGCGTCCCCAAAGCCGATTCGAGCGAGAGCGAAGCGCAAGGCCAAACCACTTTGGACTCGACGGTCTTCCAAGAAGTCGATCGAGAGTGCTACTTCAACAAGCCCATCTGCGTTGCAGCATGGCACTGGGGATCCGCTCCTTGAAGAACTCCGCCTTTTAACATCGGCACTTTTCTTGCGAGCGACTTGTCGGCCCCTCGAGGTCACTGACGGCGTAAGCGATGTCGAAGGCGACGAACGGGTCGTGATATTCCGGATATACCTCGTTCCAGACGATCTGGAGGAGCGCTTCAATGAAACCTACACCAAAGGGCGAAGAGTTCGTCCGCCGTCGTCAGTCATCTTGGAGTTCTTGCAGAAGATCAAAGTGGGACAACGCGAATGGGATGGGTCAGTTGCCGGACACGAAGGAGGCGATGGCCTTTTGGATGAGAAAGTGAGTATGGGCGACATGGCGCATCCGGGCCGGCGTACTTACTCAATGGTAGTCGACCACTTCCCCTTTCCTACCACTAGGATCAACGCTCAATTTTGGAGCTCTATCGAGCCGTCCGAGCACCACCGTCTGATCCGAGCTTTATCGAGACGCTACAAGATGTCGATCAACACACGTGCGATCGGATCCGCAACGCAATGCTCGAGAATCCGCTTGCGATGAAGACCGAAATGTTTCCCTATCAGCGTGCTTCGTTGGCGAAGATGCTCACCCGTGAGCTAGCCCCTCAGTGGTCAATCGATCCGGCCTACACAGTAAAGACCGAAGTGGGAAACAACGGCGCTGAGGATATGGGCGCAAAGTTTTACGTCTCGGTCGAAGGGAGGATATCGAAGCACCCCGTGTTTGTGCGCGAACCAAAGTCCGGCATCTTGGCCGAAGACATGGGGTCGGGCAAGACGTGCATCTGCTTGGGCCTGATCTTGGCGACCAAAGGCGAATTGCCGATCTTGGACGAGAACGTCGGCACTTGGTTGGACGGCGAGGAGGGATCGCCTGCGCCCGTTGTCGTGAGCCAGTTGTCGATGGGGTTCCCCTTCGAGACAGAGTTGTGAGTCATGTTCGTGCGTTCTGCGCCTTGCTTCCATGGGGGCTGATGGCGGTGTTGCGTTGTATAGGAAAGAGGCCCGCCGACTTCGCCCGCGGGTCCCTGAACCCTTACTCGCTTTAAGCGAGATGGATGCTGCCGACGTGCTCGAGTACGAAGAAGCGCTTCGCGTACAAGCAATCCGCGATGCTCGCGAAGATGTCCTGCCGCCTGTACCGACGCTGCGGATGCTGATGATCGACTACCTCAGCACAATGCCCCGAGCGGTTCCCTATCCCGTCGACGACGACAGGTTCGAATCGCTGGGGATTGCTGCCGAGATCGCAAACTTCCCTCCGTTCTACTACGTGCACCCTTCGCCCGCCCAACTACAATCTCGCCAAGGTCGGCAGATTGGCTTCGGCGCGCGACGATGCGCCAAAGAGACGTTCGGGCCGGATGCCGGCAAAATGCGGATACAGGCGCAAGAAATGATGATGACGCGAACCACGCTCGTCGTCGTCCCTGCCATCTTGGTCAAGCAGTGGGAAACCGAGATGGCGAAGCACCTGGTCCCGGGGGCTCTCAAGGTCAAGACGATCAAGACTCCAAAAGACAGGATGATCACCGTCAATGAAGTGATGGCGTACGATGTCGTCTTGATGAGCATCGCAAGGTTCTCGGAAGCCGCAGACGCCGGCGATAATGTCCTGAGGAAGATTCACTGGAAGAGGTTGATCGTCGACGAGGGCCATGCGCTCAGCGGAGCGAACAAGATGCGTGATTTGGCGGAAGAGGTGAGCCAATCCCATCCGATTGTGAATACTGCAGAGTCTGAGCGTTGACCCGTCTCTTCGGTCTCCTCGATTCTAGTTGAGATGCGAAGCTCGCTGGGCTGTCTCGGGGACGCCGTCGGTCAACCTGCGCGCCGAGGCCGACACCCTTCCCACGGCAGCCTCAAAATCGAGCGGCGCTTTTGCTGCCCTCGATGTGCATTCGGGGGGAAGCGAGCTCGACTACCGCCGACTTGGTCAGCTATTCTCTCGATTCTTGCGCCACCCGTCATTTAGCAGAGTCGAGGATTGGAGGAAGGTCATGACCGTCCCCATCCTTGAGCATTCGCGCGGAGCGACGCGGTTGTCGAGGGTCTTTGATGAGACCATTGTCCGGAACCCGCTGGAGGTCGTAAGGCAGGTGGTACAGCTACCACCTCTGACAACTCGGGTCGTCTATCTCGACATGGAGGAGCTCGAGAGGAAGACCTACAATGCTTTGCTGGCATTGTTTGCAAACAATTCCATCCTCAGTCAGCGCACGGATGTGAGTCCCTGACCTCGGTCCGCATCTCCTCAGAATCTGTGTACCATACACTGACAGCGCTCTCGTGTCATTCTTCAGAAAGACTACTTTTTCCACGAGTCCCAGAAAGGCGCTCTGAACGACCTCGTCTCCAACTTGTCCGCATCGTCATTCTTCTTCGCCTCCAGAGGACTCGTTTCACAAATTAGGTTCACCATCAAATCCGCCCTCGACGAGGGTTTCACCACCGAAAAGGCCAAAAAGTTCTCTGACGAAGACCGACAGAGGCTCAAGCGCTCCATCGAAGTGATGCAGGAGGCTGTCGACGATCCAAGATGGTGTCACGTCGTCGATGCTATGTCCGTCGCTACAGTCGTTCGGGGTGTCGATCGGAGCGTTGCCGAGATGTTCCAAGGACTCCCTCTCTCTGGCGACGAAGATAGCGGAGACCATCTGATGTCCCTCGGCTCGTTGATCACGCTGCGCGGAGACTTGCAGGAGGTGCGAATGCCCGACATTGGGGCGTGGGATGACGACGAGGAATTACGCGAGGAACTTTTGACCTTCGAAGCGAAACGTTTGCGGGAATCCAGTGCCGTATCGGGGTCCATCGAAGATATCCGAGCTAAAGAAGAGAGGAAGCGATTGAACAAGGCCCGAAAGGTCGCACCGAGACCTCTGCGACCTCGACCTCTCCCGGCCGACTCTTCGTTCCGTAACGTGAGCATGGGCCGGACCACTTCGGCCAAGCTCAATCACGTGATATCCGAATGCCGGCGGTATGCTCAAGTAAAGTTTATAATCTTCTCGTGTACGCTCCCCGATTTGGTTTTCGCGATCCTGTCCGAAGCGTTCGACTTGGTCGGGATCAAACATATGGTCTTTGCTGGGCACGCGAGAGGCGCGAATCGTGGTACGATGGCGCAGCAGTTCAACGAATCCAGTGTCAAAGAGTGTCAGGCCATCTTGGTGGATGCTCGACTCGGTGGTCGGGGCCTCAATTTGACGGCAGCATCCCGGGTGGTGATGCTCGAGCCTCTGTGGCAGCCAGGTGAGTGATATCTGCAGAGCTTTAGCAGAGTGTTCTGTGGCAGGCGACCGTGACGTAGGAAGCTGATGGATATAGCTCTTGTTTCGCGTATAGATCTTGAGATTCAAGCAATCAAGCGAGCGCATCGACTTGGGCAAACACGACCAGTCGACCTATCAATTCTCGTCGTGCGCGGATCGTACGAGGACTCGCTACTTCAAAGGCGCAGTCAATTATCGGCGAACGAAATTGGCGAGACGAAGTTGCCTCAAAGGGATGAGAAGCTCAGAGGCGTACTTCAGAGCGCCGAGTATCTCGAGCCACCCTCTGTGGCCGGGAGGGTGGACGAGAAAGGCAAAGGGCGGCAAGTCGATGACGAGCGCACGTTCCTCTTTGGTCTTGACGACGACGACACTGAAAACGAAGTGCAGATACTCGCCGAGGTAAAGAGTGGCCCCGTCTTCCGTCCGACGATCGAGCATGAGAAACGAGGGAAGGGTAGGGCCGAGAAGTTGGCAACACGAAAGAAGCGCTCGCTGATTCCGTATCCAACGTTCACCGACGAGCCGCACGCGCCAAAGAGGGCGAAAAAGTCGGTCCAGTTTGCTATCAGTTAATAAGAAGTTTTCGTTGCCATGCATAAAAGCAAGTTGTTGTTAAAGACGTGATGTCATTGGAGAGATACGTCAACTTGGAGATGAACGCGTGCCGCTTTGGGACTCGCTCAAATCGACCAGGCATCTCGGTAACGAGCCACCGAGGACAGGGGCGCGTGACACCGAATCGCCGCTTGTGGAAGCGTGTCCCATCGCGGCAATTGGCAATAGAGTAGGCATGTCATCCCTGTTGGATTTGGGCGTTTGGCGCATCAAGGCGTTCTAGGCATGGTTTATTATCAGTGGGTTATTGGGAAATTAGAGAGTGCGGTTGGCGCGCGCGCGAGTCTCAATCGAACTCGACCATTCAAGGCACCAAATAGATTGAGACACGAAAGGAGGTCGAGCGACTCCAAGTCGACCCCGAGAGGACGAGAAAACCCCGACGCGACTAGCGCCAGCGCCGCCGCGGGGCTTCGACTCCTTCCCAACCTGTCTCACCAAATCTGAAACGACCACCTTGCGTCTGCGACAGGGTGAAAACATGTCGACTCCCACGTTGCCGCCCACGATTGATGTCACACAGCTGGTTATGCAGGTCGTGGCCGGTAAGCCGTACAAGCGCAATAGGATAGGCGGCCCGATCGTCCGGTAGTTGGTGGATGTGGGACCACTCATGCCGAATGTCAGAGCACGCTCGGCGCGCAGAGCTCCGACTGACGAATCGACTCGCTTCTTCGCAGGGCCGATGATCCTTGGGATTTTTTGCGAGCTATGGTTATTCGGCATCGTCTTCGCACAAGTCGTTGTTTATCGATTGAGATATCCCGGAGATCCAATGCACCTCAAGTGAGCCGCAGTCGGCGATCCTCAGCTCCGGGTCGGGGGTAGGGGGGGGGGGGGGGGGCCTGCGCGCGCGCGAAGCGGATGTCAGACACCGGTTCACCCTGACGCGAACCGATTTCCGGCACTGACTGAGGCTCGTCTGTTAGACTCCTCGTGGCCATAATGACAGGTGGAGACCTTCTAAACATGATCCTGAACATCAAGGCGGTATACGGTGATGTGCATACTGCCACCTCCTTCGATTCTAGGCGGTCAATCGTGCTCACTTCGCGCTTCCCCCCCTCAGTACATTTTCGGGCGGTTCAACCACCTCGCTGGGCCGGTGCCTTGGTTCGTCCTCGCGGCCCCTATTGTCGGCCAAATTCCTGTTCTGTCATCGCAAATCTACTTGTGTTTCCGAGTCTGGGTGGTGAGTCCTCCCCTTCTCGCCACTTATTGTCCCTTGCACTCAACCAATGATCCACCAATGGTCTTGCCTTTCTGTGCCTCCACAGGTATCCGGCCGAAAAGTTATCCCCACTGCGATCGGGGCAATCATGACCATGTTGCAGCTTTCCCTCAATATCCTCTATTCTACCCGTCGTAGTAAGTTTTGCCAACTCGACTCAACTCAAAATGACGTCACAGCCGACTGACCCGTTCCTTCGCGCACCTCGGCATCACTCTTGAACGATCGGAGCAGTCATGGCTCGAGGTCTCGGAGTGGACCCCGGAAGTTCAGTGAACCGGCTGATGCCGCCGTGGGCTTTCACCAATGCAGTAAGTACTCTGATTTGCTCGTTATAACATCAAGCGGAGTTGTCACTGTCATGACTAATTCTTCAACGAGTCATGGGCGAATGGAACAGGCCGCGGACGTGTGCCTCTCCTTCACCCTCGCTTACTACTTGCTAAAAACGCGGAAGCAATCAATCAGCTATAGGTAAAGTCTTCTTCAGTACACTCAAGACTAAAATTTAACCCGGACAACAGCACTCACCTTCTGCTGTGTTTCTGACTGGCACCTCAGGTTCAACTATATCCTGGTGCGGCTCGCGTCTATCGCGATCACGACTTGCCTTCCCCCCGCATGCATCTCTGTCGCTCTCGCCTTGCTCGAAATCCTAGAGACTCGAAAATTGGTGAGTCAAACACGGGATCTACGTTCCAAAAAAAGCAGATGGGGTGAACCTGATTCTAAACGACCGCTTCATTGCATTCTCCATGCAGGTCTGGATCTTCTTTGGGCAAATTCTCGGATGCGCCTATACGCTCTGCATTCTTTATGCTCGTGAGGGCCACGGAGCGTCTGACTGACTGCTTTTTTGTGCCTGTACAAAACTGATCGGTTTGGTTTGCCAACTATATCTTATTAGTCAATTCCCGCGAAGCGCTAGCCCAAAGAGCTACGCTCTGCCCCTCCGGCACCTCCTCACGTATGACCCCTGGCATCCGTCTGCCGGCGACGACGCTCTCTGTGCGCTTCGATGATCCCGAGGCCAGTATCGGTCGTGAATCCCAGAGGAAGGTGGAGCTCCCGTCTGGGGGAAGTTTGGGAAGGAGTTTGATGGGGGTTGAAGGGGAGAAAGTGGAGCAGGTTGAGACCGATGCGATTGGCGGGGCTTTTGCTATTGCGACGACGAAAAGAGTTTCGCTGGTGTGCTCGTAGTTGTAGGGCCGAGGGGTCGAGGCCGAGGGTTCAGGAGAGGGGAAGGTCCGATGATGTTAAAAGGCGGCTTCATGTTCATGGTGATTGGTGAAGGACGTACATAACACGATTGCACTGAAATCGACAAATTAAAAGTGAATTACCTCGAGTACATGGGAGAGACGCTCGTTGCGAACATCACGGTCTTGTGACGAACTTCCTGCGCATTCCTCGTCGACTCCCACGTCTCCGAGGTCATGGCACTCTTCTATAATTTTCCTTCTAAAGCAGATCCGATACAAATCAATCATCATTTGTCATCATCATCATGTACTCGGAAAACAAAATATTAGGGAAGCAGAACATCATAGAGAGCTCCTGGCAACTGATTAAGCAGAAAGGGGAAAAAACGGGGAAGACATCTAACATGCTAGGAAGGGAAGGAAATTGGTGGCAGGTCGAACACACAAAAGCACGAGGGCGAAGGAAGGCCAAGACACTACGACGTAGCCTCGAAGGAAAGGAAGACATCACGATCCACCGACCTCGACACCGACTTTGATCCTCGCCGCTTCGCGAACCAATTCCAGTGCTTCCAACTCGCTCGAAGGCGCCGAGCAGCCTCCTCCAGGCGTCTCGAGCGCAAGCTCCTCTTCACGCGACGCGACTTCGTTGACCATCTCCCAAGCGACTTGGGCAGTCCATTCTTCACCAGCTTGGAAGCCACGATTTACTTCTCGTATGCACGCCACTCAGCGAGACCCCAGCATAGAGGCGATTAAACACGCGAATCACAGGGGGTCCTGCCGTGCCCACTTGAGTTCGGTCGAAGTGAGCAGCGAGCGAAGTGAAGAACAGTGCGTTATTGTACGACCGGGCATTCTCGCGGAATGCTTTAGCTTCTATGTAGGTGGGTTGCACAGTTCAGCATGCGGGTCTACTGCAGACGCGTGTTGTTGGACGGAGCAACTGACCGCTATCCGAGCCTTCAAGTAGCTGTCGATACTCGGGATTGGGCTGGGGAGGGGGAGGGAGGCGCACCTTGCCCGCGAGCAGCACGTGCCAAAGTGTCCGTTCGACTTCGTCCTTTTGCACTTTCAGTGAGCCTTGCAGTGGGTGCACAGGGCCGTCTGGGGGCCGCGGTAGTCGCGAACGGAAACTTGGGGCTTGAGTGGTTTGAGCGCGATTCGAGCCCTGCGCACTGTAAGGAGCCTAGATTACTCAGCAGCGGCGTAAGTAAAGGCGGGTTCCTCGGTAGTACTCTCGATGTTGCTTGACGAATAGACAGTCCCAAAACCAGTCGATTGTCAAGTGTGAGTCAAGAGTGGGGGTCCAGTGAAGGATGAGAAAAGAGGAAAAGAGAGAAGAGAGCTACGGATCGCGATTTAAGGAGATCTGGCAAAATGAAAGGCAGGTCAGGCAAGTCGGTCCGCCGGTCCGAGGTTTGAGCTTGGACCTACTGAGAGGCTGCCGAACCTTACACGCACGCGCCTTTGCGCATGAGGTGGTGGGGCGTGGGCGTTGCGCGCGGCCCGGGCGAGGGCGAGCTAGGCGAGTCGAGGCGAGCACTTCGCCGAAAAGCAGGTATTCGCACACTCCAACTCAGGAAACAGTCGCGTTCAGCCTCGGGTCGGCCATCGCGCTGAGTCGCTGACCACGCTGTCCGTTCTGCACAGCTGCACGGCGGGCTCGTATATGTGTCGTAATACCAAGGTCGGTTGGGTTGTTGTCATAACGCGCCGGGGGGGGGGGCTGACTCTGTTGATCGGAGCGGGATGAAGAGGAGGCTCGAGCAGCGCAGCGGAGCGCCCAGTACACGGGGCGCCCTACACCTCCCTACACTGCCCTATAGGGCCCCTGTAGGGCGCTACCCTCGCGGTCAAGACTTGGCGAGGTTGCGGTGGCGCTCCGATCTCGCGACCTTGGCACCAGTGCATGGTGCCATGGTGCCGAGGGTTTCCCCTTGAGTGTCACGAAGACTCGATGAGAGTGGAAGGGACAAAGAAAATGGTTCGAGGGAGTGGCGTGGGCTTATTTACTGGGTGTAATCTGTTGTTCAGCCCCTAATGCCGCTGGTCCGCTGCCGGAATGACACTGACACCGCCGGCACCTCGGCCCGCGCGTCAGACGGAGCGCTGCTGTAGAAGCAATGTCATGCAAAGCCACGCGCATGCTCTCCATTAAATACAATATACGTGTAAACACTGTTTTATGTCACCGAAAAAGTGAAGGAAAATACTGGGAGTGCTGTAGCTTCGGTCGAACGGCGCGAAAAATACAAAAGTCGCCCCAGAGCTTGTATATGACTTCTGATCGGAACATGGACACCACAGGCAGGTGCGGCAGACACAACAGTATGCTGGTACATCCACCACAGGCGGCCCTCCGGGCCGCCACCTAGTTAAAAACACTGATTTTAGGTACGTTCCTTAACTCACCTTTTTATATATAGAGAGGTAGTAAAGAGTGAAGAGTAAAGAGTAATAGAGTAAAGGCCAAAAAAGGGCGTTTTCCCACATACGCCTCTGACTGGGCTTGCGAGGGTCCGCGCGAGACTTCGGCTCCTTCCCTTGCTGTCTCACCAATTCTGAAGCGACCACCTCGCGTCGGCGACAGCGGGGAAACATGTCGACCGCGACGCCGCCGTCGGCGTCTGAACTGAGACAGCATATGGAGGTCTTGTTCGGTAAGTCGTCCCAGCGCACTATAATGGTGACACGATCATCCGGACTCGGTAGAAGCGGCCCCACTGAGTCACGCCGAATGCACGAGCATGCTCGGCGCGCAGAGCTCCGGCTGACGACTCGACTTGCTTCTTCGCAGGGCCGATGATCATTGGAGTTTTTTGCGAGCTATGGTTATTGGGCATTATCTTCGCACAAGTCTGTGTTTACCGAGTGCGATACCCTGGAGATCCAGTACACCTCAAGTGAGCCGCAGTCTGCGATACTCAGCTCCGCGTGGAGGGTGCGATTCAACCACGCGAAGCGGTATTTAGACACCCGACGGGTACCCCCTGTCGCGACCCGATTTCCGACACTGAGTGACGCTCCTCTTTCAGACTCCTCGTGGCCATAATGTCAGCTGGAGAGTTTTTCAAAATGGTTCTGAACATCAAGGCGGTATACAGTGATGTGAATACCGTCACCTCCTTCGTCTCTATGCGGTCACTCGTGCTCACTTTGCGCCCCCTCCCCTCAGTTTATTTTCGGGCAGTTCAAAGAACTCTTTGAACCGGTGCCTTGGTACGTCCTCGTAACGCCTATCGTCGGCCAGCTTCCGATTCTATCATCGCAAATCTACTTGTGTTTCCGAGTCTGGGTGGTTAGTCCACTTCTGGCGGCTGATTAACCGTTGCACTCAACCAATGATCGAGCAATGGTCACGCCGTTCCTTACCTCGACAGGTATCGGGCCGAAAACTCATCCCCACTGCGATCGGGGTGATTGTGACCACGTTGCAGCTTTCTCTTAATATCGCCTATGTTACTCGTCGTGGTAAGGTGCAACAGTTCAACTTTAAAAATGGTGACATGGCCGGCTAACCCGTTCCTTTTGCGCACCTCGGCAATCATTCCCGAACGATCGGAGCAGTCATCGCTCGGCGTCTCGGCCTGAACCCCGGAAGTCAAGTCAGCCGACTGATGCCGCCGTGGGCTTTCTCTAATGCCGTAAGTTCTCCAACGCACTTGTTCAAAACATCCTGCAGAGTTACCACTGTCATGACTGATTTTACAACGAGTCGTGAACGGATCAAATAGACCGCCGACGTGTGCCTTTCCTTCACACTCGCTTACTACTTGCTACAAACACGGAAGCAATCAATCAGCTATCGGTAAGATTAGTTTGAGTAAACTCAAGATTCAGTATCCAACCCTGATAACAGCGCCGCTCAACCTTCTGCTGTGTTTTTCGACGCAACTCAGGCTCAACTACATCTTGGTGCGGCTCGCGTCCCTTGCGATCATGACTTGTCTGCCCCCTGCATGCATTTCCGTCACTCTCGCCTTGCTCGAAATCCTCGAGACTCGCAGATTGGTGAGACCAAGCACCTTAATGAGACCTGTTTCAAAAAGTAGATGGGGCTGAACATGATGGATTTGAACCGCTTCATCGTGTGTTCCCCGTCGGTAGGTCTGGATCTTCTTCGGCCAAATTCTCGGAAGCACCTATACGCTCTGCATCATTCATGCTCGTGAGTCCCCCCCCCCCCCCCCCCCCCCCCCCCCGGGGAGCTTCTGACTGCGACGTTTCTACCTGTAATTAATTACTGAGGATCAATCTATCTCGCCACCCACCCCAAAACCTCAATAGTCAATTCCCGCGAAGCGCTCGTCCAAAAAGCAACGCTCTGCGCCGCCTCGGGCAGATCCTCACGTATGATAATGACCCCTAGTACTACCCGTTTACCGGCGACGACGCTCTCTGTGCGCTTCGACGATCCCGAAGTGAGTTTCGGTCGGAGGTCCGAGAGGAAGGTTGAGATCTTGCATGGCAAGAGTGGGGAATGAGTTTGATGGGGGAGGGTCGAAGGGGGTGAAAGTGAAGGAGGCTGGCTGATATGGATGCGATTGGTGGGGCTCGAGCGATTGCGACGACGAAGAGGAGAGTTTCGCTTGTGTGCCCGGAGTAATCGGGTCGAGGATTAGGGAGAGGGGAAGGACCGAAAAACGTTATAATACGGTTTTAATTTTAATTTTAATGCTGATGCTGATCGCTGACGGGACGTACATGAAATCGAAGAGCGTTTGCACTTTAAAAAGTCGGCGCCGCGCTGAAGTTGACAAGTCGGAAGTCAAATACCTAGCATACAAATGAGAGACGCTCGTAGCGAAATTCACAGTCTCACGTCTCCCCGTCCTTCTAGAACAGGTCCGATACTTATTCATCATCATCATGTACTCGGAAAACAAACAAAAAACACGGAAGCAGAACATCATGAAGAGCTCTTTGCAACTGATTAAGCAGAAAGGGGAAGAAATCTAAGTTGCTAGGAAGAAGGAAAAGAAAGTGGTGGGAGGTCGAACACACAAAAGCAAGAGGGCTAAGGAAGGCGAAGACACTACAGCGTAGCCTCGAATAGAAAGAGAACATTTACGATCCACCGACCTCGACACCGACTTTGATTCTCGCGGCTTCGCGAACCAGTTCCAGTGCTTCGAACTCGCTCGAAGGCGCCGAGCCTCCTCTGGACGTCTCGAGCGCAAGCTCTTCTTCACGCGACGCGACTTCGTTGACCATCTCCCAAGCGACTTCGGCGGTCCATTCTTCACCTGCTTGGAAGCCACGGAGTTCCTTCTCGTATGCACGCCAGTCGGCGAGACCCCAACGTTCGTGGGGGAGCGAAAAGCGGCGGCAGCGCGACGCCAGAAGGTGCAGAAGGATCAGGTCGGGAAGCGTCGCCAAGGCGTGGCGTAGGGTCGGGCACACCAAAGGCTTTGAAGCGGACTTTTCCTCTACGATGGTCGTCTTGGGAGATGAGCTGACAGGAGTCGTAGGGAGAACGAGAGGTTCGTGCGATCGCATCAGGTCCATCGGCGTCAGAGGCGTCATCGCCTCGACGTTCTGATCCTGATAACTCGACTGCGCGGATGACTCGTCCTTCTTGTGAAGATCGTCCTTGACGCCGTCCTCGCGAATCGCGTTCAAAAGCGCATCGGTGTACTTGGACGCTCGCACGACGACGATCATCGCGCTCAGGGCTTGCATAGCCTCCCTCATCGCCGAGTGCGCGAGAGCTGCTTCCGTGCTACCAGCCCCTCCATCTTCATCTTCGTCGTCGGAAGACTCGGCATCGAATTGTCGACCCGTCTTGCAGAGGCCGCAGGCGAGTTCGTGCGAACAGGATCCCGACATGTGGGGAGGTAAGATGGGCGTCGAGCTGGGAGCAGAGAGGTGCTTGGTGAAGGCGATCAAGCGCGCCTCGAGCAACTCGAGTTCGCACAAGAGACGGATAAAAGCGACGTCGTTAGCAGGGGTCGAACACGTCATGCTCGAAACGACGCTAGTGCCGTTGGGGTGCGTGGCGGCGAAGGGGCTTGAAGGCGTCGACGCCGCATCACCCGACACCGTTCCGAAGGGTGGCGAGTCACCTGGTCCCACTGAACCTTTCTTGGAAGCGGACTTGAAGAGACTCTTGGTCGGGACGATCTGAGCGCCGGGGGTCTTGGTCTCCGCGCCAGGGGTCGCAGGTGCCTTCGCAGAGCCGTCCACGGAGCCGGGAATAGCGACGGCGATCTTCCTCGCAGCGAGATCTAACATTCCTTTCCATACAGCATGGGTTCCGACACTGACGAGCCACTTGTCGGCGTCGCCACCGCACTCAAGGCGAGCGACGAGTTTGGCCGTCGCTTCGAGCACGCCCGTCAATTCTCTCAGCCAGAGCGGGCCAAGAGCGAGGCCGTTTGCATCGACGCCATGACCGTGACCATGACCGTGCTTCGTCGAGTTCGTCAAAGAAGCCGGCGCAGGGGTGGTTCGACCCATTGACAAAGATCGCAATTGGCTCGTCGCACCCTTCGCAGCTGTCGGCTTGGAACCCGCGCCGTCGTGCTCGACCCCGAGCATCGACATGGTCGACGACAAGTGCCCGTTGACGACGCTTGACTCGTCCGAAGGGATCCTCGCCCTGGTGCAGATGCCCGAGACAATGATGCGCACGCTCAAGATGATGGGGTTCATAACCCGTGTCATGACCTCGGCGAGCTTGTCGGCCCAGGGGCGCAAGGTCTCGCGAACGAACGCAGGCATGCCGGGGATTTGGCCAGCAGCGAGCAAAGAGCGACGTAATTCGTAAGCGCAGCGAACGATGGTCAGGTTGAACCGCAGCGGGGGCGAGAGGTTGTCGACCTCTTTGGGAGTCAAGGGCGGAGGAGGCATGAGGTCGGGCGGGAGCAAGAGCGTCGTAAGTCGCGTAAGGAACAGCGACAGCGACTTGAGCACCGATGATCGCAACAGCGTTCGCAGCAGATAAGCGTCGTGGATCGCAGCGTGCAATTCCCTAAGAAGGTCGAGACAAGAAACAGTCAGCCTGGTCGTCACGAACCTGGGCCTGTGTGAAAAGCACGAGTAAAACTCACTGTACGACCAATTCACCACACTGCCTCGCCATCGTGACCCTGGGTGCAGGCCTGCCGTTGAGAACCACTTCGCTCGCACCGCCGGGAGCGGTCGCCGAGCCCGGAACGAAAACCTTGTTGACAGCCTCACCGAGCTTGAGTCCAACCTTGCCGACATAGCTCTCCTCGAGTTGGTGCAACGCAGGCGCAATTGCAGCGGAGCTCAACGCCGTCGTCGACGATACCGCACCACCAGCGCCGGTGGGGGAAGTCACCGCGGACGAGGTGCCGAGAGGGGTCTGGGAGCCATGAAGGGGCGGGGAGTGCTTGCCGGGCTTGCGGCCTAGAGGAGGGTGCGACGTCGAGTGGCTGATGGCCAAGCCTCCAGCACTAGAAGGTCCCATGTGGAGGCTCGATAGGGTCTTGCTTCGCGAAGTCTCCTTGTGCAACGAGCGACCATGTTCGTGACGATCACCCGAGACGGCACGGCGACGACTCTTGGACGATGACGACGACGAATCTCCGTGACGACCCGAGTGGCCATTACTGCCGAAGCTCTTTTGCAAGGGCGTCAGCCCGATCGAGTTGTCGCTCGAGGATCGGGGAGCAAGGGCACTCGCGGCTGTGGCGGCTGAAACGGGGACGGGGTTGATCGCCGTCGACGGGGTGAGACTGCCATTCGCTCTGAACGAGGACGAGCGACGGAGGACGGCGCCGAGCGGACCAAGCGAGGACGGGATTTTCTTCGCCTTGGTGGTTTCAACACTCGGTGGGTTCATGGGTAGGTCGGTGGAGGGCAGCTCCGGCGTCGAAGGCACTGTGCCAGGGAGGGCGGCCGACTTTGGTCCTTCCGTGGCTGGGGTGGAAGGCGCCGAGCGCGAAGGCGAGTTGGTGCGCGAGAGGCTGAGATGGGGCAGCGTGACCTTGAGACCTCCGAGCATGGTGGCGACTGGCGACTGCTCGAGGTAGAAGGTGGCTCGTTGTAGTCGGCCAGTGTGGAGAGCGAGTGGTAGGGTATGAGGCTGCGAGCGTTACGGCGGTTGTGGAGGAAAGGCCAGTGCGAATGGCACGGGCGGCGGAGGGATTCAAGGCGAGTGAAGGACGACCATGCGTTGAATACGATCCAGATGGTGCGGTGAGAAATGCGTAGGGTATGGGTTGATCTAGCTTCGTCAAACATGACCGAGGAGGGTCAGCGTACGGGGGTTTGGGAGCGAAGCGCGGGAGTGGACGTCGTCGGAGCTCCGTCGTGCTCGGGTGTGGTCGATCTGGCTCGATCACCGCCACGTCGGCCCAGTGTCGGCCCGCTGCCTGGCCTGCCCCTGCCCGCGCGCCGGCTTGCCTCGGCTTGCTCGCGCGCCGGCTTGCCGCGCCAAGGCTGAGCCTGAGCCAGCCAAAAGATGCTGCCCTCGAGCTGGCCAGAGGCGGGTGAGCGACGGTGAGCGAGGTAGAGCGAGGCACAACCCGCACCCGTGAAAACGGAACACACACACACACACACAACACACCGCCCGCTCTCGAGTAAGCCGGCACACACGACCACGGCAGAGGAGCACACACAGCAACTGACCTCGGGAAAGAGACCTTTGCGGGGAATTAGGAAAGGCGGGAGGATGTAGGCCAAGTTACGGCGGGCGGTCGACGTTGATCGCGGACGAGCAGTCCTGTACGGCCGAAGACGACGAAGACGACGACGACGCAGACAACGACGAGAGCTGAGAGACCGCCAATTTGGACGACGAACAGAGGTAAGGCGGTTGACGACGGCGGTGTTTTCCCATTCAACGGCGGGATAAGAAACTAAGCAAGCGATGAGCAGTAGCAGCAAGAGGGCGTGGCGCGGCAACGGCGGGTGATTGTGCAGCGCGAAGGCGAAGGCGCGAGCCGAGCCGAGCCGGGCCGGCGAATGTGATGAGCTCGAGTCCTAATCGTAATCGTCGCGCATTTTCCATTGATCGCCGGGTGGCCTCCGACGGACAAGATTTTCCGAGAGTAGGGCCTGGTCAGTGTATGCCAGAGGATATCGCCTTCTGTGAGGCTCACCTCGGGTTCGAGATATTCAGGAATTAGGATTTTTCCCGTCGTCGGCGGTCGATCGCGCGTCTGTTCCCGATGATAACAGGGGCGACTCGAGATTCGGAACGTCAGATGTGGCGCTCGCCTCAATAGAATTAGCGTCACCATCAGGCGCTCGCCCTTTTTTAAGAATAAACCCGAGCCGAGTGTTTCGGTGCTGTACAAGAAGGTTTGCACGTTCCAGCTGGACTTTCGAATAAAAACTCGAGCTCTCAGCCCGGACTCGACTCCTTCAACTTGTTGCCGACGACCGACACCGTTCACCTACCGGCATGTGCTCTGGTTTATGTGGATTGGCCATTTAGGGGATTGTGCTCTAGGATCATTCCCTACAGGACTGCATCGTCGTCTTGCCATTTGCCCCATGAAGAGGAGCAACTCGTCGATCGAAGCTCATTCCGTTGCATTTTTGCACCACTGTCCCGCCTGACGCCGTATCATTTGAAGACGTGCTTCCGCTTCGTTCGACTACGTGAGCTATCTCGGTACATACTGAACAGTGTTTCGCGCCAGTTTCGAGTCGAGAAACGAGCAAGAGTCAGGAGTGATTGGTGCCTGTAGCATCGAGACTACTTCACTCCGACGTCCGAGATCGACAGTGCCAATTTTCGAGGAACAGAGAGCCGTACCAGAGCGACAAGGCACCTCGCTTGTGACATGCCTCTAAGGGATTTGTACTTTTAAAGTGTTCCGTATACGGCCCACCATTGTTTGTAGACCGACTCCACAGCAGCGAGTGCCCTGACAAAATCGAGGCCGAGCGCGCGAGTGACGTTTGCGCTGCTCTCCCGCTTGTTCGTCTTCGCTCTTCAACCCTCGTTCATCGGTCGACCCCGGTCCTCTACAAAGCTACGATCATCTTACGATGCCCCCTCGTCGTGAGTGCTTTCTGCTTCCCGGTGACTCAAAAAGTGTGCGCTGTGCTTCAGGTGCGACGGGTGTGGGTCCGTCATCCAACTCTCATTCGTCGCACGTTCGCACGTTCGCACCGGTGACTATGGCCCACCAAGCTGGTCACCTCTATGCAACTCCCTTGGGAGAGGAACGATTCTTCAGACCGTCTTCCCGAGTGTGTTGTTGCATCGTACTAGCACTTCTGGGCCGGACCAGCGGTCCTCACGGTCTCTCCTGTTCCCCATCGTTCGCATCGTCGCATTCGACATATACTCACTACGTCGTACTGACCATGCACCATCTCTTACCGAATGCATCGTAACCTTCTGTTCATATTCCAGGCCGCAACTCTGTCTCCTCCGTCGGCGCTGCTGCTGCTCCGAACGGCACGACGCCCGCGACACCGCGTCGTACAGGTCGTGCATCATCGACCACACCCGCCGACGTAGCCACCACCGCATCCTCCGCAAAGCCCACTTCACGAACAGTCGCAGCAGCGAAACGCGTTTCTTCTACCTCGGCCAAGCCCGCTTCTTCCGGCGCCACCAAGCGAGCGAGGTCGAGGTCCAGATCCGTCTCGGTCGCATTGACCGTCGCGGAGCAGAGTGAGCAAGAGCAAGAGGAAGAGGACGACGATGACGTCGATCCGACACCACGAGCGAAAAAGATCAAGGTCTTTGTCGAACCCAAGCTCAAGCCTGTACGAGCACCCGTGCAGGGCATGAATCAGATCCCGAAACGATACGACCCCTTTCCCGCGTACTCGGCTTTCGATTTCGAGGTTTCGATCGACGAGGTGCAACGATTGGACGACTACTTGCCCAGAACGGTCTTTGTCTTTGGTAACGGTGACTTTGGACAACATGGTTTAGGCATCGAGAATGGGATGATGGAGATCGTCAGGCCCAGGTTGCATGCGACGATCGAAAAGATGATCGCCGTCGACGGAGGACAGGCGTGGAAGAGAGGTGTCGCCAGTCTCGAGTGTGGTGGGATGCACACCCTCTGCGTCGACGGCGAGGGTAAGATTTGGTCGTGGGGGTGAGTCGAGTTCTTTTCCGCATGGGATGGATGGAATGCAAATGTTGACCTGTTCGTGTGACGGTCCCCGTCCCCGTAGCATCAACGATAACGCAGCGCTCGGTCGAGTCACCGCCGGCCTCGAACAAGAATCAGAAGAACTCGAAACGCAACCCCTCGTCGTTGAAAACCTCGACTACTCGCGCTTCAAGGCCGTCAAAGTCGCCGCCGGAGATTCGGTCTCGCTCGCCGTATCGGAGAATGGCGAGTTGAGGTGCTGGGGTTCGTTCAGGTACTCGGAGGGCATCCTCGGCTTTGACGGTAACGACGAAAAGAGCAAGAGTCAGCTCAAACCATTAGCTTTGAAGAATTTGGAGGCCGTGTCGATCGTGCAGGTCGTAACCGGGGACGACCACTTTGTTGCGCTGACGACGAAGGGAACGGTTTTCGCGTGCGGAAATGGGGAGCAGTGCCAGTTGGGCCGCAAGATTATTCAACGTGGGTTCGGAGTCCGTTTTTGACAAAGTGACGATGCACCCGCTCAATACTGAATCGTGGTCTCTTTGGTGTTGGACTCACAGGTCACAAGACTCACGGCCTGACGCCTGAACGTCTCGCCCTAAAGAACATCGTCGTCGTCGGTTCGGGATCGTACCATTCGTTCGCGGTCGATGCCAAAGGCCAAGTCTTTGCGTGGGGACTGAACTCGTTCCGCCAAACCGGTGTCGACGAGGACGACGGTGGATGGCAAGAGATCATCACGACGCCGACGATCGTCAAGAGCCTGCATCCGTCGTTGCATCGCGGTGCACGCGTCGTGCAGATCGTCGGAGGGACACACCACACCCTCTTTTTATTCTCGAATGGAGAGGTGTGGGGCTGCGGGAGATGTGATGGGTCCGAGATTGGGTTAGGCAAAGATCACCCCAAAATGAAGGAGATGAAGGAGCGCGAGGACGAGGCGCTCAAGAGGAGGAAGGAGTTTGAGAACAGCGTCCGACCCAAGATTGCGCAACGACCTGTCGCGGCTGACGACGCAGGGAACCCCGGACGACCGATGACCGAGATGGAAATTGACCTCAAGGCGCAGGAAGAAGCGGCACAGACGGTCCCCTTGCCGAATCGATTCATCGACGAGCCGACCAAGATTGAATTCGACACGGATGCGCAGGAGGAAGAGAACATTGATGGACCGGTGCAAATTGTGCAGATCGCCGTGGGGACGAGGGCCAACTTTGCCGTCTCAAAGCATGGGTTCTTGTACGCCTGGGGATACGGCAACGTCGCCCAACTTGGATTGGGGGACGAGGAGGAGGCCGACCGACCGACGAGGGTCGTCAGTCGGGCGATGAAGGGCTTCAAGGTCTTGCACGCCGCTGGGGGCGGTCAACATTCGGTCTGCGTCGCTGTTCGAGGGGACGGCGCGAAGCCGAGCGTTCATGACGATGCTACCGCGGCGGCCCCGGCTGCGTAGGTGTGATTTCGTAACGTCACGGAACGAGGGTGCGTAGAGGATAGAATTTGGATATCAAAATTGACAATCAACATCATTGATAAGCGGACTTTTGTGTGACGATCCATGGAGGGAGCGAAAATATAACTCGTCCGCTTCTCCGAGAGGTCAGCGACCAGTCACGATGCTTTGGATGGCTTCTTCAGATGAGATGCCTTGCTTCGCCTCAGCTCCTCGCATCGAAGCTAGCTGCATGGCTTGTACTCGTCTGCAAGTCACTTTCATGTATGGATTTAGAGTAATCTGGGAGATCTTATCAAAAGCCAAATCAAAGTCTCCGCTTCTGAATTCTCTCAGGATAGTCGATACCCGAAGCCTTTCCTATGATTACAACAAGACGAGAGATCAAAGTTCGTGGACCTTCATACTCTCCATCGTGATGCGCTCCTTCAGCCCTTGTTACTCCGCGCCTTGGTCCCCTTGTTCTGCTTCGCATACTTGGCCTTGACCGCCTTGCTCCCCGTGGCCCTCTCCTTCTTCTCCGCAGAGGACATCTTCATCCTCGCCACGGGCTTGTTCTTCACTCGGCGTTTATGCGTCGAACTGGTCGTGGCTGGAGTGGACGTGGATCGGGGAGGTGGTGGAGGGGGGAGGTCGCGGTCGAGTGGGAGGGCGGCGGGGGAGGGGGAGCGAGAGAGGGAGAAGGGTTCGATGGCGACTGTCGTGACGAGGTCGGTCGATTCAAAGGTCCTTGTAGGGGCGGGATCAGGGGTATTGGGGTCGAGGCTGTCGTCGTCGTCATTCTCGGATCCGGAGAAGACTTGGTCGTCGGAGCCACCGGCGTCTGGGTGGGAAAGAGTGGTACATTTTCAGAGAGGCGTTGGTAGGGCTCTCTAGTTGAAGCCGTACGGGGACTGACCCCCATACATGGCCTTTGCGTTCCTGACGTTCTGAGCGGCTCGTTCCTTCCTCTCATCTCGAATCTGTTCGCGTCGTGTAGGTGTGTAGGGGATAGGGCTGATGAGTCTCACCCCATGAACCCGAGCTCGGTGTGCAGTGATCTTACATTCCTGCGCATCTCGTTCAGTTCCTGCCTCTCGCGGTCGATCGCCTTGTTGCGCACCGCCGCCTCGCGCGCCTTTTTGCGCTTGCTGAAGCCCGTCAAGAACTCTCTGTGACAACACGATACGATTAGGACAGTGGTGTACCCCCATGTTTGGACTCTGCACACTCACTTCCTCGCGTCGGGGTCGAATACGACCTCCTTGACCTTCTTGACCTTGGCCGGCCTTCCGGACTTGTTCAACACCGGGTGCGAGATCGTGCCCCCCGGCGTCTTGGACTTGCGTTTGGTGTGCTTGGGCATCGTGGTCGAGGGGTGGGGCGGGGGGAGGCAAGACTGGGGAAAACGGATGAGGAGCAGCGCAGCGCAAAAACGACGGTGACGACGGCCGTGACGAGAAACGGGATCGACCGCGACCGCGTCCGTGAGTGGCTGCGAGGGGTGTACGCCTGATGTCTTTTGGGCTTGATGATCGTACCCGGATGAGGGAGCGGTCGAGGCTGAGCGCCGGCGATGGATGAACGAGGAGTGAGAGCACGAGAGAGTGAGCACGACAAGAGTGGAGTACGCGAGATCGACTTCAACCAGTCCGCCTCAGTCCGCCTTCCGCCGCCTCTGCGAAGCCCCATCCGAACCTGTCGGCTTATCATACCCGAGCTCACCGCAGACCAGCCGATCGGAACCGGAGCAATCCAAGGCAAAAAAGGCTCTCTCCAACGGGCAACAAGTAGAAAAAAGCGATACAAAGCAAAAAAAAAAAAAGAAAACATGTTTTCCCGAACTGCAAAAAGAGAAATGCGCCGACTGGGACTCGAACCCAGGTCTAGACAATGGCAATGTCCAAGTATACCCCTAACCCACCGGCGCGGATGAACAGACAGTGAGTGATTTAGCCATCCCATTCTCCTGAAAGCTCTGGCAGAATTGACTGAGCAGAGACTTGGAGCGTCGAGGGTCGTGGTGGTTGCGCAGTCGTGCTCTTGTCTTCGTCTCGACCGAGTGGGAAGTGGCTGTGGGGTGGGCCTTCTGTCGTTAGTACATTTCTTTTCTTTCTCTTTCTCTTTCTCTTTCTCTTCATCTCTCTTTCTCTCTCTCATTCGTCTCCTGGGGGGGAGCAACCGCTTGGCTAGGGCATTTGAATCCGAATCTCGGATTGGTGGACTTGGCTCGTTTCTCGCACTTTTGCGGGCGGTTTGTGTTATCATCGTAGTCTTCCATCTAGTTTTTCCGTAGGCCGAAACAGGGGGAACAGGAATTGGGGGCAATATGATGAACGTTTTCTACAAAAAAAAAAAAAAACGTTCGAGCTCGGCACCCGGCAACCGACGTGTCACCCGGGCGGGATCCGCCATGATCCTCGGTGCATCAGGGGGTGATGGCTCAGGGGGCAACAGTTCAGGGGGTCACAGGTCCGAGGTGACCGAATTCGAGGGGGGCGGCGCTGAACTGATTTAATCATGATTGAGTCACTCACCGTGTTGACGTTCAACGTCCGATCGATGAAGAACGCAGTCAACCAAGTCAAAATCATCCGTTATCTCAAAACCTTTCGGCCGGCCCCTGCGGCCATCCTCCTGCAAGAGCACCACCTCAGCTACAACGCGTCGCGCGAAGGCTTCGAGAGTGCTTGGCCGGGGGCTTGTATTCGTTTCACTCCTCATGTCCTTACCCTCATACCCGATGGCTCACCTTTGGCGGGCCATCTCCTTTCCTCTACCCCGGTCGTCTTTGCAGGAGCTCCTCGTTTCGACGGTCGGATTCTGCGCTCGGTGTTTCGTCTTGAGGAGCTCGATGTCGAGATCATCAACATGTACGCGCCGGTGCAGGAGGACGATCGTCGCGACTTTTTCGGGCTTCTGCACTTCAACGCCCCGAGACCCAAGATTCTTCGGATCTTGGCCGGCGATCTCAACGATTGTCCGGATGTATCGGTCGACCGAGTGTCCATCACCGATCGCGCTTGGACTCCTGTATCGCACTGGCAGACCTTGCTGTCAAAGATCGCGTTCAAGGCACTCGACACGGTCCGACATGTCCATCCTTGCACCCCTGCATTCACTCGTCCTCACTACCGTGGTAGAGGGGAAGAGCGAAAGATTTGCTCGTGGTCGCGGATCGACTATATTCTTGTCCAATGCAGTTGGGCGAACCGGTTGTTGAGCGCTTCTACGCTCTTCGATGCGCCCTGTTCGGACCACAGACCTGTAGTTGCGACTTTCGCTTTGCCTACATCGAACGCTGATGCCGAACCCCCCCTTTCTCTTCCCTCCACGAGCGATTTCATTTCGAGGCTCAACCCAATGGTCTTTGACGATCAAGACTTTGTCGCATCGATTCCCGGGGTCGTCGACGAGGTCTATCGAAGGCTCGAGGGGACCGCTCCGCTCGGCGACGTCTATGACGCCGCTCTGCGGGCGGTTGCAGTCGCTGGCCATGCACGATACCGCTCGACTCGTGCCGACATGCGCCGACTGCGGGCCGAGAGCCAATCCGTCATGGAGGCTTTGGAGGCACGCGGTGAGCACATGAATGAGGCCGAGCGCGATGCGTATGCTCTTGCCAAGTCGCGGTTGGACCAGTTGGCGGTAAAGGAGGCTCAGTGGCTGCGCATTCGTGCGCATGTGCCGTCAGTCGACTCGAGGGAAGGTCAATCGGCAAGCATTCGCACGCGCCTCAACCGCCGGAGTCGCCAGACGAGCATCGTCTCGCTGGAGGATGTGGATGGCACCGAGACCGTTGACATGCAGGAGGCGCTGGGTATTGCTTCACGGCACGCGCAGTCGCTCTTCACGCCGGACCCAGCTCGTGGCGACCCGACGAACGCACGCCGGTCCCTGCTCGACCCTATTCGCGCAGCGAAATGCTACGATGACGACCGCTCGGACCCTACGTTCGGTCGTCGGCTGCCTCGTCAAGCGAGAGTGGCGCTTGACGAGCCCTTCACCCTCCTCGAGGTTGAAGCGGCGTTGAAGAAGACGGATTCGGGGCGATCACCGGGGCCCTCGGGCATTCCGTACGAGCTCTTCAAGGCGCTGCCAACCTACTTTGCTCCCAAGCTGTTGGACTTGTTCAACTCGATTTGGGAGGGCGGCAAAATGACGGCGTCCTTGGCAGAGGGGCTGGTGCGGCTCTTGCCCAAGAATAAACCGGGGGCCAATCTGAAATCACTGGGGGCATACCGACCGATCACATTGCGCGAGACGACCTACAAGGTCCTCAGCAAGGTCTTGGTGGCGCGACTCAATGGGGTGCTCGGCGAGCTTTTACCGCCGGCGCAACACGGTTTCATGCCATCAAGACGTTCAGCGGACGCGGGAAGTCATCTCACTCTCCTTCTCGAAAAACTCAAGTCGCTAGGCACTGATGTTTTCCCCGAGGGCGCCCTCTTGTCTTTGGATCAGCAGAGCGCGTACGATCGGGTCGATCACGCCTGGATCTTCGAGGTCTTTGAGGCCTCTGGGTTCGGTGAGCGTTTCATCTCGCTGCTGCGCGCTCTCTACGATCCCGAGACTCTGGGGGTGCGCTACCTTGTCAATGGGTTCCCCACGGACTTGGTGCGGTTGCTGTGTGGTCTCGGTCAGGGGGATCCCCTCTCGTGCCCGGTTTGGAACATCACGTTCCAGCCCTTCCTCGACGCCCTCGTTCGGCGCGGGATCGCGCTCGACCTGCAGAAGGTGTGGCCAGGGGGGCCGCGTGCGCAGCTTACGCATCTGGCGTTTGCCGACGATGCTGTGGTGGTGGTGGAGTCACCGGCGGCATTGTCGAAGCTGCAAACGCTGTCGCAGACGTGGTACGAGGCTACCAACGGGAAGACCAACACGGACAAGACGCTGGTGCTACCACTCGGACCGAACTGGCTTCGGGACGAGACTGCGCAGGCGCTGCCAACGGTGCAGGAGGGGGAGAGCTTCAAGTGGTGCGGCTATGCCTTCTTTCGCCACGGTGACTCGAAACTGTTCTGGACCCATGTTCTTGACAGGATCAAGGCCAAGGCCCGCGCCGCTCGAGACCGGACACTTTCGCCGAGTGGGAAGGTTTTCTATGCCAACGCTCACATCATCTCGACGGTCCTCCACGTGCTGTCCTTCGACATACCGCCTCAATGGTTCATTAAGGCGGCGGAGACGGCACTTACGGACTTTGTCTGGGGAGGAGCAGGGCGAAATACCGTCGCTCGCGATTTCGTGTTCCAGGCTCGGGAGGACGGTGGCTTGGGTTTGATTTCGATTGGCGACATCGTTCATTCGGTGGCGCTTCGATTTTGGGATGCTGTGGCGGGCTCGGACGAGGCGATCTGGGCGCCCCTAGCTCGCGAGAGCTGGAGGTGCCTCGTCGCTGCGACCCGCGATTTCAGTCCGTGGGGGTTCTTCAGCAGCACGGCTCGGGTCGAGAAGCTGTATCGCGACTCGACGCGCTGGGGGGCAGTCGTTGCAGCGGCCAGGGTCACAGTTCCAACCATCAAGTCCGAACTCCTTACGCTTCCCGAATTGCTCTCGCTTCCGCCTCGCCTCCCTTCACTCTATGCTGAAGGTGCCCAGCACGCATATGACGATGCGGACGCGGTGGCGAAGTTTGCGCAGATCGCGGACCTGTACTGGAGGGACGAAGGGAAGGGATGGGCTCTGGTTGGTCATCGACGCGGGTTCTGGCAGCACTCTAAGGAACCCGCCCTACAGCACGAGCACGTGTGGTCGCGCGTGGGTCAGTTGCTCAAGGCGAAAGCGTTGCTGCCCAAGACCGCGTTGCGACCTGCTCGGATACCTCTCAAGGAGGCTCCCCGTCCTCGGTGCTTCAACTTCTTTGGGCTCTCCCGACCTTTTACGATTCGCAAGCTTCGTCGGCTTGTGAACAAGGTGCGGTTCCCAGGGAGGGAGGACCGTGTCAAGCGTTTCCCTGATGGGACTTCTCAGAGCGATAGGAAGCGCTTCTGGAGATGGCTTCATGACCGGTTCGCGTCTGCTGTCGAGCAGGACACCCACTGGCGGCTCATGTACGACGTGACGCCGACGCGCAAGAGGCAGCATACTCAGGGTCATGCCTCTTCGCCGACGTGTCTGTTCTGCGGCAACGATGCAGCGGTCATCGAGACGGTGTCCCACTACTTTTTCGAGTGCGCGTATTCGACCAGCTTCTGGGGTGGGGTGCTACGCATTCTGCTTGACAAGCTCGGCATCGAGGATACCGACGTCGATCCGTCGACGTTCACTCCGGAGCAGCTGACTATGGGGCTCCCCCTTTTGCGGGGTCGTGGGAGAACGACCTCGAAATGGATGTGGGTTCGGCTGGCCTGCGCGATCGGCTTCCAGCGGCTGCACCTGCTCCGCTGGCGCGTTCATCAGCGGTTCGAGCTGGACAACGTCGTGGCCCCTCCCTCGCTTCCCAGTGCGCTCAGAGCGTTCGAGCGAGATTTTCTCTCTCGAGCGGGTTTTGTGCCTGGGGTTCGAGATTGGGAGGTGTGATGACCGAGTTAAGTCCTTCCTTCCCATTTTCCTCCCCTCCTTTCCTCCCTTCCTTTTCGGTCAGAAGCTGACTGTCTTGAAACTTGTTGCGCAGTGGAAGGCTGCGCACCTCTCCCTCTCTCTACTTTGTGCAGTAGCGGTTTTCGTTCTTGGATGGATCGGCAAGCCGGGTCGATCGTCGTTGCGTTGGAGGCTTTGTGAAGTTCTCCCCTCTCTTTCCCCTTTCTCCCTTCCCTTCCTCTTCTCCTCCCTGTTGCTCGGTTGTTGACTACGCTTCAGCCACTTCTCCTTTTATTCCTAAGCCGTGTGTTGGATTCCGTCGAATGGATCGTTCGTTCGCGTTGGTCAAGTTCTACGGCATGGATCGGGAAGAAAGGTCGCTCGTTTCTTGGTCAATATCCTCGCGTCAAGGCGAGGCTCGTTTCGTGGTATTATTGGATCGTTTTCGCTCGGCCCCGACGGCTCAACAGCCAGCACTCGAGACTCAGCCAAGGGAGGACATCAGGCGCTGTCGGGGTGACGAGTAGCTGGGGCTTGGCTGCGGCCTGTCAGTCCCTGGGGACCTCTAGCTCTGGCTTCGACCCCCTCCCTTGGCCCCTCGGGTGTGTTCCCCTCCTCCTCCCCTCCTCTCTGTCTTAGTATTCCTGGTTCTCCGTGTTTCCGGTCGTGAATTTTTGTATATTCTCCCCCTTTCTTTCTCTAGGCGCTCTTGCCTGGTTTTCGAGTATCTTCGCTCCCGCTCTTGGGACGTGAAGCGGCAGCAGTACTCACCGCCCGTTGGAGTCCGCGTTAGGTGCTCGGCGGGTTTTGATCTGCGCAGCGCTCTTTGCGCGCAGGGGTTTGACTTTCACCCAATTGCTTGCCGTCGTTGCTTTATAACCTCTTTTAGCTCTTTTTGTAGCGGTCCCAGCCAACCCGAAGGATTGCAATTTATGAGCCCCAGTAAAATAAAAAAAAAAAGACTTCACTTCACTTCACTTCACTTCACTTCACTTCACTTCACTTCACTTCACCTCACTTCACTTCACTTCACTTCACTTCACTTCACTTCACTTCACTTCACTTCACTTCACTTCACTATCGCCCTACTGCAGCCTTCGATACTCGAGTTAACAAGTGATACACCGACAAGATGTCTACCGGAGACCCTGGGTCCCCACTGCCGGCACCGCCACCACCGGTATCCGCCACCAGCGTCCAGCCCCCCCGCGACCGGATCCCGATAAGCTCGAAGAAGACGCAAGTCACGGGCCCCGCCACCGCCGCACCCAACTATGCTGCCGCTGCGAGTCAGATGGCGGCTCAAACACCTGAACAACAGCAACAACAACAACAGCGTGCCAAGGCTCTGGGCAGCCTCCTACAAGCCATGGGTGCTGTACCCGGAAACCGCATGGATCGCTGGGTCCAGGCCATCTACTTCGCCGAACTCTACCCCGTCGCCACCGCCACATCGCTGAAATTTTCGGCCTTGAACGCGAACCGGTCCGTCGAGAACATCTTCGATTACGCCCTTGAAGTGACTCTGTCTCACCAGAGCGCCTCGCGAGCGACTCATGCCGACAAGATCGATCTCGTGGCCTGCGTCACGAGGCTGCTATCGCCCATCTCTCCTATCTGCTTTGAGCCTGGAGTTCCTCTGCCGGACCATCTTGCGGCTTATCAACCACAGATCTTAGGCGTACAACATTCATCAATCCTGCGTAATGGGGCGGCTCACCATCGCGTTACGGTTGGGTTCGTCACCGGCGAGGCACGTGACGCGGCGCTCACGACGCCCCCCGCTCTCACTTGGCGATCGGCGAAGGCCCGCTTCGCGAAGTCTCACAGGTTCCACCATAACATGGTCGAGCTTCGAATCAACGTCGGTGTTCAAGGAGTGCCCTCCATGGATGCCATCATCAAATCGTTCCAATCACTTGTGCAAGACCTGTCAGGCAAGGGACATTCATGCCAACTTGTGCAGGTTCTGCGCGTTATCAGCGTGGACAACGCCTCGGCCTTCGCCCACGTTGCCGGAGACTACTCGGCTTTCCTACACTTCGATGACGACTCCCTATTCCAACGCCCCAACACGACCTTGAAGGAGATTCTACCTTCGAGGATCGACCTTCCCACTCGAGGCATCCCGGTTACCGCCCTTCGCCATGACTATGAGAAGGAGGCGGCTTGCGGTAGGTGCCACTTTGTGGGTCACGTGGGAACCTGCGGACTGGATCAGGAGAGGAAGCGGAAGGAGGCTCACAACGGCATCATCAACAGCAACAAAAACACCATCACCCACAACACCAACATCGCGGAGGCCGAGGCCCCCATTCCTGTGCTGGTTGTTAACAGGATCGCATCACAGAATCACTTCGCCGGGCTCGAGGTCGAGGAGGGACAGGAGGAAGAGGTAACTGGCCAGGGCGAACAGGGACCGGAGGAATCGGGGGAGGAAGACGCTGGTGATAAGGCGGATGACGAGGACTCGGAGGACTCGGAGATGGAATCGGAGGCGGCCGCGAAAACGGAGGTCATCAAAATTGAAAGCGAGGACGAGTCGGTCTTGGAGGACTGCAGCGGATCCGATGGAGAGGTGATTGATGAGAATGAGGTGATGGCGGATGAAAGAGGTGAAACGGAAGGAGAGGTGGCTACGGAGATGGAGGAAGAGGAGGTGGCGACGGAGGTGGGCGATGTGGACGAAGCGAGGGGATCGACGAAAGCGGAGAATGCGGAAGCGACGGACTTAGGGGAAACGAACAGGCTGGACAATGACGACGACAGCGACGCCACAGCAACCGCCGCCACCGCTTCCCGCGAATCGACGCCGCATGAACCAACCCCACCTCTGTCACCCGAAACTCTCGCCAAGTCGCTACGCGAGGGGGAGGAGTGGGACAGGATCAGAGCTAACTGGGTTGAGCAGGCACGACTTGAGCGGGACCAAAGCATCGAGAGGAGGCTCAACGCTGAAACCCCTCTGGTGCGTCACAACTTTGCCACGTGGGACGAGGACGGTGAGATACGCTCCATCAACATCAGGGGGACCGCTGCGAAGTTCAAGAAGCAGGTGATGAAGAGGTCGCAGACTGCGGCGGACCTCAGTGACCCAAGTGACGAACCGACCGACGCCAAGCGAGTCATCATCAAAGGGAAGAGCCGCGTCGTGGTGAAGGATGGAATAGAGGGGCGGAGGGTGACGAGGTCGATGTCGGCGGCAGCGGCGATGCAGGTCGAGGTGACGAAGGTGGACAGAGGGAAAGGAAGAGGGGTAGCTGAGGAAAAACGATGGTCCGACCACGAGCCCGAGGACGATGTCCTGCCCGCCCTTCCCCTCTTTGAGGACGTCACCACCGCCAAGAGCGCCTCGACCTCGACTACCCATTAATGATCAAGCACACCATCATCACCTGGAACGTAAGAAGGGGCATGGGGGTCCCGGAAAAACGACGTAATATCTACACCTACCTTTCCACATTCAAAGCTTCCGCGATTCTCTTACAAGAGCATTTCATCAGACCACAATTCTGGCAGCTCATCAAGGACGAGTACGAGGGCAAGCTCTTCATCAACCAGCACTGCCTGACCCTGATCCCGGCCGACTCGCCCCTGATCGACGCCGAGCTCTTGCGCACCCACTCGGCACTCGACGGCCGGCTCCTCGTCACCTCCTTTCGTCTGCGGGGCGACATCAAAATTCTAGAAATCAATAACCTCTACGCGCCCGTTGACCCAAAACAACGAGCAAAATTCTTCGACAAACTGATCCTCCACAAAACACAGAAATCCCACCTCCGACTCCTTGGCGGCGATCTCAACGACTGCCCGCGCCCAGAAGTCGATCGGCGGAACCAAAGTCGGCGCGGCCACCACTGGCCGATTCTGATGGGCAAGCTCGACTCGGCCTACACGGACTGCATCCGCTACAAGCACCCCATCACCCCATCTTTCACTCGACCTAATCCCAATCGCAAGCGACCCAACTCCTTCTCCCGGCTTGACTACTTTCTCCTACAAAGAGCTCACCAAAAAAGGCTCGACCAGGCCTCGACGATCTACGACTATCCCAAGGATCTTTCCGATCACCGACCGGTCTTGATCGTACTGGCTCTCTCAGACGATCTTGATGCGGCTCTCCCACAGCTCAGCCTACCTACCACATCCAACCAACTACATCGAATCAATACCACAACCTTCAAGACGGTGGAATTTCAGCGGATGATGGAAGGATGGTTGGAAGGGGCAAGCGGGGAGGATCCGGTGCGAGAGCTTGAGGAGGTTCTGGAGGCGTGCAGGGACAGGGGTGGGGAGATGGCGAGGAGGCTGCATCGGGAGCGGACGGAACGGATGGAGTATTTGGTGGGGAGGGTGCAGGATCTGGAGGCGTTACCGGTATGGGGGGAGGCGGAAACGGCAGAATGGACAAGGACGTCCGAGGAACTCAAGCGGGCGGTCGAGGAGCGCGCGCGCCTACTCCGGATCCGAGCCCACGTCCCCGAGATCGCTTCCGAGGAACGACTGTCGCGGCCGGTCCACGCCAAGCTCGCGGCGCGGAACTCGGACTCCAAGATCACAGCACTGCGCTTGGGCAACGGAGAGCTAACGCATGACATTGATGTCGCTCTTGACCACACGCAGGCGCATTTCCAGCGCCTCTACCACATCGAGCCTCGTGATCCGGAACGCGTCGACCGACTTCGGGACGAACTCCTCGTGCCGATCAGGGCGGCACGGACTTGCGACGACCCGCGCTCAGATCCGCTCTTTCTGCGCCGACTCTCGGAAGCGCAGATTGATCTCCTCCAGCAACCCATCACCGAGGACGAGGTCGTGGCCGCGATCGGGACGACGCACCCGGGGCGATCGCCGGGCCCGTCGGGCGTGCCTTACGAACTCTATCAGACCGCACCGGAGGCGTGGTCCAAGGTGCTGACCAAGGCCTACAACGCGATGATCGAGCGCGGTTCACTCTCTCCCAAGCAGGGCCAGGGACTCGTGCGCCTCATCTTCAAGCGCCACAAGAAGAATGCCGATCGCGCCGAACTCTCGTCGTATCGCCCCATCACCCTGCGCGAGTGCGATTACAAGATTTTTACCAAGGTCTACGTCGCCCGATTGAACCAAATTCTGCCCGATCTCCTCCCGCCGCAGCAGCACGGCTTCGTCAAGGACCGCCGATCGGCCGACGCTGCACTACACCTTCGTCTCCTGATCGAGGAACTTGGCGCGCGCAGGACCGAGTTCCCCGCGGCCGCGCTCTTGTCTCTTGACCAATCATCCGCCTACGACCTCGTCGAGCATGACTGGATCTTTGCCATTTTCGACGCTCTGGGCGCTCCTACCACCTTTCTTCGCGTGCTGAGGATGCTCTACTCGGGTGACTCGACCTCGGCGCGCTACATCATCAATGGGTTCCTGACGGCGCCGGTGCGACTGACGTGTGGGCTCGGCCAAGGGGACCCGGCGTCATCGTCGGTCTGGGACATCGTGTTTCAGCCGTTCCTGGATGCTCTACACCGTCGAAACATCGCGCTGAATCTCTCCATACCTGCACTTCATCCGTACCCACAGAGCCGCGCCATTACATCACTTGCATTTGCCGATGACGTTGTCGTCGCCGTCGCGGGCTTGGAGTCACTCAACTTGCTCGATGACCTGGCGCTCGACTGGAGGCATGCAACGAATGGCCGGCTCAACACGGACAAGACGGTCGTCCTACCGATTGGACGTCGCTGGGACCCTGGGGAACGGCCAATCGTCGTCAAGGCCGCAGGCGAGTCGCTCGAGTGGATCGGCCTCCCCTTCGACCCCAGCGGCGACACCGAACTCGCCTACGCGAATCTCATCGAACGGCTCGAGGCGACGCTGGAAGCGGTTCAGCATCGCTGGCTCACGCACCACACCCGTGCCTTTTACGTCAATCGGTACGCCATTCCCAAGATCCTGCATTTCCTTGCAGCCGACATCCCGCCGCCCGAAGTCGTCAAGAAGCTCGATGACATGCTCGTCGATTTCGTCCGTGGGGGCAAGGGCAGGACCAGCTACGGCAGAGACATTGTGTTCACCGCCAAGAACAAGGGGGGACTCGGGGTGATAAGGATGCGGGACGTTGTGGACGCGGTTGCGGCACGGCTCTGGGACGTTCTTCTCGGCGGTTCCGGCGCGATTTGGCAAGGACTTGCGCGCGCATCACTCCAGCGAGCTCAGCCCGACCTCGACCTGGCCACCGATCTCTGGCCACATCCATCCACTCCCATCCCCAACGACCTTCATCCCCGATGGCACGCCGCACTGGGCGTTCCGAAACTTCACGACGCGCAGGTCAACCCGAGGGCCTTGACCACCGCGAACTTGCTCGCGCTGCCCACCCTGCTCGGCAGCCTCCACACCCCCATCAGAGGGAGACAGACCATCGACGCGGTTCATGTACCTGACTACCTTCGTCTCCAGGGCTACCCGAAGGTGGCGGATCTCTATCGACGCGAGTTGTATGCGGGTGGGGGGTTTCACCTCTGGACGCCGCCGGCGGATGTGCTCGGCGACAACAGCGAGTACGATCGACGCGGGCTCCCGCAGCGACTGGCAATCGCGGCCTGGTACCGGTTCACTGTCGATCGACACAAGAACACCCCCTTGGCGGCGGCGGTGGCGGCGGGACGACTCAACGTGCCTCCCCGGATCGGCACCAGCGCACCACTCGAGGCGATCATCCCCAAGCCCGTGGCCCGCTTCGCAATGGAGCAGCGCCTTCCGGACCCGGTGCTTCCACAACAGGCGAGCCAGTATACGCTGCTGAACATGGCTCGCCCCTACACAGTCCGTCGCATCCGCCGGGTCCTGAACGCGAAGGCATTTACCAACATGCTCGGGCTCAAGGGACCACCGCAGCCGGACGACCTCAGGAGCTTCTGGAAGGCAGTCAACTCGAAGGCACTGACGGCGAGGGAGAGGGAAGTTTGGTTCAAGCTGATCCTCCGCTTCACCCCGACGCGCAAACTCCAGCACGAGCAAAAGCACGACACTTCTCCCGCGTGCCTCGTGTGCGAAGCGCCGGTGGACGACACCGATCACTACTTCTTCGGCTGCGTCGACTCGCGGAACATCTGGACCGCGGCAAGGGGCGTGCTCTGCGACGCGCTCGGATGCGACACGATCGAGGACGCCGAGTACACGACACTACAACGACTCTTTGGCCTCCCCAAGCTCAAGGCCAAGCTCAGCGAACAGGAAGGCGCAGGCAGGACGATCGAGATCTTCACGGGGATGGTCTTGGAGATGATCAGCAGTGGGAGATGGAGGATGCAGAAGCACGGGACGAGGATGGAAAGCCTGGAGCGGAGGAGGGTGGTACTGGAGGAGAGGATGAAGTTGAGGGCGGGGGGAGCAAGGGGCGGGCGAGGGCAGTAGAGGCTGGGTTCGATTTCCCCCCACCCGATCCCACACTCACACACCCCACATCACACATCCTCTTACAAAAACTGTATACTAAATATATTTTCTTCATCTTTCTTTCTTTTATTACAGGTCTGCCTCCGTTGCTCATGGACCGGCTCGCGATTTGGGATTGACTCGACGGTGGCTCGCGCTCTTTGGCTTCGGGGTTCTGAGTCAAGGGAGGGATCAGCAGACACAGGCAGAAAGTCGGCTTTGAGGGGCCAGGGACTGCTGAGGTGGAGGTTTTGAGGGGCCTCCACCGCGTCTTGTTGTGACCGAGCATAGACTTGGGGACTTCGCGGGTCAGGGTAGCTGCGCAGTCGCTCTCCTGTCTTTGTCTCGACCGAGTTGGGAAGTGGGTGCGGGGTGGGCCTCTTGTCGTTAGTACGCCAGTTCTTTTTCATTTTCTCTCTTTCTCTTCTCTCTCTCATTCGTCTCCTGGGGGGGAGCAACCGCTTGGCTGGGGCACTTGAATCCGAAGTATCGGATTGGTGGACTTGGCCCGTTTCTCGCATCTTGCGGGCGGTTTGTGTTATCATCGTCGACTTCCATCTAGTTTTTCCGTAGGCCAATCAGGGGGAACAGGACTTGGGGGCAATATGATGAACAGTTTCTACAAAAAAAAAAAAAAAAAAAAGTGGACAAGAACACACCCTTGGCGGCGGCGGTGGCGGCGGGACGACTCAACGTGCCTCCCCGGATCGGCACCAGCGCACCGCTCGAGGCGATCATCCCCAAGCCCGTGGCCCGCTTCGCAATGGAGCAGCGCCTTCCGGACCCGGTGCTTCCACAACAGGCGAGCCAGTATACGCTGCTGAACATGGCTCGACCCTACACAATCCGTCGCATCCGCCGGGTCCTGAACGCGAAGGCTTTCACCAACACGCTCGGGCTCAAGGGACCACCGCAGCCAGACGATCTCAGGAGCTTCTGGAAGGCGGTCAACTCGAAGGCACTGACAGCGAGGGAGAGGGAAGTTTGGTTCAAGCTGATTCTCCGCTTCACCCCGACGCGCAAGCTCCAGCACGAGCAAAAGCATGTCACTTCTCCCGCGTGCCTCGTGTGCGAAGCGCCGGTGGACGACACCGATCACTACTTCTTCGGCTGCGTCGACTCGCGGAACGTCTGGACCGCGGCAAGGGGCGTGCTCTGCGACGCGCTCGGATGCGACACGATCGAGGACGCCGAGTACACGACACTACAACGACTCTTTGGCCTCCCCAAGCTCAAGGCCAAGCTCAGCGAACAGGAAGGCGCAGGCAGGACGATCGAGATCTTCACGGGGATGGTCTTGGAGATGATCAGCAGTGGGAGATGGAGGATGCAGAAGCACGGGACGAGGATGGAAAGCCTGGAGCGGAGGAGGGTGGTACTGGAGGAGAGGATGAAGTTGAGGGCGGGAGGAGCAAGGGGCGGGCGAGGGCAGTAGAGGCTGGGTTCGATTTCTCCCCACCCCATCCCACACTCACACACCCCACATCACACATCCTCTTACAAAAACTGTATACTAAATATATTTTCTTCATCTTTCTTTTATTACACGTCTGCCTCCGTTGCTCATGAACCGGCTCGCGATTTGGGATTCACTCGACGGTGGCTCGCGCTCTTTGGCTTCGGGGTTCTGAGTCAAGGGAGGGATCAGCAGACACAGGCAGAAAGTCGGCTTTGAGGGGCCAGGGACTGCTGAGGTGGAGGTTTTGAGGGGCCTCCACCGCGTCTTGTTGTGACCGAGCATAGACTTGGGGACTTCGCGGGTCAGGGTAGCTGCGCAGTCGCTCTCCTGTCTTTGTCTCGACCGAGTTGGGAAGTGGGTGCGGGGTGGGCCTCTTGTCGTTAGTACGCCAGTTCTTTTTCATTTTCTCTCTCTCTCCTTCTCTCTCTCATTCGTCTCCTGGGGGGGAGCAACCGCTTGGCTGGGGCACTTGAATCCGAAGTATCGGATTGGTGGACTTGGCCCGTTTCTCGCATCTTGCGGGCGGTTTGTGTTATCATCGTCGACTTCCATCTAGTTTTTCCGTAGGCCAATCAGGGGGAACAGGAATTGGGGGCAATATGATGAACGGTTTCTACAAAAAAAAAAAAAAAGTGGACGCCGCCGACGGATGTGGTCGTCAGCAACAGCGAATACGATCAACGGGGCCGCCCACAACGAGAGCACATCGTGGCATGGTACCGACATGCGATCAATCGATTGAGGTTCACACCAATAGCTCAACCGGTGGCGGCAGTACGAATCAACGGGCCTCCCCGAGTCAGCCCCACCACGCTGCTCGAGTCGATCCTGCCCCATCCGATCGACCCGCCGCAGCGCCTTCCGAGACCGGCTCTCCCAGACCAATCAACACAATACAACTTGCTCAGCATGGATCGGCCATACACCATCCGTCGCGTCCGCCGAGTCTTGAATGCAAAGGCCTTCACCGACACGATCGGTTTCAGGGACTCGCTGCAGCCCGACGATCTCAAGGGATTCTGGAAGGGGGTCAACTCGAAGGCATTGACGGCGAGGGAACGCGAGGTGTGGTTCAAGCTCGTCAGGAACTTCACCCCGACTCGGAGTCTGCAGTTTCATCAAAAGCACGACGACTCGCCCGCGTGCCTCGTCTGTGGAGCGCCCAAGGACGATCGGGAGCACTACTTCTTCGACTGCGTTGACTCTAGGAACGTTTGGATCGCGGCAAGGGGCGTGCTCTGCGACGCACTGGGGCTCGACACGATCGACAACACGCATTACACGGCCGTTCAACGCATGTTCGGACTTCCGAAGCTCAAGGCCAGTCTGCGCGATCAAGAAGGAGCGGGGAGGACGATCGAAATATTCACCGGGCTGGTCTTGGAGATGATCAGCAGCGGGAGGTGGGGGATGCAGAAGTGGGGGACGAGGATGGAGGGTGTTGGGAGGAGGAGGATCATCTTGGAGGAGAGGTTGAAGCTGAGGGCGGGAGGAGCTTGGGGGAGGAGAGGGCAGTAGAGGCTGGGTTCGACTTTCCCCCCACCACCACACACACACACCAAATTCTCGTGACATCATTTTCTCCTACTGTACACTAAATAGCTCGCTTTCCTCTTTATTTTGTTACAGGTTCACCGTTGCGGATCATGGACCATCTCGCGATTTGGCGTCGACTCGGTGTGGCTCGCGCTCTTCGGCTTCGGGGTTCTGAGTCAAGGGAGGGATCAGCGGACACAGGCAGAAAGTCGGCTTTGAGGGGCCAGGGACTGCCGAGGGGGAGGTTTTGAGGGACCTTCACCGCGTCTTGTTGTGACTGAGCAGAGACTTGGAGCGTCGAGGGTCGTGGTGGTTGCGCAGTCGTGCTCTTGTCTTCGTCTCGACCGAGTGGGAAATGGCTGTGGGGTGGGCCTTCTGTCGTTAGTACATTTCTTTTCTTTCTCTTTCTCTTTCTCTTTCTCTTCATCTCTCTTTCTCTCTCTCATTCGTCTCCTGGGGGGAGCAACCGCTTGGCTAGGGCATTTGAATCCGAATCTCGGATTGGTGGACTTGGCTCGTTTCTCGCACTTTTGCGGGCGGTTTGTGTTATCATCGTAGTCTTCCATCTAGTTTTTCCGTAGGCCGAAACAGGGGGAACAGGAATTGGGGGCAATATGATGAACGTTTTCTACAAAAAAAAAAAAAAACGTTCGAGCTCGGCACCCGGCAACCGACGTGTCACCCGGGCGGGATCCGCCATGATCCTCGGTGCATCAGGGGGTGATGGCTCAGGGGGCAACAGTTCAGGGGGTCACAGGTCCGAGGTGACCGAATTCGAGGGGGGCGGCGCTGAACTGATTTAATCATGATTGAGTCACTCACCGTGTTGACGTTCAACGTCCGATCGATGAAGAACGCAGTCAACCAAGTCAAAATCATCCGTTATCTCAAAACCTTTCGGCCGGCCCCTGCGGCCATCCTCCTGCAAGAGCACCACCTCAGCTACAACGCGTCGCGCGAAGGCTTCGAGAGTGCTTGGCCGGGGGCTTGTATTCGTTTCACTCCTCATGTCCTTACCCTCATACCCGATGGCTCACCTTTGGCGGGCCATCTCCTTTCCTCTACCCCGGTCGTCTTTGCAGGAGCTCCTCGTTTCGACGGTCGGATTCTGCGCTCGGTGTTTCGTCTTGAGGAGCTCGATGTCGAGATCATCAACATGTACGCGCCGGTGCAGGAGGACGATCGTCGCGACTTTTTCGGGCTTCTGCACTTCAACGCCCCGAGACCCAAGATTCTTCGGATCTTGGCCGGCGATCTCAACGATTGTCCGGATGTATCGGTCGACCGAGTGTCCATCACCGATCGCGCTTGGACTCCTGTATCGCACTGGCAGACCTTGCTGTCAAAGATCGCGTTCAAGGCACTCGACACGGTCCGACATGTCCATCCTTGCACCCCTGCATTCACTCGTCCTCACTACCGTGGTAGAGGGGAAGAGCGAAAGATTTGCTCGTGGTCGCGGATCGACTATATTCTTGTCCAATGCAGTTGGGCGAACCGGTTGTTGAGCGCTTCTACGCTCTTCGATGCGCCCTGTTCGGACCACAGACCTGTAGTTGCGACTTTCGCTTTGCCTACATCGAACGCTGATGCCGAACCCCCCCTTTCTCTTCCCTCCACGAGCGATTTCATTTCGAGGCTCAACCCAATGGTCTTTGACGATCAAGACTTTGTCGCATCGATTCCCGGGGTCGTCGACGAGGTCTATCGAAGGCTCGAGGGGACCGCTCCGCTCGGCGACGTCTATGACGCCGCTCTGCGGGCGGTTGCAGTCGCTGGCCATGCACGATACCGCTCGACTCGTGCCGACATGCGCCGACTGCGGGCCGAGAGCCAATCCGTCATGGAGGCTTTGGAGGCACGCGGTGAGCACATGAATGAGGCCGAGCGCGATGCGTATGCTCTTGCCAAGTCGCGGTTGGACCAGTTGGCGGTAAAGGAGGCTCAGTGGCTGCGCATTCGTGCGCATGTGCCGTCAGTCGACTCGAGGGAAGGTCAATCGGCAAGCATTCGCACGCGCCTCAACCGCCGGAGTCGCCAGACGAGCATCGTCTCGCTGGAGGATGTGGATGGCACCGAGACCGTTGACATGCAGGAGGCGCTGGGTATTGCTTCACGGCACGCGCAGTCGCTCTTCACGCCGGACCCAGCTCGTGGCGACCCGACGAACGCACGCCGGTCCCTGCTCGACCCTATTCGCGCAGCGAAATGCTACGATGACGACCGCTCGGACCCTACGTTCGGTCGTCGGCTGCCTCGTCAAGCGAGAGTGGCGCTTGACGAGCCCTTCACCCTCCTCGAGGTTGAAGCGGCGTTGAAGAAGACGGATTCGGGGCGATCACCGGGGCCCTCGGGCATTCCGTACGAGCTCTTCAAGGCGCTGCCAACCTACTTTGCTCCCAAGCTGTTGGACTTGTTCAACTCGATTTGGGAGGGCGGCAAAATGACGGCGTCCTTGGCAGAGGGGCTGGTGCGGCTCTTGCCCAAGAATAAACCGGGGGCCAATCTGAAATCACTGGGGGCATACCGACCGATCACATTGCGCGAGACGACCTACAAGGTCCTCAGCAAGGTCTTGGTGGCGCGACTCAATGGGGTGCTCGGCGAGCTTTTACCGCCGGCGCAACACGGTTTCATGCCATCAAGACGTTCAGCGGACGCGGGAAGTCATCTCACTCTCCTTCTCGAAAAACTCAAGTCGCTAGGCACTGATGTTTTCCCCGAGGGCGCCCTCTTGTCTTTGGATCAGCAGAGCGCGTACGATCGGGTCGATCACGCCTGGATCTTCGAGGTCTTTGAGGCCTCTGGGTTCGGTGAGCGTTTCATCTCGCTGCTGCGCGCTCTCTACGATCCCGAGACTCTGGGGGTGCGCTACCTTGTCAATGGGTTCCCCACGGACTTGGTGCGGTTGCTGTGTGGTCTCGGTCAGGGGGATCCCCTCTCGTGCCCGGTTTGGAACATCACGGTCCAGCCCTTCCTCGACGCCCTCGTTCGGCGCGGGATCGCGCTCGACCTGCAGAAGGTGTGGCCAGGGGGGCCGCGTGCGCAGCTTACGCATCTGGCGTTTGCCGACGATGCTGTGGTGGTGGTGGAGTCACCGGCGGCATTGTCGAAGCTGCAAACGCTGTCGCAGACGTGGTACGAGGCTACCAACGGGAAGACCAACACGGACAAGACGCTGGTGCTACCACTCGGACCGAACTGGCTTCGGGACGAGACTGCGCAGGCGCTGCCAACGGTGCAGGAGGGGGAGAGCTTCAAGTGGTGCGGCTATGCCTTCTTTCGCCACGGTGACTCGAAACTGTTCTGGACCCATGTTCTTGACAGGATCAAGGCCAAGGCCCGCGCCGCTCGAGACCGGACACTTTCGCCGAGTGGGAAGGTTTTCTATGCCAACGCTCACATCATCTCGACGGTCCTCCACGTGCTGTCCTTCGACATACCGCCTCAATGGTTCATTAAGGCGGCGGAGACGGCACTTACGGACTTTGTCTGGGGAGGAGCAGGGCGAAATACCGTCGCTCGCGATTTCGTGTTCCAGGCTCGGGAGGACGGTGGCTTGGGTTTGATTTCGATTGGCGACATCGTTCATTCGGTGGCGCTTCGATTTTGGGATGCTGTGGCGGGCTCGGACGAGGCGATCTGGGCGCCCCTAGCTCGCGAGAGCTGGAGGTGCCTCGTCGCTGCGACCCGCGATTTCAGTCCGTGGGGGTTCTTCAGCAGCACGGCTCGGGTCGAGAAGCTGTATCGCGACTCGACGCGCTGGGGGGCAGTCGTTGCAGCGGCCAGGGTCACAGTTCCAACCATCAAGTCCGAACTCCTTACGCTTCCCGAATTGCTCTCGCTTCCGCCTCGCCTCCCTTCACTCTATGCTGAAGGTGCCCAGCACGCATATGACGATGCGGACGCGGTGGCGAAGTTTGCGCAGATCGCGGACCTGTACTGGAGGGACGAAGGGAAGGGATGGGCTCTGGTTGGTCATCGACGCGGGTTCTGGCAGCACTCTAAGGAACCCGCCCTACAGCACGAGCACGTGTGGTCGCGCGTGGGTCAGTTGCTCAAGGCGAAAGCGTTGCTGCCCAAGACCGCGTTGCGACCTGCTCGGATACCTCTCAAGGAGGCTCCCCGTCCTCGGTGCTTCAACTTCTTTGGGCTCTCCCGACCTTTTACGATTCGCAAGCTTCGTCGGCTTGTGAACAAGGTGCGGTTCCCAGGGAGGGAGGACCGTGTCAAGCGTTTCCCTGATGGGACTTCTCAGAGCGATAGGAAGCGCTTCTGGAGATGGCTTCATGACCGGTTCGCGTCTGCTGTCGAGCAGGACACCCACTGGCGGCTCATGTACGACGTGACGCCGACGCGCAAGAGGCAGCATACTCAGGGTCATGCCTCTTCGCCGACGTGTCTGTTCTGTGGCAACGATGCAGCGGTCATCGAGACGGTGTCCCACTACTTTTTCGAGTGCGCGTACTCGACCAGCTTCTGGGGTGGGGTGCTACGCATTCTGCTTGACAAGCTCGGCATCGAGGATACCGACGTCGATCCGTCGACGTTCACTCCGGAGCAGCTGACTATGGGGCTCCCCCTTTTGCGGGGTCGTGGGAGAACGACCTCGAAATGGATGTGGGTTCGGCTGGCCTGCGCGATCGGCTTCCAGCGGCTGCACCTGCTCCGCTGGCGCGTTCATCAGCGGTTCGAGCTGGACAACGTCGTGGCCCCTCCCTCGCTTCCCAGTGCGCTCAGAGCGTTCGAGCGAGATTTTCTCTCTCGAGCGGGTTTTGTGCCTGGGGTTCGAGATTGGGAGGTGTGATGACCGAGTTAAGTCCTTCCTTCCCATTTTCCTCCCCTCCTTTCCTCCCTTCCTTTTCGGTCAGAAGCTGACTGTCTTGAAACTTGTTGCGCAGTGGAAGGCTGCGCACCTCTCCCTCTCTCTACTTTGCGCAGTAGCGATTTTCGTTCTTGGATGGATCGGCAAGCCGGGTCGATCGTCGTTGCGTTGGAGGCTTTGTGAAGTTCTCCCCCCTCTTTCCCCCCCCTTTTTTTTCCCTTCCCTTCCTCTTCTCTTTCCTGTTGCTCGGTTGTTGACTACGCTTCAGCCACTTCTCCTTTTATTCCTAAGCCGTGTGTTGGATTCCGTCGAATGGATCGTTCGTTCGCGTTGGTCAAGTTCTACGGCATGGATCGGGAAGAAAGGTCGCTCGCTTCTTGGTCAATATCCTCGCGTCAAGGCGAGGCTCGTTTCGTGGTATTGGATCGTTTTCGCTCGGCCCCGACGGCTCAACAGCCAGCACTCGAGACTCAGCCAAGGGAGGACATCAGGCGCTGTCGGGGTGACGAGTAGCTGGGGCTTGGCTGCGGCCTGTCAGTCCCTGGGGACCTCTAGCTCTGGCTTCGACCCCCTCCCTTGGCCCCTCGGGTGTGTTCCCCCTCCTCCTCCCCTCCTCTCTGTCTTAGTATTCCTGGTTCTCCGTGTTTCCAGTCGTGAATTTTTGTATATTCTCCCCTTTTCTTTCTCTAGGCGCTCTTGCCTGGTTTTCGAGTATCTTCGCTCCCGCTCTTGGGACGTGAAGCGGCAGCAGTACTCACCGCCCGTTGGAGTCCGCGTTAGGTGCTCGGCGAGTTTTGATCTGCGCAGCGCTCTTTGCGCGCAGGGGTTTGACTTTCACCCAATTGCTTGCCGTCGTTGCTTTATAACCTCTTTTAGCTCTTTTTCTAGCGGTCCCAGCCAACCCGAAGGATTGCAATTTATGAGCCCCAGTAAAAAAAAACAAAAAACAAGAACACCCCCTTGGCGGCGGCGGTGGCGGCGGGACGACTCAACGTGCCTCCCCGGATCGGCACCAGCGCACCACTCGAGGCGATCATCCCCAAGCCCGTGGCCCGCTTCGCAATGGAGCAGCGCCTTCCGGACCCGGTGCTTCCACAACAGGCGAGCCAGTATACGCTGCTGAACATGGCTCGCCCCTACACAGTCCGTCGCATCCGCCGGGTCCTGAACGCGAAGGCATTTACCAACATGCTCGGGCTCAAGGGACCACCGCAGCCGGACGACCTCAGGAGCTTCTGGAAGGCAGTCAACTCGAAGGCACTGACGGCGAGGGAGAGGGAAGTTTGGTTCAAGCTGATCCTCCGCTTCACCCCGACGCGCAAACTCCAGCACGAGCAAAAGCACGACACTTCTCCCGCGTGCTTCGTCTGCGAAGCGCCGGTGGACGACACCGATCACTACTTCTTCGGCTGCTTCGACTCGCGAAACGTCTGGATCGCGGCGAGGGGCGTGCTCTGCGACGCGCTCGGATGCGACACGATCGAGGGCGCCGAGTACACGACGCTTCAACGACTCTTTGGCCTCCCCAAGCTCAAGGCCAAGCTCAGCGCACAGGAAGGCGCGGGCAGGACGATCGAGATCTTCACGGGGATGGTTTTGGAGATGATCAGCAGTGGGAGATGGAGGATGCAGAAGCACGGGACGAGGATGGAAAGCGTGGAGAGGAGGAGGGTGGTACTGGAGGAGAGGATGAAGTTGAGGGCGGGAGGAGCAAGAGGCAGGCGAGGGCAGTAGAGGCTAGGTTCGATTTCCCCCCACCCCACTCCACACGCACACACACCCACATCACACATCCTCTTACAAAAACTGTATACTAAATATCTTTTCTTCATCTTTCTTTTATTACAGGTCTGCCTCCGTTGCTCATGGACCGGCTTGCGTTTTGGGATTGACTCGACGGTGGCTCGCGCTCTCTGGCTTCGGGGTTCTGAGTTTAAGGGAGGGATCAGCAGACACAGGCAGAAAGTCGGCTTTGAGGGGCCAGGGACTGCTGAGGTGGAGGTTTTGAGGGGCCTCCACCGCGTCTTGTTGTGACCGAGCATAGACTTGGGGACTTCGCGGGTCAGGGTAGCTGCGCAGTCGCGCTCCTGTCTTTGTCTCGACCGAGTTGGGAAGTGGGTGCGGGGTGGGCCTCTTGTCGTTAGTACGCCAGTTCCTTTTCATTTTCTCTCTTTCTCTTTCTCTCTCTCATTCGTCTCCTGGGGGGGAGCAACCGCTTGGCTAGGGCATTTGAATCCGAATCTCGGATTGGTGGACTTGGCTCGTTTCTCGCACTTTTGCGGGCGGTTTGTGTTATCATCGTCGACTTCCATCTAGTTTTTCCGTAGGCCAATCAGGGGAACAGGAATTGGGGGCAATATGATGAACGGTTTCTACAAAAAAAACAAAAACACTTTCACTTTCACTTTCACTTTCACTTTCGAAATCGCGCCACCCACCACCTTCGAAGCTACAAGTGATACATCAGCCTACATTAGCATGGAGACCGGCGAGACCGGCCCACCCCCACCATCGGCGTCCGCGGCGACGAGCGTCCCGATTGGGACAAAGGAGACGCAAGTCCCTATCGCCGCCGCGACCTACGCCACCGCCGCGATTCAAAAGACCAAGCAGACTCCCGAGCAGCAGACCCAACAACAACACCGTGCCAAGGCTTTGACCCAAATGTTCGAAGTCATGGGTGCTGTACCGGGCAATCGCACCGACCGGTGGTTGCAAGCCACCTTCGCCACCGACGAGTACCCTGTCGCTACCGCTACATCGCTCAAGTATTCGGCTCTCAACGCCAATCGATCCATTCGAAACATCTTCGACTTTGCTCTCGACGTCACTTTGACCGTCCAAGGCGCCTCGAAGGCCTCTCCCGCGGACAAGGCCGATCTGCTCGGTTGCGTCACGAGACTGCTCTCCCCGCAATCGCCCCTGTGCTTCGACGCCGAGGTCACCCTTCCCGAGCACCTTGCGGCGTTTGCGCCCCAGATTAGGGGTATCCAACACTCGTCTTTCGTCAGGGCCGGTGTGGTCAACCACCGTATCTCCGTGGGATTCGTTTCGGCGAAGGCACGTGACTCGGCGCTTACGGCCCCACTGGCGCTTACTTGGCACTCTGCAAAGGCTCACTTCGCAAAGGCCCACCACTTCTACCACAACATGGTCGAGCTGCGTATCAACGTCGGTGTCGCAGCGGTCCCATCCAGGGATGCCATTGTTGACTCTTTTAAATCAATTGTCACCAAAATCACAGCCAAGGGACACCGTTGCGAGCTGGTACAAGTCTTGCGCGTGATCCACGTCGATAACGACTCGGCCTATGCGCACTTGGCCGGCGAGTTTTCGGCCTTTATCCGCTTCGACGACGACGCCCTTTTCAAAGCCCCTAACAACACGCTGAAGGAGCTCCTACCGTCGAAGGTCTCTCTAGCCACTAGAGGCAACATGCATACGGCGGTTCGTCACGACTACGAACGAGAAGCGGCCTGTGCTCGGTGCCACTTTGTGGGGCATGTGGAGACCTGCGCGCTGGAACAGGAGAGGAGGCAGAAGGAAGCGAACAACAACACCGGAAGGCACAACAAGTACCACAACAACCCAACCAACACCAACAACAACAACAACGACACCACCAACACCAACAACACCGACAACGACGCTTCCGAGGTTGTGGCCCCTAGCCGCGCCCTCGGAACCGACCAACTCGAATCGCGGAACCGATTTGCGGGGCTCGAGGTCGAAGGAGGACAGGAGGATGACGTCGAGGAGGAGGATGCAGGAAAGGAGGGCGAGGAAAAGGAGCAGGTCGAAGAAGGAGACGAGGATACGGGCGCCAAGGCGGACGACGAGGATTCGGACTCGGATGGGAACGCCGGAGCGGGCATCGACAAGGCGGGAGGCGACGACAAGGACAACGACAAGGACGAACAGAACGACAGCTCGGAGGGAAGCGAACAAAGGGAGGACGAAGGAAACGATGGGGATGACGTGATGAAAGATGGAGCAGAGGAGGAGGACGAAGGGACGGAGACGGAGGTGGAAGAAGAGGTCGAGCAGGAACAGGGGGTACAGGACGACAGCATCATGATCATCGACGACGACCAAACGACGATCACCACGGTTTCCCGCGAGTCGACTCCTCGGAGTCCCTCGTGGCCTCCACTATCTCCTGAGACGTTGGCAAAGTCGCTGCGCGAGGGTGCGGAGTGGGACCGAGCTAACGCCGAAGCTGCTGCACGTGTCCAAGCAGAAAAGGAGGCGATCATCAACGCCCAACTCGACGCGGAGGAACCGCTCGTTCGCCACCAATTTGCAGAGTGGGGTCAGGAAGATGGACAACTGCGGTTCATCAACATTCGTGGCACCGGCTCCGGGTCGAACAAGAAGATGAAGAGGTCGCAAACGGTGGCCGATCTCAGCGATCCGAGCGACGACCCGGTCGATATCAAGCGCGTTCTGAACAGGGTCAAAGGTCGAGCAGGAAAGGAGGTAGCGGGTCAGGGGAAGAGGGTGACGAGGTCGATGTCGGCGGCGGCGGCGATGCAGGTCGAGGGGGCCAAGGCGAAAGCGGAGAAGGGTAAAGGGGTGGAGGAGGAGAAGCGCTGGTCCGACCACGAGCCCGAGGATGACATTCTCCCCGAATTCCCACTCTTTGAGGACGACACTACCGCCAAGAGCACGTCTACATCGTCTACCCAATAATGATCAAGCACACCATCACCAGCTGGAACGTGAGGAGGTGCATGGGGATCCCGGAAAAGCGACGCAACATTTACACCTATTTATCAACATTCAAAGCATCCGCCATTCTACTACAAGAACACTTCATCAAACCGGAACTCTGGCAATGTATCAAGGACGAGTACGAGGGCAAGGTCTTCATCAGCAAACACTGTCTGACTCTGATCCCCGCCGACTCGCCCCTGATCGACGCCGAGATTTTGCGCACCCACTCGGCACTCGACGGACGAATCCTGGTCACCTCCTTTCGACTTCGAGGCGACATCCGGATACTCGAGATCAACAACATTTACGCACCAGTCGATACAAAACAACGACTCACATTCTTTGACAAACTACATTTCCACAGGACGCAGAGCACCCACCTTCGACTCCTCGGCGGCGATCTCAACGACTGCCCGCTGCCGGCGATCGATCGGCGGAACCAAGGTCGGCACGGCCATCACTGGCCGATCCTGATCGGCAAGCTCGACTCGCCCTACACCGACTGCATACGATTCAAACACCCGCTCACACCATCTTTCACTCGACCCAACATCGTCCGCAAGCGACCAAAGTCCTTTTCACGACTTGACTACTTCCTTCTGCAGCGCACCCACCAAAAGCGACTCGTCCAAGCCTCGACGATCTACGACCACCCCAAGGACCTTTCGGATCACCGACCGGTCTCGATCGTCCTAGTTCTCTCGGACGAGCGAGGAGACGCGGCTCAACCCAACAACAGTTTACCAACGACATCAAACCAATTACATCGTATCAACGCGGCGACCTTCAAGACGGCGGAGTTCCAGGGGATGTTGGAAGGATGGTTGGAAGGAGCGAGTGGGGAGGAACCGGTGGGGGAGCTCGAGGTGGTGCTGGGGAACTGCGCGAAGGAGGGTCGGGAGCTGGCGAGGAGGGAGCATCGGGAGCGGGTGGAGCGGATGGCGGTCTTGGTGGGAAGGGTGCAGGATCTGGAGGCGTTGCCGGTGATGGGGGACGAGGAGACGGCCGAATGGACGCGGACGACGGAGGAACTTAGGCGAGCGGTCAACGAGCGCGCGCGCCAACTTCGGATCCGAGCCCACGTACCCGAAATCGCTACCGAGGAACGACTGTCGCGGCCGGTCCACGCCAAGCTCGCGGCACGGAGTTCGGATTCCAAGATCACAGCACTGCGATTGCCCAACGGAGAGCTGACACATGACATTGACGTCGCGCTTGACCACACACAGGCGCACTTTCAGCGCCTCTACGATCTCGAGCCGCGCGATCGGGACCACGTCGAGCGACTTAGGGACGATTTCTTGGCGCCGATCAGGTCGGCGCGCACTTGCGACGACCCGAGCTCGGACCCGCTCTTTCTGCGACGACTCTCGGAAGCGCACATCGAGCTGCTGCAGCAACCCATCACCGAGGACGAGGTCGTAGCCGCAATCGCAACAACACACCCCGGTCGATCGCCGGGTCCATCTGGCGTGCCCTACGAGCTCTATCACACAGCGCCGCGGGCGTGGGCCAAGGCGCTGAGCAGGGCCTTCAACGCGATGACCGAGCGCGGCTCGCTTTCACCGAAGCAGGGGCAAGGACTCGCTCGCCTGCTCTTCAAGCACCACAAGATCGGGGCCGATCGCGCCGAGCTCTCGTCGTACCGGCCCATCACCTTGCGCGAGTGCGACTACAAGCTCTTCACCAAGGTCTACGTTGCGCGACTCAACCACGTGCTGCCGGACCTGCTCCCACCGCAACAGCACGGCTTCGTCAAGGGCCGCCGATCGGCGGACGCGTCATTCCACCTGCGACTCTTGATCGAGGAGCTGGGCGCGCGCGGCACCGAGTTCCCTGACGCGGCGCTCTTGTCTCTTGACCAATCGTCGGCTTACGACCTCGTCGAGCACGAATGGATCTTCGCCATCTTCGACGCTCTCGGCGCTCCTGCCGCCTTCCAACGCGTTCTGAGGATGCTCTACTCGGGTGACTCAACCACGGCGCGATATATCATCAACGGCTTCTTGACTCCGCCGGTGCGGCTGACGTGTGGGCTCGGCCAAGGGGACCCGGCGTCGTCGTCGGTCTGGGATGTCGTGTTCCAGCCGTTCCTGGATGCTCTGCACCGTCGAGGCATCGCGCTGAACCTCTCGCTTCCTACCATTCACCCCTACCCACAGAGCCGCGCCATTACATCCCTTGCGTTTGCCGATGACGTCGTCGTCGCCGTCGCGGGCTCGGAGTCACTCAACTTGCTCGACGACCTGGCGCTCGACTGGAGGCTCGCAACCAATGGCCGGCTCAACACCGACAAGACCGTCGTACTACCCATCGGGTGTCGCTGGGAGGCTGGCGATCGTCCGCTCGTCGTCAAGGCCGAGGGCGAGTCGCTCGAGTGGATCGGCCTATCTTTCGACCCCACCGGCAACACCGAACTCGCCAACGTGAATCTCGTCGCACGGCTCGAAGCGGTGCTCGATTCGGCACGGGACCGAGGGCTCACACACCACACCCGAGCGTTCTACGTCAACCGATACGCCATTCCCAAGATTCTGCACATCCTCTCCGCCGACATCCCACCGCTCGAGGTCGTCAAGGAGCTTGATCGCATTCTCGCCGACTTTGTCCGCGGCGGCAAGAGGAGGTCGTGCTATGGCAAGGACGTCGTCTTCACACCGAGGTTCAAGGGGGGTCTTGGGGTCATGCGGATGCAGGACGTCGTCGACTCGGTTGCGGCACGCGTCTGGGACGTGCTTCTTGGCGGTTCGGATGCGATCTGGCAGGGACTGGCGCGCGCGGCGATTGTACGAGCCCATCCCGCCCCCGACTTTGACTTGGCAACCGATGCGTGGCCTTGCGACTACACTCCGATCCGAACCGATCTACACCCAAGATGGCAGGCCGTGCTGAAGGTACCATCGACGCACAATGCGCAAGTCAAGCCGAGGACGTTGACGCTCGCGAACCTTCTCGCTCTTCCGATCAAGTTGCACACCCTTCACTACCTACCGGGAGCACCAGCTGTGTCGCGACCACCCTACGACGCCGACTATGCTGCGTTTGCCATTTACGCCAAGGTAGCGGACCTGTTTCGACGCGAGCTGTACCCGGGCGGGGGCTTTCATCTCTGGACGCCGCCGACGGATGTGGTCGTCAGCAACAGCGAATACGATCAACGGGGCCGCCCACAACGAGAGCACATCGTGGCATGGTACCGACATGCGATCAATCGATTGAGGTTCACACCAATAGCTCAACCGGTGGCGGCAGTACGAATCAACGGGCCTCCCCGAGTCCGCCCCACCACGCCGCTCGAGTCGATCCTGCCCCATCCGATCGACCCGCCGCAGCGCCTTCCGAGACCGGCTCTCCCAGACCAATCAACACAATACAACTTGCTCAGCATGGATCGGCCATACACCATCCGTCGCGTCCGCCGAGTCTTGAATGCAAAGGCCTTCACCGACACGATCGGTTTCAGGGACTCGCTGCAGCCCGACGATCTCAAGGGATTCTGGAAGGGGGTCAACTCGAAGGCATTGACGGCGAGGGAACGCGAGGTGTGGTTCAAGCTCGTCAGGAACTTCACCCCGACTCGGAGTCTGCAGTTTCATCAAAAGCACGACGACTCGCCCGCGTGCCTCGTCTGTGGAGCGCCCAAGGACGATCGGGAGCACTACTTCTTCGACTGCGTTGACTCTAGGAACGTTTGGATCGCGGCAAGGGGCGTGCTCTGCGACGCACTGGGGCTCGACACGATCGACAACACGCATTACACGGCCGTTCAACGCATGTTCGGACTTCCGAAGCTCAAGGCCAGTCTGCGCGATCAGGAAGGAGCGGGGAGGACGATCGAAATATTCACCGGGCTGGTCTTGGAGATGATCAGCAGCGGGAGGTGGGGGATGCAGAAGTGGGGGACGAGGCTGGAGGGTGTTGGGAGGAGGAGGATCATCTTGGAGGAGAGGTTGAAGCTGAGGGCGGGAGGAGCTTGGGGGAGGAGAGGGCAGTAGAGGCTGGGTTCGACTTTCCCCCCACCACCACACACACACACACCAAATTCTCGTGACATCATTTTCTCCTACTGTACACTAAATAGCTCGCTTTCCTCTTTCTTTTGTTACAGGTTCACCGTTGCGGATCATGAACCATCTCGCGATTTGGCGTCGACTCGGTGTGGCTCGCGCTCTTCGGCTTCGGGGTTCTGAGTCAAGGGAGGGATCAGCGGACACAGGCAGAAAGTCGGCTTTGAGGGGCCAGGGACTGCCGAGGGGGAGGTTTTGAGGGACCTTCACCGCGTCTTGTTGTGACTGAGCAGAGACTTGGAGCGTCGATGGTCGTGGTGGTTGCGCAGTCGTGCTCTTGTCTTCGTCTCGACCGAGTGGGAAGTGGCTGTGGGGTGGGCCTTCTGTCGTTAGTACATTTCTTTTCTTTCTCTTTCTCTTTCTCTCTCTCATTCGTCTCCTGGGGGGAGCAACCGCTTGGCTAGGGCATTTGAATCCGAATCTCGGATTGGTGGACTTGGCTCGTTTCTCGCACTTTTGCGGGCGGTTTGTGTTATCATCGTAGTCTTCCATCTAGTTTTTCCGTAGGCCGAAACAGGGGGAACAGGAATTGGGGGCAATATGATGAACGGTTTCTACAAAAAAAAAAAAATCTGGAAGGCGGTCAACTCGAAGGCACTGACAGCGAGGGAGAGGGAAGTTTGGTTCAAGCTGATTCTCCGCTTCACCCCGACGCGCAAGCTCCAGCACGAGCAAAAGCACGACACTTCTCCCGCGTGCCTCGTGTGCGAAGCGCCGGTGGACGACACCGATCACTACTTCTTCGGCTGCGTCGACTCGCGGAACGTCTGGACCGCGGCAAGGGGCGTGCTCTGCGACGCGCTCGGATGCGACACGATCGAGGACGCCGAGTAAACGACACTACAACGACTCGTTGGCCTCCCCAAGCTCAAGGCCAAGCTCAGCGAACAGGAAGGCGCAGGCAGGACGATCGAGATCTTCACGGGGATGGTCTTGGAGATGATCAGCAGTGGGAGATGGAGGATGCAGAAGCACGGGACGAGGATGGAAAGCCTGGAGCGGAGGAGGGTGGTACTGGAGGAGAGGATGAAGTTGAGGGCGGGAGGAGCAAGGGGCGGGCGAGGGCAGTAGAGGCTGGGTTCGATTTCTCCCCACCCCATCCCACACTCACACACCCCACATCACACATCCTCTTACAAAAACTGTATACTAAATATATTTTCTTCATCTTTCTTTTATTACACGTCTGCCTCCGTTGCTCATGGACCGGCTCGCGATTTGGGATTCACTCGACGGTGGCTCGCGCTCTTTGGCTTCGGGGTTCTGAGTCAAGGGAGGGATCAGCAGACACAGGCAGAAAGTCGGCTTTGAGGGGCCAGGGACTGCTGAGGTGGAGGTTTTGAGGGGCCTCCACCGCGTCTTGTTGTGACCGAGCATAGACTTGGGGACTTCGCGGGTCAGGGTAGCTGCGCAGTCGCTCTCCTGTCTTTGTCTCGACCGAGTTGGGAAGTGGGTGCGGGGTGGGCCTCTTGTCGTTAGTACGCCAGTTCTTTTTCATTTTCTCTCTCTCATTCGTCTCCTGGGGGGGAGCAACCGCTTGGCTGGGGCACTTGAATCCGAAGTATCGGATTGGTGGACTTGGCTCGTTTCTCGCATCTTGCGAGCGGTTTGTGTTATCATCGTCGACTTCCCTCTAGTTTTTCCGTAGGTCAAAGGAATGGGTGGCAATATGATGAAAAGTTTCTAAAAAAAAAATAAAAAACCAAAAAAAAAAAAACCTCCCCTTTGTTTTAGTATTCCTGCTTCTCCCGGTTTCTGGTCGTGGCTCTTGTATATGTCCCCTTTCTTTCTATGTGCTCCCCGTTTTATCACGTATCTTCGCTCCCGATCCTGGGACGTGAAGCGGCAGCAAACTCACCGCCCGTTGGAGTCCGCGTTAGGTGCTCGGCGGTCTTTGATCTGCGCAGCGCGCTTAGCGCGCAGGGGTTTGACTTTCACCCAACTACTGCTTGCCGTCGTTGCTTTATGACCTCTTTTAGCCCTTGTTATAGCGGTCCCAGTCAACCCGAAGGATTGCAATTTATGAGGCTCAGACAAAAAATAAAATAAATAAAAAATTTAAAATAAATATAAATTGGCTGGGGCGTTTGAATCCCGGTGTTGGATCGGTCGGTGGACACTGCGCCGTTTCGCACACTTTTGGCGGGCGGTTTTGTTTCACCATGCAACTTCTGATCTAGTATACTTCCGTGGGCCGGTTCCATCAAGAAAACCTGCGCCTCACCACGGCCCCAAGGCATCACGGACGCTGTTGCCGACGGATTGACCCCGTATCAAATTGAACGTTCGGTGATTTTGGGCTCGACTTTCAAGAATACTAGTACTAGCCCGCGGGAGATCACGCAGCGTTACCAAGATGTGATAGCTTTGCGTCGTCAAATATGGAAAAACCTTCGCTGTTCATCAAGGTGACGTGCAAACCCGAATGGCCGGAAATCAAGGCTGCACCGCTGGGGCCGAACGACAAAGCATGCACTGACCGTCCGCCGGATCTCATTGCACGAGTGCCACTCAAAGCCAAGTCCGGCAACAAGCGACGGGCTGGTTCGGTGATGAATGGAGAATCGTTTCTTTGCTGTAGTCCGTATTGTTTTTATTTATTTAATCTCTGCTGAAATCATGGTGAACTGTTCGATTCTTCTGCTAATTGAATTTCATCCTCTCGTTAATTTAACGGGTTCCCACTGGTTGAGTGAAATAATGGGCAGCTCGACAAGTCGGCGTTCCGAACGGGAGACGACCGGACACACGAATGCGACAAAGTCGGGGTGTGGGGCCGGAGAGAGAGAGAGCCGACCAGAGACGGCGGGCAAACGGGCAGCCGACCGCAAGGTGAGCCAGAGACTCAGGTGCTTCCGAAAGGTGGCGGGTGAAGCAGCCGTCCGGGGCCCGGAGCTGGAAGACCCACTTGGCGTGATCGATCGATCGATAGGCGCCGAGGCAGATCAATCAAACCGAAGCGGCCGTGATCGAGAGGGGTGCAGAGGGTTGACCGAGAGACCTTCGGACGTCGCTGAGTACGATCCGAAGCTCGACCGTGAATGGCGAACATGGCGGCATCCTCGATTTCCTTGACAACGCTCTTGGGAGGCGGGAGGAAACGGCTGTAAAAGAGGATCTTTGTGTAGCAGTAGATGTTCATGATTGAACATTTGGCTGCGTAAGGGAGATCGTACATCGGGATAGAGCATATACGAGCGACGGTCGAGGACTTGATCTCCTCCCAAGTTCCAACCCGCATCCTCGGCGATCTCCACTCCGACCTGAATACCAAGGTAGCGAACGTGGGAGATGCTGAGACGCCAGGTCCCGAGGCCTAGGGCTATCGGCCGGCCCCTAAACGATCCAAGGGGGTAGAGGAATGATTTGGCGTTGCTGAGCTTGCTGGAACTTGCCCGTTCGTACAGCTCGGTCGCCCGATTGAGATGGTCAAGGTCCGAGAGGTTATGGAGCGCGCAGCAAGCGTCGTCGGCAAAGAGGACTCGTTCTCGAATCGTTTGTAGGCCCGGGCTCACGACGCCCTCAACCTTCAGTCGAATGTGACAGGCAAAACCCTCGATCGCCAGCACGAAGAGAGACGGAGCCAGAGGATCGCCTTGCCGAACACCCGATAGGACGTCGAAAGCGGCCGAGAGCCAACCGTTGAGGAAGATCGAGGCAGATTAGTTGATGTACGTCGCTCGGGACCGAGGCCAATGGCGCAGAGGACTACATCAAAGTACGTGTGGGAAAGACGATCGCAAGCCTTCTCCGAAGTCCATCACCGCTAGCAGACCGGACACGGGCGTTGAGCCCGGAACTCCGGGAGTCATGAGACACTCAGCGGTGCCGATTCAACGGTTCGGCACAAAGCCACGCGGGGTCGGGCCGATTAGGGACTCGAGCAAGGGAGCGAGGCGCTGGTTGTGGGCTTGGGAGATGATGCGCTCGTCCGCATTGATGCTTGACTTCACACGTTCGCGCGCGCCGACGCTCCTTTCCCTCTCCCCGCCCACTTCTCACTCGCACCACTTGACTCGACTTGGCCCGACTCGACTCGACCACGGTGCGACGTCGCACGGCAGAACTACCAACAACTCCAACATCATCCTCTTTGGCACGATACATCGGCCAACTTGATCTGAGAGTGCATGGAGCTCTTTCAGCAGCGTCCAAGCATACGTTGATGCCTCCCTCGCTCGAGCGTACTCGGTCGCACACGTGCTCGGTCAGCGCATCTCCTCGATCACCCCGATCGCCCACTAGCTACTCGACCAATGAGTGTGGTGAGTACTTCACTCAGATAAGATTCAGCCGGAACTGCAGTGGCTCACCTCATGTTCGTGTTTGCTGCTCATCACTCTAGTTCAGATCGCGCGTTGGACATTGGCCGACTCGCTGGTATCCGAGCTTGGCACCAAACCGCTCTGTGACTTGTAGGACCATAGTCTGCGCATTCCTCATCAGTACCATCGAAAGATCATCGCCCTTCCTGTGGCCTCGAATCGATGCACACATCACTTGATCCTCGTCGCCCCACCTCGAACACCACTGTCGACCTGTGAGGATCGCCTCCGCCACCCCCACATCGTAACGTCAACCCATCACACGAATGCAAGCAAACCCTTACAACTTTTTCTTGATCGGACCGAAGAGATTCATCGACGCGGCAAGCTCGGGAGTTGTCGGAACATCTGTTGCACGACCCGACTGATTTCGTCAATGTCGAGATCGGACACCTTCGTCGGCTCAAGCACTTGCACCCCGTCTCGACCGCGCCGCGAATCACTCAACCTCCCGCGCTCGTCGTCCAGCTCGTCGAGTCATCTGTCCGAAGCCACTACATCTCAACTCGTCGTTCTCAACATCCCACATTCCCGCTCGCCGTCCCCGCCGTTCAACTTGATCGGACAGCTTTCAAGCTCTTCGATCGCATCATCTAATCGACTCGAATTTCCGGCAAAACCTATATAGAGATTTGCAACGTAATGCCTCATTGCTTCAGATCTTACTCGAACCCCACCCTCCTTTGCGCACGTTGGACCATAGAGTCAGGACCCGAGCTTCTCCACACCATTCGACGCTCGATATCGGCGTTGGACCCTGACGATCCTGCGTACTCACAATCGATCTCGGCGTTTCGCTTGACCAGCTTGAAACGGGCGATCACCATCCGACCTCTGCAAGTTGCACATTCGTACGCGCTTCAGCAACCCTGGTCATGCGGTCATGGACTGCGATCGGCGTCGCATGGCGTTCCATCTCCTCTCGTTTAGGGTTGCACTCCTTTCTGATGCGATCAAAGTATGCCGTGTCACCGCGCACTGCGGATTGACGGTCACGGGCGACCCGGAAAGGGAGCGCTTCCTCGAATGGAGCTTTTGCATCGATTCGCTCACACGCTCTGTCGCCGTGGGGGGAAAACATAGACGGCCTAGCGATCACGAATGGCGCTGATTGACGGGAAGTTTCGTTCTACCATGTTTGGCAAGTCCTCGTTTCCGTGTAAGAGTCAACGACCTGAAGCTCGAATTTTGCGCAATTTTGCTCGAACAGCTTTCTCATCATCATTATTTTGTGCGATCTTCGATGTGGTGTTCTCCGGCGCCGTTGTCGACCTCCGTCTCGTTCTACGACCAATCCGCCTCTCGCCTCTTTCCTCGAACGCAACATCGAAGATCGCACAAAATAATGATGATGAGAAAGCTGTTCGAGCAAAATTGCGCAAATTCGAGCTTCAGGTCGTTGACTGTTACACGGAACGAGGACTTGCCAAACATGCATATGGTAGATTCCGCTCCCTTCTGAACGCGAGCGCGGACATTGGTGACGATGACTTGAGGAGCTTGGTGACGAGGCAGTGTAGGGTGCGCTTGGAGAGCTATCAAGGGAAGAGTGGGATTGATGGAATGTGATGGGCAGAGCAGCGAGTGATGTGAAGAAAGGAAAGAGGCGGGGCAAGAAAAAAGAGCGATCAAGAAGTGGGAGAGAATTTGCCGAGGGCGAGCTGCTTTGAGCGGTGCAATTTGTGATCGAGAGTTCGGAGTTGTCCGAATGCTGAGCGCTGAGGTCGGAGGCCTCAGCTAACCGAGGGTTGACCTGATCGTAGCAAGAAGCGCACCTGTATCGCCCCAGATTATCAGAAATATTGCGACTTTTCCTTCCAAGTCGTTCACCAAGATCGCATGAGCACAGCTTTGTGGGGATTTAACGCGATAAGCGGCCGAATTGGTATTCTTCAGGCACGTGCGTTGGTCTTTATTCTTATCGGTCAAGCCTGATGCGACTATTAGGCGTGCCACCCGGCTGCAGGTGTTTTCTGGTATTGTTGTGCGCCAGAAACTGCCCGCTCTTCCGCCACGGGCCCCGTCCTTGACTACACGCATCTTCTCTCCCCGTACACCTAACACACCGCTCTTGGAACAGTCCTGACACACGCCCTTTACTCTGTACTGGACGCTATCATTTCGTACACAGCTGCACACATTCACTGCACTGACGCGATGCAAGATCCGTCACTCTATGATGCGCGGCACCCTTGGGATGATGTCAGCTCGATTGGTGTCCCATGCGTGGCTTCAACTCCTCGTTGGTCGACCAAGGAACAGGGCCTGGCCTCGTCGATCGTATCGCTGCCAGAGTCATATGGATCTAGCGGAACATCAGCCCAAGCATCGACCGCCGCATCATCACCGCCGCCGAACCCGGGCCCGTCGTCTGGCGATCACTCTTCCACGGGTACATCAAGCGCCTCCTCGTCATCTGCAAGTTCGAGCTCTGATGACGCCCGGGCGTTCGAGTGGCCGCCATTGAGGGACTATTTCATCAAGTCAATGGACGACTCGGAAGCGGAGCGCAGCAGAACAGGGCCTTCAGGGATGCCGGAGATCACTTGGGAGTCCGGGAAGCCGAGTCTGGTCAGTCGGCCTCGTTGACTCGGAACGGACTGAGCCAGCCTGGTGCGGGCAAGGGGCAAGAGGGTAAAGCGTCTGATCGTTGACGAGTGCGTTCGACCTGTGCAGAGAACCCGCGGACGTTTCATTACCTACCGTGACCCAGTGCATTTCGGTCGCCTGGACTTCTCCGACGAGATGCCGGGTGCTGCCCTCCTCACTCGAGAAGCCTTTGAAGCCGGAGGCGCCAACGCAATCAGCGCCAACAGGAGCTCACACTGCGAGCAGCACGACGCTCCACAAGACTGGTCACCGGTCGCGGTAGTAGGTGATATCATGGTCAGGGGTCAGGTACCCAATGTAGGTGGCGACAAAGAAGCTCTCCACGAACGGTTTGAGGGGTACATCCGTGCGCTCGCCTCCAACCCGATCCGCTCGCACGCCTTCGGCTTTATCCTCGTCGAATCGACCCTCGTCATCTTTCTTTGCACCCATAGCGGTCTATTGTTCAGTCCCGATATTGAGTGCACCGAAGCAAATGGCTACCTCTCGACCTTCTTTGCTCGACTGCTCAGCCTGACGGACTCGGAGCTTGGCATCGTCGCGAGCCTGTCTGCTTACCCGTTCGCCTTCGCCGGGTTGCCTCTGCGGGTGCCTCGATATCGCAAGCACTTGGCGTCAGTCCCCACGTTCAGTCGCGTCGAGGTTGTGGAACAGCTCTGCCGGAGCACCTTTTGGGATGGACGGTGCACGTCGGCCTATCGAGTCAGGGCGACCCGAGGCGGTGGCGAGAAGGAAGCGTCCACGTCTACCCAGGAATATGCCATGACGGTTTCTTTCGTAGCGGCGCCTCGAAGCGATGAACACGACCGTATCCGCCTCTCCATCGCTACAGCTTCACCCGAAGAGCGCGAAGGGTTGACCAACATTGTCGATGTGTACCGCGAGAGCGAGTTCACCGTTGTGCCCAAGTTTCTCGGAGGCGGCGGTGGCCTGCCGCGTGGGTTCCGATTCACGCCAAGGGCGATGGAAGTCGCCTTTCATGAGCAATGCTTTGATCCCATCTGGGTCATCGATTCGACCGTCTCCCTTGCTCGAGTCATCCTGGGTGTAGCCAAAGGTGAGTGTCAGGACTTGGCTATGATTGGGGCGTATCGGCGCGATGATCTCACGAGCTCCTGTGTCGTCCTCAGGTCTGCGTAATCTCTACCGGATGCACATCCTGCATCGTGACGTCTCGGCCGGGAACATTTTGGTCGCTCCAGATGGACAGGGTGTGCTCATCGATTACGACCTGGCCATCTACATCAAGGATGACGGTCCCGCCCCCGCCGAGCGATACCGCCGAGCCGTAGGTTCAGCTTCGCTGGGAGTCGAACGTAAAGACTTCGAGTGTGCTGTATGAGCTGACGAGCCCGGGCTGTCTCGTCTCCGTAGGGGACTTTGGCCTTCCTAGCTCGCCAAAGATTCCCACCCCTTGGCGGTGTGGGACCCCCTCTTCCCCATCAGCCCTGGCACGACATCGAGTCGCTCGCTTACGTGATTCTCTACCTCATATTCAGTCGACCCGAGGGTCCCAATGGCCCAAAGGCCATGATACCCACCACCAGAATCCTTTGGTCCGGCTGGGAGGACCCGGGAAGCTTCCCCGCCGAAAGCAAGATGGTGCTGTTCCGAAGCCACTACGGCCTACAAAAGACACTTCAACCCTATACGTCTTATTGGACTGGCGTTTTCGACCTACTCGGAATCGTCATGCACTTTTGCGGGCTGGATCATCCCCGGAGTCGCAACCTGAGGCAGAGAGAAGAAGCTGAAGTGAAAGCTCCGTGGGAGCAGGGTAAGCTTTCTCACGATGGATTGATTTCTGATTTGGCAGCCCTTGTCGACAGGCCTTAGAAGCCGAGGCCCTGCTTATCAACATCTAGAGGTGATCCTTCCTCCGCCTAGCTGCTGCTTCAGCTGTCCGGGCCGAGCTCGTTCAAGCAACCTTCACCCCGAGCTCGCCGTGGCTGTGGTTTCTCGCACCCAGCACAAATTCTCTGTAACATGGTTACATGCGGGATGGCAAGCCATGTAGGAATGACTGAGTGAAATATGACACTTGTACTTTTGCTGTATTGGAGTGGAACCCCCACTGTGACGTCAAATAAGGGCTAGCACAGCAATCACTGCAGCTCGGATTCAGTTGCCGTAATAAACATGCGCAAGCTCAACTCAACGAGAACGCATTAGAACCGCTACGGTCAAGAGTTTCTCATAGGATCAGATCACCGGAGGATCGGATCGGATCGGATCTTTTTTTTTTTCCCATCTCGCGTTGATCGATCTTTTCTTGATGGTATCCTTGTTCGATCTTCGAGTCCTCAGGTGCAACAGTTCGACTGGACTCGAGCAAACCGGAGACCGAACTTTCGGCCAAGCGCGCCGAGCTTCAAGTTCGGGATCTTGCGCGATTGGCTCGACTTCGGACTCGCGCGCGCCAACGCTCCTTTCCCTCTGCCCACTCACCACTCACTTCTCACTCGCACCCCTTGACTCGGCACCGCACTGACCGCACCACGCCACAACTCGACACCACATCGTTCACATGCGCCCTTCAATTTGCAAGATGCAACTCGATCTCAATTACAGCTCAACATGTCACCTCAAGTCGACTGATTCGAGCACGGTGCGACGTCGCACAAAATGCTTAACAGCAAGTCCAACGCTGCCATCTTCAACACGAGACAACTAAAACTGCGACCTGAGAGGACGCGGTCACTTTCAGGAGCGTGCTAGCTTTCGTCGATGCATCGCTAGAGCGTACTCGGTCGAACACGTACTCGGTCAGAGCACCGCCTCGTTGACCCCGGTCGCTCTCTCGCTGCTCGACCGATGAGTGTGGTGAGCTCTTCATTCAGATAGTACCAAGCTCCCACTTCATTCGCTCACCTCATGTTCGTCTTTGCTGATCATCACCGCAGTTCAGATCGCGCGCTCGACATTGGCTGATTTGCCGGCAACCGAGCCTCGCACCGAAACGCTCTGTGACTTGTATGATCATACCCTGCGCATCAGCACCATCGACAAGACGCTCAACTATCCTGAGTTCTCGCATCGATGCACACATCCCTTGATCCTCGTCGCTCCACTCCGAACGCCACTGTCGACCTACGCCGATCTCCCCCGCCACCCCCACATCGTTCACCCGCGTCGTCAACGCCAACCACTCACACGAATGCATACCCTCACATCTTTTTCCTGATCGAACCGAAGAGACTCATCGACGCGGCAAGCTCGGGACTTGTCGGAACCTCTCACGACTCGACTGATTTCGTCGATGTCCAGACCGACACCTTCATCGGCTCAAGCACTATCACCCCGTCTCGACCGCGCCGCGAATCACTCAACCTCCCGCGCCCGTCATCCAGCTCTTCGAGTCATCCGTTTAAAGCCACTACGTCTCAACTCGTCGCTCTAAACATCTCCCGAACTCGTTCGGCAGTCACAAAGCGAACCAACGTCCGAAAGGTCAGTGAGCGCCTGTAACCTGAAGGCTTTCCCTTCCTCCACATCGCGTGTTCCAAGTCTATGCCCTCCTGCTTATGTTTGCTCTTCTTTCGCTCCACCGGGTCCCAGATTCTGGCCTGCGTTTAACTCGACTCTTTAAACTCCGACTCGCTCAAAACCGTTTCTAGCTCTCATGGAGGAATGATCGTCAATTTTCTGGCTTGAGAATCGAGACCTTTTTAGGGAAACTTGTTTCGCTCGACGTCGATTTCCTCTCGATCGGCCCTGACGAAACTCAACTCGGTGCGATAGATCGCTCGTCGAGGAGCGTGCAGGCTCTCATTCTTGCCGCTGCTGCCTCGGCCACCCAAGACTCGATATGTGCCGATGTCCTGTGCGAGGTGGCTTCTCCAACCATCCGAACTCTTGCGGGTGACCTAGCGCCCTGCCCGCTCGCCTCGTGATCGAGAACGAACGATTCCTCCTTGCCTGCAATTTTGACGTACCAAAGTTTTAGTATGTCCTCCTTGATGCAACACCATGTGGTCTTTGAGCTCATATGTGCGTGTCTGAGAACCTTCGGATCTTTCTGCCGGAATTTCCTGCGGCCTCCGATGTGGTGCTTCCGGGAAGGACCCGAATGGAATGTGCTTGTATGGAATCCAGCACCAGAACTGGACTTCTGACTGCTGAACGCAATCGAAACTGGATATCTGAGTACGTTGCAGTGACCTATATATATGGGCAATTCCCACATACCACATACCAGACTCCCGAGAGACCCTTGCAAAGAAGCTCGCACGAGCACTCTGTGCTATTTGACAAGCCCGCGCCTAGCCTGCAAAGAAGCTCGTGCGAGCACCTTGTGCTATTCGACAGCCGCGTGCCCAGCGTGTCAGATACCACAGCCTCCCGCGCCTGCCTTGCAAAGATGCTCGCGCGAGCTTCTTGTGCTATTCGACATCCGCGCGCCCAGCCTGTCAGATACAGTCAGACCTGAGAAAATTTATATCGCCCAATCTTATACCTGTCAAAATTTATGGACTTTTCAATCTCCCGACTTTTTTGGCTGACAGAACCTGTCCAATCTTATACCTTATAGTTTATGGGCTTACAGGTCAAATTATAAGATAAGAGAGAGCCGGAAATGAGCGATTGATCAGGAATTGGCCTCTCCTTCGGCGTTCTTGTTGACGAGCCGCCTGCTGGAAGAGTCCGAAATGCCCTGAAACAGCCGAGAAGCGAGCACAGGAGAGCAAAGGCGGCGGTTGACAATTTTACGAACAAGTACGACCCAAGTGATATCGTCAACATGGACGAAACCGATCTCTTCTACGCTATCGTCCGTCTACGGGCCTTGCTCGAAACGGTCGAAATGGTGTCAAGATGAATAAGACTCGCATCATAGCGAGACATGAGGCGTGGAACGACATCCGCCCCGAGACGATTGCCAACTGCTGGCGCCACGCTCAAATCTTGTCTGATCGCAAGAACAAAGGATCGACCGACATACACCTCTTCCCAACGGTTGCGGGCCTCTCAATGGCGATCACGGCATCATCAACGCGATGAACGCTCTGAAGACGGCGAACGATGAGCTGGTCGAAAGGGGCATAGTTAGGAGCAACGAGAAGATGAGTATCCACTTTCTCGTCGATGTGGAGGAGGAGAACCTTGCTGGTGGGGCTGAAATGACCGATCAGGAGATTGTGGACCTGGTCATTGCCGAAAAGTTGAAGGAGAATTGCGAGGGAGAAGGAGGAGGGGAGGAAGGGGAGATAGAGCTCCGACCGGCGGAGCGAACGACGCTGCAGGAGGCAATCTCAGCGCTTGATGTTTTCCTTAGGTTTGCTATGAATGGATACTCAGGTCCAACGTATTTGATTTCTTTTGAGGACGAGGCTAGGAGGATTCGCAGGACTCTTGTTGCCGAGCAGGATGCCGCGAGGATTCAGACGACAATGACTTCGTATTTCCAGCGTCAGTAGGTCAAGATGTTTTTTCTTGGAGCTTTCAAAACTTGTTAGATGTCATCATGCCTCAGTAGAGGCCGTACATTGGCTGCAATTCAGTAATTCGGGCCTTCTGAATTTCTTCCCCCTCAAAAGTCAATGTATCGACTCAAACGATGCACGAAAATTCTTGATTTGATGTAGGAAGCTCAAAAACGGAGTTTCAGGTCATAATGTAGTGATCTGAAGCCGCACTCTCCAAGCTTATACCTGTCTTAATTTATGGGAAAATCCGTCCACCGAAAATATAAATTTTCTCAGGTCTGACTGTACCACAAGAAGCTCGGGCGAGCATCTTGTGCTATTCGACAGCCGCGCGCCCAGCGTGTCAGATACCACAGACTCCTGCGCCTGCCTTGCAAAGATGCTCGCGCGAGCATCTTGTGCTATTCAACACGCCCGCGCCCGGGCCTGTCAGATACCACAGACTCCCTACCACAGACTCCCGCGCCTCGCTTGCAAAGAAATACCACATGCCACAGACTCCTGCGAGGCGCTTGCAAAGAAGCTCGCGCAAGCATCCTGTGGTATTGGAGAGAGGGGTGGGGGCAGCGGCACTCTCCGCCTTCGGCCACCGGCGCTCGCGATCTCCGAAATGGGTTCCCCATTTCGGGCTTCGGGTATCGCTGGAGCTGAGGCACCGCAGACTTGAGGACTTGTAGACGTAGATAAGTTTATTGTAAATCTGTCCCGATCCCAACTGGTACATGCTTAATCTGTGCTAATATGGCATTCCCATTCAACGAACATGCGGCCAAGCAAAAACCGCTTGTATGTAAATGCTCTGCTGCCAGACCCGGTGTGAGTTGCTGACCTGCTGATGGGTGGCTCGTCGGCTCCACGCGCCACTTCTGACCCGCCACAGGCCACCTTGCCTGTGAAGCCAACGTCATGGACCCCTCCTTCACCCGCGCCGTCAGACTCGTGTCCGGATTCATCGGACAGTTCGCAGCGCTCTCATCCTCTCTCGTCGCCAAGTGGGGCGATGCCATCTCGTACTCAGGCCTACTATGCCACGGTCGAAAGGCTTACGTTGCCCGAGCTCGACGAGGATGTCGATCTCTGCTTCATCGAAGACGAGATTGTTCCGCGAGTAGTGATCTGTAGCGCGTCTGACTTGGTGCACTCGGCACTTGGGTTCGACGCAACACAATTCAAACGCCAGGCGCAGGATGCTCTTGCGCGACCCGGACGATCAGAAGTACAAGTCCTGTTCGACAAGGATTGCCGACGCTCGCCGGATCAACGGGTGGCAGATTGGGTCTTACCACTCGCTGACTTTGTGAGTGCCATATCCTGAATGACGACTTTGTCGAAGGCCATATGTCACGACTATGATCACATCCCTCGCTTTGCAACTCGCATCGTCGGCACAGGCATCCGGTGGATCCCATCGGCAGAACAACTTGAAGGTCGCACACGCCGAACGGCAGGCTCGGTTGACCCTCGGAGGCGGCGCCTGCCGCCTCCAACATGTGGAACGACATCACTTTTTAACGTGCTGCGACGAGCTCGGGTCGGGGAACAATGGAACTGGCACGCATAGCATGCTCGTCCCATTGGCTTTCGGTGTCCGTCCGCCAAGCGACCTTTCGACTCTGACCGTTCCCCCTCTCATCAATGTCGTACTCGACCTGGCACGAGATGCGCTCACGCAGCCGGCCCGCATGTATGCACCAGGCTTGGCTATTCGTGACGACACAGCTTACTTCGTCGTTTTGGACCACGAGGGGTGCCGTATTGCGATCATTCCCGATTGCTGGGGCGAGGGCTTCGGCGAGCTCGCTTCGGTGCTCTCCGTCCTGCTTGGACTGGAGGTCTACTCGGCCGGACTGTCCCCTCTGTTTCGCTACGCGCATCACCCCAAGACCGGCATCGCTCCCGTCGCTTTCCGTACACTATACCTTCGACCATCCGAGCTTGAAGCAGATGCTCCCCTGGTCGGTCGCACCGTCGAGTTCGTCGCCGAGGAGCCTGTCAAGCTCGTCGACTGTCGAGTCGCAGGGGGCAGCTCCATCTTTGGACGCTGCACGGTCATCTTCGAGCTGACGCGTCCCAGCTTGGTGCAAGGGTCATTGTCGACGTCAGGTCTGTCGCCGTCGTTCGTGCTCAAGATCCAGCACATCAATCAGAAGTCTAAAGGCTGCGAAGCCGATGTCCTGGACAAGATCGTCCAGTGTCGCACTTCCCACGCCCCCTCGGCTTCGTCGCTGCTCATCGAACGACACGTCCCGTTACCCGAGAAGGCCACGTCGCTCGGTCTACATCGATCACAAATGGACGACAGCGCCTTGCCCGTACTCATGGACCCGGTCGATCCTGAACGACGCCTGCGAGAGTCGTGTCGGAGTACACTCGACTTGCTGATCGTGCGCAATCCTACGCCGCTACCGATCCGCGTCGACACTGGCCGCGGTCCTCAGCACAAACTCTCCCAGGCCTGCGAGGTCTTTGACCAGCTCCTCACGCTTCTGCCCGCGCTCTGGGATCTCGGCATCCACCATCGTGATTTGTCCCTCGGCAACGTCCTTCACTACCAAGGCCATCTTGTTCTGGTCGACTGGGACACAGGCATCGTTGCGCAACCGGGTACACGCGTCCCTATCGCTGCCGACGTCGGCGGCTCGTTCAGGATCACCGATGCCACCGCTTCCCAGGAGGTCTTAAATTACCCGAGGGGTTTGGTGAACGGTTGCTACAAGGTCCCCCCGCATGCCCTTCGCCACGACTTCGAGTCCTCCGTCTATTGGTTCCTCCACGTTCTGGACTGGTGAATCGGTGAATCGGTCTCGGCCGAGTTGTGGGAGGGACTACAACTCCGCCCACTGTCGAACGAAGCGACCTTACCCCTCGCTTGCGCCCGCCTGGAGCTCTGGGAGGGTGGGTACTGTCCCGAAGTACGCCAAGCGTTTCTCGAGGATCTGGCAAATGTGGATAGTGGGCTCCACGATTTGGTCAAATTCATGACGTGCGCTCATCCGGGCAGCCTCCCCCCGTTCGCCACCGGTGACAGGCGGCACCACCGCTGTGTCAAGCAGAAGATGGTGCAGGTGCAGGCCGAGTTGCGACGCATGCTGGAGGGGGCGCAGCAGCCTGATTATGGTGGTGTTCTGGGTCGTTATCACAGGTTACTGAAACTGCAGTAGTATATAGGTTTTCATTGCCCCCAATTGAATTCCTATTCCATCGGCACAAGCTGCGTAGCCCCTGTTTCCATTGGGACCACGCAGTCAAATCACGTCTGCCATCTCTGCCTTCCCCAAATTGAAGAGTCGAAGCGGTTATCTGTACTAACAGCGAATCAAGGCATAGCTGTGGGGCAGCCGAGCGCACTCTACGAATAGATCGTGCTCCGGGTCTCGCCGCTCGGACTGCTGGACTCGGATGCCGAAGATCGAGCTTGGTCCTGCTCTGTCCTGCTTGGTCACTCTCGGCAGCTCCGCCGTCCTCTGCCGTGCTCTGGTGATCGCGCGACAAACGCTCATCGTCGAGCGATCAACCCTCTCAGTTGGTCACCCATTGGTGCCTATGCGTAAATCAAGATAGAGACCCAAAGGGCAGCGCGCTGACTCTCGCGCTGCTCGTGCTCGAGTGTGATAAACTTGAAGTAACCTTCTTGCTTAGCGGCAACCGGCGGATCGGCGACGCGGGGAGTTGGTAAAACCTCCTGTGCGAGTTCCTGGTGAGTTGGGCGTTGTAAGTCGGGGTCGGGTGGGTCCCAGCGCTCCATGGAAAGATCCATTCCCCCTAGGTCTTCGTACTCGGCCTGCTGAGCAAGAGGGAAGTCCCTGAGATAATCCTCGTTGAAATCATCGTAGGAGAAGTTCAGGTCATTGGCGAAGACTGAGGTCGAGGCGACAGGGACGCGTTGGTTCGTGCTCGTTTCGACGTTTGACGTTGCAGATGTGGTGGGAGTGGCATCCATATCTGTCTTGGCCTTCCTCGGCCTCTTACGTCCTCCTTTATCGACGATCGTACCTCCGAAAGTGACAAGGTACAGCGGCATCGTGGCGTATTGATTCGGGCAATCGGGATGGTCGAGGTAGTCCGAAGGCTTGATCCGTGGAAAGCGTGGTTTGAGTCGCGAGGGGCGGCCCATGGTGACTGAGCGGAATGAATACGAGAACACAAGTGTAGTAGCTCAGCAGCAACGAGCTCCGGGTGGGTTAAGTCTGCGACGATCCAGGTAGTACGTCCTGCAGGAAGCAGCGGCGGCCGCCTGCATGCACGCGCGACAGATTCCTTGCGTGCCAATTTGACGTGTTCCTCATCTTACAACGCGTCAAGCACGTGACTGGACACCCGCCCATGAGCATGAGCCCCGGCCTCAGGCGCTTAGAGTCTTAACATTTAAGAAATTACGTGTGGTTACTGATTCAACTCGAAACCAATATTTGCTTCTTATTATCTCTCATGTCGTCACATGATCAATGTAGTGGTCTTAACGGACTTGGAAGAGGTGTAAGGGCCTGTCCCGGCGCCGAGTTGCTACCGTCGGTAGCAGTGTTGCTACCGGGCCCAGGTCGCCTATTTGCATAAGGTTTTCTGGCCGCGCGGCGGCGCTACTAAGACTGGTTACTTTTTATCTGCCTGAGGTGAATTGCAGTGCCTAATTATAATCAGGACGCCCGGCGCTCGGGCCAAGCCGTCTCAGGCGAGCCGTCGTCAAAAAAAAAAAGAACGTCGTCGGGGCCCGAGCTCCGAAGAAGCCCGCGACTCGTCAACGCGAGAGACCGCGCGAGAGACGGCGCGCCAGGCCCGTCGGTTGGCACGTCTGCTCTTGCGCCCCCCGCCCAAGCCGCCACGACCCAACTGCCCAGCTCGTCGCGCGGGCCAATCAACCGCAACAGCACTCGACCGGGACGGGCCGGTCGTGCATGTGAGGCCGTAGGCCTACCAGGCATGTCGGACCTCAGCGTTGCTACGACACAATCGAGCCCGATGAAGTCGAGCCCCTCAGTGTCGATGACGGCCACGGCGGAAGCGAGGGAGCACCAGCTCTTCGCCCATATGGGCAAACCTCGACAGTCAAAGGCGATGGACACATATTTTTTTTGACACGCCTTCCACCTACGAAGCCAAGATCCCCAAACCGACGGAGAAACTGGGGACGGAGGCTGCAATGAAACAGATGGCTGACGCGATCAAGGATGTGGTGAGTGCCCCGGTGCTATCGCTTGGCTTCGACCGCACGAGTATGACTGACCACTGTCTCCCGATCATTGATGCACCCGGGTGTAGACTGGTGATCGACGTCTGGTCGGATGCGGCAACTCGGGTAGCCCCATCAAGCTGGCGCCCGATCGCGGGGAGCAGGAGAACACGCCCGACGCCGTCATCCTCACGCATGCGGCGGTGGCCGCTGCCCCCGATCTTCCGTTCGTTTGGGCGCAGTCAGAGCACCCAACGTCGATGGAAGGCACGCCCTCGTCGCCTCAACGCGCATACTCGCAGATTGCAGTTGCGATTGAGGTGAAGAAGAGCGACAAGAGGAGCGCAGAAGCGCGTAACCAAGTGATCAGGCGGCTACACATGATCTGCACGACCGCGCTCCGCGCCCACGCGATCGGGGTCACCCTTTGCGGGGACGTGCTTCAAGTCTACCTCGTCAACGCGTGTGGGGTGTTCACGACGAGCGCCCGCGAGTGCGGTCAGGGAGCCGTGCTGCTCCGGCGCGTGCTGTCACACCTCATCGAACTCGACGACAACGAGCTCGGGATGCTGGCCTCGACGAACGAGGTCGACGACGGTTTCGGCAGTTTTGTCGTCTCGGACAAGTTTCTCCACCCCGCGCCCACGACTTCGAGTCCGAGCTCGGCGATATCTCAGATCTCGAGATCCAGAGCTCCTCTTCCGACGCCGAAGCTGCCTGGGTCGCGCCACCTCCGCTTTCCGCGTCACCGCGCGACACGCGCCTGTCGACCGCACGTCGATCAACCTTGCCTACACCTGCCACCGAGTACGCCATGACAGTCGCATGGGTTGAGCAATCCCGCCTCGACGATGCGATTGCCCTACGTCGCAACATGCACGCTGCGTCGCGTATCGACACCGAGGGTTTAAGCCTTAGCGCCGGCATCTACCGTGACGACTTCCGCACGCTTCCGACCTTCTTCGGCGACGATGAAAGTTCGATGGTATCGGGCCCCGGGCACTGGAGGTGGTCTTCCACCGACAGTGTTATCGGCCCCTGAACACGGCGACCCACGACCAGGGAACTCACCCAGGCCGTACTTGGAGTCGTCAAAGGTGAGCACAGGGATCAACTGGGCGGCCTTGCGTTTGCGCTCCCTAGCCGACACGCCCCTTCCCACGACATTGCAGGACACCGAAACCTCTACAGGCTGGGGTATATCCACCGGGATATTTCGTACGGCAACGTCGTCATCGACCGCGACGGTGTCGGCGTCCTCATCGATTATCACCTCGCCGTCCCGCATGATCGACTTTGCACCGAGCTGCACCACAGAATACGATCCGTGCGTCCTCCCCTCTGTATGTTCCCCCAAATGAACTTTCTGACCAGCACTAACCTTTGGACTATACGACGTCTTACAGGGCACCTGGCCCTACCTCGCCTGCTCGATCCTCGCCCAACCGAATGAGCGGCTCGGTGTTGTCCACGAACGATGGCACGACATCGAGTCGCTTTTCTACGTCGTGATGGAAGTTTCGTTCCGCGAGCCTTACCAGGGCAACAATGAAGAGCTTGTCATGACGCCAAAGGGTCAGATTATCTGGGAGGACTGGAACCAACGATTTGCGCACAGAGTCTATAACTCCAAAGTTGTGCTTCGCATGGACCATTCTTACGAATCTCTACTCGAAGGCTGCGCACATCGATGGACCAATATTCAGCTACTTTTTGACATCTTGAGACGGAATTGCGGCCTCGACAGCCGGTTCCTTGGTTCCAAGGTGGCTATGGAAGAAGTTCAACTGAGGGAGTTGTGGGGTCCGTCCAAGGCGATGTCGCACGAGTCCATCATCTCGGACATTGAGCAGCTGCTTCCCTTGCTCTGAAGTGACCACCTTTGCTTGGGCTAATATGTTGCTCGTTGTTAGTTCCGATCATTGCAATAGATACCCCAGGTCAAATTCCGTCCGTTCCAGTATAATTCCAGACTGGAAATAGGACTGCGCCAGCGGTGCCTTCATTCGGCTCGACTGCGCAGAGTTTCTGGCCCAAGTCGTAATCTGGGAGGGCCCTTACATCATTCACGTTTCGTTCATAGGAGTGTTGTTTTTTGGAAATGTATCAGGTGTATTGTCCTGCCCATGTAACAAAATGCGTAGCCTTGAGCCAACCAAATGAATACCAAAGCCCGGAATCAAATACGCATCAATCGTTTGGGGTTTTGGGATCACATTGAAGCGGACTTTGGGATCACATCCGAGGTCATTCTTGTACCGTTCATAGGGACTTTGGTACCACATAGTGTAGACGCCTGTAGAGGCCAAGCGGGGAAGAACCTCGATGTGAGCCCAGAGTGACGAGCTATTAGCGCGGTTATGTCCGGGTGCATGCGCAGCACTTGCACGCCGGGGCGACGGCGCACTCCTTACGGACGTGAGCCGCCGAATGGGAATCTCGTTTCGGATCCGATCTCGGTTCAGGGCTCTGGGCTCAGGCTCAGCCCACAAAGCCGCGCGCCTCTCTCCCTGAGCGCGGGCACGTCGCGTGAACGAGATTCGTAGTTCCGCCAACATTTGGTGAACCCCAAAAAGTCCCAAGTGGAGCCAAGTGTGCTCAGCTGGGCTCAGGCGCGTGACGCTCACGGGCTCTCACGGGCGCCCAGCGTCGCTGAGCCATCGGGCGTCTGCCTCTGATCAACAACTCGCCGCTTCCCCGACCCAAACCTTTCCGCGACCGCAGCAAGCATCAGTTATCTCGCGCTTCTGAACCAGATCTCAGTCGGCTTCATATCGTCGTGCCTCCCACCACTCGACTTGCATCGCAGGCCCGCTCCCGCGACCAACACACGATCAACGTTGACGCCGACTGCACGCCTGCCGACGCCAGGGCCACCGACGCGGCGCCTCTGCAGTGCATAGTGGACGTCACGTTCGACGTTGAGAAGCATATCTCCAAGCGACTTGAGCAAGTGTCGCTCGTCCCTGATGCCCATGAGCGGTCCGGGCTTGCAGGAGCGTTTTCGAATGCCGACCACCCCAGACAAGTAAGTCTGTCCGTCCTCACCTTCTTTGGGTCACTTTGGCGACTTTTCAATCCCGCCTTGTCGCTCGAACCAGACGTTGACCCTTCTTGCTCGTTTGCTGTGGGCAGGGTTCCGGCCAAGGAAACGATGCGGGAGCGAAAGCGGCGCCGCCTCGCCGCCAAACACGCCAAGGAAACAACCGTCGTGCACACCGCAGGGGGGACTTTCAACGCAACCATGGCCAAAGCGACTCGTTCCGGATGGCAAGGGCACGCCCGTGCACTGGCGCAACCCTGGTCCGACTCGGTAATGGCGTCATTGCCGCGCTTCCCGTCGCGCTTGCCAGATGTCGGAACCTTCGCCGATCTCAGGCACTTGGAACAGGTGCCTTACAATGTGTGAGTTGCCGCGGATTAGAGTACAGCTCGAGAAGAAGTCTTGGGTGCAGAGACCCCTTGCTGATGGCTCGATGTCATTTTGTCTTCTCGCGCAGTGTGCTGGGCGAGTGCTGTTCAAAGAACGATCCTACGTCCTTGCGGTCAGGTCCAGCAAGGCAGGCTCGAGTCTCTTGGATATTTGGCAAGCATACTTACCTGCTACATGCCAGGAGCTACAAGCCTCCTTCAACGCTGGGTCTCAGCTGAGGGTCGGCGATCATCGTGGAGCCCATTACTCCGCGCTGATGGGAATCAATCTCGCCTACAAGGCAGACGATGCAAGTGGATTCCATTGTCCACTTGGCTTTTGACCGTCCCAGTGTACTGAACGCAATGATCTCCCTACGCACCAGGTGCCTGACTGGTGCCACTTGACACTCCGATCCCAAAGCAAAGCAAGGGTGGAGCAATCTTCCGCGGTGGTCGGCTCGGCCGAGGTCCAGCGTCTTGCGTGAGTCGGCGCCTGCGCTTGAACGTTGAGCTCGCGCGTGGATTGGTCTGACTTTTCTCAAGGTCCTAAACTACAGGCGGTGGTGCTCCAGCGTGGTGAGGGAGGCGTTTCCCCGCATTGCAGAGCGCTACGAGCAAGCCTATGCCCGAGCCCCTGGACTTTGCGGACGACGAGGCGAGCCAGCACCTTTCGGTTGTTCAGGATGATGTCGCTCAACTACAGTGGTACGGCGGCCGGGAGTGGCGCTGAAACCGCACGTTGATCGGCATCACACCGCAGGGCGTGTGTGCGTGGTCTTCCCTTTTGGTGCGTGGATCAAGCTCGCTTCGTCTCGGCGACCCATGAATCGAGGACTTATCGCGCAGCAGTGCCTCGCTTCTGCGGCTGCAGGCGAGTTCGACTCTTCAACGCAATCCTGGCTAGTGCTGTACGAGCTTGGTGTCATCGTCGAGGTACCCGCCGGCTGCTGCATCGCCTTCCCTTCCGCACTCGTCACGCATGGGAACGTCCATCTCGACGTTTTCTTGACGGACGGCGGCGCGCCAAAGTGCGGAGAAACGTATTCAACACGTGGGTCTGTAGTGTTCTGGACGCCCAGTCGTGTGATCTCTTGGCTTGAATTGGTGGAAAACCTCGAGGTGCGTGGGGCCACTCCTCAACGTAGATCGCCATGACAAGCGGGACTTGTTCAGGGAGGCGGCCCCCGAGGCTGCTCCGGGACTCAAGAACCCTCTCAGCTGATTTTCATCTGTTGGCCACTCTCCTAAATAATACTGAAGGTGAAGGTGAACTTGGCGTATTGCAAAACCTTTATTTTCTAATCCAAGAGTGGCAAAACCGAGACAGAATCATGCAAAATCACGGGCTGAGAGAGGGAACAACGAGAGAGAAAGAGAAAAGAGGCATTGAGAGATGTAGAGGAGGCTGAAGCAAGAAACATCCAAGAGATTGATGTCTTCTACCAGCCAAGTTCATGGAGGTCGTGGAGCAGCCCGCCAGCACCGATGACGA